AATTCTATATAAAAAAATTAAAAATTTGGTAATTTCGTAGTTTAAATAAATGGTTTTTATTAGGTCTGAAAGGCTGGGACAGATAAAATAAAGGAATTTTTTTTTCAAAATTTTTAAAATTTTAATTTACATTTTAAAATTTTAAAAAATATTTTAAATATTTTCGTATTTTTTGAAGTTCAAACTTTAAATAAAATGATAAATAAGAGTAAAGATTAATATTGTTGAATGTATTTTATTTTCCACGCATTTATCTTGTCATATCCGGCTTAATTTTAATTTATTTCGAAAATCAGTTAGTGTTAAACCTGTAAAGGTGCTGGGCTTAGCGGGCCAGATCTAGTTATTATAGTTTTTATCTTTTACATTAGAGCAAGTTCCGTATTTTACAAATTTCGTAAAAATGAAAATTGATTAAAACTTAATGTTAGTATTTTTATCGTCCTAATTTCTCTTTACCCTCAAAAATAAGTTATATACACCTCCTTCCCCTCCCCTGAACTCTACGTTAAGTTATATATACCTTTTCCCCTCCCCCCCCCCCTTCTCCCAATGATAAGTTCCAAAAACAAATCTTAATATCCGAGGAAGTGTTTCCGGCCTTTGTCTCTCCCCCCCCCCCCCTGAAATCCAAGGCTCGATTACTCAAAAGTTTTTGCAACGTCTTTAAAAACCGCTTTAAACCGATGGACCCTGAGGAAAAGTGTTTGGGTTTTCTTTGCGGAACTTTGAGGAGGTTTGATAAAATTTCAAGTGAAAACGGAATTTAGTATTGGGATGACGTCGGAGCGAGGAGCTGTTTGGTGTCTGGGTAGGGTGAGATTGGGGAAGAGATAGGGGGTGGTTAGTGGCTTGTTTGGGGAGGGGGTTGAGCTGGGTTTAGGAGGTAACAATAAGGGGGGGGGGGATATAGAAGAGATGTTTCTTGGAAGGGAGGGGTGAAAAATATGAAAGGGGTAGTTCTTTATATTTATTTTTTAGGTTTTACATCTCTCTCGACCCCTCTCCTCTTCTTGTAAGCAAAAGGTACCTTTACTCTTGGCTCTAATTATAACATTTTTAAATCTTCCCACGCCTCGTCCCCTATCCTCTCATTCCCCCTCCTCTCCACGTTATGTCATTTTTAAACCTTCTTTCTCCTCATCCTTCCCCCCACCCATTTTTTGCCATTTTAAACCTTACACTTTACACTTTTCTACCCAAAAAGAAACAAAAAGCAAACATTCATCCATTCGTATACATGCGTCATGTTTGTCTCTCGAATGTTGACATTGTAAACCGTGCTGGGTTTAATTTTAAAAATGTTCCAACTTCAGAAGCCGACTAGTAATTAAAGATTCTGGGTTTTTTTGAAAGTGCGGGAAAATGAAAGATGTACGTATGTTGGGTGTAATCAATCTAGGTTACAATTCCCAACATACCAACATCTTCTTTCTGGTTGGGTCTTTGAATTTGTGATGTGTACTGACATAAAGAGTATGGGTTTGCAGTGGTCTATGTACTGTACATATGAATATGTTATGGTTTGTATGTGGTACGTGTGAACTCAAAATGTATTGGATATAGAATGCGCACAGGCTTAGGTAGGAAATATATAGATATATAGCTTTTAAAGATTGTGTTATGTCTTATGTATACCTCAGTTATAAACTAGGCAAGACTGGTTTTAAGTCTTGACTATTAAACTTTGGTTTTTGGTTAGAACATCACAGAGCCTTGGGCTAAAAGTAAGCTATTAATATAACTGTTTTTACTAAATCTAACATAATTGTGTAAGAACTTTTAATACCTATACTACGTATTACACACCTTTAATTTCATATATCAAAATTTACTTTCAAAAACAAAAAGGCAGTTTAGTATCAACATGTTTTGCTTTAAAACTTAGATACGTGAACAAGACTTATCGAACCAGCTTTGAAGCATCACTTTTATGCAAATCTTGTTCAACATGACAGCTTTTTTAATTTTATGTATAGTAGTTTGTATTGGAACTAACAAAAAGTGCTGCATTTACAATAATAACTCTTGTTTTACGTAGTAACACAATTTATGTAAAGCTATCGGTTCATATAGAAGGTGGAACTTTTTTGAACCGGGTTATACATGACTTGGGAATACTTTCAAGTTTGATTTGTTTCCAGCCTTCTACAATAATCCAGTAATATCGTTTTTCAATGTAAAATACGTCTAATTCATTTTTTAATTTTCAACAACTTAACTTTTTACATCATTTTTACATTATGTTTCTTCTCTACTATAATATCACGTTTTCACGTCGCAAAGTTTGTTTCAAAATTGGCCGCAATTTGTTTATTGAACTTGCACAATGTAAAACTGTTGATTGCTCTGTTATGATGGACGGAACAACCTTTTTTTGAGTTTGAAAAGTATAGGTCTTGGGTGTTTCTCACGGACGAAAAACGCAATTGGAATTTGAAAAGTAACGCTTTTGACGGTTTAAGCGTTTTCTCGGGTTTATGTTGGGTCATACTCATACCTGAACGTGTTGCCTTAGGGCAAAGTTTCGTTTTTGGCTATATAAACTAGTTTTTTGGGTTAAAAGTTGGTTTTTAGGCTTAAATCGAAAGTTTTTTTTTATTTTGAAATTTTTAAAATTTTATATTTTTATATACTAAGCTTCTCAGCACAGTTTTGCCATCTGCCAACCATCTTTTTTCACGAAACGAGCTAGATAATATCATAGTAGCCACTATCCACTACATTAATGGTATGAGAAGTGAAAAGTAGTCCGATTTTTATTGCTGTATTGTTCTTCTGTCGATCATTGTTCACTTCATTAAGAATACCATAATTTTTATGAGGTTTTCGATATTTTTATAGATTTGTCAGAATTTATGAATTGTCACCTTAATTTTTGTTTTATGAAAACTTGTTTTTTATTTAATTATGTTAGTTTTAAAAAATAAAATTATTTATCATATCGTATTTTACAAAAACCAAACTGTTTTTGACCTTCTCCACATATAAACTTATTATATTTGAGACTTCTGAAGCCTATATCATCCTTTAGAGCAGGTGCACACACTTTTTTCATTTTATAGAGCAAACTGTTTTATTTTTGATATTTGTCAGCCTATTTTATATTTAAAAATACAGTTTATTTCTATTCTTTTTCCCACAGAATTCTGTTAATCTTTTTCTGTTTTTAAAATTGCTAGTGAGATCGCTTTCAATTTTTATATAAAATTCAGGGTTTGGATGTACCATAAGCTCTCCTCTACCCGCCCTATCCAAGCCCTAGTATCCCAGAAAGCCAGCAGCCCCTAGTATCCCAATAACCACGGACTAATATCTCGACAAACCAGGCTCTAGTAATGACATAAATTTCCATTGAAATCTTAAAAACTAGCCATATTAAATCATTTACTAACTTTTAAACTAACTTCCTCTAGACTACTAATTTCTACAATTTAAAATAATGAGCCCCAGACCTAGCCAAAAGTGTCGCCTCAAGTTGTTTATTGCAACTCATTACATTCTGTACAATTCAGGTCAATTATGAGTTGTTATCGAGTTCTTGTTACCCACCCTGCATGAAATTTGTTTTCAAACAACAATGGGAATCGTGTCCGCACTCTTCATTTACTCCCCTGACTTCTGATCAAACAGGCATATTTCCTCAAAAAAACGCGAAAAAAAAGTTTTTCCTGCGGGGAGAAAACAGAGCGAATCGGACCGTTTTTGGGAGTTTATGGAGTAGATGAGCGTGAGTTTGTACAAGGTAAAACATCCGAACCGAGTGGTTATTGTGGAGTCAGTAAATGGGCGATCGGATTTCCCCTCTTCTGTAACCACATTGTTTTCGAATTATTACGTTACGTAAATAGTTGTTGTAGGTTTAGGGCTGTCTGGCTTCTGATTGAACCTGTCTGCAGCCGGCTGGTTTCAGAGTTTAAAAATTATTAGTGTTTTTGAAATGGTTGAAGCTTCAGTAGCCTTAGGGATTAGCCCAGGGCGTGACCTATTCCTTAGGCTACGTCGTGTTTTTTATCTCTTGCTTATGGTGAATTTTAGGCTTAGGTTTTTCGTTTTAGACAAAATGCCTTTTAAACTTTAGCCTTTTAACTTTAGGCTTATATTAAAAAGGTTTAAAATCAAGCGTTTTTTCAGAGCGAGGAACTGTGTCAATCACGGAGATTGACGTGATAATAAGTACAAAAAATGATTAATTATTAATGGCATTTAAACTTGAAGTTGCAATTTATTATTATCACCTTGTTCTAGACGGTTTTTTCAACATCGACATAAAGTAAACTCTTAAAAAAAATAAAATACAATTTTTGTTCAAATTTAGACTAAAGATGTTACATGACTTTAAATTTCTGTTATTTTGCACTGAATTTTATAATTTTCCAACTTAAAATACCTTATACAACTCTCATTCTTAATTCTACAACAAATTCTTAACCAATAAACCTGGCCTCTGTACCCAATGTTAACAAAAACCTTCTAAAACAGCTTCACTTTTGTGTTTAGCTTCAGTTTGAAGTGATAATTATGGATGCTATCCCTTATTCCTGTCATCTTTGTCTTCTGTACACAACTGACAATACGAGTGTCAACAAGGAGACGCAATGCAATATTAAATTACCCAATTTTGCAAAAATATATTATTTATTTGTATCTACTATAATATCCAGAAGTCCTTTGGAGAACATTGTTTATTTTTGAAGTTAGCTTGATCTAAAATGAAAAGATAGGTTTAAATTAAAGATTATAAAATATTTGTTCGTATCCCGTATTTTACATAAACTTCTAGACGTTTTAATATATTTTTAGGTATCAAGCCCGCGTATTGCTCCAATAAATCGCGTTTTCCCAAATTTTTCTAAAATTTTCCGTTTTCAGGTACATGTCACCCGGTTACTGGCCCTAAAATCTGTGATTCTGTTTGCTTTACTTGTATGTACATAAACTGAACTTGTTATGAACATCCGAACAACACCCAGAAGCCATCGATTTCGGATTATATTATCATGAACACGCTACATTTCTACACGAAACGCATTTTCGCGTTGATTTGTTTATTCTTCTTCGGATTCCTAATATTGATCGCGTCCCGAGGGCCCACGGAGTCGTTGGATGCCGAGTTTAGCAGTAAAGGTAGGGTTTTGTTTATTCTGCCAACAGATAAAGCACGCTTTTTACAATAAAACCTAATCACTATAACCCTTTTGACGTATTCATGAAACGATTAAATTACAACATAAATTCCAATTAAAGACCGAATATAGTCTAATATGTTACCTAAAATCTGTTGTTTTTGCCGATTAATATATGGCAGTCTGCGCAAAGCTGGGCGCAAGGCGGAAAATGAAAAATTATTGTTTATGGACAAAATTTTGTTCTGTTTATAAAATTTGACAATAAAAGTTTTAAAATTAGGCTTATTTTTCCAATTTTAGAATGGGTGAATCAAAAGAAGAACCAGAAATACGAAAAACATCCAAAATACATTGGACGGATGGCAAAACGGCCAGGAGAACAACTAGAATTCCAACCACAGCCAGCTCCAGCAGCCGGAATCGGTCTCATTCCTTACAGTGACACAGGTTAGTTTATTTTCTTTCTGATGTTAAAAATTTTGCTTTTTTTAAGTTTTTTAAAACAATTTTTGGGCTGTTGGTCATGAACAAGATAAACCTCGTTATAACCTTCAAATTCTTTAGATGTAGCTAGAAACATAGACGAGGAGATGATACGAAGATTCAACGTTCATCTCGGCGGTATTGACTTGAAGAAGCTGGCAGTAAAAGCTTGTGGAAAGAATATAACACTAGCCAAATATTGGGGTGATACTCAAGGCCGAGAAGTGCCAGAACGGGATAACTGGGAGAAGTTTTATGCTAGCATTGGAACATGTGATCTATATAGGGATGAGGTTCAAGTTCAGGACTTGTTGGACGATTTGAATCGTATGCCTTTGAAACATGTTGCTATAATGGAAGGCGGTACTCAGGTAAGGGTAATATTGGATTCTTGATAAACATTTGGTTTATTTTTGAATTGGTAGAATATTTAAGGTATAGAGAAGCATTTTCTTAACTTTGTCAGTGCTTTAGTTTTAAAAATTTGCAAAATTTGTTTTTTTTGCGAGTGACTCATAATTGTTGAGTAATCTAAAGTAATATAGAGGAAAAGCGAGCAAGTTTGACTGGTTTTGTCAGCATAATGTCATTTTTGATGGTATAATTATGTTTTTGTCTATAATAACATTATATTTTGATAGGATTGCACTTAAAAATCAATTAAACGATAAACTTTCAAAAGCTGAATATAGTTTTGAATAAGAAAACTAATTATAAACGGTTAGAACGTGTAAAATATTTCAAGGTTTTATTTTTAGTTCTTTTGACTTATTATCTTGAACAGTAAACAACGTTTTACTTTCAGACCAAACTCATCTTCACCTTTGAAAACGAGAAACAAGCCGTATTCAAGCCGATGCGTTTTGGTCGAGACTACGAAACCGACCCAAATCACTTTTACTTTGGGGATTTTGAACGACATACTGCCGAGATTGCTACGTTCCATTTGGACAAGATTCTGGGCTTTAGAAGGGCTGTACCTACAGCTGGTCGTGTGGTTAATATGACTAGTGAGTTGTTGGAGAAGGCCGAGAAGAAACTGAAGAAGACGTTCTTTATATCACCGGCCAAGAATCATTGTTTTGTGGGGAAATGTGATTACTATTGTGATACTACGCATGCTGTTTGTGGAGATCCTGACTTGAAGGAGGGGTCGGTTCAAATGTTCTTGCCTGATGATACTAGTGTACCGAGGAAGCACAATAAGTCACCTTATAGGAGGTATGGAGCTAAAATGTTTATTAGAGATGGAACTTTTAAAAACAGCATTTGAAAAACTTAAAAATCTATTTTTTGAAATTTTTGATATTTAAAACAGAATATCTTTAATATGCTATAACAATATAATTCTTAATAATTTTACTATTGCAGGACGTACTCAAAAAAGGCACAGCTAGCTCAATGGCAGACTGATATGAGTTACTGTAACGCGAAAGTGAAGACGAAACCACCGTATGCTCATGGCCGAAGTCTTCTGGATCTTGTGGATCTACATATCTTGGATTATCTAATTGGCAATCAAGATCGTCATCATTATGAGACCTTCAACGTTTTCGATGACATTCCACCTTATGCCATGCATTTGGACAACGGAAGAGCGTGAGTTTAAAATTTTAAATATTGTAATGAATAATATTGCAGTTATTTACAAAGTTATTTTTCGAGGATTTGATTACCGTATATTGTTTGAGTGGGTCAAAATGGCAATTTTGTTACCTAAAGATTTTATTTTCTAGTCTAAATTTACACAAAATGACTATTTTAAGCATCAGAATATGACATTGTAAAGTACTTTATTAAAACTGCAATTATTGCTTTAGATTTGGAAAGACCAAGTTTGATGACGATGACATTCTAATGCCATTACGACAATGTTGCGTGATCAGACCTGGCACGTTGGCTACTTTGCTCAACTTTTACAAAGGACCAAAGTCATTGACCGAGGCTTTCCATGAGTAAGTTCATAATGTTGTCTACCATAATATACTTGGAGAGCTTTACTACAGTGAGATTTGTATTTTATTTTAAAGTTATAGTAGTAATGCTATCTTTAGTTACTTTGATGAAATTGGAGTAGAAAAGTTTGTCTTTGTCAACTCTTTTGTTTAGATCTCTCTCAAAAGACCCAATAGCACCAGTCCTAGCCTACAAACACTACCCAGCGATTGAGAGACGACTTGAAAAGATCTTACAGTACACTTTGACCTGCTTGGATGAACAAAACGCAGAGAATGTTATCATGAACGAGTATCACAATCCGAAAGTATTCGAATTCCCGGTGCCAAAACGAGAAGAAGACGACGATGAGACAGCGCCAGAACAGAATCAGAATCCAGCAGAAGAGCCGGCTGGCTTGGTGATTCCAAAGCCAGTTGAGGGGATTCAGAAGCCGGCTGAAAATGTAAATCAAGCTGCGAATCCGAACGGTCATAGGATGGAGGAATCTGCTTGAGATGCCGTCTTTCCTTCACACTTGGGGTTAATAGTGGAATTCTTAACTCTTTGATTTGAGATTAGGTCAAAAATGGCATAAGGAAAGGTCTAAAAATTGTAGAAATTTCAGCTAAAATGCCTAAGGGTATAACGTTTAATCGCCTTAGGGAATACAGAAATGCCTTAGAAAATGAAAATCTAGCCACAATTTTATATAATTTTTTATTTTGACTTTTTAAATTTAAATTTTTTTAACTTTTCGAATTTTTAGTTTTTTTAAAACCAAAATATTTCATATTTTTTCGAACTTTTACCGGGTGATTTTACAGTGGAAGTAAGTGGATGAAAACTACATTCCTCTACCTCTAACGACGAGATTCTAGAATGAGTACGGTAACAATAGGTAATTAATATAAACTTCTAAGTCTCACGGGTGCTCTTTTGTTGATATTGTTGTGTAATTTTGATATATCATGTTTGATTTATTTTTTGTAGTCTAATATATCTTCGTTTAGTCTAGTAACATATATTGCGTCTTTGGTAGATCTGGCTTTTGGGCAGAACCGATTTGTAGGCTCAAGAGCCACTTCTATTGTACTATAATATAAATAATAGATTGTCGGTGAGTATACTTACACTGTATAGTGTAGGTATATTCAAAAACTATCTTGTTTAGTGATAGAGTGGCTTATAGAGTAAATTATGAAAAACAGTTATGAAAATAGCTAAAAGTTTAATTTAGTAAGTATAAGTCTATCATATGGTATAATATACATATATTTTGTAATTTTTTATAGTATTGATAACAGGTGTGTCCCTCACACACGATATGTCGTTCAGCTTCTCATTCCTATAACTTTTCAGTGCACAAATCGATTGTTTGCCTTATATTTTCTTACTGTAATAATACTATCGTATGCCTTGTTATCACCGGGTCAACATTGCCTAAAACAATAAATGCTAAATATTATCTCTGGATTTTGTAGGTATTGGTTGTGGCTTACATGGGTTTTTTGTGTTATATTAGTATATTTTTTCAATTTAAAAAATTTTCAAAAGGTATTTTATAGTGGGATGAGGTTATCATACTATGCTTTATTTTAGACTCTAGGTTCAATTTTTAAGTTTTAAATCTTATCGGTCAACGTTGCCTGCTGTAATAGTTTTAAAATAATTTATTGCTCGATACTACTTCTCGAATCAATATCTAAAGTTCATCGTGTTCTTCAGAAGATTCAGAAGCCTTTTCCTCTTCTTTGTCTTCAACTTCTTCTTCCTTGACTTCCCCTTCCTTCTTTGGTTCAGGAACTTCGCCATTAGGTTGTTCTCCAGTCTCCTTAACCAAGAAGTCTACAATCTCTTTCAGCTCCAATTCACCGGTAAAGTCAACATTGTCTTTGCCATCCTTTGGGAACAAACTGATGGTTGGCAGAGCTCTGATGGTGATACCTTCAACCTCATTCAACGTAGCGTCCATCTTGGCAATGACAACATTCTCATTGTCCTTGTAGAGCTCTCCCAACTTGTCCCAAGCTGGGATCAGGTTCTGACAGTGGGCACACCATGGAGCGTGGAATTCGACCAGAACGTGCTTCTTTGGATCTCTGGCCACTTCGTCGAAGTTCTTGCCTACGATCACGGTGATCAAGCCTTTGTTCCAGTCTTCTGGGATCTCCTGAGACTTCAAGTAGGTACTGAGCTTATCAGCCTTGAAGTCTTCAGCGAACTTAGCAATGGCAGAGCTGCTCAACTTGTTCTTGGCTGGAGCGAACTTCTTGAGGCCGTCCTTCCGTGACATGGCTCTGATCGTGGGAATGTCTTCTGGGTCGACGCCAAAGAAGTCGCAGATCCTGTCATTGGTCTCTACCATAACGTCAACCTGGACGAACAATATGGTACCCTTGAATTGCTTGGCAGCCTTTCTGAAGTCCTTCTTGATCTGCTCGGTCTCTTCTGATTGTTTGTAGAACAGCACGATGAATTCCTTTTGATCTCCGCCGAAAATGAGGTTGGCTTCGGATTGGCTGAACTCATTTATTAATGGAGTCTTGTTTTTCTCGATCCACACATAGGCATCGGCAAGCTTATCTTCAAACTTTAGGGATTCACCGTCAGAAGCCTTGAACAGAACTACACCGTTCTTCTTCAGCTTCAAGGCCTTCTCAGCGATCTTGGCATCAGAAACTAGACCGACTGGAATGTCTTGGATTGACGTAGCCAATTTACGGAACTGTTCAGTGTCCTTCTCTTCCTTGTAGTATCCAACAATGACAACATTGCTTCGGCTTCTGAATTCTTCGATTTCTTCCACTGATTCCAACGTTCTCAACGTGAGACCGGTCTTCGTCTTCAACCACTCCACGATGCCATTTCTGTCTCTTCTACCGTTGAAATCAGTAGCTTCGCCCTTTTGGAAGAACTTCAGAGTAGGATAGCCTCGGGTGATGAACTTATCGTGAAGAGCCTGGTTTTCTGTAGCATCGACCTTAGCCAATTTGATAGGAGAATCTTCTTTGGCCAACCGTTGAGCTGCTTTGGCGTATTCTGGAGCTAGTTTTTGGCAATGGCCACACCATGGAGCATAGAACTCGACCAAGATGTTGTCGTGTTTCTTGATGGCTTCTTCAAAGTTGGCCTAAAATAATATAGACTTTAGTTTACGTATATAGTTAATGTGACCTTATAGTACCAATAAAGTTACGTTTCTGGTCATACTAAACGTGAAAATTGTAAAAAATGATAAAACTCACATCAGTCAACACCAGAACTCCTTCATCTTCTGTAATGGCTTCTTCGGCCCAACATGAACTTATAACAAGAGAAGATAACAATAAACAAAACAGTTTAGTCATCATAACCCTAAAACAATATAATTTTTAAAAAACTTATAACTTAAGTTTTGACACGTATACACTTATCGTGATATTACAACTTGTAAACGTATGTTTTATCAAAACGGTTATAGTAGACATAGTAGATTACTGTTTTTCAGGTTTCTAAACAAATACCAATTACCACTAATCACTATTTCTGGATTTTAAAAAATAAAGCACCAAAAACATCGTAAAACCCTCCAGCAACAAAAATTCAAATGCAGTTCGAGTTGAAAATCGTCAAAAAAGTCGAAGAAATCCAATTTTTCTTGACGAAAACGCTAAAAAAACTCTTGATGCCGTTGAAGGTCAGCGTCAAGGCTGAATCGTAATAAGTTTTCTTGAAATTTGTAAAAATTACCTTTCCTTGTTATCATGACCTACATTTCCCTAAAGGACCTTACAAAAACAAGCCGAGGATGATTGATAGAAAGCGTAATAGTGTAACCGAAGGAATGGTACTAGGTACGGGGATTTTGGTGACAAAATGATGGTTTGATCAAATTTTATGGTTAATGGGATCAGTTTTTGCGTTTTATTAAAGGATAGGTAACATAAACTTTGGCTTTTGTCTTTTTACCTTAAAACATGATGGTCTTGCCACCTTTATGCCACTTTCCGAATCAATTACAGCTCCTAAGTCCTCTATTCAAATCAAGAACAATAAAAATCACGACAATATCCCATTTTCCTCGTTCTTCTCCCTTTAGTGCCTCCGGAATTGGATGAAACGGTCACTTCTCCAGCTCAAATCACGTAGCAGTTGATGATGAATTACCTATACACGTAAGCAACCGGTACTTTACGCTGACGTTGACTAAAAACCTGATTGTTGGAACGGTTAACGGGAAAAGAGTCGCCGCTGCTGCAGTAATACCTGCCAAAACATAGGTGCAAAACCGTTGCAAATACCAAATTTTATTATAAGTTTGGGTGTGTTTTCAAAATCTTATCATGATTAAGGTCATCTATAGAAAAAATCAAGTTTATGCTCTGATAGTACTGTTCTGTACCATTTGCAAACGAGTAACAGTCAAATATCAGGGAAAAACAGACCATACTACTTCAAAAATATTATTCTGAACCTTCAAAGCTTCTGAGCAATTTTTGGCCAGGCCAGCATTATCTTATAGCCCTGTAAAACCTCCAGTTCATACAAAACAGTATTTGCATTCACAATATCATCCCAACAATTTTTTAATTTTACTTTTATTCAAAAATCCATCTTCATTTTATAAATCAGATATCATTTTAGAAACCCGACAATTCATTTCGCCGAAATGATCTTCAACATTACAATAAAGTAGAAAAAACTGAGGATTTTCATTTTAAGTTTATCGGAGAATCAACAAACAACTTTGGAATTAGAAATTAAAAGAGTACAAGATTAGAAAGTAATAAATAATGATATCTATTAGATGGAGCTTAAAGTTCGGTGTGTCCTTCGTCAGCTTCTTCTTCGGCCTTGTCGGAGTCGGATGGGCCAGCACCGTCTTTGCCGCCGGTCTCGAGGAACTTGCTGAAGCCTTCCAAGGTTCTCTCGCCAGTGTAGTCGACGACCTTGTTGGAGTTGGCTGGGAAGAACTTGATGGTGGGGAAGGATTGGACCTTGACGTCAGCGAGTTCGTTGGCTGTAGAGTCCATCTTGGCGATGACAATGTTCTCGTGGTCCTTGTACTTCTCTCCGAGCTTGTCCCAGGTTGGGGCCAATTGTTTGCAGTGTCCGCACCATGGAGCGTAGAACTCGACCAACACGTTCTTTGACTTGTCACGGGCGACCTCTTCGAAGTTCTTTCCGACCAAAACCTTCACGGGTTGCTTGTCCCAGTCTTCTGGGATGTCTTCGGACATCAAGTGAGGCTTCAGGGATCCATCGAGGTAAGTTTGAGTAAACTTGACGATGTTTTCGGTGGTGATATCAGCAAAGTCTGGCTTGTACTTGGTCATGTCTTCCTCCAAAGAGATCAGACGGATGGCTGGAAGGTCATCTCCCTTCAATCCGAAGAATTCCATGATTCTAGCGTTGTCTTCAATGTCAGTGTTGATGTAGACGAACAGAACCTTGCCCTTGTAGTCCTTGGCGGCATTCTTGAATTCACTCTCAATCTTCTCGAAGTCGGCAGATTCCTTGGAGATGAACAACAAGTTGTGGGACTTGATTTCTCCTCCGAAGATGACTGAAGCGGTTTCTTGAGTGAACTCAGAGACCAATGGAAGTCTGTTAGATTGGATCCAGGACTTGAGGTTGGCACCGCTCTCTTCAACCTTCTCTTCGAAGTCGTTGCGGCCTTCGTCGAACTTCTTGAACAAGATAAGTCCTTCCTTCTTCAATTCCAAACCGTTCTTGGCAACTTCCTCGTCATAAGTAACGGCGAATGGAACATCATCCAAAGAGGCGGCAACATCCAAGAAAGCTTTAGCGGCTTCGGCGTCCTTGTAGTAGGCAACCACGCTGACTTCGGCCTCTTCCTTGAAGGCGTTGAGTTCTTCAACAGACTTGAGTTCCTTGGCTGGTGGTCCAGTCTTCTTCTTCAACCAGTTGACGATTGAGGCTTGGTCACGTCCGCCAGTGTATTCTTGTGGCTTTCCGTTGCGGAACAACTTCAAGGTTGGGTATCCGCGGACTTCGTGAGCAGTGGCCAACTCGTTGTGGACGGTGGCGTCGACTTTTCCTAGCTTGACTTCAGATCCCTCTTCGGCTAATTGAGTGGCAGCCTTGGCGTATTCTGGGGCAAGAGATTTGCAGTGACCGCACCATGGGGCGTAGAACTCTACCAGAATGTTGGCGTGCTTCTCCAAGACCTCTTTGAAGTTGTCCTAAAAGTAAAACAATGAATATCAAAAAATAATAGAATTATTCAAGTATCTTCAGAAAATATACTAAAAACAAAATTCTCTCTTTCAAAAACCAAAATTCTTTTTTTTTAAACTGAAAGACATTATAAACAAAAAATACTTGAATGATTCATCACCGTACTTACCTTAGTCAATACCAAAACGTGCTCCTCTTCTTCGACTTCGGCGGCGTAGACCAACGCACTACATACCAGCGCGAGGCTGATGAACTTGAACATGGTGAAAACCCTAGAACAACAGAATTATTGCCTTTGCTTCGAGTTTTAATCACACTCGCCACGGTTCCGCGACACGCAATGAAATTACGGAGAAGGTGGAGTCAGAAAGCGAAGTCTACGTTGCATTAAACTAAGAAATATGATGGGTCATTGGAACGGCTTGGGAAAGCCACGTTTACAATGTTGAAAGCTAATCAAGAGGAATGAAGGTGCTTTAATGATAAAACGACTAATTTGGTTTTTAGAAAGATATTACGAATAATAACATGTTTTTCATAATATTTAAAAGTTAAATTTAGTAAAAAGCATGTTAATAAGACAATAAGGCCCCAGCGGTTTATATTTTTAAATTATCAATGCTTATCATTAAAAGTAAGACGAATGTTAAATTATAAATAGTTTAACTAAAAACAATGATGACTTTAAATCTAAAGTAGTGATGACAAAAGCCTCACAAAAGAATACAAGTAGTGATTACCAAAAATCACAAGAAGTTATGATAAGCCGAATGAAAGTCACTTAACCAAGCACTATTCTCAATACAGGTATAAATTATCAAAGGTCTTGAGTTCTTCTAAAGCAGCGACCTTTCGCAGCTCGAATAGATTCCAACACCGCAGTGACCACGCAAAAACAGGCGCCGCGAACGACCTTCCCCAACCCTGCCTGTATCTTCTCCGCCCCGCCCGACCTTTCTCCCCTCTCCTCTCACTGTATGCCCAAGATTTCCACGTCCGATATTGCACTGTCTTCCTGACCCCCGTCTTCCGACCGTGCAATCGCGTCTCGAGGTGCATTCTCGATTGCTCGCCTTAAGTTACCTTTCGAATCAACGTTGTATTTTCCGACACATTCGAATCGATTTTGTATTTTCGACTTTTCCAAATTGATTTTCTGTTTTTGACCCATTTAATTACTGTTCATACCACGTATTATAAAAATTTCTTCCTCGTATTTAAAATGAACATTAAATCCTTACCCTGTTTAGAAACATCTTATAAAGCTTTTAGAGTCATTGACACTGCCGAATACATCTCTAAAGTCGAATACATCTCAAACTTAAAAACTGCCCTTTATCTGACTTTAAACTCGTTTTTATAAAATTGCCAAAATAGATTTTGTGTAAAATACATTCTCACACTTTACACATGATCTACTTTACATACTTTATCAAAAAGGTCAAATTATGTTGCGATTCTCTAAGATATTCATTATCTGATATTACACTTGATCAAAGTTATTCTCGGAACAAAAAAATTAAATAGAGACATACTATGCCAAAACTAAACATATTACATAAAATAGTTTACTCTGACTCTCTTTTACATCCGCCTTCCAGAATTCTATATGAATTTCCCTCTACAATCGTCTGACCAAACATTATGCTATCCATAAACTTTAAAGTTGACCTATTCCCTAAATTCGTCCAGATTCGCAAAAAAATTAATCTCACTCAGCGTTGCAAAAAGTCTCTGCCCCTGGACTAGGCAAAAATTCGTGCCAAAATCGTCTAACCATCTCTCGCCATCTCCAACAGCTCCCTCGAACTGGCATCTCTGAGGTTCCGAACAGTCGCGACGTCTGTTCCGCTGACACACGATCGAGTCGCCGCACTCTTGCCCTGAATAAATAATCCCCGCAGTTCTCTGTTCTCTGGCTCAATCTCCGCCCCAAACAGACAAAAAAGCGGTGTTCAACCTTGACCTGTCCGCGGTGTGCGCTTTCCACGGATTTACCGGTCGAACAATAAAGAAATACGCACGTGGCCCCCGGGGGAGATCGAACCTGATATTTCACACTATGAGGGAATAAAATTGAGAGTAAGACCCTCTAAAACCTATAGTAAAAAGAGCAGGAAGCCAAAAAAATGAGCAAAAAAGAAATTGAAATCCCAAACAATGTTGTGATAAACCAAAAATTAAAGGAGAATATACCTAAACCAATGTCAAACTGCAAACTCATACAAAGAAAGCTAAAGCTGAAACAGTCAAGAATACCCCAAAATTATAGACAAAAACCCAAAACTCAACAATTATAAACAAAAAAAGTAGGGGAAGAACGTGCCGGGCGCACAAAAGTTGTCAGAAGCAGAAAAGGAGAGAACAAAAAGTTCGCGGCCAAGAAATTTCCCTCCGTCCAAAAAATATGTCATCAAAACAGAAAAAACGTCATAGTGACACGCTTTCACATAAAAAATTAGATAAAAAATATAATGTAAATAGTGTTTAAAATTAGTAAAATACCACTAAAAAAAGACATTTTTATAAAATATTACTTTACAACAATGTTACGGGCATTACAGATGACATATTTTTCATAAATCCGAAAAATTCTCGAAGGCGTTCGAAGGAAAAATTCGAAGAGAAATAACAAAACATGGTTTCGTAAAAGTTTCGTTTTTCAGCAAAAAAGGGCATCTAGGTAAGCATGAAATAATTTTACCCTTTTAAAACTGCAGAATTTGTGAACATTGACATGAATTATTTAACAAAAACATAAAAAAACTAATTTGAACTGGAAAACGAGCAAACACTATATAATTTAAATTTAGATTTAAATTCGTAATTTTGCACTTAAAAAGCTCTAAAACACAATTTTTTAACGTTTCAGGAAGTTTAACCTAATTTATGTCATTATATCAAACTAAATTTTATGTAAACAATAACAACATGAAAAAAAAGCAAAATAAATTAAATATAATAGATCGAGGTTTACAATTCAGTGTGTCCTTCTTCGTCTGAAGCATCCTTTTTGTCACGGTTTTCAAGGAAGTTGGTAAATCCTTCAAGAGTTCTATCACTCTTATAGTCAATGATTTCGTCGGATCCGGCTGGGAAGAACTTGATCGTTGGGAAAGACTTGATGTCGACATCAGCTACCTCGTTGGCTGTAGCGTCCATCTTGGCAATGACGATGTTTTCGTGATCCTTGTATTTTTCTCCGAGCTCATTCCAGATTGGGACCAACGACTTGCAATGGCCACACCATGGAGCGTAGAACTCGACCAACACGTTCTTTGACTTGTCGCGAGCAACTTGTTCAAAGTTTTTGCCGACTAATACCTTTACTGGTTCCTTGTCCCAATCTTCTGGAATGTCTTCAGTCATACGGCTTGGTTCCAACTTTCCGTCCAAGTAGTCTTGGGTGAACTTAACAAGGTTTTCGCTGGTAATTTCTGTGAATTCAGGTTTGTATTTGTCCATGTTGCTTTCCAATGAGATGATACGCACGGTAGGAATGTCACTATCCTTCAATCCAAAGAACTCCAAAATCTTCTTGTTGTCAGCAACATCGGTGTTAATATAGACAAACAAAAGTGTACCTTTGTATTGCTTGGCAGCTTTACCAAACTCTTCCTTTGTCTTTTCGAAAGCGTCTGATTCTTTGGAGATGAACAGCAAGTTATGCTTCTTAATTTCTCCTCCGAAGATGGTTGGGGCAGTTTCTTGGCTGAATTCAGAAACCAATGGAAGTTTGTTTCCAGCAATCCAGCTCTTTACAGCATTTACTTCAACTTTGCCGTCGAAGACTTCACGACCTTCATCAAACTTTTTGAATAGAACGATGCCTCCAGCACTGACTTCCAAAGCCTTAGCGACATCACTGTCATGTGTAATGGCAAAAGGAACATCGTCGGAGCCTGCAGCAACTTCCAAATATGTTTTAGCATCATCAGCGGACTTGTAGTAAGCAACAACGTTAACTTTGGACTCTTCTTTGAAGGAGTTAAGTTCGTCAACTGTCTTCAATTCTTTAGCTGGTGGTCCGGTCTTCTTCTTGAGCCAAGCTACAATACCTTCTTGATTACGGCCTCCTCCGTACTCAAGGGGTTTTCCATTTCTGAAGAACTTAAGGGTTGGGTAACCACGCACTGAATGCTCTGTAGCAAGCTCTTTGTGTACAGTAGCGTCAACCTTGCCAAGTTTGATTTCAGAACCTTCTTCTAATAATTGACCAGCAGCTTTAGCGTATTCTGGAGCCAATGCTTTGCAGTGGCCGCACCAAGGAGCGTAGAACTCGACCAAAATATCCTTATGTTTTTCAAGTGCTTCTTCAAAGTTATCCTAAATTTTTGAGTTATTTTTTGATTAAAATTTAATTTTTTACCTTTGTTAATATTAGTACATTTTCCTCTTCTTCGATTTCTGCGACAGCTAGTGTGCATAATATCACCAAACTGAACAACTTTAACATGGTACCCTGCAAGCAATTTTATACGGAATTTATGTAATTATTGTTTAGCAATACCGCGCTTAATAAAGTTATAAAACATTTAATATAGTAAAGCTATTTTGAATTATTTTACAGGATAATTTGTACTTTTTTCGTTGGAGAAAACATGTAAAATGTAAAAAATTAAAGTTGAAACAAGGTCGAGGTCAGTTTTGATTAATTATTTTAATCAAAGACAACAGAATACACGTAATTTGCTACCTATGAAATACTGACCTAAAAGATATCTCTACAACTGCTTATAAAGCAAACTATAATTCTAACTGAACTTTTTATAGAGTTTTGTACAAAATTGAAAAAAGTATTAAAGGATTTAAATTTTATTTATACAAAAAATAAACAATACGCGAGTTGAGCGTAGTTTCGACATTTGGTATAAATTTTGGTTTCCTTTTTTTGTATTCTATAAAATCATTAAAAGAAGAGAAAAAAGCTGCCCAATATTTGGAAGCTAATGTAAAAATGAGGTCGTAAATATTAAAAATTCGGTTTCAGGACTGAAATAGAAGCATTTTAACTGGGCCTGATTAAATAGCACCCTCCAAAACCAAATGGGATGTGCCCTGATAACGTTTGTACAAACAATAGGCTTCGATGCCCTGTAACGCTGACGTGTCGTAGTTAAACGCAGTCAAGCTGCGAGCACAGGGACTAGGACGAAATGGGAAGCGTCAGAGGCCCGAGAACGCGACCCTTTTCCACGACAATCTTGTCATCCTGAACTAACCTAGAAAAGGGTTAGTCATGTGCATTTTGATAAGGTAAAAACAAAAGCCAAACAAACAATAATAGAAATTCAATAGATGAAATACTTTTTTGAAATACTACATATTACTAAAATATTGTCTCTTGTATGTTTATATTCGGACAAAATTACGCAGTTACTTTAAATTAAATTTATTTTTACAATTTTTAATTTTAAAAACATTAATATTACAAATACACAGAATGTTACAAATTGTAGGTAGAGTTTATAACTATGATGATATATAATAAGTCAGTTCTTCCCGTTGATAAATTTTTTTGTAAACACGGATGTTAAACCCAAGTAACAAATAACACGCTAACAATTGAGGTAGACGTTGAGTCTAAAATTACATAGATTTGCTGCTGATACAACAAGTTAGCTATTGGAATCAAAACTTGAACTGGTGGTCAGATGGTGAGCATTTCTTAGAGCATGAAGAAGATGTGGTTTTGTCGGTGGTATTCCAGCTGACATAGAACGTACCATCGATGGTACTGGCTTTTCGATGCTGTTATAGTTGTCAGTTCGCCGAGGGCTAAAAATTGTTGTTTGTGAATTTTAATTAATGCATTTTGTTTTTATTATAAATTATCCTTGATTAAGCGTTTTATTAATTATACTGTTTGTTTTGTAAAGGTTTTTGTTAAAATAGAAAATTAAAATTTACAGTGTTCTTTAACACTCAATTACAATATAAGAGGTCCGAAGACCTCAAACGCAAAAATTTAGCTGTTGGCCAACCCCAACTCGGAGCTGCCACACAGGTCAACCCGTCCCTAAAGTGCAATGGGAGGGCCTCACCATGGAGGCGACACCTTCTTGATCGTGCCGCTCTCCCAGCCAGGTAAGTTTATGAGCCGGTGGCTCGTTGAAAGGGATAAAATCGTCATTGGCTTTTGGACTGGGATGCGCCTTATGCGAAAGAGAAGAGAGCGCGAAACAGTGGAAGAGAAGCAGAGAAAAGCTCTTTTCGGCTTTTCGGGGGATTTTTAAGAAAATTTGGCCCAAAAAGAAGTTTTTAAAATGCTATTAGCACATTGCTATGCTAATAAAAATTTTAAGTCATCATGCTCTTTTCTTACTTTACTACAAACGTTTAACAGTATATTTCAGTCTAGTATCAAAGAAAACATCATTACCTTCCAATGTAAGGCAGTTTCTGCACGCTGGATACAGTTGGTGCTTTTAACCCGCGTTCTTCTGACGCTTTGTTTCTACTGTTGTCTAGAGATTGGGCAGCTCCAAATAGTCTGAAAGCTTTAGGTTTGACAGGTGAAGGTAGAGTGACCGATGTTGTTGTACTTGGTGGATCTATACAGGAAGCGCGACGTCTTTGTTGGGCTTGGGCCATCGCTTCACGGAGTTTGTAGTTTCGGATCTGAATTCGAGATTATATTTGAATGGTGTTTAATTTTAGATATTGAGATTGACAAAGGTTTTTTTTGAGACACCATCAAAATGTTGTAAAAAAGGAAAGGTTATTGTAGGCACTTTACAGGTTTATATACGTATAACTTACTTGAGTCGACAGCTGTGTCATACTTAAGGTTCGTTGGTCAAGCTCATGAGTTAATTGTCTAATTTTGTTCTCCTGTAAACGTGATTATAACTAATTATAGATTTGTTGTGGTTTATAATCCTGATAAGCTATATTACCCTATAAAATGTAAACCAAGCAACTGACTTATGATAAAAAGTATATATTTATACTATTTATTCATTAACTAACTTACATGTTCAAAAACCTGGTCTTTGTACACACGTGCTGTTTCTTCCAATGTTTTAGCCAAAGCTTTGTTTCTGTCTTCAGAAGCACTCAAGTCTTTCTTCATAGTTTTGTTTTGTTTCTGGAGGGTTTCGACTTTGGATTCAAGTTCTTCGATTTCTTCTGGATCAGCGATATTGCCTATGTGAAGACATCTTTCCAAATCTGAAATTATTTTTATTGTCTTAAATTTTTGAAAACAGTTTTTTAGCCTTAAATTCTTAAAAACTTGTGTTACTTTGGCAGTTTTTTTTTCATTTTTCATTTTTTGTATTTTTATTTTACGAAATTTTTTTTGCTACAACTTTGTAAAAAGTATAGTTATTATAATACCTCTGTTTTTGTTGACTAATCGCTCAATTTCGTTATGCAACCTCGCCAACATTTGACTTGTTTGTTGTTGAACATAAGCGATCTGTTCCTTTTCGTGTTTTCTCCACATTTCGTCACGTTCGTTCAAAGCTTCGTTCAGTTTCTCTTTAAATTTGTCATTCAAATCTTCGAAGCGATGAATTGACAATGGTGTGCAATTAGCCTAAACAGAATTTACAATTAAAGTTTTGAGGTATGAACGTACTTCTGACGACATGGTTGGACTGTTCTCCGTGCTCGTTTGTACCTCCACCGACATTGTTGTTCTCACCCTGAAAATGAGGGTTAATTGGAGGTATATATTATTGTGTTAAAGAGTAATATGCCATGTACAGTAATATTACAGTACATCGTATATATTCACGTAATACTCTATGTAATGGTGCTCTTTTTATATACCATAATAGAAAAGATACAAAAGTGCAAAATAAATCGGCTTCATAAACATGTATTCTTTCTCAGTGCATGAGTAATTAGCTGAACAAAAAACTACTGCCTCAAGTGCACAAAACAGTACTTATATATATACATTCAAAACCTATTTATACATTCAACGTATACATTGCCTTCAAAAGCCAATTCCAAAACAAAAACGAGCAATTCCACCTGCCTCAGACCCTATAATTTTGACATAAACCTAACCTAATACGGCGCTACACAATGTAAAAAGACTAATGTTCAATAAGTTGTGTAAAGGCAGCGAATAACAAACCCCCAATAAGTTTTGTCAAAACAGCCAATTAGCACGAGAATTTGTCAATGAAAGTTATATTCCCAATCGATTACAATCAACCCAAACTGGTGGTTTTGTAAAACATTGCGCGCTCTTTCCGAAGCTACAAAACCCAACGTAATTTTACCACGGTAAAATGGGGGAATTTGACTCGGAATTGCAAGTAAAAAAGTAACCCGGACACACATTCGCAGCGGATTATCTTAGTGTTAAAACTCGAGGAAAACATATCTGCTGGTGCCATATATAAACACCACACTGTTGTCATAATAAATTATGTCAAAGTAAATTAAAGGTGATTAGTGTTTTAACATCATGTGAGAAACAGTTATTAGGGCTGAAGTACAGGGTCTGTAACTTTAATACCTTGTTGAAATACGGAGTTTGAGAGTTATATTTTTAAGCTTTTTTTTGATAATACCTTACTATTTTGTGAAGCCATGAGTATACTTAAGGCTCTCCTACTTTAAGTATAGTTTTGAATTTATAAAATACAGATCTTTCTTTGTAAAATCGAATGAAGGGAGCAGATTTACTAAAGCATGGGGTAGATCTTCTAAATAAAGAGGTACAAAAAATTTTATTAAGAGATTCTGGTGTAAACAAAAAACGTATAAGTGGTTAACTCATATATTCTCCTCTACGTATGACAAGAATAATTTATAAGAGTTGTGTTCAAAACAAGGTTGTCTTAGCCGATTAGTGCACGCTAAAGTACAAAAGTAGAAATTAGCCGCTTTATTTTTAAATACAGTTTTTATATGTCATCAAATCTAAGAAGGGGTGATAAACGGACCATTCCCAGTTTGGAGGTCTAGCCCGTTTTTATTTTTTCTCAATCCGGTCCGTTTTTAAAAAATTTTTAAATAAAAAAAAAACGGCTCGCCAGGGCCGGGCGCGAAGGGAGAGGACAGGGGGGGTAACCCCCTTTTCCCCTCCCACTATCTTATCCTAGCTCCAAATACTCCTTTTAAGCCAAGCCACAACTTTCACACTAACCTAAAAAAACATGTTTAAAAAAACACTTTATGAGTGAATTTTGAACTCGATTCAAGTCGCTAAAACAACACAGCGCTTCAGAGTACAATGGATTAATCGCCTCCAAATCTAATCTCAGCAAGAAATCCCATTTCCATATTTTTTCAAAACGCGAACGCCTTTCCAGTTTTTGCTGCCATAAGCGGAAATATTATTTAGAAGTCACAATGCAAGGTTTTTTACTTTTTCAGTCAAAACATACACTTGAGAAACTATTACTTTTACGATAAAAAAGTTACTTTTAGATGAGAAAAGCGTTTTTAAATGAAAAAGTACTTAAAAATGATATTTTTAAAAAGAAAATTTCTTTTTTAAAGTGTAAAGTTAAAAGTAGATGGGAAGATTTTAAAATGATACTATGTGAAGTTTTCAAAATGATACTAATAAGCTCAAAAGTTCAAGTCAAAAGTAGTCAAGCTCGCTCAAAATAGTTAAGCTTGCTTAAAACTCATTTTTACCAATCTAAACCCCTATAATGTTATTTGATAAACTGCTTTACTAACAAATGGTTTAAAAGTATTTAAAAGCAGAAATTGATCCTTCTCTTACTTTTACGTTCTATAAAAAAACCTCGGCTTACAGGAAGGGGAAACACATAAGCTTAAGAATGACATGACGTCAACTGTTATTGGAACGTAATAAAATGCGATATAAAATATTGGAACAAATATAACATGAATCAAATAGCTGAACGTTGAAGTATCTTTATTACTCTATTTTTTAAAACAGTTTCAAGAAGTCATATCAACGTTGTTATTGTGTTTAAAAATTTTTGTCGTTTTTGACAAAGCAAATCAATGTATATTGACGCCAAGACTTTTTAAAACCTTTAAAAATTTTTCAAACTTAAAAGCAGGTCTTAATAATAATTTACAGCCTTAATGAGCTGTTTAAAATTCAAAAATACCCTTTATATTGCAGATGAAAGCACCATCCTTCATCTTTAATATTTGAAATTGCCAAAAGCAAAAACACTTGTGGCTGTGTATAAGGAAAGAGGAAAGAAGGAGCACATATTATTCCCCGTATTTCCAATGTGGCTAATTGCATAAAAAGTAGCTGTGAGAATTCAAGTAATAATGCTATATTATACTCATTACTATTACTATATATGTAAACATAAAGTAGCTTTTAATGTTCTAAATATTACTATTACTCAGTACAAATAATCCTATGCCTACCTTCAAAGCAAACTTTCGGGTTTGGAGCACAGAATTATTTTAACAATTTAATATTTTGGCAACATAAGTAAGGCAACGAGGTAGGGAAATGACATTAGGTCGTTCAAATATTTCTGTGCCTTCTCTTACGGCAAATTTTTGGGATTAAGGAGCACAGAATTACTTGAACAACATAACAGAAGAAAAAATACTTATAAAAGTTTGTGAATTGCCATATTCTCCTATTATATATATAACCTAAGGCTTTATAAATTTTTAAAAAAATTAAAATTAAAAGCAAATTTGTTAAAAAGAAAAGTTTAATGTTATTTAATATTAGACTAACCAGCAGATACTATTAGAAACATCAGACCAACCAATATATACGAGAAACCCTCTGGCTAATCGAAAGGCAAGTTTCGAATAAATAATGAAACTTATAAAGAGCCGCGCAAAGCCCTTGAAATTTGAGCCTGTGGTCAAATAAAAAACATACGAATAAGTAGCGTGACAGTTGTACAGATTTTGTTTATATGGGCGTAAAATTGGGCAAACGGTGCTACAAAGTACAAAATTTAAAAATTAAATTAAAAAATTTTATTCCTTTAAAAAATGAACAAACATAATTTTAAAGTAGCCTAACTTTGAAATTTGTAAGTATTTGAGGTTTTGACCACAAATAAAATTTAAAACAATAAAATGCAGGCACAATAATGTATGTTCCTTGTAAGCAGACTATTATTTTAGACCTAATACTCTATCCATAAAACCGTAGGAACATTTACAGTTCGAATAAAAATGTCACGCATGGCTTCTGGACGTCGGAAAGCCTGAGAACGTTTGTGTTTAAGCATTTTTTAGTTTCTTTTAAAAGCCGGTGAAGCCCCTGAACTTCTGATGCCTCTGTTCATACTACAAGAAACACAAAGTGCATTATAAATATTTAACATGGTGTTCGAAATAACTGTAAAAATTATTCTTACAAGACATATTACTGCGTTATATTCTTCTTACATGAAAAGTTACTGTTAAATTTTTTCTCACATGTGGGGTTACAGTGCTATAAGATAAAAATCTCATATTACTGTATACTAAAGTGTTTCTATCATCTTCTACGGAAATTGATGTAATTGGAACTTTTCCTTGTGTTATTATAAGTATGACCCATAGTGCTGTATAATATTAAATTACCTTTTTTTAAATTTTTAACTCAAATTAAAATTTTCTCGTGATTTGTGTTTTAAACTTCAAATTGTGCTCAAACCTCGAAATTTGCTTTGAAATGTGGAATTGTGTTCGAAGCCCTTTGCGAAGCCGAAAGTATTTAGAACGGTCACAAATAATGGTCGTGTGTGCAAGCCAGTGCCGGTCGAGAGTGCAATGCAAGTACTACGTAAAAGGAAGAGATGGATTTGCTCGTTTCTTCCAAATCTATCAATTATGCGCTCTTTTCTCCATTTGAAAGTGCGCGCCTCCTGGTGGTGGGTGATGGTCGGGAGGGACGCACCCCACTTACACACCCGACTAACGCACTTTTCAAGACATAGAGCGGTCCGTGAATACGATTCGTTCCATAAACAAATATGCTTTTTGGCTCTTTTCAGGTTTTAACTTTGATTTTGGGTAATTTTTGGTTATTGTCGTAGCTGTTCTTGTCCATAATTTCAAAAACTTACTTTATATAACACATGTTGCCAAAATTTTCAATTTCAAAGCATTTTAAAGCCCTTTTGGCCCTAGAAACTGCTTTCACAACCTTTTTTGCAATAATCTGGAAAGTGCAAACAACTACTGGCCAATAAGTTAAGTTGCAGCGAATGCTAAGCTGTTGTAAGTAATCCGGTCGTTAGTGACCCCACCGAAATGGCATACAATTAAAGAGCGAAGAAACGTGGAGAAAGAGGTCGTAGAGAACATGTGGACGCACCATGTTCTAACGTCTGTTTCCTTTTCCCACAAAAACTGTCGACTTTCCATTGTAGAGAGATCCGCGAGTGATTCCATCATTACACTTATTTTGACACGGATTTTAATTAGTTTTGCGTATTTTAAATTTTGCATGTTAAAAGTTAAGGTTAAAGTCCATTTTTTTGCCCGTTTCATAGCCTTCAGAAGAGTTAAAGCTCATTTTGATTCTAAATTTTACATTAAAATTACTGTTTCAAAGCCCTAGTATACTAGCTAGTAGAAATAAAACTATGTTTTTTAATATATCGTAGATACACAAGCATAAGAAGCATATTGAAGTTTCTTGTAAGTATGTGCAACTTATATTTGACTATAATTTAGAGATACTGTTTCTTAGCAACTGCTGGCATTTTAAAACCTATTATTTGGTTTAATTTTTAAAGCTGTTGCACTTTGTAGCCTATAATTTGTTTTACAATTACTAGGTCAAAAAGTTCGTAGAATATCTTTCTTTTATATTTAAGTTGGTCGATTTCCTCTTTGTTGATTTTATAGATAAAATAGTAGAATAGTCTACTATAACTCTATATGTAATACCTATAATGCTTCTTATACTATCTACATTATCTTATTTTAAAAATCTTAACATTTACAGCTTACTTTTTTTTAGCGGCTGTTACGCTCAATATATAATAAATTGATATAAACGCATATAAACGAAATTTTTTTAGCGTTGCAGCAACCCCACCTGCAACCTTCAACTTCACCAACAACCAACAAGTGTACGATTACACTTTGACATTTGGTTGTCTTAACTATGACTGAAGTCACTCAGAACTTGGAAGAGTTTAACAACCTCAAGAATGGAGTGGAACTTCAGAAGGCGCAGCACATTAATGCCGAGGCCACCGCCGATCTGCGCCGACAATTGAATCGGAGTGAAAGTGCCTCGAGCAAAGAAGGAAGTACTAAAGGAGAATACACAGATCTGTATCCTCATACTTTAGATGCTACTGTAAGTAATTATAATTAGAATTTTAACTTCTGAGTTTAGGGAAGAGACGCCAAGATCTACATACACGAAGGCGAAGTCTACGATGGAATCGTGGAAAATATTTCTCCATCTGTAAGGAATTAAATTTATAAATTTTTAAGTAATTTTGCAAACTTCAATTAAAATTTTAAATTTTAAAAAACACATTTTTAATATATCATATTATAGATGGCAGTCAAAATAGCCTACGCGACAAAAGACAACGGAGACACAACTCAACTAGCCAAAGGACAGAACTTATCATTGGCTAATGGAATATCAGTAATCAAGTACAAAGTAGAGAAGCCAAAAAGCTTTCGAACTGACTTGGATTACAATAAAGATGGCAAAATCAATGAAACAGAAGAACTCGTGGAATGGCAGCCTGATGCTGACATCGAGGCTTCTGAAGATGCTGAACATAACAGTCGAGGCTGGTCGGTCGATGAAATGTTCAGGGCTAATGTTCGTCTTGGAGTAAAGTCTACGTTCGAAGGTGTTAATGAAAAGTACTGTACAGCTGTGCCAGAAGGCGATGAAGAAGCGAGAAGAAAGGCAGAAGCTATCGCTAGAGAAATTGAGGCTAGTTCTGATACACAACGCCATTATATGCTAGAGAACGATGACGAAGAGAGAGATTTGGACAAGGAAACACAATTCAGAAACAAAAAGAATCCTGCTAATGGCTACAACTCTAGTCGTCAGCAGAGAAATCAAGGCTACGATAACAACACGAACAAAGGCAGCAATTATTCCCAAAGACAAGGACAAAGCTATGCGAGTGGGCAAAAGTACAGTGCCCCAGGCAGTCGACAGTTCAGCGGCCGAAACACTGGTCGACCGGTCGTAGCTGGTAGTTGGAGACAAGATCCACCAGCCAATAATGAAGAATATGCTAATGTTTCGTCGAACGGCCCACGAGATATTTATGCTAAACCGTTCGTACCACGAGGTGAAATAGTAAGTACCTCAGAACAACATCCTACTGTAGAAGTGCAGCCAATTCCAAAATCGCCTGTTCAAGTAAAACCTGAGTCGATATCATCAAGTACTGCTCCATCCCCAGCTGTTTCTACTGCTGATCAAGAAGAAAAGTAGGTTATAGTGGTATTAACAGCAACTTTTTACAAAAAACCAATAAAGCTAAAGCTTTATGTTGTTATGACAAGACTTTTATAATCAAAGTTTAAATTTAAAGATTCTTGTATAACATAATATTACCATGTTTCAGAAAAGAAAAGAAGAAATTCTCGTTCAATCCGAACGCAAAAGAGTTTGTTCCCCAATTAAAACCTCCAGCAGTTACAACGCCTGTTGGATACGTACAACCAATGCAGCAGATTCCTCGACAACCTCTAATCGGAACATCTGTACAACAGTCACAATATCAACAGATAAACCCGAATCACTACGTCAATGTCCAACCGACGGTCATTCCGATGCAGCAACAAGTGATTCCACTACAACAATCTCAATTGATGATGCAGCATCAAGGACAGTACATCCCACATCAACCCCCTCCCCAGCCACAACTCATACAAACCTCCCTTATACAACAACATCCACAACAACAGCAATTCCAGCTGCAGCAGCAACAAATCCCACTAATGCATCATCAGCAAGGGAGGATTCAGGTGGCTCACAGTGTAGCACCGGGTATTGATCTGCAGCAGAACGCGCATTTACAGTCCCAGCTTGGTGGACAACAAATGTACATTTCACAGCCACAACTCGTGCCTGGAGTTCAACCTTATCAACCGGTAAGAAAATTATATATTTAAGAAACATTAGATAGTACTGTAAAGTATAACATAACGAACATTTTTATATAAAAATTTATATATGACTACCCGTATATGTACGTCAAGTAACATAATAAAGTTTCAGTCTCTGAAACTTGCAAATATTGTATGCCTACCTTAGCATAGCTATCTTAAAACTTAATATATTATACATATTAGCTAATAACCCATTCTTCAGGCAATTCCACCACCAGCAGTGCCGCAGTCAATGTACAATCCCAATGGCATGGTATACACATATACACCTGGCACCAACTAAATTATGGTACGGAATAACATTACGGGTTGTAATTAGGTTAATTTATTGGGCTGTGATTCTGCTTGATCGAATTTGGGTTACATGTGAGAAATTTGCTCTTATCTTGTATTCTTGTGATCCTCAAGGTTTAACGTGGGACATGGCTTGAATTATGAATAAATGTATACAGATTCAGTAGTTGGGATCTATGTTATTATTTCTTTTTGTTAAATTACAGATTTATTTATCTTATTATAGGTTATATTGTTAGTAATCAAAAGTTAAGGTAGCTTCTTCCCTTTTTATTGTAAAATTTAGGTTAGTAGACTTATTCTAAGTTATAAATTGGAATTTTTCGTATTTTATAAACTTCATGTTACATATATTTATGGCAGTTATATGTTAGATTCTTTTAAAACGAACGGCGCTACTAAACTGATAGTGGAATCATTTTTCTGTAGTGAGTTTCGTGGCACAACTTCACGTCGAATGCGATTTGGAGACTTTTCGACGTGCGAAAAGAAAGATTTCATATAATTTTTTTCATAATCTGGATTGAATAATCCACCTCGACATTCACTTTCAGATATGTCATCTGGTAAAACCTAGAAAATTTAAATTTTGAAAAAGTTGACTACCAAGTAACTTTTATACGCTACTGTTACTATGATCTAATACTACATATATGTGTACACATAAAACATGTTTGGCAACGTTAAGAACATTTAAACCTGAAAAATTTTTAAAAAACCACCAAAACTTACATTAATTTTCTTATCCTTGACTAGTTTTATGACCTGAGGTGACAACGGTTCGTAGATAATATTCTTCTGTTGATATTGTGAACTCTTCAGCAAGTAATCGAGTTGTTCCTTCGACAACAACCTTGATCTAACCCTGTAGATCTTCCCTCCAGCCGTTTTTATGATATTAATACCCTTGTGCTTGAGTAGATGTTCACTATGATGTATACCCGTCATTACCACTCCTTTGGCATCTTCCATTTTAGTACCAACATAGTGGATCTTTCTAATGTAGTGCGTGCCGGCTGTGTCTATGCACATGGTGGCTCTAGAAAATAGTTTGGTAGAAAAAAAGGTATAATGGCCAACTTAATATACAAAAATAGTATCAAAAAACGAAAATAAACCTATAGCTAGCGATATAATCCAGAACTATTATACTGTAAAGAAATTTTACTACGAAAAAACTCACAATGCCAATCCAAAGATGATGTAAATCAGCGTGATGAACGTATACATCTGCTTTGTGGGCACATAATCACCAAATCCAATTGTAGCCATAGTGATAAAGCAAAAGTAAAACGCTTCCATATAAGGCCATTCCTCAAACTTTTGAAACAGAAGACCTCCCAAAGCAGTATACGATAAAATGACACAAAGCACCATCAGAATCGGTATCCTTAACGGTTCCTTCGGTTCTTCATTATACTCCTCATCTTCTTCGTCCAAACTCGTTGGATCTCTTAAGTCATTCAGGTTCATACTACCTGCATTCACTGTGGTACCCGTAGCTGTGGATTGACCAGAAATTGAATTCGGCCGTTTCCTGCGAAAATGTGAAAGACGACGAGATTGGCGGCGGACCTAAATTTAAAAAAAAGTAATTGAAGAAATGGTACCAAAATAAACGTGATTTAGCATCAGCTAGTTAATATGTTTGAGTAGCACAAGTAATAATACTATAATTCGCATTAATTTTTAAGGTTGGAATATAAGTTTAATGCCACGTTAGTAAGCAGACGGTAAACCACTTACGTTTTTAATAAAAGCCCGGATAGATAAGTGAGCATAGTTCAAGAATTCACTTAAAAATCGACCAATGTCGGCAATTGTGACCAACAACAAAGGAATGCCAATAAGAGCAAATAATATGCACACCATACGCCCAACATGCGTGGTTGGTACAAGATGACCATAACCTTAAAGTCACCATTATATTGTTTTTTTTATTTCAATTTTAAGAGTAGAAGAAAAAAATACAGCCTAGTAAAACCACCTTCCTTCAACTCTTTCCTATCCCCAAGCCACCTCCTTGGTTTCACAGTATGGTAAGGTCCACAAGACCCTCAGTAATTGTTAAGAAAATAAAATAATAAGGTGATTTTTAAAGCTTAAGACCCTTATAATCATATTAATATAACTCACCAATAGTCGTAATAACCGTAGTGGCAAAAAACACACTGTTCGGATATGTCCATAGATTGTCTAGTTGATCAGTTTCGTTCAGTAGATGTTTTTCTGTTATGAATTGATTCCGATACGCCGAGAAGATTTCAACAACCAGTCGTTCAAAATATTCTTGATTTAAGCCATCGAAAGTGTCCCGAGTGATAAAAGTATCTGGATTGTGAGTCAAGTTCCACACGGATTCTTTAAATTGATCACGAAGGCCCAAAATCGTTCGTAACTCTCTGTTTTTGGTCTAAAATAAAGGGTGAAAGGCTAAAAAAGATGTAATATATAACTTACGTCTTTATAAAAAATGACATTAAAACTTACTATGATCTCATTCGGACCTTCTATGCGTTGAAAGACAGCAGCGCCAACAAATAAGTAAACCAACAACAATATAACTAATCCAACATGAGGTAATATTCTTGTAGCTTTCTAAAAACTTATTCAAATTTATTCATATATCGCTGAAAGTAAGGTGAACACGGTCAGAAGATTTAAAATTTATATTTTCAAATAAAATATATTTCTATAATATCTAACTGAAAGTTCAAAGATAACCTACAATCTTGACCTTCTCCCACGTAGTAAGAGGCATTTCGTAAGCGTAGTCATCGTCCACATCAGATGGAAGTCTAGCATTTTCTAGCTCATCGTTCATCTCATCCGAAAACGAGTCGCTTTCGTCAGAACTCGCCTAAACAACAACAAAATGTTACAAACAATACTCAAAGTGCAAAAAATACTCAAAGCTCAAACCCAATCAACTCGATTGTCATAACCTTTGAGTAATGAACGATTTATGATTGTCAGATATGTCTAACAGTTTTTTGTTTAAAAATTCAAAATTCGAAAAAATTAAAAATAGCGAAACATGATAAAAAATTAAAATTGCACAGTGCAAAATTTTAAAGATTAAAAAAAAATTGAAGCTATAACTTACCAAACGAAATTCTGGGATATCATCGTTAGTTGCTGGATGGTAAACTGTATCTCGTCTCATCTTTCGAGGCTCTGGTAATGATACCATAACCTTGTGGTGAACCCTTGCCTATAACAATATCGTCAAAATAAACGTTATTGTTTGCGAGATTTGCAATATTCAAAACATTCAATATTAAACTCATTAGAAAGTAAAAACTTTAAATTTTTATCTAAAAACTACACTAATAGCTCAAACTTCATCAACATCCATCTACTTTTTAACCTATCATAATATACTCAAAAGTTAAAAACCTTATTACTAATTAAAGATGTCCAAATAGACGTCTTTGAGCTCAATATAAACTTTAAGACCTGTCTCATATCGCTTTTTCTAACAACTTAATGGCCGCTTTAAACAAAGCCATTGATCTCTAAAAAACGGGTTTGCCATTTGCTAGTCACTTTTTGTTTCCATTCGGTTCAAATCCTCGAAATTGGCTACTCACTGAAAAAAATAAGCTTGTAAATAATATTATTTTGTGGTTAAGAAGTAATAACAACGAAAATAACCTGATGAAAACAGTTTTTAGCTTGTCAATCTTATGTTAGCTCGATTGAAAGATAGTTATTGACAAATTTATATAAAACCTTAAACAATAAATATTAAAAATGTCAAAGCACTCTATAAGGCTTTAAGAATAACTTCCTTACATAAAATCTGCGATTTATGGTTGATCAAAATCAAGTTATTCAAAAAATGGTCGACCGCTGTTGAACAGATAAGTTTTGTGACATATCGTCCAAATAAACAAAAATTATTTTTATTTTTCGGAAAAATTGGAGAAAAATTAGTTTGAATGCTTGATTTGTGAAGATGGAGGACGGTGTGGATAAAAATGTGATCAAAATCAGATTGAGACAGTTGAATTCGTCACAAAATTCTATTCAGACGATGTCAATGTGGATTTGCCATCACCATCAGGAAGCTGGATCGTTTGCGGACTGTTGGCTAGAGGTTTGTGATTTGTTTTATGTTTTTCTTGGTTTTAGGAAGTGTTTTAATGTTTTTAATGCTTGTTATAAGGATATGGACTTGTTTATTGTAAAATACGGTGTGTTGGGAGTATTTTGATAGACGAACCTAGAAAGTATTTGATTTTGTGAATATAAGTCGCCTTTTTGACATAAAATGACTTGCATTATGAGCTTTAACATTTCAGGAGCTCACAACTCGCAAATCTACGGGTGATTGGTGTAAAGCCATGTTCTATTTGGTGAACGATGTTGTTCAGAACTGTCGAAAGGACAAAAAACATGTTTGTGAAGAGTTTTACCCATTTCTTCGTTCAGCAGTTGAGAAGTTAGGAAGAAGACAGATAGATAAATGGGAGAAGGTTATTGCTTCAGTTTATCGTGTTATTGACATTCTCAAGGAGCGAGCTGTTTATACACTAGATCAAATCAAGGAACTCAAGTCTGTTATCAACTGGAGGCCGGCTGATGGAGCACAAACTCCGTCAAGTGTCAGTAGCAGTTCAACGAGTCCAGTGAAGCCTGTAAAACGTGAGGAAAAGGTACGGAAGTATTAAATCTTGTTAATTTTTTGATTTTAGGGTTTGGATGATGAAACAAATATTAATTTTCTTACTTCTAGCCAGAGATGAGTATTGAACACAAGAAAGCGCGTCGAAAGAAGATCTTCGAAGATGTAGAAACATCGTTGAAAGTTCTACTGAATCCAGCTAGCACAGATTCTGCTGTTAGGTAAGCTAATATGTCTATTTACTCTTGGTTATACTTTTTCCTTTCTTTGTTTTGTGCTGTATTTATTTTTTTTGTAAAACTATGATTTTTTCTACTTTAAAATAATGTAATTTTTTGTTTATAGGCAAAAGATAGCAACGTACTCAGAAACTATTGCGGATACGAGGAAACAAGCAGAACCAAAGACAGTTCAAGAAGCAAATGATGTTTATGCCCAAGCAAATGAAGCTCTTCCTTTAGTAAAAGGTTATGCGCAAAGGTAAGTTATTGTAGTTTGGTTACGTTTAGATTATTCATTTATTCTTTAAGGATTAAGTACGGTTTTATGTGGAGTTGATGTATATAGATTGCAACGTAATTTTATCACATTTTAGGGTCAAAGCAGAGTTAAGTCAGATCAGAGAAGCACAAAAACGAATGGATTCGTTGTCTGATTTTATGAAGACAGAAATCGAAAGAGACAAAGACATTCTGGAGCTAGCACGTTCATGTTTAGACGGATTACACAAGAAAAAAGCAAAGGTCGGTTTTTTTTAAATCCTGAATTTTAACATTTGACATTTTAAAAGATACTTTTATTATTTAAAGTAAATTTATTATTTTATAACAATGGTTTAAGACCAAAATAACCTTTGTTAAATTTCAGATCGAATCAGCACGAAGCAAACTTCTGGCCTCGTCAGAGCCAAATCCTGGAGTTTTGCCTGAGATCGAAGGTGACCTCTGACATCTCTTGTGTACATTAAGTTTTACCTTTCAAGCATATAAACTTTGTATTTTTGTTATTTGACTGTAATATAAATATTGTTGTTAGCGCGCGTTAAGAGTTTGTCATGTCATGTAATATTATGCAGTATTTTAGTAAGAATTCAGTTTCTTTTTAATTTTTTACTTGATGTCATATTTAATTTTACTTAAATTGTTAATTTAAGAAAAAATAGTTGAGGTCTCATTATTAAATGTTCAAAGTAAAAATGCATTGGAGAGCCTTACTTTAAGGGTTTGTGGAGACTTTATACGCGGTTGACTATGAATTTCGTTGAAGGTCATTGCCGTATTTGTGATGCATAGGATATAAAAGGTACGCGAACATATACGGCGTTTTCGTGAGCTGTGGTATTTCTTTGTGATTCATACAATAAGAACTTTGAGTTTTAATTATGAAGGGTCGCTATTCTATCATTATGTTGTTTGTTATATTGTTTTGTTGGTATTGGGAAAGGACTACTGATATAAAGCATAACAGTAAGTGAAAATGGTTAGTTACATAGGACAAGACGCGTATTATAACACATGTTTTACTGATACTAATTTACATTCTTTTATACAATAAGAACTTTATTAAGTATGTCGGATATTGTAGTTATGATATGTTAAATAATGCAATTACAGCCGTAGTAAAGATACCGTTAAAAGTTTTCGAAAACAGGTATTATGGTCAGCTGTGCGTCGGTTTGTCTTCAGATAGTTTTTACTTTGGATTTGATACAGGATCCGAATTTACATTCCTTCGTTTCAACAGTTCCTACAATTACAATGTTGATAGTGATTTCAAGCAACATATTCCCCATCGAACTTTCAAAAAACACACATTTAATTAATTGGATACAATTTTAATTACATATCGCAAAACCTTTCGTTTCGTTATGCGAAAGAAACTATTATTGTAAGTTGTTGTGTAATCGTTATTTAAAAACAAGAAGGTCAAAGCTTTCAGTTGTGACGTAAACTGACAATCAAATTGAATATAAATTTCTTAGTAAAACAAAAGTTACTTTAAAAATGAGTTCTACAATATTACTGTCATTGTTGTATTTTAGATGGATAATTTGAAGTTAGAATTAAACGTTGGTGCAATTGTATCTACAGACGTCATACAAAGTAATGTAGAGGTTATAGGCTTAAGTTTGTCAAGACGCGGCCAAAAGGACTGTTCACTTTACAAAAGACAAAGGAATGTGTCAGGAGACGCCGATTCCGTCTTTCCTTCAGTTCTTCAGTCACTTTGCATAAATTGCGGTCGAGTCGGCAGTTCTCTCCCCACCTTCAGTTTTTAGTTATTTTGTTAATTTTAATTTTTCAAAATTGCTATAAGCTTCTTACTGTAAGGTAGTCTACTAGAGGGTTTTTTAAGTCATTTAAGGGTAAGGTCTTTGGCCAACAGTAATCCTACAGTATTAGGTTTTTTTTGGGTCAAATTGGGGCTTTATAGTTTTTATAGTTTTATAGTTTTATTGTTTTATTTTATTATTATTATATACTTTACATTCCTCTTAACTTTAATTATATAGTCCTTTACATTCGTATTATATTATATTACATTATACCGCGATTCGGTTTATTAACCCAAGTTTGAGTTTGAGCTTTGTACCAATAAATCGAGTTGGACAACGCTTTCGGGTTAATCTTTTATCAGCGGCTGAAAACCACCGCTTGAAAAGTAAATTTGGAGTGCCCCCTGGACAAAGTTTACATAAGCATAATAACTTTTTCAAGCAGCTCTTTCACTCTGGATCTACAGTATTACCAATGTTTTCTATGCTTTACAAAAAGTGCCATTTTGATTGCAATAAAGGAGGACAAATTGTATTCGGAGGCGAAGATACAGATAATTGCGACAAAGTTGTCAACTGGATCGACGTTAACAGTGATAATGGTAACTGGGAGTTTGTGGCTGACTCTATCAGCATCGGTAATATTACATTGTTCAACGTGACTGTAAGTTTTTAAAGAGTATATATTACTTATAATTATGTTGTTTATAACACGTTTCTATATTATCTAGATATCTGCCGACACTGGTTCTCAAGGATTAACTGCACCACCAGAAGTAATAGATTATATTAAAGAAAAATTGTTTATGGATGAGTAGTGACCCAAGATAGTAGTTATTTTACACATGACAAAGTAAAGTTAGACATTGATTTTGCTGTCAATGGTGTCAAATATACAATCGACATAAAAGACCTTCTTCAGTATCTTCCGTACCACAGAAGTTTGATGTTTGCTAAAAATTCAGGTTTACCATCAATAATCAATTTATACAATAATAATTTGACTAAAAACAAATGGAGTTTTGGCGCTGGGTTATTAAAGTCATTTTGCAATGTTTACGATGTTCGGAATCTAAAAATTGCATTACCGCTTGTAAAATCAACAATGAACAACTTTTAAAATAAACTTGAGTTGTGCTCCAAGAATCAATGAATGTGATTTTATTCAAAAAGTACTATATACACAGAAAGTCGCTTATACAGATGGTTCGCTATAAAGACTGACTACAGTACTAATAATTAGTAAAGCTCTTTTTGTTCAGCTGAGCCAACCTGTGCTACTACATTGTTTGTATAAAATTAACAAAAGCGATGAAACTTTAAAAACACATGGTACATATAATGACGTTAAAGAATAACAAAAAATTACAAGTATTTATTTATAGCTTTTTAAAATTTAAATAAATCTAGGGTAGGTTAGGGTAGGGTGGAATATTGAATTTTTTAATTAATTTTAATTTTGCGATTTGGAATGGTCGCAAATCCGCGTTCCGGAATTGTCGTGGATTCTAAATTGTTACCCCTCCGCTTTATTTAATACTTCTCGTACCATAGAAGTCTAATTTTTAATAAAAACTCAGGTTTGCCACCAATAATCGATGTATAAAATAATAGAAATCTCAATAGATAAAGTTTCGTCTTAAGTTTGAAAGTTATACCTATCAATGTAGTGTTAGAAAATGGACATTCAGGGCCGGGCGCTAGGGGGGGGGGAGGGGGGGGGGTTCAGGTGGAATCTGTCCGAAACACACTTCTAGAGTTGTCAGAAACGACTCTTGAAGCTTTGCCTGTCGGAGGTGATCTTTGAGAACTGCTGTGTACACTAACAAGGAAAGTACTCAAACTGCAACTGTCAGAATAAGCTAAAAATTTTTATACAGATTTTTTGCAGTACCAGTATCATAAAAAATCTTAGCTAGCGCTTTTAAGTTTTAATGCGAATTTGAAAAGCCTTGCATACAAATTTATTCTAATCATTTATTAAATATAATAAATGCTAGCTTTGGAAAGCGGGATAAAGGTATTTAATTGGCGTCTCATGCGTTGTGGCATGTTCTATTGACAATCGTTGTGGCTTTTAGTGCATAATAATCATGAAACGTGGTCAACTAAAGATTTTATTAATTTTTCTTTTATTTATTTGGCAATTACAAATACCTAACTATATAAAAGAAGAAAGTAAGTGAAGACTTTATCGTGTACTACTGAGTCATTTATGGTTTTATAAATTGCAGCTTAAAATATTTCGGAGAGTAATTTCAGTTTATTTTTCATTACAGATCTGGTAGTAATACCGCTGCGTGTGAAAGAGAACATGTACTTGGGAGAGCTTGCTATTGGCTCGTCTTCAGATACTTTTGACTTTATTTTTGATACGGGATCAGATCTTACTTGGATTCATGCCAATAATTGTCGTATATGTTTTGATTTTGAACCGTTAGCCGAGCCCAATGCGTATACGCCTTATCGCACTTACAAGCCTGCCAATTTTACTGATTTTGTTGGGCACAACCGTTGGTACTATTACCTTTCATCAAGGCTTTCATTTCATTTTGTGAAAGATATGATTATGGTACGTTTAACACAAAGGTTAATACAAATATAATTCAAAAAGTTATACATTTTTTTTACTTTGAACCCCCAATTCTTTACCTAAAAGGACCAGTTCGCCCATTCAAATATCATTGGCATTCTGTCGCAAAAAGCGTCGAAAATCAGGCAATTTCAATCAAAATCATTTTTCTCAAAAAACGTGAGTGGGTCGGTGTCGAAATGAATTTTCTAATTTGGGACCGACTGTAATGGTAGCACTCTAGTCTTTCTTTCCTTTAACCTGAGTCGTGCCAAAGCAGACCCGATTCAAAGCAACTCCGATTTCGTATCATCCTTTTATTATTTCTTCGAGGAGACTCCTACTGGACACGTCTGTCTAGCAGGCCTACAAAGAATCAAACTGACCTTTATACGGCGATATCGGGTATTTTCGTATTTTCGGGCAGCAATGTTTATTGCTCGCCCGAACATAGAGAAGACTCGATATCGGACCGTAACACTACCTTCTCAGGTTTTTTGCAAAATAAATGAACGTCGAATTTTTGCGACAGAATGCCAATGATATTTGAATGGGCGAACTGGTCCTTTAACGCAGGCTTTATATTAACAAACTTTTAGGTAAAAGATGCTTTGAATTTTGAATTGTCGTTTGGTGCTGCCATTTTCACTGATAACATATTACCAAATGCTGGCATAGTAGGTCTAAGTTTACACAACCAAAGTAACTTTGCTTAACAACTGTTCCAAACCCAACAATCTGAATCGCTTATCTTTTCTATTTTCTACAAAAAGTGCATTTTCAATTGTAAAGATGGAGGTCGAATTGTATTTGGAGGTGAAGACACAAGCAATTGTGAAAAGGTTACTAACTGGATTGACGTCAAAGAAAATAGTGGTTACTGGGAGTTTGTGGCCGATTCGGTTAAGATTGGCAATATGACAAGGTTTAATGTGACCGTGAGTTTTAAAAATTTTACTCTTATTTGTTATAAAAATGTAGAGAAAGCATATTAGACAGTAAATATAGCCAATAACAAATTAAAGTGATTATGAGTACGTTAAGCTTAATTTTGTATAATGTGTAGTAACACATGTTGTAGTGAAGTAATGCATTTTAATGTCACAACAATTAGCTATATTTAAAATTTTAGGTTGGTTCTGACACTGTTTCTAATGGTATGATTATTCCACAAGACGTCGCAGATCACTTAGTAGATAAGTTATATGCTACATATCTTTACAATTCCTTTTATTCACCTTATACTTACGTGGTGATGGATAATGTAAAGTTAGACATGGGTTTAGTCATTGATAACGTCACATACAGTTTTGATATCAAGAATTTTCTTGAACATTTTCCTATTAACATGGAGTTAATAAAGCTAAGGGCGAAAATGAACGGTCTGCCAACAACACTAAATCTAAAGAATAACACGGATGTCGAAGACAGATGGATCTTTGGCGCTGGGTTATTTAAAGCGTTTTGCCATGTTTATGACATTCAGAATCAAAGAATAGCTTTGGCGAACGTAAAACAATCGACACAAAAAGGTTACTGATAACTAAACGTATTTTTATAGCATTTTTTTATACTTTCCTTGATATTACTTGGTTTACAACACGATGAGGTCACTGGGCTACGTCAGCGAATTCCTCTCACAACATACTATTACATGTAATATTTACTTAAAAATTCAAACAGCGTGTAATGTGAATATGCTGTTTGAATTTTTAATTAAAAACATTTTGTAGCAAATGCTTAAAGTAGTTACTTATTTTTTATAATGGCAATACAAAAAAAAGTATTAATATTTAAATTTTTTAATTTGAAAAAATTCCGCTGTAAAATTGAAACTTATTGGTTTTGTAAAGTTTATAATATGACAACTGTAAAATAGTTGTTTTGTAATCTGCAATAAATAAATAAATAAAATAAATAAACTTCTGAACATACTACCCTGAGTACAGTTATATTAGAGTAACTTTCAACATCATGACATGATAGCAAAGTGACGGTATTCAAAGTCATTAAGTTCTTACTTTAGTTCAGACTGCATGTTACAACAGGAAATACGCTATTAAATCAAAACATGGCATTACAGCTTAAGCAGGCTGACAAATTATGCTTGAACTGAAAAAGTTCAAAATGCATGCAACATCAAGAAATGATAGGAAAAGTAAATTTTAAAGTTACGGGCTTCGATTATTTTAACCTTAAAAGTAAGGTCGAACTACAGTGAAAGAAAGGACTAAGCCAGGGGGCCAACTTAAGTCCCACAACGAAATAAAACTTACAATTTCAACCTCAGCTCTAGCACCATTAGAACAAAATATTTTGATGGCATTCAGTCCCATGTATATTGGATCGTCCCAAGGTCTAGCTAATGCCAATTTCAATATCTTGCCTCTTGTAAGTTCGGGTATCAAAAAGCCACTAAAATTTTAAAATTACAAAAAAAAATATTTAAAATTTATAGAAAACAAAATAAAATTTTAAATTTAAAAACGGTACACGTTTCAAAATTTTTTGTACACCCTCGTAAATAGATGGTTGTATAAAAATTAATGAGCTACTAAACTCAAAATCGCAACATTTATTTTTGATATTTTTATTTACAAAATAAACTTTTTCGGCGCTAGGACAAACGCGGTTTTGGACACTTGCGGATTTTTTAAAGGAGTTTTTTTATTTTTTAGTGAATTTAGTTGTAGTATGGTACTAAATAGTACTAAAATTAAAATTGGTATTGTTTTATTATTATGTACTGCTAAATAGTACTAAATTTTGAATTGGTACTGTGTTATATTTTTCGGTATTAAATGGTACTGAAAGCCAAAAATGGTACTTTTATGTTAAAACCATGCCAATTTAAACCTTAGTACCATTTAGTACCATACTACAACTAAATTGGCGGAAGACGGTCAAATAAAGCCGGAAAAGGCAAAAACGTTTAAAAAATGTGTTTCAGCACGCCTTAAAACAATTCCTATAACTTTTTTTAAAGCGGTGTAATTTATGAATACATGTACCATTTTGTACCAGTCGGACCAATGAAATCTTTTTTTGCAGAATAAGATAAAATGTAAAGCACAAAAAGTTACGAAAATGTAAAAATTTTTAAATAAATTGAAATATCTTTCGGCAAAATATGGTTTAACAAAGTCATTCTGATAAATGCGTCATTATGACGCATTTAAAAAAATATAAAAATTGTTTTAAGACATGCTGAAACACATTTTTTAAACGTTTTTGCCTTTTTCCGGCTTTATTTGCCGCTTTCCGCCATTTCCTACCATTGGCCTCCGACCGGACTCGAACCCGTGTGCTTCTGATCGGGTGGAAAACGCACTACCAGTTAGCCCATGAAAATGTCCCCGCGGGATACGGAATCGGGGATGGTGCCGCACGGCACCCTGAACCGAACGCTCAGTCAAAATAGAGAATCGTTATCGATCCTTTTTCCGATAATTTGTTTCATTTCGTTTTACACTGTTTTTTATTTTTCGGTCGGTTTTTCGTCTGATGTTGCAACGTATTCTACTATTTTGTGCAAAATGTGGCAAAAACTATTTATGTCAGAAATGGTTATCAAATTATTACGCTGTCGAACATGTTGATTTAGCTAATTTGACCGTATAATACTTTGTTAGCTGTTTTATATTAGAGATAGAGGTTGGCGCTTCCTTGGTAAGTATTTTATATTGTTTTCTCACGTTTTAGGTTTGATTTAGCAAGATCATAACAGAAATGTTAATTTTTAATAAAAGATTCGACTATATATCGAAAGGGAAAGTATAAAAGTCTTTTTAAAATTTGATCTGATGGTCTACTATAATATCGGAAAGCAAGCTTTTCAATGTGGCAAAGTATTTCATTTAAATAGACGTTTTTGGTACCATTTTAATCGTAATTGTTTCCTGGTGCAGCATGTGTGAAGTCAGGATGTTGTAAAAAAAATTTGTAAGGTTGAGTGTTGATATTCTTAATCTTCAGATCAATCAAAATTAATATGGAATGAAGAACGGCCAATTTGAAGGCGAACAGAACGCATATTTAATAAATATACTATATTTTTTATCTCACATTTGATTCATAAAAATGTTTTTACAATTTCGGTAATTTTTATTCTAAAAAATCAAACGTGGCGCGGCGAAATGTCAAAAAAGGAAAGCGTTTCATTTCTATTGGTTCAGGGTGCCGCCTAGAGAAGAATTTCGCGCTGATTACTGTTAAGATTCGTCGTTTGTTGTAAATAGAATTGTCTGAAAAGAAAACAATGCGTGAATATGTGCTAACACTATGTTCTAAAATAAGATGACAAACTCATTAGCACGTATTTATACCCTCAACTTTTGTCTTGAAAAACAAAAGTGCGGTTTTGTTATGTAATTACCAGTAATATACAAGGGTTCTTTGTATTTATAATAAAGCTGTAAACAGACTCTACTATCACTGTACACAACAAAAGATAATGCACTTTTCAAATCAACATTGTACTTTTAGGAAAAGACTGCCCAACTACCCAGCTAGTCCTCCTAGTTCTTCTCCCTTTACTCTACCCTACCCTGACCTATCGTACCGTATCCTACCCTACCTTAATCTATTCCATCTTATCCTACCCTACTCTCCCCAAGACCTAGACTACCCTTCCAAAATCTACCCTATCCTTGTCCTTTATTCCTTCTTGACATAATCTAACCCACCCCTATCTTACTCTACACCTAACAAGTAAGCAAGTACAATTCCCAAAATCTACCCAATACAAGCCCCAGACTACCCTAAAACAACACCGTACAATATAACTTAAACATTAAAGAGTTAAGATATTTACATTTTTGCAAACATACATGATATTATAACAATCGTGAGCATCATTAATGTATCATAAATATTTTATTCTTGACCCCAACGTAATCAAATACCGCAAAAATTCTAATCATTCCGTATTTACACTAGTGTCACACTTTATATTAATGTCACACTAATATGTTCGCCCCGCCCATCTAAAGGCAACACCATCTATAATAAAATGTGAAATGTTACTAAACACTGTAACACAGTACAGTTTCATTTGCGTCAATCGAAATTAAGAAACCAGTTAAGCTTGGTGCTGTTTATTTCAGCCAAAAAGCACGCTTTAAAGTTTATATATTGTACTGAAGTGTTTTGGCATGTACTGCAGGTTAGTGTTTGTATTTTTTAGTTTTTCCTAGAAATTACAGTGTATTGAAACAGTTGTATTAAAAAATATTGTCTCTTCTATTTGGTTTTTCAAATAAAATGATCAAGAACAGGGTCATGTAGGGCCAAGCATGTCAAGAATGGGTCAGGTAGGGCCAAAATGATCAAGAATAGGGTCAGGTAGGGCCAAGCATGTGAAGAATAGGGTCAGGTAGGTCAAGAATGGTGTCATGTAGGGCCAAAATGATCAAGAATAGGGTCAGGTAAGGCCAAACATGTCACGAATAGGGTCAGGTAGGTCAAGAATAGAGTCAGATAGGACCAAGCAAGTCAAGAATGGGATGGGTTGGACCAAAATGATCAAGAATAGGGTCAGGTAGGGCCAAAATGATCAAGAATAGGGTCAAGTAGGGCCAAAATGATCAAGAATAGGGTCAAGTAGGGCCAAACATGTCAAGAATAGGGCCAGGTAGGTCAAGAATAGAGTCAGCTAGGACCAAGCAAGTCAAGAATGGGATCGGGTAGGGCCAAAATGATCAAGAATAGGGTCAGGTAGGGCCCAAGCATGTGAAGAATAGGGTCAGGTAGGTCAAAAATGGGGTCAGATAGAGCCAAGCAAGTCAAGAATGGGGCAAAGTAGAGCCAAAATGATCATAAATAGGGTCAGGTAGGACCAAGCATGTCAAGAAAAAGGTCAGGTAGGTCAAGAATGGGTCAGGTAAGGCCAAGCATGTGAAGAATGGAATCGGTTAGGGCCAAAATGATCAAGAATAGAGTCAGATAGGGCCAAGCAAGTTAAGAATGGGGTCAGGTAGGTCAAGAATAGGGTCAGATAGAGCCAAGCAAGTCAAGAATGGGGCCAAGTAGAGTGAAAATGATCATAAATAGGGTCAGGTAGGACCAAGCATGTCAAGAAAAAGGTCAGGTAGGTCAATAATGGGTCAGGTAAGGCCAAGCATGTGAAGAATGGAATCGGGTAGGGCCAAAATGATCAAGAATAAGGTCAAGTAAAGCCAAACATGTCAAGAATAGGGTCAGGTAGGTCAAAAATAGTCAGATAGGACCAAGCAAGTCAAGAATGGAATCGGGTAAAGCCAAAATGATCAAGAATAGAGTCAGGTAGGGCCAAGCATGTGAAGAATAGGGTCAGGTAAGTCAAGAATAGAGTCATATAGGGCCAAGCAAGTTAAGAATAGGGTCAGGTAGGTCAAGAATAGGGTCAGATAGAGCCAAGCAAGTCAAGAATGAGGCCAAGTAGAGCCAAAATGATCATAAATAGGGTCAGGTAGGTCAAGAACGGGGTCAAGTGGGACCAAAATGATCAAGAATAGGATCAGGTAGGGCCAAACATGTCAAGAATAGGGTCAGGTAAGTCAAGAATAGAGTCATATAGGGCCAAGCAAGTTAAGAATAGGGTCAGGTAAGTTAAGAATAGGGTCAGATAGAGCCAAGCAAGTCAAGAATGGGGCCAAGTAGAGCCAAAATGGTCATAAATAGGGTCAGGTAGCGCCAAGCATGTCAAGAAAAAGGTCAGGTAGGTCAAGAATGGGTCAGGTAAGGCCAAGCATGTGAAGAATGGAATCGGGTAGGGCCAAAATGATCAAGAATAGGGTCAAGTAGGGCCAAACATGTCAAGAATAGGGTCAGGTAGGTCAAGAATAGTCAGATAGGACCAAGCAAGTCTAGAATGGAATCGGGTAAAGCCAAAATGATCAAGAATAGAGTCAGGTAGGGCCAAGCATGTGAAGAATAGGGTCAGGTAGGTCAAGAATGGGGTCAAGTAGGGGCAAAATAATCAAGAATAGGGTCAGGCAGAGCCAAAAAAGGTCAAGATTAGGGTCAGGGAGGGTATTATACAGGGTCACAACCGCTGCGGGGTCACAATCGCTTTTAGTGCCCACCTTACCATACTCTATCCTCCCTACCCTGCCCTATCCTATCTTACGCTACTTCACAGTAACATGTCCAGCTTATTATCAAGGTATAATATAGATATCCCTAGCATCCGTACTGACACATTTGCACAATGTAAAAGGTTCTTCAAATTACCGTATTCCTCGTTGGCGTCGGATTCTATCAATAACAATATATGTTGCAATACTATAACATAACAGTAAAATAGCACTAATCGAACTCAAACAATATACAAATTTTGCAAAACAACATATATTATATTACCCATGCCCAACAATTATATGTTACAGTTATTTATTTAAAAATACTTAAAGATGAAATTCATCAAGACACAACTTCGTAAAAACGACGACGTTTTCCGTGGTGATGTTTGTGAAAGTCGGCTTCAGTTTGGCCGTATCACCAATCGATGACATAATTCGTACAGTAGGTAGGTCATTTTGTTTCAAATCAAAGTATTCCATGATACTGGCGTTGCCTTCAATGTCGGTGTTGACGTAGACGAACAGAACTTTGCCCTTGTAGTCCTTGGCGGCATTCTTGAACTCACTCTCGATCTTCTCGAAGTCGGCGGATTGCTTAGAAATGAACAACAAGTTGCGGAACTTGATTTCTCCTCGGAGGATGACTGAAGCGGTTTCTTGAATGAACTCAGAGACCAATGGTAGTCTGTTAGATTGGATCCAAGACTTGAGATTGGCTCCACTTTCCCCAACCTTCTCTCCAAAAACGTTTCGGCCTTCGTCGAATTTCTTGAACAATACGACTCCTTCCTTCTTCAACCCCAAACCGTTTTTGGCAACTTCCTCATCATAGGTAACAGCAAATGGTAAGTCATCAACAGAAGCAGCAACTTCAGAGAACGCCTGAGCGGCATCGGAGTCCTTGTAGTAAGCGACAAGGCACATACATCGTTTGCTTCCTTGAAAGCGTCGAGTTCTTCGACGGTCTTGAGCTCCTTTGCCGGTTCTCCAGTCTTCTTCTTCAACCCGTTGACGATTGAGGCTTGGTCACGTCCGCCAGTGTATTCTTGTGACTTTCCGTTGCGGAACAACTTCAACGTTGGGTAGCGGAAAACGTTGTGCTCAATAGCCAATTCGTTGTCGATGGTGGCGTCGACTTTGCCAAGCTTCACTTCAGATCCGGCTTTGGCCAATTCAGTAGCAATACTCCCAAATACTTTAAACATGATAGAACTATCATTGGAAAGGTACGAAACATAGAGAATGAACAGCACTTTGTTGTCATCGGTAAACTGTTGAATATTACTCTAAAACAATTGATGTTAATTAGTCATTATGTCGAAAACTTTTGGCTCGGTAAACTGTATAAAATGTAATAATACTTGTGAAAAGTACGTTTATATATCTTTTTAATTAACATTTACCTGAGATATGGGAAGCTGTCGTACCAAATAAAAGAAGGACTACACCCATTAAAAGCCAGATGTTTCTTCCAATAGACACGTCATTAACATATCGTTTTCTGATCTTGACTTCAGATCCCTCCTCGACCAACTGAGTGGCAGCCTTGGCGTATACTGGGGCAAGAGATTTGCTGTGACCGCACCATGTGACGTAGAACTCGACCAGAATGTTGGCGTGCTTCTCCAAGACCTCTTTGAAGTTGTCCTAAAAGTAAAACAATAAATAACAAAAAATAATAGAATTATTCATATATTAGTTCATAAGATATAGGAAAATCTTTCAAAAACAAAAATTCTTTTTTTTTGAAAATTGTTGCTTACCTTGGTTGTTTCGGAAATAACAATGTCTTCATGGTCCTTGTATTCTGGGACCTCTTCTAACGCATCGTCCTTCTTATTAGCTATAAGCTGGTTCTCTGCCTGTTCCAGAGCAACTAAAACGACTAAAATTAATTTAAAAAATTAATGATTGTTGATACCTCCACCTTCTGGATCTTCCCGCTTTAACAAACCGTATTTTTGAAAGTGCAATTTATATTAAAGTCATAAAATTTTGAACTAAATTTTTAATGACAACAAAGAAGATAATGATTGTTAATCTACGCATCAATATTCTATAAAAACGCAATATACCCCGATATGTCCAATTATTACCTAAAATTACATTAGTCAAAAGACAAAACTCACTTGAACGATCGCGTGAGGGCGGAAGGCGCTGAACCACTTCAGCCAATGAGATTCTCGTCGCAACAGAGTCCTTATCCAATCGTGGAACGTGTCTCAACTCCACCGGACCATGGGCATACCAGCAATTGAGACCGAACCTAAAAAACAACATGGACTCAACAAAGATAAGGCCTAAAACAACATAGCTTCAACGTAAAAAGCAATAAAAAATTGGAATGCCCTTCAATAACTCTCATTTTTAGCAAAATCACAATAAAACTACTACTAACTCAAACGCTACTTACTTGCAAGGATTCAATATTGTATTCTAAACTTTAAAAAGCATCCAGCAAAAGTTTTTGTCAACTTTTGGTGTTAAAGATTTGTTACCTAAGACTTTTTTGCCAAACACGTTTTATTTGCAAACAAAAAACGCCTAGCCATTCAAAATTGCAAACAAAATTATCAATTTATGCCCCTAAAGCATTCAAAAAATTTCTTCTTTCGAGAATACCACCAATTATTCTCCAAAAGCAACATAAATTACCTAAAAACCAAAAAAAACAACGAATATTAAAAACTTACGCTGACCACGACAATGCAGAGCACAGACGATCATTGTTTTGAAGAAATTCCGTGATTCCGCCGCCGTTCTGTGCTTGCCGAAGAGATTCGATGCCGTCGCATTCGCTGGCTCCGATTGACGATGTTAATGATCCCGCCTCCATTGTTCAAGATTCCAAAACTCGGAAGCAAAAAAACGTCAAAAGAAGTTTAAAAAAATATTTTCGCTCCGACAAAAATCACTAACTTTTGCCAAGGGCGAGTTAGAGACAAGATTTTCGCTTGAAAATTTGTCGTCGGCGATGAGAATAGGTCCCGTAACGAAAACTAAAAATGCCAGATTGCTGTGGTTTCCTTATTTATAAGAAAAAATAATAGAAAACCGCACGCATAGAGAAAAATCGTTGGCATTCTGCAACAAGAAGAGAAAAAACCTGTTCGACGTTGACAATTTTTTACTGATAGTTATTGGACATTTAACATAGAAACTTTTTATAATAAACCTTATTTAACACCCAAAGTTTTATTCACAACAGCCATTATAGCCAATTTTGTTTGAGGAGTCAAAGTTGGACTGGATCATGGCCAGTAGCTTTTGATGCGCTTCAAATCTCCAGTTATTTACAAGGTCACTTTGAATTCTTCTTTATCAATTTTAATTGCTTTACGACGGCTGGCTTGAATGAAAGTCCAAGAAAGATTTAACTTGCGAAGGGAGTAAAACGAACCTGATATCAACACTATTAATGCCTGAAAAAAAAACGTTTGAATTGTTTTTAAAAGTTAAAATTGTTAAACTGTTGGTTAATCAAGGGCATGTAAGCAGTACTATACTATTTTCCCCAATTATTATTTTTTAAAATAAACGCATTTATATAAGGGTCCAACCAGGCAGTACGATCTTAGCCCATCTTATATGTAATATATCTAGTTTTTCATGTTATTGGTTTATGTTTAGGTACCACATACTATACATATATTTAGTACGATATTCGGTTGGCCAATCATGAATTTCATATAAAATTGTTACTGTAACAATTGAAAGCATTTTAATTTCGTTATGAATTAAGGGCAGAACCGACATTATATGGACTTAAATTTGAGTAGTCTTTGATTGTACATTAAGAAGGAGGTATTAGGGGCGTCGTTTGGGGGGGGTGGTTCGGGGTGACTATTTTGGGTCTCCACCCCTGCGAATACAAATTATTTTGTCAGAAATCAGCCTCGAGGGAGCTATAACTCTTGTTTATGCTTTAGGGCAATGTTATAAATATTTTGCGTTTACTTTTTTAATTTTCTATTTTTTTCCTTAACGTACTAGTTTTTCTTCGGTTGGCTGGAGGTCATTTTGCATTTGAGTTTGTATTATGGCAATAGTAGTAGTGTTCTTGTATGACATGTTTGTGAGGCTTTTTACAGTGGTTATTTATTTTTGCATTTACAGGAAGGATAAAGCAGGATCTTACTGTATGTCTCTTTCACGCATATCATTCCAATATAGTTCTATCTTACAGTAACCCTTAATCAAATTAAGTTGAAATTTTAATCTATAACAAAGTAATAACGCCCTAAAGCTAAGAATGTTGTTTTTATGCGACACAAAGGCCGGATATTTAATTACGGTAAAATGTTGGATTCTGAAAAAGCCCACAAACTCCTTATTTTTTGTTTATTGTGGCACCAAACAATAAAAAGGCTTACCAAATTTGATTTCATGTTTTCAACTCAAAGATTCATTGAGTTTTGCCTTTTTTATTTCGGTTCCGGCGACCGTGCAAATTCTTTATGAAAAGTTCTTTTTGGGGCCGTCGATTCTAGAGTAACAATTTTTTGAATTTTGGTGGTACGGTAGTTTCATATTGTTTTAGAGAAATGAGTTTTAATAAAAATTTAGCTTTAAATCTAAAGTTTATTTGTCTTTAGAACAATTTCCCGTATCTTAAAACTTTTTTTGACGAAGAAGGCTTATCTTTAATAACTTTAAAACTTTTTTAAGAAAGCTTAACAAATTTTAACTATTAAATTCAATTCTTTTAACGATATTTTTTAAAATATCAAAATTCCAGCTGGCAATCGAGGCATTACTAATGCCTATGCTATTGTTTGGATGTGGAAATATAAATTACATTCTTGGGTATAAGCTCGAGATTACATTTTAAGTCCTAATCTTTAGAGAACGGTTATGACATACATCGTTCTCACTTTTCAAATCCGATTTACATGTTGTTTTGATTAGGTGGGGATTTTAATGCAATAAGAAGCCTTTCTTGATAATACAAATTTTTAAAGTAATAGGATATTTTTTGTTTTTGTAGCATAGTAATTTTTTGCTATAGAGACTGGTTTATGGAGTAGTAAGATTTTGTGGTATAGTATAATGGAAGTGATAAGATCTTTTTGTAGAGAATTATGTTGTACTAGAATAAAAGAAAGTCTTGTCGTTTTTTAAAAGTTGAGGCTATAGAATTTCGCGACAAAACTTTTTTTCCTTTTGTAACACTTCATCTTATTGTATGTTTTGATCATATATGACATTATAAAGCTATGCTTCATAAAAATATTACTATGCATATTCTATGCCTTTAAAAATTATGACAAGTAGCACTGTTAAATACCCAATTCCTCAAAAATCTTCAAAGTGTTTGTAACATTTGAATAAACAAATTGCTCGGACGCCTTAATTGGGCCAATTTGAGAGTGCGAACAGACGGCCCCAAACGTTAATTCAAGTGGCCATAAGATATTCGACTCCAAGTTTTTATATCTTCTCACGCATCTGTTTCCGTTCGTTTCGAAGGGTTTGGTTGGGTCAATGATACGAAGGGTAACATGTTGTGTCATCTTCTGGTTTGTTGCCATTTCGCAGGCAAATTCTGGGTTTTTACGGTTAGAAATGGCATTTTAGTGAGTTTTGGTTATCTCTGCTGTACGTGGCGGTAAATTTACTGTACATTGTTATGAAGTTAAATAAAGAAATTATTTTATAATATAATATATTATATCTTTTTGGTTTAAAAGTTCATAGAATCGAACTGTAAATAGAATTTTCAAATTTTTGCTGTAATTTTAAATCATTTTCAAGCCTCTACTGTAATATCATGCTTTTTATTAATTTTTTTGCAAGTTATGCTGAATTATCGCCTTACTTTTACTATAACATCATCATACCACTTCAAGACGACAAACCAAAAAGAAACAGAAAATTTTCTAAAAAATGCCAGTCCATATTAGTATCTTATTCGAGGTTGATTTTTGTGTCAGTGGGAGTTCACTATATAGAGGTTAATTACAAAGTGCACGAAAGTAATCTTGTTATAGCACGTCAGTTTTCATGCCAATGTTTTATGAATTTTGAATTGAAATGGCATGGAAGTCAGGGTTTTCGGGATAAAATCAAAATGAAAAAAAATAAATTTTCTACTACATAATTAAAAATTATACTAGACAACGTATTTTACAAAATTTTTTAAAAATGTTTTAGACATTAAATAGCTTTAAGTTGATTAATCCAGGAAATAAGGCCAACATGGTTAATATCCGGAATTAATATATGGACTTTCAGTGTCCTTTAATCAGATATCTTTACGGGTAAACAAGCTCATTTTCAATTTACAGACTAATTTCCTAGTTAATATTATATGATTGAGCAATATGAGTTATAGGTATGTACGTTTGGAGCGCCTTACGAGTCTACTCTTAGTAGAGGGTGAGGGACAGGGAGGAAAAGGCAAAAATTATAAATTTGAACTTCTACAAAACTATTAACAATAGATATTAAGCTTATAAATTTTTAACTTTGTTACTAAAATAAAAATTTACATTTTTAAAAAAAATTCTTTGAAAATTTGAAAAATTTTAAAAAAACTTTTTTTTCAAAACTTTAAGTTGGGCATATCTTTACATCTACTGACCAAAATAAGTCTAGCCAATAATAAATGTAAGAGATATAGCCAAGAATAGTCGTAAATAACACTTGTTTATGTTTCGCAGCGATAAATCGAATAAACTTTTGGGCTAATTTTGGATGTCTTGGCTTTTGCCTTTACTCCGGCTTCTAAAGGTGACGTTTTTAAGGTAAAAAGTAGACTTTTAACCCACATGGGAGCTTTGACACTTTTATTCTTTGCTATCTTTAATTTGTCGACACTTTTGGTGTGTTTTGGATTAGTTGTTTAGTCATGTTGTAAAAAGTGGTTGAGTGCTGATTTTTAATCGTGGAAGTTAATTATTATATTGAGAATTGAAAAATCTAAAGTTATCCAGCTTTTTGATTTTAGAACCTAAACTAAAATACTCCAAATTTTAGTAAATTTTTTAATAATGATTACTTTTTGAAAGTGGCAATAAAACACACGGTAAGTTTGATAAGCGACTAAAGTAATTTAATTTTAACCGCCGATAAGTAAATTATTTAATAAGATAATTTGATTTTTGGCAGAAATTGGCAAAACCTGATCGTATTACGGCTTACTGACTAATATTTGATGCTTGGTACTGTCTTTACTGTATAATTTTTTTAACTCTTACTAAATTTGTTTTTATGATTTTTGTATTTGATTGGAATTGAACTGACATTTTTCGTTAAATTTTAAATTTTTGGCTTATAATTTGTTTTACAAAATCAAAAACATTAAATTTTTTAAAGAATTTCAAGTTTGACTTATTTGAAAAAGAAACCTTTTCTTCAAAATGATATCAAACATATTGTCTACATAGTCATTTTTGGTAGCCCCTAGTCAAATATGCATTTAATTGGTTTAACGCCACGGCCAAAAAGGTAATAAAAGCCAAGACGCGGCCCGATATTACACTAGGAGCCGGAACAAGTGGATGGGATATGGGGGGAAAGGTCGAAAGGCCGCTGTTTTATATAAAAATTTCAGGTCGAAATTCGACTTTTATTTTTGCCTTTTTGGTTTTCCATGCCCCACAATTTGCAGTAGGTTCAGGCTTCAATGGCTTCGGAATTGAGGGTTGAAACCTGCTTTTGAAATAAAATGGCATATTCAGTATAAGGTGCTGGTTGGCAGGTTATCATAATAGTTGGTGTATTATCAGGTTGTATTGAGGTTTTGTATTAAAAGTTGGTTGTGTATTAGAAGTACGAGGGTAAGGGTAAGAAAAGGCGGCGAAGAGGGTATGGGTGGGAGGGTGGAGTCAGTACGGAACGGAGGTTAGAGTTCAGTAAGGGGGGGGAGGTGGAAAGGAGAAAGCTAGAGTAATGAGGGAAAGAAGGACAACAAATAGATAGCTGGAGAATTGAAGGAACAGTACAGAGCATCAAAATAAGAATATTAACATCAATGTTCATATTATTCAAATATTTTTTATTTTGCTTTTTATTTACATTGGTTTTGCGTTTATGGCACGTTAAATGTGTTCAAAATGACGTTTTTTGTTTTTTTTTAAAGTTTGTTTTTACTTTTACTAAACGATATTGATACTCTAAAATGTCACAAAGTTAAAAGAGGTTAAAGCTTTTTTATACTGTTTATCTGGTTTTTGATCTGTAACCAGGGCCGGGCGCGAGGGGGGGGCGGGAGTACCCCCCCCCCGAAAAAAAATTTTCGAAAAAATTTGAACGTGGTCACCCCTGTGGATTTTTGGAAAAAAATTTTTGCAAAAAAATCGGCACAGGTAGCTTACCTGTGCCGATTTTTTGGACCCCTGCCCCCAGACCAAAAATCCCCGCCCGGCCCTGTCTGTAACACAAATTTTACTAAAAAATTTCCGTAATAGAGTTTGTCTAAAATACATGTCATCAATGTTAGGCTAGTCAGGCAAAGTTTGAGTAGGCTCATCTTTTGTTGTAAGAAATAGGTGAGGAGTGAAAGAGGTGTAAGAGAGTAAAAAATTACTTGATTTTAGGAGCAAGCTTTTTTTACCACGTTAACTATATCACTAGTCTATTCCTTTCTAACTTGATGTCTATATAATAATAGAAAAAAATGTTTACTATTTAAACATTTTTTTGTTTGGTCCACCACACAGTAAATAATAAAATGTGGGATTAAAGTTACTTTGTCAATCAAATTTCAACAAAACAGATTAAGAATGTTGTATTTTAGTTTTGAGATGAACACGTTACCCTACCATACTCTAAGAGGTTTGTAATAAATTATGAGTAAAATACGGAATTAGTTTGTTAGATATAAAAAATAATTTACCAGTTTAAAGTTTTATGAAGAAAGTAGATTAAAGTCAATTACTAATCACTGTAAATTCAAGTCTGCGTTTATTATCCATGCAGGCAATTAAAGTATTAAATAATCTAGTTTAATTATTCTTTTCAATTATGTAACATTACTACGTAACAGCTAATAAACCGTTGTTTAATTTGTTCATTATGAGTTCATTTTTAACGTTAAAAATTTTTAAAATCAAATTTTTAGCTATTAGCTTTTCCAGATATTAATGAGCCAAAAATTATTGAAAATTAGAAAGGCTCTTCCACATTTGGACTAACTAATAAGTATTGGGCTTGTTTTAAATTAATTTTGTAATAAGATATTGTTATTGAATTTTTTCTCATTTTTACCATTCTACAAATTAAACATCTCTTTACATAAGCCTAATTGTGATTACAAACACATATACCTTTAAGTAGATTATCATTACGTTCTCATGCCAAACGACGTGTATCTGTTTTGTATTCTTGACTTTTACATTTGCAGTGTAGAATACAAATTACATTTAAATGTGGCTCTCGACTCAATAATTCTGTGTTTGAGACAGAGTAAAGTATGTTGATACACCTGTTGTTGGCTGTTTTTGTTGGGATCGGAGGGACGGAGACCAAGGATTTGAGTAAAACTAAACTGACTGGAGTTCAGGTGGGTATTAAAACTTAATTTATATGTCTTAGATAAGATTTTAATACTATATAAAGATATTAAATTTTAACTTTAAAGCGAAAACTTGGCTAGAATCAGTCAAAAGACTTATTTTGGGTAACAAAATCCTTCTATTTTGATTTTTGTATATACGTTTTGACTTAAAACTCCGAAATTTAATAAATTTTGTAAAAATTATAACATTAATCCAGATATTATTCAATTCCAGGCCAAACACGTGTACAAATTGTTCAGAGAAGGCAACATTAGCCTGATATTTGATGTAAACCAAGAACCTCATACCCGTGCATTATTATTTCGCTTTACCACAACTAATAACCCAACACAATCTAGTTTATACCTACTTTCCGAAACTACTGTAAGTGTGTCCTTTAAAATTAAAAATTTTTTTTAAAAATTTTTAAAAATTTGAAACTACAGTACAACTACCGTACATAAGGCTGGAAAAATTTTGAAAAGGGGTAGATTTTTGAGGAGAGGGTAAAATACGATTTTTAAATATATGTATTTTCTCCCTCCTCCCTTATTGTACAATATCATAAATTCAAGCTACATTTTAATATTATCTTTTCTTAGAATCCTCGATTTGTTATCAATACAATTTCAGGACACAAAAAACCATCTTACCCTGAGATTAGGCAAAGAGATATTCACAGTAGAAACTGGAATCTACAATCAGAACTACCATAGGATCAACTTGCAATTGACACATGAACACTTTCAAATCATCGTGGATTGTGTTAAGATTGCTGATAGTCATTACTCAAGTCACAGTATTCCAAGGTAAACTTTTTCAACAATTTCATATTTTTACTACCCTACACTATGCTACTATATCATGTCCTACCCTCCATCCGATTCTATTCTACTTCTCCTGTCCCACCTTACCTTACCTCTTTTTTCATGAAATAACTTTCAGCCAACACAAAAAGCTTGTCCTTGACATTGGCATAGCACCAGATGAAAACGCCAGATTCCCAGGTCATATTCGTGAGTTCTCGGCTGACACTCCTCAAGCTACCCACATGAGATGCGCCGATATTATCCTCAGTCGTCAGCCTCGTCTAGAAAGACAACTGGCTGAAGCTGATGCCGCCGAAATCGCAGAAGAACGAGGCATCTTGACCAACACCATCAATGATGACAACAACATCATTAACGAGCTGGAAGAACGAGTCAAGGTACTTGAAGATGAAGTAGAACACTTCAGATCGTATGTCCAGAAGTTTGACAACAGAATCCAGACAGTGGAGCTACATCAACGTGGCTGTCAAGTTGACGGTCATCTGCTGCATCTGGGTCAGAAAAATCAGAACTACCTCAACTGTACCCAATGTCAATGTTCCTCATCTGGTCAACTTCATTGTGGTCCGATCGGATGTCCTCATCTCAAGTGTGCTCACCCCTACAAACCTCAAGGTAATTGTTGTCCTGTGTGTGGTAAACAATGTTATTACAATGGCAACAACTACGAGCATGGAGCTGAGATGTGGCCGAAGCAGTGTGTACGATGCAAGTGTGAGCATGGTAGAATGGAGTGCCAGTTTCAGTGAGTTTATTGGGTTTTTTTGGGAAAAGTGATGCTAATATTGGCCAAAAAGTAGATAGAAGTATCGATAGTTTGTTAATTCTGAACATAACTGGTCTTTCTATGACCTAACGAGTACTATAAGGGCGCTTTTTATATATTTTTAAATCTATTTAGTACTACAGTAATCATCCTATAAACTTTTCGAATTACAATTCTGACGAACCCTCCAAGCCATCCCCCAACACATCTAATAACCAATAATCATTCCAGTCGACCGGAAAACTGTCCCAAGCTAGACTGTGTGCACCAAGAAACCCCGCCCAACCAATGTTGTCCAGTCTGTGTCAATGTGGACTATTGCGCCGAAGGGAAGAACCCCTGCCACGCCAATGCGGAATGTAAGAATGGACAATACAAAGCCGAGTGCAAATGCAAAGAAGGCTTCTTTGGGAACGGTACCACTTGTTACGACATTGATGAGTGTTTGTGGGACCAAAGTGCTCGGGAGCAGTTGGGAGGCTGTGAGCAGGGTACCATTTGTATCAACTTGCCCGGCAGCTTCAAATGTGACTGTTTGCCCGGATTCCAACGACTTGACGACCGCCATTGCCTTGATCTGATTCGAATTTGAAGCCTTTACCTTATATAGTAGATTAGTCATGTACAGTCAGTTTTTACGTTATTTTTAATAAAAATATTTATAAAAAAGTGAACAGCCATTTGATTACTGTACTTTTTACGACCTTTTGATCTAAAATCCTCAAATTTTTTTCATTATAAACTCCTTAAAAAATTTAAAAATATTTTTTCAAATATAAATTTATTCGTTACGATTTGACTAGGCACACACAGTTGGAGTGACAATAATATAATACTAAATATACTAGTTAAAACGTGAGTAATTTGGCTTAAAACTAACAGAAATTGGCTTTTTAAGTAACAAATGTACAAAAGAAAATGATAATACAACAAAACAATGTCACAAGTCAACTTTCGTAGACACTAGAATATAAAATTTAAAATTTGCAAAAAAAGTAAATGTAAAACATCACCAGGTTAGTAGGATATAAAACTTCAAACTCTTTGCACATAAGTGAGTGGTACCAGTCCAGTTTTGCCATTCAATGAGCCTCGGATCCAATCTTGCCCCATTTCCTCAACTACATCAATATTGTCGTTGGCTTTGAATGACAAATCTTCTGCAACTGTACTGTCATAGTCATATAGAGCTACAACTTTGTATAATACTTGATTCGACGCTTGTGGCGCTCCAGTTATGAACTCGACAAAACTGATCGGGAAGATACCAAACTTGTTTTTTAATTGACCACGGAGCCATTCTGCATTACATTGCTCTAGGACTGCTATAGTGTCACCGGCATTAAACTGAAAATAAAGTTTGAAATATATTATAGTAGTAAAAAGATCGTACTGTCACTTTGGTATCAGAATATTTGACATTAGCACCATATTTTTTCAAATTCTCAAAATAATTCTTCCAAAGGTCATACTGATGTAAAACAACATAAAACCATCCTCCTTAACTTACATTTAAATCCCCATCAACATCAGAATGGTAATCATACAAAGCCCTAACCACAGCTCTTTCTCCACTTGGCGATGCCACATTCCCATTACCATAGCTCGAACTGCCATTGCTATACCCACCATTATACGAATTCGTAGGTGCCAATGGTATTTTAATGTCCAAAAAGTTCAGTGGTACAATTCCACTCTCTCCAGTACGCGTATTTAGCCCTTGGACCCATTGATCATCTACAGCCGACTTCAGAATCACAGTATCATTAGGTTCACAAGACAATTCATCTGAGTGTGCTGCTTTGTATGGGTAGCGTACTATAGCATGTGGTTCAGAAGTTTGAGTAGAATAAGAAGAAGAATATGATGAGAAATTATGCGAAGATGTATAGGATGTGTCGGATGTTGAACTTGGCCCCCAGCCATTTGTAAGTTCAACTGGAGTCGTGTTTTGAGAGGATCGAGGTGGTGGAGGTCGGGCTGGTTCTAAATTAAATTACAGTAATAACAATCATACAAAGTTACAAGCATAGTAAAGCAGCGACTTTGTAAAAACAAAACATAGAGTGATAAGGCAACATATATAGCATTTTGATCAAAAAGTAACTAGAAATAACAAAAAAAATTTAAAATAAATTATATTAAATGTCTTAAAAAAGAATTCGGTATACTTATTGACCAAAAACATAACATAAATAGTCACAAGAAACGGACAAACCACAAAACAACACTCACTCTTAGACCCACCATCAATATTAGTGTTCCACCCATAACTAGGTGGCTTGTCATTAGATGCAGATGGTACTACAGGTGGATACTCAAAGGGATCAATAGCTGTAAGTGTTTTGTAGGCTGGCTGAGGTTTTGGAGGAGGTTGCGGCTTGGATGAAGGTGGGGCATCTAAAAAAACGTTCATGAACTCTATAACTTCATAAAACGAGTCTTCTCTATCTCAAAATTAAAAATTCCAGCTCTGCATACCTTCCAAAAAGATGTTTTAATCTAAATACAGAAAAACGAATGCAAAACCTTACCCATTGGCTTGCCCATTATCGGTTTATTCTCAAACTCGTTCACCATGTTCAATATCGCTCCATGTGCCATTTTCTCAGCAAACGGATCAGCAGCTTTTCCTGTAGCATGTTTAGAAGCCTGGTTGATGGCTACAGAACGGACTTGCTCATTCTTGGCTAATGAGACAGCGGCCTTTTGAGCCAACGGGTTCTGGGCCAACTTGCTTAATCCAGCTTTGACATTCTGGTTGTTGAAGGTCTTGTTCAAAGATTCAAACATGTTCTTCGCGTCAGCAAAGCCTAAAAATATGTTAATATAAAACTGAAAAACGAATATAATATTTGGAAAACTCTAAAAAACACCATCTACATCTAAAATGTCTAAGATTTCATCAGAAAATACATCAAAAAACAAAATTTCTAAAAACCTAGACGTACAAGAAGACCTAAATTTATGTCAAGAGTATATAAAACATTACGAACGCTTGAACTAGATGGATTATACCCAAAAAAACGTCTACTAATCGAAAAGAAAAAGCAAAAAACCAATATTTCTTTTACGAAATCCCGAAACTCGGTCAGCGTGACCTATTTTCCCTCACAGTTTTTAGAAAAAAACAATTTTTTGTTTAGAAACGTGGCCAAAAAATGCCTGTGCTTGTCCGTTCGTTCTTATAGCCCTTCTTTAAAGTAAGTTTAAGATTTTTAAGCTTTCTTTTTTAATTTTTAAGCTTGTTTTCACAAAACTTGAAGGTAAAAGCATGGATAATATAAAATATTTTGGCGGTACCTTGTTTCATTTTGTATTTCTTGGCCTGTAGAGCTGGGATTTAGCTAAAAGTTGGTAGAGAGACTGCTGAGATCATTGATAACAAGTAATTAAAATCTTGGGGTATAACTTGCGCTTTTAAAACGATATTAACTTAGATTGGCTCACCTTTAACCTTAAAGTCAAACATAACTTTGAAATACTTCGAAATGATGTTACAATACCGGTTACTCTCGAATTGTAATAAACCAATAACTGCGGCTAATTATCGTTCCGGTTTTCATAAAACAAACACTTACTGGTGGACGAGGAGGTGGTGGTGGACATTGTCGTTGGCTGAGGTCGAGAGCGATAGGTGGGGAGACTGGAATTGGGGCCTTCGTTCCGATGTTTGGCTGCAACTGGAGGTGGGGGGAGGTTGGAGTGGATGGAACCGGATGGGTACATGATGTAAACACACCTTTAAAGGCTTAAAACATCTGGCGGATTAGTTGGGTTATCTGTTTTCGGGTAATGTGACATTACTTTTGGAGTGTAATGTCTTAAGTTTAGTCAGAAAAGAGGTATGCAGTAATTTTAGGTATTATAAGGGTGTTCTGACTTTTATTTTAGATATTAAAACATAGCATGTGGGTAAATATAGTTTTTGAGATAAAAAGCTATGTTAACATGGTTTAGATCACAAAAATCACCAAAAATGCCTATTTTAACTGATCATAACCTCAACTTTTTGACAGAACATAAAAGGATAATATAGCCGGGATCTCCTCCAACCTCGTGACTCTCAACTACCCAATGTTTACAATGTAGTAAACATTAAAAACACTAAAGTTGTTGATAATCTTGTTCCCAAGAAACATAAAATGCTTGTTTTGTGAGAATGAGTCACCGAGGTGGGGCATAATATAATTTATCAATCTGGGAGTGCTATCAATTGATAAGAAAGGGGAATCTTATATAAAAGATTAAATTATGGTTATTATCAGTTGAAAATGGGCATAATTTGATCAATTGTTTATAAAAAGCAGGAGAATTTGAAATTTAAAGTTTAAAATCGTCCGTTTAGGGTTAAAAAACAATTTCGATTAAAAAACAAAACTCAGACTGAATTTTGAATTTTAAAACCCAGAACATTGAAGTTTAACAGATTCCCAAACTTACTGATAAAACTGATAAGCGAAACGTCAGTTTTACTCTGTGAATTTCCAGAAGATTAAAGCAAAGTCGATGGAACGGAATCAGTTTTTTCTCGCTTTTCCAGCTTTTTTCGTGTTTGCTCGCAGATCAAACCTTCTTGATAATGGGGGGTTGAAAAGCCTTTTGCAAAATACCCTTCTTTGCAATAAGAGGGCAATCTTGTAAATATTCAAGTGAGACTGCTACTTACAGGCGGTTTGTTTGTTGGGCTTTGTGAAGGCAGATCAAAAGTTTGTGTTTAATTAGAAAATGGTAAAATACGGCATTCCAACTGGTTTTTAAAGTGATTTCACAGCTTTATTGTACAGACAATTTCAAAAATAAAAAATAAATTTTGCCATACAATACAAAATGAAACAATATTTACAATAAAAGACAACTAAATGAGCACTAATGTACAAACAAGCTCTCACATTGTACTAGACAGAGTTAAAGGTAAAATTCGGTTTCGCAAGTGAGACAACCATAATTTTAAAGGAAATTTTAAAATGTTCATGTTTACACTATTCTAAAAGTTAAGTTACTATAAGCTAAAAATTAGAAATAAGCATAGTACGTTGCCGAGGTCCTAATTTGGATCGTACTTGAACCCAGTTGCTTCTCAACGTGCTACGAGGACTTCGGCCGCGACGTTTTAGCCATGCTGATGCACAGGCTGTTGGCACTAAAGTTTTAAAAGCTTCATTTTATCATCAGATAATTGTACTTTTTAAAATTTAAATTTTGAGTAAAATACGCTTTGTCTTTTGTAAAATACGAGATTTATTTAACAATTCGTTTTTTAACGTAGGAAACTTACATTTAGCACAACCTTGTTGTAGATCGTCGTTCTCAACGCAAACCTCATTTTCTTTGCAAAAAACATCACATTTGTATATCACAGGACTCCACAGTGGATCCTTGAACAATCTACCACCTAAACTTTTGGTTTATTTTTGGGTACATTCAATTATAACATAAGTATAGCACAAAAAGTATTCGTCGTATCATCGAAAATTTGAAAAAAAATATTTTTACATAATTTACACTAGTATAGTGCCATAACCAAGAAAAACCTACACATAGCTCGATTCTTGATCAAAAACCTTATTTTAATCAACTGATCATCAGAAGTGGCCGACTTTCGGCCGTTATAACGAATCTTGTCATCAGTAGCAGAATTTACGAAATTCAAGAACACGATGGCTACTAAAACAACATAGACTTTCATCACGTTAACTTGGTAATTAATGTCAGTTTCGTTATGAGTCTGACCTTCCTCACGTAAAGTTCGTATCTCCTCCAAGACAATAAACAAAAAAGACGAACAAAAAAGGTAATGATTACCGTTTCAACCCCCACTTTTTGTCTTAAAACTTGAGTAATCCATTTGGCTAGTTAATATGTACATTAGGGATGAATAATGACTGGCTGAGGGTTCATTTTATGGTTTGGCAACGTTGATGGTAGGTATATGTAAAAATTAAATTTTAATACTTCAAAATTTTTTGTTAGTAAACGGTATTTAGACAGCTAAAAGTAAATAATAAATTTAACTTAATGTAAAAATAAATAAATTTACAATGTTGTTATATCCATAAATGCCAAAAATTTAAAAATAAAGAGATGCAAAACGGCAAAAAACATTCTGATGAGAGTGGGATTCGAACCCACGCCTCCGAAGAGACTGGTGCCTTAAACCAGCGCCTTAGACCGCTCGGCCATCTCACCACGTTTACTCTTCTCTTCTTTTTCGCTTGGTTTCACTGCAAAACAAAAGAATTAAACTTTCTAACATTATAAAATACATTTTTAATATCTTATTCATAGTAATATTGATGTACATATATCATCATACGTATAAAATGGTTTTTATTTTGAAAATTGTGAATTTTTGTGATTTTTTTATTTTTATATTTTACTATATTTTTTGTTCTTTTCGGTAATTTTGAAAAAATGGATAAAATTGAATAATGAAACGAAATTTTGAAAAAAAAATAATTTTTTTTCTGAGAAAGTCATTTTTTACATTTTTTGTATAATTATTGTTTGCAAAATGTCGAAACCGAACGGTATGTTTTAGAATTTCAGGTTTTTATCCTCTTACTGCTGTAGTAGCAACTGTATTTGGAAAAGTATAGTATTACTTTTAAGACGATGTTAATTTACAGCTTTTTTGTATTTTATTAAATAAGTAACTTTTTTGCAAGTTTCCATTGGAAACATAGTGAAAAAATGGGTAGGTATAGATGAATTGAGACTTTTTTATTTTTTCGATCATTTTGTTAGTCTTACGGACAAAAAAAGTTGCCATTTTTTAGATTTAAATTTTTAATCTTTTGTTTCTTTTCAGAAATCGAAGTTATCACTCCGCCAACAGGGGTGTATTTCGCGGAACAAGGTGGTCGGCCTAAACCTCAACAACTGGTCGAACCTTCATTGGAAGAGCAATTTGACAACATTCAACCGAGTGAATTGACTGAAGAAGCGCTGTCTGATGTTAGTGATGATGGATACAAACAGTTTGTGCACCAGGACACTACCAGCAAGTTTGGGTCGGCGTTTGCACCACTTGTGTTCAATCAATTACTACGAAAGTACACAGTAATCAACGCGGTATGCTGGGGAATATGTTTGGGATTTGGCTTTTATGGGCTGTGGCAGGTGTTCACGCTTTACCGGGAGTACGATTCGGTAAGAATTTGCATTGCTATTTAGCGTAGAAAAGTCTTGTCGTTTATTTGTATGGTTCTGCATGATCAAAAACGACAAGACTTTTTTTTGTGACGTTTTAAAATACGATGTTTTGTTTTTTGCAAATTTTAATAATTTTTATGTCAATAAGGTCCAGAAAAACAAATTTTGTATCTTTCAGATTCGCGACGACTACCTCCAAGACATACCATGCATTTACGAGTGGACTGAATGGTCTAAGTGCTCGGCTAGCTGTCGTACCTCTAAGAAGGAGTATCCGAAGCAGCAAAGAGTAGTGAAAAGAGATTCTATTATTGAAGCCAGAGGATCGTACGTCAAGAGTGCGTCGTGTAATAGCACATTGATGGGAATAATCCAAAAACGACCATGTAACGTCCACAAATGTCCAGTCAAGTTGGGAAGTTTGAGTTTTCGCAAAGAATGTATTACTATTTATGCTGATGAGGCAGATGAAGTAGGGGAGTTTGTTCACGTCAGAAACATTAGTATTGAGGATATGGAAACGGCAAGTTTGGTTTGATTTAAAGGGTTGATCATACTTTGGCAATAATAATGAGAAAGCGTATCTAGAGAGGTATCTAGATGACCTGTTGTCTACAATAAAATGGTTGAGTCAAACCAATGGAGGCCATTCTATCAGTGGCTGAATATAGCAAGTGTTAATGTTTATACTGTATTCTATTACAGTATAAATGTTTTAGATCCACATTGACACCAATGACCTTTACAAACCCTGCACATACACAACTACACCTGTTACAACTACTACTACAATCACTTCTACTGTTATTGCTGTTACTAATGCCACCAATGATACTGATGGCAGTGTACCCGATCTTACTATTACTGCTGATTTTACAGTTTCAGTCAATGACACAGCAACCACGATTGGTGGTATGACGGTTGGTGGCTAGAATATGACTACAGCTGGATGACTACAATAATATTTTGCTGATTAATATTGTTTTAGTTGGGTTTGTAAAGTAAATAAAATTTTATATTGTTGTAGGGTTCTATTGTTGATATCTCAAGTTTAAAGGTATAAAAATGTAAAATGTGTCACAATAAGGTCTGTACAACCTAAAACAATCGTTTCTTTGAATTTTAAAACGATTTCAAGCCAAATTTTATTTTATTTTTCAAATTTTGTAAAGTTTAAACATTCAAAACAATATTGCCAGTAATATAATGAATTTACATTACATTTTGCTACAGCAATAACCAGTGTTTGATGAACGTTTTATTACTCATAATTATCTTTAATCGAATTCAACCAGACTCCGCCCACTCCATCGTTCAGTTTACTACAAAATAAACACAGAGGCGCGATGATATTAGTTCATCATCAATTCTTGTCATTTCGAAGCCATGAAGTGTTTGGTTTTGTTTGTTATTTTGACTACGCTCTCGGTTCAGGTAAAGCTACTATTGTGTTAATGTAACTTTTGGTATTATAGTAAGTGAGAAGTGGAGAATTTTGAGTTGGAGGGTAAGGATAATTAAAGTAAAATTGATTACGGTAGGGCAAAGTAGAGCAAACTAAAGTTGAGGTAGGATAAGGGTAGGGTAGGGTAGGGTAGGGTAGGGTAGGGTAGGGTAGGGTAGGGTGGGATAGGGGGGTAGGATAGGGTAGGGTAGAGTTTGAATTTGCATATTAATTCGGTTAATTTGCAACTTTTCGAACGGTGATCTCTAATATGCCATTTTAATTAAACAAAATTGCTTATAATTGAAAAATAACTGCATGAATTATACAGACTATTTTCATGCGTATTATAATATCAAATTATTTCTGTCGAATGTTTTCAGGCTAGCGATGGAGAAGAAAAAGTCCCCGAGCTGATCAGCAATATTAAATCAAGCTTCGAGCAAATGTCCAAGAGTTAGTAAGTTAGGTTGTCAAGTTGATGCAAAAAGAATAGTGCATAAATATTTATTAGATTCATAAAGAATGGCGCATGATAAATTTGATGCAAAAAAAAAACGGCGCATTTAAAAAAAAATGCCATTTTCAACCAGTTTTTCCAATCATTTATAGTAAAATACAAGACATTCATTATCACAATATTACTTTAAAACTTATCCAAATGACCACCATTTCAGTGACGAATGCAAATGGAACATTCCAGATGGTCCCAACGGTCTAGACGCCTTCTTCAAGAAAGCTTACGAAGAATTCCGAAAAAATGCCAAAGGAGAACAAACCATCTTCAGTTGTACTATTGTCAGGGATGGTCGTTACAATGGAGACTACTTGAAGATCACCTGGGGACCTGGAAGCCCACCAAACACTTACAATCTTGTTGGATAAACATTTTGACTTCTTTTTGAGATGTATAATTTTATATATCTTTAGTAAACATAAATTATAAATTTGTGGCATGTTATAATGTCTACAGTAGTATTAAAAATGCAAATATTAAAAAAAAATTTAAATTTAAAACTGCAAGCGACAAATCAATAACTACTCATAAAGTAAAGCCTTTTAACCCAAGCCCGTCCCCGATCTAGCCAACGCCATTTCCTATACAGTGCAACTCATGCCTGCCCAGGCCATAACAACAAACTACAAAACCTGCCTACCATAATACGTTTTACATAATATTCACAATCCTTTTCTAATGTTTCAAAAAGTCAAAAGAAGTTGAAAATCGACATGACAACGCTCTCCTAATCTGGCCATAAAAAATGACCATTCACTCATTTTTTGCGGTTTTTAAGCCGGTTGTCTCAAGTTGTAAGAGTGTAACAGTCTTACTTTATCGTGTGTTTTATAATAAACAAACAACGCTATTTATCTATCTGATTGTCATCTAATCAGGCTATTTGTTGTCTACTGATCTTGAGATTTTAAATTACAAAGATTTTGCTTTACACTGTCCAAACATGTTTTTACTATACATTGTAAATAATTCTGTGCCCCCTAATCTCAAAAATTTTCTTTGAGAAGGGGCACAGAATTATTTGAACAACCTAGTTTGATTGCTTTTGGTGAATTAAAGGCTTTGTTTAGCTTTTTTGAAGTTTCATTTTCAGCTGATTTTTGCAATTTTTCATTAATAATGTTTAAAAAATTTAAAAATAATCAAAACTTTTTTAAAATTAAGATTTGTTGTAAAACCAAAGTTTAAAAAAATTATTTCAGACTAGTTTAATTGGCTATAAAATAAAATTTTAACGATCTAAAGGTCTTGTTTATTTACTAGTAATGACCACTGGCCACATGGGTATGAAAGCCGGGAAGTGAAGGGAGGGATGACTTTTTTGAAACCCTTAATTAAAATGTGATAGAATTTCAATTTTTAGATCGAACTTCACATTATTTTTAAAGTTTTTTCAACTTTTTCAATAAACATTATACCTCAATATAAATGTATGTGAACATAAGACCAAAAAGTTTGTTTAAAAATTTCACTTTTTTTCTAATTCTCATATTTCAAAAACGGAAATAGAACAAAAAAAACCTATAAAACTATATTTTAAACACTCAGAAAAGATTCTATGGTTTACCACATAGTATTTCTACCTTTAACCTAAAATTTTGGAGTTTTGCGTTTTTAAAAATTTACGTCTTAAGATTTTTTCCAAAACAAGATGCAACTCCTCTAAAACGAACTCTTATGTAACGAAACTCATTAATAACAACAACTTTTAAATCCTGGAGAGATTCGTTATACAAGAGTTTGACCGCATTTAGAAAGTCTCTGCCACCACAGCCTACCAATAGTATTATATTTACATACCCACACTTTTTGATAACAACTTTTTAATTTCATCTTTTTTTAAAATTCGAAACAAAATTGTACTTTGTGTTTGATAAGTGACGACAAACGTATGAAACACCTTCTCAGAATTTGATGTCACGACTCGAACTGTCACTTTTCAAAATGAAACAGTGAAAGTTCGATTGAACCGGCTTTGTTGCCAATCATTTTATAATAATAGACACTTTTGCCTTTATTAAAGCCAAATATTTTGTTTTAATATTTTGGCTTTTTTGTCGTTTTTCTAGTTTTCTTAGTAAGTGTCTTAGGTTTAAGTAGATTGAAACCTTCTTTGGTTGAGCCAATGTAGTAGGGTAGAATCGAGTAGGGAGAGCAGTCAAATATAAAAATTAATTAAATAAGAAACTAGTATAATATAATTAGTTTAAAAAAGCAAGTTAAATTATATTATGTAAACAATCAAACTTGAACTCTTCTATTTTTAATTAAATTTTGAATTTAATCATTATTTCACTTTTTTTCATTACTGTCTTTTCGTCTTCAAAATAGAGTTTTTATAGTTTATTTGTACTGTAATAAATTAAAGGCCGTGTTATTTATAACTAATGTAAGCATAAAATATATGGCGTATCATTCAAAATTAAAATAAATGTTATACCCCGTTCCAGGCGGGTGCTTATGATTTTTAGAGTAGATGTCTGTTGGAAATGCCAAAAAAAATATTTCTCTTGTCAAATTAAATTAATGAGCAACCTCAGCATTTAAAATTTGTTTCAAAAAAATAAGAAATCAATTAGCCCTCTCCTATAACAAAAATTTCTTGCTGACTAGCCTTAATCATTACCAATACAAAATATTTTACATTTACATATTTTATTTATATATTTACACGTTACCCTTATATTTATGTTTTAGACCCCCTATATCTATTTAAAACTTGAAAAACTTTCACTGTAACAGATGTCCTTTATCCAGTAATTGTAAAACAATTTAGTTAAAGAAAAAAGGCTGAGATCCCCCCGCCGACCCTTTGGGTCTGCTTTTAACGCGTAGTATCTATCATTGTTAATGTGATTTCCATTCGCCGATATTAATAAAATTTCAAAGACCGAATAAATTTATGGCCGCTCTTTCCAACTTTTATTGTAACACAAAACTCGTTTTGATTAAACTTCTAAATGTTGGCTTTTAATGGTTTATATTTGAGTCAGCTTGCGTTCACAATGTCATATATATTATATCTATATTTTTAAAAATCTTACCTAAAGCCTCATTCACAATGTCATCTATGCCTAGTTTCAGATTTTTGATAATAGTTTTATACTTATTACTTAAATATGCATTCATAATGTCATGCTATGTCTATGTTTAGACTTTCATCAATATTTTTATCCTTATTACCAAAATATTAACAAAAGATAATGAGCTCTGACCATATTTTCGTACCTTGTCCCTTATGACCTTATTTGATACAACTTTCTTCTCAACTTATCTTAAAAACATATTAATTGCGATCACACCCTAATACATGTCAAGCGTCATCGTACACTTCGGAATCTTCAGCGTCATAATGATAGCACGTTGTACTCCCGTATCAACTGGCCCCAACTATCAATTTCTTTCGGTTTTTTCGCATTTCCGCTTCCTTTCGACCGCGTGATGTTATATGCGCATTTTCAGCAATTACAAACATACGAAACATGGTTTGGCACCACAGCTACGTCTGCCAGGTTGGGTAAACACGGAAGTGCCAAGTGTTTTGAAAAGTGCCTCAGGGAGATTAAAAGAGTAAGTTTTGAGGGGTTTTTAAAATTTCTAGGATATCTGACTTACTATGTAAATTTACTATGGTAAAAGTAGCTTTATTTACAGTACAGTTAAGCTAACAAACGCAAATAGTAATTTTTTGGCATTACAGTAGCATTATCGATTAAATATTAACATAGCATGCGTAATACTATCACAATTTTAAATAGAATAGCCCTTTGGAACGCTATAGTATTACTTTACTGTCCTTTCAAATTAATATTCATAACCAAAGATACCCTCAAAGAATAACCAGGCGTTTTTTGAACCAAAATCTATGCAAAATTTGGCGAAACCGTATCGAATTTCGAGTACCAAAGACTAGCCAAGACCAGTATATAAAGTCAAACAAACCGTCACATACTCGACGAGTATAAAGTGTCAAAATGGAAGAAACACGGGTTAGGACCATTAAACCTATAATGGCGGCCACGTTTCAAAACTGGTTTCGGCAACAAGTTGCTGTGGTTGTAAGTTGCCAAGAATTATACAGATTTTTTCTTTTTTTAGGCTTGTGAGCCAGTTTTTAAAATTTTTAGGCTTATACAGCGTTTTTTTGAGGTTCAAAGTTATAAAGGCATACAATTATTCTGGCTTTAAATATCCTTAAATTAGAAAAGCAAAAATTCTTAGCATTTTTTAATTGTAAATGCGCCAACTTTTAATGCAACCACATTCCACAAGTTGTTTTTCGCACCCCTCCCCATCCCGAAACTTTAGGCCATTAAAGCAAGCCAGACGAAAGCGCAGTTTTTATCAAAAACATTAAAACTCATCAAAACCCATCTTCAGCTGACAATGCCGCGCCGGCGCAGGTCCAGTATTCAATCGCACTCGGCCGCGAGTTACAGCTTTTCCGAGGACGAGACCCAGCCGGCGTTCCGCAAGGCACGGCCATTGATCTCGCTTAACGGCTCGCCACTCCCGCAAACCGTGCTTCTGGAGACGGACGAGAACGGGGCGACGATTCGCAACGGTCACCCTGCCACATATCAACCGCCCTCGCCCACCGCCAATCATACCATGAGTTTGAAGCGACGACAATGTACGAGGTGTAACTGTCAGACGGAGCTGATTCTAGACGATGATCGGCCGTTCATGGATCGGTTTGCTGATGACACGTCTATGTTGGGCTTCAGATACCTTCATTCCAGGTACAAGACGTGGTTTAGGTAAGGTTTTATGAGAAAATCTCGATTCTGTGTTGTATTACTGATACATTCATATTACATTACTATAGAAAAACTTGTATCAGAGCTCAAAACTTTAGGTTTTACAGCTACTGCCAGCTCGTAAAATTATTTTGTTTTAGGATATTATGGGCCGTACTGTTGATATTTTTCTTTGCTTTAACAATATACCAAGTGGCGGAACGCTGCTCCTATTACTTCATCAGTAATCCCCTCATAACAACACGCTTATATAACACTCCGAGCGAAGTCGAATTCCCGAAAATTGTCGTATGTAACAAAATGCAAATAAAGTAAGTAAACAAAGCTCTATGTTGGCAATACCAGTACATAAAAGATGTCCGGAAACTGAAAATGTACAAAAATCAGAATATTTACGTTATACTAGATGTCGATACCCAAAATATAGTTAAATAAGTTTACAAAATAGCCTATGAATACTCTCGACACAGAGATATCAGTAATCCCCTCATTAATACCGTTTCAGAGCCTCAAAAGTAGTAGAAGTAAACCCCCGCCTCCTGAGCGCCTTATCAGAAAGCTTCGACGATGAACAACACTATACCACCAACGACACCATCAGACACATGCTAACAGACTTCAACGCCATTAATTCCTTTGAGTTCTTTGTCAACACAAAACAGAATGTTGAAGATTTGTTTGTTGGTTGTCAATTCGGAAAAGGCAAGAACTGCATCGACAATGTGAAGCCGATTCTGACGCCCAACGGTCTCTGCTTCTTGGTCGATATGAGTACGACAGTCCGAAGACCAGGACCTGAAAGTACCTTACAATTGTTGTTGAACTTGGAGATATACGAAAGTGTGCCGGGTTGGGTAACCGAGCCCGGGGTGGTTTTGTCGATGTTTGACTCCAGTGTGCCATTTGTGAATCATTTCCAAGAAGGAATGCATCTGGAGCCGGGGAAGGCTGTGACGATTCCAATCAACGATATCAGAAGGGTCGGTTAATAGTTGACTAGCATTGTTCTGTGATCGCATTAATCAGCTTCTGAATCCTTTATATATTCTTAAAACATAAAGGCTTACCTCTACTTAAACTAACGTTAGCCTTCTATTAGGTATCCTAACTATAAACTTCCATTTTTTAACAAACTTATTTTTATTATAACAACCGAAACAAAACTAATTATTCTGAGATATATACTCTAACATTGTCTATGCCTTCTCTACAACGTTCCTTCAAAACGTGAATGCCAGAACTGTGGAACTACCTCAGATTGTGTCTTAAAGAAATCTTCACCCTATAACATGACTTCAGCGCCATTTTTGAAATGGATTCCAGCAATGCGACCTTTCAGCCTTCTGAATACATGATAATCAAAAGGAGCAATGTCGGGACTGTAGAGCGGTATAGGCATTACAGTGCAGCTCAATTCACCAAGAACTTATGACGTCATCTTCGCACTGTGAGTTCGAGCGGCATCTTGTCAAAGTTTCACAGTAGAAATATCAATACCCAGAAAGTAGAGAGCATGGTTGATTCGTTTCAATTGTTCATTGTAGACATCTGCCGTAATTATTTATCCAGGTTTCAGAAACCCGTAGTACACTATTCCCGTGGTAGACCACCATACGCAACGGAAGGTTTCGTTTACCATGAAGGTCAGGTTTCGATACAGCTTTTGAACCAATATCAATCTTTTGTCTTTTGACCTTCTTTATATCGTACAGTATCCAGCTTTCATCCGAAGTAATAATTGGTTGAAAAAAAAACTCGGGTTTTGGACAAGCGAAACAAAATATCACAAGTATTGATCCTTGTCGCCATGTTGGAATCACTGAGCTCGTGGAGCACCCGCCTGCCACTTTTGTTGAGCTTTCCTAGTTTGTGAAGATGATCGGCGATGGTTTGCAAGGTACGGGGAAGAATATGCGACAACTCCACTGTTGCTAAATTAGTATTTAACTCAAGCAGTTGATGGCATCTGCCACTTCATGACCTCGTTTGTGTTGTTTGTCCACAAGGTCAAGGTTCACAGTATGAAACTTTGAAAACCACGTCTGCACATGTCTAACACTTATAACGTCTTCTCTAAAAACTTCTGCAAACGTACGATGGCATCCAATAGCACTTTTATCTTGTTTAAATTCATAGTCGCATGTGATATCGCACTCCAAACTGAGCTTAGTCAAGTTTTACCCAGATTTTTCTAAATAGACAAAGACAAACAGACAAGTATTATATATCGTTCGATTTGCAACAAGCTACAAAACAAAACATATCCTGCCAAATATTAAATTGTCCGGAAAGTTCTGCAATATTTGAGTAGGTAAACTTTGAAAAATCAGGAAAAATTTATTTCTTGACGAAAAGAAAAAATTCTTTTTTTTGTTTGTTTGTTTGTTACCTAAATTATTCAAAAAGGTAAGTTACATAACTTAATTTCATTTTTTTGTATTGTTTTAGGTATTGGAAAAAAATGGAGAAATCTCGCCTGCGCGTGATTATATGGAATGAATTCAAACGTGGAAATACTGCGGCAGAAACCTTCAGAATCATAAACGAAAATGAGGGTAAGAATGTTGTGAGTTATTCTACGGTGACCAGATGGTTCGCAAAGTTTCGTGTGGACGATGAGAAGCTTGAAGACAAACCACGTGCAGGAAGACCCAGCAAACTTGACAAAGATGCCCTGAGGCGCAAGATTGAAGTTGACCCATATATTACAATCCGGGAGTTAGAAGAGTTACTAAACTGTGGAAAAAGTACCATTGGTGATCATTTGAAGGCAATGGGTATGGTCAAAAAGTTGGACAAATGGGTGCCTCACAATTTGACTGATCTGCAAAAAGCCAAGAGACGATGTGCTTCCGAAAAGCTTCTGCAACGCTGCAAAAACGAAGAATTCTTGGATCGAATTGTAACTATTGACGAGAAGTGGATCTCGTTTAACAATACTAGAAGATCTACAAGTTGGTGTAAGCGTGGAGAAGCTCCTAAGCACGTTCCGAAGCCATAATTGCACGAAAAGAAGCTTATGGTGACTGTCTGGTGGTGTAGCTCTGGAGTGATCCAGTACGATTTCATGAAACCTGGCCAAAGTATTACGGCCGACACCTACTGTGCCCAGATTGACAAACTGCGACACAATCTTCCAACAATGGTCAGAAGGAGGGTTCCGATCATTCTGCAGGATAACGCACGGCCCCATGCTGCAAAGAAGACCGTGGCAAAATTCAGGGAACTGGGATACGAAGACTTGGAGCACCCTCCTTATTCTCCAGACTTGGTTCCAACGGACTTTCACCTTTTTAAACACTTGTCTTCGTTTCTTAATGGGAGAATCTTCAAAACTCCAGACGATGCCAAGAATGCCTTCAAGAACTTCATCAACTCCAGAAACCCGGAATTCTACAATCGTGGAATAAAAAAGCTTGTAAATCGTTGGCAAGACTGTATATTCAGACGGTAATTACTTTGATTGATTGTAGTTGTTAATTATATTGTTATTATTGTTAGTTCAAAAGTGGATAAATATTGCAGAACTTTCCGGACACCCTAATAATATTAATTTTTACAAAAGTTATAACTTGTAAAGTCAGCGGAAGTTTATAGTTAGGATACCTAATAGCTTTGTACGCAATTACAACCATATAATCCATCCAAACCTCTATCATGTACCCATAGCTCCCAATATTACATAAAATTTTCAGTTAAACCGTCACGCTTCTCAATGTGGATCAGATTCTAGCCTTCAAGACGTCTTCCAACCATCAGATTACTCTAAAAGCGCTTGTCAATGGCTGGCCAAGATCAAAGACGTCCGGGAAAGATGTCATTGTGAGCCTGTTTTGTCACCACGCAATCGAAAAATGTTCCAAAACACAACTGGTAGTAAAACCTTTGCTGATAATGAAAATACGGTCGATTTAGCGACTGGTCGAAAGCCTGACACTGAATACCCTATCTGCACCATCGCTGATGAAGTGTTTTGTGTGCAGAGTGTCTTGGTGAGTTAACAATCTTTGTTCTTCTATAGCCTGTAGCCAAAAGAATTAACGCCACAATAAAATATTTGAAGGTCGTCACATTATGTATACAATCAGTTGTTACCTACAATAGTAAAAAACATAAAACATATTTGAACCTTACAGGAAGAACCAATTAGTGAAAAGACCCAAAAGTTCTTGACCAGCTGCGTGAATGATTGTGATGAAGTTTCATTTACAACCATCGTATTTGGAAATGATCTCCATTCGTCTGATATTACCCATTACCTACCTGGAGATTGGGAAGATGAGAAAGAAAAGAGATTGGCCAACTTTCAGGTAATCAAACGTCATTACTAAGCATGCTTCAACATTCTAAACACGAAGTTATGTTAGGATAACCCGATTTTTCAAAATTTTAAATTTTGGAAATCTGCGCAGTGCAATTAATAAAAACATTCATAAATAGGTACAAAGCACAGAATAACATAAAAAATAGCATGAAACTGCCGTAAACAGTAAAAAAATTAATATTCCACCTTTTAAAACCTATATTTCCAGCTAGCTCTTGAAAACTTACCTAAAAACCGAATATCATTGGTCAGACATATTCAAAAGCTTGCTGATGATGCTAAACACTTTATGAACGAGTCAATCAGAATCTTTGGAGTCAAAAAAGAATCCGAAGACGCTGTTTTCCCATGTTTCAACACTTCACAAGGTTTATATCCATCAGAAGTCTATGAGTTTCATCAAAAAGAATCGCTTTGGAATGGGCTCAATGAGTAAGTGGAATATAACAACTTTTTTGGGCTACTAAAACTATTATAGAACTTCACTAGGTCAAGAAATAAGGGTAAAGGTTAGCAAAAAAAATTATTTGGGCCATGAAATTGTGCTGGGAAGAAAAGACAGCTTTCAGCGTAAAAAGAGTTTGCAGTCTGCAACGTTATTATCACACATAGAGCGCGAGACGGCATTCTCATTTCGGTTGTAAAATTACAGCTGTAGTAGCTACAGCAAATTATTATTGTGCCAAGAATAATATTTTAGATGAAGTATAAATATGTTTTAGATTCCTAGAAACCGAGTTTCCAGTTCATTTCGCCAAATCTCTAAAGCTGTTCAACTTGGAGTTGGATCAGAACCTCCGGCTTCGTGACGACTATGATTCTTCGGAGAAAAGCGAAGAAACTTATCTCACAATGTCGACCGAGGCCTTGTATTATTTACGGGTATTTGAGAATCAAGCCAATTCAGGAAGAGGAGTGAAAGGGCTGGATTCGATTCAATCGTTCGAGAAAAGAGCTGTAGGTCGTCATCTTCTGAATTTTCTCAACAAGCTACAAGAATGTGTAGTTAAGATACAGTTTAAGCCGCCAGAACAAGCAAGGAATTTGACGAAACCGTGCAGAAAGGTTAGAAAATGGGGATGTTTAGGGAAATATTGTGTTGAAGTAGAGGTTTAGGTAACAAAACGCAGAATTTTGATGAAAAGTTTTGGATTTTGCAGATAAATGATTATTTGAACTGTAAAAATAATCCTTTAAAGCTTTTTTTTAATCTTAAAATACGTTATCTTGAACTTACATAACTGATAGTTCGACTTCAAGACTTTTGTTACCTAAAACTTGTTCTAAGACTAAAAGTCTTCCTTGATTCGTGAATATATTCAGATGCTGCTCTCGTATCACTCGGTGCTGTTCAATGCTCGAAGTGTTGCCAAAACTATCTCCACCGAGGCTTTACAAGACTTTGACACCGGAGTAAAGGGCCTTACAGCTGTTCTGAGAAAATTGAAATACGGTATTCCTGGCAGCATATTTACCATCAACAACTATAATGTGGACTTGAGAATGTTTCGAAAGCTGTACAAGTGAGTCATGCTTGTTTTTGTGTAGTTTGATGCTATTTTGGACCGTTTTTCATTGTAAATTCTATAGTCTGTGTTGGGTTGAGGTGTATATTGAGGATGGTTGTTTGTTTTTATAGCTTTGAGGTGTTGCAAAACATGTGGCAAGAATTATACATGTTCTTTGATATTATACTGAATTTTTTATTATACAGTATTTATAAAACTCACAATAAGGTTGTATAATAGGCTGTAAGATACAAAGAATCATTGTGACGTAGCCTAAAGCGTCATTCTCATATCCCAAATCATAATTTTCAGAGAAGGAGGTCAAGGAAATGAGTTACTAGTGGAGCTGTTGAGATTCCGAAAATTTATTCAATCTGGAGCTGTCGATGAAATAAAGAAGTTTGTCGACGCTGTTGAAGTAGCCGTAGAAGCCCGAGAAGACGTGATAAAACAGCTTGACTTAAGGCCAGAGAGAGGCGCGGTCCAGCCAATGAAATTTGCTCAAGAAACTGCCAAATGTATGGCTAAAATGGTCGAGGAAATCGAAGTTATTAGAGTAGGTTTTTGGAGGAAAATTGAATTTTTAACATCTAAACATCATTAAGGTCGACGTATTTTACACTCTAAACTTTTAGAAAAGCCCCATGATCCGAGCTGAATTGATGTCGCGTATTATACACGCAGTAACTGTAGCTCAGTCCTATTCTCCAGGGCCTGAGTATGATCGGTAGGTTCGCTCAGCTAAAATGGCTACAATATACCTGTTAAACTTCCAGCGATAATATACCTTTTTAATAACCAAAAGTCAATAATTTTAATCTTTTAGCCAAAAAAATTAAATTGTAAAATTTAAAAACGATTTCAGGGTAAATCTGCTGTTCCTAAAGATATATTTTGCTCACTTCAAAGAAGAAATCATCACTCAAGAACGCTCGTACAATGTGTTTCTGTTGTTGGCCGAGATCGGAGGTACTATTGGCTTGTACGTTGGTGCAGCCTTGTTGAGTGTAGCCGAAACGGTGGTATTCTTCTTCGAAAAACACACTTTAAACCCTACCATTTTTAAACATCCGGCATAGCGGGGATCATACGGCTAATACTTCCTAGAAAAGCTTTCTTACAACGTCAGTATCTGATAATATGTTCAGAAGTAGAAGTCTTATCGAGTGCCAAAACAGCCCATACTATGTCGTATTCTAAACTACAATTTTGTGATAATACAGTACCGGTGATATTGTTTATGTGCGTATCTACTTTTCTAACTGAAATTTACATTTTTGGATTAAATAAATGATTACATTAAAGTCAATCAATGATTACTATTAATATACTATGCAGTTTATAACAAAACACTGATTAAAATCATGATTACACATTACAATCGACAACGTTAAACTTTATTCAATAAAAGAGCATTGACATATAATTTATGTAGTAATCTAACAAATGTACCGATAAACCCTGTTCATGAGCTGCAGTTTCTCTAACCTTGGCGGACCTTTTTTCGTTGTTTCTGAAAGATAATCATCAATAACAAAATCTTACACAGTAAATCCGTAGATATTATATAACAGCTTATAATAACCCAACTAAATAAAAGATTAAAGTAATTTTAAGTCCAAAATTGTTAATGCTAACTTACTTTGTCATCTTCTTTCGGCCGACGATTTGGAGTTTTGCTACGTATTTTTCCTTGACTGACCTTGTTGTTTTCGCTTATTTCGTTATCTTCATCCTGCAATGTCATCAAATATACGTTGTAATGAATGTTAAAAAAATCTTTTTTCCCACAGAAATTATCAATAGAATCGGCTGGGGGACTGGCCTATCTTTCTCTGAATCCGGGTCAACAAAACGTTAAATTTTGGCCCAAAAAGTAGGTTGTCTTCCCATTCATCAATCTGGGCCTCCCCTAGCCAACTAACAGCCTCCTCGATCCCCAGATCTTAAATCACCTACACCCATGTTCCAGTTGCTCTACTTGACCTAGCTCTCAGGTTAAACAGAAAAATCAGCCCGATTTCCGGTCAATTCTACCCATTACTCATAAATTCATACCCTGTTCCGCGCCGGCGAAGGAGTTCTATTATCTTTCATGGGCTTGGGGGTCTTCTTTTGTCCTGATTTCTTCCTCGGTAGTTCGATAGAGATAATGGCTGACTTGGCCTCTTCAACCGGTCGCATCTCCGACTTGTCAACCGTTTTGTTGTCTGTTTCATCGTCATCTCCGTCCTAAAATGCAACATTGTGTTAGTCAAAGTACTCTGTTCTTAAAATCGTTCGATTTAAATATAGTTTTAGTTTTATCAATCGATATAATCAGATGGTCTTTAATATGTATATAAATCTTTATATTACATATTAAAAGTTATAAACGGTTATAATAACTTACAACAAATTATAATAGTAAACAAAACTAATATAACAGTAGACATAACTTACATTTGCAAACCGCTTAATATTAATATTTCTAGGGTTCTTATTCCTCTTCTCAATGTCCTTCATGATGGAAGCCCTCTCCTTGGCCTTGATTGCCTTTTCCTTCGCCTTTTTCCCCTTCTGATTCTTCTGCTTCGAGCCTTTCTTCGGTTTACCAGATGGTTTAACACCTACTGGCGCTTCCTTGATCGGTGGAGTGGTAGTCTTCGCCTTCTGTTCGTCAACTTTCTTTCCAGCCTCACCTACCACATCGATCTCTGCTTCTTTTTGTTCCTTTGCCTTCAGCTCTTCCAGTTCCTTTTGTTTTCTCGCGTATTGTTTCTTATATTGAGGTTCTCGGCCCTTCTCGATCGCTCTTTGTTGTTCGTCTTCGCTGAACCTGTAGGGTGTGATGTGTTCGTCGATGATTGCCTTAATTTCTGGCATCATACGGTTCTGAGCTCGGCTGAATAGGAATTGGATTTCGTAGCGGTTATCGGGGAACATTTCTGCGTAATCTGAGTGTCGTGGTGTGCACTGAAAGTGTCATTTTTTTATTAAAACAGTCTTATTTGCAATTGAAAATATATAGCTAACTTATACCTTATATAATCTTTGTTTTCTCTTTATTTTACTCTAACTTATCCTCATATGCCTCATTGACATTTCTTAAAAACACCCCCTCCAAACGACTATCTTACCTTGTCCACAGCCTCCACAAACTCATCCTTCTTCATTTCAGCCACAATCGGCATATCCTCGTTCTTTGACTTGATTCCATCCAGAAGATACAACGAGGTTTGAATGTTTTTGGCAAGAGCATAGTAGTTCGGTTTATCTTTATTCTCCAGATCATCAATCCATAGGAAGATCTCGGTGATGAACATGTTGATGTCTTGACAGAAGCACCCTGCCATCAGAAGTGGCTTTCGTCTCCAATCGCTTTTTCGCATCTGAGCCACCGGACCATATTGTACGTCTTCCCAGATCAGTTTGCCGCGAAGGGAGATCATCTGAAGAGTAGGGTGTTGTGACAAAAATACAACAAAATTCAATTTTGTCATATATAATATTAGGCTGTTCAAATAATTCTGTGCTTTACTCAAAAACAATTTTCGAGATAATGAGAAGGCACAGAATTATATTAACAAGCAAGTAATAACAAAGAATATTATAGTCATCGTAAAATGTCAATGATTTAGTTGTTGTTAGTTAAAAAATATAATTTTTTAAACCTTGTAAGAGAATAAGCATAGTAAACTAACAGTGTAGTACCACGCGACCAGATCATCTCTTCTGCATGACTCTCCTCCGTCACAGACCTCTACAGAAGCGTAATCAGCCATAGGTACGCCTACGTCCTTTTTCGGCACTGGAGTCTCATCTTCGTAGACAATGTAGTTCCTGAAGAAAGAAAAGACTCAATATTTTTAAAATCTCAAATAATTTTTTTAACAAAACAACAGAAATCCGACATCAAACTTATAAAAACTCAAAACCCACTTTGCGGACGACAAATCGCACAACTTGATATCAAACTTGTGCTCATTGACATCGATAACATTAGGTAACAGAAAGTGAGTGGGATCGATGCATTGATGCACCAGTCCAAGTCCATGTAGCTCTTTGATGGCAGCCAACATCTCCAGTCCAATCCTAAGCGTCGTGCTTTGTGGAAGAACGCCATTCTTCAACTTGGCATCAGCCAAACTGCCATAATAAGCCGGAAATGCCAACATACGATTATAGTTGTCCAGGACCATGTTGATGGGCATCAAGATACGATTCAAACGATTTGGACAACGATATGTTTTAATAAAGTTGAGGACGAGCAGTTCACGACAAGGTTCGGCGGCGTTTACGGGTGGGGCGACTTTGAAGATGACTTCGGAGTGCTGGAAACAAAGTTTTTGTTATGTTTGAAAAAATAGTCGTAAATTAATAAACCAAAACAATAAAAACTTTAGAAATGACCAATTTTTTACAAAAGATAGACCTTTTTATCAAGTTAACACCTATTTTTAATCAAAAATCAACTTTTCAAAATTTTAGGTATCTAAAACAATGAAATTCCAAAAATTAACAAAATAGCCCTACCACGTTGCCAAATTCATCCTTGAAGGGTTTATCAGAAGTGGCACGGTAAAGGAAGTTGCCTCTCTTGCTTTTCAAATGTTCCAAGATTTTGTAGTCTTGAGTTACGCTAAAATAACACAAAATTAATTATTTTAATAAAATAATCAATAAAAAACAATATTTTAAACAAGTAATTGTTACATATAAACCGCAACTTTATGGTTTACTACCTAATCTTTGGAAGAAATAAGTTATTTTTGCAAAAAAAACAAAATTAAAAGCCTTGCAGTCTGCGTCCGCGTATAAATTGTCGCTTTTAAACAAGATTAACTTTAAAATTGTAGTAAATTAAAAATTTTACTTATTTTTCACAATCTATATTGTAAAATAGTGAAATACACTCTAAAAAACAACAAAAAAAACAAAAAAAATGTAATTGAACACTTAATATATTAACATAGATGGACTTACATACTACCAACAGGTAAAATTGTTGACGGAGGCGGCGGAGGCGGCGGAGACTCTGCTGGAGTTGGACTTATCGCACCTACCGCCATTTTTGAAGTTGGTAAAGATAAACTGTTTTTGGAAAAAATGGTTTTTAGTTTGGTATTTTAAAATTTTTGAAATTATGCAAATTTGAAATTTTAATCAAAAAAATTTGAAAATTAAAAATCGACCAACAAAATTTCAATTTTTTTGAAAATTTTGTACACAAAAATAAAAATTTTGTAAAATTTTGATTTCTCGTTACTCATAAAGTGACATTTTATGTTACACTAGCCAAGTGAACTTGGCCTTTATTTTCAATTGTAATTCGTAAAGCTTAACGATTTTAATTTAAAACAAATTTTTGGCTCTTAAAGTCGACGGCAAAACGAAAAACAATTTTTGGAAAATAAAAAATTCAATTCATACTGAAGAGCCGCTGCTTAAAGGGCAGGTTAACCATTTTATGCATGGCCTTTATTCGCTGGTTTAGTGTTTGATAACAAGGAACTGTTTTTGGATCAGGAAGAGCTTTTTTTAACTTTTGGAATATAATATGTGGTATCTTTGACAATTGTGCTACAGTCAAATCTTGCTAGTTTTGACAGTTTTGGTAGGACAATTTTAGTTTGTTTAGAGTAGGGGTAGGAGTTAGAATAGGTATAAAAAGTTTTAAATTTTATTTTTGTTTGAAAACATTTTTGTGGCTTTAAAACAGCAAAAAAGGTAACCTTTACTCAATACATTTGTTAAATCAGCTGGAAGTAGAACAATTTATTTATAGATAATTTTATGGCTTTTCAAGTGTGAAACTTTTGCCATTTTTGAGTAAAGAAACTATTGTGGGCTTGCAAACTGTGAAATTTTCTGTTTTTCAATAATTATAATTTGCAAATTTTTTTAAAATTTGTACATTTCTAAAGTAATTTATCAAAGTTTGAATTACTCTTATCAGTACTAACTATTCTTTGGCGTTTTAAAGTTTAAATATTTTTGTTTTCTGCCGATTCAGCAGCTTTGGCATTGTCCATTAACCATTTTTTTCGATTTTCTAGACAACTACGCTTACAAACTCAAAAATGTGGGTTCATTTATAAGTTTTCTATCAGTAAATCAAAGAAAAATGGTTAAAAGTCCAAAATTGACAAAGTTATAAGCTTGAAACACCATGCCAATTTGGTGGGAAACTCAAACCTTAACTTCTTGATCACGATTTTCTCGAGATTTCCTGGAAAACGCAATTTAGTACTGTGCTGCAGGTGTTGTACTTACATGATCTTTCTATATACTCCCTTCATTATTAAAATTTATGCTTTAAATACGCATACACTAAAATTTCATAAACATTTCATTCATAGACCAAAAGTTACTTTAATTCTTTTAAAATTGGATAATTCTCTTTCACACGACTCTTTAGACTAGTCTATAACAAATAACCGTCTTAATAAGAACGAGGGTGATTCTTCACGTTAACAAATGGCCATAGTCTGTGGCCAAACAACATTCGCTTTGTTATCATAATAATAAGTCTGTTATGGATTTGTCTGGAACTTTAAACGCCGTTTATGGTAACATCACGTGGAGTTTTTGAACATGACTTATGTATGTCATGACGTACTATGGTGGGGTTTGGGTACTGTAGAAATATAGTTTTGTTTTGATAAGACATGATATAGTGATAAATGAGTATAGACTCTTTGCAGGGTCTTTTTCTTATAACTTCTTTTTACTAATGGGTAGGTATACTGTAGCTACTTATATATTCCATAATATCTTCAACTACATGTCCAGTATAATATAGCTTTAACAACATATAACCCAATTTTTGTTTCTTAACTCATGAATATTATATCAAAGCACATGCATAATAGTACCATGCTAAAAGCTAGCCATTACTAATTCCAGATATACATACTATACTAAACCAATGCTGTTTTAAAATCTATATATAAGTGGAGTATAATGTATTATGCTACTAAAACAATGTCATATGTCTCCAAAGTTTGTGACTATGAATTCTCCTTCTTTGGGCATGTTAATTGGCTCTCTTTGTCGTTAAAATGAGTTGAAAATGACCTTTGCATATCCGGCTGTTTAGAAGTGAATGTTTGGCCTAACTTCTGCCAAAGACTTGTTATGTCATTCTGCGGTCTGTGAGCTCTTGTGGGCAAGCAATGGTATAAAGTTGAAGGACACGTATACTGTGTGGTTTAGTAAAGTTATACTGTACATTACGGCAGATAGAATAGGGATTTTTATTAGTGTAACAAACTAAACCAAGAATTTTCAATATTATGCCAAAGTTCCTAATGTTACCCATAAAATCTATTGTTAGTGGTGGCCTTTTTAATCAAAAATATGGCTAAATATGTTAGCTCGTTTTTTATTTACATGTGTGAGGAATGTGTAACTAGTTTAGGCGTGTTAAATTTATTATGCAGCAAAGGTTGGCATTTCAAATCTTTAAATTTCAAGCGTTTAGCAGTTCTTACTTCACGTTTAAGGCTAATTAAGGCGCTTTGATCTTGGACTTGGAAAGAACTGAGAAAGGGATGGGTAAAAAAATTTTTTAATTGATTGGGTAGCTATTTTTTAATTTTTTAAAAAAGGGGAGACGATGAAGGTCACTTTGTACGCTGAACTAAAATTTTTAAAAATTTTGAAACTTTAAAAAAAATAGGTCCGCTAGCTAACTTTTCTTTATCCTCCTTTTGTTAAAAAAGCCATAACCTCTATTCTAATCACAATTCTATTTTGTTGTGGCTTGAATACTTGAGGAAAAAACCTGTAAAACTCAATTAAAAGTGCACGAAATTTCACTTTTTTTTCTAATCATTTCACACGACATTAACTTTGAACTACTGTTTATGACATGTACATCTTTGTTTTTTCTTTTTTGAACTACTTTTAATGCTTTATTTGAAGCTTTTGTCTGTTTTTACGCGACATTGTTTTAGTTTTGACATGTTATAACTCTTTTTGTTATTTTACAACTCATTTTACAATTGTTATTAGATGGTTTTACAATATTATTTTAATTACTAATTGCCAGCAGACTTTTTATGATAATATTGTGAGTTGTGTCACATTGTAAAGTCATGAGTTATGATATGGCGTTTGCAGTAATGATAACGTTGTGGGTTATAGTGGCTATACTGTCCTTGTTATATCAGTCTTTCCCGAAAAGAATGTTACAGCTGCACGGTGCAGTTTCTGGGGAAATCGCGCTCTTTTTATTTTGCTGCACAGTGCAGATTTCCCGCGCGATCACCCGATACAGCCACCGATGTTAGGAAACACTGCACAGTGCAATCCCTTCAGTGTCGCCCATTCGGTTGTCGCAAGAGTCAGTGGCTTGCAACAGTCGAAAAAACGTGTCGCAAGCCTTCCACTGAACACATTTTATGACATTTCTCACTGTGTGACATTTACCATATCATAACATTTACCAAACCATGACATTCACCATTCCATGACATGCTTTTTACACTAATGTGATTTTCCAATTTAAACCCGATGTCGCTCTGATTGATACCTAAAATAATGTGTTTTTGTAGAAAAACCACTTTAAATTTGCTCAAATTTACATTTAATGTAGTTTTTGTTATGTCGTTACTTTGAGTAGGAATTTATGTCTTTGTTAGGCGTGAAATTTGAGATATTTTGTTTTTGTTTGGATTTGGTAAATAAACGGCTTTTAAGCGTATAAAAGCTAACGTTCTAGAGGGGTGGTTGTGTGGGATTTGGATGGGGTAAATTTAGAACGGGAACTAGGGCAGTGCTAAAACTTACTGCTTAGTACTTAAGGTAAGGTACGGTAATGTAAGATAAGGTAATGTAAAGTAAGGCAACTTAAAGTTAGATAGAGTAAAATAAACTAGAGTAGGGTCGGGTAGGGTATTGTAAAAATTTCAACTTTTACAGTACTTATTATAAATTACAGTACAAATTTATTTTTTAAGGGTAAGACATAGTTGTGTTTACATTGAGCTCGTCTCTGGAGATTCATCTACAAGATTGAAGTAATCTTGTTACCTAATCTAATTTATATTATCTTATTGGACAGACAAAATTAGTTTTATTGTTACTAGTAACTGATATAGGTAGTACAATTAGTTTTGCATCTAAAAGTAATCTTTCCAGACAAAAATGGCATAATTGGATTTATGGGGCTTCTTTGAAGTTTGAAAAGTGTAATTTTGTTGTTGACATATTATAATATAAGTGTGTCAAGATTACAGTTTAAACTAAATTTTTTAGTACAAATAGTGTTTTGTATGAATATACTACACTGTATATGGTAGTAGGTTTAAAATGCTTTATTACCTCTTTACTGTAGTTTATATATAGACATGATTTACGATAACATAACATATAGTTTAATGAAGTGTAAAAGAACAAACCAATGTTTTAGACTGATTCATGTACTTCAACAGTTATTGGCATTTTATCTATAATAAATTGCTTATTATTATACTTTGTATTCAAAAACGTACTTGTCTAAAACCAAAAACGTTTTTTATGTGTTACAGTACCTTTTAAACATAAAAAAGCGTTGTGACTAGAAATTACTCTATTTTCTTCTTATTAAAAATTCTTATATTACCTAAATTAAGCTTTCGTACTAAGCCTAGTCAAATTCTGAGATTACTTCTTGTTATCTTCATTTCTGATACTTTTTTAATATTACTTGAGCTTCTGGCTTAAAATGTTAAAGTAGAATACGAAGAATATCAACATTGTTTGATAAGGTTCTTTGTATTGTAATATACGTATGGCACGTTTTCCTTGTATATATATGATATTCTGCTTTGTTGACTTTGAGAGTATATTAATATAGGCTTGAACTCCTCTTTATATCTAATATTATGCTTGTTTTTCAAAGCATATTCTTCTTTGTTACAGCGAATTTGTGAATAAGTTTGCGATATCAAAACACATAAAGCATATTGGTTTTGAAACTTTTAACATTTCTTTTGTATGTTATACTATAGGGTTATTAGGGTATACTTTACGTTAATGCTATTCAGGTGTTTTGCCTTGCCTTGCCTTGCCTTGCCTTGCCTTGCCTTGCCTTGCCTTGCCTTGCCTTGCCTTGCCTTGCCTTGCCTTGCCTTGCCTTGCCTTGCCTTGCCTTGCCTTGCCTTGCCTTGCCTTGCCTTGCCTTGCCTTGCCTTGCCTTGCCTTGCCTTGCCTTGCCTTGCTTTGCCCTGTTACTTCTTACTCTACTTTAATATACCCTATCAAAACTTCAAAGCTAACAATGAATAAGATACTATTGCTTTGTTTGTTACCTTTAATGTAATATACTTTGCATCTTTATTTACTATGTAATGTCAACTTAATACTAAATGTTAAGTAAACTTTGGTGTGTGTCGGAATGTAAAATGACATTGTAATCGTATTAAAGCGTTCAGTTTGGTCGAATTGAGTTAAAAAGTGTCACAATTAAAGTGATATCACGCTAATTAAATGTTGTGTGAGGCAAATAAATTAGTCAAGACGTCGTATGTTCTAGTCTAGATATACATCTAGAAGTGGCATGTTTCTACCGAGTTTTTTGAGTTTATATTGCTTTAATGGACTTGTATAGGGCAAAATGGCATTTTAAGACATTTTTTCAATTTTTTATAATTTCAAAAATTTTCTAAGTAATATTTTTCAAAAATGCCATTTCGCTATTTATCATACATAACCTTTTATAAATGTCACTTAGTTATTATTTTGACATTGTTAGTATAGTATATTACTCAATACAAAGTTTTTTTAGTTTACTATAACATAAATGAACTAATTTACCTTGGTTTAATAATGTCATTTTAGGTCTTGCTAGGTGGTCTATTATTAATTATGCATTAAAAAAATTATTGCATTTTCACTATGAAGGTCTAGATCTATAAGAAACCACTAAAGGCCGTTGGAATTTAGTTATACTTGACTTTTAACATTTGAAATGGTAGAGTACTGATGTAGGTTCTGAAGGTCAGGCTTGTTGCTGATTATTATCACGCCTTTTCGCTTGCTCTTGAGTATAAATAGACCAGAATAGTACGTTTGTTAAAGCCAGATTACTAATACTGATGGGTATGAAGATACGCCAGACTAGTAGTTTTGCTGACTATGACAAGAGCTTTTTCAGAACATAGTGTCAAAGTCAGATATGTTAGGTTCGACAACAAGACCTACATGTATAAGTCAAGCTATAGTACATTAAAAGCAACTGTCTTTTAAATTTTTTACTAGTAAAAGTCAAGTCAAATTTCAAGTTGTTTTGAAACTGTCAATTTTCATTTAAACCTGACACATTCTGTGGTAATTTACTAATTTTTCACTTTACAGAGTAGTTGTAGTTTGAGTTAGTTAATGTGGTAGAACTTTTTTACTACAGTGGTTGAGAAAGCCTGGTTTTAAAGACAAGGTAGTGCTTTATTTTTTTAATTTAATTTTTTAGTGGAATAACTAAATAGCTTAAAAATTTTTGATCTATACGATGTTTTTGGCTAACATTGGTCGATAAGGGGTTAGAACGATATTTTTCGATTTTTATCGAAAGTCTTATACAGATGGTTCATTGTGTTTTCAAAAACGAATATATAGGCAGATTTGTATCAAAAAATAGTTTGAACGTCAAAAACTTAATAAGGGTGTTGATGAAACCAGATTAACAAAGTCTTCCGGGTTTCAGTTTTAACGTCATTATACTATAGACATCAGTTTAGTTTTTAATGAGTAGGTGTATCTGTGCTAACACTTTTTTTGTCGTTTTGGAAATTGGGTTTGAACTTGAAAAGTAGGGTTAAAAAGGGAGGGGCAATTTTAAAAGCGGGGAAGAGTATAAGGATCTATTTTTTTTATTTTCTATATGTTTTTAGAATATTTTAATATAATATTTGTACTTTAAATTTCGTGTTTTTTTACTTTGAACTTTAAGCTACATATTGTGTATCATTTTACGTTTACTGTAACAAGTTATGTATTCCAAGTACCACTTTACTAATATTAAACTTGCAGAAAGATTTAAAAATGAGTGCAGACAAACTCTACTCAGTAGAATTCACAAGAAGCACTAGACGAACGCCTCGACTCACGTTGGACTATCGTTCTTTGTCGGCCAGAGAGCCTGATAAACGTAAGTGTTAAAAAATTAATTTTACCGTCAAGAGTTCTACTATAATATCATTTACCATAGTAGATGAATATGATTGAATAGTATTGTATAGGTGTCGTTACAGTAGGGAGTACTCTATAAAAGAATATTATGTTGTTCAAATAATTGTAAGCCATCACTGAACACAAATTTCCGGGGTTAAGTAGCTCAGAGTTTATTGAACAACTTAATATTCATTTATAGTGTGGGTTACTGAGTACTGTAACAACTTTTGTATAGAGTATTATACACTATATAATACGTTACTATAGGTTAACTGTAAAGATATCTTTTGAAAAGACCATTTACTTTGATATACTCAAATCTGTTTACTTTGAAGTATATTATCCTACATACTAATCTCATGATGTCATAATAGGTAGTTGGAAGATTACTTTAGTCTAAATATTTAACAGCAGTTACTTTCGGAAGTTTCCTTTATTTCTGACATATTATTTGCTTTGTGAATATTTGATTTTTATTTATATATATTCACGTTATACTTGTATATATATATGATGATACAGTACTTGACACATCTCCAGAACATGTGTATTTTTGTTTTTGTTAATTCGGTCAAGATTAAGAGTATATCTTGATGTAAAACTAAACAACATTTGTATGGGAATGATGTTAGTAATTAATGTTTTGTAAATATATCTTTCCAGAGTACAATCATATGTCTGGCAGTGTGCTACATGACACAGTAGATCAAAACATAGGTTTTTACGTGGCATTTTTTAATTGATTATGTTTAAAATTTTGAGGTATGGTAAAATACGGGCCTTTTATTGAATTCTTGTTTAAAATACGATAAAATTTAAAAAATATTTGAATTTCGTTAAAGTTTTCTCGTTTTTTATCAAAGACTTGAATAATAAAAAGCGACAAGACTTTGGTTGAGCAACCGTCAAGCCTTACTTATTAATATTAGGTTATTCAAATATGTAATTGTGCTTTCTAAACTCAAAAATTTGTTTTAAAAAGAGGCACAGGACTATGTGAACGTCCTATAATGTAACAAAAATGAATTTCCATAACCTTTCGTCTTATTTTTAAGCGTATTTTACGTATTTTTTACTCCCAACTCGATTCTACATTTGTTTTTTACTGTGTAGGTGAAAGTACGTAATAATAGCTCTTGTTGTGGTATTTAAATACTCGTTTCAAGCCCCCAAGGGATTCTTTCCGGGTTGTCGTTAGAGATATTCTGGATATTTTTACTCTTTGGTGACTTTTCAGTCTTATACGTTAACAATCGTATTTTACAAAATTTAAGATTTTTGAAAAATTTTACAAAATTTTAAGTGATGATTAGCTTGCCTTACTATTTTTGGACACTTTTCCTCCTTAACCACCTTTTTTTATCTAAAAATGCCTTTCTCTATCCTCCCCACCCTTTCCTCACTTTTTCTTTCTCTACCCTACTCCCCCGTTCTCTTTTTCCCTTTTTTAAAACCACCCCTCCCTTTCCTAAAGTAAATTCCATCCAAGACCCGCTGTATCTACATTCATATTAGCCAAAACGTTTTGTGAATGTTTTGGACACGTGCAGAAAACTCGAAAAAAGTTTGATTAAAACGTCCGAGGGGATTTGAATTTGGTCCGAAATCAGTTTTTCGTATGTCCATGACATACGGAACAAACTTTTACTTTCGATTGTAACGTATGTTATCTGACGAAAATGGAGGACTTTACAGATTTGTTCCGGGTTTAAGGCGGGGCAGAGGGCTGAAATGGAAGTGTGGAGGGTCAGATTAGGACAAATTCATATTGTTTTGGCTAAATTATATCTGTGCTAACACTTTTTTTCTATTTTTTTCAATTTTTGTTGGGTTTTAATACCTAAATTTTTAATTTTTGGTCAAGCTTTATTACCCAAAATTTGATTTTTTTGGGGTTTTTAGTCTATTTTGTTACCTAAAAGGCCACTTTTTTAGTTTTTCAAAACTTTTTGTTCTTTTGAATTTTTTTATGTATTTTGTTACCTAAAGTTTTTTTTAATTTTACTTTCTTTGATTTAGAAATGGAAACGCGCCGGGCCGGCCTTGAGCGAGAAATGTCGATCGGGCCGGGCATAACATTCAGGTACGGCCCGGCCCGTTTCTCACGTCTAATTTTATTACCTAAAACGGAACTTTTTTAATTCTTCAAGGTTTCAATACAGTTGTATTTTTTATGCACTTTATTACCTAAACTTTGATTTTTTAAAATGTTTTAAATCTTATTACCTAAAAAGGTACTTTTTCTAAAACTTACATTTCAGTTCCTAACCTTTTACTTTTTTTATTTTTTTATTCATTTTGTTACCTAAAATTTCGATTTTTGAATTTTACTTTGTTTTATTAATACCTAAAAGGTCACTTTTTTGATTTTCAACGTTTCAATACATAACGTTTAGTTTTTTTGAATTTTTTATGTATCTTGTTACCTAAAATTTAATTTTTTTGCATTTTACTTTATTTTATTATCTAAAAGGCATTTTTTTAAACTTTTTAACCTTATAATACCTAATCTTTACTTTTTTCAATTTTTTTTTATTTTGTTACCCAAACTTTAATTTTTTCACAAAATTCATCAATTTTAGGTATTATATAAAACTGCCATTTTTGGTTTAAAAAATATTTCATGATAACTTTCCCACCTACAACAATATTGCTATGTTTTTTGTGACAATTTAATATTTGTGCAAGGTTGAAATGCTTGTCTAACGTGTTGAAAGAGACTCAAGTGCTTATCTCACCTACTACAACATTTTATAAAAAATTGAATGTTTGACAAACTTTTGCACATTCAAAGCGCTCAAGTGGGGTAAACAGTGGTTGTCACCAACATGATTCTACAACATTGAGTTCAGTGTATAAAAAATTGGCATATTATGTTGAAAATGGGAGTTTATTCAGTATAATATAGGTATAAGTGACAGAAAGAGGCGTTTTGAAGAAGAATAATATAAAATTAGTATATTCACAGGAATAATCACAATATTGTAGTCTTATGCGTATATGAACTACAATACTTTATGTATATGATACATTTCTATATCATAAAACGTGTCATATGTTATGTTACTATGTCTTTTGAATAGGATATGTACTACAATTTTTACATTACATTTCAATACCAATGTAATTATAAATATTCATATACGTTTAACTACAAAGTAACCTTATGTATATACCTCTAATATTATAATTTTCAGCTCAAGTCTCTCCTAAGTCGCGTCGCAAGTTGCCAACAACTCCCACCGACAACTCGAGCAACCGATTGAACGTTGAATTTGGGCGACTTCATTGTACGGAAAGTTGCGACCAGTTGAACTCAAGACGATCTCAAGGTAAATACTCTAAAGTAAACAATCGTATCTTCACGTGACAAAGTTTTGAGAAATTTTGAAAATATTTTGATTGACAGTTTACTGTAACATTAAAAAAAGTTTTTGAGGACTTCCGGGTACTTAAAAATACTGCTCTAGGCTTAGTCCAGAGCCTTAGCCCTGAGTCCTAGCCTAGAGCTCTAGACCAGAACCCTAGCCCAGAGCCCTAGCCTTAGGCTTAGTTTTAGTCTGAGCCTTAGGTTCAGCCTTAGGTTTAGTTTTAGCTTTAGCCGTAGCTTAAGACATAGCTTGCCAAAGCCTAGCTCTATTCTAGCCTTATTTTAAGCGTTACCTAGTCTAGTTTATTATAGCATTACGCTAGCCTTACTTCAGTTTCTTACTGTCCGGTATTATAGTATACGTGCAGTAAACTCAACAGTATTTAGCGACTAAAAGACTAATGAATTACTCTGTAACCGCAAATACTGTAATGAGAGAACAATAAACTTTTGGGTTTGAATGAATGAGAACAGAGTTATTGTTATTAGCAGTCACATTGTTTCTCATAATTGGAAATACTTCTGCGGCATGGGTAATATAATTGAGGGTCTATTTGATTATAGCATGTTGGGTTCGAGTAAAGGTGGGAATTACTTTAAGCTTATGTTATTATAGGCCTGTAATGCGGTTTATGTTATTATAGACATCGAATGTGGTTTAGGTGTGTTTTTTTCTGTTGAAGTGTTTTACTTTAATATCATGGGTGTTTCTTGGCTTTATATGATGTACTTTTGACTATGAGAAAATGTAGTAGTCGTACATGGTTTGGATGATACATGTGATTAAGTTTTGGCATTTTACGTTATGTTTTTTTTTCAGAAACTTCCCCCCTCCCCTCTCCTTTACCTTACATTTTTCTGAGTTTGCCTAGAGCAGTAAATACTATTTACGTACGTAGATATACTGTAACATACCTATATGAGAGTACCTACAGCCTTCGCATTGATATGTCACGTAGCCTAGAGCAATGTTTGACCTTACCTAGGCCTCATACGGTCATTGCACAAACACAACAATGTCATCATAATTGTTGTCTTTTGAATTTTGAGTTCAAAAGTTGAACTTCTATTTGGGGAATAAAATAACATTTGGTATTAGAAAGAATAGTATTTTATTTACCAGTTGAGTAACATCACCTTCATCAATAGAAAAAAGGTCATTTTAGATGAATAAGAATGTTATGTTAACCACAGATTACCTTTTTTGTCTAGGTATTCTGTTTTGAAGATACTTCGGTTTTTTAAAGTACAGCAACCTTTTTGGGTTAGATCTTTGGCTTTTATGGATAAATATGCAAATTTTTTGATACGGTAATCAGTGTTGGCAAGAGGAGTTTTAGTCTGCCACTAGGGCTAGAGCTGGAGCTAAAGCTAGGTCTAGAACTAGGGCTCTGGGCTAAGACCTTGGGCTTGGACTCTGGGCTAGGGCTCTGGGGTAGGGCTCTGAGCTAGAGCTCTGAGCTAGGGTTCTTTGCTAGGGCTTTAAGCAAGGGCTCTTGGCTAGGGATCTGGGCTAAGGCTTTGAACTAGGGCTTTGGACTAGGGCTCTAGGCTAGGACTCTGGGCTAGGGCTCTGGACTAGTGTTCTGGGCTAGGGCTCTGGGCTAGGGCTCTGGGTTAAAGCTCTGGGCTAGAAGCTAAGGCTCTAAGCTATGACTAGGGTTTTAAAAGAGTAACACTACCTTCAAAACCTAATTGTTCAAAACGGAAATGAGCTGCGTATGTCAGCGGAAGTTGTAAATCGAGTCAAGTCTTGTTTTTACTGTCACTTTGCTTGTTTGTTGTACGTGAAGAGTGGAAAGTAACTCGAGATGGGTAAAACAATATGGTTTTGTAGTATTGTTTTGAACGTTTACTTACCTTACTGCTTAGATTACTCTTATGTTTCTGTTTGTTTTGTCACATTTCTTTTGATAATTCATGTTCTTTGGGGGAACCCAATGGAAACAAAGTTCTTGCGGGTTCAATTTTTTGAATTGGGTAAAAAAGAAAAGGTATACGTAAAGTGTGGTAAAAAGTATATGGGGAGGGGGGGGATAAAAGTTTTTGATGAAAAGAAATTTGTCGAATTTTTGCATAAAAAGCTTCCGGTCGATTAATTTAAAATTTAAATAAAATTTAAAAATACGAACTTTTCCCATTTAATATTTATGAATTTTCCAAAACAATAAGCGTTGTTGCCTAGATATTCTAATTATGACATTGGAATTGCTATATTATTCGTTTTGTTACCTAAATTTTATAAACTTAATTTTTTTTAAATTTAAAAAAAAATAATGTTTATTTTACTCTAGCATTATCTTGGTCGTACTTTGTTCTATTTTTACTGATTTTCTTATACCTGTAGCTTTAGTTTAATAAAAAATGCTTCTTTTCAGAATATCGACCGATCTACTTGAATGTGACACCCAATTACTGTCCATCACCAGTACCATCTCCTAGTCCAGTCCAATCAGCCAATATGCAAAAGACGTCTTTTTTGAAAAAGCTCCAGTTCCAAGGAAGGGTAGGTTCTCAATTTTTTCAATACATTTAGTACTTCATGGATGTTCTTTATACTATGATATTTTATTGATGCGAAAAGATTGGCGTGATTAAAATTAATTTTAATTTAGGTTAAATAATGAAAAAGCTAAAAAATGTAGGTAATATATTGTTTTTCATATAATGTTGGGTCCTCTCTCAAAGCAATTTTTAGGCGTTAGGGGGCGCAGAATTATTTTAACAAGTTAGTAGTATCATATATTGTTAATATTAGAAGCGTACAAAGAAAAAAAAGCAATTTAAAATAACAAATCAAAGCTGAGCGTGATCTTTGTTCACTAGACTTGTAACCTTAATTGTCATATTTCTGGCCATTTTTGATTATTTGTCTTCGGAAGCGGAACTAAAATATGAACATCAATTATGCACAGTACGTTTAGTTAAACGTGTTCTGACGTAAAAATACCCAAAATAGCCTAATTGCAAGTTTTTTAATTTTAAAAAGTGACATTTGCCAAAAGTTTTTTCAAAAACATTTTGAATTTTTGATTTGGCGGGGCTTTTGGCATTGTGTTTTAAAGGCTTCATGTTGGTTTGGGGAAAGTAAAATTGGCTTTAATAGGTTACAAAACGTATTGTAAATTAGTTTTTAGCAAATTTTTAGGCTTTGTAAAACTAATTTTTGAATTTTTTATTTGGCTGGTTTTTTGGCATTCTGTTTTAAGCATTGAAAACTGCATATATAATTTCAATTTTTCAAAAAAATGCGATTAAAATCGTTTGTGCAATAATTTCTTGTCCCATCCAAGTCCAAAAGCATAAGTCATAAGCCTTGTGCCAAGTGTAATATAATCTCTCATCTTCAGTACGGTAAAGCTATACGCTGGGAGCTGAAGCGAGAGAAAAGTTTAATTAGAGCGACGTAGTAAGTCTAATACCACACTTGTGTTTCCGTTTTAACAAGAAATGCGGACACAGCACGATACTCGAGCATTAGTACCACTATTCTGGCCTTAATTTGTTTATTGGTACTGAGAAGGGGGATATGAGGTACTGTGGGCTTAATTATGGGTTTCAGAGATGCTATGTTTTTAAAGATACTATATCTAATTATAGAGGTTGCAGTGGGTACTGGACTTACGATAGAGAGAGGTTAAGAATGGTTGTTGCTGACTTAACACATTAAAAAAGGTATTGTAAGGATACTGTAAGCTGTTTGAATAGTTTTTTCTTAGTTTTTAGGCCAACAGAGAATACAGTTTTAAAATTTTCATTTTTTAAAAGTAACATTTTGGCCTAAAAAAGGCTAGCCGAAGCCATAAGGAAGCAGTTATTTTGCAGTTTTTCACTTTGCAAATTAATTTTGACTCTAAAAACTTGACACAAAGAGTAGAAACGGAACGAAAATATTTTTTATATAAAATTTATAGTCCCTCAGGGGTTACAAACATTCAGAGTTTAATATTGAGTTTACATAAAAAATTTGAAATTTCAATTTTTAAATATTTTTAAAAATAAATTTTCAAATTTGAAAAGGTATATGTAGCAGAACTTTACAAATTAACAAGGAAAATTGTTAATTTCTGCTGGAAAATCGAAAAAAGTGCTTGAAACACAATGCCAAACTTGCGAAATTAGCGGGAAACTGGAATATTTAAATTTTAACTCAAAAGCGCGAGTTAAAATTGTTTATAGCTACTGTTGTGGTAATAAAAATTCATATAAAAATTTTGAGCTGATTCTAGATACTTTACTTGTAAGTGACATTACGGTTTTATTGACCAAATTGGAATTTTTTTGATATTACAAGTTTAGGTACAAATTACAAATTATTACTATAAAACACTAATTTAAATTTATATTTACAAAAAAAGCTTTAAAGTACAATTTATGTCAAAAAATAGGAAAGAACTCATTTTTTCAAAAAATCTACAGTATATTATAATACAAAACTCAAAATAGGTCTTAAAAACCGTATAGACTAACTTGTTGAACTCGAAATTAAAAATGTGTAGGGTCTGACAATGGAGTCTTCTATTCAAATACAAAACTGTTTTGTCACATTTGATTCTTTTGTCTCGCTTATCAGCTATTCTGACAGCTTAACACTCGGCGTGGGAACGCTCGACCATCAACATGTTACAGAGATACGATGCTTTACATAGTTAAGGGGTTATATTAAGCTGGCTTACATAGTAAAGGGGCTATGGTGAGATGTTTTACATAGTAAAGAAGTTATATTGAGGTTTCCTACATATTTTAGGAAGTATATTGACATTCTTTACATAGTTAACGGGTTACATTGCTATGATTTACATGGTAAAGATGTTATATTGGAGGGTCTTAAATAGTTAAATGGTCATATTGAGATGTTTCACATAGTAAAGGGTTCATATTGCGAGGTTTTACATAGGACATTAGCCATTAGTTTCAACCACGATCACGCAAAGCACGCTGGTACGGCGACATTGTGCCATTATGCTATAAATTGGTTGTTTTGAATGCATTAGTCCTTTGTGCAAATTAAACCCATTTTCTCTCGCTTTTTTTAATTTTTGTCAAAGATCGTATGTCGTTACACAACAACACATTCCTTGTTTATGGCCGAGTCGACCGGCCTCACGCCTGAACTGACAAAGAAGGTTCAACATAAGTAATGGGAGGGGTTGGGCGGTACTGTATTGATACTTATTTTTGTAGGGGGTACTGTAGATGTTATAGAAGGGTTATCTAGCTCAACTTGGTTGTGATAGAAGGCTATTGAAATGATCTACATAGTTCAAATTTAGGTTTAAAGAAGTCTTGTCGCTAAATTCCGTACATTTAGACGGTAAAAAACGACAAGACTTTTTTAAATCTTTTGTTTTGGTTGTCTACATACTACACATACTCTTATATGTGTAAATACTGCAAAATACACATATAACCACATCTCTTTACTGCCATGTAAATATTGTGTTGTCTGCACCCTTGGTCTACAGCCAAATTTGTTGATTAGTCAAAATTAAGGTATTGACAGTTTTTTTGAGAAATGGTCTTTTCCAAGACATCAATTAACTAGTCTAGCTAAATTAGGCTTATTTCCAAAGTACCATAGTTTGTTTTCACCGTGATTTCATATTGTTTATTGTGGACTAGCAATGCACTATGAGGTGCAAAAAACATATATTTAGGTTGTTCAAATAATTCTGTGCCCCTTAACTGCTAAAATTGGTTTGAGATTGGATCAGAATTATTTGAACAACCTAATAATTATATTATAGGGCTCATACAAAGTTATATTTTAATTTTTAAGTGGTCAAAAAGTAAACAGAAGGTTAAAAATTTGCAAAACCTAATTTGTTTTAAAAATTTTAAGCTTAATTTTGGTTTTTTATAAGCCTAACCTATATTTTTTGTTAAATAGGTATAAAAGTAGATAAACAAGACCTCAAAACCGAATAAATAGGTACAAAAACTAACTGCATACGAGTCTTTTGTTTAGCAAATGGTCTAAAAGTACTAATTTATGTATTATTTCTAATTGTGTTACAATGTCGTGCTATTAAAGGATTAACAGTTTTTTGGATATTTCGAAGGCTTTTGCTAAATGAACAATGCCTGAGGGGAATTACCAAAAATGGGGTCAGGAGGTACTGCTTGGTTTTCCTTTGTATGATATGTAGGCACATTACTCTTTGACACAGTAAAATATTGTTAAAAGCAACTTTATATTAATTTGTACAAATAATTCTGTGCTCCTTCTGAAAGAAAATTTTCGGTGTTAGGGGCACAGAATTATATGAACAACCTAGTAGGACGATTATTTTTGTATAATATAAAGAGTGTCTACTTTATATGTTTAGTACTATATCACTTTTAGTTAGTATTGTACTATATAGCACCATGTCTTGTTTGTATTATACTATTTAGTACTATGTGATGATACTCAACTTTCTTTAGACTAATCTTAAATACAGCTTTTTATAATAGCTACAAAACAAGTACAATGTATATGCGTTTCGTAGACAACAACATGTAGGAGTGTTATGTTTAATATTTAAAACATATTTAACTTTTTGTTGTGACACCCGCCTTCACAACGCAAATCACGTCAAACTGGTCTTATGAATATCCAATTTGATTGTTTGCTCTTTCTCTCTTTCTTTCGCTGTCTCTAAGGCCTTTACTTTCTCTCACTCTTCTTTTTTAGCCTTTCTTTAATCGCTCTCATCTTATTGAATGATCTCTCGCTTGTTGAGTTTACAATTACAAAAATTTAAAAAGTTTTGAGCAAATTTAAATTTATTTGTACTTATGGACAAACATATAGCCAGATAAGACTTGTTCTGCAGTATAACATTGTCAATTATTAATTTAGCCATTAGTTTTGTTACCTAAAATAATATTTTTCTTACCTAAAACGGCTATTCCTTATTTAAATTAACTTTTTTAATCTAAAATTAACTTTACTACAAAGACATACCTATTATAATCAAAATATCATCAAAAAATTATCTAAAATACCCTTTAAACCCCAAAAACCATCAAAATACCTACTACAATATCCGAAATGGGCTGTTATTTTGTTTACATCCGGTACATTCGGATTTACATCATAGTAAGTTAATTCTAAAATGTATTTTCACATTCGTTTTTATCATTTTTGACTGCAAAGTGGTATTAGTTATGATCATATTACACTAGGCGATGGCTGACGTCCATGAATAATATTGTTAGTCTGCAGGATGTTAAAGACCCTGTTTATAGGACATTATATTTTGCATTTAAGTTTTGTATGGCTAGTTTTTTGGTTGATTTCTGTTTTATGGAAATTTAAGGGAAGGCTTTAGGTGGTTTAGATGTGAGACTTTGACAGAATTTGATAAGTTTAGGTTTAGAAAACGTTTTTTATTCTTACTGCCACATTATTTTTTACTGTATAAAGTTTCACAGCTACAAATTTTTTTGTAGTAACGAAATGTCAAAAATCGATGACGAAGTGTCACAAAAGTAAAAATTTTTAAAAATATATTTTTTCTTCATTTTAAACCTTTTTATACACTAAAATCACTTTTTTAGTTTAGCTTACGCTTTTGCGGTCATAAGAACCAAGAGCTATAATATATTATGACATACATATGCATATACATTATGTTATGTTATGCTATGTTTAAATTATTTGGTTCTTTAATTTATTTCAAAAAATTTGCACGTTGAGGTTAATTATTCAGAAGGGGGTTTACGTACATTCAGCTGTTTTGAATATTGTAATTGGCAGTTCGTCGTCGTATTTATGGTATGTTTGAGGAGTTGCATAAATTATGTAGAATATGCAAAATGGCGAGTATTCTTTGTTGAATTATAATTTACTCTGTAATGATGTGAAGATGTATAATTTACCTCTTAAGAGTGTTAAGATGTACTTATAGGTCTTGAAGGAGTTCATGGGCTCTAAGGTTTTTAAAAATATGATAATACGGTAAAACCATTTCGTTATAAGGGGTTTTTGTTATAGAGAAGTTTGTTGTATAGGAGTTGTACTATATACATATTCCTGTAAAGGTTTTTGACTATTTTTGCAATTTTATAGGCTTATTTAAGATGATCTGGACTTTTTGAATATTGGCGATAGCTTCTTGTTATAAGCAACATATATTTTGTGTTAACTATGAGAAGAGTTTACAGATATGCTTTAAATATACAGCCTTAATAGCCAAACTAACTTTATATTACACAAGCTTATAAAACGGCAATAATAAGCCTAAGAACTAGTCTGTCTAAAGATCACGACATACCAGTTCCCATAGGACGCAATTTGGTGTAACCACTTCTCGGAATCTTGAGCTTATGACTTTAGAAGTGTGAACGCAACTTCCGTTCTCAACTTCTGGGTCTTTTTGGGTTTAATTCTGACTCGTTCAGGTGGAAAATACAGTAAACCGCAACAAAATTGGGATTAAAATAAAATTTCAAAAGGATTTGTCATTTTATAAATAGACATGGGTTTTCGAAATATACATATACGAAATGACATAATGAGTTTTGAGTGCAACGTAAATATTTACTGTGCTATATGGTTGGTGTGGTACATTTGGAGATAGTACTGTAATGACGTTGAGATGCCGTATATAGTTACTGACGCTCGAAACATACGAAGCAAAAGGCTCTAGTAAGTGTTATATCAGCAGCAGTGGAGCTCCTGTGTTTTTAGTGTTAGTATTAGGCTGTTCAATTAATTCTGTGCCCTTGACTCCAAAAATTTACTTTGAGAGGGGGCATCGAATTATTTGAACAATCTAATACCTTCTTAGCTCTTCTTACTGAGTAGTTTTTTACTGTGTAATTTTTTTACTAAGTATTTTTTTCACTGTGTAGTTTCTTACTGAGTAGTGTGTCTTACTGAGTAGTTTATTTTACTGTTTAATTCTTCTTACTGAATAGTTTTTTGATTGATTTAACATTAATAGTATGCAGATTACTGTCCTTCCTCTATGTCATTGTAAGTCAACCCACAATGTCATGTTTCTCGCAAATGCAAATTACTACATAATCTTATCCTATTGTTGAGGCCAGTTTTTGCGTCAGAAGTTACATTCATCGTAAATGAGGCGACTGCTTGTTTGTGCGTTATTGTTGGGATCACATACGACCACAAGTTCTTCATTGTGAGGCTATATCATGTACTACTGGAATGTTTTTTACTATCTTATAGTACATTGTGGTATTGAAAATGAAGGAGCGGGGGGGGGATATCGTTTGGTAAACTTAAAATGACATTTTGGGGGGGGGGGGGGTGTGGTAAAAGTAAAATGAATTTTTCACTTTTGTGTGGTACTATTAGGTCTACAAATATGAACAAGGTATTATTAGCTTGTTCAAATAATTCTGAGCCCCTTCTCAAAGCAAATTTGCAGGAATAAGGAGCACAGAATTTGTTGAACAACCCAATACAAAATTTTTTTAATGAATCTTTAGTGCCAGTACTTATCACCAGTACCATGATGTTAATACATATCATGATTAGTATATATGATAATAGTACACATTTAAGTTATTTTCTTTTTGATTATGCTTTATATCACACCTATATTAAGCTTATTACACCTATAATAACTTTTAACTTCGACTTGAGATCCATTCAGTCCAATATCTTAAAGCTCATTGAACCAAGAATTTTTTTTTACATTACTGTGTTGTTTATCTGATTCCGATGGCAAAGATAACATTATAGTATTAGAGGAAACACTAATTTGTGTTCTTGATTTAAAGATACGATAACTGAGGACAAGTGAGGACATAGATGAGATTACAGAGATAAAAATGAGTTGAAATTTAAAAATGAACTTGAAATTTAGTCTAAATTACAGTATTTTTAAATTTATTAAGAAATATCGCATTAAAATTTTAAAAAGTTTTCAAAATTTAATTTTTTTACTTTTATTAGGTTTTTCAAATATATAATTATGTGCATATAATTAGTTACAGTACCTAGTACTCTATGAAGAAAATAAATATTAGGTTGTTCAAATAATTCTGCATCCTTAGTTCTGAAAATTTGCTTTGAGAAGGAGCAAAGAATTTTTAAAACAATCTAATATACACCTACTACAATATAAATCATTTTTTTCTAAATTTTGCAAAATTTTAAATCAAGATTTTTATAAATGAATAACACTCGTCATATTGAGGTAAAAGAACAAATATTAGCTCAAATCAAAGAGATAAATCATATGTTTTTGTGAAAAAAATATTAAATTTCACACAAAATTTGTAGTTCAAGGTATGTTGAGCATGGTAAAACTCAAAGAACATAGATCATCTTTTAAACTTTGACATTAAAAATTGGAAAAAGTTAAAGGCAAGATACTAAACTAGTTGCAAACGATGTCGCTGCTTTAATATTGTAAAGTTATATGACCAAATTACTGAGTTTTAATGAAAAATGGCATTGGTTTAAAGTTGAGGATAAAAAAGATGTCTTCTCCTACGTATTTTACAATTTTTAAAATTAAAATTTAATTTTTTACGTTTTTTAAAAGCCATATTTACTAAAATTACATCATTCTTCACAAATTATATCCACCTTTACCAGACAAGCTCATTTTTTTGCTTTAGGCGTTAATGGGTCACGACCACTCCAAGTCATCGATGGGTGCATTTTCAAACTCTTTCGACAGTGCCACGGTATACCAAGCTAAGAAACAAACACTAGCTCCAAGACGAGCCGATTCTACGGCTTCAGATGATATGCAATCGACCAGTCTTCGAGAACCGAGTAGGTCGACCGGCTCACTCACAGTCAAAAAAGGAGAGTTGAGGCGACAGAAGAAGGTCAGCATGGAAAGGGTAGGCTATTTTTAATATTTTTCATGTTGTTTTAGTCAGTTCTTATCAAAGTTAGCTATTTTTGAAAAGAATTTTAAATTGAAGACATTTTATACGATGAAAGCTGTCTTTATAAGACAGATTTTGGTCTTTTTTAGGTAACAATGATGACTTTTTGTTAATTTTTGGATAATATGGATGATTTTTTGCTAGTTTTGTTACTTTTAATCTCTAAATAACCCTTTCTAACTACAGAAAATGTAATTTTTTTTATGTTTTTCAACTCTATTCTTCACTACCAAAACATTTTTTGTACCAACACTTATTTTCAATTAGAGTCCCTCTAAAACAACATGCATTACCAAGTCCAATTTGAATACAGGCGACTTAATTTGCTTGAATAATGTACATACATTTCCTATTATTTCCTGCGGCACTTCTATTTTTTGTTTTTACCCAAATTGGACATTGGCCGAGCTAATTTTATAAAACCTTATAAATTTAATGAAGTTCTTTTTGTGCCAGCCGGTTCAACTGGGCAAACTTCAAGTTTTGTAAACAAAGGGAAAAATGTTTGAAAATTTAATTTTTAAGTTGATATTGATATAAAAATTTAAGTTTAAATTTGGAAAAAAAAATTTTTTTGGACACCATTAAGTACATAATTCGTATTGTACAAAAAAACTGTTAAGTTTTGAAAACTTTGTCATAATTTATATTACACTTCAAATCAGACTGCTACTGTTATGCTAATGCCAAAGTTTCCTATCCTTTTCTCAAAAAACAAAAAGAGAACCAAGAACCTTGTAGTAGCCTGTCATCTTTGTGACGCTGCAACTTGTTGTTAATAACGTCCTGTTTAATGAGACATCGTTCCGTGAGCACGTTCTTGCTCAACGTTCTTGGAGCTATCAATTTTTAATTGAAGCCACTGTTTTTGTGGTTGGGGCGAGAACAGTAGTGAGGGGTGGATATTGTAGTAGGTGTTGGGGTCGAGATACTGAAGAAGAGTTGAGCGGGTGTAGGTAGTGTTATAGGTATAACTTGTTTGTCCAAGCCTTAAAAATAAAGAGTTTTGATCTCGTATAAAAAAATTACAAAACTTTCTAACGAGCTCAAAAGATTCCCATTATAATGCTTTACACCGTTTAAGCCAGCTAAAACAGTCTATAACTCACCCTACGTAACAGACGGTTAAGTGAAGCCGGAAGGCTTTTGCAGAGAAAAGGATATGCTTGGCCAGCTCGAGTGGGTTACCGTCTCATTTGACTGGGCTGTTTTAAATAGGGTAATTATAGGGTTTCTTTAGTACAACATTAATATTAGAGTTTATACAGAGGGATATATTATTCGAATTATATTGAGTCATATAATATTATAGTAGGTTCGTTTTTGAAAGGTCAAAAGTTTAAGTTGAATTTTTAAATTTTGATTTAAAAGTGTTTGCTGTAACTTGATATTACTATTAATATGCAAATTGAAAAAAGTTTTGACTTCCAAATACTTTTTTGAGTATTTTTTCGATTTTAAGTTTTTGGACTTTTGTATTAGTGATAAACGTCGACGTATTTTACTTCCAAACTTAAATGTTCGCTACGAATTTAACAATTTCAAACTATTAGGCCGTTCGAGCAGTTCCGTACCTTCTCTCAAATCAAATTTTTGTGATTAGAGAGCACAGAATTTTGAACAACAGGGCGTTTCAACTTCAATCTTAAAAGTTTTGCTATAAAATTGACCTTTTTGAAGCTACTTACTTCCAAAACTTTATTTTTACGATAAAGTTTATATTTCCCAAACTTATGGCCAATTTTATATCTTCCGGAATTAAGCGAACGCCACAGATTTTAGTATTGACGTATGTTTGGAGACGTTTTCCCACCAGATTTCTTATTAAACATCAAGTTCCACTGCCAAAATCTATTATTAATCTTGGTTGATTAGTGGGAAGAGCTTGAGATTAGTAAGGTAGAGATTAGGAATTGTGAGGTAGTGATAAGGAACAGTAACATAATGATAAGTGATAATAAGATAGTGATAAACAAAGGTAATGGATATAAAAAACAATCAGATAGTGATAAGTAATAGTAAGATAATAATTAAGGAACAGTGACATAGTGATAAAGAACATTAAGATAATGATAGTAATAATAAGGTAGATAATAGAAAAGGGCATTAATAGGAAATAACATTGTAAAAACTCAGATTATACTGTGCCGTTCCTCTTAGTGCACTATAACAACTTTAGGCTAAGTACGTGCAAAAATCACTACGTAGTATGTACTATAGCAAAGTCAATAACACACGTAATACGTTAAAAATGACATTTTTGGAACGAAGTCACTAAATCATATTATGTTATAGGAACGCATAGAGTTATATATCTTAATAAGGGCTAGTATTAAAGCATATATGGCAGGATAGACTAGTAAATAAGAGATGGTAGTCTATAGAGAACGCCAGAGTAAGTTATAGTACAAGATAGTGTAGGCTAGAGAGCTTTAGAATCGTATCAGACATAGTGTAAGACAACAAGCATATCATAAGACATAAAGCAACGTAAGACAACAAGCATAGTATACGATATAAAGCAGTGTAACATAAAGCATAGTAGACATTCTCTGATAAGTGACTAACGTAATTTGAAGCGGAACTGCACCACGATTGACTTCCCATAATCACATTATAGTACTCGTACTAAATTTAGCTTTGTTTACGTTTGTCTTGACATGTTATTGATGCAATATGTGCATAAACTTTGTTTACACTTTTCTCCAATTACTTTAAAGTTGTGTTCTTTGAACTTTGGACCGAAAAATTAAAAAGTAATCAGCTTTATTGCACGATTAGAGTACGTAGGGCACTAATTTTAGTTTAGGAGTACGTTCTACAATATTGTTTACAAAAGATACGTACTGTAGTATTGGTTACAAAACAGTACGTGCTATAATTATTTTTTTTGTTGTACGTACTGTACAGCATTTATGATAGATTAGGAACCATGCACTATACTATATTGTATGTACAGTAAAGCAACTATCATAACTTAAGCACTAGACCAGTTATAATAGTACACGTACAATATAGTACTTCTACTGTGCACGTACGGTACAGCTTTTTATACTGTGCACATACTGTATAGTTTTTTCTACTGTACACGTACTATCTAGCACTTCATACTGTGCACACACCAAGTACCATTTAGTTAATGTTCGTGTCACATTAAGGTAATTCCATCGCTTTAGGTAATGTTATTGCCCCGATAATGTCACTACGTTGTTTTTTGCGTAGATTTTGCAGATATTTTTGAACAATTACTACAGTAGAGTGGAGGTGACGCAAAAGTGTCAACAAAATATTGTTTTAGATTCCGAGAAATAATCGAGGTACGATGGCATTGTTTTCGATAAATACATACCGTATTTTTAGGTGGGTGGGGTAAAAACTTGGCTCATGGTATAGGGCAAGACAAGACAAGGCAAGGCAGGGCAGGGCACGGCATTTCAGTTCAGTCTGCCACTTAAGGCCGCCATTTCATAACAGTTTAAAAATTTCAAAAACCTTTTAAAACTGTCAAGTTCAAAACATGTTTTCTATCAAATCCACCCCACCGTATCACCAGAAGCTCTCACACTCCAGCCATAACGTAAACAGTACATTATGTTGTGTCACATTTCTTGTGAAATTTGTTTTTCATTTTTAACGGTTCTGTTTTGTCCTGGGACCAGAGTTCGCGGGAAAAAGGTGCTCAGAATGGGGAATGAGATCTCGTGCTTTCCCATACCCAGGAAAGAATCCTTTCTGATGCCTTGGCTTTAATTATGTGACATTTGTTGCGTAGTATAATAAAGTAGGTTTCTGGGCTGGTACGTCGCTAAGGCTATGAATGGAAACTTATTTTTGGTTTTTGAGCTAAACTTGAAACATTAAGGGGTGTTTTTGAACTTTTAGGGAGGTTTTTGGCTTTTGGAGGTTTCTGAATTTTTGTGGCTTTTAAGGTTTTGTATTATATATTGAAGTAAGGCGGGGGTATTTGTTATGTACATAGCATAAAGAAGGGGTAAAAATTTTTAATTTTTGATGTTATTACCAAAAAATTTTTCTAAAATTAAAGTATTGTCAGTAGTACTTAGAATGAATTTATATGCATCACACTTTTGTCAAGAAAAATATAACTTATCGTTCTTTTGTTTTGAATACCTTGCTTTTCGTGTTAAGACTCGAAATTTTGTTTTAAATTTAGCCAATTTTTAAAGTTTTAATAGAAAGCTGTTATATCCACAATAAACCGAATAATCTTTTACACTTACTCAGTAATCTTTACAACGTAGTAAATTGTTTTGTAATTTTGTGTGACTTAAAATACACGGCTTCCGTTACTTACCACGCTATATGCGTTTTCAACCATGTTACACTTAGTTTAAGTTTACTGTTGCTGTTATACTTAATCTAAAGATACTGTAAATCTTACACTCAATTTATGTTTACTGTAACTGTTAAGCCTAACATAAGGTTACATACAATAACTGTTACACTCAGTTTAGGTTTACTGTGGTTGTTACACCTAATCTAAGATTACTTTTTTCTTAAATAATTTATGGTATTGTAGGTAATGAGATTAGTTTTTTATTTTTCATTAATTTAACACTTATTAATGAGAAAACTGTTTTTTACGTTCATATAGGCCAGGTTACTGTTTGGGAATGTAATTTTAGCCAAGGCTGTAAACTGATTAAGTCATGATTAAAAATGTTAATTGGTTTATGGTTTAACAAGGCATTAAGAAGCATTTACAGAGTTTGGTCTTTACTTTGCACGATATAAAAGACCACTTTTTGTTAAAATAGAAAAGAAGTACGTATGTAAATTAGTCAAAGTTGGTTTTGGCACGTAGAATTGAACGTAATATAGAGGGTATTAAATTATAAAATAGCTTTTAATAGGTTATAGTATGTTGTATTATGATCTGTATAAATGTTGATACTATAATTATTAAGTGAAATTAGGAACTTTAGTTTGTTTTATATGTCGTACCCCTCCCTCTCCCTATCTTCCATCCCCCCCCTCCTCTACTCTATTTTGGCCCATAACAAGAGAATACTACAACATAAAAGCATGTTGATCACATTGTAACCTCCGAACTTTAAAAAACACTTTCAAAGATCCCTCAACTGTATTTTGTTTTTCTTTTCGAGTTCGAATTACAAAATCTTACAAAGATTGTCTTACATCAACATCCGTTTCATGGTTCCACAGATTACTCTCACAGTAATCTGGCTCTAATTTTTGTGTTTTGCTATAGTGCACAGTAGTTATAGCATAATAGTACAGTAGATAATACTGTTTACAAATATATATAAGTATGTGGTTATAGATTTTTGTGAACGTTTTTTAGAATTACATGGGTCTGATGTTGTAGTAGGTTTTTGTATAAGAAAATTAAATTATATTACAGTAAGACTTGTATAACTCATTTGTTGGAGAGTAGGCAAACCCAAGAGAGGGGGAAAAATCACCTTTGTCACACTACGTATCATACTTTTTTATCAATGTCTAGCCAAGCAAATCTACATGCTTTTTGATATTGTACATGTTTTTTAAGTCATCACTTTGAAATCTTCAAAGTTTAATCCAGGCGGAACTTTCTAATCGTTAATTAGCTATAGTCTTATTACAGCATGATCTATTTTGTCAAATTTACAACTGTATTTCTTGTTTGCCTGTCATTTCCTTATGTACATTACATGGATGATTGAAACTTAGCTATATTAAAGGACCAGTTCGCCCATTCAAATATCATTGGCATTCTGTCGCAAAAAGCGTCGAAAATCAGGCAATTTCAATCAAAATCATTTTTCTCAAAAAACGTGAGTGGGTCGGTGTCGAAATGAACTTTCTAATTTGGGACCGACCTTCTCAGGTTTTTTGCAAAAAAATGAACGTCGAATTTTTGCGACAGAATGCCAATGATATTTGAATGGGCGAACTGGCCCTTTAAGGTTGAGGAAGTGGCAAATTTAAAAAATTATTGGTTTGGGTTTAGGAGATTGTAGAAAGAGCTACCGAGTCTAATTTTATGAAAACTACTAGGTACTGTACATCTATAATAACAATAACTTGATAATAGCTTTCTACCGTTATTACCCTTCTTTCTATTTTTATTGTTTACTACAGTATCCATTATGTTCACTCACACAGACTGTTTTTAATAATGTGTTACAATAAGTATGTAACGTAATACAGTCTAATTTACGTGACATTCGACCGTTTTGTAACGTTTTTCGTCTGGGAACGGTATAGGAAAGAGCATTGTTTGTGGGAGATAAACAAAATGCAAAATTTTAATTAAATTACGGTTTGTACTGTTTTTCCATACAAATCTTTTAAGCCATATCATCTAGGGGTTACTGTAAGTTCAGTAGTCAAAAAAAGTCGTTTGAAATTTTTTATTTTTTAGAAATTTTTAAGATTTAATTGACTGAAAGCTTGATTTTGAAAAAACTAGTATAAAATTATATATTTTTTGGGTGTACAGTACAAAATGCTATAATTTGTAAGGTGTACTGTAAGTTTTGGCTTTTAATTATAAGTTTAACCGCAGCATTTTCATAAAGATCTTATCAAAATCGAATAAAAGTCTATCAGAACGTTCGGTAGTGGATGCTGTGGCTCTTAGCACAAGAAACAGGAAGATAAAATACAGTATCTTTCTTGGTACAACAAGATATTGTATTTTATGTTTTTCACTTTGATATCTTCTATTTCAACCTTTTTTTAACTTTTACTTTATTTTATGACCTTTGACCAATCTTTCCCATCAAATTATTTAAATTTTCTCAATTTCTGCACATTCATAATGCCATTCCTTCTACCATACGATAACATTGCAATTCATCTTCAACTTTGTTTAATATGCAATTCAAATATAATATCAATTACAATTTGTGACGTAGATGCTCGCGAAAAGGGGCGTGGCCAAATGCTTTTGGGCCGCTCTGCACTTGTGGCCCGACCCTCCACAATCTTTTGACAATTCCACTCGAAAAGCAGTCGGTAAACCGTTGCAACGTTTGCCAACGTGTTACGAGGACCTTAGTATTGTACTTGATCGGGCTTTTGTTAGACTTTGATTTGAGGGTGGAGTAGTACAAGGTGGAGTGGTACTTCGGGGTTTGGAGGTAGTACAAAAGGAATTAGGGGTAACTGTTATCAACTTATCATTTTTTGCTTGTAAAATATGATCAAAGCTTTTTTCATAATTTTATAATTGAAGTTATAGTACTACTTTTTGATTCTGTAATAGTATCATACTGTATCGACATATTATAATTGTTTCAATATTGATCTCCCTAATCTTAACAGCTGATCTTTATCATTTTTTGAAAGTTTATGCCCTCACGTGTTGCTTCGTGACCTCATCTTGAAACTTGATACTTTTTGCCACAAGAATGATCTATGACAATATCTTATAGTAAATAGTTTTTAATGCCAATATTTATTTTTTATCATACATAGCATATAGTTTTTTATTTATCTCTTCTACATAGCATATATTTATCATAAATGGCATGACTTAATGGTAATATTTCAGCGGTCAGGATCATCTTCCCGTTCAACGAGTACTAACAGTACGATGGCCAAGTCTCAGCGGACACAGAGCCAATCAGGCAAAATGGTGCCAAAAAAGAGTGGCATTTCAGGATCATCACAGGTAAGATAGCCTCATTGGGGTACCGTAATTTTTCTTAGGGTACAGTAGGAAAGTTTTAAGGTCTTATAGTCTTTAGAGAAGGCCAGTTCTACTCACGTACTGTAACTTTTACTAGAGTACAGTAGGAAAGTTTTTAGAGTACAGTAGTAAAATTGAAAGACCTGATATTGGAGTACTGTAACTTTTCAACACTTTTTTGTTATTAAGCCTACTGTAACATACCAAAATCAAATCGAACGCTAAAAGTGCAATTTCTTTTAAAATTTAATTAGTTTTGTCACAAATTTGAACTACGATTTCCGAAAACAATAGTAACCTGTGGTATGTTGGTTATTTACACCCACCAACATGTGTAATATGTTGGCGCAATTAAGTTCAGTTTTTGATGCCTAAATTCGTGGAACTGGCCTGTCACAATTCAATTACCAAAGTGACATATTACAACTCTTTTCGACACACTTTTAACCCAATTTCAATAATTCGAAATCGGGTTTTAGGTATAGTTAGGGGTGTGAGAAGTGGGGCAATGATGAGGTCTTGTAGGTAATGAGCTGTTATTAGAGCTGGTAGGTATTGGGATATGACTGTCATTGGTTTTAGACCATAAAATGAGACTTTTTGTAAGTTGTCAGATGAAAATGTTACCTAAAAGGCTATTTTTCATACCAAAACTACATCATTTAGTACTAAAATACAACTTTATAGTAATATTAGTACTAGCACAATACACAGATTATTATTAGCATCATACTAATACTATTACAAAGTTTAGTTCCTATCTTTTTGTTACCTAAAAATCTAGTTTTTATACCAGTACCACATCATTTAGTACTAAAATACAACTTTACAGTACTATTAGTACTAACATGATAATAATACTAGTACTAGAGTGATACTAATCTTATTACGAAGTTCATTTCCCACCTTTTTGTTACCTAAAAATAACTTTTTTAACACTTTTACCCGTAAATAAATGACAAGACCCTCAATAACAAGGTAGTTATTGTAGTTTGATAACTTTGTTTTACGTATTATGTTTACACATACGTCAAAATAATACCTTAATTAGTCTCAGTAGGCTTTAAAAAACTTTTGGCTAGTCTAATATTATCTATTCTATTAAACTTTGGTTTAGATTTTGTCGGCAATTAGAGGGCGCTTAAATAGAACAAGGTTTATATTGTTGGTATAGGGCATTTGATGAGGTAAAATACGACTTTTAGTAACGAAAAAAACAATCTTAAATTAAATAAAATTTTTTTTTAATTAAAAATTACTTTAAAATGGCAATATATTGTAGTATACTTACTATAATAAGTTTACAATAATAGTAAATCTACGATAACATGTCTAAAAAAGGAAATCTGCTATAATATGCCCCATTTCCAGGCCATCATCAACTTTTGTATTGAGAACGCGAAAGGTGACGTTGCTTCCAGAGTTGTGACCAGAATGGCGAACAAACGTGAGGATTTCAACCAATTCTTGTCCAGTCTTAGCAACGAACAGTTCAACACAATCGTCGGGTCTCTACGCGAATACTTCCAAAACGTCGTCCAGAACCTACAGTCTTCAGATAAAGTCAGTTCCGCTGAATTTTTAATCAGAATTCGTTAAAATAAGTTTAAAAGAGTAGTTGAAATACCTTGTTTTTGGTTTTTTCATAGGTTGTTTGCGAAGAAACTTATAGAAAAACCTAAAATAAGGCCCAAGAAATTTTAAAAAACGGTTTTTTACAAACTTTCCAACCGAAATTTTAAGTTTTTAAACTAGTTTTTGATTCTTTTTTAACATTTTTTAACAAACCTACTTTATAGATAAAAGAAATCTCAGTGCAATACGGAGCAGATCAGGTACCAAGACGGGCATGGGGCTTCAAGGCCGATTACTTTGCAGTTATGGCCAGTGCCCTAACGACAGAATGCGTATTTTTGGATGGTGCACAACATCAGGTACTTTTAAATCGATTTATATGATATATATCAAACTGAGCTTACTTTTGATGTATCTTAGCTTATGTTTGATATAAATATATTAGGTTCAGTTTGATGTATATAATATAGTAATAAGTTTTGATATATTAGGTTGTTCAAATAGTTCTGTGTCGCTAACCTCCAAAAAATGCTTTGAAAAAGAGCACAGAAGTCTTCGAGCAACCTGATATATAAGGATGCTTTCTTCTGCACGGTGCAATTCCTTATGTTATTGCACCGTGCAGTCCTTTTTCCTTTGCACCGTGCAGTCTCTTTTCCTCTGCACAGTGCAGTCTTTAAAACAAAAATTTTTCAAACTTTTTTATATTGTATGATTGATTATATGATATATTTTTAGCCCACAGAAGCCATTGAAGCCTGGTCAGAGCTAGCAGAACTCATGTTCAGTAACATTAGGGATGGATATTATCAACGAGTAAGTTTTCTCATTTTTTTTGTTTTGAACATGAAAAAAACAAAATTTTCTATAAAATACTAGGTTTAAAGTTAGCTTTGGGTCATAAAATGTCATTCCTTTTTAAAATTTTACAAAACTAGGCCTAAAACTACCGTTATCTTTTTTGTGTTCCAAGTACAATATTATGCAAAATCCAAATTTTCTGTAGCCAAATGTGTCACGATGACCTTCGCCTGAGGCGTAAATATTTACCGTAAAACAAATTAATAAGAATTAGGAAAATAAATTAGGACTCCTAATCCTATTTATTCATACCTCACATAAGCCGGATGTTCTCACGGCTGTAAAAATCGCTACGTAACCGTGGCACGGCATTGAAAACGGCACGGAAACAGGACTGTTTGAAGCCATTACGTGCCGTTTTTGGGGTTTTAAAGTTTACAATCGAACAAAATGTTCGAGGAAATTTGTAAAAATTGATTAATTTTGGATATTATGGTAGGGAAAGGGGATGTTACACTCGAAAATGGCTGTAAAAATTGAAAAAAAAGGTGTGAAGATTTCAAATTGGCTTATGAACATATAAAACATATATTTTATTACAATATTTTACAATACAACCGAAGAAAATTGTTAAAATGATATTGTAGTAGCCAGTAAAGTAAAGAAAAGCCCTTGTTTTGCCACAATACCAGACTTAAAACAAAATTTTTTGTTGACAAAATTAAAGAAAATACATTTAAATCCTTTGAAAACCTTCTTTAACTTCAAAAAAATTAAAATTTTTGTTTTGTTAAGCCAAAAAGTCGTCGAAAACATAAAAATTAGGCCAAGAATTCAGTTTTCAAAAGTGTAATGCGTTTAAAATTAGCCTTCTGAAGCCGTTCAAGAGTTCCGCAAATTAGGATTTGGTAAAAAGAATACCTAATCTTCTAGAATTTGGAATGTGAAACCATATAAAGTTAATCTTTACAATACGGAAACATTCACATAGCTATCGACGTGGAATTAAAAGGCGGATGAAAAGTCGTTTAGGATAATTAAAATTGGAAAAACTAAAGTAAAATGCTTTTAAAATTAAAAAATATTATCGAAATGAGAAGTTAAAGATCTTAATATGTTTAAATTCAGCGCAAATGTTACCTAAAAACCTTTAAAGTTATAAATTTTAATTTTAAAAATTTTGAAAATTCAAATTCTAAATATAATATTAACATTTTCAGATTCGATACCTCCGCAAGAACTCTCACTGCTTCAACCAGTTGTTCACACAATCCTCCGACCAGTCGACTGAAGACTCCGGCAATCAATTACTTACCCCCTCACCCTCGCCCAACCGCCTCTCCCCCAACCCAAACTCAAGACCGGTCGATCGACGAGCAAACACCCTGAGGACACAGAACACGTTAGTAACTGGAGATACCGTGAGGTCGTGAGATTGTAGTGCCTATGTCAACATAGGGCTCTTAAAGCTCTATAGGAGAGATATTGGCATTGTGAAGAAGTTGTGAAGTTTACTGTCTTCATAATGTTGAGCTTTACTATGGAGTTGATAATAGTTTCCAATGTAAATTCTTGAAATTGTTAATGACAACAGCATGGTGCCGTCGTTCAATTATCAAGTTTGTTGTGATATGGTAATATTTTTTCGATTAGATGACCTCTTTGTCTACTTTTCACTTGGAAATGGGTCAAACTTTAAGTTCATTTTGTTTTTTAAAATATTTTTACTGTAAGGTACTGTAAGATTATCTTTATTTTATCGTTTTACACAAAAATTCGTGAACTAAACCACTATGCCACTTTAAACTTGACCCATTTCCACCCGAAAGCCACAGTAATAGCAATTCCCGGTTTGTATGTAAAGCATTATCGTGTTGTCTGAGCTTGTAAACATGAAACATAGCGATTATCTTGTTCATCCTCGTCATATCTCAATTAAAATTTGATTGTTTTGCCACTGTACAAAGTTGCATATATTATTTTCTATATCAATATTGAAGAAAGAGTAATAAACACTACAATAATTTAAACATTTAGGCATGATTTAGTCATTTGGGGGAGAGGGGGGGGGGGTGTTTTTACAAGTTTTCGCTGTAGAAAAAAGATCGATCCAATGAGTTTTATAAAAAATATCATAACCTTTCATTTTTACAATCTAAAATACGTCAAACTCAGTGACACGTGTCACGACACATTATATAACCCGAGTTTATTGGCAACATAAAACAATATAATGTTGATTTAGCACTTGAGAGACAACTTTGATCAAGAACTGTACAAGACACACTGGCAGCTGAATAAATAAATGTACAAATAGAGCTTCGTAAAGCCACAGTCATGTGATCAAAACACCATTCGAAAGTAGTGCCATCAATACGGTTTAAACGTTTTTTTAAAATCTGCACAGTGCAATCCAAAGTGATTGCACTGTGCAATATTAAATCAAATTTGCACCGTGCAAGGCCCAAAAACTTTAAAAACACCTTAATGACACTACCTTAACTACTTTAAAACTTGAGTAAAAACAAAAAATATATAACCATAGGCATTTAAAAATATAAATTTAACAAAAATTCGTTGAAAAATAAATTATGCAGACATTTAATAGGATTCGATAGAAATTGATTATTACAGTTGTAATAATCAATATGGCTGAAAGACATTGGCCCACACTTAAGTCTTTAATGCATTACTAGATTCATCTTACTTTAGCACGATGTTTAACACCGTTTCGCGTACTTTAAAGTAAAAATTGGTTAAAAACCGAGAAAAACAAGTTATCATAGACAATATACATCTTCGTCTTTAAACCTATATCGTACTCCTTATGTACAGCAAATTACTGTAAATACTATAACAACATTTCAAGTATGGTACTATAATACTACAGTAATATACTTAATTCAGTGCTTAACAGTACGATCCCCATTAACAGTCCCAATCTGAGATCCTTGATTTATTGCACCGGTCGATTCAACTGTGGTTCCTTGTGTGACATTTCGGCCAACCTCAAGAAGACCTGCTCCAGACTGTTTTGAGTTAGAGAAAAGTCCAGGATTCGAGGTTGTGAGCTGCCTGGAGGCAAGACAGCATTCGCCGGGTAGCTTTCAGCAATTTCTTGTGCTCTTTTGAACAACTTGGACCAGGTTTGATCGTTGCGAGGAATCTCCCAGTGCTGGGTGGGGGTTTCGGCTGGGTCTACTGTCGAGTTGGCCTAAAATAATAAATTTTAAGTATTGCAGATCAGTAGTAAGTCTATTTCTATCATTTTACGTTAAACTTTCAGTAGTGAAATGCTAATTTCAGCCCCAAAATGCTAGTATAACATACATAATCATTGCCCAAACAACTATTCAGTAAATCTTTTGTTGGAGATGTAAGGTGCAATGTAAAACAATATCTATCACACCTTATATATACCCTGTTCTCTTGCCATTTTACATTAAAATATACCCATAAGTCTTAAAAATTCAATTTTTCTCCTTTCAGTTTAGACATATTTGTATAGTAGGCGTTGTTAACGACGCCTAATTTCGGGTTTCTCATTGCGAAAGGCCACAATGGCATATTTACATTTGTGACGTCGTATCTTTCCACATTTCAAATTGTATTTTTATAACGAAAGTCACTTCCTAAGAAATACCAAACAAAACACTTGTTTTGATACCTATAAGCATGGCTATAAGAAGCTTTACTTAAGTGAAAGATATTTGGCTTACTGATGTTGTTTTATGGTAGAATGGCTTAAAATCCTTGTTTTTAATCGTAAAATTAAGTGTATAATACGATTGTTTAACTTCTTGGAAACAAATGACCGTGAAAACATCAGAGAATAGGCTAGCGTGATAAAAAGTGCAGATACAATTAAAATTTAATATGTGCCTATTACATGAAAAATGTTTACCTACTATACCCCTTTTAAACAGTATGTTTTTGTACTTACTATGACACAGTAATAGCGTGCCAATTACTACAATCCACTTCACAAAAACTTTTAGATCGGCTACATCAACAAACGATATTACTTTACTGTAAATACGTATTTCATATCGTATGTTCCTCGACATATCCAATAAACCATTGTATGTCAATTCACCTACACACGTATACAATAATTCATTCACACACACACGTTTCATTACCCCCTCAAACATCCATTGTAATTATTTGTTTTTCGCGGTAACCACTTTTGTATTACCATGTTATTGCCCAGACTACCGTAGTCGTTTAAACGCTGTAATCGTACCCGGATGTAGATTCCGACCGTTTTTCGGTATTCGAATATGTTATTCTAGAACCCCGACCCAAACGACATATTGAGCCAAACTTTCCCACGCGTATCTTCATCACATGTTCGTATGTTCGCCTCCTACACCTTGTCGTTAACAATTTTATACGGTGGTGTTTGCTCGTATCTTATATTTTTCAAGAAATAATAAGCATACCTTAGTAGATACTGTAGAGAAAACAAAAAATCACGTTATCCATTCTCCAAACGTCATACCGCAAACCACAAGACCTTCTACCTTCGTTTCCACATCCAAACCCAACTCATACCCGTATATCATGTTAGAGACACCTTCAGTTATCTAAGAACATTAATCTTTACTCTCACACCTACATTATGTTATTGCACGCAGATATTTTACACTTTTTCAGTTATTTCAAGATACGACGTCAAATGTTTCTTTGGATTTCACAAAGTTCGTCAATTAAGGCTGCTAACAACGCCTACTATAGTAATGTTACGTTACTATTCCTTGTAGTTATTCCAATTTAAAATGAATTTGGCAAATTTTGTTTTAAATTGATAATAAAACATAGTCATTGCCAAAACTCAAAAAAAGCTATTTCAAAGATCATTCCTCGCCGTATGTTAACATTATCAAATGTTTTAGCCTTTCCTTATACCAAGACTTGTACCGAGATGTTCGAAATGTTAACAAACATCATGTTATAAATTTTTAAGCACTTGCATGGTATAACCACGGATATTAAACATTCACCAACTCCCAAGTCCAATAAAACATTCTTACGTTGAATTCGTGTGTAATTTGAGCATCCAACGCCGCGCTCACCGCCGGTTCTGGGTTGGCGATGGTGAAGGTTAGGAGGAAGGAGTTACCGTACCTGCAACAATATTGTTTATTTACACTTAACATTAAGGGGTTTTGTTTGTTTGACATTATATTTTCTCAAAATTTAAGTATCAAAGAAAAGGTTTTTGAGCATAACATATATGAGTAAAAACTGCAAAATTTGATATATACAAACATGAGATAGCTGATCATAACACAAATGTAAATCAACATAAATTTGTAAACAAATATTATCAAATTTTAGGAAATGACATCAAAAAGAAGACAACAAAAGAGCAAAATTTGATATTTAAAATAATTTTCAAAGTAAAAGTAGCCCAATTTCTATAAAATTAAGCCACATACATAAGGTGACATAAACAGCAATTGTCATCAAAACGTGAAAAGTAGATCTAAATTCAAATACTATTGTGATTCTATTGTAAACTTAAAATTTTTTCCGAAAATACGTCATCACCTATTCAGACAATAATTTCTTTAATAACAAACAATGTTTTTATCTTCAACATCATACAATAATAACTCTCTCATTTTTTCTATACTTAATTACCTTGTCTATTACAGCACCTAACAATAAATCAAGGCCTCATTTTTCTTCCATTACAGCCAGTAAAAACCAAACTTTTGTTTCCATTACAGTACCCAGTAAAAATAAATCTTCTGTCAATACAGTACCCAATAAAAATCAAAATAACTCTACATAAAATAATTTTGCCCTTTTCAACCCAAAAAAATGTTTATGACGTAACATTTTTTGCAAAGTTCTATGTACAAATCCACCGTAATTTTGGCAGTGAATTTGAAACGGAAACCGTAGACAATGGCGTTCCACGTATTCCACCTAATTTCGGTTTCTGATGCTTTGGCCGTGCACTTGAATGCATCTCGAAACTTGAGGTAACAACAATTCCACGAAAATACTTCATAAAAGGTTGAAGAATGTTTAGACAGACATTATTTTTCAAACACAATATTTTTGAAATTTTAGAAACCCCAGAAAAAATTTTTGCAAATTTTTAGGTTACTGTACCTTTCCATAAATTTAAATGTCCCAAATGCTTTTTTAAACTTTTTTTAAGTTTAAAATTCAAAGATACTTCTTCTTTCAATGAAACTGCCGTTTAACTCGTCAGTAAAACTGTTAATCCGTTTAAATTTGTATTAAAACAGTCTTCATGTACTTTAACTACATCATTTACTCAATAGAAACCTTTTAAATTTCCAAAAATTCGAAAAATTTCGGTTTTTTAAACAAATTTCACCTACTACAAGATTTTGTCTACCTACAAAACCTTGTCAAAAGATTAAAACCAAAAACGCCAAGATTTCAATCTAATCACCCCCAAATTCAAAATATAACCCCACAATAATAATATAAACCCAATAACAGTACCCACCTGCTCTTGAGATGCTGACTGCTGCCAATACTCATCAAGGCTCCTTTGTTCATGAATCCGATTCGATTACACAACGCTTCACACTCTTCCATTGAGTGACTGGTCAACAATATGGCCACATTCTGTTTCTTGACGGCTTGAATCAACTGCCAGATCTTCCTTCTGGTCGATGGATCAATACCTGCAGTCGGTTCGTCCAACATGATGAAGGTTGACTTTGACATTAGTGTTACTCCAATCGAAAGTCTTCGCTTTTGTCCTCCCGAGTAGAAACTGATCAGTTTGTCTGCTTGAGGTGACATCCTGATACTGTCAAGTACCTTCTGAACACGGTGCTCCACATCGTGGAATCCATTCAGTCTTCCGAGGATCGTCAGAAGTTCTCGACCAGTAAGATCCAGAGCTAGAGCGTCGAATTGGGGACAGTAGCCGATGGTAGGGCTATCAACAACATCAACACCTTCTACTGTGGCCTTGCCTGCTGATGCAAACATTTCGCCGGTCAAGATGCTGAAGGTGGTCGTCTTTCCAGCTCCGTTAACTCCCAGTAATCCAAAGCAATCGTTTTGTTTCACTCCGAATGTCAGACCTCTGACAGCACAGAAATCGCCGTAGAATTTGTAGATTTCTCTGACGGTTAGAGCAAAAGCATTGTCTTCTTTTGATCGTACGTTCTCTCGTTCTTTGGTAACATCTTCGTCTTCATTCAACTCGACTTCACCGTCCACCTGAGTATTGATCTAAATTGATATCAAGTCACTTTAAAATTACATCAAAAGCCAACCACATGTACAATATAACCATTCAAAACATCATCCGAAATCGGCAATAGATAAAACCAGGTAATATTTGTTTTAATAAGTATCGCAAACAATATAAAAACACAAAAAGCAGCCTAAAAATTTGAAAAGAAAACTCACAATTTGATAAGGACTTCTCCTGATCTTGCAATGCAGTGAATGTGCCAATAAGGCAATCTTCTTCGACTCCAAAACACACAAAACGCTCCAGAAGAAGAATCCTCCAGCCAGCTGACAGTAGATGATACTTTTGATAGCCTCAAACACCGTGCCATTTGGAAGATTATCAATTCCAGCATAAATAGCCACTTGAATAATACCGTTTCCCAATGAGAAGGCAGGTAAGACAATGTAGGTTAGGTAGTGGAAGACATCTCTGATTGGTAGTTGTAGAGCTTGGAAAGTGATGTCAGTGATTAGAGCTATCACTGATATCACAACATTCCAACATAATAAGGCTGCATATGCTTTGACGGATGAGTTGAAGAGGAATGAGAAGCAGTATACAAAGGGTAGAATCGACCAGAGGTACAGTGCCCATAGAAAAAAGTTTCTAAAATTAACAACATTATAGTGAATATCATCTTACAGTACCCTTCTCTAGCAATTTTAATGCCAAAATTCCCATTTAACTTACAAACATTGCTCTAACTATGTTATCTGTTAAAAAACATCTTTAAAATCAAAAAACCTATTACTTACTGCAACATAACTCCTTGCATCCATCCAAAAATCACAAATACAACCGTTAACAACAAGCAGAACACCGTGTATATAGCCAAATGCCACATGATCAGACTACTCCAATATGTCCAGATGTTCATCTTAGTTAACAACAACTGATTCTTGAATCTAGTCGCATTATCTTCCACAATTTCCATGACAAAAGTCGATGACAAACTTGAGAAAGCCAGGATAGCAATGATGGCTACAACAAGGTTAACATCAGTTCCTTGCTTTGCAATATTCTCATGTTCAAAGTCGTGTGTAGGCACGTTGTAGACCTCCACCGTCAGTCTGATAGCTTCTGGACCTTGTTTTAGAATCGAGTTTGTCACCAAAGACACTGCTGTTGGTGGTCCGTGTAGATAAGCACCATTGAACAAGGCCATGATCGTGTTATTGGCCATGACTTGAGCTCCAATACCTAATGGTGGATCTTCATAAGCGTTCTTTATGAGTTCTGCTGTGACATTTGACAATGATGACAAACTCAGTAGTCTCATTTGAGGCAGTTTTCCCACCAAAAATGGAATATTGAGTGAGGTGTTAGATCCTTGTGACACAATTAATGGTACCGATAATGGGTCGAGTAGTGATAGGCTCAAGTCTCTTGTTTCATTCTTGATCGTGTTGTCATAACTGTGGAATCCAGCATATAAAGCGAAGAGGAACAGAGATACGACAATAGGACTGATGGTGCGCCATTTGTTTCTCTTGAGGTTTAGGTAATGACGATGACACAAAGTCGACAGTTGCTTCAGGAATAGGACTTGATCTCCACATTCAGCTTCTACAAATACAAAAAATACAATATTTTATTTAAATTTAAAACTAAAAATATTATTCTTAACATAAAAAACGTGTAAACAATTTTTTCATGTTAACATATTTTTTAATCAAGTCCCATTTTAAAGCAAAATTCAAATTTAAAAAAAAATGACAATTACAGAGTAAAATAAAAAACCTTACGTTCAGATGTAAATAACTCAGCAGCATCCTTTTCGATCAAAGCATTATCTTCTTGATGTTGTTCTTGAGGGTCAGCTATCTCACCAACTCTCAGGAAAATCTGTTCTAAAGTGTTGAATGATAAGCCAAAAGCTCCAATTTGAAGTTCTTGCTTTCGGCTTTCTAGCTCTTCAAACAAGTTGGCAAAACTGAAAAATAAAAAGATTACTACTATAGTAGCTACAATAAAATGTAAAATTTCATGTTTGTCCAGGGACGTCGTTTGGGGGGGGGGGGTGGTTCGGGGTGACTCCCCCCCAGAGCCGATCCGAAAAAAAATCCACAGGTAGGTACCTGTACGCGGAAAAACGAAAAAAAAATTTTGAAAAATCGGTCCACAGGCTAACTGTGGACCAAAAAAAATTTTTTTGACCTCCCCCCCCCCAGAGAAAAACCGTAGCGACGTCCCTGTGTTTGTCATACACCAAAGCGTAAACATATTATACTACACAATGCTCCAAAACTCACTACTTCTTCTTGTCGACCGGTAAAACAATGCTGAACTCGTGTGGAGTGATATTATCCACGTCTAGCTTTGCCTCTGGAGTATGTTTCTTCGCTACTCTTAAAATCCTCTCGGCTGTCGTCTGAATCGGCTCCATTTTGTAAGTTTGATCCACAGTAAAAGTCAGAATGTATCCGGTGCCAAACCGATGCTTCAGGAATTCCGGAGATCCATTGCAGATCATTCGGCCTTTGACCATGATTCCAATTCGATCACCCAGAAGATCGGCTTCGTCCATGTAGTGAGTGGTGAGAAGAATAGTTCTGTGCTTTTTGGCCTTTTCCAACATGATTCTTACATCATTACGAGCTTCTGGATCCATGCCGGCTGTCGGTTCGTCTAGAAGGACCACTCGACTGTCTCCGATCAAAGCCATTGCTACACAAAGTTTGCGTTTCATTCCTCCGCTCAAGGCTTCGGCTAGCTAAAATTAAACTGTTAAACTCAATTTAGATTTCAAACTGCCGTACTTTAAAGTAAAACAGTAAAAACAAAAAAAATAGTAATACAATACTTAAAAATAGTACAAACAAGGATAAAAGAGTACTGCAATCCTTAACCTCCAAAATACAAAATTACTTACCGTATCCAGCTTCTTCTGTAACTGAATCTGTCCAGTGATTTCCTCAATTTCAGCCTCCACAGCATGCGACTTCTCATCTGACTTCAACTTAGCGTAGAATCGTAAATGCTCGGCTACAGTCAGTCGTGGAAACAGTGGATTATATTGAGGACAAAAGCCGACGTTCCTCTGACAATCGTGTAGATTCTGTCGCAAATCATTTTTACAAATGTAGACTGAACCTGAAGTCAGCTTGGTTGATCCTGAGATTACAGAGAAGGTTGTGGATTTGCCTGCTCCATTGTGGCCGAGCAGTACGGTAATCTAAAATAATAAAAACTAAAGTTTATTACAAAAAATATCATAAAATTTTAAAACAAAATAATTATAAATTGAAACTGTCGTATTTTACCAAATCTAAAAGAAAAATTACTTTTATCTTAATCACCACGACCTACCTGTCCCCTATAAGCCCTGAAGCTCAGATCATCAACCGCTCGCTGGCCGGTTCCTTCCCATATCTTGCTCATATGCCTGATATCAATGTCAGCCATATCTTTGCCCATAGCTGAATCCGGCTCTACATTCTCGTTGTACTCTTCTGAATCCACTTGATCGTGTCCATCTGACAACAACTCATTGTGATATTGATATCCAAGTATAAACAATGGATGTTTTCGTGGACTAGAGTCAGTTGGTAGAACCGCATCTAGGTACAAAGCCAACAACATCATAACTACAATGTCCAGAATAATCATGATCATGGCCAGTCCAACTGTAAATGTGTGACTAGAGTTGGTGAACATATTCAGCCATCCAAGGTAAGATGTTGTAGTTTCACTCATACGAATCGCCGTGATGCCAAGTTTAAAAGCAGTGTAGACGTTGAGTGAAGCCAAGAAACATTGAGGAATCTGGATAAGGGATACACTGTACAGTGCATCAACAATCATAAAGAAGATCCAGCCAATCAAGGTTGTTATCAAGGCAAGAGTAGGCTTTCTGATTAACGCTGATACCAATATGCCAAACATAATTGCAGCAATAGCAAAAAGTAGTGATAATGCGACAAACAATGATGCACTAACGTACTGAAAAGAAAATTATGACAAAAAAAACAAATTTTAAGCCTTTTTTGATTATACGACAAAAAAATTACTTTTTCATTTTATAAACCATCAAAATACTTACCACCAGCCCAATACTGAAAGTTCCAGCACATATTATCATGGTGATTCCAACCTTAAACAGCCCAATCAGAAAGTGTGATCCATAGAAAGAAACTGAGTTTAGACCCATGGCCATCATGAAAGTCTTGACTCCTGCATCTTTCTCAGCCACAATGTTCTTGACTGTATGTACTAATGACATTAGTACCAAAATCAGCCATAAAGTGGGTGTTCGTTTCAAAAATGCGATAATCTGAGAATTTTTGAACTCGGCTGTCGGCATTCGTTGCAGGAATACTGGTCCATCCACTGGTTGGCCTACCATCTAAACAAAGAGACATTACAGTAACTGCTGCAGTAAATGATACTTTTAGTCATTTTTTTGTTATCCAGAAAAACTATAACATTAAAATAACTATACCTCCAAGAAAGAGCTCTCAATAGCAAACTGTAGACTCAAGAATCCACTGGACCAATATTGTGGTTCACTAGGAATGTAATTGAAGTCAGCTGACGCACTGTACGGTCCATCTTCTGGCCAGAAATCCTTCAGATGCCAGTTCTGTTCCATTCTACTAGGAAACAAGATACGATAATTCAGTTGCTTTGTCGTTGCATCAACATTTTCAAAGTGAACTCCACCTAAATATAGAAAAGTTTAGATCTGTTACCACTAATTGCAAAACCAATTACAGTCATTACTACCTCATTTCCAAACTATGATATTTAAACCTGATTTTACTCTTTAATATCTAAAGAGAATACTAAAAACATACCCAAATACTTTCCGCACATCTTGTCTGAAGTGTTGTTCAAATCCTTCAACAACTCTTTCCTCAAGTCATCAACACTTGAAAATGGCTTTGACATCAGTGTAGTTGGCTTCTGATTAAATCTTAATTCAATCTTCTGCATCAACGTTGACGTCAGGTTCGTATCAGCACCACTAAAACGTAAATATTATCAATTAGGTACACATCCAGCAAAAAATTTATCAAAAAACGTTATTCGTAAGACACCATATGCATATATATAGTCACATATCCATGTTCAACATCACTTGCCTGTAGCCAATGATCTTCTTTGACCCACACCACCTGACATAAATCCTGGCAATACTTTTGACTTGTGTTTGAATATCTTTGGCATTTCCGTGAAGGCTTACTGGTCCAAAACTTTGACTTTTTTGAATACCACCTCCGGCTTTCTAAATAAAGTTATGTCAATCAGTATATATATATCATTAAAATTCGGTAGAAACAAACTCCCATCCCTTTGAAATAATAGCTATTAAATTGATTAGCCTTTGTTACCTAAAAACCAAAAACACTAAAAAAACCCAACTTACAGCAACAATGAATATAATCAGTGGCAATAACAGAAGCCCAGCCAGAATCTCGAAGAAGAACCATAACTTGCTTCTGGATATGATCAGCAGCTCCTTCTTGAGCAGTATTCCCACTTGTCTCAGCACCTGGCCCATGTTATTATCTCGGACCAACAGCGGGGTTTCAGAATCGAGACTCGTCGAGTTTGAATCGGTCATAACATTGCGGGGCCGTCGATTTCTCAACTTCATATTAAAGTAACATGTATTAACACTCCGTGAAAATATTATACGCCGCAAATACAGAATATAACCAAATGTCAATGTATACACAAGTCTCTTTCAAGTATAAACCAGAATATACGCCAATATTCACCGAAAATGTCTTGTACAATGTTAGAGTACAATTTAGAGTAGAAAACAAGAAATGAAATGCATAAAAAAAGTAGTAATTTAATCAGCTGAAAGCTTTATAATCTAGCAATAAACAAAAGTCCAAAACTTGATAAAAAATGGAGAAAAGAGAGAGAGTTTTCACTCGTTTTTCCCTTTTTTCGATGAATCAGACGGTCAGGCATGGGTACCGGTGCATAAAACCAATTTAATTAAAAAACATTGTTCAAATTGCAATTGTTTAAACTTTCGAATTTAATTAAAAACATAATTGCAGATTTGAATAATTGATTTTGTGCACTAATAGTTGAGAAAAGCAAGTGTAATATGGATGAACTCCCGTTAATTTATAAAAGTGGGAAAACAGATTGATTTTGTAAATTAAATATTGACAATATCCTATCCATAAACCCTATAAACTTTCCTAAAATAACCCCTAAATCCAGTGCAAGACAAATATTATTCATCCCCACCATTTTATTACCTAAAATCTGTTGGAAAGCAACGTTTAATCCGATAAAAGAACATTTATATTAGCTTTACATTTCGAAAACCCCTTTTCATGCACTATGTTTACCAGCAATTACTCTTTGAGTCACACAACATTCAAGAAGTTTGTTGAAAACAAAATTGTTAACCAGACCCCATCTAAAACAATATAAAAATGCCTAAAAATGCAGTCTAGAATAATATTAAAAATCCTTCAAAAAACATCAACTTTTCTGCCGTTCCGTGCGTGAATTTCGTCTCCAGCTGGAGTCAGTAACAATAGATTTATCAAAGAATCCGCATTTCAAGGTCAGTAACCTGGTTTCCGAAGCCCTCGAAAGCTTCTTTAGGCTATAACAATATAAAACTGGTGTTCGAAGTGTCCAAAAACAGGTCAAAAAGCAAGAAAAAGTATTCTTGAAGCATCTCCAGAAGCGGTCGAATAAAACGAATCCGAATCGGAGCCGAAAAACAAGAAAAACCAAGAATTTTTGCGCTTTCCTCTTGAGTTCGCCCTGTCGTCTCTCACAGCGAAGTGCTCTCTCGGCAGCGCTCTCTTTTTTTCGCGTGACCTTTTCTTGCGCACTCTGCTGTTTATATCGACTCTCTTGTTTTCCAGCCGAAAATAAGATTAATGGATCTCCAGTTCTCTCCACTCTCTCTGCTCTCTATCATCTCTCATATGCGGGCTCTTCTTTTTCGGCTTGCATTAGCTCTTTCCGTCTTTCTCTAAACAATCTCTTCATAGACTGTTTTACATTCTAATCGCTCGCTAAATGTATTACCTTTCGGCCTTTCTCTGCCCGCTCTCTCTTTTCTTAACGCTATTTTTCCTCAAATTATGGTGCTTTAGCACTCAAAAACAGAAATAGTATCTAATATCCGACGGAAGTAAGCTGAATGAGTAAAGAATGACCAAAACTAGCCCACATATTGTTTTAGGGGTCAAAACACAAACTACTTATAAGAAGCACTTATGAATAACAACATGGGATTAAAATGCAAATATGGGTCAACTGTACGACATTAAGCGTATTGTTAATTTGAAAGTGTTTACAATGAAGAAGGATTAATGATATTAGCTTTTGAATTTTAAAAATAGATTTCACTTGAAGTTCGTACATTCAAAAGTTTATGTTATTATACAATGGCATTACGTTATAATACAAAATTTTAATAAAATTTGCATCTCTTAAGCTTATAAAAATGACACTTCAGTGGAGACAATCCCTTTCTTCGCCCGGAAATTTGCCGCTCAATTCGATGGTACCGGCGTCATAGATCTTCTTGGGATGAGGACCACTTGAGACATACGAATCAGGAATAAATATTGTCATCTTTCGTTGACATGGCTGTAAACAAATTTAATTATTATTTTCGATGCTAATAATGCCTTTTACCGTAAATATTTACTGTTTTGTTAACAAACTTTTGGTTCTTTGAAAGTTACAGCTACGTAAAATTTTGGAAAATGTTAAATATATAGTACAGTATGCAGAACTACAGATTTTGATGCAAATAATGGTTACAGTATAAAAGACTTAATTATGACACTGTATTTCGATTTGCTACTTGAAATACCGAGCTCTACAGACTAAAATATTGTTATAGTTCTAACAATAAGTTAAAATTATAGTAAACACAAAGATTTACTTACTCGAATACCATCTTCACAGTCATGGTATATGTTTATTTTGGGGTCGATTGTAGTGATCTCACTTGTCGATCCACTCAAATTAAATTCTCCTTTCTCGTTTGTTTTTGAATCATCTAGCAAGTCATCTGAGTCAATACCTACAAAGATCTATTTTTTATTTTAAAAAAAGTTAAAATAATCTTATTTTAATTTGCCAAAAAGTTCAAAAAGTATATTTAAAAGTATATTTTTATCAATTATATACATTTAATGAAACGATTACCATTATTACTAAAAGTAATATTTTTGCTGTTTTCTACTAATAATATGTTTAAAAATATAAAATGAGTAACACTTGTGTAAACCTAGTTCTCACCTCTGTCATCATCAAACAACTTCACTCTAACACCAGCTAATGGTTTGCCATTGCACGTCAATATTCCTTTGGTACCACTACTTTGTTCTCGGCCAAGAGAAAGGCCAAAACTCTCACAAATCAACAAAGAAACAATACAAATAGATAATATCTTGTTCATAGTGAACAGACAACAACGTTTGAAGTAAAAACCAAAACGAAATGTGGTTTTAAGAAACGGTTGTAAAGTTATGATCTATCAATATTTAGGTTGAGCGAACCAGCTTCAAGTTAAACATAACAAATATTAAGTCATCAAAGGTGAGGGAACACTGAAAATAGTTGAATGTTTGTGGATTTGGAGGTAAATGATGACTCAATCCATTCGTATGCATTCAGAACTGTTGGAGGTTTTCAAGTTCAATTTGATGGTATTAGGTTATTTTACGGTACATACTGGTGAATCATAAGAAAAATAGGCAGATTGGCATGTAAATTTACAGTATGTTTATCACAGTGGATTTGAGTAAAAGATTCTTTATTTTTGAGAAAAGTGTGAAGCATATTGTATACTCATAAATTACTCTAATTGTCTGCATCAGCAGTGTCATCAATAATAACAAAACTTATTGTTTAAAATATTAGATTTTATGTCTAGATTTCATCAGAAATGCAAAAAAGAACAATTTTAAGTTAAACTTAAATTGTATTCATCGTATTTTACATAGGGGTGAGAAACGGGCCGTCTAGGCCCGGCCCGGCCCGGCCCTACGATCGGGCCGGGCCGGCCTTGAGCTAAAATTGAAACGGGCCGGGCCCAAAGGTTAGGCCCGGCTCGCGGGCCGGGCTTGAAAATTAGGCCCGGGCTCGAAAAAAAAATTTTTAAATTTTTAAAAATTTTTTATTTTAATCCCCGTTGATGTTTTTTGATTTTATTGGGTATCATGATACATAAATGATCTAAAAGAACAATGCAAAGCCATATTTCTGTTTATTTTTTAAGTTTTAAAATTTTTAAAATTTTTTAAAACGGGCCGGGCCGGGCCTAGAAATTTTCTGACCGGCCCGACCCTTTTCTCACCCCTAGTTTTACATGTCCCAACATTATAATGGAGTCCCGACACGAAAACGTTTTTCTTGCGACGAAACGCAAAACAAAATAAAAAGTGCTTCGAAAATAGAGACAAGGCTTTTGGTTACCATAAACCCTACCGCATACCCTTCTTTCTGTGTCTTTTCCACCGTAATGGGCTTCGGGGACAATCGATACGACCAAAAATACCCGGTTTTGGCTATATTTTTGGAGCCTTGGGGTGTTTGAAGGATTTTTTAGATATTGCAGTTGCAAAATTGAGCTGGATTTTGTTTGTAATTGGGCTATTTAGCGTGTATTTTATGGCGAAACACGTTTTAGACTTTTTCTATAGTTTTTGTTTATAATTTTAAGTTTTCCTTGTTAAGTTTTTATTTTTATTTGTTTAAAGCGTGTTTTGTTGTTTCAACCTTTTTCTAGAGCTTATTTACATTTCTACAATAGCCTTCTTTCAGTTCAAGGTACAGTAATGGCCGACGAGCAACTACACGATCCTATGCACGACCATATGCAGAGTTTGGACTTGGAAGGAGCCAATATTCCACAAATGCAGTCACAGAACGATGATTGGTATATGGACGAAAGGATAAAACGGTTATTGCTCGACCTACAGCGAACTTGGTTATTGGACTATCAAGCTAGCAGAGAAAAAGTGTTAATTGAAATTACAGAAAGAGTAAGTTGGTTTAATTTTGGTTTTGGTTTTAGGTCACACTTTGAAAAAAGTTCTTGCTACAATCTCGAACGGAACAAGGAATATAGTTTTATAAAGGAGAGAATAACCTTTTTGAAGATTTATTCTTAATTCTTTTTGAAGGTTTATTTATTTTTTACATTTCTTATAGATTTTCTTATATGTTCTGTAATAAACATTTTATTTCAGCTACACGCCGAATTCCTGGCAGATCAACAAAAGATTCGTACAGATTTACTCACACAATTTAAGGAAGAGCTTGATCAAACACGGTATGTTAACATTAGAGACGTTTTTGCGGTTGTGTTATATAGTTTTTTGTTTTCATGCGGTAATTTTTATACTTTTATTATGTACATCAGTTTTGTAATGTCGTTAATTAATAAAATACGATATATCTTCAGATTAATGTAAAAGTTACTGTTGTTTTAATAATTTACCAATAATAATATCATAACCATTTCAGAAATGACCTAGAAGCTCGGTATAAGGAAAGTCAACAACAAGAAATCGCCAAGCTGACGGAACGCCATCGTCGTGAGATTGCGTCGATCAAGAAGAAGCAGTGGTGCTGGCAGTGCGAGACCGAAGCCATCTACCACTGCTGTTGGAACACAGCCTATTGTTCAACGGAATGCCAACAACGACATTGGCCAACACATAGACGTTTTTGCCGGCGGCGAAGACCAAACAATTAATCTTACATCAAGCAGGATTTGTTGTACTTTACAGTTGTTCAAAATGTTGTGCTATTTACTGACAAGAACCTTTATACTTCAAATTAATTAATCCAATTGCTTTGCTTTTATTTTGTAATTTATTTTTGTTGTAATAATTTGATTGTTGTACAGTTTATTAAAGGTTTCGAATTTAAAGACGTTATTGTTGTTGTATAAGTTTGTTTCGTATTTATTTTATAATGGTCTGAGACGCAAATAATTACTTTGGCATCGGAAATTAGCTCAAAAAATATCTAAATTAGCTATTTGGTTGTTATAGCAGCTAGTGGCAACCTTGTCTAAACTTTATATGCAAAATTTGTTAATATAAATTTTGTTCATGGTATATTTGTAAAGGTTATTTTTACTGTGCTTTAATGTATTAAAGTTTGGGGTTAGCATTCTAGACATGTTAGACTCAAAAGTTATATTCAATATGGAGAGGTTTTGTAGCACAGATGAGTGAAAAAAAAAACATTTTTTTACAAAATTTTGAGCTCTGAAGTTAAAAAGGAGCAAACTTAAACGAAAACAATGATTTCAGATGTTTTCCCACTCGGTTAACGGCGGAAAGAAGGTTCTTTGTATCTTTCAAGACTTTTCCTTGATCAATAACAAAAGTCTTTGTAACAACATAATCAAAACAGCCTTGGCGAAGGTCGACGAGAACTCTGAATTCATGTGGATACGAGAAGCTGAGCCAGAATTCGATTTCAAACTGGACGACAGCTTCTTTGCTCCAGCTTATGAAAGAATACGATTATGCATTGGCAAGAACGAAGAGATTGTGCAATTACTGGAGAAATTATTGAATGCCGAACGGCTGGCACAATTTTCGGACGATGGGACCGTGGTGCGATATGTCTTGGTAAGTTTTTGGTTTGTTATAAGCCTATACGTTTATAGGTTTTGTTGTTTTGAATATTAATATAACGTAGATAATAATTTTTTGATACTTTTTTGTATTCTTAAATTCGTTTTACATTACGTTTTCAGGTAGATTTATCAACGGCTAAAACATACGATCCTTTCACATTATCGGCAATGACGTCATTACTACTTGAAGTAGCCAGAAATATACAATCATTTTGTTCTACGCTGGAGATCAACGTCGTGATGTTATTGCCATTGTGTCAGGAAGTAGCCAGAGGTATTGGAAGACATAAAGTTGCGGTTCAATTTGGTCTGAAGCTATAACTAACACCTATATACCAATAACAACATTACTGATATCAGATAGTAAGTTATTAATAAACATATTCAGAATATAGGTTAATGGTTGTATACTTACGGATGCTATTCTATTTTTAGTATAGTTTTACCGCTATTGCCACAGTAAAACAATTTTTTGTCCAGCATTTTTCTGAAAAGCAAATTTTGTGGCACTCCGTCAAATTTCGCGGCGAAATGCCACAAATTTATTGATTCGGCCGAAACTTTTCTATTTTCCTTTTCTCGTAAATAAAGAACTCAAATCGTTGTAATAAATAATACGTTTGTTTTTTTAGCCAGGAGCCGAAGAGATAGGAGGAAAAGCAACTGTTATGCCGAGAACCGAGTGATCTCCACGAATCACGTGCTCTCTCGTCCGATTCTCGTCAAAAAGAAGATTCCGTTCGCGTTTACCTGTTCCAAGTGAGTTTTTGCGTTTTTCTTGACCAATTTTAGGTAATTTGAGAAGTGTTTTGAGTTGTTAACGATATTTTATTAATGATAAAAGGTGTTTTTTTGGGTAATAGAAGATTATGGAAAGAAGATGTTTAACATAGTAAACATTTGGAAAATAAATAAACAAGGGTTGAAATACTAAACCGTGATCTCTTAATGGTGTAAACTGTGGGAATCTGTTAAAGTTTACGAAATTTTAAAATGTTTTACTTACTTGACAGAGAATTACATCTGTTTTCTATGAAAATTTTACGGTTTTACTATAAATGTTACGTTATTTTTCTGAAATGATGTTAAACTTGTGTTGATACCTAAACGATCAATGTTCGGTGCTTTAAACTTTGAAAACTGTTTGTTTGTGATGTTTTTACTATGGTTTGTGATGGTAACAAAACTGTTTTCAGGTTATTATGTCTTGATTGGAAGAAACATGGAGACAATAAAATACTACTGGACTGTTCTGAAAGACTTCTGTACCAAAGTGGTACAATGGCGTCATCCGATGACCGTGCCGTATATTATGGCAGTCAATGGAATGTTTTGGTGAGTTATCTTATTGTTTTGCTTTTTTTGGAATTTAGGGATAATATCTATTATCAAAAAAAAGTCATGCTCTATATTTTCTTTAAAATTTTCATAAAAGTGTTTTCATCCGAACGCTTTAAGTAAATGTTAGAGTTGGCTCAGACTAATATTACCTTGGTTTAGGGCCACTGTATTTTACGGAGATGAAGAAATTCAAATGCGGGTTTTGGCCGCATTGGCCATTTGCTTATTCTCAACTGATCTTCTCTTTTCACCGACGGGGGAGAAAAGTGTTATAGTACAACTACTTATGTGGCCTATCAAGGATCTCTGGAACGTAAGTATTTAAAAATTATTTTTCAAAATGTTAGGAAGTTTTAGGTCTAACGGCTTATAATAATATTATAATAGGTGTAAAATGAACCAAAATGTAAAATATTTATATAAGACGATTTCAGACAACAGCGGTACTACTTTGTGCTTATGGTATACAACAACTTATGGAAAAGAATGAAGAAAGAGCGTTATGGGCTGCCATTGGAGCAGGTAAATATTTATTGTTTTTTCTTGTTTTTAGATAACAAAATCTTGGAACTACTGATTTTATTGATAGTAATGTCAAACAAATGGTATGGATGGACAACACGATTTTATAAACCTAATACTATATTTTATAAATACATTTTTTTGGAAAGTTTTAAAATTGTTAATAATGCTATTACTTATCATCTACAAACGTAAAAAACATTTTGGACTTACTTTTGTTAAAAGAGTTTAACCAATATAAAATATAACAATAAATTTCAGTGTCGTGTACCTTAATATCCCCGGTGTATTACTATCACGATATAAATGGAAAAATCAAATCGGGATTCATGAATCTTGGCAGTGGGGTCAAAAAAGTATTGAATTTCTTGATCGTCCGGCCTGTTTGTTTTGTCTACGAAACATTAAAATACATTGTTCTGCTCAAATGGATGTCTGGTAAGAAGAGGGGATACAGGGGTTTTTTCAAGCTGAAGTAGAAAGGCCTTTTTATATAAAACAGAATAAAAAGCTCTTTTCTAATTTCCTATGAACTACAAAAACAAATGCTTTGATTCATTAAAATCTTGTGGTTTAAAGAGAAAGCGAACGTTTACGGTTGAGGAACTTAAGAGTTTATTGTTAATTGGAGTTTAGGAACGTTAAAATTAGAGTTTGGGGGTTTTTGATCAAGTCAATTACATTTTTATGTTTTGCTATACTATAAGTATAATGATATTGCAATAACTTTTTTGTTTTTGTCAATTTTTTGCTACAATTCATTTTTTTTATTAAAACGTGCACATAGAAGGCAAATAATATTAAGTTTCCAGGTCTAAAGCAGCGAATTTCTGCTGTGGGATCGTATATCTACGGAACGTTGGACACGTACATCTTGCAGTACATTCGAGCAGCCGGCCGAAGAGTTCATCAATCCTTTGTCTATTGGTGCTATTTTCATTGGTGGACGGACTTGAAGGCCGTCTTGAAGGTTTGGATTGGAGAACCAGCAGTTCAGAAGATACGAAGGATTCGAGAGAAGGTGGTCTATGTTGTGGGAGGTTACTGGTTGGCTCCTCTCGGGAAATACTGTGGAAAGTAAGTTACATAGTGATAAGGGTGGTAAAATACGACGATGACTTGGCGTATTTAAAATGAGTTGGTTTATTAAAATATATTATGCTAGTTTGTAATAGTAAAGTAAACTGCAAAAAAAATATTTTGTGAATTTAATGGTCAGAAGCACTTGAAATTTTGTATTTTCTAATGTTTACACAAGGATTTTTGTTGGTTATGGTTAGTTAACAAGTAGTTCACATGCAGTTTTTTTTGTTTTGACAATAAGTTTGAATTGAATGGAGGAAGTTTAAGGAAGAACTTGCTTTTCAGATAGTTTTTGTTAAGGTTTGAGTTGAAAAAGCCAAACAACTTTTTAAGCTTGGCGTTTTGGGTACATATTTTCATGGGTAATATGCGATTACTATGCGCAGGATAGATTAATATGCATATTAATATATGTTTTGGGTTTAAGACGAAAGAAAGTTGAGGTTTGGTATAGTTTAAGGTCAAAAATAAAATTAAAAATTTATTTTGTGCCTTTTGGTTTTTCTTATTTTGAACATTTTTTAATTATTTTGAATTTTTTAATCAAAAATGACTATTTTATATTTTAGCGTAGCTCTAGACGGCCTAAAGTACCTGATGGGAGTAGGAAACAAATGTGCTGTAGCAATTGGCAATTCGGTTGTATATCCTCTGATGGTGTTTGCATACGATCAGCTGAAAGTAGCAACGTTGTACACGTATGACATCGTAGGAAGACCGGTAGTTGAAGTGTTAGTGAGAAAATATAAAACAGCCGAAGACTTCGCTTTCATCTACGTACTAGGACCTACAGCTAATGTTGTCATCAATTCGGTGCCGGAGAAGAATCCGTTTTGTGGTAGGTTGTTAGTTTAAGCAATATTGTAGTAGGTTATCGCCATTTTAAGTTATATACGTTAATTTTAATGTTAATATTAATATTTTGTCTCTTTATTAATAATTTGAAAAAAATGTAAAATTTAGAGCGTTTAGTTGAAAAATGTCTTTATATTGTCATGAAATGGATTGATATCATTCTTTTCAGATGACACAGACGATGACCTAAAGGAATTCTTACCAAATGCAGCAGAATCAGAGTTTGAAGATGAAGAAAGTGCTTCGGATTCAGATGACAGCTTACCTCCGATTGAATTGCCGGTCAAAAAGAAGAATGACGTTTTACCGAAGACTACAGTCGATGAATTAGGTAAGAATTAAGAAATCTTGACATTTGACATCTGATATTTGAAAATTTAAGACGATTTTTGGCATTTTTAGGAGATTAATGAAATTTTTAAAGTTGCCAACTACAACTTGATAAAAATTTCAAATTATACTTTTAAAAAAATTGATTTCGATATGTGAGGTTATATGCAAATTTTGCAATTTCAGACGATGACAGTTTTCTGGTCAGTCGCCTGAATCGCGAATTCTCGCTTTCCGACAGCAGCGACGAGGAATTCCTTCTTTTTCCGAAGAAAGATCGTACTCGTCGGAGGAAGAAAGTGTCAGCAAACTAGAATGCTCAACCTTATCATATTATATATCAGCTTTACAATCAAAATCAAGTGCCATCAGGGAATATCGTGTAGTATTGTAGTTGGTAGATGAATTTCTATTTTACTTTTTACTTTGTGTCAAAAAAGGACAAAAGTGACATTTTTTGTATGATATACACTTTTTTTCTTATATTACTATTGTTTTACAGAGTAATCGGTAATTTACATTGTATTTCACCTATGTTTACTTTATTGTCATCTTGTAATTCATTCATTTTGACTCAGTAATGTCTTTTTTGTATGACAACTTTAGGGATTGTTATTGTCTTTTCAAGTCACGAATTGTTTATTTTGAAAAAGTATTGACAACACTGGTATCTCTCTAAAACAGTAATTATCCTTTCCCAATCTGTATTTCTGACATTTTTGTTTTATATCTTCGCTTATTATTTGAATTAATCGGTGCCAAAATTAACTGCACTTAAAATACGGTAAATAAAGTGTTTCAAATGAAATATTGTTTGTAATTATTTCGGTTATGTTCCGTTGCTTATCAAGTTGTTTTTGGCTGGTGTTGGTGGCTTTTGGCCGGTTTGCTGGAAGTGATGGTGTAAGGTTTTAAAGCTTGGGGCTGTAAGCGGTGCTTTGTGGGCTTTTTGTACTGGTTTAGATTACCGTGAATTTTCAATTAACTTGTACTGAACCTTGTATTTTTGACCAGTTTATAGTGCTAAAAGTGTAAAAGGTTGATCTCCTTAAAGCTACTAGTAATGTTATTTTGTCTTTGAGTAGCCCTTTAAATAATAATATCTGTGCCATTTACAGGCAAAAACCATGACGATATCAATTGATATGCCGGTATATTGTTTTGATGTTATAATCACTAAACTTCAAAAGGGTTCAAGTCCTCCAGTACCGTCGAGCATTCCCAATGACAATTTGTAAGTCTGAACCAAGGACAACGTTAGTGTTGCACCTTATCCCTATACATATTGAACATAGCACTATACCTAATGTTTATTGTCATATGCAAACAGTTAAGTTTTAAGGATTGTATTAAATGCAAATTTGATGTTTTAGTCCATTATTCGTAACATGGAAGAAAGGAAATGGTCATCATCTTGATCTCAGAGGCTGTATTGGAACCTTCTCTGTCAACCTGCCACTTCATAAAGGTCTAACTGACTACGCCAAAATAAGGTAATTGATTGAAATATATTTTAGATTGAAAAAATGTTTCTCAATACAGATTTTAGCTGTTATAACATATGATATATTATTTTCTTGCCAAAATTTTTAAATACGCATTTTTACATTACTTTTTGACAATTGCAGTGCTTTCGAAGACAGTCGCTTCCGCCCAATTTCACTTACCGAAGTCCCTCAACTTCACTGCACAGTATCTCTGCTCGTGAAGTTCGAACAAGCCCCAAACTACCGTGACTGGATCATAGGAACCCATGGTGTACATATCTACTTTAAACAAAACGGACAAAACCTGAGCGCTGTGTATCTGCCTGAAGTTGTTGAAGAACAAGGCTGGGATCATGTCGAAACGCTGAATCAGCTAATGAAGAAAGGCGGCTGGAAAGGTCAAATCACTGAAAACGACCGGCTGGCTGTGAGGGTTGAACGATTCCAAAGCGAGAAACTGACATTATCTTATCAAGACTACTTGGCCCAAAAGAACCACTCATATAACTGATCTTCAGCATTCCCAAGAACTACTACTGTAACTTATTCTATCTTCGACATCTTTCACTAAACATCGACGGAATTGCGTCAAAATTGAAACTTAATGTGTTTGGTCGATTCAAAAGTATTATTAAAACATTTTAATGTAAAATAAAGTAATCGAAAAAGAGAGTGGTTTTTGACCGAAATTAACAAGAACCATCACAACTTACATTATAATATCTCACGCGATGAAATTATCATAGAAGCAAAGTAAAAGCCTAATTTTAGGTCATAGATCTAAAAATTAGCTATTATTTTACTATTTTAGTAATAAAGAAGTCACATTATTTTAGGTAATATTCAAATAATCAACTTTGAACGATCAAATAAACATGCACAAAAAATGTCAAAAATTTTCTGAATAATTCGTCGACTGAAAAAATGAAATATTTTTGGACGTTTCGTTCTCGAATCTTCGATTGTCGTGTTGAAAGTTGATTTGTTGTTGAAATTTGAATAATTCGTGCTCAACGTCAGCATAAAAGCTTGGACATTCGGTGATGTTGTGTTCATTCAGTCGATGTGAAGTGTTTCCTATCGAACAGTCGACATTATTTTAGTTTTGTTCTTTTTATTTCGGGTTTTTGGGTAATTTATTTTGGTTTTTGAATTAATTCGACAAATATTATGTCGTAATTTGAATCGTTTAGTATTTTATGTGGCAATTTTCTTTTTCGCAGGTTTATTTTGACGTTTTATCTTAATATTTTGGCCAAAAATTGTGGGGAATTGCTGTTTAGCTTCAAAACCTAAAGAATGTTCTCCCTTACTTGTTTTTGATTTTTTAAACGTTTTTCTTTGCAGTTGTCGACCTGCGAGTGTATTGTATTAAGTTTTACATTTTTGCGTGTCTACATCGCTTTTTTTATAATGTTACCTAAAATTGAGAAATTGGACGTAATGATGTTGTTTAGGGTTTTCACCATGTTCAAGTTCATCAGCCTTGCGCTGGTCTTTAGTGCGTTGGTGTACGCCGCCCAAGTCGAAGAAGAGGAACACGTTTTGGTATTGAATAAGGTAAGGTTTGATGAACCCATTAATTTGGATAATTTAGTTTTTGTTGTTATTCTTGAACTTTTAGGAAAACTTTGAAGAGGTTTTGGAAAAGCACGCCAACGTTTTGGTCGAGTTCTACTCTCCAGGATGTGGACACTGCAAAGCTCTGGCTCCGGAATACGCCAAAGCCGCTACTCAACTGGCCGAAGAGGGATCGGAAGTTAAGCTTGCCAAAGTTGATGCCACCGCGGAAACCGAATTGGCCTCCACTTACGAAATCCGTGGATACCCAACCTTGAAGTTGTTCCGCAATGGAAAGCCAACGGAATACAATGGCGGACGTGACCAAGCTTCTATTGTCAACTGGTTGAAGAAGAAGACTGGAGAACCGGCAAAGGAGCTCAAGACCGTCGAAGAACTCGACGCTTTCAAGGAAGCAAACGATGTATGCCTTGTCGCTTACTACAAGGACTCCGATGCCGCTCAGGCGTTCTCTGAAGTTGCTGCTTCTGTTGATGACTTACCATTTGCTGTTACCTATGATGAGGAAGTTGCCAAAAACGGTTTGGAGTTGAAGAAGGAAGGAGTCGTATTGTTCAAGAAATTCGACGAAGGCCGAAACGTTTTTGAAGAGAAGGTTGAGGAAAGTGGAGCCAACCTCAAGTCTTGGATGCAGGCTAACAGATACCCAGTGTTGTTCGAATTCTCTCAGGAAACAGCCCCAGCTATCTTTGGAGGAAACATGAAGACCCACAACTTGTTGTTCATTTCCAAAGAATCTGCTGACTTCGAGAAGGTGGAGAGCGAATTCAAGAACGCTGCCAAGAAGTACAAGGGCAAGGCTCTGTTTGTTCTTATCAACACTGCCATTGAAGAGCACGCCAGAATCATGGACTTCTTCGGATTGAAGGGAGATGACCTTCCAGCTATCCGCTTGGTCTCTTTGGAAGGAGATATGACAAAGTTCAAGTATGAATTCGCCGAGATTACCGCCGACAACGTTGTCAAGTTCACCCAGGATTACTTCGATGGAAACCTGAAGCCACACTTGTTGTCTGAAGACGTCCCAGAAGACTGGGACAAGCTACCCGTCAAGGTATTGGTCGGAAAGAACTTCGAAGAAGTCGCTCGCGACAAGTCAAAGAACGTCTTGGTCGAGTTCTACGCTCCATGGTGCGGACACTGCAAACAATTGGCTCCAATCTACGAAGAACTTGCCGAGAAGTACAAGGACCACGAGAACATTGTCATCGCCAAGATTGACGCGACTGCCAACGAGATTGAATACATCGCCATTCGATCTTTCCCGACCATCAAGTTCTTCCCAGCTGGATCAGATGAGATCATAGACTTCAGTGGGGAACGTACTGTAGAAGGCTTCAGCAAGTTCTTGGAGAATGGAGGCAAGGTTGAGGAAGAGGCTATTCCTGAAGAGGACGATGCACCAGAAGAGGTCCCAGTCGAGGAAGAAGCAGTACCAGTTGAAGGAGAACACACTGAACTCTAATCTGGTCATAATATTATTTTGTTTGTAATATATTGGTTATTTAGTTAATGTTGATAAATATTTATTATATTATGGTTTGGCTTTTTTGTGATGATTTATTTTTGATTGAATTGATATTTATATTGTTATCGATAGTGAAATGAGTTTTTTTAAATTTTTTGGTTTTTATGTTGACTTCTAACTTGTAATTTGACTTTATGTGATTGTTTTACCGTCTAGGTATTTTTCAAATTAGAAAGCAGGGTAATGTCGTTTTAAAAGCGTAATAAAACCTGTAATTGGAATAGTTTTCATGTTCTTCCAAGTTTAATATGTTGGCGCAGTGAATTGGTCCGCTAACGTTATTCATCTTATCTTATGTGTATTGACGGACATTACTCTCATTAAAACGCCGAAATCATTTTGGAAATTATTTTAAAAGAGGTTTTTTGAGTTTGATCTTATAGCATCATTACTTTGAAGTTAAATTAAGAGCTCGTATATTAACTCGTATACGAAGTGTGTGCCACTTTGTAACTTAACTGTCAGATTACATAATATGTACTTTAATTACAGCATATTTGATTAAGGTACTCTTTTTGTTTCGAAATTGTAAATATTGTTGGCCTTTCCGCTTTATAGTACAAGGCTGTGTTGAAACAGGAACAAATAACTTGTTTGGTCTTGTTTGACGGCGGAAAAGCCATGTTATTGTGTTATTTTTATACTAAAGAAACAAGACCTGTTTCTGTTTGAATGGTATAATGATGAAAATGAGTTTTACTCTAATATTTGATATAAATTTTATGTATTTTGTACATTATCTTACCCATACATTACTCTACTTTTTCTCTTGTATGTGTGTTTGTTTCTCGGATGTTTTGAGTCTTGTAATGTTTTGGGCATGGACAAGGCTGGTTGTTTATTCGGCTAAACGAAGACCTCGTCTGTTGCCGCCGAGGAAGGAGATGAATCTGAGAAAAGGTTATTCTACTGTTTAGTCGAGTGTAATATGGGTTAACTTTCTGAGACCAAACTATTTTTATCGTTTAATCTTTGATACTTTACAAAGTTTGAGATTAATCTTTGAGCTTTATAAGATGGATAGATTTAAAATGTTTTTTATTTTGCCTCATCATGTTAACAATTTAGTACTACAAGTTGGTATCTGATACCAATGGTATCGAAATGAACACAAGTATTTGCTTTTTTGTGTTATTATATGTTCCATTGTTTTACTCTTTTATTGAATACATTCTTCTCTTTGTATATGTCTTAATTACGCAGATTTTTTGCTATTTGATGCATCTGCATGTATTAATTACGCCGTTCAAGGACGTCGTATTTTTAACGATTTTCGTTTAAACTTATCTTCAACACCTTAATTATCAGCGCAAATACCTGGCTTAATCTGATAGCTGTGGTCAAAAACAAAACTCTTTACTGTGGGTTAAGGAGGGTGTCAGTGTTTTGCCGGACCGGACCGGTGAAAAACGATCCGGTCCGGGCAAAACACTGGAGGGGGTGATTGTTCGTTACGTAGAGTACTATCAAGATTCAATACAATCTCGTTATGATATGAATTGAGATGAATCAAGGATATTGTATTGTACTATCAAAAGTCAACTTTTTTATTTTAAAAAGCTGTTTTTAAGTTCCGTAGTGCTTTGCGTCTCACAACGAAAACGGCGAAGTTACTGCAGGCTTTAAATTCGTCTCCAAATCCAGTTTGCCTTGTAATTACAACAAAATGACAAATCAAGTTGATCTTTGCTTTCCCTTCCATAACGACTTGCAGGCACGCCAATCTCTTTCCACCTTTCGCCCCCATCAAAACAAACTTATAACACTCGGTATGGTCATTGAATATCTGTTTTCTTGCCTCTTTATACTATTCTAGCCGCCATTTTAAAACAACCACTTTGGACTTCGTTTTTCCTTTCGTCTGCCTTCCGAAAGCCCTCCATCTCGAATATTGTGTTTGCAATCTTCACGCGGATTCGATCTGTCTTGAGGTGGGGTTGGGTTGGGGGATGGAGGGTGGGGTGAATATTGAGTTGGAGGGGGTGAACAGAGTTTTGTAATTTTTAAGTGTTGGACTGTTCAAATAATTTCGTGCCCTTTTTCAAAGCGAAGTTTAGGGGTTCGGGGGCACAGAATTATTTGAACAGGCTTAATATGTATAATATAACAAAGATTAGAAGGCATATGATAAGAAGTTGGTACTGTCTTTCAAACTTTAGTACTAAATTTAAACTTAAGACTACGGCCGATGGCCTCTGGGCCTTTATTTAGCCAGGCTTTTTAACTTTTTAACAATTAATATGCAAGATCTCACCAATAAAACAAATAATCAACATTAATATTGACAACCCATATAACTTGTGTTGATCGGCAGTAGCGCTCGTCACAAGTTTGAAGATACATTTTCGTGACCAATTAAATGAATGGGGGATGCTTTTTCGGAACAGGACCCTGTTTATATTATACTTGATGACGGGTTTGACTCGAAGCATATTTAGATTAATTTCTCATTGGAAAACATGTTTTTTGGATTATTTTTTGTAGCAATAATAAGGTTGTTATGATACAAATGGTGGCTTTTAGGTGATAAGGCGTTTGGCAAACCTTTGGGAAACTTATTGTTATAAACATTGTAGGAGATTGTGTGATATTGTTGTAAGTAAAAGATGAAAAAATTTTTGGATACTGTTAAGGCTACAGACAAGGTTCTTATCATTTATTGGCAATATTGATTTCTTTGTATACAGTTTTTTTATAAAAAGTTTGTTTTTCGCACCTTTGGGATACTGTAATTTTTAATTTTTTTAATTTTATGGTTTACAAGATACTGTACTTTCATTTTTTAATCAAATCATGTCTTATATGTTAATCTAAACCGTTCAAAACCCGATCCAGCGAAACCCATACCTCCATTTACAACTCGATTTCTGCTGTTTTACAGTCGCAACGTGAACTATCCATCTGACTGTGGTTGTATCTGTTTGTTTGAAGAAGGCGGCTCACCTGCGAGCCGCAAGAAAAACCATGTGAAAAAAAAGTTTGGGGTGGGGGGGGGGATTGGGGTGAGGGCGGCAGAGAAGCAGACGCACGATGAGAGAAGCGCCGGGACGGAAGCGCCCGAGTGAGGCAGCACTCTGCTCTACTATAATGTATAGTTTTTCGTCTTCTTCTCCTCGGCACTGGCCATTCAGCTTTCCTTCGCTTCTCTTATTCCCTCCGCCGGGGGGGGGGGGTTTGTTGTTAAAGGTCAGATGCTATTTTCAAATTGATTGTCATGCTTTCACGTTATTAGGAAAAGTTGGTGGGAATCGAAATTGTGAAGCCTGGTTTATCGGATTTGGACGTGGGTATGGGTACATCAAGGGGTGTTTTTGGAGTTTTCATGTGGTATGGGTACGTAATGGGGTGTTTTTGGGATTTGGACGTGCGTACATTAGGGGGTATTGTTTAAAATTGGCCTGCGACTATGAAACTTGAATTTCACTTTTTTCCACAGAGTTGCGGATATGTGATATTGAAGTATGTATATTGAATGTATATCTTGGTAAAGAACTGTAGCGTTGTTTTTAGTACAAAGTTGAAAGTAAGATACAGTTTGCTTCTGTTGATGGAAAAATATTGGCTTTTATGGCGAGTTAAAACGTTTTTAACGTCAGGGATTTGATTATTTAATAATGGTTTTAAACTAATTTTGGGGAATACACTTTTAAAACAGTCTACTAGATTATCTTATACCTGTTTTAATAACTATTTTCGGAACAAACCATTATTATTTTTATACAGGAAATACTTTTTTATTGAGGTAGGGAGATCAAAAAGACAAGAAAAACGTTTTTATTAAGGTAGAAAGCTCAAAATTTAAGTTTTTATAACATTGTCAAGCTGTTTATCTAATAAGTTTCTCCAATATTACTTTCCAAGCCTTTTAAAGTCCAAAAAAATCAAAAATAGAGTTTTTTTAAATGTTTTTTCACTTGAAAAGACGTTTTGCAATTCTACGGTTTCACACATTTTTTGTGCAAATTTGAAGCCACGTTAAATCGTACATCATCGTAATGGCGAAATATTTAATTTCACGAAACTGTAAAACAAGTTTTTTTTCTAATTTGTAGCAAGTTACAAGTAGTAAACTACAATATTATTGAAATTTGGTTTTTTAAGGTTTTGCAAAATTGAAAAACAAAAATTGAATGTTATTGGTACTGAATGTTATTGTACAAGTTTTAATCTTGTTTGTAGCTTTATATTAGTATATTTTGAAGTATTTTGATTGTATTTTATCATTTTTGCTATTAATTCATATATTTTTTTTGTCTTTACCATGCCTTTTTTCTAAAACTGTTTTGAAATTTGTAAAATATGTAAATTTAAAAGCATTTCTGATATTTCAAAAAAAAGAAGTATTAGTAAACCAAAGCAAGATCCTATTTTTGCGACGAACTGGCCTTAAAACATGTTTACTTTTTGTTGGAATAACAAGCTTTTGAAATATGCAGTAACTTGCCTCGAACTGCCCTTTACATTCATTCTTTCCGAAAAGAACGATTACTCAGACAATATCTTATCCTTGAACTGTCGCACTTTTCTCGAATTAATGGAAACGTGTGTAATCAAAACTGCTTCCACAAAAAACCATTGAGAAGCAGGCTGTCAGGGCTTTTTAACGGTGATTTTTGGCTATGAATGGGAGTTGGGAAGGGTGGGGAATGGCATGAGGAAGGTAAACGAAATTATGTTTTCAAAAATTAAATTTTTTTTTAAATTGACAAATTTTTTTTGAAAAAAATGTAAAAAAGGCAAAGAAATCACCCCTTCCCTACGTCTCCTTCACCCCACCACCCAGCTTTGACCACAAGACCAAAAAATAAAGTTTAGGCTTAACTTTACCTTCAGCTAAACCATAAATCATAATATCTTTTCCAATTCCCTTCCCAATTGAAGGACCTTTAAGCTACAACAATATTAGACAGCCCATTCGAAACGTGTTTGTAGGGCGAGAAGATGGACGTTTCATTATGTTTGAAAAGCGAATATGCCAATTCGAATATCCTGACTTTTAGTCATCAATTATTGCTTTTGAACTGCTTTTTCAAAACTATTTGAGTTCTAAATTTAAAGTTTAAAAGTGCAGTTGGTTTAAGTTTGGTTTGTTGGTTTTAAATGGATTGGTTTTTTTGTTAAATATCAGTACAAGTGGTATTGTTTTTGACTGGTTTTTGTGATTGTCGTTGTAATAGGAAGGTTGGTTGACAGAATTTAAAAAATTGTATCATTTTTTTCATAAATTACTTTAAGAATTACCACATTTTATAAATTTTTTGATTTTTTTTATTTTTAACCCAACAATCACCGCCAACCGTTATCTTTCTCTTTCTTTGATTACTGTAGCACAACATACGTTCAATTCTTGTTCAAAAACTTTTAGGGAATAAAGGTCGTTAAAGCTATTTAAAATTAGAACGTTCATAGACTTGAAAAAAATACAAAAAAACGTAATACCTCCAGGGGAAGTCCATAATTAATGGGGCTTTACTAGACCTGAAAGAGGGCTCAATCAACTCGGTCCAGCCCGGCCCCTTTACAGGTCTAAGCCTTACTGATCCGGTGTGAATTTGTGACGTTTAGTATGTGTTTGGTGTCAAATTACATTGCTTTTTTGGTTTTGAATCTTATTTTTGGTCTTTGGCAAGGGTTTGCAGTGGTTATTTTTGTGTTTTTGCAAGTAAAATAGGTGATACCTTGGTTTATATCTATAACATAATATAAATTGACTTTCGAGAGCCGCAAAGTGTCATACCTTATTAATCTTTATGTTTTTGAAAAAAATCAAGTGAAAAGTTTCAAAAATGTTACTAAAATCACAATCGAGCTATGCCCAACTTGTTCCCCCTTGCCTTATCTGTCTAACGTACAGTAGCTTATGTCACCCCACACTTGCCCATGCCACAATGACATAACTTCTTTAATCCCTTCCCTCAACACTGAACTCTTCGAATCGATTGTTTTTCTTATTGTGTTAGGTGGGGTGGATATTGGTGGCGGAGAGAAGCAGACGCCGGCGAGAGAGCACGGCAACGCGAGAAGCACAGAGGCCCACGAAACATAATGGCTCTTTTTCGCGAGAGTCGGATTCAGGGAAGGGCGAGCAGTCTTTTTTATTGTTTCGCCCCAAAAATAAACGGACGTTAAGCAGGAATGGGATTGGGTAAATCAGCTGATGGTATCATCGAGGGTAGTATTCCGTAATAAGTAGTTTAGGGTGCTAGGAATTGTTGAGGTTTTTCAGCAGTTTAAGAGCATTAAGTGCAGGGAAAAAATGGATATTGAAGGCTTTTTTTGGGACATAGAAAGCTTTTTATAAAGCGCTAGTACTTGTATGTTTGAGCTATGTATGTTTATATCGTTCACACAGGTTGATTTATGTCTTTTAGCCATAATTTTGTTTAGCTTTTAGCTTATCAACAATATTTTTTCTCTATCAAACCATGATAAACTAAACTACGCTTTAATCTCTACTTTCTCTAGTAAATAACTTATTAACTTCCGTGTGCGTTTAGATTTTCAAGGATATTATGTTATGCTCTCAAGAATCTTATGTTATGTCGATTTTATATTTACATAAAACTAAAATGATTTTAATACAAAAGGGATGATATGTCGGGTTGATAAGGTCGGTAACATCACAGTCTATCACTACAAAGGTGACTCTTTTGATGACCTTGTAAATAGTTTAAACTTTACACTCTTTTACCGTCGGGATTTCCACACATAAGCACCGTAACATGTACCTAAAGTTTTGGAAAATTGTTTGAGAAATTTAAAATATTTTAAAGTTGTTTAAATTTTGTTTGGTTATACGTTATTACAGTATTTTAAGCTCATTTAAATTTGTAAAATACGGTTAATCTATAGTGAATACTTAAAATCTATTATATAGTACACCAGTAACAAAATTTTTCCCCAATCCATCGTATAGTAGAAACTAACTCGGAAAACATGTTATGACGCGTCACATTTTCACCATAATCGCACGAAGACTTTACTGTAACAAAAACTAACACAATATGCAAAAAAACCTCCGACCCATTAAGGCTGACATATTGTTGTAGTGAATTGCATAAAAAGTGTTAGAAAATGGGAAAAAGTATCAGAAAAGGTAGTTGCAGTTTTGATTTATCACCCCCTCCTAAAGTTGATCTTATCTTATTTCAGTTTTGAGTGGTTTCTCGTCAGCTGATCACTAATGCAAAAATCACTTTTTCTTATTTACCATGGTTTTTGGTCAATAGGTTTTGGACTTATACCACAGTTTTTATTTACTTTATTAACTAACATAACATAAGGACAAAGAATTGTTTTAAAAGTTCCCAGCTTTATATTAGGTTTTTCAAATAATTCTGGGCTTTTTATTAAAGGTAGGGGCACAGAATTATTTGAAAAACCTAAAAATTTTTGTTAAAATTGTAAACCTCACTATTATTATGTTGTGTTATGGCTTATATGACAAACTTTTGGCCTATATGGCACACTGTTACCCTATATAACAAACTTTTGGCGTATATAACAAACAGACGCATCTTTTTTCTAGAAAAGTGCATTTGCTACCACATCCGACAAACGCATAGCGGCATGGTATTGGGCAAAGATAATAGAATTAGGATTTTGCGCGAGGATTATCTCTCTAATGCGATAGGCTTAACTTTAGGCCCAAATTCATTGATGTTGAATTACCATTTTGTGGGTTTCACACTTCAAATAAAATAACTTAAATTTGCATGTGAATTCACGTGTTATTTTTGCCGCAAGGTACAGTATAGTTCAAAATGGCATTGCTAGAACGTTCTTCTAAAAGCGTTTGGGTTTTTTGCTGCCAATTTAAAAGCTTTATAAGGCGCTTGATAAACAAGGTAAAAAAATTAAACTTTACACATCAGAAGCAGATGTATATAACTCTATCTTGCCCAAATTTTAGAATTATAACATCAAAAGCGGCAAAGTTACAAGCTGTTACCGTTTCACATGTCTAAGCATGTTGTACTACATAAAATTAAAAAAAATAAAACGAATTGAAAAATGACCAATTCACAGTTTTCACATCTTCAACAATCAGTCTAAAGCCTATACCTAAAATCATTTGACCCTTTAGAGTGTCCCCCCTCCCCCTCTGCGCGATTACTTTGCAAATTTCGAAGGCTTTGGGGCGGCCGGCTTTCGAGACAAATGACCTTTTTTGTTGTTCACTAGAATGCTTTTCAAATTATTTTTTATTATTTTGGTGCATTGACAAGGATTGCTTGGAGGTTGAACACGCTTTTTCGAAAAAAGACGTTATTTGGGTTTGAGAAAACAACGTATTATAGCTTTAACAAGATGTATAATATCTGAAATATAAAAAGAAAATTGTTTTAAAAATTTTTCTAAGTTCATCATTTTCTACTAGCTTGTCTTTTTACATTTGTCGTACCTTTTTTGCTACTTTTTTGTTTATACTGCCAAGGAGTGTTTATATTAACATAGTTTTGTTTATACTCTGCCAGATGTCGTATAATTTACAGGATAAATTACAAATTAAGCTTTGCGACACATTTTTAAGCAGTCTTTGATGTAGCATGGTATCCGGAATCAAAACCCATTCATAAACAGTCTTTAATTAGAAGATCTGCAGGCTGCGGTAACCGTCGGCAGCTCGCTGGGTTTTAACAAGAATATTTATCGTTCGACAAAATTCTGTCTTCCTACTTTTATAACGAATTCGACGATTTTCGAGGTTATTTTCGTGTTGTGAACTTGTCTACAATATTGAAGTGCGTTTTCTTCAAAATTTGTTTTTTGTGGCCATGCTTTACATTTTACATTGTATTAGGTATAAAAGTGATAAAACACAGGCTGTTTAGGCATAATCGTGCCAGATAAGTCCTTATTAATGTCCTTGACTTTAAATGAATGAACTTTATTATATTATTCACGCGTTTTTGTTGTTTTTGCCATTTTAAAACCTATTTTTCCAAATTTCAGATCAAATCAAAGCTAAAACAGGCGAATCCGGCTGCTTTCCATCGCCGGAAGAAGCTCGACACCACGAGAAGCAGGGTTCAAGATCACCACCTGAAGATCTACTAGACGTTGTTCGAAAAGGCGGATCAGAACGGCCCCGAATTCAGCTTCGACGGCCGTTTTCATCCCGGATATAAATCAGCGAAAATTCGGCCTGAGCGCGCACAGAACGCGGCCTCGGCGGGTCCACCCGGCCTACGGCGAAGGCGAAGAGTCAACGATCAGCCGGAGCACTTGCCCCCCGGCGAACGAGCTTCCACTTCTGTGAGTTTGAGTGTTGTAGTTGTTTTGGAAATGACAGTGTTTGGGGTTTTCGAAGGATAGGTGTTTGGATGTTTAAGGCATTTTTATGGATTTCTAAGGCAATTTTATGGATTTTTAAAAACATAATAAAGTAGCACGTTTGATTTATATGAAGCAGGAGATTTTGCCATGTTGTGAGGAGAGAACTATGATTTGTATTGTTTTCACAAGGAAGACTACGAACTTCTTTGAAAATTAGAAAGGGCACACAATAATTACTGTAACAACAAACTACTCACATCTTCACTGTTCAAACAGGTTTTTTAGGTAATAAGAAACTTTAAAGTCTTCTTTTTTCTATATCTACTTGATCTTTTACTCTTATGTCTAATGAAAAACGTATTGTAAAAGGTAAAAGTGCAACCTTGACAGGATTTGTATAACTATTTATTCTCTGGGATAGGAAGACAATGTTTAAAGTAAATACGAGACTATAAAAATGAGCTTTTGTTCGTTCGAGAGTCTCGCGTTTCTTCCTTGATTCATTTTCATAAATTTTTTGTAATTTCGAGGGAGTTTTGCTTTTGCTTTACTATACTAAACCAGATACTTTAGGGCACTGAACAGATTTTTAAGGTAGCAAAAAGGATAAGCATTTGTATGCCTTAACATATGCGTATGATTAGTACACTGTAGCTAAAGGGCTTTAAAAAGATTAACAATATGGATTTTTTGATATTTTTCTATCTAACATAATATCCACCCTTTCCTGGTCCAAAACCTGTTGTGGCTTTGATAATTAAAATGTATGTGTCCACATACGTTAGGTTTTATTGACGTATCTTTGCTATTCGAATGTTTTTTGTTATAATTCCCAAATGGCTTTTTAACACTTTGACTGTCTGCCGTCTCTCTTTCTCGCACACTCTTTTGTCTGGCACGAGTCTGTTTGAAAAACCAGATTTTCTTTATGTTTTGTCGAATTTCAGGACAGAAAGTAGTTGAGCAATAGTTTTATGTGGTTTTCTTACTTTGAAAGAAAGAGATTGTTGTTTTCACAGATAACCATGTTATTCATGACGATTCTTTGGGGGTTGGTCATGTTTTGGGGGTGGTAATGAGGAGCTTGGTATTAAGAATATAAATTATGGGTTTTAAAGCGTTTTTTGGAATTTTAAAAACAATTTTGAAAAAAGTTTTAAAAATTTTTATTTTTGAATTTATGTCAAAATTTAATTTTTTTAAAAGTTTGATTATTCGCTAGCAAAGTTAATTTAAATTTTCAAAGTTTCAAATTCAAAAATTTCAGAACGAACCCTCACCTGATGTCTCATTAGACTCGGCCACATCGAACGGGGTAAGTTCATTGAGACGTCGTTCCAACACTCTACGTGAGACTCCACACTTTCCACGGTATTCGCATCGGTTACGGTATCAGTACGACTATCGACCGCATCCCACGTTGGACGCACACATCGCTACAGCCTTGAGCAACAGCTTCAGCAGTACCACGTCCAGTTCGTCGACGCCAGGCTCTGCCAGGACGTCGTCATCAAAACGTCGGCTCACCGACTCTTCTGATTCTCCCGGTCAGCCACAAGTCAAGAATAGGTAAGGTTTACAAGTTGTTGGTGTTTTGATTTTTTAGGATGTGTGAGATTATCATTTGGGTTAATGTTAAAAGATTTTTGTGAAGGAGCGGCAACGAAATACTTTTTAGTAGGCATAGTTCTTGGATTGGGACGGTTTGTAGGCTTTTAATAGGCTATTATGCCTTAACTCGTTTCAACTAGAAAGTTATGTCCACGCCAGACGTTTTAATTGCTGATTTTTAAAATAGAACCCGAAGTTTACAGGATTTCCTTAATGATTCATTGTTTGTCACAGCCTTTAAAAGTGTTATTAGGGATCTAAAGGTTGTCTAGTGGGCAGGTAAAGGCAAAGTTAAGTTTGTTCTTTTTTATAATTACTCTTGAACCTTTTTGTTGCACAGTAGCTGAACATAGACAAAATTTTTTTTTATGGGTAACTTACTCTAGATGTCTAATGATAAAATCAGGGTTAAAAAGATAACACTCATTTTAAGATAATATAATTGAGTTGTAATTAAAAGGCGAGTCTTAAGAACATCACGCTTGACCTTCAAACTCTCTGTTCTGTTTTTTATTTGTTCGAAGGAAAGCCTGTAGTGTTCTCTTATCAAATAACAGAACAAAGCGTTCTTTTCTTTGGGTTTTTAGAATGGCTGATAAGTAAAGGAAGGGTAAGGAGGTTGAGATTCATTTAGCTTCAATTTTTATTGATTATTCAATTTTAATATTTTCATTTTTTCGTTTTTTTGCACAAAAATGGAGGAAATGGGGCTAGATGGGTGTAATCAAAGATTTTTTTAAATGAAAAAGTTTTTTTGCCAATCTGGGGTTGATATTTTATTTTTAAAAAAAATATTGTTTTTTTAAAGCGATAAGACGTATTGTTGCTTTTCAATGTGAATTAAATAGGACCAGCATTTTTCAAACCATAATAAAACAATTTTAAAACAAACCTTTGAATCGAAACACGCAAAAACAATGCTGATTTACCTTATGACTAACGAAAATAAAAAAGAATTAAATATGCATTAATGCGGCGCATATGAGCATTCAAAAAGGGAAAAAATGAAAATTCGGAAATAATTTGTTTGTGGGACCACTTGAATGAAACCCAAAATAATTTGACCGAAAACAAGAACAAAGCGATTTTTGCACGGGAAACTTGGCCCCTCGAGGCCAATATTCGGTGTCTTATATAACTAACTCTGTTTTCGACTTTGTCTTCTCGCAGGTTTTAATTGGAAAACACGCGGAACGAGGTGCTGGCCGACCGGTTTATTGTTGTACGATGGCCCATTACAAAGACGTTTTGGGGCCGGAGGGTGTGGGAATATTGTTTATTTTTTAAAGGCTTGTATAAGGTTGTTTTTACCGTAATTTTTTAAAAGTTTTGACTTTTATTTGGTGGTATTAGGTTGTTCAAATAATTCTGTGCTTTTTATCAAATTTAATTTTTGGTATCACAGGGCACAGAATTATTTGAACAACTTACTATCAAAACTGGTCAATATTTTTTGGCAAAAAATTAACGTTTGTCGAAATGTTGCAAATAGGAATAGTCTTGATCTAGAAGCTTTTTTATTAACCATTGGTACGAAAAAAACGTTTTTGCAATCTTAAAATTGCAAAAATATGATTGTTGATTACTTGTAAGGGCTAAAAATGGCTTTGGGACACGAGAAAAGTGCAATTCTTAAGACATGCACTTTATGCACATTTCCGAGTTCGCGAAAAGGATAATTTTAAAGATATTTTTATAATTCATGAGCAGAGAGCTCACATGCTTTCAAAACGAAAGCATATTTAGGGAGGGGGGGGACGTAAAAAGTACGCTTTTAAATGATTTTTTGTCAAATTTTATGAGGAAAATAAAATTTAAAAGGTTTTGGAAGGGGAACTTAAAAAGAATTTTTTGTATAAAAGGTTTATTCTTATTGGAAATGGCGGGAATATGAAGGTTTTTTTTTGTAATTTTAAGGTGTTTGTTATAAATCACTTAAATTTACCGTTTAATGACGTTGCGAGTTCTCTAGGTTCAATAAAGATATGTGATTAATATAATTTTAAGAATTTTAGTACTAAATGGCAACCATTTGGTCAACAACTTTATTCTCAAATAATTAGTTTACTCTTTGTCACATATTGTTATGACGATCTCAAGAATCATCTTCTTGTTGTCCACAAATCATGACAAAACCTATTGCAAAAACGATTGTCTTTCAATTGTTATGCCAATCTATTTTCACGGCTCGCTCTCGTCTCGGGAATCAGGTGGAAAACCGGCTGTGTGCGGGGAAAGGGACTGATTATTGTCGCCTCTCTTCGCGGCCTAATCTCTCGCTTCATGTGATTTCGGCGGCACGGACTGCCACTCTCAGGTCAATGAGAGGAAAAAAAGACGAGAAAAAAGAAAGTTGGTTGTTCTTCTCACTTGATTCGACACGGGTTTTACAAGTCCACAAGGTGTTGTTGTTGTAATTCACAAGGTGATCAGGTGTAGGCTATTCTTTATGGACAAAGGGGAAACTTTGAGATTTTGGTATGCTTTGAAGTTGTCTTTTGAAAGCCTGTTCTGAATATTTTTCATTTTATTCTTCAATTTGTGAAGCTGTTTTTTGATCACATTTTTGATAACAAGGTTTACCTAGGTTTTCTATAGAGTTAGGTATAGCTATAAAAGTTGAGAGGTGTTGTTGTTTTAGATAAAATTGTTTATTTTGGCAGTTATCGCTGATTATATGTTGTTTTTGCTCGGTTTTTGATGATAACTTGTAGATTTAATCTTGTGAGTAGTATTTGTCATCATAAATGAAGAAAGGAGTATTCTATAATTAGTTTTTGACTGTTATCGTTGATAATAATGTACTAGGTTCTTGAATATAGTGTTTTGAAATAGGTTTTTCGAATTATGTTTTAAAATTTATTTTGAATACAGATTTTAAAAGTTTCGTTGACCTTCTGTAGTACTATTCTTGACTAAAGGTTAGTACAACCTATGTTATTATTTACGATTCTTTCAGAAATATAATACGCTTTATTTACTGTCAGCAATATATAATAATATACACTTTACAACGTTGTTGAGGTGGTCTTGCATTACGATATACACTTTGTTTTATATTAGTATGTTGTTGTTCATCCTCTTCCTCACTGATCTTACGATTTTCGTTAATGCTATGGCAAACAAATAATGTTTTGCTTGGAGTGACGATAATTGTTTACTGTTAATTTTATGGTTTGCTTAGAGATATTACAGCTTTGTTATTTTGGTATGTCATTGCGGGTTTGCACGAAAGTAACAAAATTTTGTCTTGTTTGCATTGGTTTTGGTCGTTATTTATTCTCGTTACTACAATTTGTTGCACGTTTTGGTCTTATTGATACTTACTTTCTCATTGTGGAACCTTCTTAGGTTTTCGGTTTATACTTAGGATTCTGGTACTATACTGCACGCAGAAATTATTGAGCGCCCCACTAACGTGGCAATGAGTGAACCAATTTGGACCAAATTTTATATATAGTTTATTAACAACCTTGTAACAACAAAAACATAACCAGAACCATCTGCAGGATCATAAACAACTATTTAAATAACATTTCCTAAAAATGGGTCAAAAAAGAGGGAAAAAATGACTGACCGCCTCCTAAAATACTTAGATTTCGCCATCTCCTGCTTCCAAAATCTTTTCCAGTCGTCTTGGTATCTTTGAATAAAGACTGGAGATAACGTCTTTCGGGAAGTTTTCGCTACACAATAAAATTTTTTGCTCCAACGTTCTTTTATCGTAAAACTGACCATGTTCATGAACCCGATCTTCCAAAAGCTTTGAACGTGTTTAATAATGCTGAAATCAGGTTATAATAAAAGCCAATCAACTACACTAACTTGCTTTTTTTCAAAAAGTTTGTAGTTTCCTTGGAAGGGTGAAGGGCGCAGTTGTCCTACTGGCAGCACCATCCTGTACGACCCATTTGCTCAATGGCCCATGGAAGGAAGGTGGTGCGCAAGTCTTTGATTTAATCTTTAGACTTGTATTTACCATTGACAGTCTAAAATGGCAATTATAAACACTGTTTGTAATAGTTTTTACTTACATTTACCTTGATGTTACCATTGCTGGAAATAGCGCCAAGTGCCATAACACTTCCACCACCTGCTTGACGTTTGATTCGCTTTAAACGAGCATTAGGGGTACCGTAGCAAGCCAGCTAGTCTGGTCCGTCAAATGAAAACCTCTTTCTATCCGAGAATATCCACTTACAAAAATTGGTCTTTTGATCAAGATGCTTTTTGGCGAAATTTGCCCTGGAAACCATCTGAGAACGGCTTAACGGAAGTTGTCGTTTGGTTACTTCGTAGGTAATGTCATTTTCCTTTAAAAATTTGTTAGTTGTGCGAAGACTGGAATCCAGTTTTAAGATCTTTTTGATGATTTTTGCGGTCACCTGTGTCCAGCACGAACGTCTTTCCCTACAAAACGTTCTATTCGACGGACAGCGGCAGGCCTATTCATTGCCGGACGACCAACTTTCTTGTTATGAACATTCCTGATGGTTCTCTTCACAGTATTCCTGCCGTGGCCGGTCCTTCTTCTAACTTACGTGGTTTTTCCCGTCTTTACGAAAATTTGAACTTTGTCTTTTTCTTCTTGAGGCAAAATTCTGAAACCACTTTTAAAACATAGAATAATAACAGCTTACCTTATTCTTGTAAAAAACTTTCAAAATTCTAGCAACTCCGTGCTATTTTCCAGGGGTGCTCAATAATTTTTTCACATTTTTTCACACCGAAAAATATTTTTTTTGTGTAAAACGAAATGTCACAAACCAATTGACATTTCGTCTTACCAGAACATATTCCAGTAAACTAGGAACACGTATGTCAAATTTGGTCCAAATCGGTTTACTCATTGCCACTTTAGTGGGGCGCTCAATAATTTCTGCGTGCAGTATAGTACCTTTTGGCTTTTTCAGTACTCGGTCTTTTTTGTTTAGGTACTAGGTTTTTTTCTTGGTCGAACGACTCAAAATTATTTTTTCAGCCAAATGCAAAATAGTTTTTTGTGCACTTTTGTTCCAACATAGGTTTTAAATTTTTTGTTTTATGACAAGGATTTGGCTTGTCACGATTTGAGCGGTTTTATGTGGTCTTTTTGTTGTTCCTCATTGCTCAATGGCTAAAAATAGTCCATTTTTATAAATTTATTTATTTCTAACACGCACTTATGATGTGTAGACATAATTGGTTGTTTAGACTTTACTTTTTCACAAAAGGTTTTGTAGGAGGAAAAATTTGTAAAAAGTCGTTTTTGACTTTTAATTTTGACTTACAATTCAGACAAGTTTTTTGAAATTTGTGTGGCACTCTTACTTCTTCTGGACTCTTTAAAATACAACTTTGAAATTGAGCTAAAAATAAAAAAGTTGTACAATATGTACATTGCCTTATAAATTTTGTGTCTAACTTTTAATGTTTTGATGGACTGAGATTCGATTAGGGTTCAAAGTTTGCGAATATATAAAAAGCTCCAAAAAGAATTTCACCATTATAAAAGAATCTCAACAACAGGATGCATAAGATAATCAAATTTTGCCTGAAAATAGAATGTTTCCGGCTCGACAGAGAGAAGGCGTTAGTTAGTTTTTCTTAATCTAGCCTTTAATCGTTTTACAAGTTTTGTTGGGGAAAAGCGAAAAAGCCGAGAGTCTGTCTCTTTTTTTATTTTTTCATCACGTGTGCTCACTTCTCTTATTTCTCCCGTTTTCGAAAGGAAACATCACAGTCATCCGAGATGCAAATAATAACAAGATGGCTTTAATTGTGTTAATGTTACTGGGTAATTAGAGTTTGGTGCTATTATGCTACAGTTAAGTATGGCGTGCTTGAAAAGATAAGTGTGTGGTTAAAAAGTCAATAGAAAAATTTGTGGGGTGATTTTATACCATATGAACGTGATTTTACTACCTTTTTGATTATTGTCCTTAATGGTCGAATTGAATTATAAAGTTTGACATTATTGTTTGTTATGGATTCTATATTGTGTGATATTTGATATTGAGCTGGTTAAAACGATAAGAACTCTTTAAAGATTGTTTAAAGTAATCCAAAGTGACATGTTAATGTTACAAAACTCGTTTTACAATGCAGTTACGGAGAATCCAGTGGAATGTCAAAAACATGAAAATCTGGGTTAATGCGCTGAACATTTACTGTGGTAAAAGGGAATGGACATTGTGTTAGGCAGTAGCTTTTCTTCAGTTGTTTTTACAAAAAAACACTGCTATTTGTAGTTGTAAGATGGCTTCAATGATTTGAAATTTTAGATTTGCTTTTATATTTGTTAATCTTGTTATGAAAAAACATTTTACCTTCATATTATTAACGTTTATGACGTTTCGTACTAAAATATACCCAATATTGATTTTTCATAATTTCAGGCGAATGCAACTTGGCAGTGGTCAGAATTCGCAGTCGCAACAGTCGCCCAGCTATGCAAAATCAGTGGCCGATCGTATCAAAGGAATCAACCTGAATGACTCGAATCGTCATCGTTTGCCGGACTCGGACCTCATTTTGGATGGGGTCCTGGACGCGCCGGATGGATTACTCACGACGCTAGCCAATGGCAATGGCGTGGACAAGGTGGAACAGCTGAAGAAGGGCAAGAACTCGACTGCGAGCAGTTTGATGAACAACAAAACCAAGAAACCAAGTCCAGAGCCGGTCCAATTGAATGACTTTCAACGGAATGCCATCCGAATTATTGGACAGTACTTGAATGAACTTGGACTAAAGTAAGGTTTTGGATAATATGTTATTTTGCGGTTTAGGAACGGCTTTCAAAAAGCGGTTTTTGTTATATAATATCAAACGCAAGGCATAAAAATAATAAAAACGGATATTTAATGACACATTTCAATATATTGTTTTTGAAACGGACTAACCTTGCCATTTCCAGTAGCACAGCCGAAGCCCTAGTCGAGGAATCCGGATGCCGCGTCGAGAATCCTTTGGCAGCGCGAATGCGTTGCCAAATGGTCGAAGGTCAATGGACTAAAGCTTTGGAAACCCTTGATAGACTGCGACCTCAGCTCACGGAATGGGCATACCTCCAATCACGGGTGTTAATCATCGAAGAACGGGTAAAAGACCTTTTGGCATCTAATGAAACCGCTCTCGCCTTGGACGCGCTACAGTATGACTATCCGGACGAGGTCCAATTCCAACATCGACGTGAATTCTACAGTACGTTGTTGTTCAGGGACCCTGTTGAGATCATGGAGATGTTCGAGGGTCGTCAGGAAAGTGTGACTCAAGCCTTGAAGGCGTTACACAAAATACTGCCTAGTCAAATACTACTGCCACCTTCGAGGTTCAAAAATTTGGTTGATCAAGGTCGGTTTAGATTTGATTTTGATCTAAAATAGAAGTTTTTGTTATTACTAAGACACGCATAACAATATGACGAAAATATTATAATATTGATACTTACAGCATGCCTCTTCCAACAAGAACAATGTGATTTACATGTTGATTACGACACCGAGATTACGGATCCATCTGATTTCGTGCTAAGAGATCATTGTTGTTCTACGTCCAGCTTGCCAACTAAATGCACTCAAGTATGTTTTTAATATGCTACATAATTTTAAAATCTTTGATGTAAATTTCATAGACTATTAAAGTGTAACTTAAAATATACATATAAAGCTGTCTTTTTAACGTTTTTAAATAAAAGGTTATATAAACCTTTATTTCCAGTACCTATCAGAGCCAAAAAGCGAAGTTTGGGCCCTCCAATTCTCCTCCTGCGGCCACTATCTCGCCGCCGGAGCCCGCTTCAACCAAGTACTTGTCTATCACACCAAAGACCTCACGGATCACAACTTTTATCTCTGGAAACGAATACACATCCCACGAGAAGTGAAAGGCGTAGCCACACTCAGCTTCTCCGGCGACAGTAAAACGATCGCAGTCACAGCAACATCAGAGAACACGAGTACGGGCGTCTACGTATTCAATCTGGAATCAGGGAACTTGAAGGCTGACATCAAGCCCAACCCTCAGGACTACAGCTACACCTCGGCCGCGTTCTTTCAAAATGATAACAGAAGGCTGGTTTGCGCTGGAATGCACGGCAACTTCGAGTGTCATGTAAGGGTTTTATTGTTTGTTTTTTGATTTTAGGAAAAGATACTTAAAGTTAGAAGCTTATTTTGAAGTGAATTGACGCAAAAGTTTTTAGAAAATGTATTTTTGAAAAAATATTGCCCTTATGTTCTCATATGCATTTTCAGGACCTAACCAAAGAGAGAAAACCAATCTCTTTCACGGGATTCAGAATAAAGTGCTTGGTGACTCTAAGCGACGGCTACAGCGTCATTGCCGCTGATTCCCACAACAGAATCCGGCAGTACAACTTTGACGACATGACTGAACACACGCTCTTCAAGGAGGCTTCTGAAATCATGACATTCTCCATAGATCCGACCGAAAGCTTCTGCCTAGTTACCTCCAAAGAAATGGGTCTTAGATTGTGGTGCTTGAAGACGAGACAACACTTGATGACGTTCACAGGATCTCTACACAACGACTATGTCATACAGTCGTCGTTCGGTGGCAAAAAGGCCGAGTTTGTGGCTACTGGATCTCAAGGTGGGTTGGGGAGGATGATTTAGATTTGTAATTTATGTTTTGGAGGTTAAATTTGGATTACATCCTGAAGTTTTCAATTAAAAAGATTTCCTGAAGCTTAAAGTGTATTATCATGATGAATTCCATCTTAAAAAGAAAAACCCTTCCCGGGGTCCAAATAAGAACATCATCATGGATAATATAATGTTTTCAGATGGCAAGTTCCTGATCTACAATCGCCGCACCCATGAACCGATTCACGAAATCCCGGCACATCGTGGGCACACCGTGAACACGGTCGTCTGGAATCCGGTGAACGCGAACATGATAGCATCGGCTGGCGACGATGGCACCGTCCAAATCTGGGTACCGGAACAGATCTGGCGACGACAGAAGCGACGAAAAAGCGGCCTCAACTCGGCCTCATCGCTACAATCCCTTGAATAATAACTTACAGGTTTCACATCTTTTGTTTTATTTTGTTTCTAAGTGGCATGGGTGGCTTACTGTGGTTTTATTACACTACTACGATTATGTAATGTAATATCCACTATCAAATGTCGTATCTTAATGTATTGATCTTTGTGTTTTATCATGAAGAGTAGTTAATAAGGCTATCAGTGATCATTTCTGAAGATTTTTGGAACGCCAAAGCTTTTGAAATGTCAGTAAAGCCCATGTCACCTCTTATTTTGTCGATAATGTCTTTGATTTCTGTTTAGTGCGGGTTCAAAGCCGAAAACGGACTCAGTCACGGAGTATTCTTTGTATAATGTCTAAACTTATTGTGTCTTTAATGGGTAGGGATGTTGAGGAAGCTAAAACTTGAAAACTTGGTTTAAAAATTGATTCAGTTTTTAAAAAATTTTTTAATTTTCGTGAAAAAAACCAATTTTATTCAGTTTTCGAACGAATTTTAAATTTTTAAAGACATTTTTTAAAACAACTTTTTGTAAAGGTATCTGAAAAGGCAGTATATTACATAAACTACACCTAACAGCCCCCTCCACCCCCTACCCATCCCCCCTACCATTCTACAATACCAGAAACCAACCTCGTCCTGCTTTTAAAGTATGTTATAGTAGAATTGTTAATAATTTTAAGTGTTTTTGTTCCTTTCAAACGGGCTACTGTATTCAAGTGCGTTTTTCAACATTTTTTCTCCCGAAACTCTTTCTTTTTCTAAAATACGGTAAGATTTGGTATGACTTCTGATAACGTCATTGAGGAAGTAATGTCATGTTGGATTTATCGTTCAAATTACTGGTAAACTGTCATACCGTTTAAAACATGTATGAACAACCTGAATTTCAATTTGCATACGGTTTTGTTACTCTGGGGTACTGTATTTTATTGAAGGATGCTGTATAATGCTGAAAAGTATTGGAGTTATGTTACCATACGTGGCTTAAAACAATATATAGGGGACCTTACAAGGGCCTTATATTCGTTTTATGGTACTACGGTTACTTTAGTATTATCGTTGGATACCATGGTTTACTGTAGTATTCTCTAAACATACCATAGTATGTTTAGCATGCTTTTAAGATACTATGGTACTTAAAGTGTCTACATTGAGTACCTTAAATTAACCTATAGGCTCCTTTTCAATTGGTAACACTACCTTGTATTCAAACTCTTGGGTCTGATATTCATCATGTCTGATTTACCGGTATGTTGTATATATTACAAATGAACACCAACCCTAATTAAATCCGTTTTGTTGTGTGTCGGTTCCATATGTACATAGCTAGACTTAAGTAATAAACTTTGATCTTTACAATTCGCTATTTGTAAACTAAAGAATGGAAAAGTTGATAATAAAACGAAAAATGGTATAATATGATATAGAAGAACGATAAATATCATAAAATTGTAAATACGATAAGTAAAAAGCTTGATAAACGTAAAATATTCGTAAAAACCAATGAAAATTGTTTACAATGACTGATTTCAACACAAAAACAACAATATTTATCCGACATCTACATCTCCATTCGGTCCCATCACGAAAACAAACGAAGCTTGAGATAAAAGACCACGGACCGGCAATTGGTCGCTTTTTGCTCCTTGTGCTTTTTTACCGAAAGACTTTGGTTTTACAGTTCAATCCGTATTCGATTACAATAATAAACCGTTATCTCGTGTATTTTACCATCAAACATTGTGTTACTTTCAGCGTTAGCCATGACTTCCGCTGCGATCGATGTAAACCAAAGTATTACCGGCCATAAGACGGCCACCATTCGTAACTACACCACTCAGCCTCGTCTTAGTAAGTTTTTATAAATTTTTGTTTTGTTTTGGTTTAGGTTTGGTTATGGTTAATAATGGCTTTATTTGAATATCATTGATAATATAGTGTTGTTTTCATTTCTTTTATAAATTTTGGACTGTAAAACAAGATGAATCTATGAGTGATATATTTTAGTAATTTGCTTTAGCTACAGTGGATATATTTTGTAGAAACTTTAATGTTTTATATTTTTTCACAATTTTAAGTTCAGGTATTAAAATGGTTTTCTTATTTTTGTTTATTTTTTTAAACAATTGTTATTTTTTGGGATTATATTAATATTTTAGCCTACAAGACTGTGACTGGTGTAAACGGACCCTTGGTCATCTTAGACGATGTCAAGTTTCCTCAATTCGCTGAGATTGTTACTCTTACTTTGCCCGATGGTACCAAGCGTTCTGGCCAAGTGTTGGAAATCACCAAGACCAAGGCTGTTGTCCAAGTATTCGAAGGAACTGCTGGAATTGACGCCAAGCACACTATCTGTGAATTCACTGGAGATATCTTGAGAACCCCAGTGTCTGAAGACATGTTGGGTCGTATCTTCAACGGATCTGGAAAACCCATTGACAAGGGACCTCCAGTCTTGGCCGAAGACTACTTGGACATTAACGGTCAGCCAATTAACCCATGGAGTCGTATCTACCCAGAGGAAATGATCCAGACTGGTATCTCTGCCATCGATGTCATGAACTCTATTGCTCGTGGACAAAAGATTCCCATCTTCTCGGCCGCTGGTTTGCCTCACAATGAAGTAAGTTGTAAAAATGATTGTCTTCTTGTGTTTAGATTGATTTAAAAACAAGATCTTACTTTTTTTGATCGAAGAAGTCGAATTAAAGCATCTATTCAATAATTTTACTGTTTATCTTTCTTACTTTAAAATTATAAACTGTTTAAACCGTGATAACTTCAGATCGCCGCCCAAATTGTACGTCAAGGAGGTTTGGTCAAGTTGCCTGACCGTCAGTTGGAGGAGGGTGACAATGATTTCGCTATTGTGTTCGCCGCTATGGGAGTTAACATGGAAACTGCTCGTTTCTTCAAGCAAGATTTCGAAGAAAACGGTTCCATGGAGAATGTGTGCTTGTTCTTGAACTTGGCTAACGATCCAACGTAAGAAATTTTTTATTGGTTTTGTGATTTTAGGTAACAGAAGGATCATTTTTGATATAAAAATTCAGGTTTTTATAGCAAAAATTATATTATAAAACTAACATAATACAAAAAAAGTTTGAAAAATGATTATTTTAGGTAACAATTTTGATAAAAATGACTTTTGTATTCAAAATTTACTAAAACGACCATTTTAGCATTGAACGTATTATCACTCCTCGTTTGGCTTTGACCGCTGCCGAATTCTTGGCCTACCAATGCCAGAAGCACGTGTTGGTCGTGTTGACTGACATGTCATCGTACGCCGAAGCCTTACGTGAAGTATCGGCCGCTCGTGAAGAAGTGCCCGGTCGTCGTGGTTTCCCCGGTTACATGTACACTGATTTGGCCACAATCTACGAACGTGCTGGTCGTGTCGAAGGCAGAAAGGGCTCCATCACTCAGATTCCTATCTTGACTATGCCTAACGATGGTAAGTTTTTGATATTTGTTTTATAGTGATGCAAGATATATTTTGTGAATTTTTATATTATTTATGTCAAGAGGGCTTGAGTTTTCACTATTATCCATGTTTTCCTTTCAGATATTACCCATCCCATCCCCGATTTGACCGGTTACATTACCGAAGGACAGATCTATGTCGACCGTCAATTGTACAACAGACAGATCTACCCACCAATCAACGTGCTCCCATCTCTGTCCCGTCTCATGAAGTCTGCCATTGGTGAAGGTATGACCCGTGAAGACCACTCTGATGTCTCCAACCAGCTGTACGCTTGTTATGCCATCGGAAAGGACGTGCAAGCCATGAAGGCTGTAGTAGGAGAGGAAGCCTTGTCTTCTGATGATCTGTTGTACCTCGAGTTCTTGACCAAGTTCGAGAAGAACTTCATCGCCCAAGGCAACTACGAGAACCGAACAGTATTCGAGTCGTTGGACATTGGATGGCAATTGCTTCGTATCTTCCCACGTGAAATGTTGAAGCGTATCCCAGCCAAGACCCTGGACAAGTACTACCCACGTGGTGGTGCTACAGCTCAAAAGGAGAACTAAACTTGGGTTAGAAGTCTTTATTGCTATATTTTAGTAGGTGGGGGTAATTATAATGTAATATTTTGTGTATTACAGTATATTATATGTTACCGTATGATATTTTGTACGGTGCAGTATAATATATGTTCATGTTGTGATTATATTGTAGCCCCACTCATAGTAATATATCATTTTCTAGCTAATAGTGTACTCCCCGTCATTCACTTAATAAAAAACAGATGTAGAAATCACTTTAGGGTAGCGTTCTTCAATTGTTCTACCACTCGTGGTCATTCCACTTATATTGTCTTGGTTTAATATAAATCGTATATAAATCCCTAACCTTCGAGATTGGCATGTTTGTGTGGCCCTGTCTTGTGTCCCCTCCCCAGAATTAGATGTCTTATCTTCGAACGCCCCGCTTCTCCATTTTGTTTTGTCTTCTCCCTGTTAGCATGTACCTAAATTAACATTGGCTTGTTTCAAATTTACCCCACTTTTCACACGCTTCAAAAAATAACTGTGATTTTATGGCAAATATTTTACAATTCGGTTATATTTCTACTTCCAGAGTGTCTATTATTTTAAATTCAAATAAAGCGATAAACAAAATTCGATATTTTAATTTATTTTGATTGCTGGGTGGAGCACCATAGCCTCAAAAATGATCTTGTTTTAGGTATTGATAACAAATTTATTAAATTTAAAAATTTTTTTAAAATTATTTTTCTGACATTTTAATGATGTATATGTTCATATCAAATACAATATTATAGCTGAAATTTTATTTATTGAAAATTTAATGACCAGTATATATATATTGTGATACCGCAATACTAAACCCATAAAAATTAAGCTCAACAACAAAAAGTATCCAGTTAATATAATAAACAATCAACTAAAATATAAACAATATAACATATTACTTAATTTACCCAGTAAATCTTGTCCGATTTTCTGCCCGTAAATGACCTACAGAACATTTGTCCGTTATCTGAACGTCCCCACCGTTATCTTTGAATACAGTAATCGTTGCCTGTCCTGGATACACGTCTTGGTGCGCCAGACTCCAGATGATCGAAGCTACTGAAGAATCGTGTCCTACCATAACCAAGTTACCACCGTATTTCTCCCGTAGTTGTGTTATGGTTTGTTCTACACGCTCATCACATCTGTCGAATCTCATCGGTTCTTGTGGCAGAGGTGGAGATAGGACTGGTCGATAAGCTTGGTCGATTTTCGGGAAGCGTTTAGCCAACTCTTCGACTGTTCGAAAGCCTGGCGGAGACTCACATAGGACGAGGCTCTAAAAAGATGATTAATAATGAGAAACAGTTTTTGTAAAATACGACAATTGGTTTCCACATTGCTCGTAGAAGTATTATATTTATAAGCATATCTAACTATATAGTATATGATTGTGTTAATTTATTATCAAAAAATTTGATGAACTTACTTCACAAAGCCCTGGTTCCACGAAAATCTTGATATTCTTGTCTCCAATCAGTGTTTCGGCTGTTTCTACAGCTCTGTCAAATGGAGATACGAAGATGGCCGAGACTTCCTTGTCTTTGAAGCTGTAACATGTATATTACAGTAATGTGATACAAATAATAATATAACCCTTGAATTATATACTTTTCGTTTTTACTTCAGACGAAACCTTAAATTCTTGTCCACGAAAAAAATCTCATAGTTTTATGTGATCCCTTTTTTTGTCTGATTGCCGTCAGCATTAAAGAAAAACTAGAGATCTCACAAAATTATGAGAGATTTTTTCGTGGACAAGAATTTAAGGTTTTCGTCCAAGGTAAAAATGGAAAGTATATAATTCAAGGGTTATATAATTCCAAAACTTTGCGATTACGTTTAAGGAGAGCTTTACAAGGCTTTAAAACAATTATAAATGTGTTACAGGTAACCACTTACTACGCCCTTAAATCCTCTGCCTGTCGTCTTCCAGTAGCTGAAAGTGGTGGATTATCAGCCTTATCACCGGGTGCTGGCCTCCAATTTCTGTTGATATTGTCCTCTCTTTCAGCGTGTCTGATTGCATATAGGTATCGAACGGTTTGTGAGATCATATTTTATTGTTTCTAAAAGGTTAAAATTATTAAATTACAAACATAATAATATTTAAAAAATGTAAATAACATAATATTATGACAAAAATTTTAAATTTAATAAAATTTTTATCAAAAAAGTTAAATGTGTAGGAAATGAGTTGAATATCTAGTTGAAACACTATTAAAACGGTCAGCCACACCTACAAATTATAAAAAATTTGTGGTTTATATTACTCACAGACCTTTCTCTTATGTTAGTGGCTTTTTCGTATATTTCGAAACGTTTTCCTTCGAAATATACTAACAAAAATGATGAAATGTTTGAAAAAGCCAAGTTTCACCTTTTACACAACACCATTGGTATAAAAAATGTTCAGGCAAGTATACAATACAAATATAACATCAAAAACAATAAAAAATCTTACAATATTCCACATTACTTCACACCAGGTAATAAGATACCATATTACTTTACACCAGATACGTTTACAAGACAAAACTTTTATCCCATCTCTTCAAATAGCTTCTGAAACATGCTCCAACCAGCGGTTTAGCGTTTATTATATTAAATTAGATATGCTTGTCACAATAATTTATAGATATTTACATTACCAGTGCAAATATTTCGGGTATCACAATACGATTTGGATGGTAAATGCCATTTGAAAGGTTAGGAAAAAACCCGAATAGTACAAAATAAATTAAGATTTTTAGAAATTTAGACATAATTCATAGATAACATCACTTTGTATAATCTAAGTACAATGACTTCTGTATGTCAATGTTTAGACATAGCTTTGAGTTATATTGTCATAAAAATAAACTGAATTAACGTAGAAATAAATAGAAATATTGTCGTTTAGAGGCTTTTGATATAATGTTAGATTGTTCAAATAATTCTGAGCCATTTCTCAAGCAAATTTTCGGAGTTAGGGGCACAGAATTATTTGAAAAACCTAATATATCAACCATATTGCCTTATCATTCTTCATTTTCCTCCTCTTTGATTGGACCGTCGTCGATGGCAATTCGGCCGAGAGATATTCGGAGAGGATTCTTCTTCTTTGAGTCCTAAAATACGAAAGTATATGTGACATGATTCCCCCTCAGAGAAAATTCGTAACGACGCCCCTGACTTACAATTAATACAATAACACCTTACTGCAATACTTTACCATTTTTGTTAAAAACAGTATTTTACACATACCTTAATTCGGATCTTGCTGTCTGACAAATCCAAATGAAGTTGGAACTTTTCGTCGTCATCTTGTTCGACTTGGAAGAATGGTCCCAAATGTGACAAGATAATGTCAGTCAAGTTGATCTCCATCTCTTTTACATTGATCTATAACAATATAAAGATATACTTTCAAAAATTACATTTAAATTCAAAAAATTATTTCAATTCTTTCAATTAAAACTTTCGAAATTCGATAAGTATTACATATAAAATTACTCACCTTTAACGTAGTAAAGCCTTCATGTCCCAGTAAATCAAAAACAACTTTGGTATCCAACAATCTGTATTCTGGGATTGGGGATGTTGCTCTTAACGTGGACTTGTCTCTAATCACATCACCAAACCGTATTTTAAACCGTTCGTAAAGATTCACACTGCAACAAGGTATTTTTTATATTTTACTACTATTAGGTTGTTCAAATAAGTCTGTGCCCCCCCCCCCCCCCCCTCAAAGCAAATTTGAAGGGTTAGAGAGCACAGAATTATGTGAACAGTTTACTAGACACAGCTATAGTATTAAAACATCAAAAAGTAAATTTTACATGTTCTATGTTATGTTGTTCAAATAGTTGTGTGCCCCAAAACCCAAAAAGTTGCTTTGAGAGTAGGCACAGAACTAACTGAACAACCTAATATTACTTTAAGTTTACTTTACCCTAATATTACTATAAAAACTTACTTTGTTACATAACCATTAGCCTTGACATCCCCTTCCTCCACCTGAACCACTGCTTGAACATCGCTGAGATGTATCTCAAACACATTCACAACTTGACTCATATATCTTGTGGTCTCTCGGTTAATCTGATTGTTTTCCTCCACAAAAATGGCTTCTTCAGCTACAGCTACCGTCACTTTTCCCAAGAACACATCGTCTTCAAGTTGAGCCGAGCTTTCCAGATACGCTACCTGACTTCTGAACTCGTCTTCCGAAGCCGAAGTCACGATGGACGCGGTTTCTTCCATAATGTCACTGGCTTCGAGATATGATGACATTTGAGATCCAGTACGGTCGGATCTTCTGGAATCTGGGAGAGATTCGTCTGCTTTGAGGCTTTCTGAACCATAATAAGTAGATTCTGTGGCTTCTTTGATGATCTTTGTAGGAGTTTCTGGGAGTACGGTGGTTGGAGTTGGTATCTGGTCGGGATGTACTGGTGTTGGGGGATGGGTATTGCCTGAAAATTGTTATTATTGATTTTTAATAATTAATAATAAAATTTTTTTCATCAACTAAATTATAAAATTTTTACATTTTTTTCTTTAAAACCAAATTTACTATAGATTTTTCATGCTTAAACTACTATAATATCTAACATATACTCGTGATACACAGTAATATACGCCCCTATACCTACATAATTTTAACTTTGTACAACGGCTTTTAAAGTTAAATTTTTTGTACGGCTACTATTATATTAATGTCGTAATATCGGTCGACTTAATGTGGTATTTACCTTATTCAACCGTGCTTTGCCTTTCGCCCTACAGATGTTCCTTTCTTTTGAGGTCAAATATTACTTACACCTCTTTCCTCTTCATTTCGAGTAAAATGCGCGCAATTCACAGTAAAAACGGGATTAGATCAGTGGGTCACAGTCGGTTAGCTATCTTCCTTTTGTAAAGCGGGTTATCACCTTTTGTAATTGGATTGTCATTTGTTATCATCGTTAACTTTTTATCGCTTATCATTGTAATTTCTCTTACTATGAGCAATACAGAAAGCTAGTAACTTGTCCTTGACGGTGAACCACATCCTACCTTTCTTATCCTGATTTAGAACATATATATTAGGTAGTTCACATAATTCTGTGCCCCCTGCTCTAAACGCAAGTTTCCGGCATTAGGAAACACAGAACTACTTTAACAACCTAATACCTATAATTGTAACCCTCACGCAAAACCTATATCAATCCTTTTAAACCTCCTGCCAAACCTACACCCATACTTTTAACCATCATGCCAAACTTATACCTATGATTCCAATCCCCTTCTTGACTTAATGTAAACAAGTATTGTCAGATCAGCCATGCATTTCGTTCCCCTTGACGAGAACCTTTTCGAGATGTGTTTAATCTGACGTCTTGTTGATGCCATGGCGAGAAGTCGGATCGAGTGCCTGCGGACCGGCGCGCGGTTTTGAATAGAGAGCGCGAGATACTTTTGGGATTTCGTGTTTCCAAACAGGGCTGATTCAAATTAAGCGCAGCCAGGGGAGGGAAAATGGGCTAGTTTGGGTGGAAAAGTAAAAGTTGCGGCATTGTTTTGCAATCAGGGTTGAACTATTTTGTTTAGTAATTAGTATTGGAATTTTGAAAAGAGAAAGAGTATTGGATATTGTGAGTGTAAGGCATTTCGATGCATTGTATTTAGTTTTTCTTGTTTTACTTTGATACATTATTGTTTTATCTTCCTTATACGTCCAAAAATAGTTCAAATAGTAATGTTTTATAAACTAAGACTTGATTATTTATAAATATTGTCAATGTTGGAAAGCCAAGTTAATTTTATGCCTCATAGACTCATTATTATTCAAGAAAATTATCGTAAACCCAAAGTAACTAAGCTAACGCAACAAGACGTATGTTATGTTTACTGTTGTTTCCCAACACTTCTCGCTGATTTTACGCTGTTTTGTTTATTTGCAAAAAAAACAATTCTGCGCTCATTTCGGAAGACATTATTAAGAAGTGGCGGCCTTAACCCTTAAATTAATTAGGTCAATGTCAATTTGAAGAAAAAGTGGACCAAAAATCGTCTTTTTATTTATTAGTAATATTTCGCAGCCAGCTGATACCTCGTGGCACATTTTCTGCACAGTGTAAAGCGTGGTAATTTTGTAAAAGTCCACGGTAATCTTAGTTTTACTGTAAAGTGAAATTGTTTCAAAATGTAAATTGAAATGTTTATTGATTTTGTATGTTGTTGTAGTAAACGTAATGGTTCTGCAGTTGTTTTTGTAATTCGTATGTTTATGAAAACGAGTTTTTAGTAAAACAACGTATAGCAACGCCACATTCAATGACAAATACATCTATTGTAACATCATATTAGTGATAAATAGTTTTTTTTTTATTTTTTATGTCATTTTTTTAAATTTGTCATTACTTGCTTCTCATATTTTAGCTAATCTTCTCCCTGATCTAACAAAAATAATGAAACTAACTTGACCGTCCATGTCATCGGATATTAAACTAATTTATGTGGCTCTCTCATTCAAAACTATTAATTGCCCTATATTAATGTTTTTTACAGCTACTAGCAATACTTCTGTTCCAAAAATTGTTATAAATAGGTACAGCTCTATATATTGATGGATTAAGTCGAAGACGTTCTAATTTGAAAGATTACTCCTCTGTTTTTTTTAAATCTTCTTACTCTAGTTGTCCTTAATCTTCCAAATTACCCTTCCTTTATTTTAATACCGTTTTAACCTTCTATGTTCTATTTACAATATCCATGCTATTTAAAATTTTATTTTAAAGCAATTGTCATCTTCTTTATTATACTTTATACAAATACCTTGTTACTGTTTCATTATTTGTAAAATTTTACTTTTCCGGTTCCTTTTCTCCGTTGATTTATACATTTTCATATACTGGTTTGTGAAATAATGCAAAGTTTTCACGGATTGGCGATTTCTGAACTGGAATGGTTGATTCATCCACTCCCAATTGAAATCCACCGCAACCTTTCGCCCACGGTTAATGTCATTAGATTTATAATAATATAGTTGAACCGGCTGAGGGTTCTTTATTCTTTGGGGTTTTTGACGTAGCCTAGCCAAATTGAGATCATTTCTGTTCTTGAAATATATCTTTGGCCTTTATTTTTTAAGCTCAGTCTGTTTTGTCTTGACATAAGCTCTCAAAAACCTCACATTTTCCCGGTTTTAAATTTTTTAAATTTCCATTGACTTTTAATTAGCTTCGAATTCGCTGAACAATGTATTGAACAGCTATTGTAACATTGTGGATTTCCCTCTCATCCCCATTCAGCGATCAATAGCTCTTCAGACTCTTTGAGGAAGCCGAACTAAATTTTTTTTTCGGATTTCGTTCGGCACCCAAAAATAAAATATTGAGTGTGCGGGTTCTGGAGGTCTTCCGCGAACTAACCCCGATTATGGATGGGTTAAACGATCCATCTTCGGCTCGTTCATTTCGCGCGGATTTACCCTAACTGGCGGTGTTTTTTGTTCCATGATTTCGAAGGTAACAGGGATTCTGTCCTTGTGGTTTCGTCTTTTAGTAAACAATTTAATCTTGCAAGCCTGATGAAGTAGTTGTCTTGAAAGTCTATAAAATAGATGTCTAGAAAGTCATTGTAATTTTATAACTATTTTTGGCTTGAGATTTAATAGCACCTGCCGCTACAAACCTATGAGGTATTTATGCCATAAACCCTGTAGAAGGCAATAACATTGTTAGACCGAGCGCATTGACCCTTATATCTGTTTTATCTGACGGTATAATCGGAGGATAAAGGTCATTTTTACCCATGAAATCAAGAAAACCCATTTTTTCGGCTCGAATTCCGGCGCAATCTAGGCTTTCGTTGGTTTGCAAATTTGTTTTTGGGGTTTGTACCGGGATTTAAATTAATTTTACCTCAAAATTGTCATCCAAGCTTAAATTATTGTTTTAATTTTCCTCAATTTCATGCCTTTCAATACTTTTTATCTTTAAATCTCGCATATGTTCCTTCAGTTATTTTCCAAAATGACTATGTTCCATAAAATTTCGATCGCATAATTGCCTGGCATCAGGCGTTTTTTCCGAAGCCGATCCTTTGTCGATAAATCAGTGAAATACCGTTTTAAGGTCATTCGTGCGTGTCTTTTGAACTTTTCCATCGGTGATTGTTCGAATTAATTGGTTTTAGAAAATCATCGCTGAGCCGCAATAGCAGAACAGTTACGCGTCTTCGTCCTTTCGGACTTTCCAACCATCATGCTACTACGACCAGTGTCAGTAATACTACTGACGTTAGCGGCTTCAGTATTGTCTTGTCCTAATGCTGTCAAGAACCTGTGTCAATGTTACGAAGATGTACAGACTGGTATGGGCCATACGATAGAATGTACGGGTCAGAATTTGGAAGACGTAATACACTTGTTAGTACAACATCAAGAACAAATCGGGCTGATTAAACGACTAGCCATTGTTGACGCGCCATCGATCGGCAATCTGACCGCTGACGCATTCAAAGGTCTGTACATCAAGAGCCTCGCAATCAGGAACAGTGGTGTCAAGAATGTGGATGCCAAAGCGTTCGGAGGTCTCGATTCAACGTTAATTGAGCTGGATTTGAGCAAGAATAAGATTGACGTCATGCCAACAAAGGCAATCAACGGAATGAAGTCGTTAATGGTGTTGGATTTGTCAAACAATTCAATTGTAAATTTGGGAGCTGAATACAAAATGCCAACTTTGCCAAAGGTAATAACTAGTTACGTAACTATAATATCAATCATTTTCGAAAAGAAAAATCAAACTTAAAAATCTGAAATTTCAAAAATAATGTGATATTTTCAGCTTGACCAATTGAACCTTGCTAACAATAAGATCAAGTCCCTACACACAACCTTTTTTGACAATGTCAAGAATAACATCAGATCAGTAAACTTGGGTCGAAACCAATTGACCTCAGTCCCTGGAGCAGGTACGTAGCGCTATATTCATATCTTTTAAGTGTAATACATAAGCTTCAAATAATGTTTACATGCATTATAATACTCAAACCTTTTAGCAATCAGAAGCTTCCGTCGTCTGGAAGCTTTACATTTGCATGGCAACCAAATTGGTCAGCTTGAACCAATGGCTTTCATGAATCTGCCAGTCCTGAACTTGTTGAACTTGGCTCACAACAAGATTACCAACATGACACGACAATCGATTCTCAACATTCCTCATCTGAAGGCTCTTTATCTTTCTGACAATTTGTTGGAAGAAATTATTCCTCATCAATTCGCCCCTTATGAACAGCTCATGCTTATCGACCTGTCGAATAACAGAATCAAAGAGCTGCAGGGCGGTTCATTTGCTGATATGAAGGAGTTGAAGGAGCTTTACTTGGCCAACAACAGGATTTCCAGCATCAAAAATGGTGCTTTTAATAACAGTGCTATTCAGATACTGTATTTGGAAGGGAACCAGCTTGAAGAGATTACCGATGACATGTTCAGTGAAATGTATTTCTTGGAACAGTTGGTTTTGAGAGAGAATTCCGTAAGTTCGGAGTTTGCATACTTTCAGTTAATCTTGCATAAATCGTTGTTTAAAAAAATTCTTTTGAAATTATATTGCAATTAACCTTATAATTCAATTATTTTCAGATCAAATCAATAAACCAAACTGCCTTCCACAAAACACCAAATCTTGTTATGCTGGACCTTAGCCACAACAAGATCTTCGACTTGTCACCATCCACATTTACCAACCAAGATCGCATTTTACTTATCGATCTACAGTACAACAAGATTCTACGTACTCCTTACAGTGCATTCAGCCGCAGAGTTGTTACTGTTCTGTTCTATGGTAAGTCAATACTTCAAAATATTTTTTGATTTGAGGACTATCAAGCATATTAAAAAACACAGTTTCATATTTGTAGACTTAATAACATTCAACGTTAAAATAAAATATAACTGCGTAGAAATATAACCTTATAATCACAAATTTGATTTTTTACAGAAAACCCCTTGGTATGCTCCGAGAAGGTGCATATGATCCAAAAAGGACAAGCTCTCACTGTGCCTGACCATCATGACACGATTTGTGGACCACAAAGAGAACTCGAACAACAAAATCAAATTTTGATTGCATCGACAACAGCCTCGCCAACTACCGAAGTCAACACCACTCCAGTTCAGCAAACCCGATCGATCCTTGACGCTCTTCCACAGAACCCGAAGTTCAATGTACAACAAAGTCCAATCTTCAACGGAGAGCAGAATCCAGTGTTTAATGGCCAGCAGAATCCAATGTTTGCTGGACAACCACTCTTGCCAGGAGTTAGGCAACCAACTCAAGAAGAGTTGTTCAATGCTTTTAAGCAAGCTGAGAGTGACGCTTTGAGCCGCCCAGTACCAGAAGATTCGTTGCACGATCCAAAAACACCGGCTCCACCAGTAGTGATCCCAGCATTAAACGGATTCGACGCTTCTGGACTGTTCAACAGCGCTCCAGGTAACGGAATGCCAATGGTGATTCAAAGGCCGAAACCAGAAATCGCTCAACCTGAAGGTCCTCGTGGTTCGTTAATGGTACGAAAGCTGTCTTCAGAACGTCGTGAATCAGCTGAAGAACGAAGCGTTATCAGAGCTGAACGTCCAGTTATTCAGCCAACCATAAATCAACCTCAAGATCGACTTCCAGCAGAAGATGATGGCAGAGAAGGTGGTGAAGAAGCTCAACGACCACAGTTCCCGGTCGAACAATCTTCAAATCAAACTCCTTTATCAGCTGAAGGTGTAGTGACCACAACTGACATTGCCAACATCCCTGGTCGTATCTACCCTCTGCCTGTGCCATTCTTGAAGCAGCCCATTAAGCAGAACACTTCTGTATTCTCGGCCACGCTTCCACCAAGCATCGTCATTGCCCCTAGCCAGAGCGACAACATTTTCGAGGAGTTCGAAAACCGTACTGCCACTGCTAAAAACCGGGCAATGACTACAGAAAAGCGACCATCAACTATAAGTCTAAACGACGAGCTCAACTTCAACATGGTTGCTTCGAATACAGAACAACAGAACGCTGATCAGACCAAAGTTGCTACAACCTTGATCCAAGGCGACAAACAGTTGCCCAACATTCTGACCATGGTCGTGGTAGCTGTGGTCGGTGTTGTTGTAGCCGCAATCTTGTTAGGCTTGATTGCTTTGTACAGAAGAAGGCATGACGCCAACTTTGTGCCCAGTTCAGCCAATTCAGCTAGCGGAGGATACGGGTATCCATCAAACACGTTAACAAGGCCACTACCGCCACACCACAACTATGTTCATGCAACGAATCAGTTTGGAAACTCACATTCACAGATGAGCACGTTACAAAGGAGCAGGTAAATTGGGTTTTTACTTATAGCTACTAACAATAACATTAAAAAACCGCAAAGTAAAAAAATCATTAACTTTTAATGCTGCGCATTTAAAAACAAGCCTGTGATAGCAGCCTTGTTCCGATATCGCAAAATTTGAGGTGCTTATTCAAACTTTTTTCAGGCCATCCTCGCAAGCCTTCCAATCCGAAGACGTGTACGGATGGATGTACAATCAGGGACCCTATCAGATTTACCAATCCAAACCTTCAGCCTAATTAGAATACGTAAAAAGCGGCCTAATCATCCAAAGATCTTCCAATCCATTCCTTGTTGTTTTCTTTAATATTCAACGTTTGTTATGCGGGATATTATACTTGTATTTATGCCTTGTTCTTTGTGTACAGTTCTGTGATGTAATAAATAAATCGATTTTTAATTCTTTTCTTTCAAAACACACTCATTTTGCAGTATGTTCAAGTTAACTCATTGATTACTGTAAAATTATTTTTACCGCTATAAAAGTAAATTTTTAAAAACGCTCCTTTGCCCATTTTTCCTTAACCTAACACTAAAACACATTTTTGGTCAAACCGCATTCCAACCTTTGTAAAAGTAGCCCGTTTACAACATAAAAAATAGTTCGGCGTATATCATCTTATCTCTCGCGATCTCCTTCGACGTTCGGCACTAGGTCACCAGGTCGTGGAGTCGGCGAGAAAACGGCTGCCAACGGTGATAGGTCATGGAATCATCTTCATTTTGAAGGTGATTCGGTTTGAAACGTAAAAATCCTCGGATTTCCGTCATCAGCTACACATTGTGGGTGTATATAATCTTGCGTACTTTCACTTTTGCGGCATTGCAAAATGAAACTTGGCATTGAAGTGAAGATGAGATTATGCTTCATTGAAGAGCTTGTTTTAGTTGTGTAATCTTTCTCTAGTTTGTGGTACTGTTTGGCTTTAATTTGATTTTTTCGTCATCATATGTTACTACTTTTAAAATTTCTGAGCTTTTTTTCGTATTTATTTGCTAAAATTGAAACCACAATTCTTTCATTTCTCCTACAGTATCTTCTTTTATCTTACTTTTTTCTATCTTTTTAAAGCGTTTTCATAAATTATTGCTACTATATTTTACCGTCTCATCAGTATTGCTACTATACCTCTAACACATGCTCCGATACTTTCCCTATAACTAATCCTTTCAATAACTTTCCAATCACATTCACATCATGCCTCATTATCCAAATCATAGTGAAAACGAGGCCGTGAATGCACTTTCCCCGCGCCAATCTTACAATTATCGCCCGTGGGCATTCGAAATTCAAGAAAGAAATTCCGAAATGGGCGTATCGTCGCACCTTTCGGGAATCATTCTCCTTGAGATCTTATAGCGGTTCCGCTCTTACTTCGTCTTCCAATATTAGGTATCCGCAAAATATCTGACCGACATTTCGTGCCGCGTTGTGATTTCCAAACACTTTTCCCACTCCGCCGTTTATCGGTCTTATCAGAATCGCGGGGGATCGTTGTGGGTTGGTTTTGCGGTAATTGTAACTTTAGGTTGATTTTGCATTGAATGTAATGATAAAGTTAAGCTTAAAATTAGCTTCTTATTAGAGTCATATTACATCCAATCCTCTGGCTTTGAGCCCTGTTATAATTGTAGTTTTTAGTGAATTTAAGTATAGCATTTCACTTACAATAATCTCAGTATTTCGGACTTTTTTTCACATGCCAATATTGTTGAAGCTAATTTCTTGTTTTAGGATGAACTTCCTCACCGTTTTAGCCCTAGCCGCCTTAACGGTGTCCGCATCAGCCTACTGTCCAGAATTCCTCTACAATGAAACAGTATGCTCCTGCTCGGAATACATTGACGGTGCTATCATTCGCTGTAGTGGATCAGAATCCCCACAAATTGTGGAGAAACTGAAGAAGTATCATCCTGAAATCCGTGAGTTGGCCTTGGAGAACGCCAACATTCTGGAGATCGGAGCTCGCGCTTTCGGATCATTGAAGATCAAAAAGTTGGTTTTGGACAACAACAAGATCAAGGCCATTCATGCTCACGCCTTCAAGGGACTCGAGAAGGTGTTGCAAGAGCTTCACATCAACAACAACAAGCTCCCCGAGATTCCAACAGATGCCATTGAAGAGCTTACCGCTTTGAACATCTTGAGCTTGAAGTGCAACGAGATCGGAAACATTACCGCCAACTCGTTGGTTGGACTTCCTACTTTGATCGAAATCAACTTGGGTTGTAACAAGGTACGGTTTTGTTAAGCTACCTTGTATAGTACTACAATAATATGACCTTCCAACGAAGACAAGTGCACATTTGAAGTCAAATAATACAATTTTAATGTAGAAATGTAACTTCTATTCATATATCTACTTTCAGATCTCAAACATCGCCGCCGATGCCTTCGACCAAGTCCGTGCCACCGTACAAAACATCAACTTAGACAACAACAATCTCAAGCACATCCCCACCAAGGCCATTGAAAACATGAACTCCTTGATTGGACTTCACATGAAGTACAACAAGATCGAGAAGCTTGAAGCCAACCAGCTTCAGAAGCTCCCCAACTTGGCCATGTTGTCTCTGAACGGAAATAAGATCAGCTCCATTGACAAACAGTTCGTCAACAACGTCACTTCCCTCAAGTACCTCTACTTGGGAGAGAACAAGATCAAGGACGTCAGTGCTGAGATCCTGAGACAATTCGTGAGTGTTGAGATCTTGGACTTGAGCTACAACAACATCGGAGATCTGGCCGAAGGACAATTCAGTGTGTTGGAAAGTGTGCAAAACTTGAACTTGGAAGGAAACCAGATCAAAGTGATCAAGAAGGGAGCCTTCGATGGTACCCCACTTCTGCTTTTGTGGCTTCCATACAACTGTTTGACTAACATCAGCGCCGAAGTCTTCCAAGGAATCCCATATGTCAAGCACATCTCGTTGACCCACAACAACATCAAGGACATTGAATCCTTCACATTCGGACGTTTGGCCAATTTGCACACTCTTGACCTGAGCCACAATCTGTTGGACAACATTCAATCGTCGTCCATTATGGGATCCGACTTCTTGACCACCAGAACTCAAGGTAAGTCTTTGGTTAACTTATGATGTAATATGACATAGAATGCTTTCAGAGACAAAACGTATACCAATATGATAAATATTTTTCTTCCAGAAAACCCCTTCGTCTGTAAGCAAGATGGCTTCCACGTAATGAACGGCCGTGAAGCCCTGAACCTTACCAACGAGCCCAACCTCATCTGCAAGGCTGTCCCCAAGGCTCAGTGTCCACAAAAGGGTAACCGACCAACTCCACCACCATGTAACTGCAAGAAGTCAGTCAAAAAGACCACCACCACTTCTGCTCCTACCACCCCAACCACCACCGTAGCCCCAACTACCGCCTTCACCCAGGCCGCCGCAACCAGAGCGTCTCCAGAAGAGCGTAATCTTGTAGCCGCTATTGCCGCCGCCGCACAGAAGCACCAACAAGCCCAGATGTTGTCCCAACAAGACTTGGACAGAGCTGCCGAAGCTGCCCGTCGTCTGAACATGGAACGCTTCATGAGATTGTCCAAGACCCCAACCGACCCTCAACTCACTGCCCATCACGAAGGCATCATCAGACAGCCAACGTTCTTGGAACGTCAGAAGGGATTGTTGGCCAGAACCGAGCAACTCCAGCAACAACAACAAGCTGAGTTCGTGGCCAAGACCAAGAGCTCCGTGACCGCTCCAATCGAATTCAGCCACGATGAGCAAGTGGAGAGCGTGAGTAAGGACGAGACCGTGCCAGTTGTTCATGTCCCCAGCAAATTGTAAATTTACAAATGTCTTGATTTAACCGTCTTTCTACTTGTCTTTCCTTGTGAAACAACATTGTAAAGACACTCAATGTTAGTCTCTTCTTCATGTTATCCTAGCTGAACCGTCTTATCACCTATATTATTAACTAATTATTCCAAAAAGTCTGAATATGATCTGAATTACGGATGAAAACAGAACATTCCAAACCATTCTTTACTTTTGTTTTTGTACATTTTAATACATTTAATAAATACTTTGAATCTATTCGCCGTTTAGTTTAAATGCTACCATTTCAATACAGTTTGCATACCTACATTTCGCTTTTCTTACCCTTTTTTGTCAAAAAGACTTAAACATATTAACATACCTGAAGACAAAGACCCTTCGGTGTCTGAAGTCGGTAACATTCTCTTAACTTCGTAGGGAGATGGTACTGGTATTGGAGGTAGAACAATGTTCAAAATTACCTAAAAATAAAATATTTTTTACTAAATTTTGACCAATTCACTTTTATACTACCTTATGGTAAATAAGATAATATAATAGTAGATTGCCCAAAAAAGTCTCTAACTTTCAAAAACACTACCTACTGCCTAAAACAATACAATACCTACCCGTTCCAAAGCACAGTAGACCGAAACTTTGGGTTCCTCGTTCTTATGACAATATCTCTTGTGGAAAAAGACCCGGTCAGACTTGATTTGTTCCATTAAAACGTTGACGATCTGTTGGACTTTGATGATTTGAGCAAATTGAAAGTGGTCGATGGCTAGTTCAATGGTACCCTGAGGGTCGGCCGCTACTTTGATATGGTTTTCAGGTTGTTCTACTACGTAAATATCAATGTTGAAGTCGTTTGACATTGCCGGCTGGGAGTGATGGGCTTCATTTTCTGAGTTTATTACCAATGAAGTTAGTTTGATGAGGAAGAATTCTTTGTCTGGGCAGTCTGAAAGATAAAGCACGGTTTTAGTACATTGAAAATGTAACATAAGCCAAACGTGCCTTCTAAATAAATAACATTTCTTAGTTAAAAAATAGCAATAAGTGTTATAGAATAGTCTTTAAAAACCTTTTTTTAAATTTAAAAAGAATTTCGTGTCCTTACCGTCATTCCTCAGCACCTTCTGAGCATTAATAACATGCTGAACCAAGCTTTCGTCGTAATTCTTCATAAATTCGGTTGCCTTTTCACTGAACTGCTTAAAAGGTACAACATCAGCCTGTGGAGTTTGTTCGTAATGATAGTTCGTAGCAGTTACAGTACACAAAGAAACTGATAGTCTATTTGGATATCTGTTATCGTCCTCTGGTACTGGTAGATCAAAGTAGACTCTCGGTAACAGCACCTCTATCCTCGTGTCAGTCGGTGTTGGGTCTTTTTGAAGATTCTTCACATCAACAACATTCAGTAGATTCTCACTCACATACACCAGCCATCGGACCGATCGTGGGTCTACACTGACAATTAGAGGACCAATAACCATGTGGGAGGCGTTTGGAGGTACGGGAAAGCTGGTCGGGTTCAGGTAATAGTAACTGGCGAGTTCCATGTGGAAGATCGGGGTTTGATTGGGTAGGGTTTGTCTAGCAGTAGTGTCGGGGTGGATCATAGGAACGACTTGTTCCTTCTTCGAGGTTTGTTGAGATACACAGTTAACCAGAAGATCGTCGATTCTGATTACAATATGTTGGGATCGAAGGTCTTGGCAGACTTGGGTGAATTGGCGTTTGTCACCGTCATCTACAACAATAAATTGCTTTTTAATCAATCCTTATTATAATAACAAAACTTCAATTTACAAAAATTTAATTCACAAGCTAAAATTTTCAACCTTTAATCAAACAATGTGTAGAAATCGACCTAAAAACCAACAAAAAAATTCAAAAAACTTACTCATCATCTCGCAGATCTTTGCCAAATGTGATACCACCAGTTTTTCAGCTTCATTGGCACAAGAATTGGTTGCATCGTACCGTACCCAATCCTCCCTCTTCCAAAGCGGTGAATGACTTGGATATATGTCAAGTGAAAGTCTCGTCAACACCATCTGAATAGCACCATTGTTAATGTCCCAATCGGTTGGGAAGTCGTCAGTAGTGCCATCATCACACAAATGTAAGTCGATTCTGTTAATGTAGACATGATTCGAAGACTGATTAAAGTCGATCGTCTTGTAGCGTTGTGACATTTCACGGTTTTGCTCAACCACTGTGCGACTTGAGTTCTGAAAATAAAGATATTATGAATAACAATATTAAAGGTAGTTGTGCTAAGCAGTAGTTCTAGTTAAGAAGCTTTACTTAAATTGGTAGAAGTAGTAAGAAGCTAACCATAAGTTACTAAAAAGCCAAAAAAAGCGTCAGCTTAAACAATAAATTAGCAAAACTTCTATAAAAAGCCCATACAAAAGCCGTAGATATTACTTTAGGTATTAAAAAACTTGAAAGACTCTATAGACAAGCGGCTTAAGCGGTAACCAAATATTCTATAGCATAAAGATCATTTTCATCATACAAAAAATTACATTATCCTTCACAAAAACTCAGTATATTAATAAAAACCATAATTTCAAAAACTTTTCGTTCAGAAACAACTTTACACTATTATAACACTATTATTATTCACCATGACCTACCACATCACCATGACCATTCCCATATTAACTTCATCACCGTCTCTCAATATTAACATACCTTCTCCCAATATTAACAATAAGTAGAAAAGAAAGAAAGCTACCTTAAAGAGACTAGGACTCCCATCCTGGAAAAACTTCTTGCTTGAGCTTACGATTGACTTTAAACTCTCGGGTTTCTGATTCTTGGCCGCTTCTTGAGACTTCTCGATCAGTTCCACAATATACTTGGCGAACATGATGGCTGAACGGAGTTGCGGCAATGTGGCTACCCATAACACCTCTTCCAAAATGGTCTGCATTCGGCCACAGATCAAGGATCCGTCTGAAAATTATATTTTTAGCACTATGACCTTGCTTAAGTAGTAACGTGAGCTTCCTCTAGGTCTGGATCCAGTCAGAATTCAATACATTTTAGTCGTACCTAAAAACCAAAAAAAAAAAGATAAAACTGCTTACCGACAGAACTCTTCTTAATGACAACTCGGCACTTCCCAGCACTAGTAATCAACCTTAATGGTGAATTGACAGCCCTAAAAGTAGTCGCATCTCCATTATCTTTCCCTTCAATAGCTCTGGCTTCAATTCGCAGTAACTGCCAAGAGATGTGCTTGAAGAACATTACTTTATTTGTGGAATGATCATGGAATCTGGTATGCTTAAGGTCCGGAGCCTTCTTCCAGTTCGGTGTCTGTGACATTACTTCCAAGCGGCTCAACTAAAACAATATAACTTTTAGCTTAAAATCATTATAAAATCTTGTTAAACTTATCAAAGACTAGTATCTTTATAAGTTTTGATAACAATATAAATATAGGATGTATCTTAATAAAGTAAAAACAAAATTACAACTTTTAGTGATGAAAACATACCATAACAGATCCTCTAAATCTATCAGATGTAAACTCAATCTCCACATTATTCACAAACAATGACATTCCTTCTACTACACGATCTCCAAAACCATATGATGTTGACCTAAAACAATATCGATATCAAACATCATGCTTATGCTACAGTAAAAGCAAAATATAAATCAAAAAAACCATATTTTGACATATTACAATGTAAGTACAACACTTCTTTTCTTACCCAGAAGCCTGACTTTTCTTAGTTTGAGCAGAGCCATCATCAGCACATAACTCCAGAAGGACGTGGATCTCATCGACATGCTGAAAAATTTTATCATCAATGTGAGCTTGTTAATGTATGACCTGATCAAACACAATCAATTGGTAAACCTAAACATCAAAACTAATTAAAACTACCTACCAATTCCACCGGCAGACTCTTCAAAGATGTCCATGGAATATTGACTGTAACTCGATTACAAGAAGCGTGTCTGATCTTCAACCATGGCGGCAACTCCAACTTTTCCGACAATACTTCCTCATTTAACACTATATTCCTCAACTCTCCTTTTCCGCGCAATACCTCCACACTAATCTGGTCTGGAGTCAAATTACGGGCAAATCTAGAATTTAACTTTTCAAAATCGTAAAAATTTCTGAATAATTAGGTATCAATCGTACCTTTTCTGTATTATTATAAAAATTATGACCATTATAAAGCTTAATAAAGACATTTATAGCTTTTAAATAATATTTTCATTATTTAATCGTTGAAAATCATCAAAATATTAACCATCAGCTGATGCATCAGTGACTGTTACCTAAAAATCAACAAAAAACAAAACAACTTACACTGACAGATGTTTGATAATCTGGTTTTTAATAAGTGAAGCCATATTACTACTCTTCGTCCAAGTTGGTAGTAATCAAACCAATCAGCACATTTTTCAGTATCCAAACCTTGATTTCAAACCTTTTCCTATTGTAGCTCTACTAGTATCCCTGGATTTTGAGCTATTTTCTGAAAATGACAATCATTACATATATACCTTGGTATGTTTATACAATCGCGCTATCTCTCGATATTTAAATATTATATGATTATTTACAAAACTTTAAAACAATAATAAAAGAGAGCTAAAAACATGATTCATTAACTGTTAAAAGGCAAAAGATAACAAAAATAATAGAGATATCGTTACTGAATGTAATTTAAATGCCTTTTTAATAAGGAAGAACATAACATTACAAAACAATAAAGTAAATTGTACGTAAACTAACCAAAACTTTGCCATCTGAAGCAATAACAAAGTAACACCACAGTTTAAACCGTACAATTAATATCGAAACAGAAAAATACTACAAATTCATAATAAAAAACTACAAAACATAACAATATTGATACAGAAACTAATAAGTAGATAACAAAAACAGTTCAAAAGCCCGTTTTCGGTCATAATCCTTGACGACAAACTCCCTGAAGGCCGAAGCTAATTAATTATGTAGACATAATCCCACTGTCATCTGGACTCTTGCATTTCAAATTGCTTCATTTATATACTACTTAGCACCCCGTATGTACTCTTACATACAGGTTTAATTTCTTTTACATAAATAAGTGCTTTCCCAATATACTTTACTTTATAAAATGTAGTTTTCTTTAAATATTCTCCTTGATATAAACGTTTTTTCGTAAAAAAAGAATTTCAAACGGAGTTCGAGGACTTTTTTGTAATTGAAAGTAATCGGGCTAAGGGAGGCAGTAAGGTAAGTGAATAGGCAAATATTTGAAATGGTAAACAAATTGAGACTTTTTTCTTTGGGTTTCGGCGACATTACTCATGATTATTTATTGATTACAAGTTTTGCTGAAAACTTCATTTTTCTACAAAAATCGTAGAATTGAAAATATCGGTATAAAAATACGAAGAATTGCCTAAAAATAAAAAATAAGCCCTATAATTATCCTTGTTACCTAAATTTCAATTACTTTGCCAAAAAAGTACTTGTTTACACAAAAAATTATTTCGAAATAATTAAAAAAACTTTTTTTTTCAAACCTTATAGCTATTGCCAAATTTATGCCGAAACCCTAAATTAATTTGTTTGCTCTTCCCTTCAGCACCCTTCCACTCTCTTTTCGACATTAATTCACCCAAACCAAATTCCATTTTCCTTCAATGGCCACGAGAAAACCAATTAATCTTCGGTTTTTCCGTTTGCAAAAATATTGACAAAACATATCATATATCAAAATCTACAGTCTTTTTTGTTTCAATTGACTAAAAATGCTTTAAAAATCATAACGGCTTATCAAAAATCTAATAAAGTACTAATAAAAATTTAAATTTCGGTTAATCTTTTGCCCATGATAATATTATTATGAACATAACGTCAAAACTAGTCGTATCTAAACTACCTCAACAAGCTCAAATAAAAATATAAACATAAGAGCAGTATAAGAGGCATTTTAAACACCAGAGATCGGTTTTGTTGTGAGTAACAATGTTTTTTGCTCCATAAACAACAAAATATTTTTAAATCAGAAGTACAATCGTTACAAAACATGGTCCAAACCTCGTAAAATTAACATAATTTCCAAAATATTAACGATTAGTCTATGCTGATAATATTTCACATCAATTTGTTTGAATGTATGTCTCGAGAATGTAAAAAACCGGACATTATTCATGATATCGATATTAACGTCACTTTTAATGTGAGCATCTGCAACTCTAAGAAACTACCAAACGGGTCTTGTGAAACCCCTTTAAAGTTCTTTGACATCCACAGAATACCTAAACATACAAAAGAAAAGAAAACAATTACCTATCTTCGCTTCTAAAACAATATAAACGTATCCGTGACGTTGATTGACCACATATCTTAACAAAAGTTGAAAAATCGGTTATCCAGTCAGTTTTTTCGTATCCCAAAACTTGTTCCCGTTACTGAGAAACGTGAAAAGATTGTCGATCTTCAATTTTCTTTTTGTTTTTCCATATTTTACGTTTAAACGAAACGCCACAGAAAGTATCGGTTTTCCAAACGAACTGTTACGGAACTTACCGACTCCAAACGGAAAATTGTTTTTACCGCGTTTTGATAACATTGTTAATTTTATAACGAGTTCTTGAGGTTGATTTGATGTTTTACTTTGTTTTCGGTCGATAAGATAAATATTTTGGTCTGCAAATTAGCTGAAGTCGCTATTTATTTGCGACAACTCTTATTGCCAGCTTCGAGCGCTTCTTGAGTTGCTTATCAAGCTTTCTATCTTTTTTGTAAGCGTTCTTCCGGTATTTTCAGTTTCATTTTAAACGGCAACTTGTTCTTAAAATTCGATAGAAAGTCTTTACAATTTATTTACTTAACGAATCTAAACGATATAACAAATGACTTAAAAACCGTCTATTCCCGTATCACGTATTTATAAACCGCAGGCAGGTCTAATCCAATACTTGTCAAATCGTCCCCATTATTGATACTTATAGAAAAGCATTGCTTTTCTCCATCGTTAAACGAGAACATTATAGTATTTTTGTTGTAGTAGTTAACAGTCACATTATTTAAAGTATTTGCAATCAGCGATGGTATGTATAATGCACGGTGGTCTTTACAAGGGACATTAAAGTCAGTGTCCTCTCGTTAACGGCACGTCACAACAACGTAATCTTCCAGAGAAAAACGTAAATGAAATGGCAAGTCATAGCTGTGACTGTAGAAAGAGAAGCCAATACTTTCATCTGTGACCGTGAAGCCGACCGTGAGAGTTTGTCCTGGAATCGCATAGCCTAACGGATGTTCATCCTGATTACTTACCAACTTGGAAAGGTGGGTGTAATAAATAAAGTATTGTGTCGCCACGACCGTTTGCAAGAGCTACCTGTAATCATATTTTTAAAAGTTTGCAAAACCAGATTTATCAAATAAATTGTTCGCTAGCTCGTAGGTCAAAAGGGTTCCGCAACGTTTATTTTTTAAAAGCAATTTTTTACAATATAGGCTTTACAAAAGATTGAATACTTAGGTTGTAAGCTTCCCTAGTAAGTAATAAAACGCAAACTTACAAACGAGAACAATAGAACGATGTACATTATCGGAAATGCAAACAAAATGTGAAAGTTAAGTTTAAAAACGAATGTAAAATGTTTTATTTATTAAAAAACGAAATTAAAAATTTTATTTTTTGTTTGTCATCGGTCACAGTTTTCCCAAATAAAACAATGGCACGTCTAATAGGTTTAATGGGTTTGTGAAATAAATATTGCTTCGTTTTATTTGGGAAAACTGTGAGTGATGACAAATAAAAATAAAAATAAATTTTTAATTTTTTTTTTAATAAATAAAATATTTTACATTCGTTTTTAAACTTAACTTTTACATTTGTTTTGCATTTCCAATGATGTACATCGTTCTATTGTTCTCGTTTGTTAGTTTGCATTTTATTCCTTACTAGGGACGTTAACAACCTCAGTATTTAAGCTTTCTTGAAGCCTATATCGTAAAAAGTTGTCTTAAAATTAAAAGTTGCGAAACCCTTTTGACTCACGAGAAAAAGGCTAATATTTAATAAAAATGTTTTACAGAAACGTAATGTATTATTACGTTTTTAAGTAATAAACGTGGGCTTCTTAAAAAATTTGTTTGCAGGTAGCTCTTGCAAGCGGAAACCTTCAGAAATTTTTCTTAGATCCGCCTTTTGAAGTTGGTAAGTTTCGACATTGGAAAACTAAATTGCGCTTTAGGACAGAGCCTTACGGTTGGCGTCCACACAAAGAATAAAACGTTAACTCTGAGTTTTTATAATTCTAATTTCAACGTGCCATTTCTGCTGGATTTTCATTTTAAGTCTCCGCCTTATGTGAATATATCGTGCCTTCCGGAAGGCGAGCAAAGGTCTTGTAAAGAACGCTATGAAGACGTACCAACACTCACAGCATTTGGCTTGAATAATATAACTGTTTCCTATAAAAGCAAAAGTGCTATGTTGTTTAAGGTTAACAACGAGGAAGAGCAGTCGTTCGGTTTAAGTTTTAACATTGGCGACAACTTTCAATATATTGGTACACAACTCGACGAGAGTATTGAATACGTTTTAAGGAATTAGTCATTGTTTTCTTAACATTACTATTATAATAGCTTTCAACTTTTAAATAAATTGGTTGTGACGAAAAATAAACTAGATTTTGTTGCTGAAATCACATTTTTTCGTATTCTTCTGGTTACAACACGGTAAAATACGTAAATCCGTAGAAAGAACTATATATTTATTTAAACAAACAATATATACAAGGTAAAAACAATATCAACAACATGGAATGGAAAGATTTACTACCGGTATGGGATGAATAACAAGTAAGTGTGGGTAATATAATACTTTGATAGTTATGACTAGTTTTAGGTCTTGAGAAACAATATTACACTAGACAATCTACACGTTCGAAGTACTTTTAAGTGTTTTAGGTATACCCATAAAGTAAGAGCTGATCTGGTTCTGCTCCAGACTGTTGCTCACTGTCTTTGGCTGGCCTAGACACCTGTCCAATTGGAGAAAAAAAGAGCCACAGGCCAAGGTTTGAATACGATATTGTTTGATGACAAATAAGGTGATTAATGAGTCAAGCAGAGGTGAAGCTGATAGCCATAACTGTGTGATTACTATGACATTCTGATGAGTGATTGGCTCGATTAACAGTAGGGCTGATGATAGTGCTAGGAAGGCTGGGACCTGAAAAGATATTTTCTTAGTTACATAAATGTATGTCATACTCTTTGATTTTTGATATTAAACTCGATATTAATCATGGAACTTTCAACTTTACAGTAAGAATCCACCCTTTATTTAATCAAAACCCCTACCTGACAAATCAGCGGGACCACAGCTTGAGCCAATGTAGCTACAGCGACTTGTCTCGTCTCCAGAAGCCTCGTACGATCATGCAGACATTCTACTACCTTTATGTGATTAGCGACCAACCAGAACACCAAAAAGTTTGATACGAATGTAACTCCATGTGCAATGACAGTCAGTGATGCATAGGCAAAGAACAGTCTTCGTGCTATGTCATGATGAGCTGTACATATGACGACTAGTAAGATGACTGGTAAGAGGTCCATTACTGCACATACGATAAATGCTCGGTAGCCTAGAAGATTTAAGAGTTGTTTTAGTTATTTTAAGTTGACGATAATACTTTATATTATGGTATCTTTCAGAACAATAACATATGTTTAAAAATGCTTTGTCAATTTTTGACAAAATTGCCATGTTTTGAATTTTCTCATTACTTTTTGACCAATTATAGTACGAAAAATCAACAAACGTACCACTGAACAGTCGGTCGTATGTTTTCGGCTTTGAAGCGGCTACGATCCTACTTATCGATACAGGTACCAAAGCACAGATCATGATGCCAAATGACCCATAAAAGGCAAAGGCAGAGTATGTCATTATACTCACTGGGAAGCGGAAATGAGCTGACAAGTTCACATAGCCCATAAACGCATACAGTAACGCTGAAAATTGTAAAAATTAGGATCAAGTCAAGCTAAAGCATTATTTATGACTTGGAATATGTATGTTTACATAGTATTCTTTCAAAAAATTTTTTAAAATAAAAAAAATATTTAAAATTTCAAAACTTTCATACACCTACCACAAACACTGTCCACAAACGCCAGATTAGCGACGAACAGTCGATAATCGCCCCGAATGTTGACCAATGATATGAAGAAGACGTAAAGTGATAAAAGTAGTCCTATTAGTGCCGTCGTTACCACCAAGATGGCTATATACATCCGGAAGGCTTCTTCTTTGCATCGATGAAGTTGAGCCGCGTTGACAGCCGAATTAATGTCGAGATCAGTGTCGGAGAAGTTGAAAGAAGGCGAGTCGAAGAAGGACAGGTTGTGGATGGGCATAAGTGACATCATGTATACGGTAGTAGGTTGATTTTACTGTGTATAGTAATGTACTTTAAAGTGTGTAATAAAGTTGTCTTTAGAATTTATGAGTTAGTAGAGTAGTGTTTACAATGTGTCTGGTAGCAAGCAGTCTTTGCAATTTGTACACGTAGATAAGGTTTGACAATAAGTACACGTAGATATACGAAATTACGTTTCAAAGCAGCTTTGCACTCAATTAGGACGGTATATCAGTTATGGCGGAGTGAAGATTACCAAGCATGACGATCTGAAAGCTATTATACTTAATGAGTGAATAGCACTAACACACTATAAAGTATACAAAACACACGGACATATGATACAATGACCTTTTACTGAATCGGTAATTGGTCATAAATTAATATACGCGGAACTAATGCTGGACTGTCGATATTGGTCTGGAAAAAAGACTGGAGAATCTTGGTCTAGAGAAGGGAGAGGGAAAGATAAAAAGTTTTCAAAAATTTGAGACAAGAAAGTAAAGTTAACTAGAAGATCGAGGTAGACTGTCTTCAAATTGTTTTTGAAAGTGCGAACTGTCCTTCCCTGGCCTTGGTACTTACTTGAATGTCCTTTTGTAGACAAATGCCAAAAAATAGTATTATACTATTGTTTACAATCATAAAACAAATAAATATGACACAGGCAAAGTACAGTAAACAACAACATAACACTCATAAAAACTTGTTAAAAATTTATCAAAGATTAAAAAGTCGTACAAAGAAGGCGTAAAATGGCAGATCAATAAAAAGCATTAAAATAACAGACCGACTTTGAGTTTAGGCATATACCTTTCCTGTTTAGGCCTATACCTTTTTTTAAATATATACTTTTTTGAAATCGAGTACTCTCTGAGAACGAATATGATTGTCAGTTGTTACCAAGCCCAAGAGACGATCAGAAAGTACCCTCATACTTCAGAAAAACTAAAAGGATTCGCTATATGTCAATAACCAAAAAGATACGCTGTATACCAATACCCAAATAAGAACAAAGAACGAATAAAACAAAATTAAAAAAAATATTTTGAAAGTAAAAAGAAGATTATACATCATGATAGTAAATAAGAAAGAACGCAGACGGAAGTGAAACATTAACTACCAAAATTTAAAAGATTAAATGTAACCCGAGACACAGTAAACTGCCTTCTGAGTTCTGGTATCGTTACTGACGATAGTCGCTTATAGAGAGGCTCAGAATAGTGACACAAGTTTCGTTCCTTGAAATGTTTTTACAAAGAAAAAGCACAAATTAACTATTTACAGAGTAGCATTTTTAGAGTACATATAACATGCAAAAAAACATAAAAGTATATATTTACATAGTAAAGACAAAGTACTTACACCAGATTTTTAAGCCGTCTAATATTATGAAACCGAAAAACAGAAAATATATTTTTTATCTTACATTCACATTAATTTCTCCTCATTATAATTTTTAGTGTTACAAGAATAAAGAAAGATTCACATTAATTTCATGTAAGCGTACAAAAAGGGCAATTGCTAATTGGCGTGAAGATATCACAAAACGTTAACGATGTTATTAACAGTGCACTAAAAGACAACAAAGACAACACTTTATTAATATACAGATCAATTATTGGAGTAAGTATAATAAAAGTGCAAAAACAACATAAATTCGTTTTTAGTAAAGCGTTTAAACAGAATTTTGAAAACATGAAGCCAAAATTTAAAGAAACACGATTACAGTAAAACCCTCTAGTATAATACATACCCACGAGCATGTACTAATGAAGAAGCGTAGTAAACTTTCAACCTTACAATTAGTTTCCAACAGACAACGACATTTTGCAAGCTTTATCTAATTGTCATATGACATAGTATTTAAAAGTTTCAGGTCAGACCGGATATACATACATTTCCAGGTTTAAATTATGCTGGAAATGGAGTATATAAGTTTAGATGGGGGCATCAAATTTACTACAAATTATTTTTTAAAACTAATTTATAGTAAACAAGAGGTAGAGTAAAAGGTTAATTTAAATAAAATTTGTCAAAGTCAGTATTTAAAATCAATAATACAATAGTAATCATAGTACGTAAAGGTAAATAAGAGATAAGTAAAACAATGATCAGTTATAATTACACAGTGTTACAATATATAACTGAACAACAAATTATTGGCTTTAAGGTACATATAAAGTTAAGTTTTTAAAAATCCCCACCCTCTCCTTCAGTAAAATAGGTAACACCTCAAAAAATTTTTTTTAAGATTTACCTTCCCCCAAAAAACATAATTTATCTTAGCGGCACTAACCTTACTATCAAAATATTATAACTTAAGCTCAAAACTTGTAAAACCCCAAAAAAAAGTAATGTAACTGAAAAATAACAGATTTACTATTATGTGAATAGCCTACTACCTTACTATACTGTTTTTGCTTCTAAAAACAAAGCAAATAGATATGTTATTACACGACCTCTAATTACTCATTAATAATTCATTAAAATTGCAAAAAGAGTAGTAAAATAAGCTACATTCCCCATAGTTTCCAAAAAGATACGATAATAGAGTTAGCGCATGACATAATGTAATAAGAATATTTCATACATATATTAATTTAGAGAACTTGGCAATGTCATACCAAAGAACTTGGTAACTTCATAAGAAAGATGTCGATAAAGTCGTACTAGAAAGCTTAATAAATTTATAATAGAGAAATCGATAATACCAGACTAGAGAAATTGATAATGCTTTGTTACAGACCTTACACCACTAGTACTAATGTTAGACAAAAAATTTCACTATTTAGTTGAGTATTAGACTAATGTAAAGCGTTTTTATGAAAATGCGAGTAAAAGAACATCAAGACAACAAACTGGTACAAAGAGTTTGAAGAGAGTGATTAAAGTCATAATAATTTTGTTTACTTTAGGCAAATACGGCTTATTAGCCAGATTCACAGACAACTTTACTTTATAAGCTCGCATTGCCAAAACATAATCACAACTGTAAATAATACCACTAAAGTGTCCTTATCGTACTGTTTTTAGTACGTTTACCATGTTCAAAAAATCAAAAGTAGCAAATTTAAAATTTAAAAAATTTAAAATTTTTTTGCACTACTAATACAACATAAACTACTTGTAAAAGACTATTTTAAATCAAAATTAATAATTAAAAAAAACCTTAGTTAAAGTTTAGCCCCATACTACCGTACTCAAACCGCTCCTCCAAGCATGATGCTAAACTTGCAAGGTACTATAGTAACGCCTTGTCTAACTATTCAGAAAAGTCATAAAACGCCTATAACTTTTACGACGACATGCCTACTATACAAAACATGGCTTGTAACAAAAAATTTCAAGGCTACTGTAGTCTGTCTACTACAGAAAGTTCTCCTTGAGAATTTAAAGTCCACATCGATAACTATACTTGCACTGCAGGGCCGGGCGCTAGGGAGGGGGGGGGGGGGAGGAACCCTCACCCCCCAGGAAAAAGATTTTGCGAAAAACGTTTAACGTGGTCCCCCTGTGGATTTTTGGCAAAAAATGGGTACAGAGCAAACCTGTGCCAATTTTCGACCCCTGCCCCCGGACCAAAAGTCCCCGCCCGCCCCTGATTACAACTATTGCTACATATATCAGTACAGTGAGAGTAGTTACCACACAAACATAGTTTTAGAACAAGTGGGAAATCATAAATATAATTATTATCTTAACAAGGAAATCATTGCGTACACCCACAACTTTCAGTGCAGACTCTTGATCCCCTTTTAGACAACAATAAACGTACAAAATTATACCACCGCTCGTAAATGTTAAGCTGGTCTTTTACTTTAAAGCCAACGTTATTTTTAAGCCTTACTGTAACTTACAATAGCATAGCTTAATGTAAAAACAAATTTTAAAATTTTACAATTAAAAAAACTTAAAAAACCGTTGGTTTAAGCCTATCCAATGAGGTTTCTAGGCTTAAAGATAAGCTCACAGACCAAAGAATGCCATACAAAGATCACTAAACACGATAAAAGCCCAACTTTGACAACTTACACCCAAACAAACTGCTCTTTAGCTTAGTGTACTCTTTAACACAGTGCACTCGGATGCGACAACAACTCAGCCATGTATTATATTCGGCCCAAATTCGGAAAACAAAGTTGTAAAGAGCGCCTAATTGTGCGCATCAGCTGTACTTACCCGGAACACAGTCAAATTACCGTTTATTATGCCAAAAATTACTTTAGGCCATTTGAACTGAACGTTTTTCGAAAAGCCGAGCAAGTGTAATAACTCTGCCGTAAACATAAACAACTCGGTATGCAGGGCCAGAAAGTAGTTAAGTATGGATGCGGATCTTCTTTTTAATAGTATTTTTAGGATATTTAGGTATATCTGGGGTCTTTAAAGTCTGTTAGTTTAGGTGGCTCACCAGTACAGACTCTTGACCTCAAGATTTCACTGTGAAAATGATAATATTATTTTATGAAATGGTTTATAAATATTAGCCAAAAGGTTTGAAGTCAAAAATATATGTAGTAAGATGTTCAAATAATTCTGCGCCCTCTCTCAAAGCAAATTTGCGGGGTTAGGGGCCCCAGAATTAGTAAAAAAACCTAACAACCCGATCTACGAAAATAACAGTACCACTTCACACAAAAAAATAAAAAATGGTACCAAAACTAAAACGTGGTACCTTAGGCTCTTCTATTATTATACAAAACCTTCTCTTACACATTCCATCCTTCCCTACTCTGCCTGCATGCCCAAAAAATTACCCGCCAAACTCTGAAGAAGCTAATGCGTAATAGAACAATGATAGTCGCTGTTATTCTGCAATTAACACCTAAAGTATCAACAACAATATCCACTTAGATCTCTTAAAAGTAGCTTAACAAACGTCACATTACTCTGCTTTTAAAGAAAGAGTAACGTGTCGTAAAGAGTTGTATCATCACCATACTTGAATATAAATGGCCATAAATTCAAAAGTGTAACCATCAATAATCATTAACCAGGTACAAATACACGAACATTACTGGTTGAGAGAAAAAAATTTATAGTAAAGTAAAAAAACCTAAAAGTTAAGTAAATAAACCTTTATAATAAAGTAAGACAAAGTAGAGCTAGCTTGGTTACTGGTCTACACTATAAGCTACTACAAAGATATGATGGCAACAATATTTAATGTGTCAAAACGTTAAAGAAGATTTAAAGAGATCCAGCTATTCTTGTTTGTTGTCTTTTTTATTGTCTGCTACGTACAGTCACGTTGATATCCAAAATAACAATAACATAATCCCTAGGGATTACAGTAAAACAATATAAAGAATTATTACATTCCAGACTTTTATTGTGTTACTAGACATACTTTTATCAAAATGTGAATGATAAACATACTGTAACTTACAGTAAACAGTCAATCTCTTTCTTTTAGTTTCTGTCACGTAAAATATACCATAATATGCCAATTTCAATATAAATATGTCAACCCAACACAAAAAGTCAGACAACATGCAAGAATCCAAATCAACTTCCAAGAACACTCGAAAAACCGTTTTAAAAACATCTTTCGCCGTCCAGAACCTTCCAACAGACTTTTGAATTTTTGAAACAAAGATACGACCAGGTCGGGTTGTAGCCGCTATTACACACCCCTACGCATTACCATCCGGAAATTACTGAAAGCGCCTCAAAAAGGGATAAAGGAAGGTCCACACAACACTTGACGACGACTTGACAAAAGCCTTCCAAACTTGGAAGAAGCTCCAGAATCCCACGCAACGCATTTCTGAAAACGTTTTTTTTTCGAAACTAAACTTTAAAGACGCCTTCAGGCTTATTCGGTTATTGTTTTACAAAAACAAGTCTGGCTGCTAACAACTTCACGATTTTCGAAATTTCAAAAAATAGGGAAACGCCAATTTTGCATGAAAATTACAGTAACACATGACATTTGAAAGATTTGAGCCTGACTTATAACAAAATACGTTAAACTACTATAGTCATTACAAAGTATACAATTTTTAAAATATTTTTTAAACATAAATCACAAAAAGTGGAAACTTGACTTTTAAAGTTCCTGACGTCAAGAACTAGAATAAAGGTCGCATATAACGACTACACAGCGTAGATGCGCAAGTGAGACAACTGTTTTTCTTTAACTTATTTTCAAAAGAAAACAATAGCCTTTTGAAGCCCACAGATTAGATTACACATTGTTATTGACCTTTTGTGGTCTCAAAACCCGTAGGCGATCAAAACACAACATTCCATAGCATCTTATACCTATATCGTATAACACTCGCTACAATGCTTTTACCAACCGTAAAATCCGACGATATTAATCTAATTATAAAATTCATCGAATTATCGGTATTATAAATAAATAAACATGATACGCCGTTACGCAACTTAAGCCTAGCGTCACAAAATGTCGCCAATTAATGTAAGTAAATTACACTTAACGTTAGCCAACAACTTCGCCGTGCTTTAGCCCTCAAAACATAATTTGATCTACGCAATAAAAGTACAAGACGATCTACGGATAACACTTTAAAAATATAGTATAAGCATCAGTTCCTGTATTAGAGTAAAAACAAACTCTTGCATGTCATAACAGAATTTTTTATCGTGCTGACTACTAAAACCCAAAATATTGAGACTACAAACCTTGGTATTTACGAGGTTTATCATATTCATATTTCCTTGTATCACGTTTTATAGTAACTATTTTGATAACTTCGCAAGAGGCACGAATTTAAGAATGATAAACAAAAATATTATAAATCACAGGCACTTTCGCCCAATACCTCAACAACACTGAAGACCATTTAAAATTATTCGTTCAAAAACTTCAAACCAAAACTAATATCCAAAACCCAAATATAAAATTTTGAAAGAGTAATGTTTTAATCCAAAACGGTTTCGCAAAATCCTTGAAAAAGCATGGATTTGTAACGAATTTGTTATAACAAAGCCCAAAGACAAGAAGGCGGAAAGACAAAAGAGTACGTAAAGTTTGTATGAAATGACGTGAAAATTAGAAAAAGTAAATCCTTTTGTCTCCGGAATTTCGAAACGAACTGAATTTTATATTACACTTGTACTACTAATAACGTGCGTTATAGTAAAATAGTTGCATCACGATTTTATAGTAAAAAAATATTTAATAGGTAAAATACGGAAGGCAACAGTTACATTTTTCCTATTTGTATCACCAAAACTTTCAACCTCAAAAAATTAGTTTTAATACTTTTTGTAAACAAAAAGGAAGCTTCTAAAACCCAATTTCATTTTAACTTTCTACCAAAAATGTTTAACAACAGCCAATTTCCGGAAAATTAACTAAAATGTTCTAAAACAATATTAACATGTTAAAACGACTCCCAAATGCATTATAGTATACTATTACAATTAAAGAATATATTTGTATTACACTCCAGGTGTTACGTTCTTTCCTGTTTTCACATCTAAACAAACAATCCACCTTCCAGTGCAGATGCGCACGTTGTAAACAACCGGAAATGTGGCTTTTTAAAGTTGGTCTTTAAAATTTTATTGATATTTTATAGATAGGCCAGTACAAGCATAGTCGCCTACAGTGAAACATAAGACAGTAAATTTTTTGTAAATCATAACTCAACATGTTTTGTCTTAACACGATTGGCGGAAATTGGCATTTTGTTTCAAACAAAAAATACGGTACCAATTATTTGTTTTTATGAGTTTCTCCCGACAATCGTAAAATCAGGAGACATTCTGTTTCTTCTACCTGTGAAACTGATAATAAAACAAACTCTCAACGACCTGACAAATATGGACTTACAATTTGTTAACTCGCACAAGTTCAAGATCCAGTTTGTGCTAGTATCATAGAAAATTAGTTTAAAAAGTAAGTATTACCCAAATATATTTTGCTTTCATGCTACCTAGTTCTTTTCAAACCTTGATATTATCTAATATTTAGCAAAAAATGAAGTTCAACGTAGACCTGAGAAGAGGCTCACTCGGCCCGGCCCAAAGCAAATTAGAAAGGAGCCAGACCAAAAGACTGGGACATGTCCCTTTACAAGCTTAGTTCAACAATGAACAACCAAGAAGCAATCTTTTGCCACAACTCAAGAAACCAAAGAAAAAGAAAGTCGATAAACCGCCGTTCGGTAATATAATCTGTTTATACAATAAAGTTACGAAACAATAATTTATTACGGCTTAAATACAATTGCGTTAGCATTCGACCGTGCACCATTCCAGCCGCTTGGTCGCCGACTTTTGAATGATTCCGAAGCACTTTCCCAGAATCGGACAACAAACATCCGGAGGGCATCCGTTGCGGCGAATCTGCTCCACCATTTCGGCTGAAATTGGAGGGCGTTAAGGAAGTCGTTTAATTATTGCAAAAACAATGTCGTCGAAAATAATGGCAAGAGGAATGCCATCAACAAGAATGGCGAAAAGAATGTCATCAAAAAGATTGGCAGAGAATCAACAAGATTGTGTGGAAAGAAATTGTGGCTGTGATTGTAGCGACTACTTGGCACTATTAAATTGTTTTTGTACCATTTTGACTTTAAATTGTGGATAAACAAAAAAAAAGGACCGAAAAGTTCAAAAAATATTTTCTTTATATGTTTTTGAACTTTATAAAGTTCATGTAACTTGGGGGTACTAACAGGAAATACAGTACCTTAATGACTACGGTCAACAAATCCTTGAGCTATGGTGGTCTTGAACTTAAAGTTTAAACTGTCATTTCAGTCAACAATTAAGCGGAAAATAAAAATGTGAAAGAAACGGCACAATTCAGATAATATTGGCCCTTTTTGTTGTTTGTATAGGTTAGTATTGTTGTATTGGGTAATATTATGGTATTGACAAATATTACTGTATTGTTTAAGATAAATATTAAAATCAAATCAGCACCAAAACCTTACCAATAGTCATTTCCTGACTACTACTTTCGCACTTCCTCTTATCAGTACCACAAACTCGTTTCCCATTGCATATCTTCTTTCTCGTCTGAATCCCTCCCTCTCCTCCACACTCACTCCATTCCGTCCATGTAGCCGTCCGCAGATCTTGTCGTTGTCTTTGTGAATCTGATTTGTCTACGAAATCTTTTCGCTTCCCATTATTCGTCCGCCGTCTTGGTGGTGCAAAGCGTCGAGACGCAGCTGATGTTGTGTTGCATGCAGTCTCAAAATAATCGACCAGATCAGAGTTTTCAGAAGTGAAGAGATCTGGCTGAGTGGTACGGTCTTCCGTGTTTAGGATGCAGTTGAGTTGGGGTTCCTAAAGCAAGTTATTCAGGCTTATGAACCTTTCAAAGAAAGGAGTTTAAAGTTATCCAACAAAATACCGTATTTTACCTAATTTTATCACTATTCTAAATAGTCGACTCTTACGTTTTGTGTAACAAAATAATTAGACAAGTTTAGATATAAACTCAGAAAACATACCTCGAAGTAAAACATGCCGCTAGCACACTTAAAACCGTACAACTGTCGGCTGTTCAAACAGTTATCGAAACAATGTTGCAATGAAGGAGCATCTACGACTGTTTCTGCAAACCCAACCAGAATCTTTTGAGGAAACCGGTTGTACACTGACAATGGACATTCTCTGTAAAATACGGTATATTGTGCAATACTTTCTAAAAAAATGTAAAAAAATTAAGAGCAATTATTAGTTTCAAAAACCTGAAAAACTTACTGTGCCAGTTTCTCCTCAATACATATTCGTTCGTAGTAATCAGTACCAGCTTTTTGCTTCAGCTGCCCATTACCCAATGGTACTGCGGTTTCTCTTGATAGTACGCATACTCCTTCATTGTCATACTCAAATGAGTTACATTGTGGAGCGTCTGGGTTGACATCCTGTAATTAAACACTTTAAAAGTAACTGCAAACATATTTCTAATACAAAAAAAAATTTTATAAAAGTGTATTAAAGCTTCTGTATGAAAATATATCAATGAAATACATTTTTATATATAGAAGCAACATCTCCAAAATTAAAAACCTAAATTTCATTTTCGTCATACCTTTAACGCTGAATTGCTTGAACAAAACTCGATGCACTCATCCAATGTCACACTTTCTAGCCTCATATCGTCATGCTGATGTAGCTCAAAGTCTGAAGTCTTTAAAAACCTTGCCAACTGTCCACTTTCGCAAGCCTTGTTCTTCCCCAGCTCAGTAGGTAACAAGTTATTGACCATCGTATTAGTTGGCGATTCCAATGGCTTTGCAGTCACAAAGAGATCTGGCGCTTCTGTTGGAGTCAGCTCAGAAATGGCAGCGATTGCCTGAGGCTCTGTAGTCGTGTCAAAGATGAAAGGAGCTCGAGTTGTTGGGTTGATAATGGAAGTTGTTGTTCTTTCTTCTGTTTCAAAGATTTCTAGCGGTCGATTCGTTGGTCGAATGTGATGAACAGCGTCTTCATGTTGTTCTGGAGGCTTACAATTTACTGCAGCGGTTGGTTCAAAGTAATCACGGGTTTGGAAGCGGAGTAGCCTAAAAACAAAAGATATTACCGAGGATAGTCTAAAAAGCTATGACACTTTAAATAAAAAACATACCTAGCTGGACTTTGATCACCAACGTGAGCAAATAAATCGCAAACCTAAAATAAAAAAAATTAAAATTCAATTCCCAAGTAAAGCTAAAGCTGGGTATCCCTTCAGAAACCCTGATATGTCCTTTAGAAATCCAGGTAAAGCCTTCATAAGCCCTGACAACAATTAAAAACGAATAAAACAAGTTTTACCTGGTTGACGTTATCATAGACAAAAGATCGACAACTGTAGACACCAATTTGACTCAACAAACATTGTGTTTTGCATTGCACTAATGATATACTTGATCTTCGTTCATATGGTTGAGCATTCACAATAATACTATTGGCGTAGCGACGAAAACAAGGGTCACCTAGAACAAGATGAGGTTAACAAAGGTTAGAACATTTAGATAACTTTCATATTGCTTTTAAATATTAAAATACACTTTAAAGTTATAAAATTCAATGAATTTTAGATTTATTAACGATTAAAACACTTGAAAAAACCTAAAACAATATCGAAAAAACGGAAAATCAAGAAATTTTTCTTTTTGACACTTCGACACAGCTTTTTTTGATATTCCGCAACAATAACAAGATTAATAATATCCAAATTACTATAAAAAATTAAACAAGTTATTTGTTATTGACTTACTGAGGTCCGGGATGCCGGTAACGACCTGTTTCTCGTTCTGCAGACTCGGTTCTCGAACTCCGCCAGCCGGATCTCGGAATGAGCTTGAACCGCGCGACGATGAAGCCGCGTCAATGTTACTGGCTCCATACGCAAAAAATTGTTTGTCTCTGCTCTAAAATACGGCATGGATTACTGCGTGAGGGATTAGACAGCTATTAAAGTGAAGGTGGCAGACAGACAAAAATCACAATATTTTAAATTTAAAAAATTGAAAATTCTTTAGAAAAACACAAGGGAATCTGCAAGTTTTGATACGCCAAGTTTAAAATAGGATTTGATAAGGTAGTTTTTTGCTTACCACAGTATTAGGCAGACGTTCCAAGCCTTTACCGGTCGATGGCGGTGGTAAACCGTACGATGAAGAGCTTAGTTCCTCGTCGAAAGCTACCTAAAGTTAAAAAAAGTGAAAAAAAATTTTTAATTGTTTAGAAAATGTAAAACAAGGTTTAAAATGTCAATTTACAGCCTTTTATAAGCAATTCCAGTAACTTGTGATTAACTTACATCATCGTGCAATATCTTTGGAGGTCGAAAACTGAAAGAAATGACAAAATTAATTAAATTCTACAAAATTAAAAGTTCAAATCTAAAAATTTCTTTATCAAAAAACATTTTACAAAATATATTTTCAAAAAAAAAAATAATTTTTAAAAATTCACCGTAACCTCCCCCCCCATAACCACAAACACACCCCTCCCCTCCGCCCTACCTTTGCGCCCTAAAGTCGGGCAACCGCTTGTTGGCCCATATTCGGCCGCAAAGCAAAGTAATGACGAATATGATCTGTTTCATGCCATCAACTCCACAACCTGAGGAGTCGCTTCGAATGGCAATTAGTCGATTGAGGTCAGATGGAAAGCACAATGGAATCGCAAAACAAATCGCCTCTTCGAAGGGTTTGCTGGTTCGGGAGGACGATTAACTAACACTTGTCCATTCTGGTATTGTCTTCTGACCCATAAAAAGTAATCAAATTGTGTAACGAGAGCGACTGGTTTTTCTCCATTTGCGAGCACGGCATTGGTATATGTGTTTTAAGCAGATTTGCTTACAATAACCAATAAAATAGGTATTATACAAAATAGTTTTTGTAAAAAGTTGTACAAACTAGTTACAAATTTGTAAAAAAGTTAGGTTAAAGTCTAGACAAAGAACATTAACTCTTTAGTCTAAGATTTCTATCGTCACGCTGAGTGAGTATACCTACCCACCATTTTTTGTCTATGATAATATCGCAGCTCAAAAATTTTATACGATAAATTTTATCTTTACTAATTATACTTATTCTGTTTATTTCTTTAACCGGATATTAATATAACAGTTTAAGCCATAAATACTTAGGTGATAACAAATTAATATCATCAAAAAATGTGAATACATCCATGGTCTACAGAGTAAACCAGAAATCCACCAAAACCAAGTACGATGGTACTCTGAAAAACGTTTAAAATATTTTTTGAATTAATATTTTAAATGTCTATTTTTTTAAAGTAAAGTTTTAGAAACTGCACGTATACCCCTACAAAAACCCTGACCTATACCCTTTATATTCTATTACTTATTACCCACCCCCGGTTACTACACAGTAGTGTTGCGTTAGTGAGCTGAGAGCTCTTCAGATCTTTCGGATATACTTGTAAGTGAGTAATATGCCGTAAGGGTCACATAACATACCAAAAGTAAATGTTGTGCGGTCAGAGGAAATAGAAGCCCGAAGTGTATGGGTGGTCTGGCATCTTTGAATCGGAGTATTAGGGTCAGTAACTTAATCTGAAAATTGTAAAGGTTAACATTGTTTAAAAGTCAAATATTTCAATATTAAAACTTAAAAGTTCGAGCTATAATTTGTTATGGGTACTACTGGTGGTATGAAGAATTTAGTTAAAAATTTTGAGTTGATTCTGAGTGGAGCAGGTTAGGTACTTTCATTTTTAACATAAGAATGGAAACTTACAGTAGAAGTCTGATCAGAAGAGTAGAGTTGTTGTACGTCAGAAATGTTGTTAGAATCTAATCGAAATTGAGCAAACTAAAACTCAAATTTTTAGAATGAACTTTTTTTTAAATTTAATAAAAAAAAAATTTTAAAAAAAATTTTTATTTTTAAAATACGGAGAGATATAACAACGGAATGAAATACTCTTACCTTGCTATTTAGTCCAACAGCGCTAAATATGAATGAAATAGCAGCAACCAAACATATTACAGTATGTGAAATCAAAATCGAAGCTCCAAACTCCCATTTACGAACATATTCATATGAGCTTGACCTCAGAGTAAACATGACTCCAACAAATGTTAGTAAAACTACAGTAAACATAAAATTTGAAAAGTGAGATTGGAGGTTTGCGGCTGATCGTTCAATTGACTAAAATTATTTTGTAAAATACGTTTTAACTAAAATATACTTTTATAGTTACTTTAACAAGTCAAAAACACTTCAAAATCATTGTAAAAACACACCTGAAATCGATAAACATAATGGTCGATACCTTCAGTCCCAGGACACTTGGCCACATCATTGCTCAACTTCTTACATTCTCGGCTTACATTGTAACATAACAATGAAAATACGAACACAGTTCCCAAAATAGACACACAATTCACTACAGTAACATACCATCTCAATAAGTTACACAGTAAGCCACACGATAATATGGTAGACGATGTGAATGTGTTATGATTTTGAACGCCAAAGTAATCAAGAGATTGTGAAATTAAAAAGAGTAAAGCTACTGTAGCTAATAAAGTAAGCAAAAGAAATACAGTAGACAATATTTTGGTATTTCGATGCTTTTTAGATACGAAAGCCGACTGAACACTGTAAGACACCAAAGCTTCAGAGATTACTGTAGGTTTTAGTGTATGAAGTATTATATTAGCCCAGATGCCTATTATAGAGAAGTTGATGTATACTATAAATGGCACTGGTACCCATTTGTAGTTGAACACTTTTATAGAAAAGTAGCTTGAAATAGTTAAGGTCAAGAATATTATCTGAGAGAACAAGACTATGATATTGTAGAAGATAGACAGGTAGAAGAGAACAATGTTAGAATTACGCGTCTTATACAATGAAACGCCAAGAAAGGTGAGTAACGACATCAGAATATCAATTGTTGATAGTGTTGAAGAGATTAGTAGGCCTGGCTAAAAATTTTTTATTATATTGTATAAAAAGTAATGAGCTACTCGGCTTTATACCAATAAGTTTGATAAACAAAAGAGATTTTTTTTCAAAATTTTTAAAATACGACTTACTTGAGACGAGTAAACAAACTTGTACAAAGCTTTGTAAACCTTGTTGTTAAAGTCTGTAAACCTCGTGTTAACAGGAAATATGTTGACTGGATTTGGGATTTGAATTGAAGCTGACTTTCGATTCAAATTCGACATTGAAATAGACCGAATTTCTTTCGTCATTTTTCTGTAAAACTACAATTTTAATTCTCTGCGGCATTATAATGCTTGTATCGATTAGACCTGTAAAAGAGCCGAAGCTGGGTTTGAAACCTTGGCCTCAGGCCCACATGTGCAAGCCGTTTTTTAGGTTTAATATCGATTGACAACCATAAAACAAAGTTTTTATTAAAAAACCTAGTTATGGGTGGTAAAACTACAGTATACTTTTTTCCGTTTTTTTATTTAAAGATACCAAAATCAAAAAAAATTTTGGTGTAAAATACGAATGAGCTCAAAAAAGAATACGACATAATAGGTTACTGATAACAAAAATAATTTCGAACTCAAAAGTAACAAAATTTAAAAAATACCATGGCCAAATTTTTGTCTTTGGCCAATGAAAAAAGGACTTTCGCTTGAATTAAAATGATTTCCAGCCTTCCCCCCCCTTTTCCGAGATACGTCTACACGAAACCGACTTTGGCGTAAGCAGTTGTAAATGTGACAAAAATGATTATTCTAATGTAACGGCTTACAACCTAACATATAAATACGTATGTCTCGACGAAACTTCTTGAAATATCTAGTCAATCTGTTTAAGGTTGTAACATGTTTTGCAACGTAGGTATAGGCGGATTTTGGAGGTATGCTTACGTAAAATGGTTATATTATGTGACGTATAGAGTATAAAAAAATCTAAATTAATTTTCATTTTTTAAAATTAAAACAGTTTATAATAATAGAAATAAAATTTTTAATATTAACTACAGTTTATCAAGATTATATACAAATCTACAACAATGCAATAAAATATACACAGATCATATTTACAATGTAAAGTAACTTGAGAACATGTAAAGTTGATGAATTACTGACTAATGCTTCAGCTTTGGGCATACAGAACTTAAAAACATTTCGAAAAGATTGTGGGTAATCTGGAGCTACACTCATCTTGAACGAACTGAACTTGAACATCTCACCATTGCCAACGAAGTACAGGCCTGAAAATAGTATTGATGTTAAAAAGTAAGGTAATATCAAGAAAAGGGTTATAAAAGCCTAGTCTAGAAAAGGTAGGGTAAAGCAAGGCAAGGCAAGGCAAGGCAAGGCAAGGCAGGGCAAGGCAGGGCAAGGCAAGGCAAGGCAAGGCAAGGCAAGGCAAGGCAAGGCAAGGCAAGGCAAGGCAAGGCAAGGCAAGGCAAGGCAAGGCAAGGCAAGGCAAGGCAAGGCAAGGCAAGGCAAGGCAAGGCAAGGCAAGGCAAGGCAAGGCAAGGCAAGGCAAGGCAAGGCAAGGCAAGGCAAGGCAAGGCAAGGCAAGGCAAAATAAGATAAGCCTAGTATAAGGTACTTACTTTTATCCCACGAAAACGCCGCTGACACGCTTTGTGGTATGTTCTTCCAATTGTCATCAATCTTCCTTGGATAATCAACCTCAACCTTCCAACTAGTCTCATCCAACTTCCAATATTCTTCATCTCCCCATAGATAATATCGTGTTTGAAGACCGTAAACCCATTCGTAAGCAAGTCTAATATTCTTCACATTTTCTGGTATACCAATATCGAATAATCGTCGAGTATAGTTGAGTTCATGGCCATAAAACGAGTAGATGGTCTGACCAACAAAGAAATGAGCTTGGTCGTTGATTTCAAAGCAAGCGTCGACTGGAGTAGGTAAAGATGGCCAGAAATCGACTATTTTCCGAGGTTTTTCGACCAATTCTCCTTAATATTTTTAATGTAAAATACGACCATTAAGTAAACGTCTGTGTTTAAATTTAATATTAAATTTCAAATTTGCAAAAATAAAAAGGTCTAAATTTATATGACTTACTACCATAATATTTTAGTATTAACACTACCTTTCTGATCCAATCTCCAAAAAACATCCCCTTTGAACAAGAATATTTCCGATCTAAACACTCCAACAGCATCTACATCAGTATCACATAAGTCAATCTCTTTATTCGGAGGTTTTGTCGTCGTTTCAATTCGTGTCGCCCTGGTCCTTGATGTTGTTGTAGTAGGCTTTTGTGTTGTCCTTGGCTTGTAATCATTTGGAGATGGCACTGGATAGTCTCCTCGGCCTATAACAATATCAAACCTTATTCATTTATCCAAAAAACTAGACAAAACACAGTAAAAACCGCTGAAAATAATCAAAAACTCATGAAATATTGCTTTATTCTACTATGTGTATGCTCAAAACCTTACCATAAAGCCTCTGAAGTGTCACCTTGTCATAATAATGCAGCCTAATCTCTCTACTATCATCATACCTATAATACGGATACATGATGCTATCAGGATGATCAGAATGGAACAGTCCCAAACTATGCCCGACCTCATGAGCAGCCACCACCCTCAAGTTGATCTCCTTATTTACCGGATTCGCCATAAATCCCCAATTCTCATCGTCGTCAAAGTGAACATCTCCACCTTGAGATTCGCCTGGATAAAAGGCGTGGGCCAGAATGGAGTCTCGACCATCAAATGGGTAACCATCACCGTGAGGTCCAGCCAGAAACTGGATCTGAATGTGAGAATCTGGAGAAGCCGATTCTTGAAGAGAGAGCTCTGAGACGCCGTTCCAGATCTTTGTGGCTTCGTACAAGGCACGGCGGACATAGCCTTTCTCTGGGATGGTGCGAGGTGCGTTTACTACACTGTAAAAATTTAGTTTAAAAATTTTATTTTAGACTAATATTAAATAATAAGTTTTAGCTTAGGCTAATATTTAAGTATCTTATAGTCATGTTCATTTACTGCCACTTTAGATTTGAGTTTGGTCCAAAAATTCAAAAGTATATAAGTAAAATACGAAGTTTAAAGTCAGAATATGACATTATTTTTTGCCACCCAAAGTATTACTGTAAAGCACAATAATTTAAGCATAATACTGTAATTATACAAGGTTTTCATTTATTAAAAAATGAGCAAAATACGAAGAAACTAGCCCGCGCATTAAAATCATATTACTGTAACACCCAGATGGTCTACTCATTTAGGTTGTGATTCCTAAAAAACTAATCAGACAATCTAATGAGTAAACTATCTGAACGTACAGTAAGTTTGGCCATATTTTAGTTACCATGCTTTAAGTAATCCTAATGGTAATAGCACATAAAAAATTTTGTAATACCATAGTAATACTTTCAAAAACCATTAGTACTACTTTCAAGTCTAACTGTTAACCAAAGTAATGTTGCAGAGAAACAAAACAAAATACGTACAAAGATTTTAAATTCGAAATGAAATCGAATAAACAGTAGGGTCTGTTGTAATGTTTCCGATCAATTTATCCGCCCACTTTAAACGACCAAGATCTGTGCGAAAATTACTGAATATTATCCATAAGACCAAATTCCACTTAAATTTGCATTTTCTCAGAAAATTTTTATCAAAAGATACTGTAGCTGCTTGTTGAGAGGATACTAGAAAAGGTAGAGTACAGCAAGGCAGGACTGGAATGGGTACAGCAGGGCACAGTAAGGCAGGATAGAGCAGGGTAGGGTAAGGTAAGGTAAGGCAAAGTAAAGAGTAGGCTAAGGTAAGGTATTTGAACGCGTTCCCTTTGATTAAAAAATTTTTGCTCTCCTCCCTCCCCCCCCTCCAGGCCCTCAAAAGTCAAGATCAGCGGGCTACCATTAAATATCCAATATAAGCAGACCAAGCCCAAAATTACCGGTAAGTAATGGTCTTGTTAGGCCAAACTATTGCGTTCTTGAGTTTCCTCTTGATCCTTCTTCTGCCACTTCTGACGATCTCTTCATCCCCAATCCCACACCGTTTCTCATTCAGAAGCTCCTGAGTTCGGTCGTCCATCTCTCCTGTCTGTCTGATGCCTCCAATCCTCTGTAGTTCTTTTATGGCCGTCTTCAGACTGTTTGGAGATAACATGGCTTGAGGTTGGCCTGGCTGATCTTTTGGTAGGTAACCGAAGTTTTTGAGGTATTCTGTCTGAAAAACAAACAAAATTTTGAAAAACTAATTTAAAAATTTATAATTTAGTTATTACGTAATAGTTAAACCTCAATATTCAATAGTATTAGTTCTTATAGTTAAACCTCATGATATAATAGTAATAAATAGTAAAAAAACTTACAGCATCCAGACTTGTGACAACATTGTGACATACTACTATAATAACCCAAGATAAAACATAACTGGTCATGTTTGTTCTGCAAAATACCTAAAACAATCTAAAAGCGTTAAGAATATGCAAATTAGCTCTCTTACTAGCTATTACTCAGCCTCGCTTCGTCGTTTTTGAACCTCAAGCTTGAACAATACTTATGTATATCTTTACTAACAGATATTGTTTTATATCTTTACTAATGTTTAATGGACAATACACCTTCGTTTTGTATACTAAAATAACCGTTTATCTTAATGAATATTGTCAAAAAAAATAAAAAAGACCGTGAAATTACCTAACAATAACTTCTGATACTGTAAACTTTAAAAAATGAGTCATAACAGTTAATTAACTTATTTAAATCATAACTAAGAGACAAAAACGAAAGGTCATTATATTATAAACGAGATATGGCGACACGGTTTTTATCACAAAATAAACAAAGATTATAACTAGTCAGTGAGGTTGACAACGGCTACCTGACAAAACACTTCTTTTAAATTGATTTTAAGGTCTTTTAAATTAAATATTTCCAAAATAATTTATATATAATTGACCCAACTTATAGTAAACATAAGATCTTGATCCAAATACTACATTTTTAATATGCGCTCAATACAATTCGATTAATCAAATAATTCTCTGCCCCTTTCAAAGCAAATTTTCGGAATTAAAAGGCTCAAAATTAGTTGAACAACCTATTATAATACAAACAATTAACTTTTCTATCTTAAACCAGCCAAATCAACCTCAAACTACTGGCTAAAATCGTTTCAAAAACTAAACGATATTGTCCATATGTTTAAAAACACATAAAATAGCATGAATGACCGCTCATTTAAATAAAATGGCTTCATGTATTATCAGCTAAACTACTATTATATACATAGCTCAATGTAAATATAAAAATCAGCTTTTTTAAAACTTTAGGTTTGAATATTTTTGCTTATCTTTAGATAAAAATTATTTTACTTTTTCACAAAACAAAATTACAAATCCATTTCTTAAGTTTTATGAAGAAAAGTGTCATTTATTACATAAAATCCTTGTTTTATATACTAATATAGTAATTGAATCGTGAGACAAAAGTATAAATCAAAGTTCAGTACCAAAATTGTTATAGGAAAGTTAAAATTGTGTCTGAAAGACCATATGAAACATTACTAATTTGTAGTATCATAAAAATTGATAAAATTAGGCAACAATATTTCCTTATATCACTATTACATTTATAATACAGTACCTAAAAGACCCTACAAACTATTTGAACAATTTAATAGTATCATATAACTAAAGTCATGTCGTCAGTTTACATCGTTTTCCACTAAAAAACGACAAAACTTCGTGAAACTTTAAAAAATTACCCCAACTAAAACCCTACATCCTACAATACAATCTACAGTACCCTCCAATCACCAGACAGTACCGTACTTGACTTGAGCATAATGACTGAGTCGTCGATTCCCAGGCAGTGGAATATACAGATTCTTCAACCCCAACGTCAACAAGGCTACAGTTTCCTCGGCTTCGAAGTTAGACGGTTCTTTTTTCTTGGCTCCAAACATATTTTTCACGTACTTACTACAGTAGCCTCGGCGTGCACGTTGATACCATTGATACAAGAAGATTGACGCGACTCCGGCGAAGAACGTCACTACGGCTAGCGATCCTAATATCACAGCTAAATGAACGTGGTTGCGGTTGTCGACGATGGAGAGGGCGATTCTTTGTGGAGGCTCGGAGCAGTTCTGGAAACGTTTTCTTATATCGAATTAGCTGTGATGTATTTAACTATTTTGAGCTACATTCTTGTGTTTTACTACTTTTTTGGTGCGAATATTCGATTTTATTAAGAAGTATAGGCACAAAAGCCTCTAATAGAGTCTTAATACATACGAATACCAAGGTAATTATAAATAATTCAATAAAAATATCCTTTGAAAGCTCTGAAACTTCGCAGAATTTGAATAAGAACCCTGGTTTTCTGACCTACAACAATATTCTACACAATTACTACCATTAAATTAACAATTAACGCCATTATATTAGCAAACCCATCCAACAAACTATTAAAAATACATAAAACCTTACCTGTTCATCACTCCCCATGCCACAATTGTCATTTCCATCGCAAAACAAACTCCTCGACACACAAAACTGTTTGTTGTTCGGACATTGTTTGTACCGCAAATCTTTGGCCGTACATCCCAATCGTGTGGCCGTAACGTGTAGCTTCAGATACGCCTTCAAAGGCTCGAACAAAGCCGGAATTACTCGAATTTTGAGCGGAGATTCAGAGTAATGGACAAGATAATGGAAGCACCCGAATGAAATGTTGCGATTGTTCAGCTGAAACTTGGCCAAGGAATCCAGAAGTCGACAATTCTCGGTCGACATCTCCATGTGATTCTCAAATACGATGAGGAAGCCATGAGCTGAGGAAGTATTCACTTCTAGGTGGATCTGCAAATATTTTAGGTAACAAATAATTTTTTGAAAGCTTTTAAAACAAAAGATAATATATATAAAAGCTATTTATATGTCTGTTTAGACCCAATTATTTTTTCTCTTTACTTTTTGACCACACACACCTATAATTAAGCTTTTATTTACATTTTTCCCTAATTAACCCTTATTGACAACAGTTTCCAGCCATTTTAAAAAACAACCTTAATCCCAGGTTTGGTAAATATTTTCCTTTTTTCTTCCATGTCTAATTAGTGCCATTAATTAGTACATTAAGCAGTAATTCCCTCCGAATATTCTGGATGCGCCAAAAACAAATCCATAATGTTCCCAGGGTTTTTGAATTCGAAAAAATAAAATTATGTAATTGGGTTGTGCACGTATTTCAACATTTTTTATATAAAACGGTCAAGAAATACATCGAAAATTTGTTTTTCGCTAAAGTTTGGCCATTTTTTTAAATTTTTATACAGTTTTAAAACGAAAAATTTAGAAAATTTTTATCCTAACATAAGGCCTTCTATTTACTAGTAGAACTAAAGTAAGAAGAAATGATGATAATTTACCCAAATTATAATCATTTTTTGGTTTTGATCCTTTTTTAGCTTTAAGCTTATGCCGAATACAATAAAAACGTCAGTCCAATGTTTCCTGTGCCAAATTAGATATGCACGATTTATAGGACAAGAAAACTGCCAAAATTTATGTTCTTTGCGCTTAGGCTTTGCAAAATTAAATTTGAACCCCATAAAGATATTTAAATTACTCAAAAAGACGATAAATCAAAACAACATTAAGTTTGGAAAGCTAAAATACATTTTTACTATAGATAAAATATTAAAAATAAAAAAAAACATTTCAGAGTAACTACTAAAGTTGTGAATAGTGAAAAGCCAGTAAACTGTATTGAATACGATATTAAATCAAAAATTTTTGAATTTCTTCCAAATAAAAAATATTTTACACAGTTGACCTTAGAAATGTCTGAAGGAAGTAAAGCCAAAGTGTAAATAGTTAAGCCCTAAGTGCTCAAATTGCCTTTATTTAAGATTCAAACAAAGAAAGGCCATCTTGACTCGGAAATAACTTTGTTTCGACTTGAAAATGACAAAAGATGACGTTTTCGTAGAAAACTTAATCTACTATAACATAGTTTGAATATTAACTTATTGGCAAGCTATAGTAGACTTTTTAAAACTAAGAACTACAAACCCAAAACCCTCAACTTACTGTCTGATAAAACTGTGGCAACAATTTCCTCGCGTGCACCAGCGCCCCAACATCCACACTTTTATGCACCAGAATCGCACGAATCGGCCCGAACAGGTAGAAAAAGAATGGCCAGAATCTCTGCATTCATCTGGCCACGGATCCGAGGGATCAAAACCTCCACTTCTTGGGCCACGAATTCGGGGCGTTCCCTTCGCTTCCCAACCACAACACCAAGGAATGGGGCCAGAAGAGGTATGAAAGGTCGAAGCTTCGAATTCGCCGCAAAGTGCGCACGATTCAATTTCCGGCCTTACAAATATTCGGCCGAAACTGTGAGCAAATCAGTTTTGTTACAATGACGTTCATAATAATGGCAATATTGTTACCTAAAATTGGCTTATTCGAGGAACATTCGATGAAAGTAAAACATGAAAAGAATGAGTTTTAATATGAAGAACACTCTGTAACTTAGAAGGAGAGTGAACACCGACTACTTTTAAAAGTTAAAAATTATCTTAAAAATAAAAAAAGCATGCTTATCTAATCAAAAGACATCGAAGAGACTGTCAAAACAATGAAAATACAAAGTAAAACAATAAGAAAACAAAAATATCTAAATTTAACATCTGAAAACAACAAAAAGTCGTTTTTTAAAGTTTACCTCGTGAAGTTTCATGAAGATACAAAAATTCGTCAACCCATTTCTTTAAAAAATATATTTTTCCTCTTACGAACTGCGCCCAAACTCGCGCATTTTCCTTTTTCAAACGAAAAATTATTTTTGGCTCGGAAAATTCACGTTTTTTCCATGGAAATTAATATTTTTTAGAAGTTTTTATTTTTAATTTTGCGTTTTGTTTTTATTTTTTAGTAATTGTGATATTTAACTTTTTACCTTATTTAGGTATACGTTAACATTATTCTTTTGATATCAGGCCGAATATGGCGGATCCTGACGAAAACAGTCCACCTAGTGAAGGGTCATCAGAGTATCTGAGTTTAGCGTCTTCGAATTCAAGTGAAATACAAGATTCTCAAGAGTTGAAAACGGTAAAACCAACGTTTTCTGTCAGTAACCCAGCCAGAGTTATAGGTTTATCTAGAAGACAGTTTGTTCAAGAAGGTAAGTCTTCAGAATATATTGATGTTGGTATTTAGAGCTTTGAAAGACTTTAATGTTGGGGTTAAACTGTTTAAAATAGACTGAAAATTATATTAGTGACTTTGAAACATCTTAACATAGTTTTATGCTAAACTAGGCTTTAGTTGAAAGCTTTACTATAATATCTTCGTCTGGTGCGTATTTAACGTTAGACTTTTTTTAAATAACTTCAAAATTCTGATTGTGAAGCCTTATACACATTTTTTCAGTTGTAAAGCAAAATAATTTGGCACACATCAAGAAACAAAAAAAGGCCAACTTCCGAACAGCTGCCAGTAACTATACAGTAGATGAATTCGACATAGATAGTGTTACAAGAGAGCGTGGTAAGTGTTTTATTTGTTTTGTTTTGTTTTTAGGCGTTGTAGCATTGCTTTAGACGATAGAGACAATATGGGGAGATTTTTTGGCTTCTCTAGCTTTATTTTGATGTTACAAGCTATTATAATATCAACGTTTTCTTTTATTTTTAACTTAATAAAAGAAAACCATCTAAATTTAGTTTTAGATTAAAAATTTCAAGAATACGATTTAAAAACAATGTTATTACAATGATAAATTTGTAGAAGATCTCTGTTTTATATGCCAATCGTTCGACGAAAGGGAAACGACCACTTGTGGCGTTAGTGGGTGTAATTTGTTCTACCATGAACATTGTCTTACCAGAGAAAAGATCCATGACTATTTTATATTTTTCCATCGGGACAATCGGATATCCTGCTTCAAGCACTTTTGTAACCGATGTTTTAGCGAAAACAAGAGGACATCAGCATGTTCATCAGGTATGTTAATATTTGGAGAATTATTTTTAAAGCTTTTATGGGTATATAGTAATGTAACATCTAAAAAATCGTAAACTATAAAGTCTTAAAGATTTTAATCTAATTTTTGTTGTTTTAGCGCCGTTTTACACTTGTAAAATGTGTCCTCGATCGTATCATTTGGAATGTATACCTCCTGGCTGTGATCCCACAAGCGTAATATGTCCAAGCCATTTTCGAAGTGTCACCACTGAAGCCGAACACATTCCTCAGTGTTTTTGTTGTGCAAGAGGATTGGAGAACGATAATAGAAGTATGGTTCATTAGATTTTGACTTTTAGGTTGGTGTAAAAGGAATGGCTCGTTTGGAATTGAAGTTTTGGTATTTTTAATAAAATTATGCAATTTTTTAAATCAAAACTAGTTTTTTAAAAGTATTATATAAGCTGGTTTTAAAAAATGCCATTTCAGTCGACTGCGACTATTGTATTCGATCCTTCCACGACACGTGTGGCCAATTCGTGGTGGCCAAACGTACAGGCAAAGGCGATCGTATGTGCTCGTTTTGTCAGTATGGTTATTTTGTCCCAGCTTCATCACTATGCCATGTTTTGTACAAAGGAACTTTTCAACCAGCCAAAGTTACAGTAAGAGTAAAGGGGAACCCTGGCTTCGTACCGGTCGCTTTGATGCGAGATCTCATCAAGAATTCTTTCTCTGTACGACTAGTCAAGATGGTTCATCATACTAGAGTATTACCTTTTACTTTCAATGATGCCTACCTCAAGTATTACAAGAAAATGAAGTTAAGGAATATGAATGGTGAGCTATGTTTATACCTATATAATCGTTTGTTTTAGGCTAACTTTGGTAGATTTTAATTTTCTATTCAGGGTTATTTTTGTTTATTAGGCTACTGTTGGTATATTCTGTTACTTTAAAAGGTTATATAATTCCACTAATAATTTTTTAGTTTACCTTTACCTCCGGCAAGAAATGTCAACATCAGATGTATCTGAATTACCTGTTTTACCAGTGAAATCGTGTTACAAAGACTTCTCACCTTGTACAGTAAGTTCTTTTAATGTTGAAATCGATTGAAGATTATATTAATCATGATTTAAACAATTTCAGGAGAACATATGCCTGAGGAAGGAGTTTAAAGACCTACTTTTCGAAGAGAACAACGCCCATAAGTGTAAGTGTGAAGTGGAGAATGGCATGAAATGTCTGGATAGTTGTGTAAACAGACGACAATACTACGAATGCAACGAGGATTGTGGGCCGGAATGTAAGAATGGGCCAAAGTCACGGGATCCCAACTTTGACAAACTGGAGGTGTTCGAATGTCCGGTCAGAGGTCGAGGTCTCAGGGCGAAAGAGCACTTTGTTGCGGTACGTTGATTGATATCTTATATTTTTTAGATCAGATTGTTCACATAATTCTGGGCATGTAGTATGTTCAAATAATTCTGTGTCCCGTCTCAGAGCACATATTTGGGGTTGGGGCACATAATTAATTGAACAATCTTTAGGTGACGTTTAATAATTTTTTTTATTTCAGGGAGAGCCCATTGGTGAGTACCGTGGCCGGCTACTGACTCAGAAGCAGGTGACCGAATACATGACAATATTTTGTGACTGCCGGAACATTGAGGACCATTTGTACTTTATGGGAATAGGTAATACTGGAGTGACAATCGATGCCAAGACCAGAGGGTCTATTACAAGATTCGCGAATCACAGCTGTGAACCCAATGTTAAAGTTGTGTGTGTTACTGTAGGTTTTTTTGTTTTGATGGAAAATTGAGCGGTTTGGATTTATAAGTTTTTGGTCAAAAAGTACGTAGAAAAGTCGTTTTTGATCAACGTGACATGCCAAATTGACGAAAGTTAAAATTTTACTGTTTTGCCATTATTTAATAAACCTTTTAGGGCGTAGACAACATGCGACGACAAATGCTGTACGCGAAACATGACATAAAGCAAGGAGAGGAGATAACCTTCGACTATGCCATGGACTGGGACGAGTTCAACAAGATCTGCAGATGTGGCAAAGAACAGTGTAGTGGCTATCTGAATGGTCGCATGCAAAGTCGTATTAAGATAATACGAACCGCCGAAGAATATGTACCAAAAGTGTCAAGGAAGAGAAAGGTGAAACGAGAGAATGACAGTTCTCTATCCACACGACAATGTTAACATACACCTCGATATTAATATACCTCGCAATGAAGTGCCTAAAGGACTTATTTATGTGCCATAATACGTTAAATTGTAGCTCTAAGTTATCGAGTAAATATTTTGGAATTAAAAAGGTTTTGTGGATTTTTCGGAGTATGTCAAGCATCGTTAACATACCTTTTGATGTTTTGGACCAAAATATACGTTTCTATCATCTTTTATGCTATTAAAAGCCCAGTATTAAGTAAAACATTCCTGGAATTAACTTAGAAACAATAACTTGTCTAATACCGTTTACTACAAACTAAATAGCATAAATATTCCAGCACCAAATAATAAAAGTGATATGTGAAGAATCGAAAAAGAACGTGCCTAACCGTGATGCTGAGAACGTTCGATCAAGTCCTCAATGATGTCCTCCAATGTTTCATCATCAACATCGCCAACAACTCTTTCCAATTCATCGGAATCATAATGGGATATTAAGGTAGGTACTTGTTCAACTTGGAAGTACTGGGCAACATCGACAGCTGTACCTACATCAACTTGGAGAAGGTCGAACTGAAAGTGATTTTAGATATATTAAAAATATGAAAACTCGTAAAAATTGACCCAGTCCTGCACGAGCGACTGAAATAAATCAACTTCTAAAGCCTACCTCCTCATCCCTGGCCTCAACTTTTGTGGCCAATCGTTCTCTTCGAAGTAGGGATGTCCCATCCCAATCGGCATAAAAATCCAATAACGCGTGACGGCCATAACCCCCAGCCAAATAATTGTGGTAGTCGTCCATTGAGTTCAAACTGTAGATATGGGCATTCCGGACTAGATTTAGGTGTTTAAATACATTCTGAAAGACAAAATATGTCGAATAGACCTAACTGAAGCTATCGTTCAGGATAATTACATTTTAGCTACTCTTTTGGTCATAAAAGTTTAGGAGTTAGGTGTAACCCTACCTGGTTGGAAAGCCTGGACAATGTTTTGCAAGCAACCTTGAGCATTTTAATAGAAAATTGTCGAAATTGAGCAACTAAAACAATATAATTTATTCCAATCGTCTTTTTTCCTGATTTTAGTTTAAAAAGTATATCAAAATTGAGATCTCATTGGTTTTGAAATTTAAAAGTTTTAAATTTGATCATTTATATTACATTTTTGTTGCAAAAAGAATGGCGCATTCAAAAACAAAGTTAAATTGAATATATATTCATCAATAAAGTATATCATTTTTCTTTTGATATTTAATTTTAAAAATTTTCCTAAAAATTTCATCAAGTAAACATGACCAGATTCACATGTACAACATCAAACTCAATTCCAAATGAAATTGTTCATCAATTTATTACATTACTCTATCTATTCAATATGGCAGCGAAGAAAACTCCTGGATAATATGAGAAAGACACTGGGTTTTGGCATTGAAATCCTAAGATGTAAAGTAAATATTATACTCTTACTACCTGAATGATTATCAACAATATATTATTAATAATCACCCAGATATAAAGTTATATAGTACCTTACACCTTGATAGATACTGACCCGAAATAGACAAAATTTAAAGTTAAAATATTTTTAAAAAACTATCCTACAAACTTTTTAGAAATCAGTAGACATAAAAATCTAAAATTCGTAATGTACATGGCTATAAAGCTCAAAAATTAATGTTTGTAGACCAAATTCACAATCCAAACTACACATCATTGATCCAGCTACTTCAACTCACACTACTGAACTTTCATTTCACCTGAATTCAGCTACAATCCTTCAGAATCAGGTCTACAATGACCCAGAATCGGTGGTTTTAGTGCTGGAGTCCTCTTCTTTTTCCTCGTTTTCGACCCGTATTTGAGCTAGGTGAGCACCCGCCCCAGCCAACTTCTGAAGTCTCTGAAGACCTTTGGCACGCTCTTCCGTCGACAAACATATCCATGCGGTTAACAGTAAAGTGGCGTAAGTTGGTTCGTTGCATTTGAGGTAGGTGGCGATAGTGTTTTCGTGAGGATAAATGAGATCAAACTCGCCGCGCAAATTGAATTCCTCTTCGAATTCGATTAAAATGCGTAGATCAGCGTCCGTGAGTTCGGTTAGTATGCAGGGAGAGATCTTCTGAAAAGATGAGTTTAGTTCGACGTCAAAATCTTTTGCAATTTTTATCTAAATTTCGATTTTTTTGAAAATTTGAAAAATTACAAAATTCTTACACCTGTTTTGTGATAAAACTCCATCATTTCTGATTCCTTGTAGAAGTGAATCTTTGTTTTGTGTTCAATCAAAGGCTTTGACCGATAGCTGAGATCAAGCTCCTCTACATCATTACCAGCTACAAACTCCATCCTCCACATATTCATCAGATCGGCAATCAAAGGAGCTTTGACTACAACGTCTTCTGAAGTCGCTGCTTGCATCGACGGTGAAATATTCATCTCCAGAATCCAGGGTTTGTAATCTGAGTCGATTAGAATGTCCATTCCAAAGAGTTCTCGACTAAAATAATGATTTTAGATTAAATTTTGCATTTGTTTACATTTTAATTGTTATATCACTAAAAAGTCAACAAAAGCTGACTTTAAACTTTCAAAAACAGTAATATTTAAAGGTTAAGTATCAAATATGTTATAAATATAAACTTACTTCAAGAACGGATACTGACAATACACATTCTGTTGCTTCCTGATACTCTCCACACAAGATATGACAGCCCTAACCGACACATCCCTGATCTTCCCCCACAGCTCTTCTGGGTCTCTGCCATTGTCTTTGACGAACTTCCAGAACCTGCTTAACTTCCACTTCAATTCCACGGCTCCGTTTGTCACGCCATTCTTCTCAGCAAACTTATTAATGGAAAAGTTTGTCAGGTGCATGTATTGGTTGTTATAGGATTGTTCATGACAATATGGAACACTGGCAAACCTAGCTAGCCCATCTTCGTAAATGTAGATCTTCAGTGGGTCAAGAGATGATACGTAGACATAGATACGAAGATCAAACTTGGACCCGTTCATGACCAATGGAGATTCAATGTAATGTTGAGCTATTAGTGGAGCGTCGGTTGGGACTTCTTCGATTTTAGAGACTATTTGAATACCTCGTCCTCGAGCAGATGCTGGCTAAAAAGATAAAAAATAAGTCTTTGATTAACTCGAAAAGCATCTTTTCATTAACATTATTTTATCTTTATCTAAATTACAAAAATAAACTGTGGAGTCTTACCGGTTTGAGTATAACATGCTTTTTATTCGATTTCAAGTATTCCCTGAGCGCTAGAAAATCACGTGGCAAGACATAGGTGTGAGGCATAATATCAAATCCATCAAATTGTTTAGACAAATCCGCTAAGTGAAGCCATAAACGGTCTTTGCGACCTAAATGAAAGTCTCCTGGATAGTGGTTAACCTGAAATACAGAAAAGTTAACCTTTAACATACTCTGTAGGTTTTAAGACGTATTATCTTACCTTTAAAACAACATAACTTTGTAATCATACAAAAATAAACGTTGCTAACGTTAAAATAAAGTTGATATCAACTATTTCCCCAGAGCAAACTTACTTTTTGCCAATAGGTTAATGTCCTATATTGAAAACTGTGTAAATGCTTCCCCCAATACCCTCTCCAATCACCGTCTTCAGGTACCAACTCGTAGTGACTTGATCTCAATGTTCTTTTCATTAAATTTGGCAGTAAACTGGTCTGACACCATTTGAATGTTGTCTTATATCGAGCTGGAGGTTTCTTTACCACAACTAAATAAAAATGAGTCAAAAAACTATACTAAGATGTATTTTCAGCTTCTGAATCATATACTAATACTTTTAAACCCTTCACTTTATCATAAAGTCCAAAAACCATCAAAGAACCTAAAATAACAACAATATTAACGAGAAAAACTTACAATCAGCGACTTTGGACTCCCTTTTGTAAAATATGATGGTCGGAGGCATATTTGGAAAGATACTTTGACGGACTAATGATCGTTCTTTGGGTGAATTTGTGCTAAACATAAAATATATTAGTTTATAAGAGTTAAAACCTTAAAAAAGTAAACTATAAGTGTAAAGACATAAACATATATACGGTACCTTTTCTTCTTTATTACATTTTTGCGTTTTCTAGCCTTGGAAGTCATCGAAACTAAGCAAGAATATGATATTTGTGAAATTTCCGTCCTTTATTTTAAAAATGTTTTATTTTTTAGGTAAAACACAAAGCCAAGAGCTAGAAAATGGTGCGGAAAGCCCGCAAAAAAAGGCCGTTTAAAAAAAAGAAATAAGAATTTGTAAATTTAAATGAACAATGATTAAAGATAGTTAAAACGTACCATAAATCGGCCAAAATAGCTGTCCTTTCGTCATCTGATATTGCTTTAACCGAACCACCCGATATGGTGGTATTCAGACATTGCAGTAGACATAATAGGCCTGAATAACCTTGCTGATCGTCTGGTTTTAACTCAATGATGTTTGCTGCTGAAAATGAGAAGATATAGCATCCCAATACATATTTGGTTTAAATTTTAAAATGTAAGCTAAATATTAAGTTGTTTAAATAATTCTGAGCCTTTATCAAAGCAAATTTGCAAGGTTAGAAGGCGCCGAATTATTTGAACCACTTAATATTAATTAAAGTATATAAAACAGTGTCAACTGTCACAAAAAAAGTCTCCAACCAGTTGTTTGGTTGATGCTTATGCAAAAGGAGTTATGTTGGGGGGGCTGGTGTCATGGGAGCCGAACGGCCAAGAAGTAAGAAACATAGTAACTGTGACAAAAAATAAACTACAAAAAGCTGTTTTGAACTGGTTTTTGTTCTTTAATTTTCCAAAAGTTGACGTTAGAATGTTTTCTCAAAAGTTGTTATGACAATATCTATTTTATACATGTATCTGATGACATATGTGTAAAATACGAGGAAACAACTTGTGCTCTGTAAATCTATTATAAAAACATGTATTTTGAGCTATTATTGACATGATTATGCCAAAAAACGTTATTACGCGCCATTCTTTTTGTATCAACTTGATTACTCTGATTTAAAAAAAATTTTTAAATTAAAAAATGTGAGAAATGTAAGTTATAGTGATATTTAACACTAAAATTCAAAATCTTACGGTCGTCAGGTAGACTCGAGGCCGACAGGTTGGAGTCGGTGCGGGTTTGGCCGCGGGGCTGAGTCTCAACCATAATGTCATCTGCTTCTTCAGCGCCCATACATCCGTCAATTAAGGCCCATATGATCGCCTAGAAACACAATATACATATAATTCGTGTTTTTAAACGATGATTATATAGTTTGACATAAGTTGAAAAAATGGATTTTGTATCGCTAATTAGGGGGGAGGGGGAGGTTATATTATACATGACATTTTATGTATTAAAACGTTGTGTTTAAGTATGCCAATTTAAAAAGGTTATTTCAAGTCGTTTAAATAATTCTGTGCTTTTGACCTCAAAAATTTGGTTTGAGAAGGGCGCAGAATTATCTGAACAACCTAATATTATACATTTCATTTTAGGTGTTATACAAGCCATTTTAGGTATTAAAATGTTATGTTCAAGTATGCCAATTTAAAAATTAACGAGAAAAACTTAAAATATGAAATTTGAGGCTTTAATGTTGTCATAAATTGGTCTATGAGGTATTAATTAATGAATAAACGTAAGCACGTAGCTAATAAACACAGTTTAGCTCCATTTACTACACGAACAACTACCGTGATCACCAGTTTTTGATGTAGAAGAAAAGAGAAAACAATGTAAAATATTTTAAAAGTGTTACATCTGCTGGGTAATACAGTAAAACCCGTCTATAACGAACTCTATAAAAAACACTTTATGACAACTTTAGAACCCTCGAAAAATTCGTTATACATGAGTTTTACTGTATGCACATGCTTTTTATAAAGTGTCATGCCACATACTTGCTAAAAACCTACTGTATCAATAAAAAAATTGACCGAAAACTACTATAACGTCACTCAAATGGCAATAAAACAACATAAAACAAGAGCGTGACATCTTCGTATCTCTCTCCCAATGTTACTACGACTTTGGGTTTTACAATATCCTACTTTTCATTTTATCAATTTAATGATACAGTAAGAACTCTTTAGTATTAGTATAAACCTCGTTCATATAAGAGAGAGAGCTGTCGTTTTTCAACAAAAATAAAAAAAAACTATGGTAATAATAACAGAAGGCAAAACTTCTACAAAATTTTAGACCAGTCAAGTAAAGCCTAAATTTATAAAATATTTGCTAATCCAAGTGTCCCAACTACGTCCCCAATCTTGGACAACTCAGGCAATAAAACGTAAGGACAATAAAAGCAAGGACAAGCGGTCGTAAAGCTTGTCGTTATTACTTTAGTATACCGCTATTTCTGAAACAATCGACCACTTTTCTTTGTTTTTAAAGTGGCCCAGAAACTTTTAAGTAGCTCTCCTTTAAGCGCTAGTGTTAAGAGTGTAACGGACGTTTTGTAGGGGGGGGAGAATTAATTAAAGAAAGGAGTACTGTAAGGTACAGCTGTAAGAAAGGGTAAAAGAGTAATCAAAAAATAAAAAGCTATGGCTAGAGTTAGATTGATAGGACTAGGCTAAGGATTGGGATAAGACTAGAAACAGGGCTAAGGCAAAGGATTAGACTATGGCTCGGAGCTAAGGCTAGGGCTCTGGGCTAGAACTCTGGGCTAGGGCTTTGAGCTAGGGCTCTCAGCTAGGGCTTTAAGCTAGGCCTCTGGGCTAAGGCTCTGGGCTAGAGCTCTGGGCTAAGGCTCTGTGCTAGCGTTCTGGGCTAGGGCTCTAGGCTAGGGCTCTACCCTAGGGCTCTGAGCTAACCCTAGACCTAGGGCTAAAGCTATGACTAGAGCTAGGGCTAAATCTAGGACTCTGGGTTACTTCTACTCTTCCAAAACAACTACAGTAACCTTGTCGTCCAAAAAACGATCGCCAAACTCAAACTATAAAATACGTTCGAAAACTTACACTTTTGGAATTACATTTTCTCACATTCTCTCCAGAATTTTTCCGGCTTCCAATTGACGTAAATTACGCGGCCTTATGCACCTTATTATAGGGCGGTTTATTCAAATCTTTCGGCCCGCTTTCTCCTCAAGTGCAGCCGGATTTAAAGCCGTGGGGCGGTTAGGGCCGCGGGAAAAAGTTTTGTCCGTAAAATGCGCCACATTACTGCGTCTCCCACAAAAAAAACTCAAAAGTTTTCGGAGGATATAAAGCGACTTCTGAAAATTGGCCAGAAGACGCGTTCCTTTTCGGCTTCTATTGCCTTCAATTCCTTTTGTCCGCCAATCCAATTCGAGCGAATTGTGTCGAGGACTTGGCGGAGCTTTCGCCTCAGGGCCTGTACTCGCTTATTCCGGGAACTGTTTTGTTTATGGAATTCGGAGATGATTTGAAATACTTTATTGAGATTTATAGAAATTGCAATTTCAACGAAAAAGTTTTATCAAGTTTGTAAAAAGATATTGTTTTGAGCAGCCTTTTTTAGAAAGAACTTTGAATTTTCGAAAAATGATGACATTGGAATAAGTTTATATGTAAGTTTAAAAACTGATGATTTTATGTTAAAAAAATCGTCAAGCTGGTAAAATGTGATATCAAAAATTTGATATAGTTTTTATTTTTTCATCGTAAGGTGAATTCAAAGCGCGTAGGTCAAGAATCTATGGCAGTTCATTGTAAATGCATTTCCTCTCTGTTTCAAGAAACAAGATATTGGCAAAGTTAAAGATCATTTTATATTAAGTTGTTCAAATAATACTGTGCCCCTTTTCAAAGCAAATTTTTTAGGTTTGGGTTCGAGAATTATGTGACCAACGTAATATAATATAGTTCAGACCATTCAATTTTAAAATTAAAAACTTTTTTTACAAAATATTGCAAGCCATTTTCTTATTTCTTATCAGATAACCACTTATTTTGTATTTTTTTCTTTAAAAGCACGTTTGTTGGTCTTATTTTAGAGTGCATTTAAGATTAAAAATAGGCACAAGTCCACTCATGGTATAAAAAACCTAAGTTTATATAATTCCTTGTTATAGTATATAGGTTATCTAGTCTAGAACTATAAAAGGGCTTGGAACAATTTTCCGGCTATTTTACCTGCATGTGTCTGTCTGGTCTACAGGCCTAGAAGTGTCGGCCTGAACTGGTACTTTTCAAATTTGCTCGAGGCCAAGCTAATTGGGCCCTCGTTCAGATCTAATATAACTCTTAGAAACCCAATTTTTACTTGAAAAACCGAGCTTAATATAAAAGAAAAGTCTGTTATAGCCAACAAAAAAGCCCGTCGTTACAAAATTTTTACAGTTAGAAGAACCTTGAACGAGATATCACTGTTTAACTATTATAAAGTGTTTTTTACCGAGTTTTCATACATGCAAGCTATGTACAATACATTCAAAAATATTGTACATAATAACTACAGCACGCCCTCTGAGCCATAAACAAAAACCAACCCCAAGGTTTAATAAAATTATATAAACAGTTGTTCTCACATAGTAATAATGAGTAAAGAAATTTGATTAAAAAGTATTGTTTTTCTACTTTCTGTCTCTCTGTTCTAAAGGAATTGATGTGGAAGGTGTCAATTGATAAGACAGATGACAGGAACAACAGATAATTTTTAACTCAAGATTTTTAAGTTAAAAATGAAAAAAATAGTTAAAGATAGCTTAAAATTTAAAATATGAAACTATTCCAAAAATTTTAAGAATAAAGTCTTTTCATTTTCAAATATTGTTACCTAAAACAAAAACATGTAAATTATGCTTTAAAATCGATTCAAAACAGCCAAAAAATCAAAATTTTTAAAATTTCAAAAATGAGCCAACCACTAAATTAAAATAAACCCAAAACTGCCACCCCGAAAAGACATACGACAATGTATTAGAGTAAAGTACAAGATTGATACAAACAACCCATGTTACTTTCATAAAGCGCCCCTCCGGGCCCGGAAATTAGCCTTCTCAAAAAAATAAAAGAAAAATTAATGACCGAATTAGCAAAAACAACCCTCCGGCCGTTGCGCATAAGTCACATTGAATTACTGGAAACGGACAAAGTATTTAAATTATTTATACAACACCGCCATACCCCCAAATTGGTCTGGCCACACAGGGCGGTACAAGTTAGTGGTATGGTAAAGTGTATATGTTACTATAGTAGAGTTGTATTTTCTTTCTTTCAATTTCAGTTGTTATAAAGGATAATCTCTAATTAATATTACCTTAAAAAAACTAATTTTTGAGTCCAAAAATTTAAATTTTAACCCAAAAATCTACGTTTTAAACCATTTTCAAGCCAATTCAAACCCCCAAGACCCCCGAACTCAATAGTAATATGGCACAAACCTCAGAAACCAAAGTAAAGTAAAGTCGCAGGTGCTAAACTTTATTCGACCGGATGTAAAAGCAAATCGAATATAATTGAGATTGTCCCCCCGCTTTCTCTGATCACCCCCCGGCCAGACAGGTGCTCAAGACCAAATCGCTTGAGGCGTTTTTCGTTTTTTTCGTCAGCCAGACAAATGAAATCCGAGCAGTATTAACTTGTAATGTTGCAATTGCAGACTGTAACTGATACTGAAGACTGTTTGGAGAGTATTTAAAGGTATGAGATGGTAAAAAATATTAATTAAGATATTAATGAAAGGTATATACATACGTATAAGATAACAGTGATAAACCTACTATGTTATATACATTTTGTAAGTCCGAATACGATTACATGTTGACTATAATAAAATTCGTTTTTAAAACGAGCTTATATAGTTTGTCAGTAATTTCCAAATGAGCTCAAACGTATTCTATTATAACAAAGCAAGGTTTTAGTCGTGTTTCAGCTCAACCTAAGGTTGTCAGTTTGCCGACAGTCTCAAAAAAACTAAACTAGCCTTGTCAATTCAAAATATTATAAAATAGGCGTCTTATAAGAATAAGTTTAAAACCTGGTCGGTCTCAGAAACCGTTCAAAACCTTTTGTATCAATTCTTTGTATCCCACATATTACAGTACACATCATGCCAAAATAAAAGAAAAATGGAACTAAGGTGGCCGCGGCATTTCGTTAACTCAAAAGTCTCAAATATTGATTCAAAAAATAAAATAAATATTTAAAATGTTGAACGAAACGTGTGAAATTATTAAATAATAGTTAAAATAAATCAAATTTTGAGCTGTAACAAATATTAAAAAATTCGCTATGTTTCGGTGGTTCTTTGAAGGCCAAACTAGTCTTGATCCGTCAAAGAATCGTCCAGATATGACGCTACAAGTTTACCACAAACGAATTTCATTTTCAAAATTCCGACCGCTTAATTTCAAACAATTTTTTACAAAAAATAGAATTTCACACTTCGCATCGTTTTTTACACGAAATGTCACTCTGTCTTTATTTCCTCTTTTGGCATGACGTGCAGTACCCATAGAAAGTTAGCTCCAGAAATTCGGTATTGTGTTTTAAGCAGTTTTAAAGGCTCAATTTTATCAAAACTGTTTGAAAAGCAAGTTTATACTTTGCTGAACACCTCCTATTTAAACAGTTTTTAAAAATTTTTTAAAAAATTATAACTAAATATAAATAGATAGCTTGAAGCCGGTAAAATAAAGTTTTGTCAAGCAATAACTGTTTCAAATTGAAAGACAGTTTTCCCAAACTTAAAATGACTTTTTTATCTGTCTGCTTTTATGTGACAACTGTTTTTAAACTATTTTTTATAAGTAAAAAACGTAAAGTTCTCATCGAAACTGTCTTAATAGTCACGTCAAAAGTAAACAGAAAGGGCACAGCATCTTCTGTATACGAACTTTTTGAATACGAACAAATAAATAATTATTAGCTATGGTATTGAAAAAAAAATTTGAATAAACAAAGTCGATAGTGTTGTTAAAAATAGTGTCAGTTATTGGCCAAGTAAATTAGGGTTTTGTGGCCATAAGAATAACAGGATTATTTAAGAATGGCATTATGAGTAATATATCTTGAGTTTAACACGTTATATCTAAACTTTACTTAGTAAAAATTATTTTACTGTTAGTATAAACTGTTAGCAGTTAATTTTAGAGTTTTTACTTAATGTCAAAAGTCTTGTCGTTGATTTATACGTATTTTAACGCTAAAAAACGACAAGATTTTTGCGAGACTATAACTATACAACTTAACAAGCTTTCCAAGCTTTCCAATTCATAATATTATGTAATATAGCCAACACTTTGAGTATATATAGCCAATACCTAGAGTATATACTGCCCTCTTCACTTACCAAAGCCATTGTTACGGTGTGGACATAAGTGGTATTGTGACCAGCCGGCTGGTTAATTGCAAACTTGTTTCTCAAAAACAAAGATTAGGAGCCGTTTATTCGGTTGTTTATCAAGGTAAAAAGCGACAACAAGATCATCTCCTCTGACGACACTTGGCACAATAAGCAAAAGGGTTTGAGGAACGGTGACAAGAAAACGATGGCCTCGGGCAATTTGCAAAAAAAAAGAAACAAACTACTCATAAGTGTGGGAAATATATAAAGAAACGTCATTAGGCTATGGTTTTGTTCAATAAATACATAGAAAATAAAATTTTTTGAAAAATTGTAATGTTTAAAAATGTCAAAAAGTTTTGTCGTTTTTTAATGTGAAAGGTAACGCTAATTGACGACAAGACTTTTTTTTGACGTTTTTATTTGAAGTACTTGAATGTTGTAGAATTAAGTTACTATCAAAAAGTCAAAAATTTATTTTTTTTTGTAAAATACGCATTCTTTTTTTTGAAATTTTTCAAAATTTGATCAAATTTCAACATTTAATGCCATTGTGTGACCTTTTGAAGAGGAGCATGGTGGAGGATCCTCTCAAAACGTTCGCAAGATCCTTGATTTGTGTGCCGAAAACTAAATGATCCGTTTTCGAATAAAAATAAAGTTTTGTATTCGAAATCGTAATTCAACGCTGTTCACAGCCTGAGGGGAAATAATTGAAAACTAAACAAAATACGGTTAGTCGGGTGGAAAGCCAGGTAAGCTTTACTATAATATAGTGATTGTTATGTTGAGGTGATTTATTTCAATTATAAGTTGTTCAAATAATTGTGTGCTTTTTATCAAAACAAATTTTTAAGAACAAAGGGCACAGAATAATTTAAACGACACAATATTACACTATTATTGCAGTTACTATTGCTACAGTATGTACAAACTTGTGCTACTCTTAACCCTATTGCCAATATGCTTGTCCCAATTGTCATCAATGTTCGGTAATCCAGTCCAAGCAGATAACTGTGCCGAGTGGACTAGCTGGGGACCTTGTATTTGGCTAAAAGGTTCTCCAAGATGGAATCGATCCTACTTCGACCAGTTATTACCTGGAAGAACCGGCTGTCGTCAACACGTCTTCTTCAAACTGCTCAATGAGCGATGGGGTGTGGTAAGTGTTTATGACATTTTTAATAGAATATTGGTTGAGAAGATGTTAACAATCCTATAAAAAACTTACAATGAGGTTTTAAAATTTTAGTCAAAATTTTAGTTTCTTTTTTTTTAATATTAAAATTACCTGAAAAGAATAAAGATAGTACTTTTAGGCATTCAAAAACTTTTACAACTACCTACGTGATGTTACAGTAAGCGAAAATCAGTGCGGAGAATGTTCTTACCAACAGAGTTGTGGGAGACAGTGTCATAGGAAGTAAGCCATCTATATTATTATCATAAACTGTAAAGTAAGCGTTTCACCTGTGGCGAATCAGCTATCTAGGCCTAGCAACTTGTTAGCATGAAGAAGGTTAGAGGAATAGAAAAAGAAGCCAATTAAAATTTTTTTAAAAATTTTTTAAAACTTTTTTTTGAACTTTAATAGTGAGATGAAGTTTATATTGTTTAAAAAAAATATTTTCAGAGGAAATGTGAACTCGATCAACCCCCTATTCGTGGCCGAACGTCGTTGTGAAGGTGTCGATCAGTCGATGGCTTGTGAGTCGAAACAAGTCAAAGGAACATGTAGGTTGTGGCCAAATGATGACATACAATTGCCGAATGTCACTCAATCAATGCATGATATTATTCATGGACTCGAGTTTTTGAGTTGTGTTCCAGAAATTAGGTAAGATAACTTTGAAACTATTGATTTTTCAGTTCTTAAAGTGTAATTTTGAATTTTTTAAAACTTACTTTATTATCTCGAGAGCTAGAGGTAAAAAATATAAAGAGGAGGGTTACTTTTTAATTTTTGAAATTTTGTAAAATACGTTTTTTGTAAACAACGTGTATAAAAAATTACCGTAGTAAATTGTACTGTTACAGTCAGATATTTTCAAATAATAAATCTTTTGCAGAGGTTCAGAATCATTGTGCAGATGCTGTTGCCACCCGTTCACACCAAACCCAATCACATTCAGATGTGAATTGAAACCTCAATTTTTAGGGTAAAATACGGTCTTTTTTCTCTGTTTAATATATAAAACTAACGTCATATGATTGTGAATAAACAACAATAAATAAATTTAATTTCTTTTAAAATATGTAAATGAAAGGTATCTTTTCAAATATCTAGGGAGCGGTATACTTTTTGTTGTGTAGAACATTTTCGAATTTTGTCGCTGATTACAATCAAAAACGACCCGATTTCAGAGGCTCTAAAACAGATTCTTATCTCGACTTAATCCACCTCAAACACTGTCATCTTACATGATATATTTAGTTACAAAAAGTTCAAAAAAACAGTTTAACATATCAATATCAGAATTTATAAGGGTACTATTAGATGGTTCAAATAATTTGGTGCTCCATCTCAAAGAAAATGTTTGAGAGTTGGGAGCACAGAATTATATGAACAATTTAATAATATTATAGATACAACTTATACATAAAACGTACAACTTATACATAAAACTGGCATCACAAAGGTAGTGGTAGTACTGCTTAAAGTTTACATTGAACAGTATTATTTTATGTTGTAGTACTATGACAAGATGTCAATTTGACATAGCTCTTATTGTCTTCACTATTTGAGAGCTTATCTATGCCATTCTTTTTTATTTATAGCAAACAATCTGGAAACAATGGCCTCGTTTCTCTTTTGGTCATTTGGTCATTTCGAAGCCGTTTTTGGCCTTTCGAAACTCAATTTTCAATTTGGTTTCGAAAAGTAATGGCAATTTAAAATTTTCTGAAAGATTGATGACTCATTTCCAACAAAGATAATGTAATTTTTATTTTTACAAAATTTCTTAACTTTTATTGCGGTTTTGCAGTGGTAATGGGTACAGGCGGATGAAAAGTTGAGATTATTATTGGGAATGTGAGGTCAGTTTCTAGAGGATAGACATAGAGAACGTCCTAGTCAGGCTTAGGCAAAGTAAAAAACAAGCCGGACCTGGAAAGTAGGCCTTGCCTAAAATTCAGTTTTAAATATTTTTCGAAATGCTACTCTTTATCTGTGTATCATTAGTCGAAGCCATAGTCATTCTATTTACAGTACTCTCTCTATATAAGTAACCTGAAGGCATTTTTTGTTTACTATAAGGGGTGTTGTGTTTACAGAAAGACTTTTTAGTGCAAATTGAAATGGCGGGGCTAAATTTCTTGTTTACTATAAGGAGAGTTGCTTATACAGATGGTTCACTATATATATGGAGAGACCACTGTATAACAGTTTTTATGTTGCGACTTAATCTTTGATTTATGATGTATTTTAGTTACTCTGTTAGTTTCATTTTTGGGTCATAAAAATAGTACTAACTAAAGCAGAGCTTTCTGTATAAAGAATTTTACAGTATTGAGGCATAGTTACTTCATTTTTTTCTATTAAAGTTATATAACAAAACACACGTTTATACCATATTTATATTATATTTAGCAATTCCTCTATATCTTGTATATCTTTAACCAAAACTAGTAAACAAAACAAAAACACAATAAACAGCTATATCTATGATCAAATCTGTCTATACAACCATATCAACAACCAATCCAACCAAATTACAGTCCATTTTATGACAAAACAATATCGATGTCAAAACAGCCATTTCCGGCTAGCCTAATCCAATTACCATGGTACCCTCCGGAGGGGTGGGGCGGGGTTTTTTCTTGTCGAGAGTCTCGAGAAGCGCCGTGCCGGGAGGCAAAAACACTCACAAGGAACCGACATTCCGAGTCTCGGTTTCGGTTCTACGTTTACATATGTTATCTTACTGTGCGGTGCAAAAAGTCGGGTTTACGTAGTAAATATGTTAAGGGGTTTTGTGTCATGAAGAAATTACGTTTTAAATTATGTTACAGTAAGTGAGAGCAAAACTTGAAGTTATAGTAGGTGCAAGATGATTTAGTTTAGAGTAAAAGTAATTTCTTGTCACAAATTGAAATCTTATTTAAAGCATAGATGCTTTTATTTTATGTAAAATACGACGCCTATAAAAGCGTAAGCTTAAAGAATTAAATATTTAAACCTTTTTGATTAAAAACACAATGAATTCCACTGTAAAATAACATAAAATACTGTTTTAAAAGTATGAAACCTCTTTTCGAATGTTTTTCATTGCCCTCAGGCCGTATCCGAGTCTATTTTTTGTTAGTTTGGAAACTAAATTGGACCATTAAACTTGAATTCGACCATGAAATTGAAAAAGTTTAAAACTGACATTTTTAAATTTTACGAGGTTTTTAAGCGGAATACTTTATAAAGCGTTAGCTAAACGCTTTATTTATTTGTTATAGGTATAGGCTTGTTGGTACAGTAATAATAGTTGAGGTATTCTATAAATTGAATGCTTTGCTGATTCTGAGGCGTTTTTTTATTGTAAATGTTTGGTGTAATCGTATTTTACAAATTTTAATACACTAACTGTACTTTTAAATCAAAATTTTTAGATAAATGTCAGCCGCTGCTCCACAAGCTCGTCCAGCTCCACAGGCTAACAATGACGCTACCGCTTCTCCCGTAAGTTTTCTTTTTAAAATTTAAAACAATTAATTCAAAATTCAGCTTAAAATATTTTTTAACTTGCCATAACCACCTCCACCCCAGCATAAAACTTATCATACCACCTCCACCCCAGCCCAGAACACATTCCAGTCCAGCCTCGTAGATTCATAATTTTCCGCTCACTTAAGCCCTCAAACTTTTTTCGCAAATTTTTTCGAAAATGGCCAACAAAAGGGCATCAGATGTTAATCGGCTTTGGTTGGGCCTGAAAACGCGGCGGGGTATTCCGTTGACCCGCCCTGCATCCCTAAGTTTGTTATAGACGTTTCGGCCCCAAACTTTTACTTTGTTGTTGTTGACGATTGTTTTTGAGCGATTTGCGGCCTTCTGAAGGCGGTTGATTATATTTTACTGCTTTTTGAAGGGGGTTAACTATATAAATCCTTTGGAAGATAGCTATCTATATCCTACCATTTTTCGAAGAGGGTTGACTGTATTTTAAAGACTTCTGAAGGGAAGGCTACAGATTCTACAGCTTTTCTAAATTCTAAAGGAGTGAACTATATTTTATTGTTGTGTGAAGAGCTTGAAGTAGTTTACATCTGTTTGAAAAGTTAATATGGCCATTAAAGATTATTGTGAGAAGTTTTTGGGGTCCAGCAAAGTAAGGAGATAGGCTTTGTTTTTGACTTTTTTAGGTGGTAGTATGACTTTTATTGTTAGTTTTTGCAATTTTTAATTTAAAAATCAAATTTTTTTCAAAATAGTCAACTTTTAGGTAACAAACTTTCTATTCCAAACAAAAAAACTCGAAAATAACAATTTTTAGTCAAAAATCAATGTTTTCACAGATTTTTTTACAAAAATTTTGTCTTTTTTGTCAATTTTTCAAACTTTGTTGTTTTCACTTACAATTTCATGAGCCTCGTAGGGAATGATAAATATCGGTGTACATCAATCTTGCCGAAACCTCAGGAAAAGATTCGGGGTTTTTGTGGCTCCGCAGGGGATTCGGAGTCTTGTTTTTGGCCTTTCTCCAAGAATCTGAAGCCAAAGTAATTGAAGCAAATTGAACAAGGGTTTTATGGTCTTGCTTTGCAACAAGTTTTCTTGTCACTTCCTTATTAAAACAAGTTCAAAGTGTGTATTTGAACTTGTTTTTAGGCTGTAAAAGTTTTATTTTTCAAATTTTTAAAATTTTCCACATTTTAAAATTTGAAAAATGAATTGAAATCGATGTTAAAACTTAAAAACATGTTTTAAACAATTCCAAAATATAAAACTATAGCTCAAATGTGATAGAAAAGACATTCAAATCATTCAGAAAGATGTCTTAATTTCCTCCGCTTCAGAATGCTTAAGGAAATGCACTGTAACATGACTCAGGCTTCGTTTAAAGCTGCTTAATTAAGAATGCGCGGGTTTTAAAGGGCAAAAAAGGGAATTTAAAGCAAATCCTTGTTAATCTGGCCGACTGAAACGAGATGAGACATAAAAACTATGTTATAACGAACAATATGGCAAAACAGCATGCTTTACGATAATATACGATTCAAAGTAAAAATGATTGTATATGGCTTTTTATAAGGAATATGGTTAATGTCAGAGTGCTCAAGTAATTCTGCGTCTTTTTCAAACAAAAATTTTAAAGTTAGGGGCACAGGAATATATGAACAACCTAATACAATCAAAATTTACAAAAAATAGAAGCAATTTAATAAAGGGCAATATTTAGTCTACTGTAACATAGGTAAATAAAAAATTTTCTTGAATTTTTTTTTAATTTTAAGAAGTATTTCATTTTTCAGCGCCGCTGTGCCCCCAAAGTGAACACCCAAGAGCGTTTGTTCGGCCCCACTAACACAACTCCAAAGAAGGAGAAGAAGGTCAGTGACACTTTCAAATCGACCATCTTCACCGAAGCTCCACCAACTTCGCCAGCTCGCACTCCAAAGAAGCAGGTCCCGGTTTTGAGTAAGTTATCTCTAGTTTTGTCATATAGTTACAGTACATTAGGGTGTTAAAAAGTTTTGTCGTTTTTTACCTTACCGAATAATATAAATTGATGACAAAATTTTTTTTACACTTATTATACAGTAATTTTTCGAAAATTTTCAAAAAATATCAAATTACAGTTCCTTTTTTACATGGAAACAAAGTTTTTGCCAAAACTGCCATAATTTTTAAATTTAAAATTTCAGCCCGGAACCCAATTACCGGCGAAGTAAAAGTGCCGGCCAAAGTGGCAATGTAAGAGCAGAGATTACTTTGTTTCCATCCGTCCGACTTGTCAAACGAACTTACACTGGTATAATAACATGACATAAACTTTCTTGACACTTTAATATTGTAGTACGGTAATCTTAGCTTCGAATAAATATGACGTTTAGACAGTATTGGGGATTGTATTATTGGGTCTTTATTTATGTTGTAGTAGTGCAGTTGTGGGTTCTTTTTTTGTAGTAGGGCATTTTTTGGTACTTTTATGATAAAGTAGTGCTTTTTAAAACTTTTTTGGGATTTGTTTCAAATGTTACAGTATCCATACAAAAATTAAAGTTTTATATTTTCATAGGCTTTTAAAGCCTAAAAGCACACCCTATAATAACATAAACCTCTAAAGTAATATAAAGCCATATCTATAATAATATAAAGCCCAACCTATCATAATATAAAGTTGTTTTATTCGATTACTCATCTGAAACCTGAAAGCCGTCAGTTACATAAGACATATTATATAACCTAGAGGGTGTTTTTGAAGAACGAAACGACGAAAAACTGGCTTAAGACGTCGCGAATCTTCACAAAACGTGTTTGAGGAAGATCAAATTGGTGCGAACAACCAATTTCCTCCAGAAGATCTTCGCCTTCTGTCGATGGTTTTGTCAGGATTTTAAATGTTTTAGCGGTTTAGTAAACGGTTTTCTGGTAATTTTATAGAAATAACAGTGGTTTTGTGATAAGTTTTATATAACCATTTTTATTTTGATCATAGCCAGATTTTCTTTTATGGCATTACTTAACTTATTTTTCAATATAACTTTAAATTTTTTTAAACTTAAAAGGTTTGTTGTTTATGACAAAAATCGGGTTTATAAATAAACTGGACCTGCTCTATGGTAACATAGTCAATTCTTGTTACAGAAAAAAACAACAATATTTAGTCTACTATAACATAAGTGAATACAATGTGTTCAATAAGAAGCTCCTTTCTTAAACAATCGCGATTGTCATTCTTATTTCAAGAAGAGTATGTATAGTAATATTGTTGTTTAGAAGGATGAAAGCCATAGCCGTTGGATTAATAGTTCTATTAGGCGTTAGCGCTCAACTTCCACCATCAGAAAATGGTAACCTTTTAGGTTATTTTTTATTTTTATGATAACTAAACTTTAAAAAACTTCAATTTTTATCTCCCTCCTAATTACTTAAAGGATCCTCCACTTTCTAGCCTAAAATCATCCGCCCCACACTAGGCATATTCCATCCTTTTATGACAGTAACCCTTTCTACTAAATATAGTTCAAATAAATCTGCGTCCTATCTCAAAGCAAATTTCCAAAGTTAAAGAGCGCAGAATTTTTTGAACAGTCTAATAAAACATTTTTATTAACAGTCACAGCCTAGTCTAATAGTATCCCTTTCTAAATTCATACCTAAAATTTTAGCGATTGACTTTGATTCCCTCGACTCAAACAAAGACAATCAGATTTCCTTCGCCGAATTCTCGAAATGGTACTCGGCCAACAAGGAATCCAAACCAGAAGCCGAGCTCCGTCGTCTCTTCCAGAACTACGACACTGATAACGACTCTCATCTTCACATCCAAGAGTTTGTGCCATTGGCTTATCAACTGAGCAGAACTCCGAAGAAAGAGGTCGACAACCTTTTCTCACATCTAGATACAGATAAGAATGGCATCTTGACTCGTGCTGAATTGAAGAACTCGAAGGAAAACCTTGGCCCAGAGATCATTGAAGGATTGTTCTTGGTGGCTGACACCAATGGAGATGGTCAGATCACTCACCAAGAGTTCGGCACCATTCAAGGAGCTTTCGGACAAACTCCATCAAGCAGGGTAGGTTAATATGTTAACATAACTGTTTTACTCTGTAAAATAATAAATTTATTGTAATATAAACCACAATTTTAATATAATATCTCCATTAGCTAATGCATTAGACTTACAACGTCAATTTAGAAGTCTGAAAACGTTGGAATCGCCAGAGCTTTGATTGATAACATGGACACAAACAAAGACAAGAAGCTGAGTCCACAAGAGGTTCACACCTTCGTCAGTCAGTTCAACAAGGTCAGTCCAAAGACTGTGGCCACAGCCTTTGCTCGTCTCGACTCCAATCACGATGGTCAGTTGACTTTGGCCGAATTGGAAGTTCTTCCTCAAACCATCACGGACCTGGCCGGCTTCAAACAACCCAAAACTTGGTAGATCTAATAACTAAACCTTAACATGTTGTATATATTGGAATAAATTGTTATTGTATTTATATTATTTACAGTTTTTTATTTGGAAACGTTTTATTACCTAAATATAGGCGATGAATGCCTGGAACTTGCTCAACAAATTGATCAACAATAAGCTGGTAACACTCGACCAAGTTTTTAATTTTGCGTCAACTCTTTTTTCTTTATTTTGCCAAAATTAATATTTTTCCTTATTTTTACTGTGTTCTTCTTGTTTTTACTTGTAATTTAGATCAAATAAGACATCGAGGGATCAATTATTGTAAGTTTATATATAAAACAAGATCTTTAAGATATAAATATTTGATTTATCCTAGAATTTAATCAATTTATGGCCATAACTCTTGGAGAAATCTAGTACAATATGGGAGAAATCGTTTTTTAGACTTGTAAAACAAAAATACTATTTTTACAGCTATAGGACATAAAACAGTCATTTTCAAGCCAAAACATTAGGAAATGACATAATATAACGAAATCTTATCTAAAATCAAGTGTAATATAATTATTCAACAACTTTGTTATTTTTTACCGTAATGGTAGACTTCTTCGTGGTAATATCGTAAAACTGATCCCGGTGAGCCAAGCTGAAAGTCGGATATTGGTTGTCGAGTTTGATACCTAGAAATGACATTACTACGACCCGGTGAGGTTGCTCTACTTGATACTGAGATTTGTCTAGTTCGCTGGCTAAACTGGCTATCGTGGTTTGCGTAGCTGACTGTCGGATGATAATATTCATCTGATGCTTGATCGTTGATCTTGTGCCATTGATCGTATGTTACGGGCGTTGATCGAATGTTTTGACTCGAACTGCTTTGAGGTTGGCTTGGACTAGGTCTGGCAGTTCTACTGGGCGCATTAGTCTCACCAGGTTCAGAAGTTTCAAGAATTTGTTTTGAATTGGCACTTTGTGTGTTCTTGCTGTCATAAGAGGTATTATGTGTTGGTTTACTATTGGTACTACGATAAACGTGGTCTTGATTATGTAGTATCTTCGTGTTAATATGGTTATTGACCGGACTTCGACTATCGAGCCTGACTGACCTAAAGCCAAAGCCTGGACTAGGTCGAGGGGAAACACGGTCAGATTCTGGAATGTCAATGTCATCGGAAGGTTGGAATTCCGACATATTGTTGTAGCGTTCATCGTGACGTAACACATGACCCGGGAGTCTTGAGTTTGACTTTATGGCATTATCAGATGCTGGCATAGTGTTAGCCGAATATGTAACGTTAGCTGCTCTGCCATTATTTCCTGTGCCATCTTGTAGCCTGTTGTTCTGGCTTCCGTTTAAAGTACGATGCTGATGATTCATAACATTTTCTATCAAATGTACTCGTTGAGTACGATTCCTATCTCTTTTCGAAGCCCTTGATTTTTTGGCATCGTTCTGTGAATTTGATGGATTCTGATGTTGTTTTGAGTTTTGTAGCAACAGATTGAGTTCAGTATCATTTCCATTGTTATCATATTGTGATTGGTCATTGTCATCTTCTATCTCGTTTATAGAATATGAATGGTACGGTGGTTTACTGTCTTCTGACGGTACTTGACGGGGTCTTCTGAATCTAACCGGCTCTTGATACTCATTGTTATCTTGATTCTGATGATTTTTGGTTGATTCTTGATCATTGTGACTATTAAGTTCCAAAGAATCTCGTGTAGCTCCACCTCCAGAATGAATTCTAGCATTATCTTCATGATTGCCTATATTATCAATGTCGTCCTGATCTATTTCATCCACTTTTTCCACACTCAAACCTCCATTAACTTGTCCTTCTTTCCTTTTTCTATGTTTCTCCTTTCTCAATCTTTGTTGTTCTTCTTTATACCGTTGTTGTTCATCCTTTATTCGTCGTCCTTCTTCTCCCAACTGATCTTCCAAGTCGTCTCTGTTCTCCAACAAAAACTTTTCCAAGTCTTTCCGATCTAATTCAAGTTGAATTCCAATCGAGTCTCCACTGGTTTGTTTGATCTGATAGTTAGTTTGAGGTAAGCGCTTTGGAAGGCGTCGTTTTGTTGATGGACTGGACTTGGATTGGGTTGGATTATAGTGAATATGTTTGTGAGATGGACGGCGTTTGGGCGTGGACGGGGTCGGTACACTGGCTTGTTCATTTGAGGACCTATAATAGGTTGATATGCGGTTTATTTGGAATAGTTGAACATTATTTTTTACCTTATTGTAATATAAGGGGTACATCTGGTAAAATTTTTTAAATATTTAAATTAGAAATTGATTACTTACTCATTTTCGGACGACTGACTATGTAAAGGTGGTGTTGTAGCCATAAATTGGCGGTTGAACTAAAATTGTTATTATAGTGACATGGAAAGCTTAATTTCGAAATTTTATCTTCAGTACCAAAATTTACTTCCAGAATATAAAAGTAACACCTAGGGCTCTAAAAATCGAAAAAAGGTTTTAACACTAACTTACAGCCAGATTGTTACTCTCAGTAATCGATTTGACACTAGAAGTCTTTGTACTCTTCGAAGTCACTGAATATCCTTCGTCGTTCAGCATTCGATTTTGTTCTCTTTCCATTTTCTAGAAGCAGCGAGATTAAGATAAGTTTGGGCATAAAATGGCCATAATTGTATTATAATCAGGACCAACTTATTTTTGACCTTTTTATTATCAGGACACCGTTAAAACCTGACTTTGTAGTTGGCCTTGAAGATTGAATGGTTAGACGATTAAGACAGGGAAGGGACTTTGTAAGCTTTATCCCTCACTATTTCCATCACTTAGCCTTACATAGTTAAGCATAATGCCTACCTTTTCTTTAACAGCAGTTTCATGCATTAAAGAACAATAAGTAAAGTAGACTCTTTTCCTGTAACGCCATCGAGAGTTGTACAAAGCTAACCTGAAATTAAAATTATGTTTCATCAAAACATTTTTTTTCATTTCAAAATTAAAATATAAAAAATGCCATTTTCTATATTTTTTAAATTTAAATATCAAAAAGTCGCACTTGAACTTTCTATTGTCATTCAGGAAGTTGAACACAGGGACAGTCATCATTCTCAAATAAAGTTGAATGAACAGAAAGGCCAATGACATAAAGGCAGTCAGCCTGATTAAGGGTGGGTTTCGTTGAGCATAAACCTTCTCTTCATCATAACCTCCAAAGTCAGCGGCCAATGTGAAGGCTGAGTTTACGAGAAGGAAGACACAAGTTATGTATTGGAAGAGTAGCTGGATACGAAGCAGCCGGCCGTTACGGCGTATCACAGCTATCACAAACAAAACCTGAAGGAGTATTTTATTATGTTATCTAGGAACATCAAGCATATATATTATGATGCAACTTACCTTAAAACAGAAAAATATTGCAATTTGAGTAAGAGTAACAACCAAAACCAACGACGGAACAAAGGATTCTTCTTCATTATCAGGCAAAAAGAGAGCAAAGTGGATGAGATTCAACAACAAACACAAAATACCAAACAAACATTCGATGCCACATACGATTAGGCCCCTGGAAATTTTATATTGAATCATCTGTTTTACTAGGATTTTCAAACTAATTTATATAACACTGCATATTTTGGCACTATTTCTATTTTAAATCTTATTTGTTTCGCAAAATTTTGAAAAATTTTACTTTTTAAAGTGCATTCAAGAGTGGTCTAACAAGATTACACTGCAAATTTGCTTTTCATTTCGAAATCTGATGCCTTAAATTTGTTTTTTCTGAGAACTGATCCAATTTGACTTCCGATAACATTGATTACGACGTTTTCCATCGATTGTCAACCTAATTCTCGTCGAAATTTCAATCGAAAAATTTGTTTTTTATTTTTGCAAAAAGTTGTTTTTCAAAATAACATTTTAATTTCATGGTAAATTGGGATTATCGTTAGCTAAACATCAACAGTTCAAAAGTAATCGAAGTGTAAAGTTGAATTTCTTAAAATTTTAGAAGTGGAATTTAAAAATTCTTTTAAAAAATGTTTAAAATTTAAAAAATACTAAAGACTACATACCAAGACCTTGTAGCAGGCACAGCATCACTTCTCCACCAAAAGGGCATCATATACTTGGGCGAAGACGAGTCGAAGTGTTCTGGTCCTACTAGTTCTCTCACTTCTAGGTGTTTGGCGGCCAAATAAATTCGATTTCTAAAATTTTTAAAGCTTAAGAAACATTAGGGTGTTCAGTTAATTCCGTGCCGCCTAAAACCAAAATTTTTTTAAAAGAGGGCACAGAATTATTTTAACAATCTAATAATGCACTATTGCTTATAACTTCTAGTTTTAATTTGTAAAATTCGAAAAGTCTTGTCGCTTTAGACATTCTAAACTAATATAAATTGGCGACAAAACTTTTTTGGCACCAGAAGACTCATTATAAACTCAATTTTAGTGCTGTACCTAAAAGTATGACAATAACAAAAACATACCTCTAACATCGCTCATGCTCTGCCATTTGTCTCGTAGCCGTTCTGTGAATGTGCCATACTCTCTTTGATGCTTTTTTGATCTTGACCTATGTTTATCTGCTTTTTCAGCATCAAAAACAACGGAATCTTCATCGACCACGGCTGCTACAGTGTCTCCGGCTTCTTTTGGACCAAATTTTTTTCGTCTGAAATTTAAATTTTAATGTTTACAATAGAAAAGCCCAGAGGACATAAAATTTTCAAATATACAAATCTAAAGCATGCTTTTAGTTCAAAAATAAATTTATATCCAAAATTTTAAAATTTTTAAGTAAAAAATCCTAATAAAGCATCAAAACCAGTACCGATCTTTGGCCGGAGTCATCATTTGATTGGTACGTTCATCAAGAACGTCGAGATCATCTTTGGCCAAGAACGCGTGAGCTTGTTGTTGTAGGCTTCGTTTGATCCGACCAAAGGCAGATACTTTCCTCGTTGGGTCTTCTAACGATGAAGTTGAATCCTTTCGTCCTTTTTCTTCGAACGTATCACGAGTTAGGGGTTCTGGCTCCCAGTACGACATCAGAATACCGTCGCGGCGTTTCTGAACGCGTCGTCTGTACGAGGCTTCTGGATTTGCTAGATCTGATCGGAGTTGACCCTGAATTAAAAAATTTTAACTTTAAAACTAAAATTTGATTTTTAAGGTTTTGAAAGTTTAAACTGTAATGATCAAGCCTGTTATGGTTTAAAAGTACATTAAAGAGGAAGTTTAAAAAAGAATGACATCAGAATCTTTAGAAAAACAGTTCTAAGAAACCAAATAATTAGAAAACAATTAAAAAAAAGATGAACTTAACTGTTACACATGCATGTGCACATGAAGATAATCAATAAAAACTGTAAAAAATGACGTTAAAATATACAAGATATGCATCTAAAAGCCCTATCTACCATAACATGTACATTACTGTCCTATCTACTCCAACATGTACAACTTGATTTACTGTTTGTTGATAAAGTTGTTGTTAAGACAAGATGGACCAAAGTAAACAGTAAAAGTCTCTAAACCAATTTGACAAAATTCACCATGCCTCAACACACAAGACGTGTTAGACGCACAAAAACGTTTGTATTTACAGCGAAATCACATTTGCAAATTGATTTTAAACCGCTAGAGTTCGATGGAATTGTGGCTGAGACTGTCTGACGGTGAAGATGTAGACAAGGATTCTGATTTTATAAGCTGGGTAGTCAGCGAATTGGCTTTAGGCTTATATTTTTTGGATTTTTTTTCAGTTTGGGCTACTGAACCTATGATAATATTACGAAATGTTACTCTAAATGACAGCAAGTAGGGCTTGATCGCCTTGTTGACGCAAATATAGGGCAAGGAAAAACAGAGTAAGTTTAACAATATAAATATTATTATAACGTTTTCAAGAATTATAACATATTATTTAAATTTAAAAGTGAACTAGTTACACCAGGTTGATAATATTATCAAAAAATCTAAATTCATTTGAAAATTCCAAATCTTAATCAAATACCACTCTTTTCCGATGGTAAAATCAAAGCTTCTTTACCTGTCGTGCCGTGATTTGCTGATTGGGCGGGACTGCTTCAGCCTTTTTGTCGTCGGAATGCGTTGAACTCATTCTCAGGTAACAAAATTAACTAGACGGTAGAAAATTTTTTTACCTTTAAAATCAGGATTTTGTGTTATGATCTTTGTATATAGCTAATTATCAGTTTTTAATTTTTCAATTTTGATAAAGTTTTATTAATTAGGCAGATGAGATAATTGTCATCAATATTGACCATATTATTGTATAGACAGCGCACGTAGATAATTTAGCTTCTGAAAGTTCTGTAAAATATTATAATAATAAAAAAAATAGAATAAACTAAATTTTACGCCATTTTAACGCTGTTAATTTTATAAAATCTTCTAAATTACCATATAAATAATAAAATAAAAATTTTTTAACTTGTTTTAACTTAAAAATAATGTATTACGATAGGTTGTTTGAACATCGAGATCAATAAATTACGTTTGAATTTTGCGACAAATTGGCATTGTGTTTCAAGCTTACAACTTTGTCATTTTTTGACTTTTTAACTTTTTTCTTTGATCTACTAGTAGAAAAACTTTAAATGAAATTATAATTTTAAATTTGTAAGCGTAGCTTGTCTGGAAAGGCAAAAAAAGTGCTTGAAACACAATGCCAAATTTGCCAAACTGAAGAGAAACTCAAATACTTAAATTTTAAAACTCAAATTAAAAGTTTCATTTCTACGCGTTTTTCTATCTAATATTTGGAGATAATTTTTAAATTTTATATACCCTAAATACATCATTTTAAAATTTAACCTTTTGTTTTATTACCATAGCTTACTACAATATCTTAACCCAACAAAGCCCAAAAATTCAACAAAAACTTATTCACAACAACAAAACAACACAAAAACTAATAAAACCTGCTGATTTCAAAAAAAAGTTACATTTAATCGAAGAGCTTTTAATTCTCTGAAATTTAATCTTTAATTGGGTGGAAATTCAGAATATGGAGACATAATAAGGTATAGATGCGGAAAACAATAGTGTATAGAGTAGAGAAACCTTTATGGTAGAACGGTAAGATATAGAAAGACACAAAAAGTAGATATTGTGATTGGGAACGAAACGACAGAGTAGATAATGACGGGAAATTTGTGTTAATCGAATTAAAAGTAAAGAAAGTAAGGTGAAACATGTAGAACAATGCTATAAAAAAGCTGATTACATATCTTTTTAATAAATTTAATATTTTTTAAAAATTTGAGAATAGCACCACATATAAGCTTGTAAACTTAGAGATCGCTAGACATTTTTAACTTTATTACCTACCCTGTTCTGATTGACTTCAAACTTTTTATATAGAAAGATCATGTAAATATAAAATCTGCAGCAAAGTACTAAGTTGCGCTTTCTAGTCAACATCGAGAAAATCGACATCAAAAAATTATGTTTTGAATTTCCCGCCGTATTGGCATTGTGTTTCAAGCTTATAAATCTGCCATTTTTTTTTACTTTTAAGTATTTTCCTTTGTTTTACTGGTAGAAAATCTTTAACTAGACCTATATTCTTTAACTTTTTAGCATAGCTTGTTTGGAAAGTCAAGAAAAGCGCTTGAAATACAATGCCAAATTTGCAAAATTGGCGGGAACTTTAAATATTTTAACTTTAACACTCAAAAGCTCAAGATAAAATTTCGTATGGGTACTATTGGTAGTACAACGAATTCATGTAATAACTTGGAACTGATTTTGAGCAGAGCAGGTAGGGTGCTTTCCTTGTTATATTTATAACTTTCTTTAGAGAATTGACAATTCCAAAATGAAATTTTTTTAATTTTTTTCTCTGACGAATTAACAAAACATACTTTCAAAACAATATTTTGAAATTTTGGTTCTACCTTAATATTTTAATCTTTCTTCTTTTGAAACAAGTGTAACTTTGCCTGAACCAACACTACCACATGCTCATAAATCACTGCCTTCTTTATAGATTAACATTACAACTGATAAACTGTTTTGTAAAAAGTCTTCGGGACGATTCTAAGCCAAGTTAATTTCCTGAAGGTATTTTAAAGTCAGCGTAATCCTCGAAAAAGTCGCATAAGGCCAGAAGGCTTAAATTATTAAAACTTGGTTTATGTAACGTTCAAGTCTTATTAATGTTCTTGCTGATGAGGATGGTCTGGTCGTATTAATATTGTGTTATTTGTGTTAAAGTTGGCTTTTCTAAAGTAGGTATTACCTATTTCTACAGTTTGTTACCTTAAAAGTTTAAATATTGCCTAATATTAGCTAATATTTCACTCTACCAAAGCATATCTATGTAATAGTACAAAAGAAAGTGTTCTTTCTACTTTTTATCAGCACTTTTTTAACAGTTTAATACTAAAGAAGTTCAATTTTGTACCTAAAATTCAATTCCGAATAAGAAATATTGAAATTCTGTTTGAGTACAGCTAGGATTTTTGAATACCTAGTTCAAGCTGCTTCAAGAATTGACTAAAGATTGCCAAAATTACCGCCAATCCAGCTGAAATGCCTCCACAGCACGCTGAAGTACCTGACAACCCTGTCATGAACAAAGAGAATGCCCTAAATGACATTATGGCTGATGGTAAGAGGGTTTACGCTTTATCTTTAGCTTTTGTGCTGAAAAAATGGTTTTTAAAATAAACTTTTGTTTTTTAAAGTTAATTTTGTAAATCTTTTTTAATTTAAAATTTTTTTTAATTTTAAAATTTATTCTACCCTCCAGACACCCTGGTCGATTACAATCTAGAGCTAGAAGACATGCATATTCATCACATGAATGGATCCCAAATGTCTTTCTTCGAAGATGAAGACATTGTACTAAATGGTGAACAAAATACGATCAAGTTTCGGATGAATATGAACTCACAGTGGAAGTCAGCTGACTACCAGGCTGATGTTCATGCTGGCAACAAGATCGCCTACTACAACTTGACAGATGAAATTGGGTTTGGCAAGTTCAGTCGGGTCAAGATCGGCATTCATACGATTACTAATGGTAAGAGTGGGGTTGGGTGGGGTAATTTTATATTGTATTGAGGGGTGGGATAAAAATTTTAAATTTTAAGGCGGGGGGGGGGTATTTTGTAATTTTTTTTTAATTCAGGGAAGCGAAGCTTCTTTATAATTTTATTGATAACTTCCCACATTTTTACCATAACTTCAAAAATTTCAGATACTGTAGCAGTAAAAATAGTAGAGAAGATCCGAATCGACCAACGCCGACACCACGTACTGAAACGAGAGCTTCGTATGCTAGATTCCTGTCACCATCCAAATATTTGTCGCTTATTAGAGGTGGGTTTCCGGAGATTAAGTACAACTTTTTCATTTGCATATTAATCCACAATTGGCTAATATTATTTTGAAAAACAAGTTTTCTCCCGAATATAGTAGTTTAATTACCAGATTAACACTTTTTCTGAGACTATAGAGAAGTGAAAAATTATTCTCGAATATTCGGATCAAAAATCTGTCTTTAAATTTGTCATAAATTATATCATATTAGTTTGTTTCAAAAAGAATGGCCAACTTTAACCTTGATTTGTTTGCCAAAATCGGCCATTCTTTTTGGAACAACCTAATATTAGCTATATATTAGCATAAAGGCAAAAATATAATCTTTTGAAAAAAAAGTTAAAAAAGCTTGTTTTAGTATATTGATACCTACAACCAACTATACATTGTGATGGAACTGGCGACAGGAGAAAGTCTACAAAAATATGTTAGTCACAATGGACCTCTGAAAGAGCTGCTGATACGCAAAATATTCATTCAAGCAGTATCGGCTGTCCATCATATGGTAGGTTATATTACTTTAACTAGAGTCACGTCTCTTTAGGAGTTTAAAAAACAGCAACAGAACGGTCGCAATTCTTTTAAAAACACCCCTCCATTCCTATCAAAAACCTTTACCCCACCATTGTAAATAGTTTGAACTCCCGCCTCATCCTGAGGTCTAAAGTATCACCCTTTCTAAAATATTATGATATTCCTTAAATGGCAGTAATAAAAACGTGTTTCAGCACACCAGAAACATCGCTCACCGTGACATAAAGGCAGACAACATTGTATTCAACACAAAAACCGAAGAGATAAAGCTAGTCGACTTTGGTTTTGCCTGTTTCTCTGATGACAAAACCTTCTCCACTACCTTTTGTGGCTCTCCACCGTACGCGGCTCCGGAGCTCTTCTCCAGTAAGAAGTATCGTGCAAAAGCGGTCGATATCTGGGCGTTGGGATGCTTCTTCTACTTTATGTATCTTGCTACAATGCCATTTGCTGGGAGAACGTTGTACGAGCTGAAAGCTTCAATACGAAGTGGGAATTACAATGTGCCAAAGAACGCTTCTGTATTCGTACGACGGCTTCTGAAGGGGACGCTGACTCTAAATCCGATTGAGAGGTATACGATCGAAAGGTTGATGGTAAGTAAACTATCATTTTCAAATAGATCACTTCATACTATAAAATTAAAGCCTACTACAGTAGCTAACGTAAAAGAAAATATAATTTTGTTCATATAATTATGTGCCCTCTAACACATAAAATTTATATTTAGAGGGGGCACAAAATTACTTGAACAAATTAATATATTGCCGTACTTAACAAAACCAGTCAAAGTCAGGAAACAAACTACGACAACTACCTCAAACATACAATATCAAAAATGATAACATAAACACATTATCACAAAAACAAATCCCAGACCTGATAACTTAAAGTTTATTAATTTAAAAATGTGCAATGAAATTATTATATCAACTATAACTAACTAATTATTAGGATTAAACATAAAATAATTATTACAATATTAACCGTAGATAATGTTAAAAATGTACATAAAAAACTTGAGTTCGTTATAAATTGAGATCATACTGTAGCGTAGTAGAGACCATAATGTAACTCATAGAGATCATACTGTAGTATATTGTAGATCACATCTAATTATTGAAGAAAAAATTATTAAAGCATGTTACTGTAGAGTCAATTCAAGCCACATTACTTTACATTCTTCTCATTTTACCATAGTAATACGAGCATCTTGACGTTGTAGATTCTGAGGTTGATGACCGAAATGTAAGACAGTTCCTGCGGCCGGTAGATTCTTCTGGTAAAGAGAATCTTGGATAGAAGGTAGATTTTGAAGGTGAATAAAGTTCTGCGTCGACGGTAGACTATGTTCAGGATAGACACCTTGAGTTGACGATAGATGTAGTGATGACATGCCATTCTGATGCAATGGTATGATTTGAGGAGGTATCACTAAGTACTGTGATGTGAGATTCTGAGCAAATACTGGATTCTGAACCCACGAGCTCTGTTCATCAAGACTTCCAGAAGTCATTTCATCCAAATCATCATTTATTTCCCATTGTGGTGTTTCATTACACTCAAAATCTCCCCATGGTGCCCCTTCTGAATCATAGTCACCATCAACAGCTCCGTATGGTAAAATTACATCATCGTATCTTGAATTCTCATCCCACACCAAATCTTCAGATAAAGGCGTAGCTGTGTCAGTAAGACTTCCAAAAGATTCTGGAGTCAAATCAACCATACTTCTTGAGGTCTGATCCATCATATAGTTGGGAATCTGATCTGGGAAACTTGAAGCAGATTCGGGTGTCAATGCAGGTTCTAATCCAGGATTCATAAACCGAATATACTCCTGTGTTTGTAATTCCATATCTATCTTGTTTTGTTCTTCAATCAACCTTTCAGCTTCTTCTTCGATTCTGGCTAGTCTGTCAATCACTTCCTTCTCCATCAACCTTCTCTCTTCTTCTTCAGCCTTCAACTTCTCATTCTCTGCCATTTCTTCATCCTCCAATCGTTTACGGCTTTGAGTGAATAGGCTAGTCAACAATCTCTTGGCCGAATACGGATTGCGTTCGTCTAAAAAGCTTTTAAAGGCTTCTGACTCCAATTGGTTTACTATATCCTTCGTAGACATTTGATAGCGGCTAGCTACGAGAATCTCACGGAATTCCTCGAAGATCTCGTCGATGAGTTTACCATCCTCTTCTGATTTTGCCACTTGATACTTGACCCACTCTTCCCTGCCCATCCTCTGCTTCAGATCATACCAGATTTGTTTTAGACGCTCCAGATGTCTCAATTCAGCTGGCCTATTGTAGCTGTTGAACTGATTCTCGATTGACTTTATCTTCCGCAATTGGTCATCCAATTTCGAAAAGTCATCAGCTGTTTTTGGGTAATCTTCAGGCTTCCTCGGAAGTTCCTCAAATAGCCTTCTGAACCTTTGATATGAATCTGGGATTGTATTCATGATCATCTGAGGTCCAGTGGAGAACTGTTCTTTGCCATAGACTTCATAACATTCTGGTTCCTCGTAGAATTCGCATTCAGAAGCCTGTTGGATGAAGAGAGGTTGATTCGAAGCCAAACATTGAAACATAAAATTGTTCTCAGAGTCATAAGTTTCGAAATGATCATCAACAAAAGCGTCTTTTTCATATAGCTCATCCAAAGCGTATTCACTCAAATAGCTCTCCACATCATATTCATCATCACATTCAGGAATCTCTGCCAATCGTTCGACCGGTCGTCCCCAGATTCTGTCAACCGTCGCTTGATCCAGAAGACCACCTCTAGGCTCATTGTAGTCAATATCATATTGCTCTTTTCTGTTCTCAGAGTTGTTATAGATAGAAAAGACGCTGGGAAAGCCATCGACCACAGGTACTTCCATGTCACCATCGAAGATCATCTCCTTGTTGTCTTCTCCTGCCTTTCGTAAACCTTCTATTACACTTTGACGCTTCTTAAATTCTTCTTTCTTCTGCAAATCTTCTATAAACTGTCCATTCATCTTGAGGTGACATGTTTCGTTATTTTTCATCTGCTCCTTCGTAATCGACTGGTCGTATTCGTTGATGTTATGTATTCTTATTCCTGCGTTCAAGGCATTGATTACTCTTCTCTGTTCCATCATTTTTTCATAGCGTTGTTTTTCTTCCAGTCGTAGAGCTTCAAGTCCAACTTCTGAGGGTTCTGAATCTTTTATGTCTGTATCTGCTCCCACTGATCTTTCACCATGTGTTTCTTCTTCTATTAGGTCCAAAATCATTTTACCATAGGTGTCCTCTTTAGATGCGCACAAATCCAATTCTCCATCGCATTTTGACATACATTCATCATCACCGCGCAATATTTTTTTCAATTCTTCCTCAGATTCTCGGAAAATTCGAAATTCAAGGAGCCCTTCTACTAATTTTTTTTGATCGTCCTCCTTTGATTGTGAAAGATCTTGTGATGACAACGACTTTCCTTTAAAACACATCATTTTTAATCTACATGTCACTCCAGCATCAGATGATGAAACGCCGGTTGAACATGATGCATCCACTGAATAATCTTTTGTAGGTTCTATACCAGGAGATGACAACATCGCTTTTGGAGGAGGAAACAGTTTCTTCAAAGATGCTGTCAACAGTTCTTCATCACATGATGGTGATTTAGTAGGTAAAACCTTGTCTTTAGGTGATGACACAGTCGCTGACGACGATGGCTGAGCATTTCTAGAATCCGAAAATAACTTATCCAAATCTGAGGTTATTTTAGATTTAGTTCTGGCCATAGTTCGCTTTGATGACATTATTGAAGTTTGTTCTTGTTCAGCCGATGATGAAGTAATTCTTTGTAAAGGTGAAATTCCTTTTGATAAAGTCTTCTCGAACCCTGATGGCGGAGGTACCGTATATGACGATGATGGCATAAGCTTTAGCAATGATGGTACCGTAGAAATCGAAGGTGGTGGCACTTTCCATGGTAGTGTTAGTCCTGGCGGTGGCGGAAGAGCTTTCACTGTAGATGTTCCACTTCCTCCAGCAAGCGTTTCAAACGTAATTCTTCGGCCTTTCAACGGATTCTGCGTTACAGTGTCATCAATTCTTCGTTTATGAGCACCGTTTTCCGAGTATTGATTATTGTTGTCTGAAAAACAATGATGATAAGTAACTTTTAAACAAAAACCTGTAAACATCTAAGCGCCAGTTCAATTCTAAATACAGTATTTTTATAGTTTTAATACAAAATACACCATTTTTTATTTCATACCATTATCTTGAAGATGTTGCTTATAAAATGGGAAGTGAGCCAGTCGATTGCCATGAGCTTCATTTTGAAAACGTAGATTCTGCAAATTAAAATTCTGATTCTTAAAAATACTTTTTAAAAATAAAGATTCTTATAATCACTTACGTTTGAAACGCCACAAATTTGACGCTTATCCGTTCTTGGAATATTCTCTTTAAAGCCAATACATGAAGAGTCACCGTGACTTGTTCTCGGGAAATCATTGTAACTTTTTGATGGATGATCAGTCACTTTTGGCCCTGAAAAAAAAGCATTTTCCACTTAAGTTTCATCTTACCATAACATCCGACGTGTTCCTTGTCAAAACCAGCTCCATCGTAAATTGTCGTCAATGAAGCATAAGGGAAGTATATATTCATGAAATGCTGATTTTTGTCATCAAGGATCGTTGACATCGACTGGTTATTATAAGGAGCACCGGATGGTCCATTGAATAATTCTCTTGTCGGTCCAGCACATGAATCCCTTGACGGCCCAGCGAGTAATCCCCTCGACGGTCCAACACATGAATCTCTTGGCACTCCACTGAATAATTCTTTTGATCGCCCATTATAAGATTCTCTTGATGGTCCATAACAAGACGGTCCTGTTGTTGCATTAAAAGTTGTTTCTTGACCATCGTAACGTGCTTCTTGATGTCCACGTAATCCTCCAGTCTTTCCTTGATTACTTTCGTACGGGAAAAATTTATAACATTCAGCGTTATCTAGCTTGCCATTGTCATCTATAAAGTAAGGTAGATAAGCGTTGGCAGAAGTAGTCGCTCCACCAGATAACAGTTTCCTTGGAGGTCTTGAGAACAAAGGAGGTGGTGGCACGTTGAAATGAGTTGGAGAAAAGTTGTTGAAGAACGACATCGTAATGTGGCTGAAAACACAAAAAAATTATATAAAAACGACAAAATCCCCTTTTTTTATAATTTCAATGCCAAGTTTACGAAAAAATACCGACTATTGATCAAAACGCCTACTACTATGAGAAACTGTAAAAATTTCATCGTAAGCCACCATAAATGGACGTTAACATCAAATATTGTAGTTTACATCAACCATGTAATCTACACAATAACCTCAATTCATAGCTTTCAATTTCAGAAATGTAGCTGGCTATCTCATGCTCAATATCCAGTGGATTCACTAGAAGTGTCGGGCAATCGTCAACACCCAGATCCTTTAGTTCAGAAAATGGTGGCTAGAACTTATGATCGTCTTCAAGCGAAATACAATGTCAGTATGTTGGACTTGCAAAGCGCATTGGGCCGAGGTATACGGGAGCCACTGACCGGCCTTTTCAGATTGACATTTCTACGCATTTTAAAGAACGACGCTGATCTACTGTTCGAAAAAAGCGTAAGATTTTGAGAAATGTTTTCAGATCTTACCTTTTCATAAAAAACATTTCAATATGACATATAAAAATCACAGTAAAATCATTATAGTGAAATGGCCGCTATAATCACATATTTACCTACTTTTACCAATAAAAGTCATTATTAAATTGACAAAAATATTTTTAGCCAGAACACAAGCAATCAGTGGAAAAAGCCTTGAACAAACTTAAAATCGACACGTTACGAAACAAACGGACATCAAAGATCTGCACTATACTATGACTATCACACATGTACAACACACGATCTCACTAAACCTTTCACAATTTTATATTCCATGCAAAAGTTATTGAATAAAACTCAAAATTTACTAAAAATAAGCGTAAAATATCTTGAAAAAAACATAAAAAAGCTGTTAAAACTAATTTAAAATAACATTTTAAGCACTTCAATGAGAAATACAATTTGTGAAAATAACTTTCAATACATCGTATCACCATTCTACATAAAATGTTTGGAAAACAAGCAAAAATAGCATAGAACAATTGTTAATAATCCACAAAACACAAAAATAAAACAAAAAAGCAACACAAACACAAGGTAGCATAGTGAATTAACACAATCACATCAACACACATCCATAAAATAGTCCAACTATAATTATTTTATTCAGCTATTAAAATATGTTAGAAAAAATACAATTTATACAATCTATACGATATAAAGTTACAAACACTCGTAAAATTTTTAAAAATTTAAAAAAATTGAAAAACTTTTGCAAAAGTTACAGTTCCCTCGTATGGCAATGTTATCCTTCGTATATCCTTATTCGTGTTTCTTGAGGTACTCAACCAGCTCTTCTACATCTTCCTTCGAGCCCAAAAATATGGGAGCTCTTTCGTGAATCTTTGTCGGTTGGATGTCTAAGATTCTGGTCTTGGCATCCTTAACGGCCAGACCACCGGCGTGTTCCAAAATGTAAGCCATTGGGTTGCATTCGTACAGCAGACGAAGCTAAAATGACATCGAGTAAACACAAAAATAAAAAATAATCTGTCATCAAAAAAAATATCCAAAAGTAGCTAAAACACTTTAAAAACCTATAAAATCAAGAAAAAACCAACCTTCCCATTTGGTGCATCAGAAGTTGCGGGGTACATGAAGATACCTCCGTAGAGCAAAGTCCTGTGTACATCTGCGACCATAGATCCTACATAACGTTGTCCCATGGCTGACTTCCCTTGTTCTGGGTGTTTTCTTGTGTGGACATATTCACTGACTCCTTTCGACCATTTCTTTGCGTATCCTTCGTTCAAAGAGTAAATTTTACCTTTCTTTGGACATTTCATGTTAGGATTGGTCAGAATAAACTCTCCAACACTCTGAAACCGTAAAACTTATAATAAAATAGAACAAGGAATCAACTACCACCTTAATATACTCGTCTAAAACACGAAAAACTCCAATATATATTATCTTATAGTTAAAAATACCGTAAAAACTTAAAAAAACCTACGGGATCAAGAGTGAAGCCATGAACACCATCCCCAGTGCCCAAAACAACCATAGTAGCCGAACCATACAAAGCATAACCGGCTGCCACCATGTTATCTCCCTTCTGGAGAACATCTTTCAGATCGAACGGTCCATCGTCATCTGGTCGCTTGAAGATACCAAAGATTGTGCCAATTGATACAAGACAATCAATATTGGAAGAGCCATCAAGAGGATCAAAGGTCACAATATACTTGCCTTCACGGTTGGCGTCCACCATTATAATCTGGAAAAATTCACTATAAAATCAAATTTTAAACAGATACTTTGTTTACAACACCAATTTTCGAAAAACCATTATTATACTACTACAATATACTAAATATTTGCTAAAAACGCCACTATAACATATAAAGCATATAAAAAATATTCTTTTCCCGTTACTTACCTCATCGTTTTCTTCCGAAACCATAGCACAAACCGAGTAAGATGACTTGAGCATGTTGATCATGAGTTCGTTACTCAAAACATCCAACTTCTTCACATCCTCGCCTTGAACATTCGTGTTACCAGCAAATCCATATAACTGAGCCAGACCGGCTTTCCTTACAGCAGTTGAGATCGCTTTTACAGCTGTTAACAACGACGACAACAAGGCGGTCAGATCTCCAGAAGCATTAGGGTGCTTTCGTTGTTCTTGGAGAACGAATCTCTGAAGAGTCATGGAATCCGTCTCGATTCCGTACGTTGAGTCAGTCATGATGAGGTCTGAAATCAACAATTATCAAAATTTTATAAATATGAAAATAAGCGTATTTTAATATCATTTACAAGTCATATGCATAATAAAATGAGAAAGAAATAGAGATATAGACAAAAAAAACTAAGAAATTTAAAATTTTGGTCGAAAAATCAAAAAATTCACGCAAAACCGTTGTAATTCCTTCCAAATCATGTTTATATCCACAAAACTTTCCAAAAAGATACTACATTACATGCTCTACAATCCCCATACCTTCATTACTTTAGTAAAAATAAATAAACACAAAGAAACGTTCGATTCGTCGTTCCATTTTTAATCCCCCCCCACGTGCTTCGACCGAAAAAAGCAAAGTCTCCGTGCATTTCCCCATCCCGCTCGTTTTATAAATGCCAGTTCTTTCACCTCGAAATGACCACAGACCCCGAGCTCAAAGAACAGCCAAACATCATGTTTCACAATATTGAGGAAGCGACATAGACACATAATAGGTGTGATCTAGATCAATGTTATCCTTCTAGTTTCATAGTACGAGTTCTAACAGCAATAGAGTTCTTTATATATTAATATTAAGATTCTTTAAATCTTCAAAAACAATTTTTTAACTATTTGTCATCATTTTTGAATATACCACGCATAATGGTGACTATAACATGATATATACAACATAAATGATAAAAACTCAGCCGAAAACAACTTTTACTAGATATGTAATAACTAGTCCAAAACTTCCTCATAAACTATCATATAATAACCTGAAAAGTAAAAACTAACAGAAAACTCCAAATAACATTAAACCACACACCATGGCATGTAACACATCATCCAAAGTTCTATTTTAAATAAAAATTACAAAATATCCAATGACAGACTAAACTATCAATTTCATAACACCAAAGTTAATCATTAACTTCGTATCATCGCATGAAACCAAGGCAATGTTGTGTTTTTCGACAACATTATCGATAATATCAGTTTATGAGAAGATAAACAAGGTTAGTGGGGTCAAAGAACAACTTTCGGAGAAAAAATTGTTGTTTACATTGCACTGTGTAATAGACTATAAAGTGGACTTTTATTTCAGGATGTGTTCAGCAAAAAATAAAGGGTTTTATTAAAGAAACCTTAATTTTAGAGTTGTGAATGAGATAGGATAACATATTTATTAAATCTATATATAAAATTACTGACAAAACTAACAAAATAGCTATAAACTAGCCTAATATTACAAAAATGACATAAAATAAACAAAACAAACACCTTTTCACAACCAAAAAGCGCTCTAAAACAAGGTTTATTAAGCACCAAAAGCAAAACAAAATCAAGAAAGTAATTATAAAATCAAATAAGAGCAAATAACAAACCCACAATCAAAGCCTTCCTCTAGAAAGTCAACTAAAACCCAGAGGATACGAACTTCGGCCGTTTCGCGAAAAATTTCGGTTTATTCTAAAGCTCTCTTGGCTTTACTTGTTTTCGTTTCGGGACTCTATCTCTAAATATACGAAATGCCAAACGGTGATGAGAATCACCGCAAGACAAAAGAAAAAGGAGTGCCATTATCAGGAATAGGGATTCAAAGTTGTTAACCTAGTAGCTATTGAGAAGAAGTGAAGCTTCGCGCAAAAGGCAATGACGGGAGAAGATGGTCGAGAAAGGTGATTGAATGGGCTCCGTCAGGCAAACGATCAGTTGGCAGACTAAGAATGAGCTGGTCTGATGAGTTCAGGAAGTCGAACAAATTGGGCAGAAACATCCATTTGATTACGCAAAATTATAAAAAGTAAGAAAACACGGTTTACATTTTATTAACCTCTATCAAGGTGATATTACAATAATTAAAACATTCGACCCGATATGTTAACGTAGAAGAAAGGCACATTGTGTCGAATCATTATGCAAATTGTAAAATTGGATTATTTGTGGTTTGACTCGGCAGTCTTAGTAACCCGTAAAAGTCCTGGTTGAGAAATCCATTTCATTAGGTAATCTATGCACTCCTCCACAAGTAAATAATTCACATCCAGCAACTACAATTGGAGCGTATTCTGGCAGCAACCAACTATTAAATGGTACCGTTTGCTGCCCAAATCTGATTTTGTTGTGTTGTTTTACATATTCCAGATCGATTGTGTAGAATGTGGATGTTAAGAATACGTCTGTGAGAACTCTGTGAACTGGCACTAACATTTGGAGTTCCAATAAGCGGTCCAAGGGAAAGATACCTAAAATGCTTCGTCATCAAATAGAGTTTATTTCGTATAAAGAAGGAAACATAGGAAAACTTGGTTTTTGAGGTTTCTTGACAAACCCACGCTACACAATTTTTTTTAAATACAACCGCAATTTGTTCTATACAGTGCACTGGACATACATATTTCATCAAAAATTCATATAACGTTTAGATGCTGTTAATCTTTATACCCATTTTGCAAAAAAGTAAAAAAACGTTCTCTATTAACCTACCATGCTGTACATCGCCACAATTTGTGTCTTCAGCCAACGGTAAGTAAGCAGAATCTTGAATCGGTCCACCTCTTGATAAGAGGTATAACTGATACATCGAATTTAACAGCCGGTTCAAAAACTCTTCATCGTTTGTTTGATACCGTATCTTAATGCTCTTGTACATACACGCACCTGGTCTGTAACATAAATGACCACCCCTTCTACCAGAATAACACTGTTCCGTAGGATGATACTCTGAAAACCATTGCATAACATAAGCGTAATCATCTGGAAATAAAGTCATATTTCGTTGGTCTTCTGTTTTCTTTGCAGTATCGTGCCAAGCAAAGTGAAGTGTATTAGTAAAGTCAGCATGCTGGCTGCCAATCTCGCAAAAACTGTCTTTGGAATCCTGAAAACATTGAAAAGCTGATGCAGAACCATGATTCTTTATTGGTTTTGGGTAACTCGTTGTTAATTGTTGCCTGCTTTCCGTTGGACGACCAAGACATAGACGTGTTACAGGTATGATCGGCTTGGCCTACAATAATATTATGTATTAACCTTGCTCGGTTTTAGTAATAAGTACCCGGCAACACCTTTACCAAAATATAAAACCCTTGCAATGAAATACAAGGTTACCACCCAGAGAAACACACGGAACTTTTCAAAGAATGACTCAAAGTCTAGAAGACTTCGCCTCTGCTCCAAATGTCCCTTTGATCTAAATGCAATATTTGTCAACTTTAAAAATGAAAATAGTATGCTTATACATTTTTATAAAAAATAAGCCATTAGCCAAACATACATTAAAAAAATGATTACTAGCAATACCATAGCTAAACAACCGTCGTAAATACTGCGAATCAACGCAAACTTTAGTGCAATCTCGTGGCCTCGATACAATTATAACTCTATCAGTAGTACGGCTGTTAGCGTAAACAGTAGGTGGGAAGCAATCCGGGTTTTCTATCTGAAAGAAAAATCATAACTATGTCTATTCGTGCTAATTTTTAGGCGAATTTTCATGTCCTTTAAAGGACACTTCTATGAACTTTGAAAAGAGGAAATAAATGAAATGAAATACGCTAATAGTATAAAAATAAAAGAAACGAAATGCTAGTTTACCGTTATTGCAGTGCTTGTAGCATACTTGAACGTTTCGTCCGAAAATGTAATAGTGTAAGCGTCTTGGAAAACATCAATTGAGTTTACGTATGATTGACCACCAAACAACAGTAATCTATTGCTATCTAGTACGATTAGCGCTGCAAAAACTCTCGGACTTGGTGGGTTTCTGTAAAATAAGAAACAGTAAAATAATATGGCTATAGGCAATGTTCAAAAAAGACAAGACAGGAAACCGTTGTTATTAAGACCATTTGTAAGAAAATCCCTTGCAATGCCGCACGGTAATTACTTAAAATTTTTAAAAGATTTAAAAAAGACTTACAAGGGAAAGGCAAATAGGAGGGACCTAGAACTGAGACCTTAATGATTTGAAAGAGCGTGAAAAGTTATGTAGAAATTAAAATTTTTAGCTGCCCAATTTCATATACTAAAAAGTTACAATAATTCAAAGTTTACTATTTTCTAATATGTTTCAAAGGGTCCTCCTGTGGATTTTATTGGAAAAAATTTAAAAAATTTTTTTTCTGTGTTTTGTTCTGCAACTTTAAAATAATCTTTCTAAAGGTCTGTGTTGTAGGTCCACTCGGCCACCACAAAACTCAACGTTTAGCTCTCCTTGTGGCGCTTTCTTTGAGTGTGCCATAATAAGAAATCTGATAGGAAAAACTTTATATTACTGTAATTGTTTAGTAGATGAAATTGGGCAGCTAAAAATTTTAATTTCCACATAACTTTTCACGCTCTTTCAAATGATATAGGTCTCAGTTCTAGGTCCGATACCCCCCTATTTGCGTTTCCCTTGTTATACGTGCAATTTTTTGATAATTTTATTGATAAAGCGCCGTCCGTCTACCAGAGTTTTTAGCCCGTCCGGCTAAAAAGGAAATTGGAACCAAATGGTTGGAACATCAGAAATTAATAATAAAAAATGGAACTAAACCTACAATAATTCTACCGCTTGAACTGCCATAGTATCTGGAAAGTAAATGAACATGCGATTAGTTAAGTCATTAGTCTCTGTAAGTCCTCCAAAATAAATAACTTTGTCATCCATTAAAACTGTTGAATGGCCTGCTGTATTCCGAATAAAGAAGTTGGGTGTGCTTTTGAAAACCTACAAATTTGTTGAAACGACATAAAGGAGGTTTGTCTGGTATGACAAGTAACGCAGAACCAAATAAAAATAATTTTAAAAATTCTAAGCGCCATACTTGCTTATCTATATGGTAGTATTAATAAAAAATTCTAAAAATTTTTAAAATGTTCTTTTACAACAGCGTACCTTTTCACGCCAAGTCTTTTAAAACGCTTCGTACTCATAGCACGTTTAATTTTGAAATAATAAAACTATATCATGTTATGTTATTTCAACTTTTTAGTTTATACGCAAACATTTTCAGTAGCTGAATTTATTTGGTTACGACAAAAAACATAAATCAAACTCTAAAGATTTTAAAAAAAGTTAAATCAAAAAAATTACCCTGGTCTATTTCCGAGAAGTAACATCAAACACATGAATATAAAAACAATTCGCAAACTCATAATAAGTAATCCCAAACAAGATTAATGATTCTTTATAGGAAAAAAATCCGTTCCATGAGGTCTAACAAGTTGAGAACACTGGTATTTTTCTCGATACCATTTTCGTGTTTTCTACAATTCTAATGTATTATTTTTTCGTAAAATTATGTATGAAGTCGTTAGATAAGTCGGTTCTACTGGTATTTGAATTTATTTGTTTATGTTTGTTTATTAAGCCTACGTCGAGTTACGGCGGCACTAATAACACGTCTCAGCTGTCGCAAAAGCGATTAAAAACAAGTTAACAAATCAACATATTTTCGTAAGATTGAGGACAAAGAAAATTGTCCAAATAGTCTTTGTCTGACTTTTAACTGTTTTTCTATTTTGTAAAATCATCAGTCTTCCATTAAAACCATATTGTGGGAAGTGATCCCAAAAACTTTGCTGCTAATAAATTCTGTTACAGTAAACTAATAGTTTTCGATATTAAAACTAAAGCTTATTTAAGCACATGGGGGCTCATTTGTCGCAGTGAAATAAAACTGTAGGCGCCAATACTAGCACTTCTAGTACTATTTTGTCCCTTTGAGGACAATTGAACCTATTATAATATAGGAATAATTTCTAGTAATATTATTAGTATTATTTACTATAAAAATTACTAGAATCGACTACAAACTAGTTTTACTGTTGTTGTTGTTGTCATACTCAGGAATTTGGTAACTGGTGCCATTTGCACGTGGATCAACGACTTGGTGGTAACAAATCCGTGGTACTAGACTTTTGCACAGGCCAGTTCCCCGGGAAGAGTTTACTACGTTAAAATACAAAAAATATCAGTTTTGTAATTATATATTATCTTTCCTTATAATTTAACTTTTACTTTTTATTGTAGTATTTAAATCTTTTACGTTTTTACACTTTAAGGGTTTGGTTTTGATTTACATTTTACTGTTGTTTTGTATTGCTGTTATTGCTGTTATTACTGTATTTTTTTGCTTTTCTATCATTTTAAACAACTGTAAAACAAAATAATCGACAAAATATTCAAAAAGACTAAAAAAGATCAAAAATTATAAAAATTAACCAAAAGATAAAAAACGAACGATCCTGAAGTATTAAAAGAATAAAGAAAAAATAATTTTCTAAAAGAAGAGATGAGTTACAGAAGCAGCACAGGAGCTTATCGAAAAATACTTGGCCCAGGTTTGGCCACAGCAAATAAGTTGGTAGCAAAATACAAAGACTTCAACATAGAAATTAATAGTGCAGAAACAAACCTAGAAAATCAGATCAGAATTCAAGGAATTCTTATCGAAGTAGAAGCCCTACAAAAATCCACAGAGAAAAAGTTGACTCAACTAAGTGGGATTAATCAAGAATGGCGTGATCAAATTAAAATATTGCCTCAAGAAGACCATGTTGAAGAAGATAAAATATTCATAGATTTCGACGACAAGACTTCTATGACAGCCACTATAGAGCAACTAGATACTTGTCTGACAAATCTAGATGCTTACCTACGAACAGCTAAACATCTTCTTGACTCCTTGGCCAGAACAGATACTCCAGTAGTAGTACAACAACAAACTCCTGAATACTTTCAATTAGCCAAATTGAAGCTGCCGAGATTTAATGGCAAAGGAGACTGGAGAGAGTTCGAATCAATTTTCGAAGAATCTGTTGTAAAGAATCCTTCAATGAGCAAGGCTACAAAATTCAGATATTTGGCCGACGCTTTGACTGATGAAGCAAGGATGTTAATCGTACCAGCTTTTCCCCAATCAGGCGAAAACTTCGATGCAGCATATGCTGCTCTAAAAGAACGATATGGTACGGAAGAGGCACAAAAAAGACATCTGGTCGAAGAGCTCTTATCAATGAAAAAACCCAATGATACGAATTCAGAAGTAAAAAATTTCCTCCAAAGTGTAGAAAGTTTGTGTTTAAGGATGGAAGCAATTCATGTCGATCCAAACAAATTAGAAACAAGATGTGCAGTAGAACGCATACTACCGGGAAGACTCAAGAAGGAGGTAATGAAAGCCAAAATTATGGCCGATCATTGGGACACAAATGAGTTGAGGAAGACACTGAAGTTGTTGCTACGACTCGAATTAGAACTAAATGACAGTAAAGATAAAACTAGTCAACGTTCTACTTTAACCACCCAGTCGAAAGGAAGCTTCAACAAATTCGATTGCTTGTTTTGTGGTAGTGATGACCACAAAACAAGTTGGTGCAAAAAATGTAAAACGCCGAAACAACGGCAACAAAGAGTGAGAGACCTGAAAAGATGTCTAGGATGCTTTAAAAGCATTAAACACAATTGTGGCGCCACGTGTAAAATATGTCATAAAAAGGGGCATCATTATATCCTTTGTTATAACAACAAGATTTACGAAGGACAAAATAAACAAAAACAAAATAATTGGAACAAAAGTCCAAGAAAAAACAAACAAACAAACTTCACCGATAATGAATCGGGAGAAGACGAATCGGAAAGAACGGCCATTTTCGCTCAAAATATGAGCTTGGCAACATTATTGCCAACATTAAGAATAAAAATTTCTGATCCAAAAAACAAAAAAGGATCAGCTATTGTCAATTGTTTAATTGACAGTTGTGCCGACGATTCGTACATCACAAAAAGACTGGCAAAACAGATATCGGTGATGACTACCGACAAAACCACTTTAATTACTTCAACTTTTGGGGGAAGGAAAAGCGAAGAAAAGGCGGAAGAAGCCACGGTAACTCTGGAATCGCTGGTATCCAAAGACAAGTTGACAACAAAAGTAATTGTGGTAAAAGAAATCTCTGGCCAGGTCAAAAGAATGAAACAGATTAATTCTGTACAAAAAATCGAAAAGGTACAAATAGATGCGCTTCTCGGTGCAAATATTTTTGCAAAAATTTGCAATTTACCAAAAAACAAATATGGATTTGCAAGCCTGAAAACAACATTTGGTACAGCTGTACTTGGGACTGGATCCACCCAAAAAGAGTCTGATGAAAGTTGTAAATTTTCATTTGTTACCCAAGCTGAGAAGACAAATGAAGAGCTTAAAAAGATATGGTCTTTCGAAGCCATTGCGATTGACGGAAGTGATTATGGCCTAAAGGTTGAAGACGAAGTATTCAAACGATTTCTCGAAACACTCAAATTCGAGCAAGGCCGATATCAAGCGAGATGGCCGTGGAAAATACCCCGCCAATTCGTCGCTGAAAGCCGCAAATTGGCTCTTGGGAGATTAAACAGCTTATACAACAAGCAAAAGGGCTCAAAACTTTGGGATGAGTACGATAATATAATCAAAGATCAGATTGAGAAAGATATTATCGAAGAAGTCACCGAGGAAAAAGCCAGTGACGGTAATTGTGTACATTACTTGCCTCACTTGGCGGTTGAAAGACCTGAACATTCGTCAACTAAAATACGCATCGTCTTTGATGCATCGGCTGGAAAGTACAGCCTTAATGATGCGATGGAAAAAGGACCTATGTTGGTACCATTACTAATGGGTATACTGTTGAGAGTAAGAACAGGCAAATACTTATTAGCAGGAGATTTGGAAAAAGCTTTTTTAGCCATTGAGCTTCAGAAAGAAGCCAGAGATACGACAAGATTTTTGTGGCTAAAAAACCCGAATCTACCGCCATCACCAGAAAACTTGAGAGTGTTCAGATTCAAAAGAATTGTTTTTGGTAATCGAAGCTCTCCGTCTGTTTTGGCTATGACGCTAAAACATCTCGTAACTGAAAAGGCTCCGAGCTTCATTCAAAAAGAACTCGACGAGAATACATATGTTGACAACACAAATGTTCAGGCAGAGACAGCTGAAAGACTGTTTGAGAAGTATGAGGCACAGGAAGAACTATTTGAAAGTGCTTCTATGAAAATCGGAAAATTCGCTACAAATTGTGAAGCCGTCAAGAAGAAAATTCCGAAAGAGGAACAAGAAGAAAAAGAAACGGTTTCCATGCTTGGATTACTTTGGAATACAGTAGAAGATACTTTGGAAGTAAAAATTCCCAAAGTACCTACAATTTACACAAAAAGAGAAGTGTTAAGTAGGTTACATGGGATATTCGATCCCATGGGCTTCGTTTGCCCGGCTCTTCTCCCACTAAAACAGTTACTACAACAATTGTGGCTAAAAAACTTAGATTGGGACGAGGAATTACCAATAGAAATGAAAGATCTGTATGATCAATTCAGACAATCATGGGCAAACTCAGAAGCTGTAAAAGTACAAAGACATGTACGAATTGAAGAACAAAACATCCTCCACGGCTTTAGTGATGCTTCTACTAAAGCTTATGGATGTGCCATGTATTTGAATGGCAAATTGATTCTGGCCAAAACACGAGTTTATCCAACAAAGATGAAAGTTCTCGTGCCCAAAGGTGAACTTTGTGGCTTACTAATTAATGTGAGAGCTCTAAAATTCATCAAAACGCAACTAAATATACAAAATTGTAAAATGATTGCTTGGACGGATTCAACAGCTGCCCTAGGTTGGGTATTGGCCGAAGAAGACAGCAAAGATGTCTTTGTGAGAAACAGAGTTCGCGAAATCAAACAAATTCAAAAAGAATGCGAAATCGAAATACGCCACGTGCCAGGAGAACTTAATGTGGCTGACAAAGCTTCTCGAGGATGTTCAATTAATGAATTAATGAATGACAAGTCATGGTGGAACGGCCCTGAGTTTATACATGATTCAGAAGAAAATTGGCCAAAGAATCCACAAGAAGTCAAAGTTATCGATGACTTGAATGAAGAAAAACCTCGAGTAATTGTTCAAACCTTTTTGACTGTTAAAGATGAGATGGAGCCAGAAGTTGTCGATTGTATTCGAAAATCAACTGATTGGAAAAATGCTCTCTCCAATCTTTCAAAAGATTGTCAAAAAAGTCAAGCTGAAGCGACAAAGCTGTTGATCAAATGTGGTCAAATTGAAGACGGTGAACCATCAAAAGAATTGCAATCAAATCTCAATCTCTTTTATGACAAAAATAAAATATTGAGATGTCAATTCAGAGTTCAACCTACAATCAAACACTATTACTTGCCAAAAAACTCGATGATTACAAAATGGCTGATAGTGTATATACATGAAAAAAATGGCACACAGTGGCATCAATCAGACTTTGAGTACTGTCAGACAAATCGGTTGGATTCCTCAAGGCAGAAGGACAACAGAAAAAGCTTTAAAATCTTGCGTCCAATGCCAGACAGAAAAGGCAAAGCCGTACAAATTGCCACAAATGAATGTGCTTCCAAAAGAAAGAACAGAAAAAATTATACCTTTCGAAAATACAGGCCTCGATTTTGCAAGTCCTTTTATTTTGAAAGGCTCAAAGGAAGGAGACGAGAAGAAAGTATACATCTTACTCTTCACATGTTTGGTTACAAGAATGATTCACTTGGAATTAACAGAAGACATAACAAGTAAAAATGCATTAAATGCATTAATCCGATTTGTTAATCGAAGAACCAAACCCAAAGTTCTGTTATCTGATAACGGAACTCAGCTGAAGGCAGTCTTCAAAGCCTTTCCACAATGGTTCAACGATGAAGCCATTAAATGGAAGTTTATTCCAGAATCGGCACCAGCTTTTGGCGGCGTTTACGAACGTTGTGTTGGAATAACTAAAAAGGCATTAACAAAGATGACTGGCCACAGCCGAATGTCCGCAGAGGACTGGAGAACGACAATAACAGAAGTCGAAGCGATTGTAAACTCGCGACCCCTGTTGTATTCTTCAAAAGAACCACAAAAAACTATCAGGCCGATAGATTTTTTGCTGCCAGATGTCGTTCTCGGCCTTCCTCAACTTGAAGACATGGAGGAAGAGAATCCGGAAGATGAAGACTATCTTCCAATCAAATTGAAAAAAGACAAATTAGTAGATGCCTACAGAGCAAAAGTTGCACGAATCAATGAATTCTGGAAGGCTTATCAAACATTGTATTTCGATATGCTACGAGAAAAGTCCAGATGGCATCACAAAGGCAAAGGTATCGAAAAGGAGCCAAAACTTCACGAAAAAGTGCTTATTCACGAAGAAAACAAAAAATAAGTTACAGTGGAAAAGCGGCTTTATTGATGAACTTATTCGAAGCTCAGACAACAAAATTCGCTCGGCGAAAGTGTTGGTCGATGACAAGATTTTTACTCGACCAATAAACAAATTATATCCGTTAGAACACGAGGTTAACAATGGATCAGAAGCCGAGACGGAAACAGAAGCTTTAAATGAAGATACGCAAAACAAAGCATCTACACAAACTCAAAAAACAGATGCTAACAAAGTACAACAAAAAACGAGAAAAAGTCCAAGATTTAACAAATTAACCCTCGTTACTATGATTATGTTATCTTGGCTGGTTTCAGTAACCAATTCTCAATCGATCCATCCAATTTTGTGCCCAGTCAATAGCACAAAAAGTTATTGGCATAGACCGAAAGCTATCGAATGTCCGAAAATTGTAGACAGAATGCAAAAGGAGAACGGAGAAGAAAAAACTTTCCAGATGTTTAATATAAACAAACAGATCTACTCGGATGACGCATTTCTTTGTAAAATGACAAAACGTGTCGTTACGTTTTATACCAACTTGATTGGTGATCAAATACGACAAAATGACGTTACGACTATCGAAAAGATCGATGAAGAAAAATGCAGAAATTTGATTTCACATAAAGAATGCGAGGTCGGAAAGTTGGGCGAGGATGGAAACATATGGCATACAAACAATGTCGTTAAGCTTGATTACCCAAATCGATTAAAAAGCTTATTTGGGGTGTCAATTCAAACCGTTAAAAATTGTTACCTTGTAAAGACTAAAATACAGGCAACACATCAAACACAAAATATTGACACTGTTTTGGGAAGTATGACCCACTGTGCGTACTTAAGTGGCACGTGTCAATTACCAGACGGCGAGTTCATGATTTGGAAACCGACAGCTGAACAACGTTGCGATTATCATATGATGATTACAACAAGTGGCATGTTATACGGCTCCAATTTCATTGACGACAAAAATCAAATAGCATTGACTATTACATCTGAGAAAAAGAGATCGAACTGTTATAAAATGTTAACGGTAACCGAACAAGGCTTTTTATTGAAGGAAGTAAAATATGCTGAAAGTAATCGCGCTAATACGACTTGGTCTAATATTGCGGCCAAAATTCAGTATGCCAATTTTAAAGCTGTTGCCTACGATGATCGAATCGTCAACAACGCGCTGACAGCTATTTGCCACACCATTAATGAACATGCAAAACTGATCGAATATGTAATGAGATCGAATCCTACAGATGTATTCAGAAGCCTTCTAAACAAAACAGTTATCGCTAAGGAAGTAGCTGTAGACATATTTGAATTACAAAATTGTCATCGATTAGAAGCAACTGATTATGAAGTAACAAGACTAGACCATTGCACGGAATTAATTCCGTTAAAAATGAAAATGGCAACGTCCAACTCCGTACTCTTCTTAGATCCAGTAACGATGAAACTTCAAAGGCAGTCAAGAATTGTTAACTGCAATTCACCTCCCAGAATCGTAAAGCTCGGAGAGAAGACAATGCTTTATTATCCTACTGGCATTACAAGAACAGTCGAGTTGAAATCTGTAGCCGAACCACAATCGAATTTAACCTTTCCTGAATACCACTTTTCGATGAAGTCAGTTGATCTTAAAGAGATCGAGATGTCGATCCCATTATCAATTATTGGAGATCAGAATCGAGAGGAAAAGGTTGTCGAGATTACTCAAAATCAAGTGGTTATAACTGAAAGTAATCCTCAAATGCTTTCAATGCTGGCCAATTATTTGAATAGTTGGTGGCTGATGATTTGGAGACTTTATGTGTCCTTAATCACAGTAATAACTACAGCATGTTTGATCAAAATTGTGAGTGGCACAATTCAAAGAGCAATAAGTCAAAAGATGAATGTAATGAAGAAGAATGAGAATGAAAATCATGAAGAGCAAAATGAAGTTAATGAAAAGACAATCAATATTTTGCCAAATATTTAGTCGCGCGCCAGTGTCGCAAAAGCGATTAAAAACAAGTTAACAAATCAACATATTTTCGTAAGATTGAAGACAAAGAAAATTGTCCAAATAGTCTTTGTCTGACTTTTAACTGTTTTTCTATTTTGTAAAATCATCAGACTTCCATTAAAACCATATTGTGGGAAGTGATCCCAAAAACTTTGCTGCTAATAAATTCTGTTACAGTAAACTAATAGTAGTCGATATTAAAACTAAAGCTTATTTAAGCACACAGCCAACATCGTCACTTATAAAAATGGATGGTACAAACTTTTCAAAAATCAATCGCCTCAAAATCTTACCATACAAAAGTAATACAAATCATCCAAAAGCTCTCGATTGGCGGAAACCCCACCAAAAACATAAATGCGATTTTGGGACTCATGGTAACACATAGCATGGCCGTATCGTCCATCAAAATCTATTTGACATTCTTCGTACCTAAATTTATTTTTTTAAAAATCTTTTTTAAAATAATTTTCGCCCAGGAGAAGACGGGTGATGAAAAATTTCAAAAATCTTTTAAAACCGCTCATTTTTGACCAGAGATGGTGCATTGTCATAATATTAAAGTTAAAAAAAATACCCTTGAAGAACATGCTTACCAACGCAACCTTTCCGACTTCTTAAATTTTATGGATCTCTGCCTGAATATTGGTACAACTTCCTGTCTCAACCTCTTGTTAATTAAGCTCAAACTGAAAATATCCCCCATAGATAAATAATGAGAAATATGCTGCAGCACAACGTACGGAAGATCATCAAGATTTGAACGTCTCTGTTCCTCCATTTATACTTACTAAAATATATATATAAACGTAACAACAGAATTAAGAATATGTTTCAAACAAGAGTCGACGAAAACTGTTCATTTACAACGAAAAATATATGTAATTTCAGTGTAAAATGCTGGTTTTTAAAAATTAACTATGACCGTAATTTGCACTTTTAAAACTCAAAATTTTCCATAAAAAATGTACAAGTCTGTTCTACAACTGTGCCAAATTCGGCATTTTTAGTATGCATAATTGCAAAGTTATGAATTATTTCTAGCGACCTAATTTCTCGGGACACCCTGTAAACATTGTCCATATATTTCAGTAAAAAAAGTAACCCCCCCCTCTTAAACGACGTCCCTGTGTGGTTCATTAAACAACCGTATTATAAACCCACAAAAATTAATCTATAACAATAAAAGACGCTACACTTGCGTGTGGATTGACTTGTACCTTAGTTTTGTGTTTAGCAACGCGAACAGAAAACGCCAATTCTTGTCTATAAAACCTTTAAACAAGGATCGACTAAAAGAATAATAAATAAACATTAACAACATAAGGTAAATAACATAAATAACGGAAGCAGCATAAAGTTATTAGCTTACAGTGAAACTTCTGTATAACGAACTCCTCTATATTGAAAATCCTGTATAACGAACAACTTTTGAATCGCCGTTTACACTACACTGTGCTTTTAAAACTCCTGTATAACGAAACGATTTGGAATGATCAGGTCCCCCCCCCTCAAACAGGTCCCCCTATCGATCAGGTCCCCTGCTCAATCAGGTCCCCGCATCGAACAGGTCCCCTCTTTTAAAAAATAAGTAAATTCGGCGGAGGGTTTAGGAGGTTCGGCGGAGACTTTAGGGAATTCGGCGGAGGGTCGGCGGAGAGTTTAGGGGATTCGGCGGAGGTTTTAGGTTATCCACTTGACCCTGGCCTTGACCTTTTCAACCTTGTCCCACCTTACCCATTTTTAACCCTACCCTACCCCTAACCTTTTCAGCCCTATCCAACCTTACCCTTGCCCATTTTACCTTACCCAACTAAACCATAACCATATCATACGATGTCCTGTGGTGCCTACTATACCATACCCATCTTACTAAACATACCATACCAAACTATACCATATTCTACCGTATTGTACCTAACATACCATACCCTACCATAACCTATCCCATCTACCATACCAATCCCTACAATACCGTACTATATTATAACATGCCATACCCTACCATACAATACCATGCCATACCTTCCACATCATATTATACCATACCATACAATACCATATCCTATCATACCATAACATACCATGATATACCCTGTACTACCTAGCATACGAGCCTTACAATACCAAACCATACCAAACTGTGCCATACCTTACCTTATTAAATCTTATACAACACTATTGTGTACTATCTATGGGTGTGGTAGAATAGGTAAGTAAAACAACGTAAATGGAATAATATAGTCAAGTATGGTATGACATAGTATGGTATAATATGGTACGTTATTTTAAGATATAGTATGGTACATGGGATAGGTTATGGTAGGGTATGATATGGTATATAAGGGTAGAGTCGAGTAGATACCTTAAAGTCTCCGCCGACTCTCCGCCGAATCCCCTAAACTCTCCGCCGACCCTCCGCCGAATTCCCTAAAGTCTCCGCCGAACCTCCTAAACCCTCCGCCGAATTTACTTATTTTTTAAAAGAGGGGACCTGTTCGATGCGGGGACCTGATTGAGCAGGGGACCTGATCGATAGGGGGACCTGTTTGAGGGGGGGGACCTGATCATTCCAGACGTAACGAAACTCCTTTATAACGAACATATTTCAAGTCCCAGAACCATTTGTTATATAGGAGTACTACTATTACGTTTAAACAAATTTGCGTTTTTGTGAGCACAAACTAATATATTTTGATGGTTGGTTTACCTATTTTCAATATTTTTTGCGTGTCTCGTATAACTCGGACTTTCTTTTGTTTTGGTAAAAATAAGTCTGAGTTGCGCCCGATATTTATTATTATTTCTTTTCCGCGGCCGGGTGTATACGAGAATTTGTTTTGAAACAATTTTGATAAAAAAATATTGTTTATGAATTCAAGAATCTTTTAAGCTTAAAAATTTTTTTTTTATAATTTGATATGTTATGTTTGCATAATCTGGTTGATTTTGATTAAGTTATTTAAAATTTTGTTATTTTCAGTACCCAATTGAGTTTGAGAGTCAAATATGCTTCGTCTTGCTGTAAGTTTTAAGTTTTATTAGTTTTTATGCTGAATTTAGAACAAACAGTTGTTGAAGTCGTTGAATGGAGCTGTTAGATCCAGCTTGTTTGGAGCTTCACCAAGATTCTTAGCCACTTCGGCCGCTTTGAAACACGGTGTTCTTGGTCCACGTCAAGATGTCCCCAACTTCTCGGTAAGACATAGTTAGTTTTGAAGATACGTATGGCAAGTTATTTTATATTTACTGTTTGGTTACTATGTGTGTTCTGTTGTTTTAGTTAATAAAATGACCTAGAATTAGACATGAGAAACGGGCCGGGCCGGCCTTAAGCAAAATCTAGATCGGGCCGGGCCTAAAAATTAGGGCCGGCCCTTGGAAAGTCGGGCCGGGCCTGGAAAAAAAATTTCTAAATTTTTTAAAATTTTTTATTTCAATCCCCGTTTATGTTTTTAGATTTTATTGGGTTCTATGATCCATAAATGATCTAAAAAACAATTTAAAGCCAATTTTCCGTTTAGTTTTTAAGTTTCAAAATTTTTAAAATTTTTTAAAACGGGCCGGGCCTAGAAATTTTCTGATCGGGCCGGGCTTGAAAATTGGGCCCGGCCCGTTTCTCATGTCTACCTAGAATCATTATGTTAACAATTTTTAGGGGACTGCTGTTGTTGACGGTGAATTCAAGCAAATCTCTTACACTGATTACGCTGGAAAATGGCTTTTACTTTTCTTTTATCCATTGGATTTCACTTTTGTTTGCCCAACCGAGATTATTGCCTTCAGCGATCGTGTAGATGAGTTCAAGAAGTTGGGATGTGAAGTTGTTGCCTGCTCATGCGACTCCCAGTTTTCCCACTTGGCTTGGGTTAAGCAGCCAAGAAAGGAAGGAGGTTTGGGCGATATGAAGGTATGAATTTTATAAATTCAGAGGTGTTTGATAAAATTTTTTTTATTAGATGATACTGCTTTTCTTCTTTTTTACCAGTTTGAGAAAAAATAGGGGTAGTAGATAAATTTTTTAAATAATAAATTGACTAATAACACTGTTTTATCTCAATATGTTTTAGATCCCAATCCTAGCTGACTTCACCAAGAAGATCACGAAAGATTTTGGAGTTTTGGAGCCAGAAATGGGAGTTTCTTTCCGTGGTTTGTTCATTGTTGATCCTAATGGCAAGATTCGTCATTCTTTGGTCAACGATTTGCCAGTCGGAAGAAGTGTGGATGAAGCTCTCAGAATCTTAAAGGCTTTCCAATTCTTCGAAAAGCATGGAGAAGGTTTGTAATGTGTATTTCTTATTAGCAGAATGTTTTTGAGAATAACTAAAAGAAATATGATTGTATATTGCTATTTGCAATTTTTGGATATTATTCATTTCAGTTAGTCGTAGCGTTTACAACTAAAAACCTTACTATTAATGCGGAAACTAATTGAAAAATTTAAATTGTAGCTTTGAATTTTTAATAATTTTATTATTAGTACTTTTCCGTTTCAGCACATTTTTTAATTTTTAATTTAACATCTGGTTTTAGTGTGCCCAGCCGGCTGGGAAGAAGGAGGCGAATCTATTAACACCTCGTCCCCAAAGGAGTACTTCAGCAAAGTTAACAAATAATTTGAATATCACTTTTATTTAGTTGTGTTAGGTAAATAAACGTCTATGAATACGAGGTTCAGCTTGATAGATGAAGGTGTTGAAAACAATATTTATTTTGGATTTATTTTATAAGTTTGGGCATATAAATTGTTCAAAACAATGTGAAAGTGTTAGTTTGTTACGTGATGTAACAAGTATTGTTTGTTCCAAATAATTAAAACTTGTGATTCTCGAAGCATTCACGATATTGTTGTAGGTGGAAAGAAACATTAATTTGTTTCTTTTTTTAAATTTCAGTTTGCTAATTGTTTGAATCTCATTTCTCTTTTTCAGAACGTTTTTTAAAGAAAAACCAAAGAGATCAGCCTTTCTGAATGTTTTTGGTCTTGTGAAATTATTTTAGGTATTACTTTTCGTCCGGTTATATGTTAAAAATTTATCTCTCTAGTGAACGTTCAAATTTATATGTTTTGGGTAGGAACTTTGACCTTTCTAGTCTAAAAATTTGCAATGAGGTGTGTGTAAAGTACACTATTATAAAGTCATTAGAAAGACACAAAACACAATGTTTGAGGTGTTTTAAAAAAGGATAAGTTGTCTAGTTTGTAGTGATGGACGGAATAAAAGTGTAAGTTGTTTCCATTTTTGTGGGAACGGCCTTGGAATTGGAGAGGTGGATGATAAAATCTGTTTTGTCCAAAACAAAACATGAAATCGAATGAATAACAATAATTTTTGGTTTATATGGACGAGTTTGCACTTGTTTCTTGTGGTTTTACATTGTTTTACATTACTTGTTTTTACGTTTTTTTATTAATTATTCTTCTTTCTATTTTATTTTTGCGGGTCTCGATAACTTTTAAACTTTTAATCGTTGTCTTTTACCTAGTTTTTATTATTTTAACTCGTGAAACAGTTGGAAATATTATTTTTGATTTAATTTTTTTTGGTATTAAGTATAATATTGTTTAGATGGCTAAGAACTACGACCTTGTGTTGTTCGGAGCCAGTGGCTACACAGGACAATATGTTTTAGAAGAGTTTGTTCGATCCTTTTACTATGGTAAACATACATTTGCCATTGCTGGTCGAAACCGTGCCAAATTGGAAAAGACACTTCAAACTGTCGGGGACTATACCGGTATGTTATTGTATACTTTTTCAAACCATAGTATAATATATAACAATAGCTTTGAAAAAAGTGTTTGGTATTTTTCTTGGCTTTTAAAATACGTTTTCGTAAGTTTATTCTTATTTTCTTTTTGTTTTTTATTTTCAGGCCAAGATCTGAAGATCCCAATCCTAGTTGCCGATTCTTCCGACTACGATGCTCTACTAGAGGTCACAAAGCAAGCTACAGTAGTCATCTCGGTGGTAGGACCCTTCAGATTGTACGGTGAACTTCTTGTCAAGGCTTGTGTAGAAGGAAAGGCATCTTATGTTGACATTTCCGGGGAACCTTCTGTAAGTTTTGCATAATATTATTTTACTTTTAAGTGTTTTTACTTACGATAGTTTTAAGAGTAAAAATATTGTAACCTTGATTTTAGTTTATTGAGAAGATGGACTACACGTACCGTGAACAAGCGGAACAGAACGGTGTTTACATTATCAGTGCTTGCGGCTTTGATAGTATTCCTTGTGATTTGGGCGTTCAATACCTAAAGGACAACTTCCCAGGAACTCTGGCATACGTGGAGACTGTAGCACAAGGGAGACCAGGTCCCCAGGTAAGGTATTGTCTATTATATTGCTTTTAATTTTATTAAAATAGTTTTGGTTATAAAAAAAACAAGGTTTTATTGGTGCTTATTGTTTAAAATACATTTTTTCATCTATCTTGATGTTTAAGAGTTACAGTACTAAGTTACTAAATAGTTTTATATGAATGCAGTTTCATATTCTAGGGCTACAAAATTAACGATGGAACATACCAAACTATTATCCTGTCGATTGAAAACATGTCACAGGACAATATCAGAGAAATCAGAAAGCAATTGATGCCTGAAAAGCTCGAACGATTGCCATTTAAGGCTCCAAAGCGGTAAGAATTAAAGTTTTTATTGAGTTTAGTTTAAGGAACACTATTTTACTTTATTTGAGTTAAAAGACAATATATATTTGTACTACTTTTCTTACTATATAATACATACATGTTAACTTTATTTTCTACTAATGTTCAGACCACTAGTTTGGAAAGACGAAAGAACCGGCCGTTATGTTCTCCCATTCTTGGGCTCCGACCGGTCGATTGTCATCCGTTCTCAATACAATGATGCCATAGCCAACAAGAAGTACCCGCCGTATGTGGAGACTTACTTTGCCGCACCATCAGCTGTCTGGGCCTACTTGATATTGACCTGGATGGCTTTTGTGAACCTATTGACCAAGTTTGGACCAACAAGACAATTCTTGAAAGACTACCCAGATATCGCCAGTTTTGGAGCCTTCTCGAAGACTGGAAGCAACAGGGCTCAGGTCAAGTCGGTAAGGGTTTAGTTCGTGTTTTATGACGTTTTGTTTGGGTGGGGTGAGCATATTTTTTAAAAATAATTAATTGTTTCCTTTCAGACAACCTTTACCTACTACATTCATGGAACTGGATGGCCTGAAAGTGAACCTCAAGTTGACAAAATACCAAATAGACAACTGACAGTTCGAGTGGACGGACCTGACATGGGTTACATTGGTACAGCTGGATGTGTTTTGTCGGCCGCTCTTACTATCGTCGAAGACAAAGACAACTTGCCATCAAAGTAAGTTTATGTGTAATATAAAAGCGATTTTTTAAAAATTTATGAAATTTTGCAAGACTTTGTGTCAGAATGGACCGTTTTGTACTTCCCATAGAACGTACATTACTTATAATTATGTAAGACACGTTGCATCTTAATTTAACTTTGATTCCAGGGGAGGTGCCTTCACTCCAGCTACCGCTTTTGCCAAAACAAACATTCACAAACGCCTCGAAAGCTTCAACATTACCTTTAAGACTGTGTAATCTGCTAACTTGTATTTTAGAATTTTATATCATCATTGTGTAACACAGTATTATAAATTTACATCTAAATAAATACGCTTATACCGGTAATTTTAACTCTATCGCAACATGTAGCATCACATGCTATTATTTTTAGTACAATATCAGCCGGTTATGTTGAAGTAATAAAAGGGCATTTTGCTAAACTAGTAAGCACTAAAAGGTCAATATTACCTTGATTTATTCCCAAAACAATATAAATAGGGGATGAGCTATGATCAGCGACATTTTATTCGAATTTGATGCCTTGAGCCAGAGGCAGAGTTTTGCCAAAGTTGATGGTGCAGGTGGAGCGTCTCATATATTGTTTCCAAGCATCTGATCCACTTTCACGGCCTCCGCCGGTCTCTTTTTCTCCGCCGAAAGCTCCGCCGATTTCAGCGCCAGAAGTTGGGATGTTAACGTTGACGATACCGCAATCTGATCCGTGGGGGCTGAAATTTTAATTTTTTGAAGTTGAAAATTGAAAAATACAAACGTTTTTTTTTATTAAAAAAAAGCTATTTATGTTGTTTTGGGTACAATAACTTTATAAAAACTATTCAATATATCAAGGTATGTTCGCTTTCTAATATAATACCTACCCAATCCATTTGTGGATGTTTCCAGGATCATTGGTGAACAAACTTGAAGACAATCCCTGAGCAGCTTCATTGTTAACATCAATAGCTTCATCCAGGTTCTTTACCTTCAGCACATATACAATTGGAGCAAAGGTTTCTCTCAGTACAACTTCAGCATCATGTTGAAGGCCAGTGACAATAGTTGGCTGAACATAGTTACCTTCCTTGTTCAACACCTGTCCTCCATATGCCAGTTTACCACCTTGTTTCTGGGCGTCTTCGATGGTTTTTTGATACTTTTTGACTGATTCTGGAACATGAAGAGGACCAATCAGGGTCTTTCCTTCTAGTGGGTCACCAATACGACTATCAAGTTGTTGGTAAGCTTTTACCATGCGCTTCACTACTTCGTCGTAAACTTTCTCATGGACAATTAAACGACGAGTTGTGGTACAACGTTGGCCAGCTGTACCTACACAAGCGAACACTGTAGCTGGTACTACCATGTCCAGGTCGGCATCGTCCATTACAATTAGAGCATTGTTTCCACCGAGCTCTAGGAGACTCTAAAATGAGATTTTTTTAGTCTTTACAATCTAAATTTGCTATAGTTATACTTGTAATGAACTGTAAGATATTTTTATCATAGGAAACACAAGTTTTTATGCAGTTTTAAAAGCTTAGCATAGATCAATATGACAATACACACCTTTCCAAACCTGCTTTGCACAGTTTCACCGACAGTCTTTCCGACCGCCGTACTACCAGTGAAAGACACCAAGTTGACCTTCTTATCCTTGCTCAGCGCTTCTCCAACGTCAGCATCTCCACAAATCAATGTGCAAATGGCTGGATTCATATTGTTCTTGACAAACACTTCCTCGATCAACTTGATCATGGCGATCGAAGTCAATGGAGTTGTTGGAGCAGGCTTCCACAATACAGTATCTCCACAAGCCAGAGCCAACGCATTGTTCCATCCATAAACGGCACAAGGGAAGTTGAAGGCAGAGATGACACCCACCACGCCCAAGGGGTTCCATTCTTCCAGAAGCTTGTGTTTTGGTCTTTCTGATGGTAACACTTTGCCAGCGAACATACGAGATAGACCGACAGCGTAGTCGCAGATGTCAACGTATTCTTGGACTTCACCTACACCTTCTGGAAGGATCTTGCCCATTTCCAGAGATACCTAAAAAAAGTGGAGATTATAATGTGAGTAAGTTACTATCGTTTTTATAATGTAAGTATGTTACTGCCATTTATAAATTACATAGACATATAATGGCTAAAAGCAACAGTAAGTTAAAATACCAATTTGCCAAGATTGTTGATCTGACTTCTCAGTTTGTCTCCAATTTGGCGCACTATTTCTCCTCTTTGTGGTGCGGGTAGTCCAGCCCATTCTTTCCAAGCGGATTTTGTGGCTGTGCTGACACTTTCATAGTCTTTCACGTTTCCAAATTGGACTTTGGCTATTGGTTTGTTATTGGCTGGACTAAAATTTAATTGTTTCTTAAAATTTTTAAAAAATTTGAGCTTTATTTAATTAAAAGATATAATATATTGTGATTTATCATTGTAAAACATCTTGTTTAAATTATTCTAAAGGCTTTTGTTACAGTAAAATACAAAATTTATATTACACTCGGGACCCACCTCAAAGACTCGACCACTCTGCCATTCCCTTTCTTCCATTTTCCGTCGAAAACTCCAGAATTCTCTTCCTGAAGACCCAATTCCTTCAAAAATGAGTATTTTGGATCTTGAATCAACAACGAAGCCATTCTGAATTGCTGACAAAACTTTGTGGACGGGCGCAGAGCTGAGAGCATTCGACTGAAAAGGCCTTGTGTTGGTGACAAAAGTAAGATCGGACTGATGATAATAACCGAAAAACAATACTCTTATCTAATCAACCTTTTCTCTATGTAAATATCGTTGGTTTAGAGTTGGTCAATTGAGAAAAGGTTAAATATATAATGGCATCTTTGTAAAAATATTACATATAATATGACAAAAAGGTAAGGATATAGAAATCATGCGTTATATGATACTGTAGTAAAAAAACTTACACATTACAAGCTTGTATCATTTTGGAACAAAAATCACCAATTTACTAGACTTTTGATGACAAAACAACCAAATTGGCAAATTAACTTTAAAAAATAAAAAAATTTTAAATTTGATTGTTCTACTAACACTACTTTACTTGTCCCAGACATATAAACGTTTACATAACCCTTGAACACTCAACTCTAATGGTCCTCGTGTATAATATTCCCTTATCTGGTCAAGGGCGACCTTCAATTGATAACAACTAAATATGGTCAAAGATCAAAAATGTCATAATTTTCATTTTTTCTATAATTTTTAAAAGTTTCAAACAAGCTTATGTCAATAAGAGTAGCGAATGGGCTTAGGTTAGATCTAAGCTTAAAATAAGCTAAAGTTGAACTTGTCATTACATAAATTATATAAATACAATACAGAACTTTATTTACAATATGATAGTTAATTATTGTTTATCAGCTTAAAACTTCCACGCTGGTCGGCCTGAATCCTTTGAATACTTCTTTCGTACAGATGAGCTTCGGTCTGAGTCTAAGTACCTAAAATCACCAATTGTAATATAATATTAAAATAAATGAGTTACACTTTGTAATCTTCCATGATTTAGTATTGTATATTTAGCACTAGTACCACATATTTAGTACCGTATATTTAGTATTGTATATTTAGTACCAGTATCAAATACCCATTGTAATATTCCAAAACAACCCTTTCAACTTTTACCTTGAAGACATAGAGGAAGTGGATTGCAAGTTAGTATCAATCATTCGTGCCTTTGAAGGTGTTCTTTCTCTCAAACGGCTTAAAAAACTTGGTGATCGTGATCTACTAATATCTGGCTTATCTCTGCAAGTGGGTGATTGTTTATGTGCGCTTTTATACATGCGATAACGGTGACAGTGTCTTTATGTGTACAAACATTTAAAAGTGTTCAATATTACTACTGCGTCAAAGAATATAAAATTAAGCGCTTAAACTTTTGAAAATTAATACTAACTATTTAAAACGTACTCTTTAGACTTGCTGGAGCTTTTGCTTCCTCTGTCGGAGAACTGATGAAATAAGGTGCTGAACTTGCTTTGAGCTTTTTGATAAACACCAGTTGATGTGCTCTAAAAATTTACATTATAACTTATAGTAATTGTTACAATAGAATTTTAGGCCACAATATTCCATCTAACTAGATGAGTTTCTTCTAGATACTTCATAATATTTTCCAAAAATTATTTTCATCGTATAAAATATCCCTTCAAGCTGCGCCCTTCATCAAAATATTTTTTTTTCGGTAAAAAGATGCTTTTAATACTGTATCTTACACTTTCATGTCCTGATAGTAAGTTCTCGTGTCCTCATAAGAATCACGCTTCAATTTCAGTCAAGAACATACCGGTTCATTGGCATGTCGAATAATTTCTTTCATTTCCAGAAGATCGTTCAGACTTTCAAAGTCTCCGTTCATCATTTCACTCAACATCTGGATGATCTCGGATTGAACACGCTGGTTTTCCGTTTCTTCTGGCTCATTTACAACAGTGATATTGGTTTGAAGAGCACATTCACGGACTTGCGGCTTTGGTCTGTAAGTTTAACAAGGTTAATTTGAGGAAAAACTGGTTGAAACTTGAAATTGTATGTTGTTTTAGGCTTACAACTTATTTTATTCAAGTCAAAGAACGAACTTTAATTTCTTTTAAACTTTGTAAACTTACTTTTCTTCTTTAACCTCTTTTTCTGGCCTCTTAACCAACTCGTATCTTTCGAAAAGTTCATGTAATTCAGCTTGACTGATGTCGGCCGCATTGTGGCCCACTTTTCTTAACATTTCGTCTAAAACTTCATCAAACGATCCATGCTGGTACTCCAGCAACTCTTTTAGCACTCGGTTCTTGGCGTCTGCTTGTTTTAACTCTTCTTTTTTCTTTTTGATAACCTCATTTTGTTGATGTTGTTCTTGTTCCTTCATTTCCAATTCTGCTTGAAGATCGCTGAGACGACGATTCAGATTGTGATCGTTGCTGTGATATTGCTCTTGTAGTTCTGCACGAAGTGTTTTGGCTTTTCTGCTCAATTCTTCCACTAGATCTGGAATTTTTAGGTAATAAAATTGTTGATTTTTATTTTGGTTAGATTATTTTGTATTAAATTATCATAAACTAATATTTTTAGACCTACTTACCTTCATTATGCTTTAGCTGTTGTTCCAACTGCTTATTCTTCAGCCTCTCCGTCTCCAGGTCATAAGTAGCATTCTCCAACTTTGCCTTTACTAAGCTCATCTCGCTGTTTTCCAAAGCAGCTCTAGATGATTGAACTGCAGATGATTGTTCAATTAACAATGCCAATTGTTTGTTCTCTTCTTCCAACTTCTGAACTTTGCACATGGCCAAGTTCTTCTCTTCCACAATCGTCTTTACAGCTTTGTCGATGTGTTCCAGTTTCTCAATTACCACCTCAAGTTGCACTTGTCGACTGGTCGATGATTGGGTGAACTCGTTGATCAACTCTTTTTTGAGGACTTGAACACTGACATCTAGAATCTTTTCATCGTCGTCGTTTGAAGGACCGGCTTGGTCGTTGTTTAGGTGTTTACGGATATTGTCAACGCTTCGTAAGGCTTTCATGACATAGGATAGAGAAGGTTCGGGATCGGGCTAGAGATAGAGAAAATGGTTATTGTTGTTGAGATTTAAGTTGTTCATGATACAGTACTCACTCTGCTTACCTTTTCTTTTTCTTCCGTTAACTGATCTTTCAATTCCATAACTTCATCTTCCAAGTTGTTCTTCTGGCATCTTAATACTTCAATTTCTTGTAGCAGCTTCTAAACTCAAAATGTCATATTTACTCATCATAATAATGTGTACTAACACAAATACAAAGGCCATAACCTCATTATATAATAAGATTTACTGAAATTTCAAGAACATACCGCAGAATCCGGTCTAAAAGTTTCAGTACCATCCACAAAGTCCTTCAACGAGTTGTACTGTTCTTCCAATTCATTAAACTTGGTACACAACTCCTTTCTCAGCGTGTGCTCTCTCTGTTCCGCCTGTTCTCTCTCCTGTTCCAGCATCTTTTCATATTGCACCTTCGAGGTTTCTTTTTCTTTTGTCACAGATTCCAAAACAGCTTCAAGAGCCTGAATCTGAGTATTCTGAAGATGGGTCTGACTTTCACTTTGACATTTTAGATTGTCACGCTCGATTTCAAGGAAGTCCACTTTGTTCTTCAAAGCCTTGACTTCGACTTGAAGTTTGCGAACGGTCGATTCCAGACGGGTCTTGGTGAATTCTGCAGATTCTAGAAGTTCAGCCTTCTTGTTGAGTTCTGTTTCTCGTTCACTCAACTCATCTGTGGTCTTGAGGAGCTTTGCGTCAACTTCACGAAGACGCCTCATTGAGGTTCGGAGCTCGGAACGGGCGTTTTCTAACTAAAATTTTAAGTTTTAATGTTTTCTATTAATACTTTATGTGGTCGTTTTTAAGTAACTGGTTCTAAAATGTATTTTAAGTCTTAACAACTTACCTCTTTAGCTATAAATTCGAGTTCATTTTGTTTTTGCTTCAACTTTTTCTGAAGAAGCTGCATCTCTGTTTTGCATGCCGTAACTTCTTCACGACTTTGCATAGATTGTAGCTTCAGTTCATTTACTCTGTCACGGAATTCTTCGTGTCTAAATTAATTTTTTTAAAAAATTTACTATAAGGATATGCTTATTTACAATAAGAACATGACTTTCACTTTTAAAAATATTTCAAAAGTATTTAGCTCATAAATCGTGTAAAATACGTCCCAGCATTTGTCTTACCTGGCTTCCAGTTCTTCCTTCAGATGTTTTTCATGATCTTTTAGAGCTTCTAATTCTCGAACGTATAGCATTTTGGCAGCACTCAACTGTGTTTCATACAACGACTGAGCTCTTCTTAATTTCGTATCAAAAGTTTCACCAAGACGGTCTTTCTCGGTCTGTAAACTTTTTCTTTCGTCCTCCAGGCGTCTGATTTCAATTATGTATCTAAAATCGTAGTGTTCATAGAGGTAAATTATTTCTTTGTGCTGGAAGATCGAAATGCTTTTTAGATCAACTACTGATACTAGAAAACATTTTTTTAATGATTTCTTCTGAGATTTATAGAAAATTTTGTGAAGGTTATTACAATAGGTATTAACGTACTTTTGTTCCAAGTTCAACAATTGACTGCCAGCCACTCTCCTCTCCAACATTTCAATTTCCTTCTGATGTTCTTGCTTCAGGTTCTCCAATGCTTGTTCCTTCTCCTGTTCAAACTGTTCTTGAAGCGCCTGGAAGCTCTTCATTCTAGTTTCAAAGTCCTTCTTTGCTCCGAGAACATCTTCACTTAAGGCGATGATCTTATTCGAATACTCGGCTTCTAGCGTTCTTTCACGTTCGGCTACATATTCACGGTATTCGCTGAACGTTCCCATCACATTAAACTTTTGTCGTTCGTATTCAGCTACGGTCTGTTCTAGGTTCTGGATCTTCTTCCTTAACTCGTTCTCGCGTCCGCCACGGCTTGGACTGTAATTGGCGGAGGAACGGAGAAGAGACATCAGCTTGGTCTCCTCGGGGATTGGACTACGTGCTAGTTGAGATTCTGGTATTGGAGATGTGCCTGAAATTTCTTACAGGTTTTCATTGTTTTTTGACGTCCAAAATTTTAATTTTTTTTTTAATTTTGAAGTTTAAACCTTTCAAAATTATCTACAATGAATTTACCTTGAGATCGATAAGTCAGTGTCTGATTGGATTGATTAGCTTTGTTGTTCAGAGGTTTTGAGAGTACGCGGGCGGCCGGCGGTGGCGCTGGCCATGCTGCGATGTCAGGGCGCGAGTCGAAAGTTCTCGGCGTAGTTGGGGTCTGATCGTCCGGATCTGATGGTCCTGTGCCGGCGTCATTTCTAAAATTACAGCTGCTGTAGATAAAAGGAATGGATAAAGTTTAGTTTGGAGTAAAATTTGGACTTTTTGAGGTACTAGCTAATAAGGAATGGCAAAAAATTAAAAACTTACTTTTGTGGCAAAGGCGAACGGCTAGTTCGAGATTTTTGTGAAGAATGAGGGCTCAATGAGCGAAGATGACGAATGTCATCTAGCTCACTGTTAAGATAGCCGAGCTGGAAAAGTTATTAATTTTTATAGGTAAATTTTGAAATTTCAAATGTTTTAAAAATAAAGGTGTGACACATCAATATTAAGTATAGTAATAGTCTTCGTATGTGTTTTTTACTCTAATAATAGTTTTCGTATCTACTATTACCTTTTCCCTCAACTTTTCTGACATTTTCTACTTTCTCTTTTTCCAAAATATTAACATAGCCAACGGTTGTCGTCAGCCGGACGGCCTAAAACGAAACAAATAGATCCAGGAACAAGAGGTTAAAAATAGAAATCGATAAATTAACCGCGTTAACAATCAAGTATCTTGTGATAGTTTGAGTCTTATAATAGCTTGTGTAATATAGTTTGGTCCAATAAGACAAAGTTAATTGGTTGTAGAACAATGGCAAAGATCATGTCATCATTTTGGCCACAAAAAATAAAAAAAGTGACGTCAAGAGGTTTGATTTGAAGGATTTTACTTCAAGGATGTTTAGTGTAAAAAAAGATAGGTTAGATGCTTGATCTGACACGTTTGGTGGCGATGACAAAACTTTTTACATCGTTTAATACTGTAGAATTAAAAAAGGAAATCATTAAAAAAGATATTATTTTTTCAAGCTTTATGGGAAAGCCAATACTTTACTGTAATATCGATATTCTATAGATTTTTAAGGCAAAATACGCTTAAAAAATATAAGAAGACTATAATTTTCTATACCAAAATTAATTTTTAATCGATAGCTCAACATAAAAGGCATGGTAAATCTATTATAATTAGGTAAAAACCGTAAATTGCAGATTCCTACCCTAAAAAGTAAAAATACGATATTTTACACCAAAGTAAATCCCTAAAAAAGCACCATGACAAACAGATGACCATAACGTACTTCTTATCGAAAACCCCTAAACCAAAATCCATTTCTTCTTTTTTTAAAGAATAAATCGAACTCGACGCCCGAGGGTAAAAATAAAAAGATTGGCCGGTCGGTAACAGTTGTCGTCCTCTTTCCACGAGTTTAACAATATCCATTTGAAAGCGACAAGGTGAAAGGTGCATCATTAACTTGCCCACTTTTATACTGTCATAACAGCAAGTTAAAGGAAGTAAAATTTTTACTGACAAAGCTCATTACAGTACTTTTAGGTACAACTTTCAAAATTAAATTTATTTTTTTTATTTTATGTTTAAAAATTTCGCATAGCATTTCAGGCTTTTTAGAACCCAATTTTTAATTAAAATTATGTATAAATTAATATTAAAAGATATATCAAATTCGAAAAATTAAAAATTGTCACTTGTTTGCCCAAGAAAACACTTTGTAACACTATGCCAAAGCCTTGTCGAAACACGCGCCAAATTCAAAAACCTATATCCCCTTTTTTTTGTTTTCACCCCAGCTTTATATACCACTCGGTTATAATGAACGTCCACCTCTGGGCACCTGATTCAGGACATTGAATCAACAATTGACACGAATTTAAAAAAGTTTTATTAGTTCGAACCGAGTGACAGAGTGGACTTCCGGGCCTAAAAATAACTTTCCCAACTCACTAATACGAATCTCATACCTATAAAATATTGGAATTAACAAACACTGACATTTGTTCAAGGCTTATTGAGTCTTGTTTTCAAAATGACCAGTCGATGGGTCAGTGAAAACACATTTTTTGAGAATTTTTCCATTTTTTTATTTTTTCATTAGAAATTTGTTCAAAATATGAAAAAGAGTGTAAAATAATACATTTTGGAGTACGAAATAAAGCTTTTACAATACATAATGTTTTAAATAGTCGACCCTTTTGAATAACGTCCACTTTACACAAGAAAGTCAGCTTTTCTCGAGTTTTCTTGTTCAGGGGCCATTCGGAAAGCCTTTGAAACATCGCCTCAATAGCGCAGTGGCAGCGCGTCAGTCTCATAATCTGAAGGCCGTGAGTTCGATCCTCACTTGGGGCAGTATCTTTTTGGGGTTTTTTTATAATTTTTTTTATATATAGATAACAAGTCTTTAGGTTTAATAAGTCAAATTCAAAAACAAATGCAACAACTGAACCAATATACTTTCAATGAATATCAACATAACTCTAACAATTTATTCGAACCCATTGAAGTTTGTAAAAATAAATAAGAACACGTATAAAATGAATACTGTATATATAACCAGACGTCAAGAACTGCGATGGATACCATCAAAAGACTTTCCCTTCGAATATGAAAGAATCGCTACGAATATTTTATACAAAACAGACCTTATACAAATTCTCAAGACTAACAACACATTCTACCAAAAAATGCAACAAAACTACACAAAATCAAATTAAAGAGGAACACAGTAACAAAATGGGATACAGTTTGAGATGAACAAACAATAATATGGTCAGAAAGAAGGTAAAAATAAAAAAAAAGTCATTATAAAAAGGACTAAAGACGCCTATATTATGACACAATGAAAGTATATTAATTAAAAATTGGGTTTATAAAAGAACTCTAAATTTATATAAAAATTTGAGAAAAAAAGAAAAAAACTATGTGAATGAAGGGGCTATGGCGGTCCAATTGGTTACAACAACTTGTTCATTACACTAAAATTGGCAAATCATCTCCATAACACACTTGGTCCTATCACTAACATTACACAACAACTTGTAGATCACTTAGTAACTGATGTAGATCATCCAGCAACTGATCACAGTAAAAAACAAAAACAATCATTGTAATACGTCCAGATACCAAAACATCATTCTCAACCGTAACTCTTCACAGTACGCTACTCCATTTTATCCTATACTACCTTGCCACAATATGTGACCATATACTATGCCACAAAGCTCATGTCCTCGATTTGTTTGTCGACGGCTTCCAGCTCCTTCAGAAGACAGCTCTGTTTGGTCGGAGTGTCCAACGATGAGATCTGTCTGTTCACGATATTCAACTCCAACTTTAATTGTGCCTTCTCCACCGCTGATCCCGACCCCCCTATCTTGTCGACATCGTATATTCGTTCTTTTACATTTAGAATCCTATCCAGTGTAGCTGACACGATATGTTGAGGATCCGACTTCAAGGATAACGGTCGTATCACTTGTGGAACGTGGTCTACCATGTTTATTGGGTCTACCATTTCGTATGAGGCTTGAGGGCATACTAAAATTGAAAATTCAGTTTAAAAATTTTTAAATTTTAATATTAAAAAAAAATTATTTTTCAAAAAATTACTAAAAGATCGATTTTAACATTTTAAAATCATTTTTTGAAGTTTGAAACGGTAAAAACTACACAAAAAGCATAAAAATCCTAAAACATACGATTCGACTGTTGAATGGTCGATATCACCAATGGCTTCTCGAACATATCCTTCACATTCATCACAGAACAATCTGCTTGCACCGTCGCTGGTGCCGTTGTCTTTTGATTAAACATGGCATTTGGGCACATCGTTCTCACCGTGCTCAAAGGTCGTGGAGAGGATCCGAATAGTAATGGTTGACTGGACTGGGACAGCTTTTTAGTCGGCGATTCTTGGCCTGGAGTCGATAGTGAGTGGGAATCTGAACTCATAGAGTCCAATCTGGAGTTGGTCTCGGTTCTCGGCGCACACAGGTCTCTGGTTCCGCTGAAAACTGGAGGAGGAACGACCACTGAGTCGGCGAAGGAGATGGGCAGGGTATTCAGGGAGGGGAGGGGCGGTAGTTCGAGCTTGGTATTTGGAACGTCTACATCGTCGAAGAGGACGAAATTGGCTACAGTGTACGATACGTGGCTGAAAAAGCGGGTTTAGCATGATAAATGTTTTGTCTATGTTATAGTAGTATTTCTATTTTGTAGTGCATAGTAATACAAAATATCAACAGTAAAAGATAGCTCAATGAAAATTTAAAAAATAATTTACCTTCTAATGTCATCATCCTCCTCCACAGTCTTTATGTCATCTCGCATTTGATTTAAACACCTGTAAGAACGTCATTATTACCTATTTAGACACCGAAACAATGTGTTACCCAAAAATATCAAAATACCTCAAAATAATCAAATTATTCAAAAAAAAAACCTACGAGACAATTTCGTGCCGTCTAGCCAACAGAACTTGGTCGTCCGTGATCTCCCATATCGAGTCCGGGAAACGCATCGGAGTCTCCAGATGTCGCTGATGTCCTTGACCAAACTGTTGTCCATAACTTGGCCGATTGTCATTGTAATCGAGTTTGGGCAGTTGACTAAAAGCAATAATACTAATAACACTGGCATAAATGAAAAAGTAAAACATACTGACATTTAGAGTTGACTGAAATGTGCACCACAAAAGCAACAACAACAATATCGAACAATAATCAGGTTTATTTAAAATTTTGGCCAAATTCCTATCTAAAACCTCAATTCTAAAGTCAATTTAAGTTCGCATAACCAACTATTTTTGAGAATTAAAAGCATTTTTACAAAAAGTAACATTTTTGTTATTTTGGGTATAACTTGTCACTCGCAGGTTGTAGAGACTTGGTCACAGGCTGTCTATAAAAAATCAACAATTTTCGTTTCTAAATGCTAAAACAATACAAACAAAAACAAGTTGTTGTGACAGAAAGATTACAAAATTGTGACCTCCAGTGTGGCCAAATATCTACTTATTATCCTTTCGATTTACGTTATATTACCTATGATAATATTTAACTATTTTACTATATTACACATGCTTAATTCGCTCTCTCTTCAGTTCTAGACAGAAAAAAGGTACACTAACTAATCAATTTTAGGTATAGCAACATATTCTAACCTCTTCTAGGCTTAAATCGTAATCAAAAGTTACAGTAATACATTTGCATTCACAAAATTCCGAGTCCAAAATATTTTGGCTGGTTTATACGAATGACAACATAACATTCAAAATGTATATATAAACACAATTAGATATCAAGGTACACAAGATACGACGTGCGGGTTTCATGGAAACCAACGGACACGGCGGTTGTGTATTATTGTAGACGAATATAAGAGGGGGGGGGCGATTCGGAGGGTCGATTTTCAGGGGTGGTGTTGGTGTAAGACAACATACTGTGTAACTGCTACACTGTGATATGGTTACAAACGTGTTAGAACTGCTATTGGTTAGGTAAAACTCGCTAATAACTTCATAGTAACTTTTTGTTACTATGAAGTATAAATACTTAAGATCTACTAATTGTTTCGCTTTTTCATCAGTTTGAAAAAAAGCGAAAAAATTAATGAATCTGCTTTAAGAAACCGCTAGTGCCTAAAAACGTCAAGCAGTGCTAAGGCTAATGTAAAACCGTAATAGGATAGTTAAAACATCTTATAGTAGGTAAGAATTACTCTGTAAATATTAGAAAAATCACCCTCGTGCAGTTACAAAACTACAGTATCTTTTTACAATACTCAAATGCCTTGAAGTGTGCTAAATCATTCAAAAAAGTATTATATAGAGTTACAGTACCTTTCACAGCCCTTAGAGCTGATTAAAGTTACAAAAAAAGCTACTGTAAAGAATACTGTAAATCTGGAAAACTACTGCAAAAAATATTGCAGCAAGTTCACACTACCGTGCTCCGAAAACTACAGTATTTCGAATGAAAACGGGGCACAAAGACAGGCAGATGGAGCATCTGTCAGAAGACCAACTCACTGTTCCGAGTACCAGAACGAGTTCTGGTTGAACATCATCGACGGTGGGGCAATGGGACCCATCTGAAGGGGACCAATTGGTGCTGTTGGTACCGGCTGCATGGGTGGCTGAACTGGTTGAAGGTTAGGTGCCATTGGTTGTATGTTTTGTGGCATTTGCTGCATGTTCGGCTGAACGTGTTGAATGTTCTGTTGCACGTGCTGAAGGCCTGGTTGAACTCGAGGTGCTCCCGGCTGAAGAGGCTGGATTGGGTTAAGGGGTAGGCCAGCGTTCATCGGAGATATTTGGGCAGGCATTTGTTGTAGGGGTGCTCCGTTGATGGTGGTCTGGACTGTTGGTGGGATTGAGGGCTGGACCAGCATTGTGTTGGACAAAACTGGTACCATTCCTGGGTCACTTGGCATAACTGGTGCCATTTGGACGGGTTGCATTGGAGCTGGTGCTACAGAGGGGTTGGTGGTGTCGGTGGGGAGGATTAGAGTTCCGCCAGAGTTTGGATCATCATTGGGAAACTGAAATTTTAAAAATAATCAAAATTTCAAAAACAAAAAAAAATAATAAAGATACCGTAAAACAAAAGCTTTTTCATAACATAATAAAAATACAAATAAAATCAACATAACATTTAGAAAACATTCTCACCATTAATCCATGGGTAAAGCTTGGTTGAACTAGTCCACTTTGAATGTCTTGATGGTGCATTACCACTGGTACCACGACTGGTGGTGCAGATCCATTAGCAGCCGCGGCAGCTGCTGCTTGTGCCAACCCACTGTCCAGAATAACGCTTTGTTCGACCATTTCGTGTGGTACCAGCTGTTGTGGCTGCTGATTGTCGATTTGAACCATATCATTAAATTGGCAAGCTAACGGATCTATTGGAGCTGGTGCGAAGGGAGGCTGGATCAGCATTTGACCTGATGGCTCTAGGGGCATAGCTGAAATGAAGTAAAACGGTCAATAGCAGAAGAGTCATTAACAAGTGATACAAAACCAAGTGTAATATAAGGTTAAGTAGAAGAGTTGCATTAGCTTTTGGCTTAGAAAGGGAAGACCAAAACCTAGTTGTAATCTTGAAAAAAAAGATCAAAATTTAAAATTTACCTTGTCCACCATTATGTCTGACCTCGTTCGGATTATGGGCATAATTACACCTGTCACCTCTTGGACATGGACGACCATTTAGTATGTCCCTAAAAACAAATGCATAAATATGAAAAATAAAAAGGTCGATATTATTTAACCTCCAGACCTTTGCAATTTCATTTGTTACTACTTCAGCACAATCTGATAAAAGATTTTTACTTACCTGCAAATCCTTGTCTTGTACATTCTTTGTCCAGTAACAACTCCATCGACCTTTTCAGGCCTTCTCAAGTTTTTCAAGTCTTGGTTCTTTCTAAAATTTCAAAAAATGTACAAAAAATTCACAATTTCCAAAATACATCCCAAAAATTTGAAAAACAGCTTAAAATTCCATAAATTATCCCCAAATACACCACACCAACCCAACATACCCCTTGGCAATCATAGCATATTTCTGCACAATTGTTTCCAAGTTAGACAATATCTGACCAACATCGGAATAACTCATTTTGTCGTGCATTTCCACCTTCATGACGTCCTGGATTGCTCGAATCACCTGTTCAGTTCTATGTCCATCTTCACCTTCTTGTAGAATACCTCGTAGTGCTTGTTCCTCATTCTGTGTTAGCGTGTGTGGTTCGGCAAGTTGTTCAATAATAGAGTCCATCTGTTGTTTGTGGACTGAATCTCCATATAATAGTTGAGACCATTGTTCTGGAGCAATCCTTAGGCCAGCTTCTAGGGCTATTTGAACAATTTGGGAATCATGTTCACGTCGCAAGGATGGATACACTCGGAATTCGTCTTTTAATTGCATGAGTGAGGATTCGCCATCTCTTTTTATTACCTAAAAGAAAAAGACGATATTAAAATGATTGTGAAAGAATTTGTTACCTAAAAAAGCAAAAATTATTATATTTAAAAAATGACAAAATGTTAAAGAGATATTTGCACTTTTACCATTTATTTCTTTCATCTGCCCTCATAACCTAAAAGTTGAAAATAAAACCCAAAAACATACATTAAAGCAGCTGGCGCGGTAGAGAAGTTGTACAACATGTCCGACACAAGTTTTTGAGACTTGAGGAAAGGTTTCGGCCATCGATTCAACAATATAAAGGACCAATGCCTTTCTGGCAATTAGTTCTCCATCTGACAATGCTTGTATTACTAAACGTAGGACTTCTGCTTGCATCGCTGTAAAAAAATGAAATTAAAACATGGTTATTGAGCAAAAACTATATTATGTTCTCTAAAACATAGTTCAAGCTTAACTTTACGGCCGATATTAATAAAATTATGTTTTATGGTTTCAGTGTAAAGTAAAAGAAACATAACATCTTCAATTAGAGTACACTTACGAGGCCCCAAAAACTGGCATCCTCTCGTTCTGACGGCCGACCACAGAGCTGATGAAATGTGAGCAGAAGTCTGTCGACTCAACACCAATTCAGTGACAACTCTCTCCACAATGCTCTTCGAACACTTGACAATATAATATCGACCTTCTGGCAGCAGTACTGGTGCTGAGAGTACACAAACAAGTCGTTTTTGCACAAACTTTGAAAGACTGTCATTCTGAATCTCAAAAGTGCCATCTTCATCACAAACTTGAAAATAGTCACAGAAGCGTTTGAAGATATTGTCAATCTTCCTGAGTATGTCTTTCTCAATTCCTTCTCTACCATAATTTGACAAAGATCCGCTTTGAGTTGAAATGCCGAGGATTCGGAGGAAAGATGAATTCACTGGAAACTTTTCGGCATCTCGATGACATTTTATCTAGAAATTGAACAATTACAGTCAGAAGACGTAGACATTGAATTTCAACATAACGATAATACTTTTGCGACTTTAAGACCAGGCAAAATATAGATAAAACTTACCTTAAGATCCGGATTCTTGATAAGTTGCCTTACACACGGTTTACAACAAACAGAATTAGGAAGATTGATTGGTTCCCGTTCGCTTGAAAATACCTGTAAATAATCAACATTAAAAAACTTACAAGTACTCAAAAACACCAAACAATCACAAAACTCTTGTTTCAAAAAACAGTTTTTTTCCTATATTAACCATGAAAAAGCATGGTTGATATAAAAAAATCTAATAAAATTTTAAACAGAAGATAAGTAAATGCCTCCCAAAACATCAAATTAAAGAAACCCATCCACATCATACAAGAATTCTGGTCAAATTCCTCATCAAGTACCTAAAAACCAACAAAAACACAACAAAACCCTACCCGATGACAGTTGTGGCAGTGCAGAAAGTCTGCACCGTTGCGGTGATTCATAATCGACAAAATTCAATAATCCAAACGTTGGACACTAGGTTGAGCACTCCACAAGAGGCAGAACTATAAAAGAGTTGATTTCAGCTGGCCGACACTCAAAATGGCCGGTTCACATTGCCCAAACTCGAAATCGTCTAGAATACAATTGAAACTGGATTAGAATGCTTTTTATTTCGAATTGCACGTAAAATCGGTGGAGACCATGCACCAAGTGAGATACTATATGCAGCACTTGTTAGGTACTGTTCAGCATCAAAGAAGGTTATTAAAGCAAATATAAACCAGAAAAAGAACAACCACACCTAACATAATATATACTTTTAAGTGTAAATACCCTTGTTACCGAAAAATGTTTTAGTTAAAAAATTGAAACTTATAAAAATAAATAAACCTTCAAAAATAACACACTATAAGTACAAATAAAACGTTCAAAGCGTTAAACCAAAATTGCCATGAAATTTAATATTATACATGCCAAAAACAAGAAAAGAGTTCCAAAATCAATAGAATTGTCTTTAAAGTGTCAAAAAGGAAAAAATTAGTAAACTTCCGATTCCAAAAACAATATTCTCGTTAAAAAAACCAAACTTTCCACGTTTAAAACAACAATCTTTAAAGTATATTATCTATAAGAAACATCACTTCAACGAACATAGATAATATACCTTTCTTCCCCCATTCCAAAGCCGTTCGTCCTTTTAGAAAGCCTTTGAAAACATCGAAACACTTGGAAAGTCTTTTCTTTCCTTCTGATTCTCTGCACTCCTCGCCTCTCCCAACAATGTTTAAACACCAATAACAATATAAATGTTTGGAAAACAAGCAAACAACAGAACAGGATGTTTTCCATTCAAATTTCCATCCAATAGTCCCATTCTTCGACCCAGGCGGATTAATTTCAATGTAATTTGACGAAAAAAAACCGAGAAACTGCATCGGCGACATTTTATACGATCAAAGGTTTTTGAAGGAAAGTTTAAAATTATGTAGCAAGAAAAATGGTTGATTAAATAACGTGAAACTTGGTGGAAAGTTTGGTGGTACAAAATACAATATTTTTCGAAAAAATTATTTTAGATTTTCATTTTCAAAAAAATGTTCGTCTTACTTCGCGGCCATAACAATCTCCAAAGTCCCAAGAAACAGATACAACTATAAAAACAACAAATAAACTATAATTAAATCCACAAACACACCCACAATTTATTCAATATAAAATTTCAACACATAAACTAATTTATTTATTAGACTTGATAATGAACGTGGGTCTCTATAACAACCAATAACAATGTATAATATAATCATAAGTCACGGCCGTACTACTTATAGTATTATACATTATTAGTTTCAAGGAAAAACTAAAAGCCGCTTTTAAACATGTAATTATGTACATCAGCCTATTACAACAGGCTAGCTTGTACTTTACAGTACATTGAGATTAGTACGATCCTATAAATAGTCTAGTAGAGATTTGAATAGACGTGCAATATAAACCCTGGTCAGATAAGCTGTGAAACCATATGTAAAGTACAGTCTGAGACATTTGTGTAATGTTAAACCAAAATTAAAAGAATTAAGTTTAAAAATAGAAAACATAGGTAAAGAAGACAATACAAGTACTACAATATACATACTGCAGAAGATAAAAAGCGCTTGAAGTATCATAATATACAATAATTTATTCATAATTCAGTAAAAAATAAAGCCTAGGTTCCGATATAGCCTCGTACGAGTCCTAGCAGTCGTCATCGTGATGTTTCTTGGTTTTCAACGTCCCCATATCATTGTAGACTTCGCCCTGAAAGCAACAAATTATGGTTCTGTCAAGGTTTCTACTATAACAATATACTTCACAGTTCAAAAACTACAAAAATGATGAATTTTAAGTCAAATAATATTAGGTTGTTCAAATAATCCTGTGCCCCCTCCCAAAACAAATTTCCGAAGTTAAGGGCACAGAATTATTTCAACAACCTAATAGTAAAAAACCATTTTTCTAACCCAAAAGTTTTCAAAAACCAACCTTATCCAACTTCTGCATGTCCCTAATGACTCTGACATTGTTATCGACCGTGATTCGAGTCATGATCAGCCTAAAGTCGTGGTCGATAAAGATCGAGCATCCATGATTACTGTCCCCATCTCCAGAAGATCTGTAGCCAGGTGCCGTGAAGACCGTGATGCACCTTTCTCCAAACAACTCGTAGCCATTCATAGGACATTGATGTCCACGGAGTAGCAAGTCAACCTTTAGGTCATTGGTGACTTTATTCAAGGCATCTACACCAAACTGGTAGCCCATTCCTCCGTTTGGGTCTCTTTTCAAGTTTGGCTGTAAATTTAGGTAATACATTATGAAAAGTGGTTTCAAAATTGCGTTAAATTAGTAGCAGTATTAACTTTTTCAACCCCTATTAGCTAAACTAATCTTTTGAACCCATTTTTAACAACAAAACCCCACCTCAAAACCAGTAGCAGTAGGTTCGGGATCCGACCAGGTAATGTCACACATCAACGTGCCTTTCTTCAAGTTGCACGGTCTTCTGATGTTGATGATCGTGTCCCAAGAATCCATTTTGGGACTCAGACCTCCATGAACTCCCATCACGCGTTTGCCGATTCTGACGGCTAATGGGATCTTGGTGAAGGTGTCGATAAACTTGGCCATCGTACGATAATGATTCTGGTTGTCATGGGGGATACGGTACTCAATCTCCGAGAAGAACGAGTACGACTTGTTGATGATGGCATCTTCGTGGTTACCTCTAACCATGTACACATCGTATGGCATCACAATTTTTAGAAGGAAGAGCATCATGATTACCTAAAGGTTATTGTATATATAAATTGTCCATTTACCGTGCTTTAGACAAGAAAAAACGGCGCTAGGACAAATGCGGTTTTTGGACATTTGCGGATCTGCGGTTTTTAGACACTTGCGGATTTTCGGTTTTTGGACACTTGCGGATTTTGGACATTTGCGGATTTTTTAAAGGTTTTTTTAAATTTTTTAGTTAATTTATTTGTAGTATGATACTAAATTGTACGAAAGTTTAAATTGGTGCGGTTTTAACATAACAGTACCTTTTTGAGCTTTTAGTACCATTCAGTACCAAAAAATATAAAACAGTACCAATTTAAAATTTAGTACTATTTAGCACTAAAACATATTAAAACAGTACCAATTTAAACTTTAGTATCATTTAGTACCATACTACAACTAAATTAAATAAAAAATAAAAAAAACGCCTTTAAAAAATCCGCAAATGTCCAAAATCCGCAAGTGTCCAAAAACCGAAAATCCGCAAGTGTCTAAAAACCGCAGATCCGCAAATGTCCAAAAACCGCATTTGTCCTAGCGCCGAAAAAACATCAAAAAGCGATATTTTTCACTATTTTAATCAAAAAATTAACCAAAATTTCAAAAAAAATTAAAACTTACCTCAAGACAATGCCGTCCTCTGTCAACATAATCACCAAGAAATACACATCTGACAGTTGGTGGCCATCCATTCAAGTGTAGGAATCTGAGAAGATCACTGTACTGACCGTGAATGTCACCGTAGACTTGGCATGGTACTGGTGCCTACAATAATACCCTTATTTTAACTATCATAGTGTCTAATTTCAAATAGTCGTATTTTATAAATATTTCTTTGATAAAGCTTCTACTAAAAACAAAAAATGTTTTCCTTGTCCTCCCCCATAAAAATGAGAGAATCATCCCGCCCAAGCAAATCCTATAGCCCCACCCTATACCTACAAGAACCTACCTCAGTAGCCGTAGGCTCGTTCATGAAAACATTGCCAGCTTCTTCACAAACCGCGTCGATAATCGAGAACGGGAACTTGATTTCCCTGGGGCCAATGGTGATCATCTGCATCAGAATAGCCATAAAGTCCTTGGGCCCTTTGGCTGGGATCTTCAACTCGATTGAGGTCAGTTCTCTGTTCGTTACCACAGTATTGGTGTTGTAGGTATAGACGCCTTTGATCGACAGAGTACCAGTTAGAGATTTGATCGTTGGCTTTTCGGTTGTTCGAGCATGTCGGATCTGCTGTTTGATGTGAGCAAGCTCGCCTTTGGACAGTTGAGGGAGAACAAATACAGATTTTTCTTCAAACTGGAAAAAATATTGTGAAAAGAAGCCAAATCAAACCAAAATCACTCGTCTAACATTAATAACAACGTAAAAAATTAAATTAATTTTTAAAAACTGAAATGATAAGCTCACAGTCTTTTCTTTCGCGACCTCAGCAGTGTTGGGAGTGTCCATTTGGCCTGACATGAATCTCCCGATACAAGTGCCAGCAACTACAGCAACAACGAGTAAGCCAAAGAAAAAACCAATAAATGCGACTTCTGAGCCAGAGCTGAAAAAAATAAATTGCCATTTTTGATGCTTAGATAACCATAATGACAAATTTTTTTACACATTACATTTTTGAATTTGAAAATGCTTTATAAAAGATAAAATAAATTTAAAAAAAATCAATATTTATGAAAAATGACATAATAACAATTTTAAAAACCTACCCAGTTTGTTTAATGTCTTCCATGTATTTGAGAAGATGATACCTCAAAAATGCGTTCGAATTGCACATGTCATGCTTATCACAGCAGCTTAAAATAGGTTACTTTATATTGATCAACAGAAAAAGTAGAGTTTGAACGGTCAAATATCATCCAAAGCCAGAGCAACTCCACTTACCAAGAAAAGTCCTTTCCAGAAAATGCGCAACTTTTTCCAGCGTACTTTGACGAAACTGACATCTTTTTTCGTATACTGCCTTCGCTTGAACCAAAGTATTCCACATTGCCATCTAAGGACACTGTTGCACAGCACTAAAACATAATTAACGTCAAAAGTAATGGTAATATCAACTCACCGCATAATTGTAGTCTTCGGTCTTGTCTTCCGGAAGCACATCTATGTGATAAGTACCTTTGAAACATAGGAAAGATGCCGAACATACCGAAAACGTGAAAATTAAAAACAGCAACGACCGTTCCATTTCAACCGTATTACAAAGTCTCTGAATGAACAAATGAAATCAAATTCAAAGGTTCAGAAAGTTGAACTAGATCTAGCATTTCTATTCGAAGTTCATTTAAAAATTTGCATATTGTACCAAAGGTATTTTACTAAACTATTTCTTTGCCAATTTTAAATATAAAAATTTTGTTCGAATTTAAATATTTTACCGCAGTAAATGTCGAATAAATAAAAGTTTATTCCAAATACCGTTAAAGTGACATTTCCTCTGACTAGAATGTTTTAGTTTTTATGATGCAAGTGACGTAGAATATATAAAGTTAGGAATCTTTTGACAAGATAAAATACATAAGACACAGAATAAACGTTATACCGACTATATTGTTCATAGTAACGTTATACCAACTATATTTTTCACAGCAACGTTGTACCAACTGTATTATTCATAGCAATGTTACAGTAGTAAAAAATACTTTTGCTTAGTAACTTTTCAGTAGGAGAAACTACCTTCCATAGAAAATCTTACTGTGGTAAAACAATATAAACATCTGTTTTAGTAAAAGATATTAGAGAGATTGTACATTTTTGTACCATTAATATTAAAAGCTACAAGTTAACTTTCCGTTCGATTAAACTTGTCACAGGTTACCTTATAAACAAAAAACTATTTTAAAAATCTGATTTCTAATCACGATAAGTGCAAAATGACATTTTGGTTGCTTATCTAGAAGTTTTTTCAACTTAGACATACTGTTATAATACCCATGAATAAGGTGTGTTAATTATGACGCTGAGCCAGTCGGTGAAGCCAAATTGACATTGTTTGATCTACTCATAACTTGCTTAATGGCTTGAGCACAATCGCCAGATTTGGCCAAAAGGAAGCAATGAACTCTCGTTATTTGGGTTTCTCCAAACGCATTTTCATAGCCAAACTAAACAAGTCAATTTTAGGTACATTTTAGTTATCAACAGCAATAGGTTGGTCAAAAATACCCTTTATAGCTATAGCCTCCGGCAAAAACAAACCCCTAAAAATAAGACTTACCTTAAAAGTCAGAAACTCTGGAACCTTCCTCTTCGAAGTTACTCTCACAATTGACGATAGAGAATGTTGGGCTGTTAGCTTTACATATCCATCACCTTCATCATGATATATCAGCATATGGCTGTATGATACGACGATAAAACATTTAGTGTGTGTTTTGTCTTGAAAAACTTCGTGACCTTCGAAGAACTTGAAAACATCTTGTTGCTTTTGTACTTCCAACCATTTCTTCTGAAAAAAATTGTTTTTGACTTTAAAAATTTACCAGACAATCAAAAAATCGTATGTTATACTTGAAAGTAAAAAAAACTTACGTTAAACAAACATAAAACTAAAAAAAATAGTAAAACTGACCTTCTCCTTACTAGCAGCCACAATGCCAGTGCCCATATCTTCATCTCCGCTAGATTCTGATTCAGAATTGTTGATTGTAAACACGCTGTGCATGTTCTTATACCTTTTCCCACTGTTCCTATCTGAAGGTTTGGCATGCTTGAAGTTGGTATGACTAGTGGACTCCACCATTCCTGAGACAGCCGTCGATATGGCATCCTTCTTTGCTTGAACAGCTCGTTTCATCTTCTCCATTATGCTCTGAAATTCACGTTTATAGAAAAATGTGTGTACCTTATCTAGAATAATATTACTTGAGAAAAACATTTAAAACATTAAAAAACAAGCAAACGTTATACTGAATAATCCAAATGTATAAATTTCGTTTCACAAGACAAAACTATTCCTAAAACCACCTACCAAGCTTTGTCCAACCTCTTTACTACAACATTCAGCACATTTCTCCGGATCAATGTGATTATTCAGTTTTCCCAAAGCATTCATTTCCTGCAACATCAAATGAACTCCCTTGAAACCTCCATCAACATAACTTATGTTAGGTATGTTTTGCTGAAGAAATCTGGCGATAACCATGAACATTGTAGCATCTTCTTCGGAATCTCCAGACCCAACGAAACAAATGTGATCTTTTGGATGCGTGTTTTGTTTGAATTGTAATAAAGATGTCATTGCGATTTTAAAGTTTTCTGGCTCCTCGATTATTAATTGACCATTCAGGTTATAGGCGCCGAGTATTGATCCAGTTACAAAGATGTCATGTGGCCGAGTGTCAATGATAAAATAGTTGAAAATTTGCTAAAAATAAATGAATAAGTATATATTACAATGCTATTCATTTCCGATACGTTTATCTATAGTACTACAAGTGTTGTAAACAAAAATACCTCTAAATAAAAACCAACAATTACCTAAAAATCGCCCCCAACCTTAAAAAAGCACAAAACCCATAAAATAAGCCTATGAACTTACCACAGGAGCATTGACATTCAAGTCGATAACTTTTTTATAAATTTCCCCAGTCGAAACAGGTAAGCAGATGATCCGATTCAATGGAAAGTCAGTGAAATCATCGACCAAGTTAGCTCCAAACAACAGACAATGAAAGTCTCGTCTCAATGATATTGGAGTGTAGTTCATCGTTACTACACACACATCAAACAGATCTGGTATATCATCCACTGACATGTCTTTCGGAGACTTTACAATGTGTTCTATTACTTTGTCACGGTTTTTCAACTTCATTATATTCTCTTTGGCACATTGAAGAAAAGACAGAGATACAAAGAACAGTAAGAAAGGATCTCCCTATAATAATATTGTTATTGTTTTTTTTGTGTTATATTGTTGACATCATACTTTCCCAAAAAGCGCAATAAATAGATAATACAGTAATATACGACGTTTTTAAGCCTACAATAATAATGCTTACCTGCTGAAAATAAAGATCCCAAACACAGCGACAAACATCTGGTGTTAAACTCTTTGACATAAGTGAAGTGAACCATTCTTTAGCATAATGTTGAGGCTGAATCTTCATGGAATCCAAGAAAGAACAAAGCTGAGGGTCGTGATATTGTAGTATTAGGCGAAACAAGTCATAAACTTTACCATCTGCGTCCGACGACCTATAAAAATACTTTCTAGTTATAATATAAAGCTTAAAGTCAATACCTATGTCTTCCATTATAGTACAGTAAGTCTTAAAAATATAGAAAAAAACACAAAAAATATAGAAAAAACTCTATTTTTGCCTTCCACATTATCCATAAATATAAAATCTAATAAACTACCTAAAAACCAAAATAATAAAACGAAAAAGCATACCTTGGAATGTATTTGGTAGTGATAGCATAGAACACGTTGTATAACGTAGAAGCATCGAAATCGACGTGTAATAACACTTTGATTATGTCCAACCAGCCATTCCCTGTTTCGTACTCAATATGTCGTTTTTTACAGTACAAAGTGATCAAACTCTCTACTTCATGAGCAGGTATCTTACAGTTGTGAAGACTTTCGAACATCTTTCTCGTATCTTTTCGCAAAATTGCTTGATTTTTTAAATTATACAACTGATCCCAATCTAACAACGGGTCAGGCCTGTTTCTTACTCCAAGAAATCCCTGAAACGTCAAAGATTTAGGTAATCATGTTATCAATCACATTGAATATTGTGGATAAACATGTATACAATGACAAAGACGAATGGTGTACTTTAAAAGTCTTTTTTAAAAGTTAACATGAACTTGATCAAACTCAAAAAGGTTTCAATCTGTAGCTAAAAATAATCTAAAAGCAAAAAAAAGTAAAATAAGCTTACCTCCCATCGTTCTGACAAACTTTCCAGCTTCTCGATATTATTGTTTCCAGAAGGCTGTGACGGAGAATCTGAAGATTCACTCAAATCTTTCACCCAGTCGTCGCTGGTTGCCCCACTTTCATTTAAATTCAACAATTCGGCATCGTCCGCCAACGACGAAGCCGATGTCATGATACCTAAAGCATGATCATGAGTAAGATGATTAAATACAAAGCAAAAACTCAAATTATTTTAAAATTTACTACCAATTAAATAATTCTCGCGCGCGCGTCACAAACGTTTTATAGATACGTAAACCCTAAAATAGCTAAATTCAAGACCTATAACATGTTTTTATTGATACTACATTAATGTTAAAGTATATTAACTCTAAAGCATTGTGAGAAATGTTATTTCCAATAAAATGAAGACATTGCTTTCATACGAACATGATATATTTCCATCCATGCAAAATCAATAACAAAAAACCCATTTAAAAAGCGACAAATTAAAAAATCGAAACAAAATATGAGAACACACGTCATGTAACATAACGAGTTTGAGAGCAGATTCGAATTGAAACATACAAACTAAAAGAAACTGTTTGAAACTGTCATGTAGACAAACATACAATAAAAAAAGATGTAGCCATCAACCGCATTTTATAATACATAATCAATGATAAAAGTTACTAAAAGTGCTACCTACTACAAGATAAACTAGTTTGATAAAAACAATTAAATTTAAAATATAAAAATGTTATTAATTGTTTACGGAATAATACGTACTTTGTCTTGCATCAGATACTACATTTTTTTCTTGAAAAAAAATAAAAAATTCTATTTTATCCATCGGCCGTGGTTCGCGCTTTCAGTTCGCAGCCTGCGCTTTTCGAATACAATTTTTTGTTCCACTGGAAATTCCGAAACTGTAAAATCAAATGAAATCAGTATGTTGATATGCATTTTTTACTCTATTTTTCACCTTTATAAATTAAATTTTGAAGTTTTCAAAAGTAATATCAAAATATTTAAAAATTACGTTAACAATAAAACTTTATGCTATAAAATAAATATACAGGAATAAATTAAGACACCGTCACGAAGATATTGGACTTTAAGTAACCCAGAGCGTATTTTTGGACCAGTTCGTTCATATTGTTGTCTGGGAATTCAATTTTGAGGCGAGGAATATCCAACTGACCAGCACCTAATGCTATCATCGCAATCTTGAGTGAGTCCTTGGCGTGTGGGGCTAGTCTGACGTTCCGCTATAAATATACTTTATACTATTTACTTTCTATACCATAAGCTTTCAAAAAACGTTAATTTTACAACAAATGGCATAACACAATATAGTAATAGCCAAAGATCACCATCTTACCTCCGTATACCCACTGAACATCAAAGAATCCGCCCTGTCTACAGTAACCTTAAAATGTAGCGCTTCTTCTGTCAGATTCTGTAGCTTATACTCCAACTCGATCACCTTCCTCATGACATGTTTCTTCTGACTTATCACCGGCTCGACCTTCAATGGACATTGTTGTATATTGAACTGACCTAAATACAGCCAAGATTCCGTTATCTTCTCTTCTTCTGGCCGTTTCCATCGTATCACACACTTTCCCAACTCAACTTCGGAACTCATTGGTAGTACAGCTGGTGCTTTTATTGTTGCCGAGAGCTTTACTTCTTCTCCTGATTGTAAAATACCATCTGAAAGTAAGTTTTTATAAAACCAGGAAGGATAAAGTATTTAAATGCAAAAATTTAACTTTACTGTGATTACAATACAACTTTTACTATAATTACAAGCTTCATAATATCCAAAGATAGCATTAAAATACAAACTACAAAGAACATAAAGTAGTGTTACAAGGCTTAAAGTATCTTACCTGGCGCAACTACCGATCCCAACTTCATTGACAATGTTGGTGACAACGAAAAGGTAGCATTGACAATCTCTACGTCAGTTTCGGCTTTGCATACACATTCAATTCGGCATTCATTACTTTGTATCAAAAAGTCAACCTTCTCCCTCTAAAACAATATTGTTTATAAAACCTCTAAACAATAGAATAGATTTACAAAAAAAACCATTCGCAACTTACATTAGGTGCATACAAAACAGTTTTATGATTAAAGAGCTTCTTTCCAGTAAACTGTTGAGAGAATACACCTTCAATCAAACCTTCCGAGTACTTTGGGTCTTCTGTTGATGCTTGGATCCTAATCTGAAGTTGCGAATTGAACACGCATTTAGCGTAGCAATTGAGCGTGAAGCTAATTTCAGTCCCTGGAGACAAATACGGGGCGATATCTTTGGTTAACCGAGGTTGTTTTTCCCCATGATCATCACAGAGTAAGAGCGCTGGGAATACGTAGCCTTCTGATTGAGATTCCTCTGGCTCCAGCTGACGACATGTGACTCTGTATAAAGACAATACATTAAAATATGCCCTCTTAACAGCATTTTATAGTAAGCTTACTATTTTTTTTGTATTTTGCTTACTAATAATCACTTTAACTTTATTTACACAAACTTTGAAACATCCTTGCTTACTTCACACCCCTCAATGCCACGTCTTCATTGTTCCTTAATGTGAACTTGAGTTTGTTATGAGCATCAGTGTAGATAACATCACTCTGTGGCCAAATTAACGTCAAATTTGGTTTTGCTGGTACTAACCTAAAAAGCAACTACTTTCAAAAGGCATGATAATTTTTAAACATCAAAATACTTAACACAAATTTTGGAAACTAGGTAATATATTTCAATATTTTAGTTTTGTAGTAAAACGAAATACCTTATAGTTAGAAAAATTTCTATAAAATCTAATAAACTAACTTGATACTCGGTGTTCCAATGTCTCCAGTAAAAACCGATCGTATCAAGGGCTTAAAAGTCGTCGGAGTCATTGTGGAAATAATGTTTTCATATTCCAAACAACCTCGCACTTTACTGCCTTCATCACCTATTATCAGTCTGATATGTGTTAGCTGAAAATTTATTACATAAATAATGACATCTCTTATAGTATATTATAACCAAAGCTCCCAAGGGCTCCGGAGAATTTTAAAAGTTAACCTAGCAATCCCAAAACAATAGCTCACTTGAAAAGTCCGCTCTCTTGCAGCCCCATAATCTTCAAGTACAGTTTTAAAATAGAATTTTGTGGTCGTATTTGGAGGTATGTCAATATTTTCTTTTCGCAGTAACTTTGTCGGTGCTAGTGATGGTGAAGAAGCTCTTGTTATACTAGTTTCCTCAATCTCTGCTTGTAAACCCGCAAAATGATATGGAACAGACGATGCGTTGCGAATTGATACCTAAATTTACTTTTATATTTCGAACAAATTCAATCAAAGATTTTAAAATGATAACTACATAGTAAACTTTTTAAAATTATGGCTAAATATAACGGTAGAACGAACTTACCTGTACTAGAACATTTTCACCCGAATTAACAGTCCTATTTTCAGTTGTTGGTAAAAAGACGGCTGCAGCCAGTAGATGAGGATCAAGCCGAGTCAAATTCGTAGTATATTCAAATTCAGACTTGTAGGCTTCCTGCCATTTGTCCTCAACTTGTTGAATCTGAAACGATTTTTCATAACACATTAATAATCTAATTTATAACTTATTTTTTCAAGTTTCATTATTTCAAAGTATAATATATGATACAATAATAAGACAGCCTTATTGCTTTATATTATTCTTACACATACCTCGTTCTGTGTCAACCTCGTATACAAACTGCCATGAGTTTTCGGCGGTACACCATTAAGAATGTTGTTGAAATTCTCTTCCAATTGTAACTTCAACTGTGCGTAATAAGGTTGATTTACAATCGAAAAGATAATAGATGGGTTAAGTAACTGAGAGACAGCCCAAATATATTCTTTTACATCTCCGTCACAATACGAGGCATCTAGACATCGCTGTAGGATTGGAAACAAAATGTGATTCACGTTTTCTCTTCGCAGTTCGTACACTACGTGCACCAGTACCTAAATTAACGTTTTACCGATAAAAAGTGTGTAATACACCAACAACTTTAGCATTAATATAAGCTAATACATCATATTAACTTTCACTGTTCTCAAATTACAGTAACACATACTTAAATTAAAAAAACATTACATTGACGTACCTGCATGGATTTTTGAAATCGACGTAAATTAAAGTATTCATCAGCCATTTTCAAAAGCACAGTCCTCTGCATCCGATTACACCTGTAGATTTGAAAATTTCTCATAGCAGCAGAGAACAATGTTAGACTTTGTTGATAGTTTGGCTGACATATTACTTCCAAAGCCTGCTTGGCAGCATGTTCCTTTATAGGATCGAGTTGTGAATTCATGTGAGTACCAACCCTCCATGGTCTTTGTCCGAAATACACAGGGTGTAAAGAGTCTTCTATAAGTTATAAAAATGCAGTAAACACTTAATAAGTAGCTTTAAGTAAAATACCTTACTAACATAAGAACTTAGAAATCATCAAAAAGAAGTTGGAATTTAGATTAATATAAAAATTAACTACAATAATAGAAAAAATGTAAAGATTGATACCTGGGTAATTCAGTACACTTTTATGAGCAGCAGTAATTTCATGCTGTCCTACTGCATTCTTCAGTAGTGCAACTCGAGCATTAACTTGGCACAAGAAGTCAGCAGCCATATCAAGTTGAAGACCCGGATTTTGATATGGATAAGCAGCCAATCCTTTAGCTATTGCATGACTAAACAAGTCCGCAAACAAACGACACTATAACAAATTAGTTATAATGTTTAAAAATTATTTTTTAATAACTTTAAAATTAAAAACCTTGAAAATTAACACCAAATCATAAATAATAATTATTGTTAAAACAATTATCTTTTTTTAAAGTTAAAAGTTTAAATGTTTTAGTTACCTGTTGACTTTTCCACTTGCCAATCTCAATTTCAGCCAGTTCATTACAAGGATAATATCCAGCGCGTCTGTTAAAGAACGATGCATTCAATTTTCTGAATTGATTCACTGCTTCGCTAGCCAAATTGTTCAAGAAACATAGTTCGCAGATCTAAACTTCAATATTAACAATAATATTTTCACTTACTTTGTAACTCAAAAGTGAAACAACAGCCAAATATTCGAATAATTCTGTATCTGGAATCTCAGCATCGGCACAATGTTGATATGCTTGTCGGTAGGGGCTAGAATAAAAAATTAATATTTTCAAAGAAGATCATATCCATCACACAACAAAAATACAGAAAAAAACCTACCGTAATGCTGAGTGAGTATCCTGTCGCATTTCGCTCAAAAACCCGAGTTTAAATTGTTGTCGAATAGTCAAATTCAAGTAATTATTAGGAATAGACCGTAACCTCACTCTCCTTAATATGGCCTGATAAAAGCTTTGTCCCAACTCGTACAACCCGTTTTCCATTCGTTTTACCACAGCATTGTGAGGTTCATAATCAGGAAAGACAAAGATTTGTTTGTCATTCAACTGGCAAGACTGACAGAGTTCAACAGACCGTTCTTTAGCCAAATAATCGTCCGGAGATAATGATGACGAGTTTGAGTTTTGTATTAACACGAGAGCTATCTTTGTTTCTTTCACCGGAACTCCTTGTCTGAAAATATAAGTTTGTGACATAAAATAGGTAAGCATTATGTTTAAATGTTACAAATGTAAAACTATTTTACCATCAACTCTTCAAAGTAAATCTTCATGACCTAAAAATCAACAAAAGATTTTAAATCTTACTTTAAAGAAGCCACTTTGCTCTCGACCTCCACCAGCTTTTCGGCCCAATTTGGATGATCCCAGTTCAAATCCAGAAATAACACAATCACGGCCGGCCTATGCTCCAAATACTTCAGTGGCCAATCCCGTTTGATAATACCTTTAGGCGAACGGAATATTTGTTTCTCCAATTTTGGCTTCTCGTTCTCTGGCTTCCACAACTTGTACAAGACCGGTAGATCATCTTTGTGTCCTTGAAACGCTGCCAGTATGTTCTTGTGCACCTCATTATTGTGTATATCCAATCCTGTTAGACCAATGAGTTGTTTTATTTGGCCAGCGAGCATGTAACTCGGTATTTCTACCGGATCCATCGCGCCCAAGGTTTATCTACAATAAAAAAGAGGTTTATAACTATAAAAAAAAACTTTTTACAAATATAAAATAAAAGAATAACAATGTAAAATAACTATTATATCCAATCTCAACGGTACACGCGGAATTACTTGCAAAAATCTGAAAAATATTGAAATTGGAAAATTTCCAAAAATAATATATGAGAGGAAGAGTTGGCGCTAAATCTTGCGTGTCGTCTGTTTCTTCCGACACATTTTTGTCACGCGCGCGACATTCTCGAGATTTTTTGGACACTTTTAAAAAATAAATGTATTTTAAATTTTTTATACTATAACTTCTTTGTATATTTGATTTTACTTTTAATTTTTTAGCTATATTTGCAGTAATCACTTTTTTGACATTTTGTGAGGTTTAATGTCAAGACTTGGACATAAAGTATTAATAATTTTTTTTGCTCTTTCTAATGAATATGACATTATTTTCATAAGGTATAGCTTTTTTGGAAGTAAAACACTTGATTTGTTTTTAAGTTGCACTGTGTGCTCGTACTGTGCTAATGACATTTGCTTTTTGACCAGCTATTAACAATACTGTACTTATTGTACCAGAATAAATTTTTTCGTGTACAATTACTAAATTTGCTTTTCCTAATACACAATAAGTTATGTTCGACAACTATGTCAATTTTTATTTTATTCGGCCGTTTCAAATGTCACATTGTTTTGGAATCAAAAATAAGTAGAGGGCTGAAGGCATTAAAAGCAAATGTGTTATCCGAAAGGTTTTGACATTTATAGCCGTGACATTCGCCCAAAATGTCACGAAAAGTTCTTTTGTTTGTTTTTGGCCCGAATGTCGGCCGCGGACATTTTTTGTTTATGGGATAATTGAGGTGGATGTGTCTGTTGGCCGACTGACATTCGAGGAAACTTTGTTTCACAAGCATTCTTCGTTCTGAAGGGCAGTAATGTGAGGGGATGAATGTTGTAGGTTTGGAGGGAAAAGTGTTATAGTACGATTGCTAAGGGTGAAGATTTTTAAATTTTATCTTTAAGTTTTTTTTTAAATTTTCAATTTGCTACTTTTTAATTGTTGCATGAGGTAAAAATCTAAATTTTGGGGTACTCAAATTACATAGCATGGTGATTGTGGACGCCAAAATCCATGTTTGAAAAATAAAAATTGAGGTTGTTATGAGATTTTCAAATTTTGTCTAGGATTTTTTGAAAGGTTTTCAGTACGATGCATAAAACCTGCTGATCCTTTTGCAAACTCAATCCCTTTTGTGAGTCAATACTCCACGTATTCAGATGACACATTGCCAACAAAAGTGTCTCCGGTATGCAAATGTTCAACTTTGTCCCCACCCAAATGTTTGAGCCGCGCATTCCCTTAATGTTGACACACAACTTGCACGGTATAGAGTTGTGGCGACGGGAGAGGGCGAGAGACGGACATTGCTTCACTCGCCCCAACATATTCTCGAAAGTGGAGCGCGGCCCACCGACCGATCGAAAGTCGGCGGCGTGTCGAAAAGTCCCCCCTCATGCAATCGCCCCTCCCGACAACCGATCGCACAAAAACTCTGTCCTCGAGAACATTTTTTTCCGCTCTTCCGTCTTGAGACGAACCCGAAATCGAACAAAATTTTTGTGAGAAGCAATTTCGACCGACTCAGCTACAAAACCAGCCACGGGGACATTCTCCGAGTCCGGCCCGATCAGTCCGCAGGCGATGGGTGTGTGTGTGTCACGGTTGTCGCGCGTCGCTGCTTCTCGAAATACACTGCGTTTTGTCGCGCGTTTGGGACAGGGGGTTTGGAGTTGGGTGAGTTTGAAGTCATGGCCTGGGAGCTGAAATTGTTGTACTATCTTCATTTAGGATTCTTTTCGAAAAAGTTACATCGTGAACTTTTAGTTTTATTCTAAACAGTTTAGGCTTGAATTATTTTTATTTTGGGTATTACTGGAGAGTTTTCACCTCCAGACGTATAGGTATAGGCCAGTCTTGATGATCTTTGTAGTAAACTGCAAAAATTTAAAAAATGTCGAATTACTGTTGACATAGGCTTCAGTATTGCAAAATGTTTATAGTTTGCTATGGTCTCTTATCAGAAGCCTTTATTAATGATCTGGCACAATTTTTTCAAAATGTTTTACTTTTGATTGCCAAAAATCATCAATTTATTCGATCTTTCACGATGATTTTCTTTTCTCAGCTTGTGTCACAATAACTTTGCTAAACACAGCGTTCCCTTTTTCCCTAAAATTGTCAGTCTCTGGCCGGTCTTTCACACAGAAATCGTCCATCGAAAAAAAATTTCGAGTGGCTGTGGGTCGCACGGTGCACCGAAAGAAAAGGTGCGGTGTTGTCGTTGTCGCAAGAAACGAGAATCGAGAAACGAATCAAAGGGACGAGAGTTTTTTGGCTGTCCGTAAAGAAATTTCCGAACATTTTCTTCGTCCAATTCATTCTCGCGCAATCGGGTTTCCCTTTCACTCAAGGGTACTGTAATGTCGACGTTGGGAAGGACATTTAATAGCCTTTTCATATCTTAATGTAGGGTTTTTGGGGAGGGGTGATTTTGAGGGTGTGAGGGGGGGGGGTTTTTTGAAGGAAGTTTGGAGGTGTTTTGGGTGAAATTGTTATTGGAGGTCTGAGGTAGTGATGGGGGTACATTCTATAAAACCTACAGCCATTTCTAGCCCCTAAATCCCTAAAAACATTGTTTATGAGAATAATTTGGAATAAGGAAACAATTTGTTTTATTATAATGTCGCATGAAATGAAAGATTTTTTGATTAAAACGAAAGCAAACTTGCGACTTTTGATTAAATTTTGTTTTTGTGGGGAAATAAATTGAGTTGTGTGTGTATGAAATGTCAACATGTGACACTTTGGCCCGAAATGTTTTAGACTTGCGACATTTTGATATAAAAGCGGCTTTAAAAGTCATTTTTTGACATTTTTTGAGGGTGTTAGTTAGTTGGCGGTGTTTTGCTAAGTTAAGTGGTATATTTTGCCTCAGCCTTTAAGATAAAAATTCTAAAAAGTTGAACAGGGTCCTCCCTGTTGATTTTTTGGAAATTTTTTTTTCAGATTAAAATGGACTGTTTTATAATAGACTAAAATTAACTGTTCTAGACTGATTTTACGCAAAAAGTCGTCATAATTTTGTCTTACCATGCCTTGAACATAAATAAAACCGATATTATTAATGAAACACAAGCAAAGACTGCACTATGAAGCGTCCTTTCCGTTCCCCCCAAACGAATGTCAGTGACATTCTTGCATGGCGATAATGGGCTGCGTTGCCTTCCTTGCCCTCCCCAACCACACCAATTTCGGGTCTGTCAAGTTTGGTGGCTGCACTGTCGACCTTTTTTTTGTTTTGTTTGGAGGTCGCAATAAACCGCACAACAATTTTCTCTTTCGAACATTCTTTCAGGTGCGGAAAAGTTGGTGTGCGGGTTGTAATAATGTTCGGGTAAGGACGGTTGGGGCGACATTTGATGATTGTTCATGGTCGGAAGGGCTGCCTCTCGTGTCTGTTTTGTCGAAATGGCGACTGGTGAGGGTTGTTGGGCATGTCGAAACTTTTTTGGTCGGTTTTACAGTGCGGATTCGAGGGAGTTTCGGTGTTGATCTGGGGGGTTTGGCGCTTGATACTGGAGTTTTGAGTGGGAATTTTGGCTAGAGGTTCAAGGAGTAGTAGTGGTTTATTTCACAATTTGAAAAGGAAGGTTTTTGGCTTTTTAAAAATATGTATATGAATATGTTTTGTAAAGGAAACACTTTTTGTAGTCAATATAAATTGCTTTTGGTTTTTTTTGCTTTGGTGGTTTGTGCATCGCATTTTACTCGGACCCGTTCACTATATGTCACATTTTACAATCTTTTACCCTTTTCAATTGTGCTACTCTTTTTATCAACTCACACTCAATTGAAAGTACTTCCTCATCAAAGCATCTTACAGTACTATTCTCTCAATCTTCAAACCCTTGTATCTATCTTCAACAAGCCTCACCTTCCTCATCACCTCTCAAATTCGGTTTCAGTCATAATTCGTCAATTTGTTATTACACGACGACATGTTGTCGGCCGTAGCCCAGCACGTTCTCGCCTCAATTTCACGAGATATAAATAATTTGTTGTCGTGCAGTGTCGAATGTCATTTGCACGGTGGCGTCGGCTCCTCTTCGCTTGAAAGCTCTCGAGGACCTTCTCGAGTGCGTAAAAAGACGGGGGAAATAAACGTCCACGACAAATTATTGATGACATTTTTCCTGGTGCCGGAGTGCGTAAAACTTTTAATTCTGGGCATCTTTTGTGTCCCAGAATGAAGATTATGAACAAAAACGTCCGCGGATATTAAAACGGCCAAAGTGCGAGATGAACAGGGAGTTCTGGCCGTATATGTCAGCCCAAACAAGCGTGGCCCTGTTTGGGCTGACATAAACGGCATTGTTTCTTATAGGTGACATATGGCAGGTCTGTCTCAACTAAAATAACCTTTATGCTTTGGCATTATGTTTATGTTGGTATTGGGGTGACATAAAGGTAACTGTTGGTTTGGCATGACACAGGGCTATTTTTAGATTTGGATGACATTTAATTTGGAATTCCTGAGCAGTCATTAGTATTTTTGGCATTTGATGACTATTCCTGTCTTTAATGTCACAGTTTTTGAAAGATGACTGTCATTAATGTCATACGTTTTGACGCCGAAGATTTTACAAGGCTATGAAGCTACTTATAAGTTTTTAGCTTTATATCTATATTATCATTACACTTATCGTATTTACCGCGCTAGCCTTTGTCATTTCCTTTCTTCCAACTAAAATTTTAATAAAATCTCAAATTTTCAAGGTCTGGCTAACCACGCTTCCCCACCAAACATGGATAACTACGGCAAACGTGTCTTCCTCCAAGCACTTATCGACCGAAAAGCCCAGTTGTTCGGCCCCACAGCAGCACCAGGTGCTGAGAAGGATCGGCTGTGGCGTGAAGTGTTCGAAGATTGTGTAAACAAGAAGTGCATCGGTCTGAGGGATGTGGATCATCTCCGGAAGACAACTTGGCAGAACCTGCAGCGTCGCGCCAAAGACAAATACGAACGAAACAGGAGAGGCGATGGGAACGCACATCTCAATGAGGTAGGTGCATATAGGTCTGAAAAAGGAAAATTATAACAAAAATTTGAAAAAATGAACATGTTATCTTATATTGAAATTTGAAATCAAAAAGAAAAGAGTTTTTGATGTTATAATACAGAATAAAATTAATATGTAAAATGTATTTTTCCAGTCTGATAAATCATTTTTAGATAGACAACATGGTGATCAACATAATCGGAACAAACTTTGTCAACTCTTCCCCAGATCACTCATTCAGCTTTGGCTTAACAGATGACATTGACATAAAGCCTTCAATGTCTTCAGAAAATATTGATCCAGATGGAGATAGCTGCCTCTTACCTACATCAAGGAAACGCTCCTACCGTGATACACCAGAAAGCAGTGCCTTTGTCAACTTCACTAACCCTTTACTAGACTTTGACACTTCCAACATTCTACTCCAAGCCCTACAACAACAACAGCAGCAACAGGAAGAGAAAGATCGCCAGAATCGAGATGATACTTGTGAACCCACGGAATCAGATGAAGAAGAACAGTTGAAGTTGAGGAAGCTGAGGGCTGAAGTGAGGAAGTTGGAGGCAGAAGCTGATAAAATCAGAGCTGAAGCTGATTCAGAGAATCAGAGGAATCGGCTACTGCAGTTGGACATTGAACTGAAGGAGCTACAGGTTCTGAAGCTGAGGAAGGAGATGGGCATTGTTAAGAATGGCAGATTGGAGTAGAAGGTTTAACATTTAATGAGCATTATTATCAATTACATATCACTCAACTCACTTAGCTTTTATTTATTGTTTTATACTGTCAATGTTCTGGCATTGTTATCTTATCTGGAACCAAGATTTTACAGTTTTTCACTTATTTTAATATCACTTGTACATTTTACAATTTAGTCAACTTTTTTAAGATTTATTTTACGTCATTTTTAAACTTTATATTGTTGTTACTTAATTTTGTTTTTATTTTATCCAAAACTGTCTTTGAAGGTTTTAAAGTTTTGCACGGTGCAGTCAAATAAATAGTTTGCACGGTGCAAAACAAAAATAATTCTGCACCGTGCAGTATCTAAAACAGCTTGCACTGTGCAATTCTCAAACTTTAATGACAGTTTTGTATATTGTAGTAATAATCGACGTATAATCAGTTAGATCCAAACATTTCCTACTGTTTTTTTGCATTTTTACACTGAAATTGTCAGTTTTACCGAAACGGGTTCCTCCTTTCCCCAGGTTTACCCTTGTCTTACGATTGATAACAACGAAGAACGAACCTCCATTGTGATGTATGCCTTACACTAATCAGTCTGTTACCATTGGTCTAGAATATGTGATTGTATTTATTTATTCCATAATAAAACAGTAATAATATACAGTTTGCTATGGTGAAGTTGTGTTACTAATGCTGCCTATAATAATATAGTTTACTACATATAAAAAAAGTTGAATGTATAGTAACTGTAGTCGTTATCTCTGAATCTATATCATGATTACTATGTCACGATTCAGCTATACCGACTGATTTAAGTGGTCGTTTTATCGTCGAAGAGATACCGGTAAATTGAACGTGAACACCGTTTGATTCAATACATTGTTTTACCTTAAAAATAGCATGATATTGATTAAGTATTGGTACAATCAAGGCGGATTAAATACTGAAAGAGCAAAGAAGAGCGGAGGCATAGTTTCCAAAATTCTATGTTGACTTTCACTATGATAACTTACATTACTCAGCTCCATGGCACTAGTGTAATCAATAAAATTGACTAGAGATAAGTCAATTGAGGTTGATTTTGTTGATTCTATGTCGTACCTTTCTGTTTGTGGTAGGTCTTCCAAGTTGTGTATGTTTATGTATGACTAAAACGCGCCTTTGTCTTATATTTTAATTTAGTATTTACAGTAGAATATTGAGATAATGATGCTCAAGTAAAACTTTTTATAATCAGAAGGTAATCATCTACAAGCACTACTCTACGTTACGAAGTTAAAATACATTATTACTATCAAATTGTTTAAATAATTCTGTGCCTCTGAACCCAAAAATTTGTTTTGAGAGGGACACAGCATTACATAAACAACCCACTATTACCATTGAAACTTACCAAAGGTCCACTTAATGAGATGCAATTGGTTTTGAGATCATTGTTAAGTTTATCTTGCTGTAACTGTAATATGCTTGGTCTGTCAGTATTTAAATAATGAGTTCTGATCAACACAGTAGTAGCCGATACGATGATACCAATAAGAAAGCCATCAACTACGTTGAATACGACCGTACAACTGTATGTTATTATCCATACTGACTGAAACAGTTGAGCAGAGGTTAATTACTTTATAAAAAATATGATTTTCGATCATAATTTTGACCATTCTGCTCATAATATACGATAAATAAGCTTGTTTTTAGCATAATAACTTAAAAAATTAAAAAAATTTTAGGGAAAATACGCCGTGATAACTTTACCATTTAAGGCCAAATCACATACCAAATCAAGTAACGAAGCATGGTACAACTTGACTATCGTTGGCAGAACGTTAAGTATTAGAGGTTTGAAGCCAAACATAATAAACACACCAATCGAGGCTACTGGAAGATACGCCAATAGAGGTGCAAAGATGTAATATATGGAGACAAAAGTTATCAATGCTACAAAGGAGTGGATCTGAAAGCAATAAGTACATTATTGACTATACTTTTAAACGGAATTCTACCGATTATTGACCAAGATACCATACTGTCTATATTAATAATATAAACAAAAGTTTAAAAGTAAAAAAGGTCAGTACCCCAAATGTAATATTTATAAGATCGTTCAAGTAATTATGTGCCCTAATCCCAAAAAATTGCTTTGAGAGAGAGCTCAGAACTATTTAAACAACCTAATAGTATTGTACCTGAGATCGTGCAGCTGTTTCAATAGCCAAGACAGCTCGTACTTGTGGTGCCGAAGATGGGTAGCCTCTGACAAATGATAAGAAAACATGGATAACACCCAAAGCCCACGATTCTTGCAATCTTCTGGGCTTTACCAGGCTTTTTTTACTCAGTAACTTGCATGATGTCCACTGTACAGCCATGCAAGCTAATGCCATTTCAACAGCGTCTAACCATATAATTGAGACAATATCTAGCTTGGGGAAAGGGACTCTTATTCTTGGTAGGCTGAAAATTGATAGAAAATATAACTATATATAATATATTATATTTGAGTTTTGGGCGAAGTAAAAGCGCTTTACAGCGTCAAAAAATACTACTATAATATAAATTAAACCTTAGTCAAGTACAACAAGTTCTTACTCAGTAACAATCTCTCCAACAATAGAAACTCCTCGGTCTTGCCACGAAAACATTAACACCATCAAACTGGTCGCAAAATACATTAAAGTATTCCATGGTACGCCAATGTTATATCGACTTACTGCCAATACTCGTGGATGTAAAAAGTCCTTGCCTATGAAAAGAACAGCAAATCCAAACACAGATAAACCAAAAGTAATCAAATTGATCGATGATATCGAGGTACAAAGCTCGTAGATGTGCTGAAATGAAAGTGCCGTAAGATATAATGCTTAAATCTAAAAATACAGTAAGGTTTTGCCACAAAAAACACAGAAGTATTCTCCGTTTACCGTAAGCTTCTGTTAAAACTTACCCCGAAAATATACCCAACCTTCAGCCGATTACCAGTCGGTTTTATCCCCAAGAACCTTGCCATTTGCGCAACAAAGATGTGTGTTACAGTACCAGCGCCAAACGCCGAGTACACGTCAGCCGACACCAATGATAACAAGATGTTAAGCCTAAACAAAGCTATCACAACTTGAAATACTCCACACAACAAACATATCGTCTGTACCACTTCTTCGTACGTGTAGTCATCCATATTCTGGTCGAATTCATCTCCAGAGAACATAAATTCTATCCTTCTGTTAGCGTTCAGCGTGCTCAAGGCTTTAAGCGTAGCTACGTTAAGCATTAGAGCTACAAACGGACCACTGCCTAATGAGGCTGTAGGTGATGAGCCTAGTAGAGGGTAGAGAAGAAGGGTGAATATTGTAGTATATAAGCCGTGAACTGGTCGAAGGCCGGCTAGAAGGGCACATGCAAAGGCTAAAAAATTTTCTTTTAAAGTCTCGTAATTGCCCTAACAAAAAATGTTTTTCCAGTACTGTGTATACCCTTACAACGTACTCTGCGCGCTATATATACCTTCATAACGTACTCTGTGCAATGTGAAAGCATCCCAAGCTGAATCCCGAGCAGATGTCATTAATCAGATCCCTCTCCCATCGATAACATGGCAGCCAATCAATTATGGGAAACACACGCTTTGCCTTGTTGTAACAATTCCAAGAACTCGTCGACGGTTTTTTGTCAATAACTTTTGGACAATGATCTTTTTGTTCATTGAGAGACGAAGAGCCGGGAGTGGAGGAGACGTACTGTAATCAGAACATTAGGTATAAACTTTGAAATTGAAAATTAGTACCTACAAGGAAAGTACCCAACCTGCAACTCTCAGAATTAGCTCAAAATTTTTATACAGATTCTTTGTACTGCCAGTAGCACATATAAAAAATCTTAGCTTGCGGTTTTAAGTTTTAAAATTAATATATTTAAACTTCCCGCCAATTTGGCAAATTTGGCATTGTGTTGCAAGCACTTTTTTGATGTTCCAGATAAGACAGGATTACGAATTTAAATTTTCAAGTTTATTTGAAACTTTTCTATCCTTATATTAAAGAAAAATAGTTAAAAGTCAAAAAATGAGGAAGTTATATGCTTGAAACACTATGCCAATATGGCGGGAAATTCAAAACGTGATTTTTTGATCTTGATTTTCTCAAGACTGGCCGCAAACCGCAACTTAGAATTTTCCATAAAATCTTACATTTACATGATCTTCCGATTAAAAAATTTTAAACGAAATCTGAGCGTTGCAGGTCGGGTACCTTCCTTGCTAGTTAAGACTAAAAATTAATCACTATCGTAACTCTTATAGGTCTTTTCGTAGAAAGTCCAAATTTAATGTATTCTTTATTTTTAGTAAAATGCTATGGTATCTTATTACAAGTTATTGTACTGTAAAGCATTTTCATTTGTTTTTAAATTTTAGCTTTTTAAAACCCATTCTTGATCAAATATACAATAATATAATTCACAGCGGTGCTTTTTATGACTTTGTAACTTCCTTAAATGACGTCATGCTTTTTGCTCTCTGTCAAGTTTACCATAATCTTAAAGTTTACACTTTTTTATTATAATTATAACGTCTACAAAAACGTTTCTGAGGAGTTTTGCATTAAAATTAAAAGTTGGCACAGACTTTTAAGTTAGTCATTACAAAATGTAGTCCTAAAAATCTCAGATGCCTGATTCTAAGAGGAAAAGTATCAGACCTCTGAAAGTACGAGGAAACGAGAGAGGCTTCCCAAAAAATATTTTTTTCCTTGGAAAAATAAGTTGCCTCCCCCCCCTTCTGACTTTCCTATCTTAAGTTCTTAAGTATATTATAGCAGCTTCAAAATGGTTTCTTAACGGTACTTAAATACTGTAGCTTGCCTATCGGCCTTGATGCTTTTATATATATTTTTACTAAACCATCATACAGTAACATTACTAGATATAAAAAGAAAACCTTACCTTGCCATTCAGAACCAAGTCTTCGAAGCTGAGTATCGTATCATTTTTACTTTTGGCTTTACCATTTGGATACACTGACATACCTACAATTATAAAATTGTTTTTTTGTATTATTTACTATCCTGCTCTTAACAACGAAACAAGTCGTCGGAACGTATAATATCGTATGTTGCAAACTGAACGGTTGTAAATAGCAAACGCTATGCTTTATGACCCATAAAAGCATGTTAACTAACTTATTCTATAAATTATGTCATTTTTATTAAAAAAGTTTATAAATTTGATAGTTTTATATACAGACAGTAACAAGATTGTTACAGTACGCAGTTACTTTTCAATAAAATAAGTTGTAACAAGACAAATGTTGTGATAAAGACACATCTTTTATAATAAGAAACAAAAACAACTAGCACCAGACCTTATTAATGGGGTTGTTGAATTACCCCGCCTCTTTCCTCTGACCGAGTTCATGTCTCGTATTTCAACCGTACTGAAACAATACTATGAAAGAAAGGTTACCACGCGGCGATCGGTCAACCGACTTTAATAGAACACAAAAAAGTAAAAAGTAGCTGGGGATCAGGTTTCTGAGAAAGAAGATATACGTGATACAGTGATAAACAAGGCAACATTAAGCTACTGAGAGTAATACTATTAGGTTGTTCATATAATTCTGTGCCCCCAAATTTAAAAATTAGCTTTCAGAACTAGGCTAAAGATTACTTCAATACTTTTCATAAACTAAAGTGAAGTTTTTTACCACAGTAACCACAGAACGGTCAATTTTGTATACAGTTATCACTTTCACACGCTTTTAAATACATTATACTTTCGACCTTTCCTTATAACTCTATATTGTGCCTCTTCGATTATCTGATATTTTAAAAATCAACTTCTATTCTTGTCGCAATAACTTGTCATCAAAAGATATTAAGACCCAAGGAAGTAAGTTAGCCTAACATCAATTTGTAAACAAATAAAAAAACAACACAAAAACTGTTATTTTTGATAATTAGGTTTGGTATGGTATAGTGGAGCTCTTTTATGCGTAGTATAAACAAAAAAGAACTTTGTAAAAGTGTAAGCAAGTTTTTCTATTATTAGATAAAAAAATTTGAAACTAACAAAAAAGTACCCAACCTGCACCGCTCACAATCAGCTCAAAGTTTTTATATCAATTCTTTGTACCACCAATAGCATTCATCGACAACTTTAACTCGGTTTTTTGAATTTTTAAATTAAAATATTTGAATTTTCCCGCCATTTTGGAAAATTTGGCACCGTGTTTCAAGCACATGTTTCGACTTTTCAAACAAGCTACGCTTACAAATTTAAAAATTTAAGTCTATTTAAAGGCTTTCTACTATTACATAAAAGAAAAATGATTAAAAGTCAAAAAAAAAAAAACAAATTTGTAAGCTTGAAGCACAATGCCAATTTGCTGGAAAATTTAAAACTTTTTAACAGGAACTAATTTTTTTTACTTCTTGAACACTTTGAAATTGTAAAAAAGTGTGAGGCCAGTGTAAGAAATATGTTATTACACCATTTTACGTTTCTCGTTACAACTAAATTTACACAGAATATAAATGAGTTCACAATGTTTTTGCCAATTCTATGCTTTCTAGCGTTAGCTTCAGTTTAATAATCTAAAAATTTTAAAATCTAACCCTAAACATAAAAAAGAAAATGAAAAAAACATGCCGAAGTTTTGATCATCTTCCTATTGTAGGTAAAAATGCAGTAAAACTTTTATGAAAGCAACTTTTAAGGACTTTTAAAAAACCCCAGCGTCCCAGACGAAAATATTCAAAAAATTTTTGGTTTTTATAGTTGAAATCGAAAACAAAAGTGATAGTTCCAAAGTTTTAAACAAAAGCCAACTTCGGACCGTGATTTCTTTGCATAAATTTGTTTTTACGTAATTTTGAATGTTGTACACACTTTGATCAAAGACTACTTTTTTGGTAATTCAAAGGCCATTTCATTAAACTTTGGTATAAGTTTATTTTTTTGTTATCTAATTTTTTAAAACTTTTATCTTGTACAATTTCATAAAAACCGCAATATTAATGTTAATTTATTGGTTCTTGAGGTAATGTATATTTTGTATATTTATATCTAAACTAATTGTTTCAATCTGAGGTTTGCAAAATTTCAACGGACTTTTTCACAAAATCTCGGTACATTTCAGGTATATTGTCATCAGATACACTAAGCCATTGGTAATCTGTCATTTCTGTTGGAGTATAATTTCTAAAAGTAAAGTAATAAATTTTTAAACTTGAGAATAGTATCAAAAGCTTTCTATAAGTGAGGTTGACCTGACTTCTGGACGTTTATTGAATGAGCAAAGCAGCAGAATCTTTGACAGACCAAACAAACTCCCTCGTATTTTACTCTCACACAAGTATAAACTTACTTCAAAGTAATGGCCCACAAGTCAGCTTCAAGCCAAGCATTATCAGTCGCTTCTTCAGTGTCAATTGGAGTGCAGGTGACATGTGCAATATTGTGATCGCGTTGTCCTACACTCAAATGACTTCTGATTGAAAACCTTTGAATTTCGGAATCTGACACCTTCAGATTAGTCAGAATAACTGACAAATACTCATCTGAACGTAGTCCACCGTACTTTTGTTTACTCGGTAGTTGATTGTTAGAAGTGAGTAATACCTAAAAAATCGAAGTGTCAAATATAGTGTGTATATACAATTAAAGTCAAATATATTATCAGATATTGTAAGCAGGCTGTAACATACACATTACCATGATCATAAAAAGTAAGGTTTTAAAACATAGTTAATACAAAGCTATGTTGTAATACACCTTGTTACTATCTTGAAGGTGTTTTTGTAACATAAACACCCTCAAGGCTGTGACAGACGTTTGTAACAGTTGTTGTAACAATAACTTTGTTAACGATAACAACTATTACAATGATGTATTTAACGACTTCTCAGAAAGGAAGGACTATAAAAACCTTTTTTGCCCTTTTAAAACAACGATTAAGTTTTTCAAATAGTTCTGTATCCTCTAACCCTAAAAATTCGCTTTGAGAAGAGCACAGAATTATTTGAACAACATGTAACTTTGAAAAAAAGAATAAATAAGAATATAAATAAAAGTGAAAGTAACAACCTTGACGATCCAATACCCGTTTATACCTACCTTAATATCGTCCTCAACATGAGCAAGAATAACATAAAAGTAAATGACATTCGATCCAAATTTGGCAAAGTTTCCTCTGCCATATTTGCCTTGTCTCCCCAATGGATTCAAAGGTAATCCATCAGAAGACAGCAGGCGATCCTTGTTAACATCGTTGTTGATGTGACGTCCCAGCTTGTTTTGTCGCCAATTCTTCTTGATCTCCGCGATGTGCTAAAAGTGCATTTTTTCATATTTTGCAAACTTAGTACTATTTCTCTACACAAAATTTAACTTCTTTTCGAATATTTAAACTTGTGACACTTCGTTCATCTACTATTAGAAAAATTGACATTTCGTTAACTTAATAACATAAATTTTTTAACAAAATATTGTTACATTACGTTGTTCAAGTAATTCTGTGCCCCTCTCAAAGCAAATTTCTAAGGTCGCGGGGCATAGAATTATCTGAATAACCTAACACCTACCTCGATATTATCCACCCTTTTCCTCAATTCGTATGGAAACTCGTCCACATTCTTGGAGTAGCTTGGTGCGTAGTAATTGGGTAACAGTACTGTCCATGGTTTATAATCGTCTTTTACGACCAGTCGATCCTTTTCTTTCGTGAAATGCTGAACTTTGTTATCACTTTCCTTAAAAATGTTTGATATCACTAACAGTTGAAGCTTTTCATTTAATCGAACAACGGAATCTGATCGACATGATGTACATTTAGAAGCTGTAGATGAAGATGACGTTTTCCAATGTTTTATAAACTTGTCCGACCAAAAGTCTGGTCTTTGAGAGCGTTTTAGTGGGGGAATCTGAAATTCCTGATGTTAATTTAAGTTTTCTTACAACTACCTTACTTTAATATTGTAAAACCTACTATTACTTTTTTACTTTAATATTGTAAAACCTACTATAATATACCACAACAAACAATAATAATAACAAAAACTCTAGAATTCTTCGAAAAACACTGATCATAAACTATCTTACACTAGGATTCCTGTAGATGTTCCTATTCTTTCCAAACAAGGAGAATATTCCCCTTTCATCCGGATGTTCTGTCATCCTCCTTTTGTTCACAATCCAAATGCTACAGCCACAGATTCTCCTCAAAATCAATATTCCAAAGAAAACGAAAGTAAAAGGTGCTGGTAGTACTGGTCGTGCAGCAAATTCCATTCCAATATAGTACAATTGAAGCACTCGTTTGTACTGTACCTCCTCTCTACTACTGTATACTCCATAGACAAACAGTGCTACCAATAGTGGCAGCAATAGAAGGTTTAGGATAAGAAGATACTGACCAATGGCAAAAGATGACAGTATTCCTCCAGTAGGGCAGTTTCGATTACCGTAACCTCCTATGACACCACACTGTTGTGGAGGTTGAGTGAAAGAGAACCTAGCACAGTCGGCAGACTCTGATAAGAAGGTGAAGTCAGGTTGAATGATAGATTTGAGAGCCCAAGATGTCACTTCGGATAATTGAGAAGATACTGCTTCAGTATCAGGAAATACCACGGTCTTTGTTGCTATGATACTACTGAAAACTTGATTTTTAATAGCTTCAAGCCAGACATTATCATTAGCCTTTTAAAGTCTGTTTTCAATACTAAAATACAGTTCAAGCCCTACCAGAACACCACTAATGAAGCCCCAAAGATTACAGCCCCAACACTCTTTGAGATGTTCTTCAAGTAGATTATCAGCTTTCCAGAGCCTTCAAAGTAGGGTCCATAGAGAAAGAAAGTAGCGTATGATTGATAAATGAAGAATATCGCTTGTAGACTCTTGTAGACGTACCAGTAATTCAAATACTGAAACAAATGACGTTTTCAACAAAAAATTATATTATTACTTGTCTGTAAAGCAGATTAGTTAAGTTATGTTCTTTTAATATTAAAGACATGATAAAAAACTTACATCCGCCGACCAAAACTTTGAACCAACAGTCCGAAAGATCAACGAACAACATAAGAATGTCATGATGATGATTTGGTCAAACATCCGGAACTTCATCTGAGAATAACTTTACATAACATAAATTGATATACCATGAAAAATAGCATAAAGCTGTAAACAAATTTTGAGGTGAAGGGCACAGAATTATTTTAACATCCTAATAATTTTTTAATTTGCATTTTAGTTTTATCCCCTCGACCTGCAAAGACAAGATAGACCTACCTTATTCAGCATAGTTGTTTTCAATCGAACCGTCAATACCCAAAAGCCTTCGCATAAGTAATTCAAAGTCCACATCCAAACAAGTAACAATAAGGTTTCATTTACACATCCTCTTTGCATTAACTGAAACAAACTTTCTTTAAAAAATTATTTTTCTACCTACTAGATGGTTCAAATAATTCTGTGCTTCCTACAAAAGCAAATTTTCGAAGTTAAAGAGCACAGAATTATTTAAACAACCTGATGGATGCTTTAAACACATAAGAACGTGCAAATCAAAATGTAAAAGAATATAGCAGTCCCACTTATTGAAAACCTACAATAATATAAAGCAAAACTACCTATCAAACCTACAACAATACGCCAAGCCTTACCGTAAAACCAAAGAAGCCTAAATAGAGAAATCTGAAGAAGAGTGAGATCCAAAGTTTGACGACCGGAGTATCATAGAAGGTTTCCACATCCTCGACCGTAGTCTGTCGTTTTCTGTGGGATTTGTAGCTAGGTGACCATCTCAGATTCATGCCAAGCGGAGATGGTGTGTGCCGAGAGATTCTGTTCTCATTACCGTACAGGAAAGAAGACTCAACATCATCGTTGACAGGTAACATGTTATGATTGTTGTGCATGAAATTGGTCGATTGTGAGTCGTTAAAGTCCACATTGAAGTTGCCCATGTCATTTTGTTCTGGATTCAGGTCTAATGGGGTTGTTTCTCGAGTGTTTAGGAAGTCGTGGGCGTAGATTGATCTACCTGAAGATTTTTAGGTGATATTTTATTTAATTTTTTAAATCTTCCAGTAATTTTTCGTTGTTGATAACATATTTAAAGCCTAAAAGTCTACCCAAAAATTTTTAAATAAAAAATTGTTTCTTCAGACACTTTTGATCGTATAACATGATGAGCGCAGTCTGCAAAAAGAAAAACAGAAAAACTGTGCCTAAAACTGGCTTTTTTCTGTCAAAATAGATCAAACTCTACCTAGATTATCTATGAATTTTGATTATTATTGTAAAACAAGCTTACTAGCAGTAGAATACATGCTCATAGCCCTCTTAGGCTTCGATACCCGACCCTCAAACTCCAACATAGCTACAGTAGGACTGTGACCTTTGTCATCAGCATCTTTTTGTAGACTACTCCATAGACTTCTTCTCTGTATGTACCAGTATTTTATTGGAAATACTAGTAAGGCACTTAAAATTATCTTGAGTCCGTTGGTACAAGAAGATGAAGTTACTATGGTAGAGTTGAGAAGTCGAATCGCCCAGCATTTGAAACAGTCGATTGATAGTAAACTGCGGTTTTCTGTCTGTAAAATGACATTGTTTATATATTATTCGTAGTACGATGTATAAACATCATTACATAGACTTAACTATACTACATGATTGTATTTGTTATCTACTACAACAATATAAACTTAAAACAACCTTTAAAAAATAAAGTTAACGTACCTCAAAAGCCAGAAGAGCCGCGCTTTTCCCATTATAGTATTTGTTCTGAGTACACAACGCCTGATATACCTTCAGTGGCTGTTTACCATACTGTTTACCAACAATTTCACTACAGTAATCTTCAAAGAACGCCGCTATCTTGAAATATCCAGTACAGTAAAACGAGTAGTTACTGCATGTCTTCACCAACTCTTTGGCTACCTTACATAACACTATGGCCAGGTGTAGAGGTTCATTTGAATAAGCAGCTAACAGTTTACATGCTTCCAACTGATTGATAAGTAGTGCCCAGGTAGCCAGGACAGCTATGGTACGATTGGTGTCGACTTCGTTTGGCGGAGATAAAAGGATTTCGGCTGGGAATAAGTTGTAGATTCCATCGGATAGCTGGTACTAAAACTGATTATTTTAAACTTTAAAATTTAAAAAAATAATATATAAAAAATAAAAATAATGCCCCAGCAGAGCATAATACAGCAACTTTTCCAAAATTTAGGTTTGAAATAAACGTACCAATAACTTGTTGATGTCATTAACAAACTCAATAGAAATCTCGTTCGGGATTCGCCCATACCCCAAGATATTCTCCATGATTACCGTTTGGAAGAAAAACTGAAACTATTTTTGGTTGAAGCAATGTATTTTACATGAATCTTATAGTTTTAAAGAAGTTCATACATAAAAATATCCGGTAGGTCAATAAACACAAATAATCAAAAAATTGCATGATCGCCCCGTACAACCATATCAATACTACTATAGATCAGAGACGTTTTTGTTCCACAGATAGCTGTGAAACTATTTTTCAAAAATTTTACTATAACTAACTCCTTTTCAATTTTATAAAGTAATAAAAACTTACTTTATCATCCACCTTATCCAACCATCGTAACAAAAATGTGTCCGACAAAACAATCGACGGCTTTTGATTCAGAACCTCGAGAAGAGTTTCTTGTTTGTGTTTTGATGTCAAGGCATTCAATAAAATGTCATTTATACTCTAAAACGTCATAGTTTAATTTAACAGAACTTCTGTGATCTTACAAGCAAAGTAACCAACCTGTCCCACTGAGAATCAACTCAAAGTCAGCAAACTGAGTAATTGTATTACTTTCCTTTTTTGATTAAACTATACATAAAACTATAATCTAACTCCACCACACCGTACCTCCCTTCCGAAAGAGCTTCCAACCTCCAGATGCCTCAAAATTGATGGCACATTCAATTTAGCAGCCAGCTCAGCAACTTGAGTCAAGTCGTTCACATCAGTAGTAGTTTTACTCAGTAAATTCAGCACATGTTCAGCCAGATTTTCAGTTTCAGAGGCTTTGATAAAGGTGAACAAGTTGTAGAATCCAATTCCAGTGGCAAAAATGATACAGATATCATCTTTGGCCTTGGCGATCTTGTTATCATCATTGTCAATCGAATGTAACTCTTTAGTTAGCCACTTGACAAAGGTGGAGTGCTCAAAGTTGGGTGTGTTGTAGATCATGAAAGAGTTGCGGAGAATGGCACATAACTCACTACAGTCCTGTAATAATACTTACATATACATCACTATAATAATACTAAATACTGTAACAAAACGTTATGACTATAAAAAACACTATAAAAACACGTTTAATCGTATAACCTCTCACTCGCAGACTGCATAATAATATAAATATAAGAAAAATAGACCTTAACTTACTTCTATAATAATAACAGGTGCACCACATTGTATATACTCCTTCAACTCAACTAATGACTCCAAACTAGCTCCACAAAACAAAGTAACAGGTAACGGATGTCGTTCTACTGAGTGTAATGTATTCGGAAGTATAATAGCTGGCGCTGTAGACCCTAATGGTGTCGGTGGTACCGTAGCTGACGATATTTTTTCATCTGGTACCCCAATTAATAAAGCTAAAATTTATAAATTGAATAAAATATATAAATTGAATTATCAAACTAAAAAAGCTTATGACAATGAACTTAAAAGCAACCTTACTATCAGTAAAACCGTTTATAATCAAAAAGTAATCATGATAATCATATAAAAGCTCTTACCAGGTGGAGGAGTGGTTAACTTAGTAGCCAAACGACATCTGAACAGATTCGTATCTTCATCTGTGATATTCCCTTCTCGCTGTAGGATATATAACGTGTTGAAGCAAGAGTTTACCATCGGCTTCTTGTAGTCCCATGGTTCTGTAGCCTTATGTATCACAGTACCATTATTAACTATGAAGAACAAGGTTTCTGAGATGTTCTCCCTCTAAATTTTAAGCTATATTCATATAAATTAAACCCTTTATCTTTAAAGTCTTAAAATGAAAACTCTAGCTATGATAATGTAACTCTAGCTATAACAATATCCCTCTGACCATAATAATATACCTCTAACTGTAACATATACCGTATAACCAAACTTTTGTCTGTTTGTTTGCTTTTCTAATAGTTTTACCAAAGATCAACGATTCTGTTTGATTTTTGTCCCAAATCTCTGGCCAGAGTATTATGAAACTTAATTACTATAGTAGTTGCACTTTGTTTGTTTGTCTTACCTGCTCAAGTTGTTTTCGGAACGCTCGAGCAAAAACGTTACTAATCTCGTCGTCCTCTCTGCCATTTCCAACCACCCACAGGCCGCATTGGCCGATCACTTTTTGAAAGCCGCGATATAAAGCGTCAGAGATCTGAAATTGACTTCTGTAACTTATTTTTATATTATTCTTGACTCTTTTTAGAAAATCAGTTTGAGGAAGGTATACTATTAAGGCATAATAGCTGTCAGACACAAGAAAGAACAAATATTGATATGTTTTCCATCTGTTTCGGTGAGTAACAAATCAATTGATATATTGCGGATGTTATTCATGTTTGACGATTCATTTTATTAATAGAAACACTTCCGTAAGCACATTTTTCTTCAAGAATAATAGCTTTTGGTAATTAGAAAGTTTTTGAACCATTAAAAGTTCAAGAACAGTCAATTTCGAGTAAATCACAATAAATCACACCCTCAATATACGATTCTATCGGTTTCTTACCTAAAAACGCACAAAAAACTACTAAAGACATACCCTTAAATGTTCTGCTCCTTGTATTACAGCTAAAAATAGTCCCAAATCTATCACAATATAAAGATTAACTTTCGGCCGATAAATAATTATTTTTTATGATTTTTTACACTTCGTCTTTTCGCTTTTGACACTTCGTTTCAATTAAACATGAAATCTTCAAAAACTTCAAAAATCAAATCAAAATAAATAAATTTGTTTGTTTGCCTTTTCGAATTTGCATTATACGTTTTTCGAACTTCAAAAAGGCAATTCGAATATGTTTTTAGATATAAACTGAGAAAAAAACACAGCGAAAAACTGGTTTCAGGAGGGTTTTTTGAGGTAGCTCACGAGGTTAGAGGGCTTTTTGCTCTCTCAACTTTGTTTTTCAAAAGTTTACGGATTATCGACTGTTTCTGGATTTAAAATGCAACTTTTTATGATATATTTTGAGGCATTTGTGTTTGATATGTTACCTAAATTTAAATTTTTAAAATGTCATTTTTATTTTTGAGTAAAATACGGGCAGTACTTCATAACTTATTATATATTATACTGTTCTTTATAAAATAATATCATTCTATATGATATATAAACAAAAGGTTGATGTTAACGCGAAAAAACGTACTGTTTTTGCCAGTTAACATCTTTGTATACTTAACCTTAACTTATAGTCTACTGCTCAGTAAACAGGCGAGTATTGTTGTTCTACCATACCTCCTATTATACCACCCACTGTTTTGTATACCCAAAAAACCGTTTTCCTTAAAAAGTAAACAGTATACCTCCTTTCTATTGAATACTTCGGTCTACCTAGATCTAGGGAACAGGCCTGGCCTGTGCAAAATTTAGGTCGGGTCGGGCCTTGACTTTCAGTTGCTCCCTATGTCTAGGTCTACCTTACCTCATTTTAGTTCTACACCTTACTTTAATATCTTCTTTACCTATTGGTGAGACTAAAGTAAGGTACAAACCTATTTTCACCCCCATAAATCTTACAGTAGTTGTTTATTTGCCCATTAACCTCTGACTCATGTTAACCATTTATTTTCGACAAATTTATTTTTAAAAAAATTCTTTGAATTTAGTTTTTCCAATTTGAAATGTTATTTTTGCGAAAACTTTGAGGAGTTATTGTTAGAGGTAAAGAGCTGAGTCACGACTGATCTTTACTGTAAACTTGGCCGAACAGTGGGCGGTGAAATTGTTAATGTGCGTGATTTCCGTTTAAATTCGGGAGTTTTATTAATATTGGCGTTTTGGAGGAGAATATTAAAGAACGAGGTTTCTGAAGAGTTGAGACCTTACTTTTTATAGATTTTTATGGTTTTAGGACAATATATTAGCCATGTTCTAGATTACTAGACGCTTATTATGGGAAACTTTAAAGGACTGACATTTCGTGTTGATCATAGCTAGTTCCCTCTACTGTTTGATTAGAAAAAACTAGCTCTTATCGGCTATGATATAAATGTAGCAACTTGTTTTGACAAAATGAACTATTAAAGTTAGGCTATGACAACATTTAACTCTAAACGTTATTGAGAATAGAAATTTACATAATATTTCTCATAATGTATAATATATTATATTTTTGCATCAATATACCCTGTACTTTTAAGTAAATATTTACTATAATTTGGGTTTTATTTACGCTCCGTTCCTATTGATAACCTTAGTAAACTTTCAATATCAAGATACTTTGATAAGCTTTAGCATATGTATATACTTACAATGACAAAATATCCTTGAGAAACTAGTAAATTTACAATGTCAATATACCCGTGATAAACCTCAGTAAACTCTAAATGTCAATATCTTTTCAGAAAGTTACAAAAATGGTTTCCCAAGTTTCTTTACTATGTTTGGCCGTGGTGGTGGCCGCTGCTGTAGCTCAACCTATCGGTGGCGCTGGTATGCCAGGTGGCCAAGTTGAACAAGATGCACAAGACCCAGAGTATACCGTAAGTTTATGTTTTTGATTATTATATATCATCGGGCAGAATCTACAGTGATTTTTAGTAAAAAGTTTATTGCTTTTGGTGTTTTGACTTTTGGATTCAAAAAACTATCCAACTAGCTATAACAACACCACAATTTCAATCTTTGGACTTTTAATTAGCTCAAAACTGTTTTAAATTCTTTTAAAATTAAAATTTTGAACTTTCAGGAGCTGGCCAAGAAGTCCATGTCCCAATACGCTGCCAAAACCAACGCCAACTACGAGTTTGTTCGCGTTAAAAGTGTCAAAACTCAAGTTGTAGCCGGCTCTCTGACCACAATTGAGTTTATTGTCAAGGACAATGGCCAAGAACAGTGTCTCAAGTCAGAGGTCTTGTCCCAGCCGTGGTTGAATGTGGAAGAACACAACGTTACTCAATGTTAAGCACATACAATATTGCTTCACGGGCCTGCTATACCTTAACTATGCTGTAAAATACGAAAATGTTTATATTTGACTTGCTTTACGTAGTTTTAACCAAATTCTTGTATGAATATTGTGCAGACTTACATTGGATCACAAATAAATTTATTTTTAAGAAATATATTGACTTTTAGGTATGGTAATATCATAATTTCTAAAGTTTCGGCCTCGAAATCAGCTATAGCCACAAGAAAAACCTATTAGATATAACTAATCAAACAAAAGACCATCTCGATCATTTCACAAAGTGTCTATAAAATACTGTAAATTAAAAAGAACGATGGGCGGACGACGTTATGAATATGAATAATATTAAAAGCAAATTAAATGGCAATTTAAAAATTATAAAATAACGGGTTGCAAGATAGTATTTAAAGAGGCATTTTTGTTGCAGAAATAAGCAGTTTTGTTATATTATAGAATCTTTTTGGGCTCTTAGTAGCGTAAAGCCCACTTTCAGCGGTTTATATTATAGTAGAATTGTACCTTATTTAAACATGTACCGTACTTTACTATGCGCTGTTTTTTATTTTACAATAGATATAAAGGCTTAAGTTTCAGAAAATAGAGAAGATGCCGTCTCCAATTGCTAGTGTTTTCTTCGGTTTTGACTTTAATTGTCATGCTTAAGGTCAAGTTGGAGGTGAGACAAGACAAGACCCCAGCAATCCTGAGTATACTGTAAGCTTGCATTTTTTATGATTATTTCTTTTCATAAAATTTTTTTTTAATTTTAATTTTGCCAAAAAAGTCACCAATGCTAGATTTTAGCCCCCTTACTTTAGGCTAAACAACCCCCCCCCTTTCAACCCTATATCCCTTGGCTAGGCAGCCTAGCCTATATTACTTATTTACAAATTTCAGGAACTAGCCCAAAAGTCTCTACAACAATATGAAGCTGAACACAATGTAAACTATCAATTGGTTCAAGTAGTAAGTGTCAAAACTCAAGTTGTGTCTGGCAGTTTAACTACGATCGTATTCCTTGTAAGCGATAATGGCCAACAAGAATGTCTTAAGTCAAAGGTCTGGTCCCAGCCCTGGTTGAATAAAGAGCAATATACTGTAACACTATGTGATGAGTAGGACTACAGAGCTATCGTATCTTGACTGTATCGTGAAATGTAAAATTATTTCTTAATCTTGGTTTATGTTGTAATAAACGTATTTGACGTATTTTGGTAAAAGTTAACTATAGTAGGCTATTGACAATACTAAGCATACATAAACATCAATCAATGTTCCTCAATTGTGCCACACAATATAAATTAAACCTGCTAAAGTAAAACCCCTACCTCACTGTCGAAATGGTTGCCAGTACTGACTAAACTGACCAGTAGTTCAGGTATACCTTCGTCAAGTTCATTAGCCATTGCTGCCAGTTTACTGTAAATCTCTTTCACTGTTTGTGCAATCTGAGAACGATGGGGAACGTGAATGCACGGCCATAACTGAACGTTTACGCCAGGAGTGTTTTGGTTGTTCTGATCTACACTAACCAACACACTGACTGTGTTTGTGAAGACTGCTTCTTTCAGCAGGTCTTCTTCCATGTGTCTGCAAAGATTTTGACATATATATTTGAGACGGTATAATAAATTTAATTTAAATAGTAAAAAATTTTGGAAAAAAATTTTAATACCTGAAAAACTATATGTTTTAGAAACGTTATATAGAATAAATTTAAGAAATTGCTTTACTGTGTTCTATAATATAGTCATAGCAACATTTTTATTAAGTTGTCCAAAAAGTTCTAAACTAAATTTTTTTTTGACAATTATAACTGACGTAAAAGATAAGAAGAATAATATAAAATAATTTGTAGTAAAAATATGGATAGTCATCTGTCAAAAAATAATATACGCCAACTTTTTCAAAATTTTCGTTTAGCTCAGAACTTTCCCGACAACCTAATGGTAAGGATGAGAAACGGGCCGGGCCGGACTCATGTTTCAAACCCGGCCCATTTCAAATTTAGCTCAAAGCTGGCCGTGCCTGTTTCTCATTCCTAACTTTTTTCAGAAATAGAGTGAAACCATTATTATTGATGAAAGTATACAATTTGCAAAGCGCATCAAAAGTTCAAAATCGCTAATAAAATTATCTTATAATAAACGATAATAGCATACACAATATTTTTATGATTGTCAGCCATATTAACCATGATCAGTATAATCATCTTAACTATGAGCAGTATAACTACCTTTACTATGTTCAACACAACTATTTTAATCATAAACAGAGTAACTATGTAAAACATGAACAACATAACTATCATAAGCATGCTTAGTATTACCATCAGCCACAGCACGCTATGTCTGCTGAACTTTGCCCATAAAAAACGAAATTAATATTCAAATAGTCAATTAAATTAAAAGTATCGCAAATCTTTTTTCTCTTTTGTACCTATCTCTGCCCGTCTCTCCTCTCTCCACACTCTCTCGTTTCATCAATGAATTAACCAAAATGAAAAAAAATTGAAATTCGTGTCGACACCTATCATTAATCAATATCATTAATCAAACGCTTCGTTTCCGCTGAAGAGAGTGTGTGGAAAACAGAGAGACAGAGGAGAGAGAGAGTGTTGAAGTTAGAGAGACGACTGAGAAATAGAACAGAGAAGTGAGAGAGACAAAAGGAATCAAAATAAAAGTTCAAATTGGAAAAAGAACACAGCCAAAGTTGATTTAGAGCATGGCTAATTGATGGACTAGGCCAGGTGATGAATAGGCATGGTCATTAGTCATGTCGCTTTGTTTGAAAACACTTCGAGACATTAAACGGATATTAACATAGGTGAAGCGATATTAACATAGGTAAAACGATCAAACAGAAAGTGAATTGAACCGGAAATAACAATTGACGTAGTTTCTAATTTAAAGTGTCGCGATCATAACATGATTTACAATAATGTTTGTACTTTACAGAGGAGAAGGTGGTAAAGATGGGTATGATGGGCATAGGCGTTGCTACAGTTTTTATTAGAGGAGAGTAGAATATGTAAAAAATAGAAGGTAAAAGAATAGTTTTTCTAAGAATTTAGGTAACACTTTTCAGTTTGCCAAGCTTTATTCAATAAAAATCATAACTTACAAGTAAAATCACTTGTTACACAGTAAAAATCAATTATTGTACAGTAAATTTTAATGCAATGAAGCCAAAAGATCATATATTATGTATTACACAGTAAAATCATCATTTCCAATACATTTTTGCCCCTTACACAACAATAATATCATGTTTCTTTTTCTAAACTTTTAGCTAGACCCTCACAAGAATCATTGGCTACAGATGTTGGTAACGATGTAGCTTCAATATTTTCCAACTTTTGTGGTGTGAGCTCTGATTCTAGCTTTGTATCTTTGTTTACTGTGGTTTGAGAGAAGATTGTTGTTGACTGAGTTGATGGTAAGGGGGTGTCAGTCGATGGAATTGGAAAGGACGGCATTGATGGCATTCCCAGCAAAGGATTCATCATCATACTAAAAGCATAAGCTTTCAAAAGCAACATTAAATCATGACTTCCAGCCCCGTATTTTACATTTTTTTAATTTTTAATTTCTTCCCCCTCCCTCCCCCTCCTCTTTCCCATGCAAAAAATGTTACTTCAAACCAGCTTACATTAAAAAACAAAAAATTTTTAAAAAAATTTCAAATTTTAAATTTAGCCTTACTTTTGGCTAGGAAACGCGCCCTTTGCCATATTTTGTCCCATCAGTGAGTTCTGTCTCCAAGCATACATGTACAGCTGATTCTGTAGCATTAACTGTTCGAACTGAGGCCAATTTACAATTGTCATCCTTTGTCGTTTGTCTTTCATTCTACGATTTTGGAACCATACCTATAATTTCAAAATTTTCCGTATTTCAAACTTTTTTGAATAAAAATTAGTTTTTGTAAAATATGGCAAAGCAAACAAAAATTTTTATTTCGAAGCTTCAAAATTTAAATAAAAAAAAACTTTTACTACAGTAACCAGCCTATAATCCCCGAAAGCTCCCAAAAATATTGAGGAATTCAATAAATGCCGCATAAAAACGGTCGAACTCCCAGTCGAATTGTGCGGCGAAATGTAAAATGCCCGGAGGGCGACAAGTCTATTGAGAATGGATAAATCAAATGTTTTTAATATCCGATATCATCCTCGATAAAGTCAGAGATAAAGTGCGTTGAGGGTACGGTAGTCATGGTGTTATACTATCAAGTTGTATTCGGTGTATAATAGTAGTACACTATAGAATGATATCATCATTCGAAGAATACTATCACAACAAAACTTATAATACTTTTTGATACAGTAATGTTATACCGATCTCTTAATATGTAAAAAAATATTATACTATCAGATAAACATTTTTCTTTAATTTTAGTGTAAAATACGTCATCTGGCAGATGATACATAAATTTTTGTCAAGATTACACTCACTTTAATTGTAGCTTCAGGTAACTTGAGTTCATGAGACAGCTCACTTCTTCTTGTCTTAGAGACATAGTTTTCTCGGCTGAATTCTTTCTCTAGAATCTCAATTTGTTCTCGAGAGAAGGCAGTACGGTAACGTCGAGCTGATGGGTCAGTAAATTCTGAAAATTTTTATTTTTTTAAAAAATATTTAAATTTAAACTAAATTTTAAAGTTTTGACTTTTTTTGCACTACTATTATGACTTGATATACCATCAAAAATAAAATATTGTTGGGTTATTCAAATAATTCGGTGCCCCGCTCAAAGCAAATTTTCGGAGTGAAGAGACTCAGAATTATTTGACCAACCAAATGGTTTTAAATCAACTTAAAGCCATTTATACCTAGTTATTTGAGTTCTTTGCGTCTTCCTTATAAGTTTTTAATATGATAAATTTTTTAAAATTTTACTTTTCATATAAATTTTTAAATTTATTTTTTTATAACTTTATGCTTTTGCTCATCTTGGTCCCGCCACGAAGTGTATTTTTTCTATAAAAATTTTTAAAATGTTGCTTTTTAATTTAAATTTATATTTTTAAAATTTCCTTGACTTGTAATGTCAATTTTTTTAAATAAGTTCAGGTCCCGCCACGAAAATTTTAAATTCACGTACAATTCCTTATTTTACCCATTTTCCCTCTAGCTCCTGCATCTTAAAATTTTCGTTAATTAATCAAAAATGCCTAGCATAACAAACAAAACGTCGTAAAATACTTGGCGCACCTGCCTCCATGTTCCGGCTGCCAATAAAGCGCGAGTCAATTTGTTTGTGAGATCATAAAAACGAGGGCCGGGACCGGATAATTGCCAAATAACCAAATTGGCCTCCAAAAAACCGGCATTATTTATGAATCCGGCAGTTAATTAACGTTATTAAATCGAGGGTTACGGTAGGCATGTAAATAATATTGGCATTGTTACAATAGGGTGAGCAAAAGTATTTTTAGTTAGGTGGTATGATATTTGTAACATATGGAACATTTTTCTATAAAAACTTTAAAAAATGAAAAAGCATGTTGTAGTATATAGTACGTTATATAGTACTACATAGTATTAGAGTAAAACAAAAATTTCATACTTTTTCATCTTTCAAATTTTTTAGTACTAAAGTTTTATGTTTTATCAACAAAAAGTTCATACTCACCACTACACTTCCCGAACCCATAAGGCGACGATGCTATTCTCATAGGACCACCTGAAGAATGTTGAGGACTGTCAATGTCATCGTCGTCATGATGACCATCTCCAGAACTGTTCGACGATGTAGACTGGTTTCCAGGATTCTCTTCTTCTCTGCTACAGGCTTCTAGAAGGTCTTTGAACTGCTTTGAGATCAAGGCTGGATTAGCATTCAGAAAAGAGTTGTTGTTGGCAGAGGAGGGTGATATTAGGGATGCTATGTCGAATGCTTGCATCTGAAAGTAAATTTTTGAAAAATTTTTTAAATTTTAAAAATGACAAAACGCTCCAATAAAAAAATTTTTTTGATTTTCGTCTTAAAAAAAACCCTTTGTCTCTTCCAGCTCCAACCGCTTGCCCACTCCTCCCCAAAAAAAATACACCCGCCCGACACTGGCCATGCCCCAAATATAATAACATTGAACAACTAAATGATAGCCAAATCGAAACACCGCCTTTACATAAAGTAAGCGGTCGGTTTTGTTGCGCAACGCCATTCGTTTTATGTAAATCAAAATAATTGTAAATTGATCAATGCCACAGCCAATTTACGACCGGTCAAACAACTGGTGTTCACAGGTTCCGACATGGGTTTTGGTGTGTTCACATTGGCTGTAGTTCTTAGTTTTATAAAGTATTATAATGTTATTTTGAAAAGTACAGTATTATTATTAGGTTGTTCAATTACTTCTGTGCTCTCTGGCAAAGCAAGTTTTTAATGCCAGTAAGCACAGAATTAGTTGAACAATTTAATAGAAAAAGAAGTGTAAAATTTGTGAAAAATTACAGTATACACTGTTCAAAACTTCACGGTAAATACACCACACCGTATTTTACAAAAGACTACGCCACTTAATCAAAACGTTACAGTAAGAAAATAGCAAAAATGCAAAAAACCCACTAAATTCTTTAAGACATCAACCCACGGCCAGACAACATGTTATGTTATGAGATGCTTAACTTGTGGCCCAAAACGCTATAAGTAGTGTTACGGTAAGACCCGCCCCTCGCATGTCGTTTATTGTGTCATCGGCGGTCTCATGAGATTATTGTCGCGCGCTCATTGGCTCACACATGCCTGACATAGCAAAAGCGTTGGCATAAATTGTAATGTTTTTATAGATATGTAATAAGTTTATGTTAAAATAGTCTGTTAGGATTTAAAAAATGACTATCAAAAAAGGTAGAGTTAGCGTCTAAGCGATCTAAATTAATGTTGGTCTAAATTACATTACAAGGAAAGTTCTCGACCTGCTATAAAACTTTTATACAGAAAGATGATATAAATATAAGGTCTTCATCAACTAAAAAATTACTGATGCTTTCTAAGAAGTCTCGAGAAAATCGTAATCAAACAGACGTTTCGAATTTTTTTGCCAAATTGGCGTTGTGTTTCAAGCTTATAACTTTGTCATTTTTTTTACTTTTAATCATCTTTCTTTGATATATTAGTAAAAAACTTTGAAATGAACCTATATAATTAAATTTTCTTGTTTGGAAAGTTAAAAGAAGCGCAAACATAACGCCAAATTTGCCAAAGTGGCGCGAAACTTAAACATTTAAAGTTTAAAATTCAAAAGTATTAGGTTGTCCGGAAAGTTCTGCAATATTTCAGTAGGTAAACTTTGAAAAATCAGGAAAAATTTATTTCTTGACGGAAAGAAAAAATTCTTTTTTTGTTTGTTTGTTTGTTACCTAAATTATTCAAAAAGGTAAGTTACATAACTTAATTTCATTTTTTTGTATTGTTTTAGGTATTAGAAAAAATGGAGAAATCTCGCCTGCGCGTGATTATATGGAATGAATTCAAACGCGGAAATACTGCGGCAGAAACCTTCAGAATCATAAACGAAAATGAGGGTAAGAATGTTGTGAGTTATTCTACGGTGACCAGATGGTTCGCAAAGTTTCGTGTGGACGATGAGAAGCTTGAAGACAAACCACGTGCAGGAAGACCCAGCAAACTTGACAAAGATGCCCTGAGGCGCAAGATTGAAGATGACCCACATATTACAATCCGGGAGTTAGAAGAGTTACTAAACTGTGGAAAAAGTACCATTGGTGATCATTTGAAGGCAATTATGGTCAAAAAGTTGGACAAATGGGGGCCTCACAATTTGACTGATCTGGGAAAAGCCAAGAGACGATGTGCTTCCGAAAAGCTTCTGCAACGCTGCAAAAACGAAGAATTCTTGGATCGAATTGTAACTATTGACGAGAAGTGGATCTCGTTTAACAATACTAGAAGATCTACAAGTTGGTGTAAGCGTGGAGAAGCTCCTAAGCACGTTCCGAAGCCAGAATTGCACGAAAAGAAGCTTATGGTGACTGTCTGGTGGTGTAGCTCTGGAGTGATCCAGTACCATTTCATGACACCTGGCCAAAGTATTACGGCCGACACCTACTGTGCCCAGATTGACAAACTGCAACACAATCTTCCAACAATGGTCAGAAGGAGGGGTCCGATCATTCTGCAGGATAACGCACGGCCCCATGCTGCAAAGAAGACCGTGGCAAAATTCAGGGAACTGGGATACGAAGTCTTGGAGCACCCTCCTTATTCTCCAAACTTGGCTCCAACGGACTTTCACCTTTTTGAACACTTGTCTTCGTTTCTTAATGGAAGAATCTTCAAAACTCCAGACGATGCCAAGAATGCCTTTAAGAACTTCATCAACTCCAGAAACCCAGAATTCTACAATCGTGGAATAAAAAAGCTTGTAAATCGTTGGCAAGACTGTATTGATTCAGACGGTAATTACTTTGATTGATTGTAGTTGTTAATTATATTGTTATTATTGTTAGTTCAAAAGTGAATAAATATTGCAGAACTTTCCGGACAACCTAATAGAAGCTAGGCTTTTTTATGAGTACTATTGATTATACAAAGTATTCATATAAAACTTTGAGCTTATTCTAGGTAAAGCAGGTTGTGTAATTTTTTTTGCAAGTTAAAACTAGCTTCTATACTAAACTATCTCATTAGGTGTTCGCCTAACCTGCCTTGGTAAAATACCAAAAATATTTCTAAAATACTAAAAATTTAATAAAATAAAAATGTTTAAAATGTCTCTAAAAAAGCTGTAAATGTATTTTAACTCTTAAAATATAAGGCATTATTTATAAAACTAAAAAAAGGTGCCTAAATCCACTAAATCTCACACCCCCCCCTCCTCTTTTTCAAATAAAAACTGAAGCCTGCGTGTCCTGAAGATGACCACCTTCCGAATTGGCTATGTTCTAAACGGTGATTAATCAGAAGGGCGGTGTGGTTGAAGAAGCTAATCGCCGGATTCATAAAAAATTTGAAAATTAAACTCGGATTTAATGGGAAAATCATTTGTTTGGCCATATTTCTTGTTTTTTGGGGCGGCGAACAGTAATGATGCCTTTTGAGGTTGGAATTTCATTTTTTTTATTTTGAATATTATTTTTAATTTCATAAATTTCAAAAATTAAAAAATTATTTTAAATTTAAAAACTCAAAAATTTAAATTTTATTTTCAATTTTAAAACTTTAAAGTTAAGCTGAAACGTTATGTTACGATCAGCGGCGCTTTATAAAGATGAAGATATGTTTAATCCGCCATAATTTATGCAAAAGCGCAATACATCTGCCGTATTTTAGGGTTTTAGCATTATAGAGATTGACTATATAACTAGAAGACTTTTTGTTATGACAATAATCAGAAAGACGACCGTAAAATTTATCAGATAGATAGTACAGTAATGAAATAAAAAATACAGTACTGTTTTACAAAGTTTGGTACTGTACTTTTAGAAATCCTATAAAAACCTTAAAGAATTTTATAAAATTTTAAAATTAAAAAATAAAAACAACGTATTTTAATTCAATTTCAAAAATTTACCGTAATTTTCAATTTTACAGTAAAAGCTAGTACACTAAAGATCTACAGTAATACAAGAAAAAGATTATTTACAGCGCAGTAGAAAGTACTAATATTTCATAAAGAGAACATGATTAAACGTCCGATCTTATGACAATTTAATCACTCAACCGCCCAACAACAATTACTCGGATATTACGACGCAATTACATTAGTATTATATTAAAAACTGCATACCTTATTAGGCAGTTAAATAGGGTTACTGTAGAAAATAGTGTAAGTTAAGCTATATCTAGATAGAGTAGGATTGGGTGGATAGGGTAGGGTAAAGTAGGGTAAGGTAGGGTAGGGTAGGGTAGGGTAGGGTAGGGTAGGGTAGGGTAGGGTAGGGTAGGGTAGGGTAGGGTAGGGTAGGGTAGGGTAGGGTAGGGTAGGGTAGGGTAGGGTAAGACCCCTCGAACCCAATAGTCTACAAGATTAAGCGAACAATATGACTGGGTAAAATAAATAATGGGGCGGATAAACTGTCAGGACGACCAGTTGAACGAGTGTTTGGCGCAATTCATTTATTCCGTCTTCAATCTTAATCTCTCTGCCAATTTGCATGAGACGAAACAAAGCAATGTCAACATCCAAGGACAAACGATGGGCCAAATTTATGCTAATCTCGGGGGCTTGATAAAGATTTTAATTCAAAATTAAAATTTTTTTTGAAAAAAAAATTTTAAAAAAGTTTTTTCTATTAAAAAATGGCAAACTACGAAAAATTTTTTAGCAAAAAACTTTATGTACAAAAAAAATTTTAATTTTAATTCAAAAACTTAAAATTTTTTATAAAAAACCGCAAAAAACATTGTTTACACCTCTCACCGTGTTATAAGGGACATAAACGACTGTCGGCTCCATTATGTACACCTCTCATCTCCGTTTACAGCCTCGGGAATACGACATAAAATTAGGCGATTGGCGGTTCTAGAAGTTGCAATTACAGGTAAACGCCGCCTTTAATTGGTGCTTATCGTCGAGTTGGCTGGAAGTGTTGTTACAGTATGAACTTGAGTTGTAAAACATGTTGCTTTTGAGGAATAAAAAAGGGCGCCGTATTTTACAAACTATTTATAATAGACATATTTTAATATTAGTATATTATAGTACATAAAGGGTATTGTCGACGAAGAGTAAGGTAAGGTAAGATAGGACAAAGTGAGTAAAAAAAGTTATGTTGCAAAATACAGTATATTGTTTATTTATCAATATATACAACCAAATATTATGAACATTCCACACTACAGTTACTGTAGATGTATTACTTTGTACTGCTGTAAGTATGCGTATTGTATACGGTAAGTAGTTATAGTCTAATATAATTTTAGTTAAAAGGTATTGCACAAAACAAACATATATAAGGTATCAATTTATAAAAACGTAGGTTGGCCAGTCAAATTACAAAGGCTAACAGAGTTAATGCTACTGTTACTTCCACTTTTACCACTGTAATGAACACTTAACAAACTTCGTCTTTCATTACCTTCATCATGTACAGTAGCTGTAGTAGCCTCTTCAAAGTCATCATTTTGTCTAGATGTAGGTTGGAGTAACTCAAAGTAACCAGCTCTGTAAAAAGTCAAAGTAAACATACATTGTAAGTATAATATTGTAACTGTTAATACATTTGACTCAAGCAGTAAACCAAAAATTAAAAAATAAGTTTTTTATGCGTACTATACTACAATACTTTAAATGATTATTATATGTAATAATATTAACCTACCCACTACACGAAAACTCTGTTTGTACAAAGCTACTGCACGGTAAAGCTACAATATTTTGATTAACAGTAGTATCCTTCCTAGTCCTATTAGATTTGTAATTTTCAAGCCATTCATCTTGACCTTCTTCAACATTATCAATATTATTGATATTGTTATTGTCCACTGGAATAGGTATCTTCCTCCAACCTTCTGATTTAAAAGCGTTTTTGTCCTTTTTGAAAAGATAGTATATGACCATGGTAGGCAGAGGTAGAATAGTAATAACAGACAAGATATGCCATAGGTGAGAGTCACCTGCCATTACTGAGCGGTTTTTTGGGGTCTCGAGTAGGTCCATCAACAAGGCTAACTAAAATGGAGATTGTATTACACAAGAGCATAAAGACAGTGTTTTAAAAAAGTTAAAAATATATCCAATATAATAGTAAATTACTATAGTTTTCACTAATGTAATTGTAAACTACTTTAGTATTCACCAACATTACTGAAAATTACTATATCACTTACCGATATAACAATAGGACATACATATTGCCAAGACACTTTTATAAAACCTCCTGTTGGTCCCAATAGTACTCTCAAACAACTTTTATGATTATCGACGGTTATACGTAACATGTTTGAGATATCTTGGCTTAGATTTTTAACTCCTGTAACAACATTTTTATATTATGTTTCATTTGGTATAACAAGTAATGAAAAAAACCTTTACTAGATGAGCAACAAGTAATCTAAAAAGTAAAAGCTTTGAAAAGCATACCATAGAAGTAACAAACCACAATAAACTGACATAAAGCAACAACTTTCACGTTCCAGTGCATACTGTAGAAGACTAACAAGTTGTAAATGTATACCCCACCCTGAAATAGACTGTCTAATAATATAAGGTTTGAAAAAACGGTATGAAACCTTAAAATATAGTACCAAAGTTTAAGTTATTAAATATTAAGTTGTTAAAATAATTATGTGCCTCCCAACACGAAAAATCTGCTTTGAGAGAAGGCGCAGAATTAGTTGAGCAATTTAACAGTAATTATTAAATAAAATTTATAAAATAATATTAAATATATAAACTTACCTGAAAACAACAAGGTAATGTGATGACAAACATGAAAATGGCGACAAAAATTCTCAAAAATGCTTTGCGACGTTCCAAAAATAAAAGTTTTCTTTCTAAAGCTGACGAAAAAACTTCACATAAGGTAAAGGAACATTGTAATGATCCCATGCCTAGCATTAGTTGATACATAAAACAATATAGACTGGCTTGTTGTTTGGGCAGGTGTGATATTGCTTGTAATACCTAAAGAATTGATTTAGGTTTTATAATTGTAGTTTTAATTGAATAAAAAGTTGGAAAGCATGGAAATATGTTAGTTAATATAAAGCAGTTCAAATAACCCTGTACCCCTTAACCACAAAAATTTGCTTAAAAAGGGAGCTCAGAACTATTTGAACAATCTAATAATTAAAGGAGCTTCTTATGTAAAGCTATATTAATATAAGGCCATGTATCATAGTATGGACTATATGATAATATAATATAAAGTCATGTACTGTATCAACATTTTTTATTTAAAAAGTTTTTCTTACCTGATCCCAAATTAACCTTGGAGCCGACTGTTTATGACATAAAGAAGAAACGTCGTTTTTCTGTAATAAATGAGCCAAGAAGCCAAGGAATCCAAAAGCTACACCAGCTGAACTCAAGCTAGCTAATATGTCTCTAAAATTCAAAGTAAGCTCTTATTTTTTTCAAATAATTCTGCGCCCCCTGATCTCAAAAATTTGCGTTGAAGGAGCACAGAATTCATAGGTTTTGTCAGACGTATTTTACAAAAAATATTTTACGACAAAAACCTACATTACTACTAACAAGATGGCATCTCTGAAGACATTACTATGAAATCGATTGTGTTTAGATATAGAAATCAGTACTCCAACTCCAATTTGCATATTGAAAAAAACAAGTTTAATGGCGCTTTGCCAAATCTAAAATTCTTAATTTGAGAGTTCAAAAAATAATGTCATACTATAGGCTTTTAAAATATTAATGATAAGCTTTGTCATTATCTAAACTTAACATTTAAACTATTAACTAATAATATAATATACTTACTTTATAGTCAAAAACATCAAAACCGCCAGAGTACAACCAACTGGTGCCATCAAAAGAATTAGGTAGATTGATCAGTCTTAACAATATAATGATCAACAACATAATGGGTAGAGTTGCAGTAAGATAAACAATCTTATTCATAGTATTTACAGAGTTTTTTAAGGTACAACCAGTAACAATAACCCAAGATAAAGCTAGTACAACAACCAGACGCCACTCTACGTTGCCAAATACGATAACTTTGTTTACAACACGTAAAACAAGATCACCGTCTAGGCTTATCAGCAGTTTTGGAGCTGAGGTGTGATATATGTGGCTGAAAAGTTGTTATTGTAAGTTAAGATTTGACTGTAACACAATAGTGAAAGCTATTATACAATAAAAACACTGCATGTTTTGTTTTATTTCAAGGTTTAATATATCTACACCAAAGTTGTTAAAACCTACTGAAAATAGTCATCATTACCATGCTTGACCATACCAACATGACTACTATTGAAGTCACTTAAACTAATTGTCTTAACCCCATCACTCAATTCATGGTTCTTCCAAGGTAAATAACTCCCAGTAACCAGACATTTACCAGCTATGTACATGTAATACAACGACCACGCAGTGTTCATGTTAGTGATTATCATCATAGGTATGGTTAAGATAAGCCAACACCAGCCAATTCCCTTGAAGGCTGGACATAACTTACCAAAAACTTTTGTAGGATTACATCCACTATATTGACCTAGACATAAATGTAAATATGTCAGAGGAAAACCGATGAAAATGACACAAATTATGTATATTAGGACAAAGTTGCCGGCTTGGCCATTCTCACAAATTGCGGCTGGTAGGAAGGCCATATTCGCTGAAAATAACGGTATGTACATAGAGCACTACTAAATTAAGCAAAGTTTAAAAATTTTTAAATTTTATGGCTGTTTTTGCCATTTCTAAACAAAATTTTTATTTATTTAATCTGATAGTCGTATTTTACCCTACCAATTCCAGTCAGAAAGCCAACTCCAACTAAGAATCCACCAACTTGAGTTGGCCATACTTGACGATCCGGCATAAATCATACAAAATTTCAAGAACTATATTGTAAACTTTTAAATATAGAAATTTAAAAGTAAACTGTATAGCGTTAAAAACAAAGCTTTATGTTACTAACAACCAGTTCTGTTAGTTGATAGTAGAACTAACTCTATATTTAGATCCCTAGCCAATAAATAAACTATATATCAAGGTATTTACAGCAAAACCAGCTATTTAATTCGAAGAGTTAAAAAAGCTTTTTAAATTTAAAAAAGTTGTTTGACCTTAAAATAAAAGTGAGATTAAAGTAAGATAATATGCGTAGCTTTAAAATTAAATATTTGCAGAGTTTAATATTATACGTTTCTCTAAATAAGTAAAATACACTAAATACATATACGCTTGCGCAACCTTGTGATAATATCTCAACGCTCATTAGTTCACTTCGAAATTCGACTTGATTCATTAAATTCTTTATTGTAGTTTGAATTGAAGATACATACACATATACATATAGAATTACATGTGGATACATATATACATACATAAGACCGTCACACCTGACTCAAACGTATTTGTAATTGAAGTAGAAACTGCTAATTGGCAAATCGGCCGCTTGGACTACACCGGCTTCTGACTACGGCCTGAATACTTGAGGAACACCTCATCAAAACTCGGTAGCACAAGCCACAGGATCAATTAAATGAGGCATAATTGGATTAGTTAATGTTTTTTTATGCCGTAGGTTGTAACGTACTCTGCTGATGTACAAAAAAAATCAAGATGCAGATGCCAGACAACAGAGCTGTTCTTTTTTTTGACGTTTTTCTAGTTAGGCCTTTCCTCAGGGATTTAAAATCACTGTGTGGTGCGTGTCGTGATGCATAAGACTTCTGGCGCTCGATCAGCTGCTTGTGTAGGCCCAGTCTTGAGGTGTCTGGTCTTCGTGCACTCAGCACTACTTATTAATCAAGACGCCTGGGTTAAAAGAAACTTATTTTTATTGTTTACAAGGTTCAAGTTCGAGATTGTATGTGTAAGAGCTCACGTATGTTTGGTTAAAGTGAAAGTAGACCTTTTATTGTTTTTTTTTTTCGTTTGTGCATCGAATTTCGTTCTTTTTCAGAAGATAGTTTGGTGTAAAGAGAGAATACTTACTTTGTTTCCGTTCCTTGCGGGTCAACTGGCAGTTATGCAACAGTTATTTTTTTATTACTTTTTATACTTTTTGCTTTAAAGGCTCAGTAAATTTGATCAGTTTTATGTTTTACACGTTTTTTGGTCAAAGTGAATGGCATTTTTCGAATTTTTATGAATCTTACATCTTGTTAATGACATTTTTTACAATACTTTTTAAGAATTTTCAGGTATTTTTAATTTTTAATTTAAAGAATGTTTACTTTTTATTTAAAAAATGTTTTAACTGCTCTTGACAGTCAAAAGCAAAGTGTAAAACCACCAATAAGCCCTTTAATATTAACAAGATTTATGTTTTGAAAAGAGTAATTACCTTGTCGACTTTGAAGTAACTCGCTTTCTTTTCCTGACAATTGCTTTTGAAGGTAGTAACGTACTGCTTTATAGAGTGTTATTAAAGCTTTATAAAGTGTTATTAAAAACCTTTAGGTAATGTTTTTAAATAATAAAAAGTTGCTTCCGGTTTTAAACTTTTGAAAAGTATTGAAAAATACTTTTTGTATGTATAAGTTTTAACCTGTTGTTTACAGTAGAACTCCTGTATAACATATCGCTGGAGAATTGTATTTAAACTTGAATCCAAAAACCCCTGTAAGCTTTGTTTTTTATTTAAATTTGAATTCGACTTTCAAGGTTGCCATCACTTTAGCCGTCATGTTCGCGCCTGTCTAAGTGTGATATTTAGGTTAGAAACGTTTATTCATTTAGTTTTTTGATATTAAGATTTATTTCATGTAACTTGGTGAAATCGTATAAAATTTAACAAATTTTGAAAAATTTTAAAATTATTTGTAAACAAAAAGCAGTTGAGGTAAAATCAGTTGTGTTTTGTTTTGAAAATTAACCTACTGAAGCGTAGTTGCTCTTTTTATATATATTTTTTTACTTTTTAAAAGTTTTGTACAAGCTCAAAATATGATTTTGATTAATTTTTGCGTAGAAACCCAATGCCAAATTTGCCAAATTAGCAAGTAAACAAATATTTAAAAGTTAAAATTCAAAAGCGAGAGCTAAAATTTTTTATGGGTACTATTGATGGTACAAACAAGTCATCTAAGAGTTTTTGAATTGGTTTTGAGCAGGGCAAGTTGGGTAGTTTACTTGTTGGTTAGATTTTTAATGTTAATTTTTTATCATGAATATTTATTAAACCTCACATTGTCAGTTTAGCACTGCCAATGTTTTTCACATACTATTATATTATAATACTATATATGTTATTGTAAATGCCCTACGTCTGTTTATTTGTATTTTCCTTGCCAAAACTATTTTTAATTTAGCAAAAAGACAATTTAAAGCCGCTTCACGAGCCATAAAGACAATTCGGTTGAATTTGGTTGTACAACTTCCCATTTTTAGCCGCGTTTTAATCCCTGAGGGCATAAAATGGTCGAAAAGGGGAAGATCGCAAGTTTATTATAATTCCATTTTCTTCAGTTTATAATTTAAATCGAAACTGTTACTTGTGTCTGCATGTGTGGGAGTACATGGCGTGTTTATAATGTATTCTATGGATATATTAGTTATGTCTGAATGTATATCTTTGTAGTTGACATGTAGTAGACGTATATAATGTTTAAGAAGTTTTGGTGCTGAATTACTAAGTTTTGTACATTTAAAAGCAACAAGACTTTTTGGCGCTCTTATATATGTACTTGATACCTAACTTATCGCATTCCACTTAACATTTTGTTCAAAAGCAAATTCTCGAGGTTAAGGGGCGCAAAATTATTTGAACGACATAATATCTAAGTCATTTAACTATATATATAACTCTATATAACAACTATAACTCTATGTATGTACTATAACTTACTGCGGCTGTTAGTCCCCACATACTCGAGCCTTCCTTAATTGTCCCCCGTCCCTCTTCCCCCCCCCCTCTTTGAAACGAAAAAGTTGCCTAGAAATTAGAGGCTTGCGGCCGAAACTGCCTCAGGTAAACTCCCAAAAAGCGTCAAAAAACGTTGGCCACTATGACAACAGATTTCCCTTCAAAAATGACCCTATACAAGGAGGCTTTATTGGTGTTTAAAGTAGCCAATCTGTTTTTGAAAGGACAGGGGATACTAGACATGCTACGAGTGTTTGGTGGGGATTAAACTTGTAGTAGTATTAGTGGTAGTGTCAAGTATTAAGGTGATTATATTTGGCTTTAAGGTTGTTTTTAAAAGCTTTTGTGAAGTTTTCACAGTGACCAAGTGGGGTTAAAAGGGGCTTAAAGTATCTTCTTTTCATCTAATATCTATGATAATGTTTAGCAGATAGAAAAGGGTAGTAATTTCGTTATCTTATAGTAAAAACCTTATACTAACTTCTTTAAAATTTAAATTTTTTACTTTTCTCAGTTTTGACCAAAAAATTAAAAAACCTTCAAACCCTCCATATTCCACACAGATTGCCCTTACATAATCCATGAGACAATGGCCGTTTTTAAAATTTAAAAGCCGTTTCAGAGGTTTCAAAAACCCCCTCCCAAAACAATATGCGCTGTCCCCAGAAGCGGATGTCCTTTTTTGGAGGAAAATCCGAGAAAAAACGGCTCGTCATCCGTCAGGGTTAGGGAGCAAGGGCCTCAGGGCACGAATATTCATGGCCGAATATCTTTGAAATTCATACAATTAGGAAGTTGGGAGATTTAAAGTGTTTTCGTGTTCGTTTTACTGTGTTATTTTGAGGTTGTAAACAAGTTGTAAATAAGTTTTTACTAAATTTTGAAGTTCGAAGGCATCTTTTGACTATTTTTAAGTACTGTTTTATAAGTAAAATCCTATATATTAGGTCGTTCAAATAATTCTGAGTCCTTTTTCAAAGCAAATTCTTGAGGCTAGGGAGCACAGAATTCCTAATATTGTTTTATAATACTATTTAATATAATACTATATAGTATTTTATAAAGCTAATATAGATATTAGGTTGTCCAAATAAGTCCATGCACCTTTTAAAGCAAATTTTCGGAGTAAGGGCACATAATTATTTAAACATCTAATAATATTTTAAATTGCTAATATACATAAAAGCTTGTTCAAATAATTCTGTACCCCCTTCTAAAACCCACTTTCGAAATTATAGAGCACAGAATTATTTGAACAATCTAATAGTATACTGTTGGTGCACGTGTAGAAGCCTTATCTAGTAAAATAGCTTATTCTTTCCACTTTTATGTTGTCATGCTGTGTTTTCGATTAGTAACCGACTCGCTGGCCTGACTCATCCTTCCTTTGCGCGGCCGTTGTTTTACATAAAAGTAATTGAATGGTCTTGTTTTTTGGCTCAAAGCATTCGAAAAAAAACTGTTTTTATACTTGGACGTTAAATACCATCAGGTATTTCGAAAAATTAAAATTTACTTTTTTAAGACTTATTTTTTACTGAGGTAAGGGCTTTTAAATATAAAAAAATGTCCAAAAAGATGATTAAAAGTCCCATAAAACGGTTGTGAAGCGTGTACCCTGCCCGGTGCACTAGCTGTTCAAATACCAAACAACAGTGATAAAAGAAGGAAGAATATGATTATTTTGTTTTCCACTGCCTCTGTTTACTATTTCTTGCATAGACAATAACCTTATTTGTTTGTTTTCACGTAGAAATGCTGGTTTATCTTCTTGAGGTGGTGTCTTACAAACTGAGGTTCGACATGTTGATTAGTTTTGAAAGGGGTACTGAAATCACTATTAATAGCTTGTTTTTTTACTATTTCTGTAAACTTTTTTCATTTTTGCTATTTTTTTACTTTTTGATATTTTATTAGGTTGTTCAAATAATTCTGAGCCAACTTCAAAGCGAATTTTGGGGGTTGGGTAGCTCAGAATTACTTGAACAATCTGATAGTATTCAAAAACAAATTTCTTTTTAAAAATTTTTGTAACTAAAAGTAATAAAACTATTTTTTACCCCTTATGCCTTATTTTACCCTTTATCAATCATGCCCAAAGTCATTTCCAATTAAAATTTCAAAATCTTACCCAAACAAAAATCTGGCCTCCCAGGTGTTCAAAAATAAATTTTTCATCAGTACTATATAAGTACTACATAAAAAGTGCTACATTTTACAATTCCGGAAGATTGTAAAGATGAATAAGAGTTTGGCGGTGACATGTCGTGCTTTGTTCCGTTTAAACCATCTTTTATATTCATCTAAAGACTCTCGCTTCAGGTGAAAAGAAAGAAGAAGGAGATGGTCCTCAGGCACGGGCCGCAATGTATCTGTCAGCTTTGTACTTGCGGGTAAGTTGATATACTGATATAAGTTTTTAAGCAGGCATTTTTGTTTTGTCATTTTTAAAATTTGTCATAGCAAATAATCATAAAATAAAACTTATAATACAATTTTTTGAAAAAATGTCTAAAATCATAGGTTTAGGTATAAAGCATAATTTTTAGGTAACAAATTTTTACTTTTATTCATATAAACCACGTTATGATAATTTACATTACTTTAAGTCGCCACCACTGCCCCTACGATCGCAACGCCAGCAGCTTACAACTAGGAACCAGTGATGAAAGTCCATTCAAACGTGAAGTAGGTCATTATTTTTTAAATTTATTCAAATTTTAGGAAAATAAAATATCGCCAAAAACCGCAGCCGATGCCAGAGCCAAACCCATCAAACCAAAACAAGAACTGACTGGACTTTCTTTACAGGTATGGCTACTAAAAATCAAATATTTGAACATTTTTTGAAAAAAAATTATTTTTGCTATGTACTTTTTGACCCTCGATATATACTTCTTGAGCAAAAAAATTGTTTTTTACATAATTAATGTCAATTTTTAAATTTTTCCAAATTCAGGTGAATGGCTATAAGAATCAGAACAGCAGTTATCATGAAGAGTTTAGTTTTGATGGCCTACAACAAGGTGAATTGCGTGACAAAGTGAAAAAACCAACAGAATCGGACATATGGAAGGTAAGCACAACAAAAGTATCAAATCATACCCATAAGTAAATAGTAATATACAAAATACTAATTTTTTACATGTAACTTTGACCACCAAAACTTGTTTTACGTTCATATAATACTTACAAATAACTACAAGACTCCTCCATTACTATGTTATAAAAAGTAAATTTTTATAGCAGGACAGCAAATTCGACGCTACATCAACAGTGCAACGTGACTATACCCCAAAGAAAGGAGATCGGTATGAAGCCAAACGACCGGTCGATGCTGACCTTATCGACAGAACTGCTCAAATAGAACGAATGTCATCCAACGCCCATGACTTTAAGGCTTCAAAAGCTGACAAATCAGAGGCTAAGAAGCCAGGAGAATCAGAAATCTGGAAGAATTCAGGTAAATTCGAAGGAAATTCTGTGAATCGGTCCGATTACAACGCCAAACAAGGGGAACGATACGCCATGAAGAAGCCTGAAGACAGCAACGTCCTCAAAGGGCAAGGCAAGTTCGCTGACGAAACCTTGAATCGAAGTGAGTTTGGACCCAAAGTTGGAGACAGATTCGAAGCCAAGAGGCCGACTTCAAACCCCTACTGGAAGCAAGATGGACAACTCGACAGTAAATCGATCACCAGGTCTGATTACCAACAAACAAAGGGTGATAGATACGAAGTAACACGACCTCAAGACAGCCAGATTCTGAAGAGCGACGGTAAATTTGTTGACGATACAGTAACCCGGTCAGAATATGGTAAAAAGGTTGGAGATAGATACGAAACACAACGACCGAGAGCCGACAGCTCATTCAAAAGAGATGGTAAGATGGATGCTACGTCTACGACGAAACAAGACTATGTAGCCAAGAAAGGGGAAAGATACGAAATTCAGTTTCCAAAGGGTTCTGAAGTCCTTAAAGGAGAAGGCAAGTTTGACGATAAGACATTGTCGGCTACAGAATTCACAGAGAAGAAGGGAGACAGATACGACGTCAAGAAACCTACAGTAGATCCCTTGTGGAAGGCAGAAGGAACCATGGACAACACCACAGTAAACCGCAACGATTACTCTGTAACAAAAGGAGATCGTTACGATGTTGTGAAGCCAAAAGATTCCGAAACCCTAAAGAATTCAGGACCTTTCAACGATGAAACCTTAAACAAAAGTGAGTACGGCCCTAAAGTAGGTGACAGATACGATGCAGTACGACATACAGAAGACGCATCGTGGAAGACTTCCGGCAAGGTGGACGGTAAATCTGTAGCACAATCTGATTACCGTGAGACTAAAGGAGATAGGTACGAACGGCAGGTTCCACAGCCTTCCAACGTGCTCAAAGGTGATGGTAAGATAGATGACCAAACTATGAATCGATTGGAATATACAGAGAAGAAGGGTGACCGTTACGATGTGAAGAAGCCTACCGTGTCGGAAATCTGGGATCGCGAAGGTACGATGGACGGTGATACCGTGAACAAAACTGATTATGGTCACAAGAAGGGCGAACGTGCTGAGAGAGTACGGCCAGAAGACAGTAACGTTCTCAAAGGAGAAGGCAAGTTCAATGACGATACGCTACACAAATCAGAATACGGCCCAAAGGTCGGCGAACGCTTTGAAGCCAAAAAACATTCAGAAGATCCATCGTGGAGAACAGAAGGAAGATTCGATGCAACTTCTACAATTCATGACGACTACGGTGAGAAGAAGGGAGACCGTTATGAAGCCAGAAGACCAAAGGATTCTGACATTCTGAAAGGAGACGGAGCATTTACTGATGAAACACAGCATCGTGCTGAATATGGAGAGAAACGAGGAGACAGATTTGAAGCTAAAAGGTACGATGAAGACCCGTCTTGGAAGCGTGAAGGCAAATTTGACGCTACATCAACTGTCAGAGATGACTACGGTGAGAAGAAAGGAGAACGGTATCAGACAAGAAAACCCAAGGATTCAGATGTCCTAAAAGGAGATGGTACCTTTACTGATGAGACTCAACATCGTGCAGAATATGGTGAAAAGCGAGGTAATCGATACGAAGCCAAGAGGTACGATGAAGATCCATCGTGGAAACAAGAAGGCAAGTTTGATGCCACTTCTACAGTACGCAACGACTACGGAGAGAAGCGTGGCGAACGTTACGAAGCTCACCGACCAAAAGACTCAGACCTTCTCAAAGGTACCGGCGAATTCGATTCTCAGACCGTGAATCAGCGTGACTACGACCAAAAAGTGGGCGATCGTTACAGTACCAAAAAACCGACTGTTTCTGAGATTTGGCAATCACAAGGTCAGATAGAGGGTCGGTCAGTTAACCGTGAAGACTACAACAACCCAAGAGGTGAGAGGTACGATGTGGTTAGGCCTCACGACTCAGATATCCTAAAAGGCAAGGGTAGAATAGAATCTGACACAATAAACCGACAAGACTACGGTGCCAAAGAAGGCGATCGTTATGAGACCAAGAAACCTACCGTGTCCGAAATCTGGGCCCAACAAGGCCGGATGGATGACTCTACAGTAACCAGGGACGATTACACACATCAGAAGGGTGACAGATACGATGTCGTGAAGCCAAGTGGCAGTCAGATACCTCAAGGTGATGGTAAATTCTCAGATGAAACACTCAACCAACATGAATACGGTCCGAAGATAGGGGAGCGATATGAGACTACCAGACCTACAGTATCCGATTTGTGGAAACGTGAAGGTACAATGGATGATAGGACTATCAACAGAAGTGACTATGCCAATACAAAAGGAGAAAGGTACGATGTCCAGAGACCAGCTGACAGCAACATTCTGAAGGGCGAAGGCAAGTTTGATGACAGTACAGTAAACCGAAGGGATTACGGTGAAAAAGTTGGCGACAGATACGAAGCAAGAAGACATAGAGAAGACCCATCATGGCAAACAGAAGGCAAATTTGAAGCTACATCAACGATAAGAGATGATTACAGAGAAAAGAAAGGTGACAGGTATGAAGCCAGGAGGCCAAAGGATTCTGATATTCTGAAAGGTGATGGAGCGTTTACTGACGAAACACAACATCGTGCTGAATATGTTGAGAAAAGGGGAGACAGATACGAAGCCAAAAGATACGATGAAGATCCATCGTGGAAAAAAGAAGGCAAATTTGATGCTACATCTACTGTCAGAGATGACTACGGTGAAAAACGAGGAGAACGACATCAGACGCGACGACCCAAAGATTCAGACATCCTCAAAGGAGACGGAACCTTTACTGATGAAACACAGCATCGTGCTGAATATGGTGAGAAGCGAGGTGATAGGTACGAAGCCAAAAGGTACGACGAAGATCCATCGTGGAGACAAGAAGGCAAGTTTGACGCTACATCTACAGTACGCGATGATTACGGTGAAAAACGAGGAGATCGCTACGAAGCACGTCGGCCGAAAGATTCTAATATTCTAAAAGGTGACGGAACGTTCACGGATGAAACCCAGCACCGTTCTGACTACGGTGAAAAACGTGGAGACCGTTATGAAGCCCGTACCCACACAGTAGACCCGTCCTGGAGAACACCTGGAAAGATGGAAGGTAGAAGCGTAGCCAACGATGACTACAGAGTAATGGTCGGAGATCGATACGACGTACGAAGACCTAAAGATTCTAACATTCTACGTGGTGAAGGCAGATTTGAGGGTGATGCAGTGACACATTCAGACTACGGGCCAGTAGCACATGGTGATCGATACGATACTGTTAAACCCAGAAGTTCAGAGATGTGGAAACGAGAAGGCACAATAGATGGAAAGTCAGTCAACCGTGAAGACTACAGTAATACAACTGGAGATAGATACGAAGTAGTGAGGCCAAAAGACAGTAATATTCTGAAGAGTGATGGAAAATTTGATGGAAGAACGGTAGCACAAAGCGAGTACGTTGAGAAACACGGAGATCGTGCTGAAGTCAGAAGACCAAAGGATTCTAATGCATTGAAAGGAGAAGGAAGTTTTGCTGAGCACATTGGGGAACGGAAGAAGGCTACAGACGTGCCTAAAGGCGACAGATTTGAAGTCAAACGTCCTAGGACTTCTGACATATGGAAGGTAAAGATTTTTCACGCTTTATCTTTACCTCGAGATAGACCTTATATATAATACATTCCTTAGCAATTAATTTTAAACAACCACACCAATTAGTAACAGTAACATATATTTAAGTAACCTAATACCCTCATTTTAGCGTGACGGCACAATGGAAGCCGAATCTTCAACAAAACGTGACTACAAAGCCCACAAATCAGGAGAACGAGTTCCATTACAAAAACGAGAAGATAGTAATGTACTCAAGACAAATGGCAAGTTCGAAGGTCATACTACCACGCAAGACGCCTTCAAGCCAGGACAGTCAGTTCGATTCGATGTCAAGAAACCGTCGACTTCCGAAGACTGGAAAAGAAATGGCAAAATGGAAGGGAAATCCGTAGCCAAATCGGATTACGTTGAGACTCATGGAGATCGTTATGATGTCAAGAAGCCAAAGGATTCTGATCTACTGAAAGGCCAAGGAGCTATTGATGGACAAAGCTCAAACAGATCTGACTATGGAGCGACTAAGGGTGACAGATACGATGTTAGGAAACACGAGACTTCAGATTTGTGGAAGGTAAGAGGCTTTCTGATGGTTATATATTAGAAACAGTTGCGTGAATGATAAAAGTAATATAATTGATTTAGATTTTGATGTTACAAGATTCATAATTAATATTACCTAATAAAATTTTCAGACATCTGGTACGGTAGAGAAAGAAAGTGTAGCACACAGAGATTACAGCAGCTTCAAAATAGAAGGCAGGAAGAAGATCGACCGACCATCAAGTTCACATGCATTAAAGGTAAGATTCTAACACTAATTTGCTAAAATAAAGTTATACAACATAATATGACCGACAAACTATGATTTTTACTATGAAAAAAAAATAATTGAAAGCATCAATCCCAAATTATATGACAACTAACACAAAAATACAAAACTTCATTTTCAGCGTGACGGCAAAATGGAATCGACCACAGTAAATCAAGAAGCCTACTCCAACAAAGCCGGGGAAAGAACCAAGCCAATCCCTCAGAAACGGTCCAACCTTCAATTAGGCCTCGGAAAAGGCATAGAAGTAGCCAGATCGACAAGTCAAACCGACTTCATCTCACATAACACCACCCCTGTCAAACCCATCAAACACGAATCGACATTGGGCGTCAGCAGAGAAGGCTTGTTTGTTACTCCTTTAACTTAATCTAGTACTTTCAGGAACCTTAGATGGACATTCCGCATATCAGGACAACTACACGGCTCCAACACTAAGCTCACGTTCAAAAGCTGTACGACCATCAACTGCACTTAAATTGGACGGGGCTCGGCAGGTCGAGTCTGGGTATCAAAAGGTATGTTCTCTAGTATAATACAGCAAAAAATGCATGCATATGAAAAAACTATAGTGATCACGCATACTATACGTTAAAATAGACCCATATAAACATATTGAACGTCAAAATAGAAAGATGCTGAGACACTATACCTAAAAAGATATCAAACAAACACGCTATACCTACTACAACATATTCTTCAAACCGACCTTAATTCCAGGAATTCCAAGTCCCAGCCGAACCCCCATGCCCAGCTAGCGAACTCATGGACACAATCAAGCAGAACCGCGTAAAATCAGCTCATTTTAAGATGCGTACGGTCGACCCCAAAGGGCACGTGTACTTTGAACCTCGAACTGGCGACAGTTCCAGCAGCTCCAGAACAAGCACTGCCGTCTCCGAGCACTCGGTCCGCTCCGACAAGACATTGACATAAATTTTATTTTTTTTTCTGAATTTTTCACATTACATTAACTTTTTAACGAAATATAACTAATATTACTCTAGCTTTTATGGTTCAAATTTTCACTTTTTCACATTTCTTTCAAATTATCACTGTTTTTATCGTCTCTAACATTTGACAGTCACTACACCCTAATCCTATACATATTTCTGAACATTAGCTTGAATTCTACACTGGTTTTTACTACGCTTCATAACATATATCTAAGCTACATCAATATAACTTTATACCGTTAATATAACAAGTCAAAATTTTAAAATATCTTGTTAAAATAACAGTGTAAGGGTTATTTTTTAGATTTAAGCCTTTTTTGAACAATATTACTACTGACAAACAACAAAAACATTACTTTACACCTAATTAAAAGAACAAAAGTTACTTTATTAGATTGCAAGTTAGTTATTGGTCTACGCACTTCCAGTGATCTCATTATTTTGCTTTTCATCGTTGGCTTTATAAACTTTACAAAATCGGTAATAAAAATTAATAAAACGACCCTCAGATATTAGTAAAACGACTATCAGACATCATTCGCGATATTAGCTATGAAAAAATTGTAAAATTTCTAAAATTTGGTGAATATTTTAAGTTAAACCGCTTAAAAATATATAGAATATAACAAACGCGACAATAAATGTTTTTATTCTATCAACAATAACTTAATTTGTTTTAAAATTTTGAATAACTTCCAAAAAACTTAAAAGCCGGCCGATTCCATTGAATCAATATTGACATTTCGTCTAAGCTGTTTGCCAAAAAATTTATTTTTCCAAAAATATTCTTCGACTTTCCAAAATAAACATGACGCGCTCATGTGAACACATAATATCTTTTTTTTACTTTTGTTTTTTACTTTTTTATATTATATTGTAGTACCCTTTGTGTTAATGTAGCGTTTTCTTTTTTATGAAATGCGGTTCTTTGGTGTTTGTAGAAAGACGGTTAGCAAAGCCAAAACTTTTCAAAGATTGGTTTCTTGGTGTAACTTTGGTCAAATGACGTTCACATGCTTTTCGTTTGATCAGAATTAGGTAACACTTTCTCTATATTATCATTGCTCTCGATTAATTTTGATTTGTTTGGTGTTTACCTTAAGGTAAATGGGGTTGGGAGAAGATAACTTATGGTTTTTGTCAATTTGTTAATTGCGATAATTAATTTACACAAGTTTTTGCAGTTATTTCGGAGAAATTGAGATAAAATTGTTGCAAGAAGTGATAATATCTTGGAGATCAAAGTTTATGAGGACTTTAATACGCAAATGTGTGATATTTTATAGCAAAGGCTTTTGGGATTGTTCATGAAAATCTATTCGAAAAGCATTCTTAAAAAGTTAAAGGTACTATCAAGTGTAATATAACGTTACATGACGTTTTACCTATGTCAACTTAATTGTTAATGGTGATACTAGTGACTTTGCTCTTATTTGCAACTTTTTTGTTTATCTTTTTTGCCAGGCATTGTTTTGAGAATGATTATCAGCAAATTTCCTCGAAACACGGTTATGGAACGTTTTTGATGTTAATGTTATTCAAATGAAGCGTTCTGATCTTGTTGAGTCTTGTGCAAGAAAGCTACTGTTCTTTAAAGTTGTTGCTACAGTTTTTATGTCAAAACATTTAACAGCTACATTTAGTTAATTTTGTCATGTATTTTATGCTTGATCTCTTACAGCCAAAATTTGAAACTTGAAACGCACTATTTACCTTGTTATCTTATTGTAGTTGGCTTATAAAACCATGACAATTGATCTTCAGACAGATTTACATGTATTTAAGACCATCTAAACACGTTTTGTGTTTGAACCTTACTTTCTAAGCTTTAAAGGGCAAAACCAAGTGTTTTTGAATAACAACAAACTCATGTTCTTATCAAGTAATGGGGAAGTAATCAGTTCTTTAGTTTATAATTGACAGACAAGCCAAAGTATGATTTATGTTGGCTGGTGATGAGGATTATCTATCTTGACATTGATAGCTTTTAATGTACAGTCGTACATTTTTACCTATTGTTGTGTCTTTCACCTTGAACATTCTAATAAGTTTATGAATAGTATATGCTTGAAGTCTTAACAGTTATGACTCAGTTTTGGTATTTTTTTTTATTTTAACAGTTCTTTCTTCGATGTTATTCATGGCTTTTGATGGCAAGAGAAACGTTCGATTTTTTATATCAAGAAATTAATTGTTTTCCCCGAGATATTTTTGTTATTCTTTTGCTTTGTAAGGTTTTTCTAATTGTAATTGAAGCGAAAGACAAAGCTTTTTTAATTTGAAGTCGACTTTTTTAATCGCGTGAACATTTCGTTGTCTACAATTAGAATATTCAAGTAATTTAGACTTCTAGAGGTCTTACTAAAGCATAATTATTTCTTCCTTATACATATATTATACGTGTAATTGGTTTGTGTTTTTTTTTATTGAAAAGATTAATTTCTTGTCTAGTATAATATAATTTATAAATTTACGATAACGTAAATATAATGGTAATTACTTTTCAGTACCAACAATTACCATTAAAATACGAATTAATTAGTCAGCGGTAAAACCATGCCAACCGCTTACCTTCCGGCTCTATGGCCAGGAGCGGAGCATATTCTGGTGTTGGTGGCCTTCTGTTTTCCGCCGTTCTTCATCCTGGTCACAACCGTCGTTCTACTGGCTTCATTTGGCAAATCTTTTGGAATGCGAGAGCGATATGTGGCAGTCTTATTGAGAATCTTTGAAGTAAGCTTTTGTTTTTGCTTTTTTATTGGTTTAGGTATACAAAAATTGGCTTTTTCGTTGAAAACACCCAAAGGTTTTGCCAGTTTTGATGGCTTAGATGTAAAATACGTTCGCAACTCTGTTACAAAATAAAAAATTTCATTTTAAAATTTAAATTATTGTATATTTGCTAAAATATTTATATTATATTAAACACGGCCTTAAAATAACAATTTTTTAATTTAGTGGGGAGCAAGTGAACTTCATACGTCAAAGCGTCAACTAAAACGTGCTGAAAGTCAAGCTCAAGGTCTGCTGTATCTGGAATCAGACAGTGAAGATGAACACAACATGTATTCACACAACTCTTCCGGATTCGGATCTACAGAAACCGAATTTCAAGAAGAGCCAATGGAGATTCAAAGATTGAAGAGAACGGAAGGATCCACTGCCAGTTTAATGTCGAATGTCAGTACCCACAGCAGGAAAAGTGGCAGGGTCAGACATGGAAGTGGGCACAGTAAGTCTTTGTTAACCTTGTTTGAGTTTCTGAACGAAGTTAGTGGAATGGAAACATTTAAAGCTAGTTCTTATGCTATAATATCGAAAAAAAACAGATGGTTTGCCTAATTATTTGATCTGTTTAAAACTAAAATTACGTTTTTAGGTAACATTATTCGCCGTGAAACAGCTATTCATCTAGACGAAGACGATTTCAACGATGACGATGAACTTATTGTACCAAATAAAGGTTGGCAAGTGATTAAGGATTCAACCTTCTTTATAAAGGTATATTTTATAATTTTTTCTTTTTGTTTAGGTTTGAAGTTGTAGTATATACTCGTTTCTAATAAAAATTTACTCAAACTCTTATAGGCTGGAGTAGAAGCAATAATTGAAGATGAAGTTACAAGCCGATTCCAAGCTGAACAATTGGCTTCATGGAATATGTTAACCAGGACAAGTGTTTCGTTCTATCAGTGTGTAAAGTAAGGCATTTACTTTACGTTTTGATGCTAATATCTACTATTTACCATATCTTCTCATCTACTTACGAGTAATTTAATATTCTTTTTAATATTAACAATAACTTTTCAGCTGGAAATTAGCGGTTTTGTGGGTGATTGGGTTCTTCTTCCGCTACTTCTTTTTACTTCCATTACGATTCACCTTCTTTATTGTTGGTATGATATTCTTGGTTATGTCTACAGCTGTAATTGGAGTTGTTCCTAATGGAAACTTGAAGAAAAAACTGAACGAACGATGTATGTTGGCGTGCTACAGAATCTTAAGCAGAGCTATTACTGCATTGGTTTACTTCCACGACTCTCATAACAAAGCAAAGACTGCAGGTTAGTTTTTAAATTGAAAATATCTTTCATTAGCTTCAAAGATCATGTGTAATATCGTTTTTTAAAATATGACTGTAGCTTTCACTATGCCTTATACTATATTTTTTTGTTGTTAGGCATCTGCGTAGCCAATCACACATCCCCAATCGATGTCCTTATCCTCAGCACAGACAACGTTTACGCTTTGATTGGTCAACAACATCAAGGTCTGCTCGGAATCATTCAACGTGCTCTTTCCCGTGCCTCGGCCCACATTTGGTTTGACAGGGGAGAATCCAAGGACAGAAGTCTTGTAGCCAACACCCTGAAGAACCATTGTGAAGATTCAGATAAACTTCCCGTCCTCATCTTCCCGGAAGGCACCTGCATCAACAACACCAGTGTCATGATGTTCAAGAAGGGTTCCTTCGAAGTGGGTACTACAATCTACCCAATTGCCATGAAATACGACTCCAGATTCGGTGATGCCTTCTGGAATTCGAGTGAAGTCGGCTGGTTCGAGTACATTATGCAGATGATGACATCCTGGGCCATAATATGTCATGTGTGGTACCTACCGCCAATGACCCGGCTGCCAGATGAATGTGCGGTCAACTTTGCGAATCGTGTAAAGAAAGAAATTGCGAAAAGAGGAGGATTGGTCGATTTGGATTGGGATGGAGGATTGAAGAGGTCTAGAGTACCAGAAAGACTAGTTACGAAGCAACAGAACAAGTACTTCCAGAGGATGAACAGGTACACCACTTTCTCTGAATGCGATTCTGGAAGGAATGAAGGTAAAGGTTGATTCTTATGAAATTTGCGTCCTTAGGATACCTATAAAAGTGTCAAAATGTTACTTTTTTATTTTAAAGAAAAGTAGTTTAAATTGATACCTATAACTGAATTCTTCCCTTCAGATGGCATAAACATTCAAATTGGCGACCCAGAAGCCGACCAACTGCAACGTTCAAGTCTAGACCACGTGCAGGAAGAAGACGAAGAACATTCCAAGAATTTGACCGCTGAATTGGACGATCTCTTCGAAGACGATCAAGAAGAACACGGTCAAGGTGAACATTGCGTGACGGAAGCGAAAGACTTTGAACATTCCGACGAAAAAGAAAACTTTGATAACAAAGTGGTGGAATCCGAAGATTCCGGAAGCCGGATTTCGGGGTAATTTTGGAGGTTAAGTTGTTGTTTGCGAAGGTGACAGTAGCTGTTTTGGAGGTAATCATAGCTTTACGATGATTTTTTGTAGCCGAGTTAATTTCTGAAACTCAGAAGAGTTAATATGGCTACAGTTATCGTCTTTGTAGCTACAGATCTTTCCCAAATGACCACCGTTTCAAAAAACTGTAATAACTTATTTCGTTTCACATATTGGTTGTATGTCTAAACCTTGTTGTAACCATTTCAAGTGCTCTTGAACATGACATATTGATCTCTTTTTTGTATCTTATTTAGTTAGCTTTTAGAGGATTCTTGTCAATTTTCAGCTTGTCAAAATTTTTATCATCTTTATTGTCTATTTAGTGTTAAATCATGTTGTGAATACAGGTAATATTCATTAAGGGTACCATGTCAGTTTGGAAAATAAATTTTGTTTTGATCAAATGCGGATGTTGGCTTTACTATAGCTTGTTATTATTAGAAAATGGTGTATTTTACAAAAAATAGTTTAAAGATACAAAAAATTTTATACCTTTAAAATTTTAGGTAACAATATTTTTTATATGTTAGATTTACCACGAAATTACTTACCCTAATGCATATAAACTTGTAACGAGCACAACGAAGTTTCCCAAGCTAAAAAAGCCTAGAAAAATAGCGAACAAAATTTTGTTTTTGCGTATAACATGTCGACTCGCGCCCAATTTTCATTTTTCCATAAAATTCGTTCGTTCATCCGAAAACTACCGGAATTCCAATGTTTACTCGTGACATCCGTGTTGTAGGTTGTCGAATGGCATCTATTTAACAAACTTTTATTTTGATTTAATGTTTGTATCGTTTTCGGAAAGTATAAAATGGATATAAAAACTATTTTTCTTTAATAAAGCATTAATATTTATTCTTAATCTTATTCTTAATTGCTTCCATATTCTTTAACTTATTATTTTTACTCCCAAACATGCTTTTAACTTTCTAAAATGTAGTATTAAGTTAATTTAATTTTTTTTTACTTTGAAATATTTATTTCTCAAATATATTGTTTATAGCCATTGATAACATCAATTTAGTTTTTTTAACTTTCAACAACAGGAATATCACATTTCCATAAAGAGATAATGGTTTATGTTCTTCTTCAATAGTTTGTTTATATTATTTTTCGTTTGCACTAGTTTGACCGTTCGAAAACTGGTTTTCCAATCGAATTAGCATAAATTAGTGGGTCACATAACACGTGTTTACACAACATACGGATCAGAGAAGAAACCGGACATCAGGCAAGTCGTTTTTTGTATTTTTTTTTATTTTAGGTAACATTTTTTGAAGATTGAGGTAATGTCAGAAGGTAGGACACTACCTATGGTTGAACTTATTAAAATTTGGTATTTTCTTCATGTTGTAGTTCACCTAATTTCCAAAAATGGATATAAGTCTTGGTTAAAGATTAAAGAATTTTATGATTGTTGACCGGAGGTTAATAATTCGATTGATAATTACATTATTCATAAAAATGATAATTTTAAACTATCTATAATATGTCTGTCGTATTTAAAATGTAGTTCTTATCTTACATTGTATTATGTTGATTTCAAAGTTTTAAATTCCAATCTTTTAAATATTTTATTTTTTGGACACGTGTTTCCAAAACTAGTACAAAACTTTTATTTGGATACCATTTGCCTGATAATTGTGTGTTTAATCACCTTGTCCATGTTTCCCTTTACATTTGTTTGCCCAGTTGCTTATCGTTTTTCCAATATCTACTTTAATGTCGCGACCAAAATTTGTAATTTTATTCTTTTTTGTAGCACATTTCATACCTTTTCTGTAGCACATTGTGTATTTATTGTAACTTTGTTTGAGAACAAGCATATTTTATATTTTTTGTATAAATTAAAACAATACGAAGTAAAGGAATATAATGGAATCGTTCTTATTCACAACATCTGATTTCAATGGGAAGAATGGGTGTGGTACGCGGCGAGAACTTGTATTTTTAGGGTTTTTTATGGTTTGTATTATAAGATGTTAGCATAACTGCATAGACGATAATTTTGGGCGTTTTATCTGTATATTGTTAGTTTTTTTAGTATTTTAACTTTAGAATAATTTAAAAAATAATAAATTACCTAAAAATTCAACGAAAGGTCCAAAAATGAGGGTTATTTTATAACTTTTAATATTTTGTTCAAATTTTGATTAACTTGCCATGTTGTAGTAGTTATTCCAACGTTTGTTTATTGATTTGAAGAAGGTGATTCAAATTTAATACTAACGTGAAATCAAAAAGCTTTTAGAAGATGTTTTACATTTTTGAACAATTATTCTTATTTATTGTACTATTGTTACGAAAATATTATTTTAATTTAAAATTTCTGTGTTTTTACCTACATTTTTTTAAAAGTTTTTATGCCCTACATCACCTTTACCTTTACGTCTTTTAATGACGTATATCACTCGTGGTTAATTTACATTAAATGTCTTAGTAATATGCCACTTTTATAGGTAATGGTGTCGAAACGAGATGACGAAGAATCTTTATTACCTACCTCAGCCAAACTTACAGTACCTCAAAAGAGACATGCAGCACAGAGTGGTCAAAGTTCATTTCAATTCAAAGTGTATGTTATTACATCGATGACCATCTTATGGACAGGCTATACATTACTGGTACGACATACTAGGTCGACCACCTCTAAGGAGAATGTAAGTGGTGATAGAGACGGAAGAGGTTTGTTACTGTAGTAACGTAGTACTGGCTTTTTTGTCTTGGTATGTTTTTATTGTTTGTTATATCATGGTAATACTTACTGTGCTATATTGTCTAACATACCACTTCCAGATGTACTCAGCCACATCAGTCGTATGTTTGGCCGAAACGATCAAATTCTTTATCGCCTTCTTGTTACTTTCACATGATCACAACCACAACATGAATGAAGTCATCATCACCGTCAAACGAGACTTTATCAATAAACCGATGGACTTGCTCAAGATGTCAGTGCCTAGTATAACATACGCTCTTCAGAACAACCTCGACTTTGTGGCTTTGTCCAATTTGAGTGCTGGGGTCTATCAGGTAATTTAAAAAAAATTAAGTTATGACGCTTACTATAATATAACTCAAGTTTTTAATTTTGAAAAACGAAATATTAAACTTAAAATTCATAATTTTAAACTTCTAGATCTAAAAAATAAAAAAAACTATTTTTAGGTAACAACCCAGCTGAAAGTAGTGACAACCGCCTTGTTCATGATGGCCTTCCTCGGCCGCAAATTCTCCAAGACGAGGTGGGTGGCGATCTTCATGCTATTCGCTGGAGTGGCGGCAGTTCAGCTGAACAATATCGACCAGAATTCAGCGGCCGGCCGACCCACCGAGAACCCGGTAATTGGCCTGGTCGCCGTCCTAGCCACTTGTGTTACAGCCGGCTTCGCCGGCGTTTACTTCGAAATGATGCTCAAGGATGGTACTCCAACCTCTCTCTGGATCAGGAATATGCAAATGTACTTTTGTGGTATCTTGAGCACGTTCGTTGGCGTCGCCGTGAAGGACGGTGCTCAGATCCAGGAGAAGGGCTTCTTCTACGGCTACAACGCCGAAGTCTGGGCGATAGTCCTCTCGTTGTCAGTTGGAGGTATCTACATATCACTGGTCATGAAGTATCTGGACAATCTCCACAAGTCCTTCGCCTCCAGTATCAGTATCATACTGGTGGTGCTGCTCTCGGTCATGCTGTTCGAGAACGTCACGTTGGGTTTGTTCTTTGTATTCGGATCAGTCATCGTGTGCGGTGCTGTGGTACTGTACAATTCTGTACCAGAATAGATTCCATTGGAGTAGGTACGACGATTTTTATCTTGTTGTAGTGTGTCATATTGTAATTGTAGTCTTTTTTTGTATGAGGTACTGTAAAGGTTAGTATGTCATACTGTAATTGAAGATCTATAAAATTAGTGTTTTATATTGTAATAGATGTCTCTTTAAGACAGTTATAGCTAAAACATGATTTAAGAAATTTTATAACTGTAGCTAACTATAATAATGATAAGAAATTTGGTTTTTTTCCTTTTTCTAAGTTTATATTGTGATAGGGTAATTTGATTGTTAATTTTGCCTTTGACTTTTATTGTACCGGTAACTTTACTAACTAATATTGACTAAACAGTCCGATGTACATTGAATAGTGTCTTCAAGAGTTTTTAATAAAATATTTATTTTTAATCGATCTTTGATTCTTTGGAGATACTTTAAGTTATAGTACTGATATATATATGGCTAAAAGTCCAAAGCATCAAACGGATACCGATTCTTGGCCTCAATAGCACTAGAAAACACATTACACTCCAAATGCTTCTCCGACCGGTATTCCGTACCAATCGGACAGTTGAAAGCCATGGCAAACAGTGGAAAGTTGGACAGAGCTGCCTTTACTCTAACATCAGTTCGTATCTTGGGCTCGGCGTGGAACAATCCTCTTGGATTCTGATTCTGGGAGCTTAGGAATTGACCGGTCGTAACGAAAAAGAGTTGTTCTGTTGTCATTTTACTAACCAATTCGCCTGGAGGCCGTTTACCGGGGCCGTAACGCATTATGTAGATACGATGGGCACGGTAGGAGGATTGAATGGCTAGAATTACAGTGTAATGTAAAGTTTGTTAGGGTGGGGCAGAGTAGGGTAGAGTTAAGTCAGCTAGGCCTGGAAGGGTAAGGAAAAGCAGGTTAGGATAAGGTATGGAAGAATTTTAGGTAAAGTAAGGGGAAGTAGAGCAGGGTATGTACATTATTCTAGGGAAGAGTAAGAGAAGGCAGCACCACACCAAAATGAAACTAAATCTAAATAAAAATGACCTTACCTTGAATATCAGTGATGATTTCATTGATTTTCCACAAATTCTGAAGACATTTTTCGTTGTTGTTGCATTGTAGAGTATCTACACCCAATTTATACAGAGTGTTAAGACATTTGGCACTTTCAGTAATGTTTTCCGAAAGTTCGTTTGATGACAATTCAGAGATATTGTAGTCCTTCTTCAGGTCAAAGATATGGCTTCCAAATAGGTCTGAAATAATGTTTTTGGTTACTTTATTAAAAACAGTGGAGTATTACCTCAAACGTATCAACTATAATATGATATAAAGGTTGAGACAAATACAAAGATTGTCAATTAAAAACCAAAAAGTCAAATTTTAGAAAGTATATTGTAGTATAATAGAAAAGAGTGTTTTATGTCACCCACCAAAAGCCCTGCCAATTTCTTTTCCAATTTTATTGCCAAATCGACCGAACCAAAGCGCTGGCGGAGAATTTTCTTGTTCCAAATTAATCCCAATCAATAAGGCTTCAATCAGATCCATAGACGGCTTTTTGTGTGTAAATGTCACCTTAGTATTGTCCACTTTTCTTCCCTTTACTCCATGTTTCACAACGTAATCTACTACCTTCTTCCAATCAATCAGCCTTCTGAATTCTTCGAGTTTCTTCAGATTCCTCTGCTTCAAAGATTCTTCTGTATTCATCGAAAAGAGGTGCTCCATGAAACTGTCAAAGATTAAGTCAGTATAAACTGTCACCTTCTCTATCAACTTCTGTTTTGTCTCGTCTTCCATATTCTTTATATAGTCGATCGCATTTTCGTGTACTGTAGCTAGGTTACGGTTGAACAAACTCAAAGGCATCCCGGCACTAGTGTACTTGAAGAAATCGAGGCATGGTCTGTTTGTTACATCCAAACGTTCTTCTATGTAGTTACCGGTAGGTATGGCATTCTCATTTTGGTCGATTAGAGGCGGGTTCAGCTTTATCGACCAGTGTTCTGGCTCCACAAACACTAAAATTTGGCGTTATTATGTACGGAAGTAGAGATAAAATGTCGTTTTACTGTATACTTTTGAAATTTTTTACCTTCAAACTTAGCCAATTGCCACATACTGCAATGTGGCTTCGACGAGCACTCGAACTGATTTATAAATCCATAAAACTCCCGAACGTGAATTGGCGTTCCTCTTTCCGAGCATTTCCTTTCTTTTTGGAATGACAAAAAGAACTTCTTGGCTTCAGAAGAGAAGATTGTCGGCTTATGACTGTAAGTTTGGCGATGTTGGAAGGCAGAAAATGAAGTTATAAGCGCTAAAAAATACAAAAACATGTATAAAAGGAGGCTTAAAGTAATATTGAAGTCGTAAAAACAAAGCTTAGTATAGCAAAAAAACTACTAAACTATTTTAAGATCCTACTTTTTTGCAAATTTTAGCGAAAAATAAAGCAAAAAGAGGTCGCAGCGAGCAGGGTTCGAACCTGCGCGGGCAAAGCCCAATGGATTTCAAGTCCATCTCCTTAACCACTCGGACATCGCTGCACGGGCGCTCTCTGTCTTCTTTTCCGTTTGTAAAAGAAAAGAGCGAAAAGGTAACGCTGCTTCGACGAAATTTTGTTTTTATTCTCTTTTTCAGATGCAAGAAACCATATTAACATAGCTTTATTTTTTGTAAAATACATTAACGGAAATTAAAAAATTAATTTACAATTGGAAAATTGAGATAGAAACAGTTTGGAATGGAAATTTTAATTTTTTCCCAAATTTAAGAATAACAAAACAAAATAAGTTATGTTACTTACCCAGATATTCGTAAGACCTTTCAGTAGCCAAGAACTTGTCGGTAATATATTCTTTTTGGATGCATTCAGCTTGTTTCTCCGCATATTTATCAAAATCCGACCGTTTCGAAGCTTTTCCAATGCAATTCCACAACAACTTTGCGATTTCATAGCCAACAGTGGCATAGAAAGTTGGATCGTCAAGATCGTCAGTCCATTTGAAGTGAGTTAAAATGTTGGCACTCAACCGAAGAGGATAACACGATAGCTGAAACATTGAAATTTTAGGTAACAACATGTAGATTTTTAAAATTTTTTTTGGAAAAAGTGAGGCAAAACGAATAGTTTAGGTCAGTAAACCGAGTAAAAAATAAAATTTGAATTTTTGATGTAAGAAGAATCCTATTTTCGTCAAATTCTAGTTTTTAGCCATCCCTACCTTCTTCTCGGTTCCAGAAAGATCGGCGTTGATTTTGTAAGCGGCCAAAGCTTTTACCACGCCCCATTTATTGTCAGGTTTTTGGGCATTTAATGTCTCTACCACCTCTGAGAGTTTATCCAAAGTTTTTGGAGTTTTGAACTCGATACAAAGGTCTGGGATCACTGATAACAACTTCTGATTGAGCTCTGGATCTTTCAGGTCGAGTTCGTGGAGAAGTTCCTGAAGTTAGAATTAAAAATAACTTATTGATGTTTTATAAAGTGCAACTTACCACCACCGAGAACTTGAGATCATAAAACACATTTTCGATTCTTTCGTCCAAGTTTTCGCGAGCTTCATCAACCGGTAGTAGCTCTTGTTCAAGTAGCTTTGACACAGTTCTAGGCCAGCTATGTTGAACAGCTTCATTACAATCGAATCCAACCAATTCTTCGTACTTTTGGCCAATGATCTTGTACACAACTGCTTTCAAATAGGCTTGGATGACTTCTGGAGACGTTTTGGCAAATACTTCTGGATGATCTCTGGGTGCGTAATATACAAAAGTTTCGTTGAGTAATGACGAGTCGAATATGTTGTTGTTGGCTGCGTATTCTAGGTATGCGTTGAAGTAGTGGTTGTCGGCAAAACTAAAGAAAAACATGTGAATGAAGTTTTTATAGGAAAAGGTGTTGTTTGAACATAGGCTAGGAACCAGAGGGTAGGCGTCAGAGTTTACATTACTTAAGATACGTTAATTACCTAATCAAATCCCAATGTTCTTCCTTATCTTTGCACAAATGATGCTCAAACTTCAGGACTTGTTCCACCAAACCATCACTCATCTGAAGGCCTCGTACGGTCTTTTTGACTTCGTTGGCATTATCAAAAATGGCAGTGTAATTTCGTTCAGCAATTAAGACTTCACGCCAAATGGATCGTTTTCTGAAGTCAGATGAATGTTGAATGAAAAAGTTGAAGTTGAAGTTCAACGTCAAGAAGGCTGCGGTTACCGCGAAAGCCTCAGGAAACTTTTGTTGTTTTAGGTAGGACTTTACTATGAAATTGTATTCTTCTATGTAGGGCTGGTGGAAGTCTTTACGGCTTGGGCGTTTGGTGTTCTTGCAGAGGTCTATGATTTCTTTTAAGTGTAGTAGTGGGCCCTGTAATGAAAAACGAACATCAATTTACTATAATAAACTAACTTTGTATTTAGACAGTATAAAAGATCGTATTTTAAAATTTTTAAAAATAAAATGTATAAAATATAGCTGAGCGTCTTACCTCCTCCGCACCTTCGATGACGTTTTTAGTGACAATATATTTTGGATCGACCGAAGAGCATCCGGCGTATCCAGAAAAGTTGCTACATAGATCAGGTGACTGTAGTCGTTCGGCTCCTAAAGGACCAATTCCGAGGGCACTTAGAAGACTGTACAATACTGAACTCGTACTTTACCTTTTGGCTTTGGAATGTTATCAATAAGCGCTTGATTAGCGACAGAACCGCAAAACTTTGGAAAAATGAAGTGACAGAATGCCAAGAAAGATAAAAAATTATTTTTTGAAATTATTTTTTAAATTCGTGAGTGCATTAGGTTAAAATTTAATAATATAAGGATTTATATTACAGGCAGTGTAAAAGTGAGTTCAGTAAAATATTATACATAGTAGAAAACGTGAGTTCAGTACGATAGAAAGCATATTAAAGCAGACTTACCTATTCCAGCAAAAGTTATTAACGTTGCGGCTCCAATCCAGAAGTTACCGTTAAGTTTTGTCATTTCGGCCTTTGAAAGGCGAAAGTTCACGATTTGTTCGGACCGTTAATTAGTTCAGTTTTGTAGCTGTTGATTCTTAAACTTTCAAAATTCAGCTTAATTTCTGACAATAACAAAACACGTTTTATGTCTCGCTAAGAAAACTAATGCATACCAACCTTTTGTACCCATTTTAAATTTATTTTACGACAAGTTTCCTATTCATTTTAGGTTTGAGCACTACAGAAATTCAACAGGAAATTATAAAAAATATAATTAAAACATTGCTTTCCTATAGAAAACATATACAAACAAAAAAGGTTCCTCGATGAAAATATAAGTTGAGAAATCAAAATTCAATAAACTGGTCGCGGCGATGGAAGTTAAGGTGAGAAGTGTCAACGTTTCGATTGTAAAGTTTACCGTTATGAGGAAATATACTTTGTGGTATTGCCAGCTGGGAACCTGACAAAATATTCAGCATTTTCAGAATTTACCATAAATTTTGGGTTTTACTATATTGTAATTGAGTAGAGTCATGTTACATACTGTAAACAAGCTGGGTCTGACAATCCACTTTAAGATAGGTTACTGAACTTTTCGGGTAAAACTTTTCTTCCCCCGAAAGTTTCTGTCACTTTAAGATACGTACTTTAGTACTAAGAATCTTTCTAGTGACTTTACTCTGATCAAAATGAAAAATTAGAATAATTTCTTAGGTTTTTGCTGGAAGTTGTTGTACTCTTCAATGTCATTAAGTGAAGGGTTGAGTACCGTAGCGCCTTGCAACAGCCAGTCCAAGTCAACATGACGGAAGAAGATTCTGTGCTCTGGGTCTTTGGTGTACTCGCAGTGTTTCGGCATCTTTTTCTAAAAATTTTTATTTTATATTGCAATTTTTACTATTATATATATATTTGAAGAGAGAAAACTTAAGCTTTTTAAAGTTATTATTAGCATATATTCGAAAAACCTTCAATAAGTAACAATAGCGATATCCATAACTTACGTCTCGACAAACAGCAGCAGAGTGGGTATCATCAACAAAAGATTCCTCAAAATGCCATTGTGGCAAACGACGACCATCTTCTAAGACGTACGTTGAAGTCAAGAACGTTGACCTTCCTAAAACATGTTTTTAATAAGTCATCGTAATACCTACCTCCATATCTATCTTGAGGATCAATTCTGAAGTCATAACGGCTCAAATCCTCCACAATTCCTTGACCGGTCGCTTTGAGCAGAGCTTCCTTTAGACACTGAAAACATTAATGTTAAAGTTGACACCGAACTATTTAAAACATCTAAATAACTTAAGACCCACCCAATACCTGTAGAACATGGTCATCTTCTTGGCATCGGTCGGCTGTGTTCGCATGTTCTTCAACTCATCAGCTGATGCGCTCTTGGCCATCGATGTAATGTACTGATCAGCGGTTTTGTTGCCTCTGGCCATATCCAATCTCATAACATCAACTCCAACATGTTCAGTACAGCTGGTAGCAAATACTGTGTAATCACCTTGATGAGAAGCGTTCAAACCAATGTTAAAGTTCTCTGGTTTCACGATGAAAGGCTTTCCACGCTCTGTACGCTGAATCTCGATTTCGGACCATGGAGTGCCAGCCATCTGAAGGTGTAAATTTTTTATAATGCAATGTTGATTTAAGTATAAAATTTTAAAAATCATCTAAATAAATTTAAATAGTACTAAGCTTGCCAAAACATCAAGAATTAAACTTACGTCAAGTACAGCCCGTCTCAAGAACAATCGACCAGCCAAACAAGCCAAAGTGTCCTCTTTGTGACGGAATCCAGTAATCTTTTCGTAGTCACCTTCATCAACACATTGAATGGCTTTACGGTAGTTGGCTTCAAACTAAAAAACATAACTTCTTATCTATCATAACCCTGTCTTAACACTACTTATAAAACCCAGCCAAAATCTTCATACTTACAAAAACCGCTTTAATAACCCATCATAACAGCCCACTTACATTATTGTCAGACATAGCCTTCTGAAGACTGAAAGCCCATCTTCTACATCTACATGTGGCATCACCCATTTTTGATATCTGTCGTTGGCTCTGAATGTGTACCCTACAATAAGACCACTAAAATTAAATTATTATAATAAAATACGATAAGACAACACAATAATGGTGATAAATTGAATAAAACAAACAATTTCACCTTTTGCGACAGACCCCGAAGACGAAAGACAAGACTTCTGGGCAAGATTAAGATCTTTTCTATATTTTTATGTTGTTGGAAGAACAAAATATCGTCGTTTACTTCAAGAACTGCAAAATATAAAATAAACAAAAATTATATGTCTGAACAACCATTAGCAATTACTACCACTCAAAGCCAACCGTATTTTACAAAAAACAAAATTATTGGGTAAATTACAACAATAATATCTAACACATAAGTGTCCAATCCCATCAATTATAATATCAAAACATCCATAAATAGTTTAATATTTTGTTTTCGATACCTCGTCCCTCCAATTATAACATAAAAAGTAGTTTCTTTCCTCTTTTGTCAAGAGTAAGACTGCAAAAGTGACCTTCAAAGTTCTCAACGCGATTTTATCCGTGAGATCGACATCAATTCCGACCTACTTTCGCGTCTTGAAGTGTCCCACGATTAGCTTCAATCGTCCGAGAAGCTTGTCCGAAGATCGCATCAGTGTTACAGAATGTGCTTCTGGATTCTGGCTATTTTTTGTAGCTTTTAGGTAATAAAACCATTACTAAAACAGTTATTTTTTAACATTTTATAAGCTCATTAAGACAAAGTTAAGAAAACCAAGCAAACAGTAGGCAAAATTCGTACTTCCAGCTTACAAACTAAATTTGAACCTCCACTTCATTTGTACCTCCAACATAAGATTTAATGGCCATTACCTTGATATTACTCTACTCTTTTCTATACCAAATTTATATTTTTTTCTTTATTAAAACAAATGATGATAATAATTTAGCAGTGAAATAAATAAGGCTGTAATACAATGTAAACAAAGTCAATTCTATTACAATATACCTCTAATTAAAATTTACAAACCCTTAAATCAACAACGTATTACTCTAATGTAATAAGAGACAATGAGAGAGACAGAAAGACATTGATAACATACTAGGTATTACGTCATCTTTGTCAGAGTACTAGTTGCAAATGTCATCACAAATGAAAACAGCTTTAGATATAAGTATTACTGTATTAACAAGTTGATTAAGAACAAAATATTATCATTACTCCTTAAAGTATACTAATGTAGCATTGTAAACATAAATTTACAATGTAACACTAGATACTTAAAGGTTTAATAATATTATACCTAAAATCTGTTATCAAATGTAACTCCACTCTTCTTGTTACAGTAATCCAGCTTATTTAGACTTTTTCTTGGTTTCAACTTCTTGTTTTTGGTTGGATTCTGGGTATTGGTTCTTGTATCCGAGCCACAAGTAGAAAGGAAGAACGGTGACTGGAGCGATCAGAACAGCGAACAACAACCAAGTGGTGTATCTTTGGCCAAATCTACGTTCGTATGAGCGTTGAGAGTAGATGGTACCTTCTCCTGGAGCGGTTGAGTATCCAACACGAGCTTCCTTGGCATCTTCAGTTGGGTAGTACGATACGACGGCAGCAGTGTGGTTGAAGATACCGAATCTCTTTGGCTTCACGACAACAGAGTGGGTAACGTTCTCTCCTGGAGCCAAGTTGTCCCAGTGAACCTAAAATATTGTTTTAAGATTTCAATCAATTTATATTTATCGTTGAAAACCAGTATTCACCAATTAAACTAACCTAAACCTCAATAAAATGAAAAATTAAAAGCGTACCTGCAAAAGACCCTTCACAAGATCGTAGTCTTGAGTTGGAAATCCCTTTCTGTCATCAAGTCTGACCTTGGTAGCTGGTTTGTCTCCAACGTTGACCAAGAAGTATTCCAAGACGAACTCCATGTTCTCGATAGCATACTGACTTAAAGGTGTTTTAGAAAAGAGCACTCTGGCCTCGTTCAGAGGAGCTTTTGGCTTCTCAAGAAGAACATCACCTTGGGCCAAGGCCAATACACAGGCAACAGCGAGAACTCGCAACATCCTTCGTACCCTAAACAATGCTATTAGTAGTAAATATAAGATAATGAATAACGCGAACAACCAATACAAAATGTGGAAACGCATCAACGTATACCTAAAAACACTAGCAAACAAAACAGTCCAAAAATCTTTACCAATTTTTAAAAAACACTAAAAACTAATAAAACAAAAAAGTAAAATTAAAAAATTAAAAAATAGTAAATAACATCAGGAATCTAACCTGTAACTCCAACAACGACCCCTCAACAGTTAGTAAATAAAACTTTATACAGTATATCTTGTCCTATTTATATAAAACCAACAAAAACGAGTGAATTTGTTGATTTCAGTTGAGCTACCAGAGCATTACAATCATAGAAAATAGAGTTACAGGTACGGCAATGTATGGCATTCTGAGATATGACTTAGGCAACGACACCTTTTTCCTTCAACTTCTTGACCAGAGTTGGTACGTCTTCAACAAATCCACCAGCTTGACGAGTTGGGGGCTCAGTTACCTAAACAAACTTAGTTATTTAGTTTTGAAAACAATAGCTTTAAGATGTTTGTCATCAATATAACCTTTTATATCCAAACTGAAAGCTCAAAATTATAAATTAATAACTTACCTCCAAAATCTCAGTTTGAGGAGTAAGGTCTACGCCCAATTTCTCAGCCGTCAACTTCTCTACCGGCTTCTTCTTGGCCTTCATAATGTTTGGTAGTGTAGCGTATCTTGGCTCGTTTAAGCGCAAGTCAGCAGTAACAACAGCAGGTAACTTCACCTTAACTGTTTGTAGACCACCATCAATCTCACGAGTCACGATGAGAGCGCCATCCGAAGGCCCAACCTTTGAAGCAAACGTAGCTTGAGGCCAGTCCAAGAATCCAGCCAACAGTTGACCAGTTTGGTTGGCATCATCATCAATGGCTTGCTTGCCAAGAAAGACTGCATCATACTTGTCTTTTTTGACCAACTCGGCTAGAGCTTTTGCTACATGGTAAGGCTCCAGCTTGTCTGCAGTTTTGTCGTCACATTCGATATGAATAGCTTTGTCAGCTCCCTTGGCCAAAGCTGTGCGGAGACTTTCCTAAAACAAATCGAGTAAAAAAATTATTAATGTTATAACCTAGTTTCAAAAAACTTTTAAAGTATACAGAAGACGTAAATCAACAATAATACTTTCCTTATCTACTTTAGTTCACTCAATTTAAATATATTGATACAGAAAGACTGTTCCTTTAATTTCAAAAACCAACTTCTTCACAGAAAATTAACAAACCTATAATAAGTAGTAATATTGCTCAAAAAACCCAAGAAACTTCCAATCATTTACCTAAAATCCAAAGAAATAACCAAAAAATTCTTACCAAACTCTTGGCATTTCCAAAAGTGACAGCTACAACTTCGCTAGCCTTCTTCGCTTCCTTCAGTTTCACGGCTTCTTCCAACGCGATCTCGCAGAAAGGATTCACGGAATGTGCCACATTGTCCTTAATCACACCAGTCTTATCAGGCTTAACTCGAATCTTTACTGCATAATCGACCACTCTCTTAACTCCAACCAAAATCTTCATCGCTGAAAAAGCGCCAAGTCAGAGAGTTCGGGGCGGAGTTTCACGAGTTTGCAGTCCGGAAACGCGTTCCGAAACATAAACTGTCAGTTGGATTATTCAAAATTCACGTGTAAATCTATTTTCTAAATAAATGTTGCTTATTCTTTGACCAGGCAATTAAAAATATCCAAAACTTATAATTTAGGCCCACTTTAAACAGATATAAGTTGTAGGTAACACATTTTAACATCTAAAACCTCAAAATCCCTAAAAATTGAAAAGTCTAGTCTAAAAACATGCAAAAAACATCAAAATTGTACAAGACGACTATCAGACAAACACGAAAAAGGTATTCATGATCAAAGTCCAGACAAATGAGTGGACTGTGAACCGAAAAGAGTTGATCATATTTTTTTCGCCGACTGAACTAACGAACTGCACAAACACGTCAGCGGCGCCCGAGAAAAGACAAATTGTCACCGCGAGCTGCGCCCAATAAAGTGCAAACTGCACAATACGTTTTAGACGATGAAACGTCTCTTTTGTAGTTTACGTTTGGTATGTACTCATAGTGTAGTAAATGTAAAAATAAATACAATTTTTATTGACAGTTCTTATACTTAAAATTTTTTGATTTTATAAAAATAAAGTGATGTATGATATGACTCTTAAATTGATGTTGTTGCCAGTTATAATTGTGATAACAAAAAAAATTTTTTTGGCAAAACTGTTTTGAATTTAAGTTTTACCTTATTTTTTTAACGTTTACAAAGTTGCGCAACGCATAATAATCGTGAATGTCGTCGCAATTGTTAATGGAATCTTGTTGTAGAAGCATGCTCAGTCGAAGCTCCTCTTTACTCTGCAAACGATGGCGTAACGAAGGAAACAGCTAATTGTACGAAGGATGTGGGGTAAAAAATGGAGACTTGAGACGGCGGTAAATATAGGAAATGAGGTGAAAAATGTTGCAAAAATTATGTAATAAGCGGTGGAAGTGGTCAAGGTATGACGACGATTTTATGTAGAGACAGTAGATGATTTTGTAGTCAAAGTTTATGTGTAAATCAAATTTCCTGTCAGGTAATGTGTTTTAAAGTTATTGAAGAGCGTATTTTATCATTAATAATTTTTTAGCTACAGGCAGAACATTTTATTCATAAGGTATTGATCAGTTAAGACTGTATAATCAAGCTCTAAACGTGCTTACTATATATTTATACTGTATGTACTTTCAACTTACATTCACAAAAGCAATGATTTTAAAAAAACGCTCAAACATATCAAAAACTCTTTACTTGTTTACGTGATTTAAACTGACTTCTTTTACCATCAAACTTCTGCAATAAAATCATCAAAAGTTAACTATGTCGTTCTCGCATACCACCCATATTTTCACATAGTTATTAGAGTTGTAAAGTAACAGTTTGACGCGTTGCGTAACATGTCGTATCACTGCGACTCTTGCTCTTTTTTTCACTTTGAAAAAGCGGTTTTTCGACCACGTACACGAGGTTTTTCAGACTGTGATCAAACACCTCGTCTCGACGGCAAGAAAAAGAAAATGAAAAAGTTATATGACCAAGATTAATTATATAATCTTAATTGTTACTACATCACATAAACCAGCGTGTTATAAAGAGTTTAATACTTAAAATGTTTATATATAAAGTTTTTACATATTTTAAAATATATTACATTGTAAATATGTAAATTTCAACTACAAACTTACAATATGAACACCAAAATAACAATCAATAAATAATATTTAATACCTTGTGTACGTTTTGTTTGCGTAGATAGTAATGTAACAGTTGACTTGATCGAAGATAGTAATAAAAAAGCGGTGAACCAATTAAAATTTTATAGCTTTTAAACTTATGCAAAGGAATTTAACATGTTTAAGTTACAACGCCGTTTCTGTCAAGTTAAGAAAACATTCTGACGTCGTTGTTGTCGTTTTTATTCGTAATTGTTGACTACTATTTGAAATTCTATACTATGGTACAATGGTGTATTAGGTAAGGTTTGTCACAGTACTATACTGTATTTGAATTAGTTAATATAGAGTTGAGGGTAAGGTAATAACAAGACAGTTCCTTTTCAAAAAAGTTTTAAAATTCATCCCCCCCCCCCCCCACCCACTATTCCTCCTCTAAATTCCTTTTCTTACTCTCCAACTCTTAACTTCTTTCTCAGTCTTAATCTCAATCATACTGTAATATAAACCTCCCTACAGTATTCTCTGATGTTTGTTGTGAATCCCATGAATCTGCTCCTCGTGACTGACCTTTACCTGATTGCGCAATCCCACGTTCCTTCCTGGATTCTACGGGATAATCGCGAAGATGAAGAAGATCTTGTTGTTTGTTTCGAACTTTGACATTATTGCGCAATTGAAATAATGTTCAGAACGTTCGGGAGCAATTCGGCGATTTTCAGGATGAATAAAGTAAACATATTGGGAGAGATGGGTACATAATTGGGGTTGATTTTTGAAATTCAAAGAAGATTCAAAGAACGGTGGGTCACGTGAATAACGTATTACATAAAGTTCTAAATTTTGTACAAATTGATTTTAAAATTTTAAAAATGTTTTTAAGCCCAAATGTTGACTTTTTTATTTTACAAAAACTTTATTTACAAAAAAATTGTTTTGACAAAGATCAAAAGTTACTTTTTTAAATTCACAAAAGAAATTTTGAAGTCTAAAGAGCCTATAACAACTCTTCTTTCAAGATAAGACCGCTTTATAACCTTTAAATTGTTTCAATGTCATCATGTTATCTAAAAATTTAAAATTGAGCTTTAAATTTGAAAAAAAAAACAAAATAATTTACAATAGCATCAGGAGGTAGCTCATATGGTTTTAGCAACGGAAGTCATGCTTTCAGCTATTAAAATGCATTTATTGTTTGAAAGTCTACAGTCATGCGTTGCAAAGCCTATAGTAAGTTTTTAAGTACATTCCAAGCTTGTACGGTCATGTTTTTTGATGTCCAGTTTTTTACAGTAATACTTTTTGACGTCAAGGTCTACAGTGAGACTTTTTAACGTCAGTCTACAGTAAGATATTTTTTATTTACCAAACATATCGACCTGTAAATGAACTCTGTTTCTTGTAAAAGTCATTATAACTACCAAAACTATTAATCAGCTCTTTAGTATGACTACTGCAAGCTTGTTATCACTCTGCCTGTCTACTACAAGTTTACTAACTTTATCTTGATACACCCAAATCAATAAGTCAACCCTTTCCAACCTATTTATACCTATTTATCAAACTTGCATAAGAACAAATAGACCTATATATTAACTTGTTAAAACTACTGAACTCATTTATCTTGCTTACAGTTCTTGCTGTATAGTTCTTGGTAAGCCTTTGCAATCTTGATCTTACAAAGTGGTACCATTAATCTTGTATGCAATTACTGTATACAACACTCCTTCCGTCGTTTTACAGCTGGTGATTTCTCACAGACCGATCTTTTCAAATTTTAATTAAAACTATTTTAATCACATTGTAATGATATTGTAATCGTGAAACGGTATTGTAAGAGGTTTGATATAAGTCATTAGTGTTGTTGTCGGAATTGATCATGTTGTTTTGTAGTTTCTGTAGGGTTGTGTTGTTTTCTGTTAGTTGGTATGTTACTTGGTATGTCTTTACTTACTGTGTTGTATTAACGCAACGTGGGTTTTACCACTATCTAAATCTATACATGTACACATATATATGTTTTTTTTTATTTAAAATCAATTTTTTTAATTTAGCTACCAACCCAACCTTATGTGTAATACCAACGTTCCATAATCACGGTTGTTGTGGTGATTACACAACAGTCGAATTTTGTATTTGTTTATTTTTAGTTCCAAAAATTAATTGGGTGAAAAAGATTTGGGCGGTAGGTGGAGTCTGCCCGGAGGCATTTTTGTCGCCGATCGCGACAAAAATCCCCTCAACGTCCAGCTGCTTTTGACGCGCGATAAAGGTGAATTCTGAGCCATTACTCGGTTATTCCAACAATACTGTTGTTGACATCAAGGTGTACAACAACATAGCTAAGGCTTGATCTATTTGGATCAAGCGATTTGATTGTCTTTGCGTACTGTACTTTGTACTGTACGTTTGATATATACCATGGAGATGAAATTGTAAGTATAAGTAGAGTTTTGAAGAGTTAAAACAACTTACATATTTTTCCGTAGTAGAGTAACAAAATTAGGCTCAACAACATTTTTCTATATTTGCAATATATTTTACAGCACAATGTGTTGCTGTCATTTTTTTAAAGTTCTAAAAGATACAGAACTAAAGTTCAAGATTGGTTCGTTTTGTACGGCTTTAGCCGGAAATTCTTTTAATTTCTACAGCGCCGTAGCTGTTATTAAGGAGCGCTGAAGAATTTACGCGTCAAAATTAGTTTCATTCGCTTTATATTACTTTGTAGAGTTTCTTGTAGCAAACAATACGCTGTAGATACCTCAATCTTAATATTTAAAAAACTTTTTCTTATCTGTTTTTTTACATCAGAGGCATGTCAGTTATATGCAACTTACAGTATATTCAGCTAGTGTTTAGCTGCTCGTCTTTTAGCAAGTTTAAAGTCTTTAAAACTCTTTACGTGATTTAAGACTAAGAACCTCGAAAGCCGTATTTTAACATAGCTATTCAGTCTTACTGTATGTTATGCAGAATGCTTTCTCCTTAGTTCTACTGTATGTTGTGCAGAATGCCATCGTTAATTTAAACGTGCCATTCATTACGTAACCCCTGCACTAATTTTTATTTGTTCGCGCATCCGTTCGTTCCGACCTTGCCCCATATTCAAGAGTATAATTGAGAAGAAGAGCTCATGAGTTTGTACTGTCTCTTCGCATTACTTCTTTACCCTTTAAACACGTCTTATGGTCATGTCGGCTTCTAGGTAACTTACAAAGGCAAATTGGGTTTTGTAGGATGATTTAGGGTTCTTATAATTAGACACTGGTTAGTGTAGTTTATAAAAAGCAATGTAATGTAATAGGTATTGTAGTTGCAGATTTTAAAGTCTTAATTGCATAGCTTAAAGTATTATAGCTAAAACCTTTAACATACTTAAGCATAATTTAAAAATCAACAAAAATTTTTAAAATTTGGAAGCACACTAACTTCAAAAAAGATAAAGACAATGAAAATTCAGTTAGAAATCACTTTTAATGCTCTATTCTTTCAGAAACCTTCTTTGCATGACCATGGTGATAACATTGTTCCAACATACCAGAGCTTCTATCTTTGCATACTCAGACGCAATTCCAGTCATACTCAATCCTATAAACGCTGAACAAATTGCTATTATGCATCCTAAAATGCTTACAGTAAGTTTTAAATTTACTTTTTTTTGTATTTTACATTTTTTATTTACTTTAAGTTTACAACTATGTAAAACATCTAACATAAAAAAAATGACAAAAAACACCGTAGCTTCTCCATGAAATTACTTTGATTTCAATGACGCAATTATTTTACCCTGCAGCAAAAGAAAACCTTGACCACTTTATGGCGATCCTTCTAATTGAATAACGAGTTTGAGTATACCTTGTTTATCTCCTTATCCGCGAACACCAAAGCGGTTTTTGTTAACCTTGACCCGTTTCGACAGCGAATCCCAGAATTTTGTGATCCCACGATTGTCTTCTGATTACTCATGTTGAGGAAGGTAGATCCGGGGATTTCGATCGTAATTTATGGATTGTTTATGCGGAAGTTGTTATAGGTATAGAAGGTATAGGGTTCTAGATTGATGAGATTCATATGATTTGTGAGGAATTGGTTTTTAACGAATGTTTTTTAGTTTTTTAAATCACGCTGAAGAATATGAAAAGCTTTACAAAACCCAAAAAAGCACAATAATTTTACTCAAAACACCTGTAACAATATAATTTCAGCTAAAACATTCTCCAACAGTCTCCCCAAAGTCGCCTACACTATCTTCCAAATCCAAACTGTCGAAAAAGCGACGATCTTTGGCTACAGCTCAGACTGAAGGAGCTAAACCCTCAAACCGATTAATGCTCACAAAACCTTTTTGGCCTTGGCCATAGATTCGATAACTTTACTTTTTTGAATTATTTTGAAAAATTTGTTCTCTGTGATTTAAATTTGTTATCTGTGATGACAAATTTAAAAGTCTTGTTATCTACTTATCTTTTGTAACAGCTTCGTTGCAAATATTAGCATATATTGTTCTAGTCTTCAGCCATCTCACAAACACAGCTTGATCTCATATACGTGTATATTTGAAAAAACATTAATAAATATTCAATAATAAGAAATTACTTGGATTTTTGAATACTTTGAATTAAAATTATAAATGATTTTTTGACTAATATATTGATATAAACAACACAGTAATTTGAAATGGATGTGGTAAATGTAAAACTGAACGTTCTTGCCAATTTCAAAGTAAGTGGGTTACAAAATGTAACTAAAAATACCAGCAAACAAGTTTTACAGTAAAAGTTGACTTTTTGGGTTAAAATTTGTTTTCGTGGCGGGACCTAAAGTGCCTAAAGATGTGTGTATTATATATTTATATGACAAAAGGTTTATATTTTTTAAAAACTTTCATAATAAGAAAATATTTTTTAATATAAAAGAAGTTTTGTGGTCTTTTAAAGGAGCAACACCATACTGACACTAAGAACTTAAGTTTCGTAACATACTCTTTTGTGTTTTGTAAACAAACAAACCATGTTAACTATAAGCCTATGTTTTCTAACTATAAGCTGCATGGATTGTATGACACATGCAATAACTACCTACTTTGTTAGAATGAAACGTCTGTTAATCCTCTCTGATTTTCAACATTTTCCTCTGTGTTTGTAGCTTACAATGAGTTTTGTAACCGTTTTTCCGTTTTTACTTCTGTTTCCAAATGTTTTTACACAGACATCTTCAACTACTACAGCATCTTATGGTCAGGTACGTCTATTTGTTGTTGTTCAGTTAGTATTGAGAGTTTGAAAGTTGTACTAAAGCCAGTATAATCACGCTTTTTGACGTTTTACATCAATGTTAAGCATTTTATAGTGTATGTTTAGTGTCCATGTGTTGTAAATCCAAATACCAAAGGCTGTTTGCAATATGACAGTAAGTTTCAAGCTACGTCGATTGATGAAGCAATTGACTTTTTCGAGGACATGAGTTTGCTGATGGAGAAGAAGCCACCAGAACAGACAGTTTCGACTGATGACGTAAGGAAACTCAATAAAGATTAGTTTCCAAATGATCTTTATGCTGTTCTTTCGTAAGCTCAACATATATTTTGTATTTAGAGCTTTAAAAACTAAGGTTTTGACAGTAAAAAATTAAATATTGGTGTGTTATAGATAGATTTTAAATAAAAATGTATTACAGATAGATTGCACAAGCGATGAATGTAAAACATGTCGAAGAATGATGAATCAGCGGCTTCAGGCGGTCGGCTTCTTTGCTGATTTCTACGGCGCTGAAGGGTATCAGAATTTCATAGAACCAGTCCAAAGCACAGAACCTACTGATGTTGACGTATGCACAAAATATCGCTTCGCCCGAAATAATTCGGATACTGTGGATTATCAAAGTAAGATTACCAAAAAAAACATTTTTAAAAAATTTGATTTCTAGAATGTTTTACGTCTTTAACCTTTGTATTAATACTAAATATCTTTAAACATTGAAAATCCTATTTTTAGGAACCCATAAACACAAAATAAAACGACAAGTTGTCGACCTGATCAACTCTACGATGATAGGTAAGCGAGAGACAAGAGAGAGACAGAATTGACACCTGAGCCAAGTCTTCCCAAATAGACAAAATCCTTAAGATGTGATAAAATTATACGATTTTTTCTCTTCCAAAATATTCACCCAAAACATGTGATTTCACAGTCCTTTTTAGGCACAAGGTACAACTTGTCATGCACGACAAAAGGATCAACACCAGATGGAAACGCTGATACTGAGTTGTTGAGCTTGTGTGCAAAATGTTGGGCTTGGCGACAACTACCGTCTAATTATTTTCCTCAATTCATTAATGAGTTGGTGTGTCATGATGGAGATACTGGTTGTTTGTCTGGTACGTTTGTTTTAAAATACGTGTATAATTAATAGTAAATAGATAGTTTTAATTATATTATGACAAAAACTTAAACCTTCTTTTAGGTAAGAAAAGGCCATTTTTAAACCGAGCATGGTAAAATACGGATTGCGACTTTATTCTATTTTTTCGATTTCAGGATACGGTAGTTGCGGTAATGGAGAGCGTACGGTAGAAGTGTTACGAAATGACACTTATAAGTTAACTATGGTAACTTTATCAGCAGCTTCGTTCTGTGAATGTCAAGTGCGTGTTGGATCAGCGATACAGGATTTAGTTACTGGTAACTCGACATCTGACTAATATTATACATAGCAGCCTTAATAAATCATTTTAAAATTTAACATTGTTTATTATGTATCAGTTATATACACTTTTGTAGGTTGGTTAATTCCCTGTATTATGAATCAGCAACATGCAACACTTTTGGCCTAATTTGAATCTAAAGAAATTTTAAAATTAAGATATATAAAATACGATTTCAAGCCTTTTCCAACCAAATCTGAAGTTATTAATGAGGTACCAAAGCGTAATCGTTCTCGGCGAGATAAAGCCTGTCAGTCAAAGTCCTTTGATATTTTGATGGTATCTGGGTATTGCCAGAGGAGATATCGACGTCGCGGATAATGGGCGTAAGTCATATTCAAGGTCGTGAATTCTCGTTCGTCAGAATATTGTTGATAGGAGAGTTGGTTTGGATTTAAAGATTACTGTTTTACAGCGCTTTTTGTGGTATCTTACGTAACGTAGTGACATTGTTATGCTAAAATTCGTATTTTAAAAGTTTGTGAGGTTGTGGTATCTTTCAGTGGATTCTGATATGGGAGGGTACCTTATTGGCTTGAATTTTAAACCGATATAAGCCTAACAAGATAAATAATACCACGCCTAATTTCTTCTTCTGCCAGCCTTAGATTGGTATAGCCTCCCACTTCTCTCACTACCCCTGCCTCTTAAATAAGATAGTATTTTATCGCCACGAGCTTCTGACGCAAGTGATGAGTAATTCAGAAACGATGCGTTTCTTGTTTTTAATCCCTTTTCTTACTCTAAATTCAATGTCAATCTTCTTCCTACTCAAATATCTGATAGTCATAGCTAGATTCTGTTAGATATTCTTTGTTTTAAATTTACCTTTCTTCGTATTGTTTTTACACATAAAGACAAGGCCAAATTTTAGTGGCAGAAAGCGTTATTTAGAAGAAAAAACTAAATATATTTTAATATTTTAGGTAACATTTTGCCTTTTAACCGTTTTAATAATTCAACCCTTTAATGGTTTTTAAAAAAGTATTTTTTACATAGTAATTTCTAACCAAAACAGAGTAAAAACATGTTAATAAAGTCAATTGAAAACCCTCCAACGGCAAAACTTTGAATTTCGAAACGCGAAATGGCGCCAATTTTGTATGTCCTCGATTCCTTCGTTTCGGTCGCACGGTCAGTTTAGAGCGGTTTAAGGAATTCCAAGGGGAGAGAGCGCGCAGAGGTATTTAATTTTGGAACAACACTCTTGTAATTATTCTTTTTTTACTCATAACCTGTATAAAATCATTATATACGTTGTAAGACTGAACCTTTTTAAAATCAAAGCTTTTTTAAGTAACGATCGATGTTGATGATAAAAAGTGAAGATCACACTTACCGCAGTGTTAAGACCATAAAAAGCATAACCGCCTTAAAGATCTCTGAATACAATCCGACCGAACACACTTCAGTTTTCGGATCTTTTATATTCTCCATGTTCGGATGAGCAAGTTTCTCTTTTTTGTTTCGCCAAGTTTTTGAACTTTTGGCGTGCGGAAGACATGTTTTTTTTGTTTCTTGGTGTCAGAACTCTACTGAACCGTGGTTGGGAGGTGTAGGTGGTTCGTACTGATTCAAAGTTTTTGTAATATTAATTAAAATAGTATTTAATTTCGAAATGTTTTTAGCTTTTTAAAATTAACGTGTTTAAAATTCATTTTAAGTGTCGTTTAGGATCCGATGTCGACTCATTGCTGACTATTTTTGTGTGTCCGTTTCGATATCAAATCATAACGAAATATTAAAAAACACAGTCATAGCCTCCGGGTAGGGCTTTTATCATTACTAATGACTCGGCCACTATTTTTTGAGATTTTTATTTGTAATGATCGTTTTGGAGCTATTTTGTACTATTTTTCTCAAGTTTTTTCTTATGATACGGTACTGTAATTCTGAAACCAATTCTTCTTCCTCAAATCTTAGTTATGATACTTTTTTTTATCATGTTACAGTATTCTGATTTCTTTTCTAAAAAAAATTGTGACAAAGATTTTATTTTAAATTTTGGTAAATTATGGAAAATATTTTTAGTTTTTGAAAGTTTGGCTGTTGCAACTTGTGTGTTTTGGGTGACTTTCAAGGTTGATAAGGCCATTAAAAGCATCATCACTTTTGATGACTTAAGTTCCGGAAATGACAGTCAAATAAATCTTAAATTTTGTAGTTTTTCCCAAAAAACCAACATCCATAATAAAAAATGTTTTTTTTTAATTAATATATTAACATCTAAATATTACTCTAAACAGTTAATTTCCACGAAAATTCAAATGTTTGCCCAAACTTGTTATTGTAACGCAATTGAGGTCTTTATCTTGTGACGTCCACTTGGTGTGTACCTTTATATGGTTTGCGTCTTTGTGGATGTTCTCTGTGTCTCTTTGTTTCCAACGTTCTTCCGTCGTTCCGTCTAATGCGCGCGACGATCTTTTTTCAAAAATACGAAAATATTCGAAAAACAACGGCGTTGATTTGGGGTTGTGGTATCCTTCAGTGGATTCTGATATGATTTACTAAAGTGTTTTGGCTTAAAAAGTGATTTTGGTGATAAGAACTGTGGGAAAGGTAAAGGGATAGTAAGCTTTAGGTAGCGTGGGTATACTAAGATTTTACTTATACTAATTTTAACACTAGGTTTCAGTCTGTTTTTACTGTTAAAATACTAATATTTTCAAGGATTTAATTTCTGATTTTAAAAGCTTTTAAAACCTTATGTTATGCCTCTTACCAAGACCTGAGAAGTGTAACCTTGCCGTTTCCAGAGAAGAAAGGATTAGAATAAGGGCGAGTTACTAACAAATGAGGCAATTACTGTTCTTATTTGTCCGCGCGAAACTTAAACTCATTTTTCGATTGAACTTTTACATTCGTACTGACGTGTGTTTGCAAAATGTAAACATTCAACTCTACCTTAACCTATGGTTTTTGCTCTTGCACTTGTTTTGGCTATATTATTCACGTTTGCATGGTGTTTATAACATTATATTTGTTCTTATTGTTGTCAATCATATACTTGGTAGTTCTACCAAAAAACATTCATACATAAAGTATTCTCGAGCTTTGATTTTGACTTTACCCACAGTAAGTAATTTATATTAAAATATGCTTCATAAAAACGATAATAACAAAAAATTGATTGAATTTTTAAAATTTAACAATTTTACGCCGATCTTTTAAATTTTTTCCCAAATTTTGCGAATTTTAACATGGCTGATTATGTATAATAGCCACGACTTTTACGATTTTACTATGAGAAAGCAAATTGAAATTATTTAGCATTTCAAAGGTTGCCTCTGGCGTGCAAAATTGTTTTTAAAAAGATTTTTGTACAGTTACAAATAGATTTTTTTGTTGCATTTTTTGCGGATAGTAAGGATAAGTATGATTATAGGGTTGTGGTGATATTATAGTAGGTTTTAAATTGGCAATCAGTTCTATGTGGCATTTTATTTTTGGTTTTTATTATCTTCTGTTGGCTGAAAAATAAGTTTATTTTATTAAAATTGTCAAGATACTTTAATGAAAAATCAGAATTTACATTGTAAAAACGTTTTACGCTTATTACATTACCAACATTTCATGACTAAATACCACATTGAACATTAGCCCAGCTTAGAAACATGTTGATCACAAGACCATATTTAGCCTCGTTTCCCATTCCCACTTTATTATTCCATCCATTTTCTCATTATATCGCTGTTTTGGAGCGTTTGAAATATTTTTTGCGGCCAAAAAAATTTGTCATCCGACATTTGCGCCTTCAACTATAGCTAGCTGGGGGAAGCGTTGCGCCGAAGCCCTGAGTCATCGCACAAAAACAGTCGAGGCCGATCTAGTTTCGTCTTTCTGGAATGTCTTTGGTTTTGTGTGGGGCCAGAATCGGGTTGTGATTGCTTAGATTGACATCAACAGGATGTTGATTATGTTGTTTTGTCATTTTTTATTTTTTGATGGTTAAAAAAGGTAATTTAACTGTTCTTACTTTGTAACAACTTATTATACACCCATTCATCCGCTATAATAGCCGTACATCTTTCATCGTATAACTTGTTTCGGGCGCAGCTTGCGCAACTTTAGCATCTTGAAATTGGCGGAGTTTCTTTTGGATGATTTACATTTGACTGTTTTTCTAGAAAAATATTATTTTTTTTCATTCTTGTAACTACTATTGTAACAAGTTTCGGAGCTTTTCAACGTTATATTTAACAGTAAAATATTATATCAGTTATCTTTTATACAACAATATTCATTGTTGTTTCGCTTATTTTTCCGAGGGTTTTGGGCGGAAAGTTGGTTTATTAGGTAATATTACTTTTGAAATTAATATCGTTTACTTTTTTGTTGTTATTTTATTGTTTTTTATGGTATGGAAATTTTAGGTAACAATTTATATTTCTCTAGATTTTGGATAAAATCGTTTTCCCAGTAAATCTTAGAATTTTGTCGCTTTTTACTCTGCAAATTGTTAAATTTACGTTTGGTATGAATGTTTTTACGTGAAGTAAAAATATGTACTTTACCAATATATTGTAGTAGGTTGTGTAATTTCAGCTGGATCAAAGCGTAATCTTGGCTTTACCTGTATATTATACTTGACAGTGAAATGTCGAGAGTGAGCGCGGCAGCAGCTCGCTTCGGTGGAACTCGTCAAGACTCTACAACTTCACGAACTTCTCGTCAAGATTCCACGAGTTCTCGTCTTTCTCTAACTCGACCAGAAGCCCGTAAAAATCCACTGTCTTCTGTTGAGAATCGCCTGCCAAGTCGAGAATCTTCTGAAATTCCACAAGATGCGTCGACTTCTGAACTTGACTATTTGATTGTGAAGAGGACAGCTGTAGCCGATCCGACGATGCAAGCAGAATGGGCACAGAAGCGACAAGTGTGGGTACCACACGAGAGAGAAGGGTTTGTGGCAGCTCAGATCAAGGAGGATAATGGAGAGATGTATGTGGTTGAGGTGGTGGAGACTGGGCAACAGATGAAACTGAGCAAAGACGATTGTCAGAAGATGAATCCACCAAAGTTTGACAAGGTAGGGTGTTTATTTTGTGAAATTGTAAAGGGTAAAACAATTTTATTTTTAAAGTTCTTATTATTATAAACTGTAAAATGAGTCTGATTTAATATTTTTATGATTGATAAAAATGATTTTTAATTTTCTTTTCAGGTTGAAGATATGGCAGATTTGACCTGTTTGAACGAAGCTTCTGTGCTACACAACTTGAAGGAGAGATATTACTCTGATTTGATTTACGTAAGTTGTCTAAAGTTTAAAAATAATTTTCAATCAAAAATTTTAAAATAACCTCTTCCGTAACATAAAATTTCTTTTCAGACCTACTCCGGCCTGTTCTGTGTAGTAGTCAATCCTTATAAGCGAATCCCCATCTACTCCGAGCAGCTGATCGATGCCTTCAGAGGAAAGAAACGTCACGAACGACCTCCACACATCTTTGCCATCGCCGATGTTGCTTACCGTTCGATGCTCCAGGAAAGAGAAGACCAGTCGATCTTGTGTACTGGAGAATCTGGAGCTGGAAAGACTGAGAACACAAAGAAGGTCATTCAATATCTGGCACATGTTGCTGGTATGAACAGACCTAACAAGGGGTCGGGAGTTCCTAGCAAGGTAGGTTAATATATAGATATGAGGAGCGTAGGTATTGCGAGGTCAGTATTACAATTTTAAGTTAAAATATATTAGTCTAAGAAGACCTCGAAAGAACTGTTATAAGGGTAAATATATTATTGTATATAATACTTGATTTTTATAGTCTGATGATGCTGTAATGCAATACGTAAGTCATGAATGTAAAATGGCTTCTTCTCCTGTTCTAGCTGTATTTCTCATTCTATATTCTTCTCTTTTCTTTCTGTTTTTTTTTTCATATTATACATGTTCTTTCTTATACTTCGTTGAGTTTAAAAAAAATCTTGTCATAAATGTACGTTCATCAATGTTTACATTTGTCTGTTATGTCAAGTATAATTTTAATTATATATGTTTACATAATATTTTAGGGTGAACTAGAAAGCCAACTTCTACAAGCAAATCCGATTCTTGAAGCCTTTGGTAACAGTAAGACGGTTAAGAATGACAACTCTTCTCGATTTGTAAGTTTCATTGGCCTTTCTATATCTTTTATTGGAACTTTGTAATACTGTAAAATACCTTTTTGTTTTAGGGTAAATTCATCCGCATCAACTTTGACATGTCCGGCTACATTTCTGGTGCCAACATTGACTTTTACTTGCTGGAGAAGTCGAGATGTTGTCGTCAAGCAGTGAACGAACGATCTTTTCACATCTTCTACCAATTTCTGAGAGGGACTACACCAGAAGAGAAGCAAAACTATCTTCTCGAGGACATTGGAAACTACTCTTTCTTGAACAACGGAGCTGTAGCTGTCCCGAATGTTGACGATGCCAAAGAATTCCACGAAACCATCAAAGCCATGAAGATCATGAGCTTCAGTGATGAGGAAATCACTTGTAAGTTTAGTCTCAAGGGACGTTAGGATATTATACAGGGTTTTTTTTTCACTTTTATTGTTTAAGTAGGAATTCAGTTTTGTAAAATACGAGGAATTGTGCATGCAATTTGTCATATTATAAATTTACTCCTTTTCAGCCATTCTCCGTATCATCTCGGCTGTCATGCTTTTTGGAAACATCAAGTTTGTTCAAGAAAAGAAGTCGGACCAAGCCTGTCTGGCTGATGACAGAGTTGCTCAGAAAGTTTGTCATCTCCTTGGCCTCTCAGTCCAAGACTTTAGCAAAGCCTTCCTCAAACCGAAGATCAAGGTTGGCAGAGAGACAGTTCAAAAGGCCCAGAATAAGGAACAAGCTGAATTCTCAGTCGAAGCCATCTCCAAAGCCAGCTACGAACGAATGTTCAAATGGCTAGTCCAGAGAATCAACAAGAGTTTGGATAGAACAAGAAGACAAGGAACCTCTTTCATTGGAATTCTGGATATTGCTGGTTTCGAAATCTTCGAAATGAACTCATTCGAACAGATCTGCATCAACTATACTAACGAGAAGCTCCAACAGCTCTTCAACAACACCATGTTCATCCTAGAACAAGAGGAATATCAGAAAGAAGGCATCGACTGGCAGTTCATTGACTTTGGCCTTGATCTTCAGCCAACGATCGATCTGATCGAGAAGCCGATGGGCATCCTCGCTCTTCTTGATGAACAATGTTTGTTCCCCAAGGCTACAGACAAGAGTTTCGTGGAGAAGTTGACGGCTAATCACGAGAAGAATAGCAAGTTCGTGGTCCCAGAGATGAGATCAAGGTCCGACTTTGCTGTTGTTCATTATGCTGGAAGAGTGGACTACAGTGCTGACAAGTGGCTGATGAAGAATATGGATCCATTAAACGAGAATGTGGTTGCTTTGATGCAAAACTCATCGGATCCGTTTGTTCAGGGAATCTGGAAGGATGGTAAGAAGATTTTTAAGTAAAACAGGTTTATATATGTGTACATGTTTGGTATAATGAAAGACGAATTACAATTTAAAAGTCTAACTTGTAAATATAATTTTAGCCGAATTTGCTGGCATGGGAGCGACGGAAGTTGCCGAAAGCGCCTTCGGCGGTGTAAGAACCAAGAAGGGAATGTTCCGCACAGTCTCTCAGATGTACAAAGAACAACTTTCCAAACTGATGTCAACATTAAGGAATACTTCTCCTAACTTTGTCAGATGTATCATTCCAAATCACGAGAAGAAACCAAGAAAGATCGACCCTCTGCTGGTATTGGAACAGTTGAGATGCAATGGTGTACTCGAGGGAATCAGGATCTGTCGTCAAGGTTTTCCAAACAGAATCCCATTCCAAGAATTCCGTCATCGTTACGAGCTGCTGGCTGCCAACGTGATTCCAAGAGGATTTATGGATGGAAAGGAGAGTGTCAAGTAAGTTTTTGATGATTTTTTTTCTCAATAATTTTTGACCAGGAACCTTTAGTTTTATGATATAAACTTTATTTTTTAGCAAAGTTATACCTATAATAATATAAATTATTGCAAAATTTCAGGAAGATCTTAGATGCGTTGGAAATCGAACCCAACAGTTACAGAATTGGAATGTCGAAGGTCTTCTTCAGAGCTGGAGTACTAGCTAAACTCGAGGAGGACAGAGATGTTAAGATCACTGGACTGATCATCGACTTCCAGGCCAGATGCAGAGCCTTCTTGGCCAGAAGATTGTACGAAAAGAGAGTGCAGCAAAGCAGTGCCATCAGAGTATTACAAAGAAATGCTTTGTCTTGGTTGAAGCTGCGAAACTGGGAATGGTGGAGATTGTTCACCAAAGTTAAGCCATTGCTTCAAGTAAGATAACTTTGTTTTTGTCATAGCTTGACATGTTTGTTTTATTCAAAGTAATTAATTTGTTATTGAACCATTACGGTCTCAAAAAATGTTTTGTTTTCTATGAATTTGTTAAATAACTTAAATTTTAGGTAACAAACCAAGAGTTGGCCCTCCAACAAAGAGACGACGAACTCAAGGTTGTCCGTGAAAAGGTCGGAAAGTACGAAACCGAACTCAACGATGTCAGTCAACGCCTAGAAGTCCTCCAATCAGAACGGTCCCGGCTCCAAGAGCAGCTTCAAGTCGAAGCTGAAGAACGTGCTGAAGTCGATGAAATCCGTCAACGTCTTCATGCCAAAACTGAAGAGCTATCTGAACTTGTTAATGATTTACAATTCAGATTGGAAGAAGAAGAACAGAAGACTGCCATGTCATCAGACAAATTCAAGAAACTGGAAGAAAACATTCGAGATCTAGAAGAACAACTGGAATCAGAAGAAAGAAAACGACAGAAGACCCATTTGGACAAGAATACCCTCGAAGACAGACTTCTGAGAATGGAAGGTGAAATCGCCGAGCTCCAAGATGCCAACGAGAAGTTGACAAAGGAAAGGAAATGGTTCGAAGAAAGAGCCAATCAACTGGAGAATCAACTGGTCGAAGAAGAAGAAAAGACAAAACAGGCCAACAAGTTGAGGGCCAAGTGGGAACAACAATGTCAAGAAGCTGAAGGAGAGTTGGAGAAAGAAAAGGCTGGCAGACAAGAGTTGGAGAAGCTGAAGAGAAAGACTGACAATGAACTTCAGGAGACTCGTGAAGTGCTGGAGGAAAAGAGAAACAAGATCGAGGAACTTAACATGCATTATCAGAAGACTCAAGAGGAACTCAGCAGTTTGTATTGCAGGTTAGTTGACATTATGATAATATCGTTAAACCTAAAATGATGACTTAATATGTATTTTTACTAAAGTTTTTTTACAGATCTGACGAAGAGAATGCTGTCATCTCACAGCTTCAGAAGCAGCTACGTGACTACGAAGCTCAAATTGAAGAAGTTAAGGACGATTTGGAAAATGAAAAAGTCCTCAGATCTAAAGCTGAACAAAAACGAAAAGAACTGGCATCAGAATACGAAACTCTGAAGTCAGAATGTGTAGATGCCGTAGACAAATCGCAATTGGCCATGGAGATTCAACGCAAAAAAGATGATGAACTGAGACAACTTCAGGTGAGGTTATGAAGCTTTTCAAATTTATCTTCTATCAAAAGTTAGACCTAAAACAACCTGAGTTTGGGCAGACCATGCCAATTTGAAATTTCGCTTATACACAGTAGAATTTAGTATTTAATTTTTTTAAATTTCAGAACCAAATTGATGCCGTAGCTCAAGAAGGCCAGAAGAAGGTCGATGAAGTCAGACAAAAGTACCAACGCCAAGTTGAAGAACTGGTCGAACAAGTTGAACAACAAAAACGACTGAAAGCACAAACTGACAAATCTAAAGGAACATTGGAACAAGAGCGTACTGATCTGCAAGGTGAACTTGAATCCTTGGCAGCACAGAAGGCGGAAACCGAAAAGAGAAGAAAACAAGCAGAAGCCGTGATTCTGGATCTAAGAGCGTCGTTGGATACGGCCGAACAACAAATCGCTACTTTGGGCGAGCAGTTGGGCAAGGTAAATGTGATATTATATTGTTGTCAAATATGGCATTGTATTATTGATTGGCATTCTTAGCTTTTTTTTTTTTAAATTTTCTTTGGGTTTATTCAAGATAATTTTAACTGAGTAAGCCTTGATGATTAATACGTAATGATGGCTGTAATATCAAGTCAATCGTTTTGTTATACAAGAAGGCCAATCAGTAATAATTTTTGGGAGCCGCGGAAAATGAATAATTCTTTATTACGTTTGTGATCATGACCTTTTTAAAGATATTTGACGTGAAGTAGCGAACTTAGTCATCAAAAATAAAAATGTCAATTACAATGAATTTTTGAGGCTTTTTTCGACTATATTTTATATTATTAACTTTATAACAAGGCCGCTTTTTTAAAAAATTTGTTTGTAGATCCAACCTGATTATGAAAACACTCAAAGACAACGTGAGAAGTTCGAACAACTCGTCAACTCTCAACAACACAAGATCAACTCTCTCGAAGGCCAAGTGTCAGAAACCCAAGAGCTTTTGGCCGAAGAAACTCGCCAGAAGCTGGCTTCTCAAAGTAATGTACGACAACTTCAATCTGAGATCCAGAATCTGGTCGAAACAAAAGAGGAAATGGAGTTTGCTCAACAGAAGCTTGAGAATGACATTCAAGCCCTAAAGGCTCAAATAAACGATGAGAAGAAGAAGTCAGAAGAAATGGTCGTGATTCAGATGGAGGAACAGAAAAAGAAATTCCAGAAGGAATTGGAGAACGTTCAGAAGGAAGTCGAAGATATGCTCGCAGCCAGAGACAGGGCTGAACGGGCCAAGAAGAAGTTCCAACAAGAGGTAAGGATAATACAAGATTATGGAACTCTAAATGGTTTATCGCTTTTTTGTGTCGACGAAAGCAGTATTGATAGTTTAGTCTGTATATAAGGGTATAATTTTTTATCTTTTTGATTCTGTGCAACGAATAATTCATCTGATTCTAGGTTGAAGATCTTAACATTGAGTTGGAGAATGTACGAACCAACAGCCGAGATGCGGACAAAAGACAACGCAAGTTCGACCAACAATTGGCTGAAGAAAAGGCTAATTTACAAAAAGTCATCGCCGAGCGGGATGCTTTGGAGCAGGATTCTAGAGATCGCGAGACCAGACTTTTGGGACTTCAGAATCAACTAGAAGAACTCAAAAGCCAGTTCGATGTCATTGAAAGAGAAAAGAGAATGCTGCAGAACGAGCTGGAGGAATCTGTAAGTCAACTTAAAGACACATTTTGAAATGCATGATAATAAAATAAAAATTTATAACAACTGGAAATTTAGATGTCAACTAAAGATGACGTCGGCAAGAACGTCCACGAACTCGAAAGAGCCAAACGCCAACTTGAACAAGAAGCTGCAGATCTCAGGGCTCAAGTTGAAGAACTGGAAGATGCTGTTCAATTGGCTGAAGATGCTAGACTTCGTATCGAAGTAACATCGCAAGGACAGAAGAACGAATTCGAAAGAGTTTTGGCTGTAAAAGAACAAGAAGACGAAGAAAAGAGAAGATCTCTGCTCAAACAAGTTCGAGAATTGGAGGAAGAACTTGAGCAGGAAAGAAGAAGCAAGGTCGGAACTGTAGGTCAGAAGAAACAACTCGAAATGCAAGTAGTCGAGCTACAACAACAACTCGAACAACACATTCGCCAGAAGGATGACATGAGCAAACAACTCAAGAAGTCTCAACAAGCCATCAAAGAACAACAAGTTAAGGTAGAGGAACAACAACAACAAAGAGAAGAAATGGCAGCGTTGTTGAGAGAAGCAGAAAGACGAATGCGTCAAGCTGAAGGTGAAGTTGTACGACTTCAAGAAGCTACAGAATCTTTGGCCGCTCAGAAGAGAAAGCTCGAGACGGAAAGGGATGAACTCGAAGAGTTAAGAACCAAAGGAGGATCAATCTCATCTGACGAAAAGAGAAGACTCGAGAATAAGATTGCTGCTTTACAAGAGGATGTTGAAGAAGGAGAAAGCACATTGTTGGAGCTCCAGGACAGACTCAGAAAGGCTCAGCAACAGGTAAGTGAAAAAGCTCGTTTTGTCACTATGATTTATGACAAAAAAAAGAATAAAAGTCGAGGGTGGGCAGTTATTTAAAGTAATATACTAATATTTTTTAGGCCGACCAATCCAATATTGACCTAAATGCCGAAAGAACTAACACACAACAAATGGAAACCGAAATCCAGAGTTTGGAACGCCAGAACCGTGAACTCCGCTCACAAGTTGTCGAACTGGAGACCCTAACTCAAACCAGAACACGAGCTCAGATCAGCTCATTGGAAACTCAAGTAAAACAACTTCAAGATCAACTGACTGCCGAGAGTTCGGAACGACAGAACACTAGCAGGATGTTGAGAAGAATGGAGAAGAGAGTCGCTGAAGCTCAAGCTCAAACTGAAGAAGAAAGAAAGTCAGTTGAACAGTTCAGAGAAGCTGTAAGTTATATTGTGATTGAATATAAGTTTTGGTTGAAAAGTTATTGATAGTATTATATTATTTGATTTTCTATAATGAAGACCTCTAATCCTTCCAATTTCAGTCCGAACGTTCCAACGCCAAAGCTCGTCAACTTCGTCGTCAAGTAGATGACCTTGAGGAAGAGGTGAGCCGCGAGAGAGCCAAAGCCCGAGCTTATCAACGCCAATTGGACGAACTTCACCCCATTCCAGAACCCAACTAATAAGTTTCTGTCGAGTTACTTGTAAATTGATAACGGTTTCACTGACGCGTGTTATTTCCAGAATTTTATGTTACCTATTCTTACCTTTTTCCAGCTCATCTTTCTCGTATTCAAGTAGATATTATGGCTTTTATAGTAAGTGTAGTAGCGAGCTTTGAAAGATTACTCTAAGGTTTCTGCAAACTTTTTCCTGTAGTTTTATTGTCATTTTCATTTGGCAGTGTACTGCAATTTGATCATAATTTTTCTTACAGATTGTAAGCTCAAAATATTCGTTTTTGGCAAACCCTGCATATTGTCAAGCTTTCAGCCACCTCTTACTGTTTTTCTAAGCATAATCTCTGTAATATCGTAAATATTATATTGTCAAACTGTAAAATAACAAGTTATTCTAATTATTTCTGTGCCAAATTAAATAAACAGCTTGTAAATTGGAGTTGGATGGCAAATAAGAAAACTAATAACTAAATAGCATATTGTGATGGTTGATGAAGGTATTGTGAAGTAAATCAAACTTGTACCCAGAAATTTAGGTAATAATAAAGTCGAGAAACTACAAGTTTTCTATGGAGAATCCACAAAAACCAATGAAAACTTTATTAAAAATTGTTTTTAAAAGTGAAAATAAAGATAGGAAAAAAATAAATTGTTATTAATATTTAATTAAGCACTTACAAAAGGACGACCCCTTATTGTACTGCTTCTTCCACCATGAACCCGAATTCTCCACTCTGCGACGAAAAATTTCAGCGCGACTATTTCTGGCGCCAAATTTCAAAACAAAAAACCGTTTTTCTTTATTTTTTACGGGTAAAGTCATGAAGTAATTGTTTGGGTATGTAAGGGCTTTTTTCATGAGCTTTATTATTGAGTTTGTGTTTTATCATAGTTTAGTCAGATGTATAAGTCTAGTAAATGGCATCTTATACTTTACACATATCTTTATTTTACGGTTATTCTTGATCTCAATTGTAATTTTTTTTGTTTTTTCGTGTTTCTAACATGGTTTTTGAGTTGAATGTAGATTCTTACATTAATATATTGAAAATGTTTCAGTTAACATTTATTCACCTTTCTACAACCTTTCACTTTTAAATTAACCATGTCTACTGAAGCTGTTGCCGCTTTGTCCATTAACCAATCCGAAAACATTGAGAACAGAATCACTCGTTCTAAGGCTACTGAGGAGTTGGCTGCGTTGAAGTTGAAGCCGTTGAAGATGCCAATGGATGAGTTGGTCAATGATGAAGAAGATGAGGAATATCAGCCAAGCGATGAGGAAGGAGGAGAAAACGAAGTTGAAGTCGAAGAGGGAAACGAAAATGAAGAAGGAAATGAAAATGAGGAGGTAAACGAGAATGAAGAAGAGATTGATGTTGAAGGAGACGATGAGAATGAGGCTGAGAACGACGATGAGATGAATAACGAGAGCAGAGTTGAAGATGTGGTAAGTTTTTTGCTTAAAAATTTATATTGTTGATTTTTGTATGTAAAAATTTTGTTGACGGATTTTAGGTGTCGATTTATCGGTAAAATAAATCTTATCTTTGTTTTTTAAATGTATTAACGATCTGCTTAACTTGATATTTATGTTATTCTATTTCAGAACGTCTCTGTCCTCGAAGCTGAAGCCGCTGCTCCTTTATCTCTTGACGTTGAACCAGAAATGCTTCGACAAAAGTCTCCAGAATACGTGGAATTCGTTCGAACTGTCTTCAAGCGCAAATTGGACGACACCAACCAAGAAGATGTTGAGATGAGCGACGATGAATACCACGAGGAAAGTGACGATGAAGAAGGTGGAGATCAAATCGAGAAGAATCCCGACAGCGAAGGCGATGCTGATGAAGACGAGGAAGACGCTGACGAAAGTCAGGAAGATGCTGATGTGAGTATGGAGATTCCAAAGGACGAGGTGGATGAGCTGCATAATGATGTATACGAACAGAACTAATTTGTACAAAGTTTTAATCTATTGTGAAGTAAAGTGGTTGATTGCAGTATTTTTATTGGTTCGAAGATAGCTTGGTAGTTTTACAAAGTAAAATCTTATTGTATAATACTTGAGCAAAAGATGAGTTTATGTTGTTTATCATTTCAATTTTGGAGGAACTTATAATTTTGCAGAGATAATGGTTGAAAATATAGTTTATAGTGTTAGTAAACTAAGCTTGTAGTTTATTACAAGACACGTGCATTTTTGGCTTTTTTTAAAAGTAAATTGAATAATAAACAAGAGAAAAGAAAATGGGGGAGTGGCTGGTATCAAGTGTTCAATACATTTTTGGAAGTTGTGAAAATAAATTTGTAAAAGTGAATTCGAATTAACTAAAAGAATCATTTTCACAAGTTTATTGAAGTTTTTTTAACCTTAGTTTAAAATGGTATTATACCTACTAATCGTGGGCTTTATTACCTACTTTTTATTTTATCATTTGTACTATAAACGTCGAAATCTGCCTTTTGGTCCCTTTCCTCTTCCGAAGCTTGGGAATGCTTTGGAATTGTATAAACATAATCGAATGGAAGATGGCTTCATTAAGTTTCATGAAAAGTACGGTGATGTCATTACGTTTTGGAGTGGTGATACTCCAGTTATTGTGTTAAATACCTTGGAACTGGCAGATGAGTACATGGTAAGACAAGGTGATGTATTTGTGGATAGAATGGAAGTACCGGCAATGATATTGCTTGAGGATAGGAATTACGGAATTATCAACACATCCGGAGACATGTGGAAGACAACTAGAAGGTTTGCGTTGAAATATTTTAGAGACGTTGGGCTTGGCAAAAGTGGAATGGAGGAGAAGGTAAGATTTATTTATCGTTTGGTTAATTTATGGCTTTTTATTATTTTTAAGGCAAAATAAAACTACTATAATACAGTGGAACTCTTGTATAACGAACTCCTCTATAACGAAACTCCCATATAACGAACAACTTTTGAATTCCCGTCGACCACTACACAGTGAATTTAAAACTCCTCTATGACGAAACTCCTTTATAACGAACAAATTTCAAGTCCCCGACGGATTCGTTATACAGGAGTTCCACTGTATATTAATTGAAGTTTTTGAGATCCAGATGTAAATAAAAGTGATTATAGCAGTAAATAATTACAATTTTTTAGATTCTAGCCGAAGTATCAGTTGTGCTTGATAAATTAAACAAAGATATTGCATCAGGACAAGAGATTCTCATGAAAACACATACTGATGTAGCTTTGGGTAGTGTCATCAACCTCTTGATTTGTGGACAAAGCTTTACCGCTGACGTAAGGGTTTTGTTATCATCTTCTTAATCTTAGAAAGTCTTTAAATTCACCTGATATCAAGTGATTATTTTGTGAATTTTCAGAAGAATGAAGCCAAATTCTACGAGGTCCAGGACTGTGTATATACGGCGAATAAAATGGCGGAGAACAAGATGGCTTTGCTTTGCTTCTTGATGCCTTTTCTTTTAAAAGTACCTGTCATTGGAACGGCTGGTATGAAGGTAATCAACAAGATAAAAGATTTGTTTAAATATATTGATGAACAAACAGAAGAGCACCTACGGACGAATGACTATACTAATGAATTGACTGAACCTCGAGACTTCATTGATGCTTTTATGTTAGAGAAAACGAGATTGGAGGCTAATGGTGAACAGAATCATTACTTTTTTGATAAACAATTGAGAGGAACTGCCATCGATTTATGGTTTGCTGGACATGTAGGGATAGTATCTTTACTATTTTATTTTGTGGTATCTTGTGGATGACTTTAGGCCCTATGGCATGGTTCTATAGTTTACACTAGAGTGCAATACAATTTTCAGGACACAACCAGTGCCACCCTCAATTTTACTCTGGGCTATCTTGTTCTTCATCAAGAGATACAGAAGAAGGTTCATGACGAAATTGATGCCAATATATCATCTGATCGTTTCGTTACAATGGCAGATAGACCTAACCTACCGTACTTGATGGCTGTACTGACTGAATCTCAACGCTGTGCCAATATTATACCATTAAATCCACCCAGGAAAACGACTGAAGACATTAACATTAGTGGCTATGACATCAAGAAAGGCTCTATTGTGTTTGCTCAAATTGCTGTCATTATGCAGGACGAAAAGGTATGTTGTTGTGTTTAGAAGAGGTGTTTTTATGGTTTCTTACTGATTTACAGAAAAGGACGAAAAACGAAAGTGCATTTTTGTTCGAAATAGGCTATAAGGCATCATATAGGTGCACCTTATCGTATTGAAAGTAAGATAAAAATAATAATTGGTCCATTGTCACCTATAACATAAACTTGCCACAACTCATGAATTATCGTTATAGCACTTCAAATCCCCGAAAACCTTCAATCCTGATCGTTTTATCGACGAAAACGGTCGATTTATTACTCATCCAGCGATGTTACCCTTTTCTTTGGGTAAAAGAGCCTGTCCTGGGGAAGCATTGGCTAAAATGGAGTTTTTTTTGCTGGCTGCAAACCTCTTAAACCAATATAGAATACTACCTGACAAAGAACTACCAACGCTAAAGAAAGCCAGCGCAACTACCATTCAACCCGAAGAATATTATGTTAGATTAGAGAAGAGATACTGATCTGAATCGGGATCATGTTTAATATAGTAAAGTATAAATTTATGTTATATATATTAGGTGATTGCAAAAGTTTCTGGCCGATTTTTGTTTTTACCAAAATTTAATCTTAAAAAAAACAACAATAACTAATTAACAAATATATGTGTCATTATTATCAACAACCTGTTTCCATCCCTTCAGCAGCATTTGGATTCAACTTCTGTAGAAACCTGGAGTTTGAGAATTGAAAAAGTTAGCCCACCACCTCTTGAGGTACTCTCGATTGTCAAAGCGTGTTGCGTTAAGGTGATTTTGAAGAGAGTGGAACATATGATAATCTGTTATGCAACCTCAGGTGAGTACTGTGCATATGACATCACAGTCCAGCCGAGGCTTTTGAGCTTGTGTTGGGTCAACTTTGTCACAAGGGCGCAAGCAATATCATGAATGAAGAAAACCCGATTCTGTTTACCATGCAATGCTGCCGCAATAGATTTAATTTGTCTACAATAGACATCCACAGGGATCGTATTTCCATGTGCTACCATTTCCCAGTACACAATACCTGTTGAGTTCCAGCTAAAGCTGATCATCTTATCCAGTGGGTGAAGATCAGGTTTGAGGTTGATAGACCCTGTTCTCCACGTTCAAGCCATTGTTTCTTACTGGTGTGATTAACATACAGTACCCACTCCTCATCCCCAGTAACCAAATTGCCAAGCCATTCAAAGTTCCTTAGGAGCATCAACAAACAAGTGCAAACTTCTACTCGACGTTCAGCTAGTCGCTGTTCAAATTATGTGGAACTTCTTGACCATATTTCCTTAATCTCCCAAGGGCGTGAAGTCTAATTAATGTGGTAGAACTGTCACACTGAAGCTCTACAGTCAAATAAGTACAGGTTCGTCAGAGGTCTTCTTCGATCAGCTTCAGAAGGTGGGGTTTCTTCAACGCTGATGGTCTACCAGATCAAACTTTTCGGACATGTCAAAGTCACCGTTTTTGAACTTGTGGAACCAAACTTTTGTGGTGTCGTAAGAGACAACTAAAGGCCCTACAGCACAGCATATTTTTTACGTCGCTCTTGTTGCGTTGCCGTGATTGCGGAATTTGAGAAGCAACACTGCCCAAACATGGTCATGTTTCACCTTGATTTCCTGAACCATCGTAAACAACAGAATGCTTGAACATGCAATAGTTTTTAGTCCTTGGACACCTCTTTATACAGGTTGCCAACAGAAAGTTCTAGAACAGTGCAAAATTAAAAAAAAAATTTTTGAAAAATCGGCCAGAAACTTTTGCAATCACCTAATAATACTATATAAAGGTCAGCAATGTCAACAACTAGTGTAATATACTTTTATAATGAAAAATATATTGTTAAAGAACCAGTTCGCCCATTCAAATATCATTGGCATTCTGTCGCAAAAATTCGACGTTCATTTTTTTCGCAAAAAACCTGAGCAGGTCGGTCCCAAATTGAAAAATTCATTTCGACACCGACCCACTCACGTTTTTGAGAAAAATGATTTTGATTGAAATTGCCTGATTTTCGACGCTTTTTGCGACAGAATGCCAATGATATTTGAATGGGCGAACTGGTCCTTTAAGGCCTAAAATACGAAACATGATTCACCAAGATGCAACACTCTAACAGAACACGCTTTATCTAATGTAGAGCCCTTCTGTATTGTGTTGACAACATTCCTCCCAGTCGTGTTGACTCTCGATGTTTGCTGATCCCATTCGAGATCTGAAGCATAAATTCTTTATTGTCATTTCGTTCGCTTTTGCATTTATGGATGTACTTGAGAGGGGAACTTCGAGGTAAAAAGGTTAATCGGACACAACTTTCTTTGAGTGCTGGTCCAGTTCCAGGCTTCGGGACACGGATTGACTGGTTTTTTGGGTTTGAGGTTTTTGGGTTATAAAATTGATTTAATTTTAAGGTTTTAAAATTAATTTTAGTCTAATTTTAAAACTTTTTTTGTTATTTTTTGCCTTTGAAATTAAGTAAATCAGGATTTAAAATTATCTTTTTAGGTTTTAAAAGTTAAGAACTTAAAAATTTGTAAATATATTTTCTTTAATAAACAAAAAAGTCATTTTTATCGTCAAATAGATTCTACAATTTCATCATCAGCAATATAACGTAATATGCTTTGTGGAAACCTCGTAAACCGTTCCATTGAAACGTTCTCGCGCAATTATTCCATGATTGTTATAAGTTTGACAGTAACTGTATTGCTTTATTTTTATTAAAAATCAAAGCAATTTTATTCTACGTGATTCATTCAGGTTTTACCCTTTATTTTTCATTCTTGTTTAGAAGGTTTTTTAAATATTTTAGCCATGGCATAACTTTTTGGTAAAATACGGGCATTTTATAGACTTTGCAAAAAATTTTTATTGATTTTTATTAGCCATTGCATATTTTTCCTTCTATAAATTAAAAAATTGATTTATAGATTTAAAATTAGGTATCACGCAGTAAAACATGCTTTTGACGACGATAACTACGGTATGTTTACTACAACTGGCTGATGCTGTATACCAATGTCCTATGTATGGACTAGGAGGTCTTGGGTACCCATATGGGGGAACGTAGTAAGTAATAATTATAAGCTTACGTATCTTGGCATTTTAGATATTTTAAGCTTATATTTGTGCTTTATACAGTGATGTGTAAGATTAAAACCAATAATTTTTTGTTGAGTTAGGTATTATATTATAACAAGCAGTACTAGGTGATTTTAGAGCACACAATAGTTTAAATCGTGTTTTTTTACTGTAAAAAGTAACGTAAATTTCAGTTGCGGCCAAGAATCCATCTTCTACTACTATACATGCTGTGAACACAACATATACGAGTGTTGTTTCAATCTGGAGGCTTGGGTAATGTATGTTAATTCCGCTTTGTATCCCTATGGTCCTTTAACGTCGGCCGACTATCTGAGTCAGTGGATTGCACCGTGCACTGCTTCCCCTCATCAACAATACCAACCATCAACATACGACTACAACACCATGTGTAATGGAGTTGACTGCGGCAAAAACTGTAATAACGATTGTTGTTGTTGCGATGATGTGGATTACTGTAGTATGGACGAGAATATGGGCATGTATGTGGGTAGTAGTATGTTACCGTATCCCACAAACCTCGCTAGTTTGATGGCATATCCACATTACAATCAACCTTACAGTACGTTTAACGGGTACGGAGTACCGTACTCACCGTACCTCAGAAATATGATGTCATATTCACCTTATTATGGTCAACCAGTCGGGAATCAAGGTTATATGGGGTCATATTTTAATAATATGGTACCGTATAACTACAATATGATGAGACAAATACCACAGTTATCACCAATGCCATCTCCACAGCCGATAGCTCCATTAGCACCAGTACCACAAAGGCCTGGTAATGTAATACGAGTACCATTAGGCCCACATACTCAAAATATGGTACCGCATCCTAATATAGTACCATTAGCACCATTAAATGGATATGGGCCTCAACCACAGCCAATAGTACCACTATTACAACAACCAATCGTACCCAACCAGTACTTTTCCAACCAGTACTATAACATGTACAAGCAATACATACAAGCGATGCATCACCAACATATACGACACATCCAGAAGATACGACGATGTAAACGGAAGTGTAAAGGGGAAGCAGTGCACAGTGCAAAACTACAGACTCAGATAGAAGAACCGACCATTCACGACAAACCCACCAGTCGATTTATTATTTCTTTCAGTGTCGCCATTGTCATCTTGGCCATTGTTGGTCTCTTACTGTGCTTGGGATGTTGTGGAGTTTGCCTTTGGACAGCCAGGCCAAGAGATTGATACTTGTGATAAAATACATTACTGTATCAAAGATAATGCCACATATTATAGATCGCTTGGGTTTTTTAAACATTTTTAACTAAAGATAATATGATAGACAACTTGTACATAATGCCAGATACATATCTTGAAAGTGAATTATATAATAAAGTTTTAATTTTAATTTTTTTTGAAATTGCAGAGTAAAAATAAACATTTGATACGTATGACGTTAGTTTAATACTCAAAATAGTACGTTATAAAAGACAAATAATACGTACTGAGATTGTTTTCCAAACAACTTCGTCATTCCTTTTTTTAGAAATACTCAAGATGTTTAATATCACACTTAAAAATTTTGCCAAGACACTTTGAGAAATTTAATTATCTATTCATAGAGCATAAACTGGTATAAACTAGGATTCACCTTTGGTACAGCCGTTGGACGCACTGGACGGACGTTAGCACCAAAGTTGCAGTTCTCAATTGGATCAACATCATTCAATCCCGATGGGGCTTTCTCATCGCAGTTACCTCAGTATGATTCTTTGAGCGATATATGAATAAATCCGAATTGAAAATCTTTTAATAAAAAAATCTAATTATTTGTCATTTCACCCAATTGTTTTTAAAAAAAGTCCACAAAGCTGTTCATGTCATCATAAATAAACTTTGTGATTTTGTTTTGCCAAAACACTATGTTATTTGTACCGGAAACTAAAACTCGGCCGGATATCCTTGATATAATTAATTTGAAAAAAGTCGAAATGCCATTAAAATCTATTACTTTTGTATTCAATATCAAATTATACCACCTAAAATACTAAAATACCATTATCAACACAACATTACTACTTAAACCAATAATCTTCTCAATCTCCAATGCTCATCATCATACCGTAACCCTTTGCTGAGTATTCTTTAATATTTGAAAAAACGTCTGCAATCGCCAAACTTACTCCGGCAATAAAAACCGAGTTTTCCACGATATTCGGCGGAAATGCGCAAATATTGGTTTCATTTCCGTTGTCGCCACATAACCTCAGGGCAATTAATAATAGGCCTATTTTGGTCGGTCGCAAATATTTTCTACAACTTTATTAAAACCGAGTAATACTCAAATAGTATCCGCCTACGGCATCGTGGTCGTTATATAAAGGGTCGATAGAGTGGGATAGGGTCGTTTTGAAGGTCTGAGGGGTTTTTAATAGTTTTTGTAGTTTAGGGGTTACTGTGGGTTTGTGGGTATAATATTGTATAATTTTACTTTGTAATCATAGGATGAGGTACAAAATGTCATGTCTGTAATATTACAAAAAGCCACTTTTTAACAAAACTTCTGCATTTTTTGATGGTACTGTATAAATAATTATCTGATACTGTAACTTTTACCCCATGAATTTGATCTACCTATTGTTGCACTCTTACTTAGTAAAAATGTTATGTCTTACATCTAAACTAATGTTTGACCTCATTCTTACTTATTGCACCGAAACATTACTTTTTTCTAAACTAATGACTACTTTTGGTTAAGACTCATAAAACAATACGAGATTCTGCTTTAGGGTATATAAACATCTTCGTGTTACTTAAGGCGTTCTCTTCAGAATCCTTTACAGATGCTTCTGAAACCTTCATTATTAGGTTTTCAAGTATCGTTATCTTGTACTAGAGGGTAGGGAAGAGATAGAAGCGTTTGTTACAGTAAGAAGTTGCTTTAATACAAAGATATTACCATGTAACGTGTGAGATATAGCGCTTTACATGTTTGCCATGCCTATACATAAGCATAACCGACTCTACCTACCTATAATCAGCTTCGAAACTTCAAATCCCAAGATTTCAGGTTACACAATTCGAGCGCCTTCGCCTCGTCAAGCAATAATTTAACACAGAATGAGACCCGCCCTGGTTGTGCTAGCGTTGGTGGCGGTAGCAGTCTTTGCCGAATCCGAGTTCGAGGATGACATGTCGTCATCATTCGCGAAACGGTCGATGAGAAATGCGTTGGTACGATTCGGCCGTTCTGGAATGCGGAACGCCCTGGTCAGATTCGGAAAACGTTCGCTGAGCAACGATTATGCTGAAGCCAAACGAGCGCAAAGTGCACCCGAGCCTTTTGGTAAGTTGGGGGGACAAGTTGTACTATGATTTTGAGAAAATTTGAGGTTTTCTAACTTTTAATCAAAGAAGTTTGTCAAACTAGTCAAAAAATAGATTTTATATACCTAATATTTTACATATTGTATTCTAAAGCCTTATAGCTTCATTGCTTTAGCTTAAACAGCATCAAACATAAACTACTATAACATAATGTATATCAGTACCTAAACAGCTTGTAAATTTGCATGAATTTTCAGTGCGATTTGGTCGTTCTGTGCCTTCCTCACGCTTTGCTCTCTATGACTATTATGACATCTAAAAAGTGTAAACTGTAGGAATGTAGTCATCTTCACCATCATCGGTTACCTCAACACTTTTTCGTAAATTCGCCGCACTTTTAATGCCAACTCGTTGAAGAGAGTGAAACAAAAGGAGATCATTAAGCCGCACCAGTTACATCCACCCCCAATTATTGTAATTATTGTCTATTTTCGGTTACAGAGTTAATAAAAAACTTTTACTTATGCCTTTAATTATGGGATGACGTCGGTTGTCATTAATTGTGAACTTGGTGCAGGTTTTGTTGTCTAAATAACAATTTTCTGGCCAAATTCCAAAGTTTGAATGAATAAGATAAGCTCAGAAAGTTTGTTCGAAACTTAAAATTACTGTTTTTATTACCTAAAATTGACGAACAGATACAGAAACACAACTTACACTAGCTGAAGACTTTGAAAATATATAAAACTTCAAATGTCTTACCTAGAACTTAAATTAAACACATAAAAGCTTGCAATTGTTGCCTAAAACAATATCCAAAGCCCGAAAATTCCAACAATTTATTGCTTTCATTAAACTTCTTAAAACTTACAACAATTATCAAAGTTTCCCGTAGTAATAGATCCAAAGTATTGTGAAAGTGTCATTCTTGCTCTCCATTCAAGTTGAAGTTGACTCGAGATGGTGAAAGTGAAGATCGTGCTGGAGCAGATAATGGTGCAGGTAGAACCAACCTTCTGCCCTCCTCATCACCAACAATATCTGGTTGATCAGCTGAAGTGGCAGTGACTTGAGCAATCAGTTGATCCAGCTTGTGGTTCATGACTTCTCGAAGTTGTTGTATGGCCTCGAGAGATGAAGCTGACGGTAGATGAGGCCCTTCATCTGGTGGAGTGTGTATGATCTTCAGAGGTGATGGAGCTGATTTTTGAGCTGATAAAGGTTTTCTTTTCTCCAAAACAGGATGACCAGAATAATATGGACTAGCTGGTTCGATTGAAAGAACTCTGCAGGTAATGGCATCACTGAAAGATCGTTGTTTTGGACGATCGTAAGAGATGGAGACAGTTGGAGAAAGAGTGTTGGCAGTTATCGATGTTGTTGATCTGAAAAATAATTGAACTTACAGAGTTTTAACTTTGTAACTTTTTTTCAATAAAACATCCGAATATCGAAACGGTCCCACAACGAAAACATTAATTCTGGCTTTTTCAGTAATTTTGCGAATAATATTTACGTACCTTTGCTCCTAGCACCTTTTTAAATGTATATTTTATATAAAATTTAATGTATATTTTATATAAATCTTACTTCATATCCGTGTCAGAATCCCCAAAATCACTTTCTTCTTCTCCTTCCTCGGCTACACTGCTGTTTCTGCCTCTTTTCTGGCTTCTTCTCCATATTTTCGTGGACGTACTCATCGTCCTCATGATGTCGCGTTTCACAGCATCAATATGAGAAGATGATCGTACAATTTCCTTCCTTCTATCGTCGCGTAATTCGTATCTGAGTGAACTAATATCTTGTTTTATTTCCAGAAGATCGTCTTCATTTACTCCGTCCATCTTCATGTTCTTCTTGGTCTGATGAATGAACCGAGAAACCAAACGTTCGATTATATCCATGTAAGTCAAAGGTTTCTTAGCTTCGGTGGCTTCTGGATCAGGGGTTTTGTGTTCGTATTCTTTGGTTTTTCGACTGTATCCAGGTCGCTGAAAATATAAAACTAGTTAGGGTTATAATGATATGTAGTTTTAAATTTTAAACTTATATAAATAAAAAAGATCGTTTTTTGATGTCAAAACTTAAGATTAAGTAAAAATGTAAAGCAGATTTGCTTTGAAAGTGTTATTGATGTTATCTTACCCTTATTGTTGCTCTGTTTCTGTTCTTTTGATAGTGATATCGTCCGGTAAGCCATTTGATAGTATTTACAACTTTACAGAACCCGTAGTATATGGCTTTGGGAGTAATGATAATGTTAAATGGCGGTGGTAGACTGGAGCCTTCATCAAAGTGAGCCATCCACAACTTTGTTCGATGAAACTTCCATTCCAGGTCGGCGTGATCCTAAATAAAGCGAGTTATAACTCTTAAAAAAAGTACGTTATATTATTAAAGTTATTTAAAATTATATTAAAAAATTTATGGACCGTCTACTACGGCCAAATAAGGTTATATTTGTGTTGATTTAGGCATAACATAATCTACATTGATAGTTTGAAAAGAATGTGACATCATGGCAATCAACATGTTCAGTAAGACAATGATTGACGTGATATGGTACATCATGTACATTCCGCGTCCAATCCATTGAGTGAAGTTATGTTCTTCAGCCACATCGGTATCTTCTACTTTAGTAATGGCAAATAATGACCATAATAATGTCATGTACGAGTTTCCTATCCTAAAACCGTTTGTGATGAAAAGCTACTATAGTTTTAGATATTGTATAATAGTATAATTTTTAACCTATTGGTGGTATAGCTTTAAAGAACATACGATGAAAAGACGTTTGGTACCATGGCGCAATTGTCTGGCGTCACACATACTGGTGTGTTATCTTCATAATACCAATATAATTGAGCCAATCCGATAGCAAATGAAGTGATAATCAAAACGAAAATGAAGCAAAACTTGGCCACATCCACCAACATACATCCCAATGAGATCTACACATCAAAATGGCTTTATATAATGTATTACCTACCTGTAAAGGTCCGAGGTAAGGACTAATTTGAAAGAGATAGATTATTCTGGCAAAGCTGAGAACATTGCCAACGGCAAACAACGCTTCTGCTACTAACATTGGCTCGTAGGCATCCCAATATGTTCGTATCACGTATCGTGGAGTTGATCCGTCGTTCCATGCTACGTAGATAAGGTAACCTGACAGTCTAAAATGGTAATATTATTCAAGATTTTTTTAAATTCAAAACGTTTTATTACTTTATTGTAAGGTTCTTCTATAATAAATAGAGTATAATACTGTCTTTAGCAAAAAATAGCTTACCTTAATGAAATAGTACACAGATATAGACACATCATGCAAAAGTCTAGCCAATTCCACCACTGATAGACGTATCTTGTCAATCCTTCTTCCCAGAGCTGTTTGATCTCCGACCACAACATCCCCAATACCCATGACATGACCAGTAGCTCCACGAAAGTTGGTGGAGCTCCTCGATCTGATGCCCTGGAGTGAAAGCCTTCTCCAGCTGATAAGTTTCCTTTATCAGCTTGGTATGCTTCCAGAGTAACTAGGGTTAAAAGAATGAGAAAACAACCAAAAGAGGTACTGTAATATAGAAATTTCATAAATGGAGATCGTACAATGCTTCCAATTTTACTCTTTGGCATCTGAAAGTTTAGGACGTTAGTTTTGGTTTTTTTAAAATTTTTATAGTGAGTTATGTCTTTACAGATTATTTTTAGCTACATTTTAAAGCTTGTATATACTTACTATAATGTAGCAGGTGGCTAGTACAGGCCATAATAAGATTAGTAAGGTGTATATCAGAAAGTTCCATTTAGAATCACGTTGTTGACGAATAGGGATACCTTCGCTCCAGATGGACGTCAGAAGTTGTTGACAGTGGGGGTGGGATACAAACTGAAAAGTTTTATTAAACTTTTTTTAGTCTAGAACGGTCATTATCTTCTCAAATATGTAAATTTTTTGATAAGGAGGTCATTTGCATTATGCTTTGCAGTACTTACCATTTTCTGCTCGTACTTGATAGCCAACTTCAATCTTGACAAGCTCAATTTACTCGCCCATACATCAATATTCTCATCAGCAGAGTTGTCTTCTTTATTCAGAATGGCAATAACTTCTTCTGTACTCCGGCATTGACTCAGTAGATCACATGCAAATTGCTTACACTGCTCACTCAATTGTAGATATATATCTTTGAACTCGTTTTCAAGCCGTGCCAGGTTCTGTAGCTCCCATGACAGTCTGAATGCACTCAAGATAGGGTCACTGCTAGTCAGACTCATCCAGGCAGGACTGGCTAGAGCGCGGTAAGTGTTGATACGTTTGAGTGAATGATGTAGCGAGTCGTGGAACCGTTCACTGTCACAGCCTTCACACAAACAGGAGTGTTTGTGAGGTCTTTCTATCGTGGCTTCTTTCCGTAGCAGCATCTGTAGGATTTCAAAACGATTCAAGTGGGCGGCCAACATGATCGGGGATATGTCACTGTAACATGATTGTTTATGGGTATCAAAAGGTGACTTATTATAACTTCTTGAAAAGATATGACAATAAGTGTTAACTTATCAAAAGAAGTCCGACCACAACGTATTTTACCTTACCTAGAATATTCAGATGTCGCGACCTCGTTCTCGTTCAAGTATTTGAACCAGCCGTCTCCCAGCATGTCTTTGTTAATTGAAGGATGGTTGACTAACATCTCCACAATCCTGTACACTCCTTCTCGTATCGCACATAATAAAGCATTCCCAATTCTTATATCAGTCTGTCTTAACAGTAGTTCAACAATCTCCAGATTCTCGTTGTCTACAGCTATTTCAATGGCCGTTCGGCCCATAGCGTCCACGCAGTTCACATTTAGTGGGACATTTTTCTATAATTTGAAGGTTAAATGGTTATGGCAATGAGAAGGTAGTGAGAAATATATTTTTAGTTTGATCATGGGTAATGTACATAATGGTTTAACTAAAGTAAAAGTAATTTACCTGGTTCAAACAAGCAATTAATGTTGGTCGATCTCCAGATTCGGCTGACTCTAAGAAACTGAAAGATTTTGATTATTTTTAATATTTTTGTTACAGTTTAAATTTATAAAAAAAATTTTAAGGTTTTCTATTTTTCGTAATTTTATGTTATCAGCAGCTAAAACACCTTCACAACGACCTACACATTGTCCAGCATCCAGCTAGGCCTACGTCTCGATCGCCGATACCCGTCTTTCCACGGCATTATTCAGAAGACTGAAGTGAGAAAACAGAGATTTGCGGCATAATGAGGGCGAAATAATAACAAGGCATTTTACACGATTGTAGTAGCCAAAACAGGCTTAAGGGCCGCAAAAACAAAACACAATAACCTTGACTGCTAGCTACGGTTTTTGGTGTTAATGCGGATATTATTGTTGAAACTTGAATTTGTAAAGTATTCCATGGTAAAAGCAGTAGTTAGGGGGGGGGGTGTAGTTGGCGTAGGAACTTTCAAAAACTGCCCCTTGAATAAAGTACAAAAAATTTAAAAAAAACGCTTGTTTTGATGTCAAAAGCAACAAATTGAAGTATTCTACCCGCCAGGTGTGTACCCAAAAACCAGGAAACAATAAGGTACTCACAATGTCAATAAACCCATCCTATACCCACGTGTTTTACATATTCGAAGCATATTGACTATTCTTGTTGACAAATCCCCTACCAAACACACAAACGTTCGAAAGTGTAAAGAATGACATACTACACTCTACAAAATAAATACCGTGGGAGAACATCCGTCTGCAGTCGGAAGAAAGGACTTCAAGTTACTTAAACGTGAGGAACGCTAACAGATTTACGACCAGCAAATTTGAAGGTTTATGTGATTCATATAGTGGCCAAACTGCTTTTTGATAATGTACAAGGCTTGAGGGCATGGATAACACGAAATTGACAAAGTTTAGGTGATTTTGATAAAAAAATTTGGACTTTTTTTTAGCTAATAAGATTGCTTTTTAGGTCAAAACCTATGATTTTTCCCTCATTTTATAAACCGAAAAGCCTAAAATTAAGTTCAAAAATCACCAAAAATGATCAATATTACCTACTACAATATAAGAAACAAGCCCCAATGCCAAAACCTATTTATTACACGAAACGCTTTATTTTGTAGCTGAAAACATGTAAAAACGTGATGTAAAGAAACCCTGTTTTTGCTTATCTTTAATCAAATTCACATTCAATTCGAGGCAAATCTTGGCGCAATACGATGAAAAAACATTTGCAATAAAACTATATTATACTATTAAGAATAAACGTCTGCGATGAAACCCAACTTTTGAAAGACTTGGAGCAGGCTCGTGACGTTGGCCTAGTGGTAAGAAAACTGGCAATTTTTGCGTTTTTTCAAAATATTTTGAAGTTTTCTAATATTTTTAAGAATATTTTTAATAATCTGATAAATTTTTTTTTCATTTTTTGAAACGTCATGTTCACCTTAATTTTAAAAACTTTCAACTTACCGCCGTTCCTGAGGTGTAATCATATCGTATGTTCGTATATGAACAGCCGGACCATAGATATTGCGACTACGAGACATTGGTCGATGATTTGCAGCCATGGCTGCTGCTCGACCCATCGGAGAGTGGGGAGAGACTGGAGATCGTGAGCGAGGTGGAATCACAGAACTGGTCGAATTCAAAGCTCCACTACCGCCGAGTGACCGTGGGGCATTTAACGAGTAACGGCTTCGGCCGAGCGGTGATGTACCTGAAAAGTCGAGATTCTTTACTGTAGTATTATATATGGTTATATACATATATAATACAATTTCGTTACATGTATTTACAATGTCGTCCAATACGCATTTTATGGATTACAATATTTAACATGGAGGACAATATTAAGTTAGACAATTTCACTAGTAGAGAAAACAGTTTAGTACTAATCAATATTCATACTGCTCACTATGACAAACATAATACAGAACGTATAACAAACTTGAAAGAAAATTACTCCTGTTTTATTCACAGTGATATACCATAAACATGCAGCAATTTTCTTTCCAGCGTGTTATTATTACCATCAGCACATGTTTCACTTTACAAATCTAGCACAATACAATACAATGGAATAATTTATGATATGGTAGATGTATAAAAACATAAATGTTACTTTTGCAAAAGTTACAATACTCTATTATTACCTGAATTAATACTAGAATTGTGTACAAATATCCTAAAGCTACAACTACAATACAATTGGTTATCTCTTCATTTTAAAATAACAGGCTAGAAAAGAAACTACTTTTTGTAGCCAAAACATAACTTTTGTTAGTTTTTCCGTAACTATTATCTTATATAAGAAAACAAAGACAATGTAAGTTAAAAAACGAAAGGTAAAGGTACGAAGCGGTTAGTTACCATACAATTTATATAAATTTATTAACACCAAACTAAACGAATAACACTAGGCTTCTATGCTTGTAAAATCATACTGTAAAACAATATTTTATTCTCAATAAATGGTACATTTAGTATCTCAATGATTATGCTATACTATGTTATAGTAAAAAACATAATTTTGAGGAAATGAACGGGTGAAATCCAATTAAATAATTAAAATGGTAACTGCCAAATTAAATTATTATACAACAAATAAAGTTGACCAAAAATAACCACATAAGACTTAAGACTCACAACTTACTATGATGATTTATGGAGTATTTATTGGAGAGTATACATACACAAACAACTAGCTGACTATGTAAATACGACACAAACTTTAATAAAAGTCTGAATAACACTAAATAACCTTCTAAAATACCTAACTAATACAACTATAAAAACAAATTACAAAGAATACTTAACGTAAACACAGGACGAACACTTTTAACTAACCGCTGTTCATATGGGTCATGTTTTACTTTACATATAAGGGTAAGTAGAAGCGGAACCTATAATCAATTTCAATTCAAACTTCATTTTACGAATGTTACTTAAAAGCAATAAAAAGTAATGTGAAGGTGTTAATAATCAGTGTTTAATGGAGGTGATGACATTGCATAATCGTGGTAAAGGGGTGATTTATGGATTATGAATTTGATTAAGGTGGGGGAGAGATTTAGGGTGTAAAAACAGTATGAAAAAGATGATAAATTAATAAAAAAATATTTTTGGTACTAAAAATAAAAAAAAATTAAAAAACTTGTAAAATCAGCAAAAACAACTAAAGTTGGTCGAAAAGTACGTAGAAATCTCAATTGAAGCCTAATGTACGTTCAAAAAGAAAATATTATTAAGTAAAATATAAATACTATCCCTTTTGATAAATTTAAAGTTAAATAAAGCTCAAAACAAATGATAACACGACACGAAAGTAACTTTTGAGAATCGAATAAAAGTAAATCACGAGATTAAAAAAGTAATCAAAAGTACGAAACGGCCCGAAACAGAACGTCAATGTTAATTATGTGTTTCGAGGTACTCAAGAGGTTTTATCGGTTTTAAAAACAGAAAAAAGTAATTTCATAAGGACAAAACAGTTTTATGTTTTTCTGGCCAACGTCTTACTAATAGATAAATAAATATGTATGTGGTAATACACCATAACCGCATACATGGCATCGACCGGTAGGGGTTCGATTTAAAAAAGTTTGAACGGGGGTGGGTAACGGAACCTAGTTTTGAAGTCCGGCCTGCTTCAACTTTAGCTCAAAGCCGACCCGGTCCGACTGTAGGACGTAGTTGAGCCGGGCCAGGCCTACACGGCTCGTTTCTCACCCATAGGCAGGGTGGTTTTTCTTTAAATCAGGGGAAAGGAGAAACATTAAATTTAAAAAAAAAACGATTTTTATGGTCAGGCCAATCAGAAAACAATGTATATTGCCATTACTTAGTAAGTTCTCAAAGTTAGTATTCAAAAATGTAAAATAAGAAAGTTTTTACTACAAAACATTTGCAAATTTCAAAAACAAGACCAGATGGCTTCTATTCAAAAGTTATTAGCCAATTGAACTCGACATATTATCTATTGTCTTTGTAGTTCCAGATGTGAACTAAACTCAATGTCATCTTGACATTTCAAACTGTCATTTTAAAAAATGTAAAACTTTGATTTTGTATCAAAAAGTAAGTAAAAAGGTTTTAAAAGTACACCAGTTCAAGAATTTAAAATAGCAATTTGAAAAAGTTCAAAACTTATTTTGGAAAGTTTAAGAAATTTGTTTAGAAATTGTTTATATGGCCAGAAACGGGACAGTAAACAGGAAAGAACGGCACTCAGATGTCATATACTGTTTGAGTGCATTAGCGGAAATCATTCGTGTAGGTGAACACATATGACACTATCACTTTGAACAAAAAATTATCATATTTTAAAAGTCTACAGTAATATGGGAAAATGTCTATGACGAAGTTATATGGCCATACTTAGGGCAAAATTTTAATTTTTTGAGTTTAAAATTAAAAATTTCAAAATAAAAAGCAAAATTAAAAAATAATTTCAAAACGTTTCAATAAGACTTCAAAAACGCGATATTATAATATTAATAACACGACTAAACCACAAGTCTTACATCTGAAGGTAAACAAAGAAGATCCCCCAAACATATTCATCACCCCAACCAGACTTTCGACTCTGTTTTGATCTTTTTATATCAAACACAGTGTTAATCACTCGGGAATTTGGACATCTCTGAACTCAAACAATACTAACATGTGTTCTTCCCTCAGGCAGTCTGAACGAAAAAGAAATTCGACGTGAAAACGTCTAAATTCAGCGAGGAAATGCGCTTTATTGCATTGAAACGAGTGCATAGAGCAAAATACTAATACGCTTACAACGGGACGACACTGTGGCTTTTGAGGATTTACGTTTGGACTAAATTTGTCCTTAAAAAATATGAAATGAGTTGAACATACTTCCAAGTTAATTTTGTCAACCTTGGATAAACTTGAAAAAAAAATTGTTTACAGTTTCAAAAAAGCAAAAAAAAACTTTTTAGTCTACCCCTATCTACCAATAAAATGACCACACAACTATGCTCATCAGGGATCGGCTCTGGGGGAGGGGGTACCTCTCCCTACCCCCTTCCCCAAACGACGTCCCTGACGCTCATCATTTTCTAAAAAAATTTTTGGCAGGGAGTCAGCACCCCTTAAATCTTTTTTTTTCACCACACCTCTACTCTAAAGCCCTCATTCTTCCTCAAAACTGAACTCTGCCCTTAAATTATCTATAGCACCCTCCAACCCAAACTTATCTCGAAAATTCCGCCGCCCAATTACCGAAACCACATCAGAATTTTTGAAAATCCGGAACGTTACGACGCCCTCCCCGCATCTTCACCACCGTGCCAATCCCTCGGCGCAGCCCATTCCCAACGCAGAGACAGTATTGACTTTAGGATTTAATTTCGGTTCCAATAAAGACGGCCAAAGTTAACGGCCCAAAGAATTCCATTTATATACAGTCGTGTTGTTCCATCTGTCTGTTCGGAGCCGGAAAACTTATGCCAATTCCCTCGGAGGTTCGAACTTTGCATGAAATTTGGAATTTGGAAATTTGAGACTTGGGAAGAGTAAAAATATTTAAAAAATTATAAACTGTGTTATTATAACACCAAATTTAAAGCTGAAAATAAGAAAGCTAGAAATTTAGGACCGATAACTAATAAAGATTTTAAAAAACGGTTAAAATACGTTAATCATCACTAAGACAAAAAATTTAAACTTCAAAAAAAATTTTTTTAAATACCTGTTAGGTTTATATGTATAAATCTAGATTTTCCTTCCTAAAATTCAACTTCTTCTAAAAAAACTCTATAAAAACCACTATGTTTTGACTATGCAGCAAAATTTGTGTTTGTGTATCTATCTGAACACACAATAATGCCTTTTATTCAATTTTCAAAATTCGATATTCTAATAAAACTTTTGTGAAGAAACCATCTGGAGTCAATCCAATTTTATGACAGTTTATGTCTTTTTTTATTATTACGTCAAAAACTTCTCGAAAACGTAAAAAGCAGGGCAATATCATGAAGAATATCGTGAGGTCTTTGAAATTTGTTAAAACTTAAAAAGCAAGATTATATAAAACCTTCAAGTTTTTGAAAAAAGTGTAAAATACAAAACATTCTTTCGTAAATAATTTTAAAAAATTAGCATAAATTTCAAAATTTGAATAAAATATAAAAGAGTCCTATAACAAATTGCTCAATCATAACCGATATAACCATTTAAACCCTCATCAAATTTGTCTCCCAATTACCCTCAGGCCGTGTATTGGCCGATCGGTTAAGTGGATTTGAAACAATGCCCTGTGGCTTCGAAACGAGGAAGATTCGAAGCCAGGATTCGAGAAAATTGCGTTTTCTCCGCGGAAAAACCTCGAGTAAATAAATATACATGGGATTGGGACTCAAGTACATTTAAATAAACTCGAATTAATGCTTTTCGTTGACTCAAGTGCCGACTGACAAACAAGTCATCTGCTACGTCAGCTACAAGCGTTCGGTGCATCGTGATTTTGGATTCGGGGGAGTTTATTGTAATTGATTAAATTTGTGGGGATTTTAAAAGGTTTTACAGACATTATGAGTAGCTAAAATTAACAACAAACCTACCTAACCTGTCCCACTTAGAACCAGCTGAAAGTTTTTATTCAAAACTATTTTGTTAATCTTTAAAATTCATTTTCGGGTTAAGATTACAGATATACAAAGATTATTTTGGACCTAATCTCTATACCTATACCCCCAACAAACAATGGTCATAACTACATAAAGTTGTGCGAAAAACTAGTTTTAAAATTATTAAATAATTTATTATACAAATCTGAATACACCGTAGAAGTATTGTACATTTATGCATTCATCAAATGGATGAATTCGTATTTTACAAACAATAACAGATCATTTTCATTCAACAAAAGAGTTCAAGAAGTTCAACCAAGTAGAATATCATTGAGCAAATGCACTGAGTTTAGTTTGATAGGCCTGAAAGTGAAAATATCTATTATTATACTTAAAAAGACACTATATAACTGTATTTAACTACTACATGCTACAGAATATATAGCCGTTGGTATAAAGCGGTATTCTAAGCATATGATGCCTTAAAATAGCTTAAGAATGTAAACTTACAGTTTTGGCTATACGTTTTGTCAAAGAACCGCGCGATCGTATCTATTTCGTCGTTGGCTTTGATTACTGAAAGTATTTTCATTAGTCCTAGTCTCATTTGAATTCAAAAATATATGTTAGGTTTTTCAAATAATTCTGTGCCCCTAAGTTAAAAAGTATGCTTTGAGGGGAGCACAGGATCATTTGAACAAAAAATGCTTAAACAACATTTTTTTTTAATTGTCATAAAATATGATTTAACTTACTGATTTCAGCGACGACTCGTACGTATATGGCATCCGGCATCTCGTCTAGCCCGAGCTCTTCTTTCATTCGCCATTGCTTTAGCGTTTCTGAAACAAAAATTGTTATTAAGCGTAAGTAACATGTTATTCACACACGATAAACTCAAAATTTTTTTAAAAATTTTTTATCATGCTTTGGTCAAAAACTCCTTAGAATCAACATTAACGCCCAATGTGAATATTATTAAGTTCGAAATGAATAATATTTTGCTCAAAATTGATTTCCGATCTCCACCAGGATTATCGACCTCAACTTCATTACCATTTTGGTTCTTCAAAAGTTATTATTGTAGAGAATCGTAAACAACTATCGTGCTTTATGTTCTCTTAGCTTTTGTGCATAAATTACAGGGTCAATTAAAAGTGCATTTTGTAACATAAAAATTGTTTACAATAAGCTTGCACTCTTAAATAAAAGTGCATACTGATATTTTTTGTTGTAAACATAGTCTGGAATCACCCTGTATAACTTAGTACCGTATTTGTACTATGTTTACTAAAAAAAGTCATGACTTTTTGTCTGGAATAGTATTTTTTGTCTTTTGGCCTAGACTAGACTAAAAATTCAGTTCGCAACGATCTGAAAGCTATGCTGAAACCCAAGTTCTGTCAACTATTTACCATACTTGCCACCACAGTACTCCTACGGTACTAATATTTTCTAAACGTACTCTTAAAGCAAAAATCTTACTATCGTGACCTTATCATAGCCCATGACCTAACCGGAAGCCGAAAGAATCCGCTTATTGTAATATGTTACGTCTTTTTGTTTCAAAAATATTCTCACGTGGCTAGACTGAATTATGTTTTATGTCTGGCAACATTTTGGCTTAACAAAGTGGTCCGACTGATCATATCCGCTGACTATAACATAATATTATTCGAATCAGATAAAGTCAATTATATTCTTGGCAACAAAATTATTAAACTAGCTGAGAACAGCTAGCCAAAACAACAAGAAAGTAGCTAAAAGTGTTGTGATAGGCTTCGCTTTTTATGTGTTTTGACTGTTTTGGAGATATTATCCATAACAATTTTGATTTGTTCTATGTTTTTGTAAAATGGCAGTGGGCCAGATAGAATTGTGGTCAAAGTATAGACAAATTTTACTTAGTAAAAGCTTATGAAAAGTAATATTACAGTAAAAAAATTTTCAACTGTCCCACCAAAAAATTATTTTTAAAATTTGCAATACATATATTACACTAGATAAGTCAAAAAGCACTTTTACAACCTTTGTTTCGCCATTTTTTCAATTTTCTTATAATTTTCTGACCATTTTTACGAATTCTATTCACTTTTTGACCAAACTCCTCAAAAAAATTTTTGAAAAAATTGCAAAAACTTACTTTCCAGCCGTTTGGTAAGAGATCGTAATTCGGTTTTGTTGGGCCTGGGAATGCCATTCTCTGTGACCTGGTCGATTTTGACTACAATGGGGTAAAAGTAAGCGGAACTGTCGTATGTGTACGAACATTCTGGGCCTTCTCGTACATACCATTCTAAAATGACTGCTTTCTACTGCATAGTAATGCTAATTTCATACAAATTTAAAACCTTGAGGCTAATATATAATAAAAACGTTAATTTAATTTTTTTTTAAATTTTAAAAAATCTTAAAATTCTACTGTAACTCAAAATACAAGTTTAATATAGAAAAACCTACCGCAGTAAACCTGGCCGATCAACGAAGCATTCTCGATATCATCGTATTCGATTTCGCGTACTGTCTTCAACATTCTGCCGACCTTCTTCTGTCCACGTTCGGATTTCATTCTCTTTTTATTCGAATTGCAATGAATAATATTGGAAAAGCGAAGGTCGAAAGAAAAGAAAAATACCCTGAAAGTAGCACAGTTTGTGGAAAACAATCTTGGAGGTATAGCAACGTTTCACGTACCGTAATTTTTTGTAATTTTAAAATTTCGTAAATTCAAATTTAAAAAAAAATTTAAAAAATTTCAAAAAGTCGAAAGTAAGTTTAAATAGCCGATATACACCTCTATAAAATAACAAAAACACTCAAAAACCCCCACCTATAACCCTATCAAATTACCATGCTGATCATCCTTATCAATTGAGGAAACAAATACATTCAAGAACACAAAATGTTAATGTAAATAACCAACAATCAGATCGTTAAACGCCCCAAATGAACAAAGAAACCGAAGCCGGCTGCCTTTATAGTCACTGTTTTGATCTTTTCAAACTGTAAAGACAAATCGTTATTTACCATGTTCGAGTATCAAACGGTGTTTACTATGTTCTTTATCCATCGAAGGTCATTTTACATGTTTACTGTGCTGCTACCGTGTTATAAGTCATTTTAAAGATATCGGCATAGTAAACATGTCCTAACATATAAATTTGGGATTATTATAGCTTTATCTAGGTACTGATAAGAATTCTTAAACTATACTTAAATACTGAGTGCCATAGAAAATGATATACAGTAATATTTTTTACCCCTTTTTATTACAACACCTTACATACAACAACACAACGACCTAACACAATATAACCCTTTTTGTTATAGACTTATATACCAATTTTATGCCGTTCTAAGGTCAGAAAACAATAATTTACAAAAGTTCGACCGATTTCTGATCGACTTAAAGGTAATTTCGCAAAAAACACAAGGCTTAAGATTTAAATGCATGAAAGGCTGTTGGTAAACATACGACCACGACAAAATACATATATCACCAGTTCCTTTGTTTTTATACGTAATTGCAAAGATATGACTTTTTAAAATAGAAGAAAGTACAGTAAGACATTACGTCATTTTAAAGTGCTTTAAAGTTAACTACAACATCGTACTGTAACTTATCATTCTGTAAGATTTAAAAATTCATTTTCAAGTACTATTTAGTGCAAAAAGAATAAAAATAGTTCTAAACCAGACTATAGTAAGCCTTTTGGGAACCCGTTATTTTAGTATAGTACTATACAGTAAATCAATCTCTAAAAAAGTTAAACATAACTAGAAAGAAGCATCTAAACCTCATGTTTCCACAAGTTTTAACAAACAACCTACAGTAATACCCGCAAGAACCAGAGATAAATAATTTAGAAACTGTTGTTCGAAACCGCTGTTCCAAATCCCTTTGAAGCCGTGATAGAGCAAGAAAACAAACGTCAATCATCAACTATCTGTTTCCAAGCAAAACGAGACAAATATTTTTGTTTTAAAAGGCGAAACAACACAATGTTATCCACCTATGAACCACTAAATCTGCCCTTTTAGTTCAAGCTTAGTGGTTATTCTCTTCCCTCAGCCTTACTAAATTACCCTGCCCTTTAATTCAAGTTTTTAAGTTGACCTGCCCCTTGATGTTATAATATTTTACCGGCAACTCTCAAAAATAAAGAATATATTGCCTTTTTGCCTCAAAACTGTCAATACAAGTTCAAATTGTTTTTAACTCAAATTTATTCTGACCTGCCCTTTACCTAAATGTTATACTACTTTGTTTTGGCTCAATTTTTAATTTGCCCTCTGGCTATATATCGTTTTAACCTTCACTTTTTGTCGTATATAACTTTAACCTCTCCTTTTTCTACATCTATATTATTTTAACCTACCCTTTTCCTATATTATTTTACCCTGCCCTTTCTCTCTTGTTACGTTTAGTTTTTTTTTGACCAAAAACTACCTTGACCTGCCCTTTTCATACTCAAAACTACCTTTCAAAGCTCAGAATTAGAAAAAGTTTTAACGTTGGGAAAGTTCTCTCAAAACTCATTTGACTAAACCTCACCTATGACAATTTCCCTCAAAAAGCTCAATCTCAAAGCTTACCTTAATGTCCTTTAGGTAACCTTTCTTACTGCCCCAACTCACTATTCCAAAACTCTTCACATACGTATTACAAACATCCTCATACGTTTTAATGTCCCAAAAACGTATGTAAATGTTTTTTAAATTTCGAAACCAAAATGTAACCGTTTATCTCGTCTCAACCTGAATTCGAACATTGGGAACGGCCTCGGTCTTTGCCCTCGCCCCCCTGTCATAAACAACATAAAAAACAGCTTGGTGCCGAAATTGAGTGGTCATTCCCTCCCCTCACATCTGACCCCCAAACCGACCGCCGAACACTGACTCAGCCGCCTCATTTGCATAAAACACATAAACAGTCTAACAAAAATTGGAAAAAAGGCCTTTTTTAAGGCCCGTGCATTTGAAAAGTCATGGCCAATGTGTTTTTAAATCATGACCAAAAAATTGAAAGATTAAAAAACACGTTTAATAAGCTATGATTAAATCTACTGTAACTTAATTTTCCATCACCTTTAAAAATTAGAACATAAAATTACTACTCCTCTCCACAAAAGACCTCCCCACGTTCCAAAGATCAACCCTTGTCCAATGCTGCCAAAACTAAAATATTTTTAAAAAAGCTGCAGTAGAAAAACCAAACAAAACACTCAAAACATACAGTAAGACAAAAATAATGCAATCTAACTTAAAACCAAAATTTGCATAAAAACACAAAACAACCATACAAAAAAATCATTTTAGCCGCTGAGAGATCATGGTATGGAAATGGCGGCAATAACAAAGCTCCAACAGATTTCGAATACCACAACTTGCTTTACAATAACAAAAGAAACAATCCGTAAATACGTTTCATAATAAAGTAAACAAACACCGAGCGATTACAACGTGAACGGTGTGTGAATTCATAATCGATGGTATTGTGGCAAACATCAACTCGAACTGACTGTGATAAGAGCAGTTAAAACAAGGTTAATATAAAGCAATAAATAAGGTCGTATAAATTTTGCAAGTTTTTGAAAAAAAATAGTTATTCTGGAAGGATCTATTGATCAAGTTCAATATTTTTTAAAAGTTCGACCAAATATATTAAAATTTGTCAGGAAGTGACAGTTTCCTACTCTAAACTGACATTTCAAAACATACCATTAGCACATATCATAACTTTCCGCTCCCACAATCAATATTATAACTTTTTCGATTTCCCAACCGCCAGATTTCACATTACACTAAGGATTATTTGCTAAACTGACTTATAAACAATATTAATCTTGCAAACATTGCTCACACCGAGCTGCTTGTTGCTTCTTTTATCGAATTTGTCGTGGTCAGCGACTAAAGTCACGTCTTAGACAATATCAACATATAGCAGAATTGAAAAACGGTTTTTTGTACTGAAAACCAATTTTTTAAAGTTAAAAATTATAATTATAAACTTCTTGTGACCTTTGCTTGTATTTGCTATAAAGGACAATTTTGGTTGATAAAAACCATTTTTGCGCTTGACGTTTTTCAAAAACGGCCTAAAGCCGCTAAAATACCGTTTTTTTCAAAAATCATTTTCAAGCCACAAAAACCATATTTTCATCCCTCTATCCCAATATATCGCTATTATACTACGGTACGATATCCGTTGTAAAATCCATTTTAAAACAGTTCAACCACTGTTTCTTGGCAATCTCGGATCGAAGATTCGAGAAGCCGTGAAACATTGTGTTATCACACAACAAATCCAGATGAACTTTGAGAATATTTCGTTTTGAATTTTTCGATATTGCGTCAGCTTATGCGATCAAATAAAACAACGTTTTATGCAAATAAGTTGATCTTAATGGTCTTTGATTGAAATGAAATTGAAACAAAAGTTTACAGGTGATAAAATAAGCCAATTTCGGTACTTAAAAAAGTATTTTTTCTTGTTAAAACACTTTGAAAATTCAAAGTTCAACGTTTAAAAACTTTTTTTAAATTTTTAAAATGATGTCAGTTTAAATAAAGATAGAAAAAAATTTTACATTAACTTAATATTTATACGTAGTAAATCATTTAGATTTTAAAGAAAAAACATCAAGATACAATTTAAAGCATTAATTTCAAAATGATCATATCATTTCTAACCGCTAATAATAAGCTTGGCCGCCTAACCAGTATTTTACAAAAACAAGATATCCAGCTACCGTAAGCCCACACCATTCCCACCTACAGTTCCTTATTTTTGTATCTTCACAAAAACCCAAAAACAATAATTGATACTTCCTCAACCCCTTACTTCCCCTCCCCCCTAATAACTACGTAAGAACAAACCGCGTGTTTTTGTAAATTAAATTATTGGATATGTGAGATTCCGAAAATAAAACATTCAAAACAGTTATTAAAGAGGCTGTGCATAGTAAATTAAGTACTTGGTCCCACTCAAAGAGTGCTTAAACATCAAAGTGAAGAAGAACAAAGATCGCTCAAGAATAATACTGTAGTGTTCGTGCAAAAGAGTACGACACTCATTGTTGGTGAAACATTACGGAGTAGAATCAAAAGAATAGGTTATTGGAGTATATAATGAATGGGTTGAAGGGTACAAACAATGTAATTTAGGAAAGAGGAGTTTTAATGAATTAGAAAAATGACAAAAGTAACATAACATTAACTACCAAAAACTCAAAAAAGTAAAAATTTTAATATTTTGATTCAAAAAAATCAATTTATAAACCCACTGAAAAGCTTTATCTTAACATAAAGCATTTTTCATACCCTATATAATAAAAACCAAAGTAATATTCCCCAAAACTACTATAAAATGACATAAAGGAATCTTTTGCGTTTCCAAAAACTGCATAAACTTAAAGGTATAATTAGATCCGGCAAGCTTCGCGGAGCTCTTAAGAGTGGTTACAAGAAAGCCCCGCCTTCTGGATGCGAATTCTGATCGAAAAAGATTGTCGGGCAATGTTTTTCTTGTGAAAAAATGTCTCATGTGAGTAAACAGCCCACTGTTCCATTTTTCGCGCGAACGTGACCAAACCGTGATCTCTGGTATTCAAATCAAGGTTAGGGTGACTTGCACTTTTAGATTTGGAATGTCAGTAAAAGCACTGTTATCTTAACTGACCATTCCTTTGTCCAGAAACTGTACTTTTAAAGAAAAAAAAGGCCAAGCCTGTTACCGCCAGGCCGTGAGTAATTAAAACAAAAAACCACGTTGTTTCAGTAGCTCTTAACTACCGTGATTTATACTTCAGAATTGAAAAACATTCTGCACAAAAGATCTTTAATTTTCATGTCAAGGTTGTTAAGATGCAAAAGCGAATTAAAGATTAAATAAATACATACCGAATAACAACATACATCTTCAACAATAGCATACCATTATAAAACCAATTTTAAAATTTGTTTTTATATCTTGACTTATTCAACACGTAGATAAAGATAAACCATATAGACAAAGTTACCTAATAGGCTATTCTACTCATTTTTCGACCGGATATACCAACTTATATATAACGTTAAAAGTACGTGTATATTAAGCAAAAAAATTTTAAAATCTTTTTCTTAAGGACGTTTAAAATGTCACAAAACTAATAAAACGATAAAGCATCATGCAAACTCCTTTTAACAGTATAGTAACGTTCGTCATGCCTATTTGCGTTAATTCTACATTAGTGTAACATACGCATGTTCTACAAAAACAAAAATATGTCATTACCTAAAGGTGTAATAGGAAGGTAACCATCAATCTTAGTTTTGTTCTTTGTGTAACTTTTCTATAGTATATTAGCAGTTAAAAAGACAGTAACTTTTGTCACAGACATGAATTTTAAATATTTTTTTTTCTTTTTAATAAAATAAATAATTACAGTTTAATGGTACAAATCCGTTAGTTCTATTAAACAAGTTTTATACATTAAAAAGTCTGTTTAAATTTAAATATTAAAAAGAAGGTAAGTTTAGTTTAAATACACCCAGTACTATTCAAAACTAGTATCAGATACACAGTAATAACTAGCTTTACACACAATAATATTAAACGAACACCTGGACAAGATTAAGCTCAACCTTCCTTATTATTTTTAGCTAAACCATAATGAAAAAGTAAACAATTTTAACCCAATAAATAATTCAATTTGGTTTCAACTACAACGCATTGCAATGTAACATTAAACTTTATCTGAGTTGTAAACAAGACTGATTAATTTTAAATTCACGTACTTACACCTATTTTGAGTTGTACATAATAAAATTGGTTAAAGTCAAACAGTTTAAATTCAAAAAAAATAAGAAAAAAAAATTTAGATTTATCTCTACTTTGATACCTAAAACAACAAAAGTAAGAGGGTAAATAAAATAAATTTTTGAAAATTTTTTTAAAATATAAAATTTTTACTTTAAAATGACCGTCTGCCCTTTTAAAAACTCCCTTTTCACCTCAAAATCCTTTTTTGGCATCAAACTCAATCCAAAAATAGCAACATTACGCAAGCGATATTACACTACCGGAACCATTACTCATCCCCAAAAAGAATTGATTCAAAACATTTCAACCCCGAAACATTGTTTTTGTTCAATCAGCTGGCCTAGCTGATCAGTTCGGCCCAATGTCACGGACATTTCGCCACATCTACACGAAAAAAACGAAAGAAATCCTAGGAATCGGAATACCGGACTGACAAAGGGATCAGAAAGTTAATTACCGCCAAATTATGCATCAATTTGGCTCCAAATGGGCCATATGATTTAAGGAATTCAAAACATAAAAATTAGTTGAATTGGCCGCTTTAAATTGATTATTTTTAAAGTTTTAAGCTGCAATAGACAAAAGAAGACAGCGTGCTAGGAAAATAAACAAGGTAAGACTTGCGAGAACAAAATTGCAATTATTTCAAATTTCGCTACAAAAAATTTTGAAAATTAAAAAATGAAAAAATTTGATCATATTTATAGTGATTTACTTCCTCATAATATACAAGATAAAAGATTTGAATAATGTCTACAAAACTAATGTTTTCATAAAACAACTTTTGAAAATCAAGGAACTTCCTTGTAAACAAAATATTTTAAAATATTACCAAAAAGAGCCTTTGCATTAGCCGTTCATTGCCTTTTGAACCACAAAGTTCAAACATAAATGAAGTCTAGATAAAAATCATTAAATACTAAAAGCATTAACTTCTACTATAGTAAAACCAGTAAATACTAAAGGTATTAACTTGTACTATTGTGCACGCATTGAAATTTAATAGTATTATATATAGAAGTCAATGATATAGTTTATTGTACTAACGTTGGTAAACATGTGTTCACAAACTTCTAGGTCTACGGTAACTATAATAGTATTGTTAAAAAAGTGGTTTTTACTGTTTACTTACGCCATAATTTAGTCTACCTTTATATTAGGTTGTTCATATAATTAGGTGCCTTCCAAAGCAAATTTTCGAAGCTAAGAGGCGCAGAATTAGTTAAACAAGCTAATATTAAAATAAAATTTTTAAATCCAAGTTGTGACTCACAACCGCTTATAGCAAAAACATTCCCTCCCGAATCAAAATTAGCAGACACTAATGACAACAAATGATGCCATATCAATGTACAATAACATAGAACCTCCCCTCATCCACTTCCCCTTTATTGTAAGATTACATTAACCTCACGTCTACATCCACTTAATTATGACCGTGATTTGTGCGTAAGACTACATTATACCGGTCGTATCGTCATCAACATGATATCACAACATGAACTCGGAACGTCATTCCCTATTCCCGATCGTTCTCCAAAAACAGCGAGGCTTTAAGTATCGTTTTAAAGATTAATCACTTTGCATGGTATTATTACAAAACGGCAGATAAATAACAGCAAAACATGTCGTGTTTATGATCTACCGTTCCAACTTCTGGAACGTTCGTTCATGATTTTCGGATAAATACGACAATGCACTTTTATTTCCTTGTTTATGACTAAAATTTCGTGAAAAATCTGAAGGTTTAATATCAATTTTAATAGTTTTTGATCTTTTTCTGCCTTTAAGTAGTCTTTTAGAGCCTGTCAGTTGAATTTTAGTTAGGCCACACTATTCTATTAACTTTAAAACCCCAAAAACCGGTCTATTGTTCTTAAACAAATATTAAAAAATTATTGCTAATTTTGCAAAATTTTGAAAAAAAATTATTATCATACAATCATGTTTATGTCAACAAAAGAATTTTCGATGAGTTTGATGACTAAAGACCACAATTTACAAAGAATTACTTGATCAAAAATCTCGACGATTAGATCCCGAAATCTCCAGTTTTGAGTACATTAAAGGATTCGTCTAGATATTTATCAAAAACCATGGTTTAGGAACTTGTAATTGCACGTTCTAGATAGTAATTTTAAAAAAAATATCTTTCGTTACGTATTTTACAGAAATTTTAAAAGCATTTAAAGTTTAAAAACCCTATCTATTTTTCAAGCTTTTTACCTATACTAAAATATAATGTTATAGCATCAGAAGACCTAAAATTTAACGTTCACGCGTTCGTTTTCCTAAAGGCTTCGATAATTTTCGAATAAAAAATCAAGCCTCTGTCTCTTTTTAGCTTAAAAATTGCTTTGATCATAATTATTTACCATTTACTCGTCAATTACTGTAATTGCACCAGAAATCGACAGGAATGTTTTGATGCCCTTTTGTCATTATTTATTAAATTTTTGTCCGAAAAAACAAAAAGTTTAGGAAACTTGCGTTTCGCCCACTAAATATTTTCGGCAACAAACATTCCTGCTATTACAATAACTTCTACGAATATTACAATAATTTTGAATGAACGAGACAACACTTTCGTCTATAACTATTCGAATTCTATTTTCGTCGCCTGAAGCAAAAAGTATTCAAATTCCTTTAGCTAAAATTAGAATCTAAAACGGCTGCAAAACGTTTGATCACTTACGCTCTACGTTACTATGTTAATATTGCACTGCAGGGTGCAGTTGATATCACGTCATTAAGATGGCGTCACCATTAGAATATTGATAGGAGATATTCATGCTGCTGAAAGGACTGTAATCTAATATAAAATGATAAAAAGTAAAAATTCAATAATAAATTTGGAAAAAACCTTATTGTGCACACACTAATATAATAAGCAAATTGATCGATAATTTATTGAACATGAGAAAAGTGAGATCATAGTTAATATGCAGAACATTGCAACATTTAGCATTAGACAATTTAAAACACCAAAATTAAAAACAGAGTTAGAACATAAATAAGTATTATACTACCTTATAAAAACATCGAAAAACTTTTATGAACGACTGTAATATAAATTAAAATACTTACAAAAATATTAAGCAACCTTAGCCACAAATACAATAAAGCGTAAGTAAAAGTAATCAAACTCTTCACGCACCAATATTCTTTCTCATTGGTACCACATGTGCAGGCGTTGAGAACAAAGTCTTCAACCCGACTGGAGCACTGGTCGATAATGGAGTAGACACAGCGAATGGAGAAGATTTTACAGTCAAGTTCGGCAGAGTTCGTTTCATCTTCTTCTTCCCACCTTGAGATCTTCCACTTTCACACTTACCGGCCGATGAAGTTGATGATTCACAATTGGCAGTTTCAGCATGAAGATAGGATTGTGCAAAACACTCATCAAAACAATCGCTCACTCTTCCAATTTCTGGAATATCGATTCCATGCAGATCCACACTTTCATCTACAACTCCAGACTCAAACAAGGCAGCAGGAGAGAGAAATGAAAAGGCACAAGTGTAGATTCCACACAGTTCTGTGTCTCCATCGTCCTCAACAGCATACCAGTTAATAACCAGTGGTAAGACTTCCTCCTTTCCGACATTCTCCTTGATCTGAGCGTTGAACAACACAGTATTATTGCTTTTTTCTCCCATAACAAGTGCCATTTTGGGTTCAATATCCAAGTCTTCGTTCTCCTGCACAATACATAAAGCATTCTTCTTGAATTTGTTAGATAATGCCAAAGTAAATGGTTGATCTTTGAGTATTTCCCTTATTGAATGCACTGTGGCCACATTTGGAGGTTTCGTAGCTTTGGCCCCAATTTTGAAACATTTGCTTCGAAGGTTGTAGAGATCGAGTTCATACGACAAGGCCATCAAGTCTTTAACATGATCAAACTTCATTTGGGTAACTAATACATCTTCACACAAATCCTGAAAACCAAAATAACATTAAGTTGCCACCTAAATAATACAATTTGTTACCTAAAAATAAAAACCATAAAAACCTTTAAAAAACAAACACCATGAAACCATTACATTAAAGAAAATTACCTTCAAAGACTGTATTTCGTATTTGGCAGCCAGAATCAAGACCGCGCGAGCAATATCAAAGTCGAAGATAAGTTTGCCATTGAAAATGTACCTCAATAAAGCTTCTACTGCTGCTGGTGACGCATCCAACATCTCAATCTTAACTTTCTGTGGATCCGATTTCAACATTTTGTGAATAACAGGTGAAGCATTCACTAATTGCAGTTTTGATGCCTAAAATAAGTAAAAAATTTTCAGAAGCCGTCAATACAGCAATATAAGCCTAAAAATTCCTCAAATAAAAAATCTAATAAGAAAGACTCACATAAAAGACGTTGTTACGACAAACAACTTTGAAGTCGTTGAATTCTGGCACGTTGAAGGTATCTTCTTTGTTCCGAAGCCAGTTAACATCTAAAACAACAAACGTTTATAAAACAAGTAAACAGACTATAAAATATTTTAAAATTTCTTAAGATTGACAATAAAAAGCTTACGACGATCTTGTTTTACTTCATCTTCAGCATCAACCCTCATTTTTTTGGTTGGAACACCATCTTCAACCATTTTATCTCTAAAAGCAATATTTTACCCTTTTTCTACTATAACATAAGCTTATGCATAAATAAATCAACACAACTACACGCACCAGAACATAAAAACGGTGGAAGAATGTGAGATTAACAAAGTGCAACTGGTTTTGAAGATATATAACAATTTTTCATTGACGCATTTTCTGAATTTTTCTCCGAAAAAATGACGAATTATCAAGAAATGAATAAAAACAAAATTTTGTCTTTATTAGTTTTCAGCTGTTACAGCCAATTTTAAGGAATTTTATTTATTTTTACGTGTATTATCAAGTATAATATTGTGGTAGTTCAGAGATGCGATTGGTTAATGACTTTGTTCTTGATCAATATGTCCCTCATGTCGCGGAAACTCTGGAACACGCTTTCTTTGAACTTGTCCAAGTCTGTTTCCTTTGATGTTGTGAACACCGATATACCAATATCAATCGTATCTTCTCGAGGATTGTACAAAGCTCCGTAGCCGTCTTCAGTCAATGGAGCGTAGATCATCCTGGGCCGAGTTGACATAGGAACTTGACTGGTCGATAAGTCAAAGGTGGTGAGTCGTGTCATAGCTTTACTTGAGAAAACTTTAGGTAATTCTGTGTTTGTTTCTTTGGCAGCGATTCGAAGTCCAAACAAATGACGATCCATGCCATTTCCATTGGCACAAACATCTGAATAAGTCTTGTGAGCTTTGCAGGCCGAATTCAGAAGCTTTAGAAGCTCTTTGTCAGTAGCGTTTCTTTTGTTGTTGGTAAAGGTTTCTGCAAAGGCTGTAGACTCTTCGTTTGGTAATCTGATGGTTTCAGTTCTGCCATTTTTAAATAATCGAAGTGAAGCACTTTCATAGGCATTACCGTGACGTTTGTGTAGCCTGTAGAAGGCTAATTGTAGAGCGATTTGGATGAAGGAATCTGGGGATATTCTTGCTGCTTTTGGCACGTTTTTACCAAATTCGTCAAAGTTAAAGTATTTGCAGTCGACTTTTTGGATCTCTCTGTAATAGTATGTTATAGTAGGTATATTTTGCTACAATATTGTAATACCGAAAGTGTTTTTTTGTTGCTATATACTTACGTTTAACGTAAAACGTATTATAAATAACCTACTTTTCTAAACTGTCCGAAGCTTTCTTGATAGCTTTCTTGTCATCATCTGTCAACTTGAACACTAGTTTTTGGGTTGGTGTACTGACGACGTCATTCTTGTAAGTCTCCACAAATCCGTCTTTTCTCTCTTTCAAAGCAGTTTTGTATACGGTCTCAATTACTGTAGACAAAGGAGCTCCATCAGCTGGAGTATGTTCGTAAAGTAGTCCATAGAAGCCGTCAGCATCGAAGAACATGTTGAACTTGTCTTGCCAACGATTGATGGCATTGTTTTTGGCTCCATGACCATGTACACCATTTAACAAGTGAGCATCTTCATGTCTTTGGCCTGGTTTTGGGATTGTTGGTTCGTCGAGGCCAATCACAAACAATGCATTCTCGTAAAGTTTTAGGGAATGCGGGTAGCGGGCTAAAAATGATTTAATGTTATTCTGTGTTACAGTAAAAATGGGTATTTTATTATAAGTCAAAATATGTTGTTTTTGTGATTGAAAAATGGTTTTGATTTATGAATCAGATAAGTTTTCAATTCAAACAGTCCGTTTGTTTTCCTGCCTCCTCTGATTCAAATGAGAGAGAAGGGAGCCTTTTCCAAAGCGAGACAGGCGTGCAGCGATGTCCGAGTGGTTAAGGAGATGGACTTGAAATCCATTGGGCTTTGCCCGCGCAGGTTCGAACCCTGCTCGCTGCGACTGCTTTTTGCAATTTTATTTTGAAATTTAAAGAATTTGGTATTTTGTAATTTGATTAGCTGACAAGAATATTAGACTTATTGTTTTTGAACTTGGGCATATAAGTTTTAAAACTAATAGCTTACTTTTCAAATTTTGATAAACTTTAGCCCAACTGTCTCTGTCCGTAGATGAAACCAGGTTTATTGGGTGTGGGCTGAAGGTCTGGGTCTGCTTTACTATACTTTTTAGTTCTTTCAGTATCTTTTCTTCTGTTAGCACTCTCCTATTGACATCCCAAACTGACATGATGAAGGTCTGAAATGTGTGTATGTACTACAATGTTGTTCTCACTAACAGATTTTTTTTAATTCAAAATTGGAGAAGGTAAAAAGCTTACATGGCCTCTTCTGACTACTACTATATTGCCTTCCAAGTCATCGTAGTTGTCGATTGTGTATACTTCATCACATTCTGGTTTGGGTATTCTAGTTGTGGCAAAGAAGCGATGGTGATGATCCATATCTAATGGTCTTCCACCATATTTTTCTAGTGGGAGTTGTCTTCTAAAAACTTTGTTTTATTAGGGTCAATAATAATTATTAATCCGTTCTGAAGCATAAGAACTAAGCACGCAGCTGATAAATAGTATTATATACAGAAGTAGGTATAAAAAGTATAAAATAGACATAGGCAGGCCTGGATAGCTCACCTTTTAGCTGCAATTACGAATTTTGTCAAAACTTTGATGGTTTTGGCTGTAAACTCAAGCTGAGCTTGTTCTCCTCTTTCAGCTATTCTACCTGAAGAGATACCCACACTTGAGTAGATGGGTAAGGGCATTCTGTAGCGAAGATAACCGTGCTCGTTCCACCATGGTGTTAGCTAAAACAGGAAAAGATAATTGTCTACAGTAATAATTTTAAAAAATAACGATTTTTACTGTAGTTAACTTATAGTAAGCTTAAAGTAATAATTTTGATGGTAAGTTCTAGGTAAGGTTGTATTGAAGTACTTATTGAAGTATTAATATTGTACTTACCCAATTCGCAGTAGTTTCTTGTCGTTCTTTTAGGTATGTTTGTAGCTTTTTGGAGGTTGGACTGTCTAGAAACTGCTGGACTAGTTTGACTGCTTCTTGGTGATTTTTTTTGGCACAAAGAACCCTTGAAAAATAGACGAACTTGGCAAAAGTGTCTTTCAGTTCAGGTACTGGTAGCTTGAGCAGCTCTTGTGAGGTTGATGATTGAGGTATTGTAGTCATCTTTAAAGATTTTATTGAGCAAAACTATCAATTTATGCTTCTTAACAGCTATTCAGAGCTAAGTAATATCTAAAGTAAAGTTACAACAAAATTACAAGTCAAGATCATATAATATCTTTAAAATAAAGTCGAGTAATCACGAAAACAACCACGACGCATGGTTTACAAGAACGAGCTGTGTACTTTACACCCAGCTGTTTGTTGTTCGATCGTCTTTATACGGAAAACCATGTGTTAGTGATAACGCAGGTCGTTCTGAGACCCGAGCGAAGAATCCTGAGTAGAGACTGAACTTTACAACTTTGAAATTACGTGAAAAAACTGATTAAAGTGCATTAGGGTGCATCTTTTGTATTATCATTGGAATTAAGAATTTGGAATTTTGGACTGAAATTCAAGGAAAACGCGTTCGAATTTTTGAATAAGGAAGTTTTACAACTTATTTTGAGTTTAAGGTTGGATTGACAAGTTAAACGGTCTTTAAAATTTGGGGAAAATGGTCAAAGTAATCGACCAGGCGAGAGATAGTCTTGAAAATAAGCTTTCTTTTCCTGTTCTTTAGCTTAAAACATAAGCTATGGTGATGACTAGAAAAAAATATTTAGAAAAAGTGCATTTTTTTAAAATTTGATTTTTTTTTAATTTTGTAAAAGCGAATTTTTAAAAATATTATACCAAGCATAAAACGGTCGTATAAATCCCAAAAACCTCATAACACAAAGAAAGCTTTTTGATTTGTGCGATGTCGTTGTTTATAATGATGTTTCTTGTGAGGTAATCAGCCAGCTACACATTTTATAGCTCTATCGACTTGCGACAAGACTTTGAGTAGTCGATTCATCAAGTTAATTTAAATTTAGACTTTGAAGTTCAAAAGTAAATATATATTTTATTCAGCAATGTTACTTCTCTCTTTTGATGTAAGAAAATGTTTATATGTATACATGTTTACCACAAGGTAAATAGTAGCCTTCATAAGATTAACTACTAGGATGTTCAAATAGTTCTGTGCCCCTAACTCCGAAAATTTGCTTTGAGAAGGGCACAGAATTAATTGAACAAACTAATACATTATGTATGAAATATCAATTCACTTTTGCTCGCTAGCCCGTCTACTCATTTGTTTCTCAGACCGGTCGATTTCTTCTAAACTAGTCTTGTTACTGTCTTCTAGCAATGTCAATGTGCTTTGTCCATCGTTAGTTGTGTAATATTGAGTATGTTGGGTGACTTGAGGGAAATATCCTTCAACAGGACCATTTTGTGGCCAGTACTGACCTGTCAGATGCAATTGGGCATAGTCATTGTTCTGCGGTATACGATCATACACGTTTTGATACACAACGGGCATCATCTGGGTATTGTCGAGCTTTTGAATTTGTTGAGAGAAAAAGTCGGATTCTGAAAGGTTTTTTTATTAGTGAGTTATACTATAGTTGTTAGGTTGATATGGTGATATTATAGTATAAGTTGTCTTTTCCCGGCTAATTTTTGCAAGAATATCAAGTAAAAAGTTATGAACATACCTTGCTTGTCATTATTAACTTGGTACAAGCCTCCATTAAACTCTTGACTCCTGGATACTGTAGCATCAGCACTATGAGTGTTCATACTGTTCATGGTAATGTTCTGACAAGCTTGCATCAACCCATGGAAGTCGAATCGATAAGCATATCTTTTGCCATGAACCTTCTTCATAATGTTCTTGTCATAGTAGTACCGTAATGCTCGACTGAGTTTGTCATAATTCATATTTGGCTTGCTCTTCCTCTCTCCCCACTTTCGAGCGACTTCATCTGGATCTATCAACTTGAATTCACCTTGAGGGCCTTCCCATGTGATACAGTGAGAGTTCAGGTCACCAGCAGCCAAAAGTTCAAGTAGGAACTGCCATAGCTGGACTTGGCCGCTTCCTAGGGCTGAAAATGGTATTTTTTACATTTAGGTAACAAGTAAAAGTCCAAATTAATAAAACATATTTTTATTCAAATGTAGTATTTTTTACGTAAATAAGTAACATTTTTAAAGTAAATTATAGACCATAAGGTAAAAGTTTTTAAAACTTACCTTGAGGTGGAAGTCGGGTCAAAAAAGCCGTGTACTGTAGGTTTTCAGCGGCCAAGAGGTGATCTGGTCGATTACTGCAGAACGGTCGTTGTTGTTCGAGAGGCTGTGCCAGCAGAGGATTCACACTGATATCATATTGTTGATGGTTGAGTTGAGGCTGGGCATAGAAGCTACTGTTAAGAGCTGATAAGCCTGAGAAGCCATCAGGCCAGCCTGGCACTGAGCTTGTTGGGCCGTCTGAAAGTTGTCAATTAGCACAAAACGTATACAATAATCGACTTGAAATTGATTTGATGTAGATTGGAAAGATGTTCTAGAGGACACTAATCTAAAGCCAGTCTAGGCTTAACACTTTTGTACCTAAACTACTAAAGTCTCCCGAAAGGAACGCCGAGTTGTTTTACATTTCCTGTGAAAGCTGTGGGAAATCCGAGATTTGTTGTCAATAAGGATCCCTAAAACATGGAAAAGGAAACGGAAGCGACAAAAGTTTTGGTCCGCCGATTTCCGCCGACCGGAACAGGAAAACGCTTATCAGCTGAATTTGATTGGAGCCCTGAGGGCAGGCGGAAGCCGAGTTTTATTTTCTCAATCTGGGACAGCGAGCGGTCGGTCGGGCAATGCCGAGCGGTGTTCTTGGCCTGGTATAGGGTGGTTTTGAAAAATTAAGGTGAGAGGCTGATTTTGGGGATTTATAAGGTTTAGAGCTCTTAGGGAAGGGGGGATTTAGGTATTAAATTTTTAAAATAAGATGACTGATTTTCAAGACTTTACATTTTGATTTTATAAAGCATAGTGATAAGCTTACTTTGTGAAAAGTTAGGGTTAGAAATAGGCATAGCAATCGATATTATAGTAGTTAGAGTTTAGTAGATTTATAAATAGTGATTACTTTACAAAATATTTTTTGAAACTTTTTGAAGCTAAAAATAACTTTTTGTTAAATTTTAGTATAAAATGAACAACAAAGTTATAATAGAATCCAGTAGCCTTCTAATTACTGTATCATACCGTAGTGAATCAGCAGGAACTTTGCTTACAATCGCCACAATCTCATCGGCCAACCAAAAGGCGAATCGTAACCAAGCCTTCACTATCCGACCCTACAAACCACGTATATCTCAAATATTTTTGTTTAAGGCGGAAAGTTTTTTAATGCCCTGAAGGTAGTTGTACGTAAATGGCATGGAGGGCCGTAGGAGGCTCGGCGATTAGTCCGTTCTGTTGGGCCGCCATTCTTCCGTGCTGGCGCTGAATTCGCTGCCCCAACATTATTTGAATACGAATTAGCGGGGGATGCTTAATCGCCAGCTTGATACATAGTTACAGTAAACCTGTTTGCTTAATTTGTTTTTTTAGTGTAATGTAATTTGGGAAAAAAGAAGAATAATAGTAAAACAGTTTTAGATCAAAACGTAAGAATATTTTTGATATTATAGTGTGGTTATTGTTACATTGAGCTGATATGGTACTCTTTATTATTATTACTTTCGTTTTTGTGTAATGAGTATAGTACACTAAAGAGAACATTTTATTTTATCCAGGAGCATACTTTCTAGACCTGTAAAGGGGCCGGGACGGCCTATTATCCCCCTTTTAAGTCCAATGCTTGCTATTTTTTTGGACTTGAGTTAGGCAGGTGTAATTTTTTTACCACATAAAGCTCAAACTTGAAAAATATTAAAAACTTAATAAATTGTATCATGAGAAAATACAAATTACAGTAGTTTGGCTAGCAGTTTTGTCATCAAAACTTATTTTCTTAACTACACACTTAATGTGACAAGGCTATGTGACGTTATTCTGCAACAAGCTTGCCATAAGTGTATATGTGGTAGGAGGTTCAAGCACCTCAAACCATTTAAAGTTACCGTAATTACAGCGGCGGGCTTTAAAGCTTCCAACGGCGCTTATTTGTCCGTTTCCGGCCGCCTCTTTCTTCTTTCGACCACTTTATGTTGCCATAACTACCAAGATGTCAAACCATTTCAGGCGTAAGATTCTTGTAAAAATAAATCAGAGAAAGGATTAGCATTTCAAGACATTCAGTGCTTACATCAACCAGCAAAAAAAAATTTTACATCAACCAGTAAAACGTTTGCTATTACTTTGAAGTGTGTGACAGTCTAAAAGTTACTGTACCTTTTTAAAATAGCAACACTATAGGCTTGTCTTTGTATGTAAATAATATAGATAATGTATAATTTATTTATTATATTTTAAGTTTAAAAAACGGGTTAAATTGTGCAAATATACCGGTCAAAAATAAAAAAAAGTAATTTTTGTTCCAGCAAATTTTGAATTACTGTAACACAAAATCAAAGTTTCGTAATTTGAGTAAAGAAAGACAATATAAATACAGCAAGTGAGATAAAAGGACCAACATACTTCATTTCATATTAGTATATACCATTTTTCATATTAGAAGCATAAAGAATCATCTATAAAATTGTAAACATACCACAAAAGTTAAAAAATAATAGTCAGAATACCAAAATCGTCCGAGAACTTTTGAATTGATCAATTGTCGTTTTTCTTGTATATAATTTGTTCGATCTCGGCCTTTTCCCGCTCCAGAAGTTCGATGAGAAGATAGTGACGTTCCGTCATCCATTGTGGACTAGCCAACTGCCAACACTTCATTTCCGTCAGCCAATTGTCCGCCAAGTTCCGTCGATGAAAAAGATCGTTTTCCATCGACGCGTTCTTTATGAAATCGGTGATCTGAAAATACATAGCAAAATTAAAAAAAAATAAAATATCAAAAATAATTTTTTTTATTTTAAAGTCTTGATATGTTAAGGAAACGTTCAGTATTAAATCCATAGAAAATTCAGGTCAATCCCAATTTAAATCTATTATTATATACATAACTAATATACATAATACTATAATAGTAAGTAAGACAATGACAACATCCTCAAAGTCCTCTGCCCTACTCCCCAATTCGCCTTGATGATATATACAACTTACGTGATTGAAGGTATCTTCGTCATCTAAATCCAATCGATTCTTGTCTGAATTTACATTTTTTGACAAAATACAGCCCATAACCTGAAACAAGACACGCTATTATACATATGAAAACTTGATATTATGAAAGAGTGTAATCACGAATAAAATTGAATTTATGCCCTAACAAAATAAAATGAAAAAGTCAAGCAGTAATTGTAAAACGTAAAATCTGACCAATCCATATATACATGCAGCTTCTAGAAGCTACAACAGTGGACAACGTGATGCCACTTGTTATAAATACAACAATATTGACTTTCAATCAAACTCAACGTTATTAATCTCATTTTCTGCCTTTTTTAACATAATTTTAGTTTTTCTGTATAATATAACATAAGATTACAAAAGAAAACTGTTTTAACAGCATTAGCAGTTTCGGTTTTCGAAAGGAAGAAAGGCTGTGTACATTTACTGACAGAAGAAAGAATTTCCATAGCTGACTCAAAAACGCTAAAACACCGCAAAAATAATGGCATTCAAATTTCAGCAGACCTACAATTATCATGCTAATAGGGGTGATTTTTTAGAGGGATATAAAAAAAAAGTTTAAACTTAATTTTAAGCAGTCATTAGAATGTCAGTTTCGAAACTGTATTCAATGATTTTTTATTTATTTTTGTGCAAAGAAGTCCTCCCCCCTCTATTGTCAACTCTCCCCTAGCCTTCTAACCTCTGATTATTAATTAGTTTTTATTAATAAAAAGTCATATCAAAAATCAAAACATTTAAAAAAATCTCCATTGTAAGCCTTAAAAACCAATTTTAATTTAAAAATGTAAAAGTGACCACAATATAAATCAAGTAGACAGAGCTCGCAATCAGAAAACAGTTATGATTGATCCATTCGGTACATATCACTTTCAGTTTATTCCCGAAAACAATCAGTTGATTTGTTTATGACAACTATAATATCCGCATAAGTGGCTTTTTAATTTTTACCCTAGTTTAGTTTTTTATTTCAAAAACTATTTTTTAAACCTTAAAATTTTAAAAATATTATCTGAAATTAATTTTAAATTTTGAAACTTAAAATTACATGATAAATATGACAAAATATAACTAATCATAGCACATAGAACCTTAATTATGTCCAAAATAAAAAATAAACTTCTATCTGACAATTTACCCACCCATAACCCTCGAATTTCTAGTAAATACCGTTTAAAACCATTACAAGTCTAGACGTGAACAGTGTCCAACATACGACGTATATGGCTTTGTCGTTACAACCCGGAACATAAAGAAAAGAAAATACGAAGAATAACAGTGGAACCATAAATATTCTCTTTACAACACCTTTCCGAATCCCCTTTAAACTATGAAATTTGCATTTTGCCAAAAAAATCACAAAGACACGAGAGACAGAGATTGGGACAAAGGCTATGGAGGCCTCGCGCAGATCATGAGTAATAAAAATATTAATCATTGGCTTACGAAGAATTTAAAACACATTCACATGTTATTGTAAGTCAATACAACTTTAAGAAACTGTTGGATTTTAATTTAATACATCGTTAATGCAGTTAAAAACAATCACGAAATTTGGCCGATACACACAAAAATGTTCAGAACCACATAAGAATCAAGTGTCTGTCTTAGGTTCATAATCAGTGATCAAAAGTTGTCCAAAACCACAAACCAGTTGTTACAAATACAATAACCACAATAATTTTTATTGCCATTTTAACAAAAATTTCCACAATTTTGACGCCTAAAATTAGTATCTAAAAAGGGAAGTGGTTTTAAAATACTGACTAGCTTCCAACTGCGAAACAATTTGCATTATAACACAAAAAATTGAAAAAAGTGACAACATCAAAGCCTAAAATTGCAGATTTTGAACTGTGAATGACATTTTGTTAAAAAATTAAAATTAACAAAAAAAAAATTCAAGGATAATTATTCAGAAAGTAGTTCTACTTCTGATGTCCCTTATGTTTTTTTCCTTAGCAAATGCAATCTTTACAAAAAACACATACAACCAGCTCTAAACAGTTTATTTTACACAAATTAAGCGTCCAAACAAACTGATATTTGACTTATTCCCTAACTATATTCACTTGAACGACTCCTGAGTCTTCTCCTCGTCCTTCTTTGGTGTATTCGCGACAGTCACCTTGCTCGCTTCTGTTACCTTAGTGTTCGCGTCATCCGCCGTTTTCTCGCCAGGCTTCCGTAGTGTGATTAAAAGTGACTTTTCTCGTCTAACTTCATTCTTTGGTGCAACTGGAGCGGCTGGTGCAGCTGGTGATGCAACATCAGGCTTCTTCATTTGAGATCGCGGAGGAGTCGGAGCTACTGCCGCAGGCTCAGTGGCGCCTGTTTCTGAGTTCTGTGCTGAAGTAGCAGCTGCTGGTGAAGTATTAGCACCAGAGCTGCCTTCAGAGGAACTCGACTTTTTCTAAATATTTTAAATAAACAGAAAAACAACATAACCTACTATAATATAATGAATAACGTTGTCATAAAAATTAACAAAAACATATATTTTCCAATAAAACTTGAAAGACACTTCATTGCTGAATTTGATCCCGAAGCACTTTTACTTTTAGAAGCATCATCTCGATTTTTCTTTTTCCCCGATTTTTTGCAATTGACCACTAAAATCACATTTACAAGTTGTATTGTGAAGATTAGCAGCACAGCCGCTTCCATAATGTCAAAATTTAAACAAGGCACATAAAAATGGAAAAGAATGACATGCGATTTCGCAAGTTAATTTATTTTTACATTAGCACGTCAGTTTAGACATTCAAGGTAATTTAAGAATTTTAGGTATGAATTTTGAAGTTACCTCAAAATTATTTGATTTGAGAATAAAAACATAATAAAACAAGCATTATAATAAAATGAAAACCTAAAAATGAAAAAGTTAATTTTTTACAAATTTGAATCGTTATGAAGCCTTCAACAAGCTGGGCGCAGCTTCGCATGAGAGCAGGAGTCAAGTCTTTCACTAATGCACAGACTTGACCCGATTTCTCGTGAATAATGTTTATTTTTTTCGAGAAACATTCTTGCAGTATTGCTAAACATGTTTTTTTATCAATTTTTTATGGATTCGTCTTTTTCTTTAATTTAAATTTCTTTGAAAATTGTCGTTTGTTAATTGAAATTCACTTTTTTATAAGTACGAGCGAATTCACGAACTTTCTCGTTTCCATATGAACATAATAACAATAGTTTATGATAAAGAACGTTTCCCTCGTGAGTCAAGCTGCCTTCTGTTGCGAAATATATTGTTTTACTTTAAAAAGAACTCATATTTCCATGGAATTATTGGTTTAGTCCGGCATAACACAGCTTTTAATGAAATTTTAATTGGTTTATAATTATTATGACGTTTCCAATGGATTTACGTACACTTTGCGTGTTGTTTTACTCAGTTATACATTTCTTCTTATAATTATATCTTGTTTTAGTTGATTTTGACAAATATGTCGGCCAATACAGCTCATACAAACGATGGTAATGGAATCTTACTTTACGCTGGAGAAATGTAATTAATTTATTATTGATTATTATGTTTTTAGGATTATTTTGTATGCAAAGCATGTGGAAATGAGCTTTTCCTCAATTACCGAAAGCTTTTTCAAAGGAAAGAAGTATGGAAACTTATACTTGACGTCTCATAGGGTAAGTATATGGTTTCGGATAGTTTATCGTACTTTATATATTTTATTGTCGAAAGCTTCGATTTTGTGATGGTTCAACCTTATCATTTTTAAAATATGTTCACCTAGAGTTTTTGTTTGATTTATAAATCTAAAGTAATAAATAACTAGTTTTCGACAAATGTATACAAATTGTGTTTTTAGGTAATTTTCCTGAACACAGATGACAACGCCCTAAAGTCTTTGGCCATGCCTTTCAGTTTTATGAACGATATCCGTTTGGAACAGCCTTTGTTTGGTGCTAATTACATAGAAGGAAAGTTGACTGGCCAACCTGGAGGTAACTTTGAAGGTGAAATTGGATGGAAATTGACATTCCCAAAGGGAGGGTGCATCGATTTTGGAAAGGCACTAAGACAAGCTGTGATTCTAGGTAATATTTTATCTTATTATTAATTTTAATAAGTTTAGTGCCAATAAATTGCCTAACAATTTAACTTTAGTCCAAAACCAAGGAACTAGACCAGCGAATGCTCCACCACCGTATGTTCCACCAGCTGGCAGTTACTTTGCGCCTCCACCAGCCTATTTTGTTGCCCAACCAGGTAACATTGGAGGTGGCATGCAAGCCCCAACTCATGTCTTCCCTGATCAACCTGAAGGTAAGTCACACTAGTTTTGTTTTCATATTTTATAGGTATGTCATTGAATACAATTTCCAACTCTTTAATAATAAAATAATTTCCAATATTATTCCAGAGGGCACAGTTTACGTGTTCGAGCAGCCTCCTCCATATGCGGGTATTCCAATGAACACTCCAAACCAAATGTACCCAGATCTTCGTCAAAGAAATGTGACTAATCCTGAGGTCCCACCCCCATATCCAAGTGGATCTAACCCAACTGCTCCGCCAGCTTATGACGATGCGACCAAGTTGCCAGAAAAACCAAAAGTTGCTTAAGCTACCGTATCAAGTATGTGGTATTTTGTATATATACATCTTTTTAAGTTTATGTAAAGTAATATGTTTAATCTAAAATACTTTGAAAATGATTAAATATTTGACGAATGTGCAGTATAACTTCTACTCCGACCATTATTGTACATTTTGGTGCCAATTAACACAACTTGGTATCTCTCTAACGCTATGGTCACTTATTTTAGTAACTTAACCTAGTAAATCATAAAATATTAGACTTTTGAGCAAATAAACATAACTAGTGACAGGCCTAGAGAATTAATTTTAAAACCGAAATATTATGTTTACAACATGTATAATATAATTTATTTAAATTAGGTATATCACAGTTGAATAAAATTCAGGTAAGACTATATAAAATGCCAGCAAACAATACTAATGGATTTGATAAACTATTTCAATTATGATTTGTTTAAAAGTGGATACTGACCTTTTTTCGAGGAATGGGTACTGTAATTTGATATGTGAATAGAGATTTCGATGTGGAGTTTAAGTGTACGGTAACTGATTAGTTGAAAGCCATTGAAAGATCGTCCGCATATATGCAAACTCTATTTGTAGCCGATCTTACAAGGTCCCAAGAAGCCTAAAATATTATTTTTGTTTAAAAAAATGACATTTTTTGTACTACATCGTAATATACTATAAATAAAAAGACACGAAAGGCGAAACCTAGTTACATTTTTGTTTGAAGTAAATTTAAAAAATAGTCTTATGAATAACATACCTGTACTGCATTCGCAAATGGATTAACGTCTATCAGACAGATCGTATGCCCATTTTTAGCCGCCAATTCAACAGCATTTCCTACTGTAGATTGAAAAGCCGTCAATGTGTATCCGTTTTCTTCGAATGCACAACATAAACTTCCAGGTATACTCAGTCGATGATGTCTGAAAGATTCAATATCATTATATCAATTGAAAAGCTAATGAATTTCATTGGCACACATTGAATAAGATACCACTGTGATGAATATCAAGACTTCAAAGTTAACCTAAATTAAACTTACAAGAAATCAGATCTCAAATCGACCATCAGTACTTCATTCGAAGCGATTAGCTTTTTTAAATCAGTACTATAAACGTATGGAGCTGCACAGTCAAGGTAGTTAGGCTTTTCATATTGATGTGAAACCAGTCCATACCCAGCTCTTTTCTTGCTTTCTGACGAATGTTCACGATACGTGACACCTGACGGTACAGAATTGTAGTACTTCCACGCAGTCGACACTACACCGTCTATGCGGACATCTGGAAATGGCAATGCTAAGTTTAAAAACATTCGAATAACCTTTTCACTCGTATAAATATACAGCGGCAGCTAACTTAATATAAACAAACATACCCGGAAGATCCGAGAACAATAATATAGCATCATTGAACTGAGCATTCATCAAGTTTTCTTTAAACTGAACCAGGATAGCTACTCCAACATAGATTGGGAAGGAAGAATCGGCCAATAAAAGTGAATCCCATAGGTGGAAGATCTTGTGCAGGGGGAATACGTGAGCAAAACAGGTCAAGAACCATGAGAAAGCAAAGAGTTCTGGCTGAAAGTCGAGGTCTTGCATGTGAGTGAACAGTTCTGCATCGACAAAGGCCAGCAATTGCATGAACACGGAGAGGTATTCTAAAAATATGGCCATATTACTATTGAAAATGGGTCAAAGACAAGAATAGATATGTAAAATAAAAAGCTTTAACTAAAATGTTACCTAAAAGCTAACATTTAACACTACAGTCACTTTCAAAGGTTAAATGTATTACCTTACGGTAAAGGCTGACAATCCTATTCAAATACCTTCACAACTTGAACAGCCACTATCTATATCAGTGACCTTACCTTTAATAAGAACAGAATTGTCTTTGACGAAAAAGCCGTTCAAATACCGGTCGATGAACTTTCTGAAGCAAGAGAAGGCTTGAGGCAAATTGTTGAAGTTGAGGTATACAAAAGGAGCGGCCAAGGAGTCCAATCCCTGCCAATATACATAATCTGTTTCCTTGTGCAACCACGACTTTAACACCACTTTCAGCTTGTGGTGGGCTGCTGGAGTGGCCATTAACTCGTCGTACTAAAAACAGTATATTTGTTTAATCAAATAGCAAAATATTGATTTATTAAATTGTATAAAAAAGATTGAGCTACAACATTAGTTCTGCCAAATATCGCAGCTTTTTAGCCTATTTTAAATAAATTTTTAAATCAATTCACCAAATGAAATTACTATCACTATTTAAAAACCAAAACCCACCTGATGACACCTCGGTATATCAACATGCAGCTGCCTGTCACTTGGATGCTCCGACAATGCATCTACATCACTGAGCACATCATCAAGATCATGCTTGTTCAAATTCAGCAAGGCCAACCAGGCATCAGCACGATAGACTGGAGGTACATCTATGGCCAACTCCTTCAACAACAGATCTCCTTTGTATGGATAACATCTGATTAACCTTGAGATTCTGCACATTCTGCGACATTGGTAATCAATGTCACGTTCTTTTACAACTAGAGATTGCTTCGTGAATTCTTTTTCATATTTCCGATCATCTATTGAGATCTCGATACTGTCACGAAAGGGAATTGAATTCAGAATCTTCAAACGATCGTTCAGGTTTTTGCATGGCAAAGGAACTACATCTGTTGTTACCTATAAATGGCCTTTATAGTATTAATATTGCTCTTAAACTGAATACAACGTGACTATAACTCAAAATGTAAAAACATACCTGTACTTTCCTGCACTCTTCATTACCGTACTGTTGAAAGTCATCGACCACCATAGTAGGTATCGACCTTATTGGTGCATTCATTTGAATGAACTTTTTATGAATTAAAATCGAAGAAACATCGGATCCGCACAAGTTCCATAGGTAATATAACTCATGTAAAGGTCTTTGAGGCACAGCAATTGGTACTTTCGATCGGTCATCCAGCAAATCTCTAACTTTACCTGAAATTTATATTTTTATGTAAATTTAAATTTAAAAAATCGTAGTTTTGGCCGTTATTTCAAAAATCAACTTACACTTGTAATTATCTTTGTTATCATTCTGCTTAGATATTACTTTAAGTTTCTCCAGTAAAACTTCTGCTGTCGGTCGTTTTGACGGTAAAATCTGAAGACATTCTGATATGATCTCTTTGATGTTTTTGGGTATCTGTTTCAGCTGTTCCGGCTTTGAAAAGACGGAATGAACACGGTCAATTAGAAGTTGATACAAAGATGTTTTTTCAGCTGAAAATGAACATAAAAATCAAAAACTCGGTAACTTTTTTATTCGTAATCATATAACCAGGGCCGGGCGCGAGCGGGGGGGGACGGAATGGGGTACTCCCCCCCCAGAAAAAAATTTTCGAAAAATTTGAACGTGGTCCCCCCTGTGGATTTTTGGAAAAAAATTTTCGCAAAAAGTCGGCACAGGTAGCTGCTACCTGTGCCGATTTTTTGGACCCCTGCCCCCAGACCAATAGTCCCCGCCCGGCCCTGCATATAACCTTTGAATTTATATACATACCTTTTCAGCGAGCCTGGACAAAAATTAACAAAGGATTATATATTAGTTAATATTTTTCCAAAATAAAAAAAATAACTTATTTCACGAAGAAAAATCAAATTTTACAGTAACAATTTCCTACCTTTAACAATAAGTCCTTGTAGAACTGACAACATTTGTTTCAATCCCCAAACGTCGCTCAATCTGAAGCCTCCAAACATCTCCAATAATACAATCCCAATTGCCCAAATGTCAGATTTAAACGTAGCGTAACAATCATACTTCAACGTAGCTATCCTTTCAGGCGCTAAATAGTAGATGCTGCCAATAACATGATTAGCACATCCTTTTCCCACATGGTACAATCCATAACGTGACAGTTTAACTGTCAAATCTTCTTTGCCGGCTACTACAAGGTCGTTCAAAGAAAGTTGACCAGCTACAACCGTGTTCTTATGTAGATAAGTCACAGCATCAACTATTTGAGCAGCTACTGCATAACATTGATCGATAGTTAGACTAAACTTTGAAGATAACAATGTGAAAGAAAGAACTTACTCACTTTTTTGACAGATAATGATCCCATAATCGGTCCTCGTAATGTTCCGAGATGAAAATGATCACATTTTGCACTGAAAATATTGTTAACATTATTTTATGCAATCCTTGTCCATTTCTTACCAGTTCTACACGACTGTAGGTCAAGATACTGACATAAGTTTTGATGTTGTAAACGTTTCAAATCGAAAAACCGTCCCAAAGCTAATGAAATAGCCGGAGGTGTAGCTAGCAAACTCTCAGCTTGTGGAATATTCAACTCCCCAGCATCCAGGTACTCGGATGGAACGTTTGTATCCGTGCAAGCCAAGCAAACGGCTCCAAACAAGACATTCTTAGACATATTACCTTAGACTAGCTTCATTAGCCTGAAAAAATCGACGAGTATTATTGAAACATATGCTAAAATTATTTTAAAAATATTTGATAATATATCGACTTCGTTTTAATGTTATCCGAGCTTATAAACAAAGATTCCAATGACCTTCAAGTTTCACAAAAATAACATTTATTTATTTCCGTAAGTTGCGCCCGGACTATTGCGAACTGCGCGCGCTATATTATACACAACAAAACAAAAAATTGTCGAGGTAAACAGTTTATTTATGTACAAATAATACTTTAGTAGACCGTATTAGTGAACCCGATGCGTTTCGATTGCATATCATACACATGACAATACTTTCGAATCATCGGAGTGCCAAATACCCATAGATTTCCTTGGACCGGCGACATCTGAAGGTTACACTTGTTATTGTAGCCTGTGATCAGTTGCTTTTCTGTTAGAGAAAAGTGCACGCCATTAATCTAAAACGCTTGATTTCATTTTATTGTAAAAGTAAGTTATTTTACATTTGAAAAAGTTGAAATAAAGGTGAATTTTACAATTTTTATACCTAAATTTATAGTGATTTACCTTGAAACTCAAGTGAATCTTTTGTTCACAGTTGATAGCAGGGACAGAAGAGCCTTTTCTAAGTCCCAGATGCTTCGTTATCTTATTATAGATCTTTTTAGGTACCAAGATGGCTGAAGTTCCAGTATCCGAGCTAATTTCAATTTCAATATCAATATTGATCCCATTGAGAGTGACATGATTGGCATGAAATCTCCAATCAGGTGTGTGAATAACTTGAGTAAAGACAGCTTCAGCTTCACACCATCGTGGGTTCAAACTTCCAAATACGATTTCCCCGCCCCAACTGGATTCTGTAGGTTTTTCAGGTAATTCAGACATGTAAACTGAGATTATTGGTGGGTTCAAAGTGTTGGTCATTCGGTTTCTTTCCATCAGTGTCTTGATGTTGTGTTTTTCTCCGAATCCGAGTCCAAAAACACCGTCGTAAGGGCGTGGGGAGTCTTGTTCGAGTTTGGTGGCTACACCAAAGTGAACATAGTTACGGAGCTGGGGGTTGTAATAGTCGCCTAACTGAAATTACATACTTGTAACGAGGCATCTCATACTTTTTTACAAACGTTTAATATATAATTTACTTAAAATGGGACTTTAACTTGAGATAAACAAACTTTTATATTATACATACCGCAACATAATCCATGTAAAGTCTTCCTTTAGTTACCACGCCATCATCATAACTTATCTTGAACTTTCTCTTTGTTGTTCTAGATGTTTGTGACCAGACATAGTTGTAGTATACCTCATTGAACCCATTGTCAGTTCTTTGAAGAGCATTTTTGCCTTTGACCCATGTTAACGTAGATCCAGTATCAAACATTACCTGAAATGGCCGGGGAGGAAAGCCAATGTAGACAGTTCCCACATAGTACAAGTTGTTTATGTTGGTCAAGGTTTGAGTAAAGATGGGGGTTTTGTTGGCTAGCCATGTTATATTCTCCCACTTGATACCTTTGGCTTCTCCATCGACTGTTGTGAGCTGTGCGATGGCTCTTCGACTGGTCGATACTTGTCTTGTAGCGTGGGTTGTATTGTTGTATCGTCCAGAATCGAGTGTAGTATTTTGTCGTCCATTACCTTGCTTTCCGGATTCTGTGGCTTTGGCCGAAGTCAACGTGTTTTTTCCAATAAGTACGGTAGCAGAGAACACGGTAGTCAATATAGAATTTATGAACAGGAATGCCAGAATGTAGGACACGACCTTACTGCATGATGACATTGAGGTAATTGTGTCGAGATGCTTACGAGCCGAGATCAGACTTCATGTAAAGCGAACCAGCAGAGATCAGTTGTTTTTCGACAACAAAACGTCAAGTATTGTTGAACAATAACCGAATATAGTCAGATGGGGTTTTTAGACGTAGAAAAAGTAATATTGTTCAAGTTGAAGTTACCGTTATGTTTTTTGTTGTAGGGTAGAATATTATATTATAGTAGGTAAAATGGGGAATATTATAGTGCCAAAGATGCTATTTACAAAAGCTTTTAAAAGTAGAATCTGATGTAAATATACAATACTTTAGATTTTCTGTGATGTTATTTACCAGAATGTTAAGTAAGGAGGTAAAATGTTGAATAAATGCTAAAGATCCTGCTACAATATCCACAGATCCCAAAATAATAAACAAAATTTTAAAATACGGCTTTAAACTTGTCCACAATATGTTCCTTCACCTAGCCACAACACCAACCTAGGTCTGCTCTTGCTTTCAGTGAAAACGACACCTTGAATGTTTTTGTTTCCCCCATCGCAGTAAAGTTGTCAGTTCGAAACTTAACGGTCAGGTTTGGTTGTCGAACAACTTTTTTCACACGATTTGGTTTCCGCAATTCCTGGAACAAAAAGAAAACATTTATTACCTTTGATCCGCCCTCTCTGGCTGGCTAGAAAAAAGGGGCGGCTCGCTTTTTTCGATTGCGGAACAAACTTTTTCGAAATTTTAGTTTGGTGACGCAGCTACCTGTTGTTTGTTGTCAATAACTGGTGTAGGGTTATGATAACGACGCAATAAATAAATAAAAGTGCAAGTTTTTTGATATTTGCTACTACAGCAATCATAATTTAAAATTTTAAAGTTGTTTTTTAGAAGTTTTGACATGAAAAGCTCTGAAACAACTTTATCTAATAATATTAGGTTGTTCAGCTAATTCTGAGCCTCTTAAACTTGAAAATGTGCTTTGAGTGGCGCACAGAATTTTTTGTAAAAATTAGTATAATGAACATCCTCAAGGTACTAAAAATAAATTGAGATTTCAAAAACAAAAGTCAAATGTATAAAAGTATAATTCATGTCTAGGAACTAGCCATTTGTCAAAGATAAGGACGTATCTCTATAGATACAGTTCCGAAGACAATGGAGATGACATTCTAGATGTTATTATCTAAAATGCTTCGGGCGCAGCACCGTGCTCAAGAAGCCTTGAAGAAGGTTAACTTGAAAAGGCGAGGGAAAGCTAGTGAAAAGGTAACTACCATAATATAGATAGGTTAAAAATTTTTTGGTTTTTTTGATTACTATAACTTTATGGTGTTCACTAAGAGAACAACATTCTGTAACATGTTATACTTAGCAAGCTGTGTATACTGTAACTTTTTTCAGCAATTCAGAAGATTTCCAGAATGGACTTCTATGTTGGCATTGCCTCAGGTTGTTTACTTCAGAAGCTTCTGTAGTTTGTTTTGGGGACTTGTATTTCTGGCGGCTGTTGCTATCTTTATATGGCAATTGGTGGTGATAATCGACAACTACAGTAGTTTTCAATACTCTGTTATCAGGACTTTGATATTCTCAAACTTTTCGTTTCCAGCTGTCACTGCTTGTGATATGAATCCTTACAAAAGGGATCTGGCTTATCAGAATGAGGAGGTGAGTATAAATTTTTACAGCATAATATTAAATATAATAGTGTGTGGATGTTGTCCTGTGCGATGGCAAGTTATGTCTTCGTTTGATAACACATATTTTAGATCAAGAATTTGATGGAAACTTTTGATTATTTGGTTGCAAAGCTCTACAACAACGATTCTCTTGTTTACAACAGTACTTACGAACAGATTGCAGATGAATATAGTCTAAGTGTAAGTTAAATGGCTTGTTTTACACATTATATAAATCGACGACTCTTTAAAGCATTGCAAAGTACAAATCTACATCAAAATTTTAACTTTAAGAATATTTTTTAGAATTACACATCCTCTATGACTTTACTGGCACAAATGAGTACAATATTGACTATGACAGCGAATACTTTCAATCTTACTGCAGCGTCTGCTCAATATGACGACTTTATTCAGGGCTGCAGCTTCAATTTACAGGATTGTCAATCTGGGTAAGTTTATTTCTTGTTTTATGTTTTATATAGTAAAGGCAGGGATATACATAATGAAGGGGTAAACCTTGCTTGCCAATTGTGAGGGAGTAGAAAAAGGTAGGTCATGGGGTCAGTTCAAATATTATAATATTTTTTACAGTTTTTTTTATTTTCAGAGATTGGACAGTGTTTTACAGTGAAAACATGGGGACCTGTTACACTTTCAACTTGGCTGGCGATAAAAATGTGTCTCGAGTTGGGCCAATCTATGGTTTACGATTGATTTTGAAGTCAAATGTATCTCAATACCTTCCGGTTACATCCATGGAAGGTTTTAAAGTGTATGCACATCATCAACAAGAATATCCTTTCCCCGACATTTATGGAGTTGATGTTATGGTTGGTGGGTCGGCTAATCTTGGGGTAAGGTTGAGGTTATAAAGGTATATTGGGAATGTTTTGTGACTTCTGATGTTTATAATTATTGTTATTTAATCTTCTTTAACAGTAATAAACCGTGTTATAGGTAACATTTACCCAGGTAGCACGTCTGAGTGAACCTTACAGTCCATGTGTTCATGAAGACGAGAAGCCTGACTTTTACAATTACCCGTTGAATTACTCTACTGAAGGTTGTATGAGGTCGGTGTATCAAGCTGATGTAGTAATCAATTGTGGATGTTATGATCCAACGTATCTTCGACCAACCAACAATACTTTTTCTGGATCAAATGACACTTTGATTGATACAAATCAGGTTGTTGTTTGTACTACTGGTGATTGTAAGTGAAAAATTAAAAGTTATTTTATATTTTTTTGCATTGTAGGTATATTTTTTTGTTTTTTATGCACTGTAAGGTAAGGTTTTTTAAATTTCGATGTTTTCAGATTCTTGTATTCTAACTCAAAGAGAAAAGAACTACAATGCGAACTGTACCCAGCCTTGTTATGAATCAACCTACTCGGTTGATGTGTCAAGTTCAAAATGGCCGAGTGGATCATCGACAGCTATTGGCACATGTGAAAATGGTGATTATGGTAACCAAACATGTGTTGATATGTACGCTGAAAACGGTGCTTTCGTTCAAGTTTACTTCGAAGCACAGAGCTACGAAAGCGTGGAGGAAGTGCTTGATTACTCGGTAAGGGAACTCTTGGGTGATAAATGATTAGCTAATCGATTATGGGTTGGGGTGATCAAGAACTGAGGGAAGGAGAGAATATTGTGTTTATATGATTGTGTACTTATATATAATGTAGCGTAGAAATATTTTACTTGAAGCAAGAAAGTATATTTCAAATGCTATATAAATACCTTTAGTTCTCGAGCTTTCTTTCTGACTTTGGCGGAACTTTGGGCTTATGGATTGGAGGTTCTATTCTAGTGATTATTGAAGTGACTTTGCTTGTAGTACAGGTTAGTTTAATGGCTTTGTACACCAACGTTTTATATATTTTTAATCTAAATATGTATCATTTTCTAATGACAAGTTTAAAACAATCCTTTTTTACTTTTTGGTACTAAAACTTTTTAATTTTTGAATACTTTACAGTGCACAATGGCATTTTGTTGTCCACGCTCTGGCAGACTTATTGGTTACTAAATTGTTCCTCGTTGGACCTGTTTATGGTAGTTACTGCAAATTGATACTCATCGAACAATTTTTAGTTTTAGAAAGAATTTTTTTGATAAAAAGGAAATAAAATGATAATTTTGAGTTTATAAAACAGTTTTTATAGTTATTTAAATTAAGTTCAAAATATTTAAAACAAGTGTGGATTGTCATAGCTACGTATCACGAAGCCTGTGAACATATTAACAACATTTTCGAACATGTCAGGGTTGGCAAAGTTAAAAGACTCTAAATCCGGGGCCCGGGCCTTATATCACAGTAAAACCGGGTATAAGGTAAGTAAATACGTTTTTTATTATTAACTTGTAGTAGGTAAATTAGTTTTTTAAACAAAAATATAACACAATATGCGGGATAAACGCTGGCTTAATGAACTTCAAGTAGATTGTTTAGTTTTTGGTTTTGATAGAGCTAATATTATACTACAATATATTTGAAAATTTAAGCAAGTAAAAGTATTTCCCGAATGGACATCAGCTCATGCCATTCCTTTAGTTGGCAGATTCACAAGAGTTTGTTGTGTCTTCTGGCTTCTCATCTTCGCGGCAGCTTTTGGAGTTGTGGTGTGGCAAACTGTGGTATCAGTGGAGAAGTACCGAGCCTACAATGTCTCAGTACAACAAACTCTCAGCTTTAACAGTATGTCATTTCCGGCCGTCACTTTGTGCGATTTGAATCCATACAAACGAGATGAGGCTTACAAGATTGCTGAGGTAGGTTTTGATGTTTTATTACTGGATGGTTTTATATTGAAGTTGTCAAAAGATTAGGCTCATTTTAAGGTAATATTGTTTTCTATTGATTCATGAATTATTTTTAGGTACAAACACTAATGGAAGCCTATGAATACGCTCTGCAGAAGTCATATTGCACTAATACAACGTGTAATGTGGCTACAAATACTACTTTAGATGACTATTTGGAGAAGGTTGGGCTCAGTGTAAGCTATAGTTAAAATACGTTGTTCATCTCAAAGATTGTACATTTTTTAAAATGATTTTGAGTTTTAGCTATCATTTTATTTGAAACTTTAAATTTTTATTACCTGTATGGATGTTGGTATTATATAGATGGCCATTTGATGTCTGTAAGAGCGTTTCGTGACAAGGCTGACAATAACCATATCTTGTTGTATACTGGTATAACTATACTTCTTTGTAGTTGCTGTATGCTTATTGCTTTAGGGAGTGAAAAGCTCGACAGCAATAAACTCAAAAGCGCAACGTCTACTGACTTTGGTGACTGGTACTACCGACATGACGGAGGCTGGTGCACAATACAGCGGCTTTCTTCAAGGATGCAGCTTTAATACACAAGATTGTCAGGAAAAGTAATTTTTTTAGTTCATAATATAATGTAAAATCTTACAATTTTAACCTTTTTTTTGGATTAAAAAAATTTTTTTTTGGTATTGTGATGGTTTAAAAAATAATTTTTAATAATAATATTAATTATGTTAAGCGACTGGACTAAATTTGACAGTCAATCGATGGGGACTTGTTTCATCTTCAACTTGGCTGCTACACGTAATGTTTCCCGTGTTGGGCCGATTTACGGCCTCAGGGTTATTTTGAAGACGAATGTGTCTCAACTCTTACCAACTTCAACTAAAGGTGGTTTCAGAGTTTTGGTGCACGATCAAGGAGAATATCCGTTTCCTGATGTCTATGGAAGCGATGTTATGATCGGATCTGCTCCGTCGCTTGGGGTAACGTCATTATGATGTTTTATTTTACTATTTTTAAAATTTTGTTTGTATTGTTATCTAATGTTATATATAACTTAATATTGTCGACTTTAACTTACTTAGCCTAACTTAACTTTTAGGTATCATTCACTGACATATCTCGCCTAAGCAGTCCGTATGGCAATTGTCATTCAGACATCCCAGAAGGCTATTTGTATCCTAAGAACTACTCTACTGAAGGCTGTATGAGGTCTGAATATCAAGCACAGATGGTTGAAGTTTGTGGATGTTATGACCCAACGTACCCAGCACCTGTCAATGCTAGTACGAACATTGACAATGTGTACGAAGAGATTAATAATGCTACGTTTGCTTCTGTTGACTCGAATGAAACGACTACTGTAGCTGCTACTACTGCTTCTGGAGTGCCTGTGTGTACTATGAGTGACAGTAAGTGGTATATAAATACTTGATATGTACTTGTTAAGTATTTCAGTTTCATCCTATTTTTTGGGTCAGTCATGTTATACTAATAAGTGTTTGATGCCGTATATCTTAAATAGTATAAAAAATACTTTAGTAACCTGCTGGACAAGTCAGATAGACGCATTTACAACAACGAATTGCACTCAACCTTGTTATGAGATTGCCTATGAGACATCGTTGTCTTTTGCCATGTGGCCAAGTGGTTCAACTTCTACTATTGGTCTTTGTATGAGCGGAGACTACGGTAACGAAACTTGTTTAGAAATGTATCAAGAGAACGGAGCATTACTACAGATTTACTTTGAGTATCAAAGCTACGAGAAAATGTTGGAATCTGCTCAGTATCCGGTTGGTTTTTGGGTTAATATAGGTTAAAAAGTTTGCTTTATTCATCAATAACTTCAGTGTATATTATGTATGGACTAAGGAGCTTCAAACTAATTTTCAAGCTATGATTCACAAAACATATATATATTTTTGTTTTCAAATTAAAAACTGATTAAACGCATGTGTTAACGTAACACAACATTATATCTCACTTTACCATCTCTAAAATTAGATTCCAATGTTATGGCCAGCCGGCTGTCTGTAAACTCAATTTATAATTAATATGGGGGATGTTTCGCCCATTCCCAGCCTAAAGACCGATCCCTCCGAACATAAGACAACTCATTATGTTTGCATTTTCCTCGTCATTCCGTTTTTATCATTTCAGAAAAGTACTTTTCTCTCCAATTTCGGCGGACAATTGGGCTTGTGGCTAGGAGGGTCGATTATCATGTTGATCGAGTTTGTCTTACTTTTGCTACAGGTACGTATGCTTATTTGTTTATGACTTATTTAACAGGTTTGTATTAAGTTTGTTTGTTTTTGCCTTTTTATGTGGGGACGAGTCAAAATTTGAATTTTTTGTGGGAGAGGAGTAGGAGTGAGAAACGTAGGCCTGGACGTTGGCCTTGGGCTAAAGTTGAAACGGGTTGGGCTCTTTTCTACTTTTTTTTGTGTATCACAACCAATAAAAAAATAAAAATTTTTTTAAAACGGGTCGGACTAGGCTAGCCGGATCTAGATTTTTTTGACTGGACTGGCCGGTTCGGCCTGAGAAAAAATGAAAACCATCTGGATCTAAAAGCTGGGCTTTGGACTTGGACTCTGCTTCAAAAGTGGGCCCGGCCCGTTTTTCAACCTTAGAAGGGAAGATTTTAAAATTTCTGCATATAAATTTTTGAACAAATGGGATGAGGACTAACAGTTTTTTTAAATTTGAACTGAAACGTTAGGCCTTTAAAGAGTTTATTTGCACTGTGCTTTTGTTTGCGTTGTTATGGTCGTTCCGTGTGCTTTATTTAAAAAATTTAAAATTCTTTAATTTTAGTTTATCATTACATTCTGTGCTCCAGTTTGTGACAGATTTATTGGCTACTGATAATGATATTGGTGTAACGGAGGCTTTACTATTACTTATTATACATTACTGTGTACTTAAACATTACTGACATCTATTTTTACGTAAAATATTATCTTAAATAGCTAATTTATAAATATCGACCAAAAGACGTTTGTAGGTGTTACTATCAAAGATCAGTTTAACTTGTTATTTTAGAAGTTAAAAGTTAATTTGGTATTTACTCTTCTTTTACGTATGATATTAAAAATGTCATAAAGTGATTTCCGAATGTAATGACATTATGTAGTAGACTGTTGGGTTGTTTACATTGGTGTCGTTGTTATGTGCCGAGTCTTGATGGAAGGGACAAAAGAGTACTGTATTTTCTTACTGTAGTTTCTGTTGTGTTGTTTTTGAATGGTTTTCGTTACAATTACTGGTTGAATCACCAAAAGTTACCTGCACGAAGTTGTTGGTGTAATGGAGAAAATGTAAGTTGTTCTTATATTGTCATCTTTAGGTAAACAATAATTACGCAGAGTATTTTTAACTATTTTTCTAACTTGATTTTTAGAATATATTGATTTACTTAAAGTCGACGATACGTAAATTAAAAATGGCAAATTTTCGTTATATGATGCAAGTCATGTTGTTTTAGTTTTGTTTTACTGGCCTCGACGAATCTCTGAATCATACCATTGGCTCAGCTTTACATTGTGAAAACTATGAATATATTAGAGACTTTGGACTACTGCAGTCAGATATTGACAAAGTGTCAAATGAGTTTGGTATAATCGAAAAAGATTGGACACCAGTTTTTGTTACCTCAGCTTCTTACAATCACTTTTACGAACTCAGACAGTACGTCAATGTTATACGGGTCAATTACAAGATGTCAAAGATTGTTGTTTATGATATTGGGTTGAGCAAGTGGATGGTAATTTATTTTTTTTTCTTTTTTTCGATGGAAATTGACTATTTTATCATTTCTCAAAGTAATATTTTAGGTTGACGAGATCAAAACTTGGTGCCTAGTAGAATATCGGTACTTCAACTTTGCCAGATATCCTGAACATGTCAGTTACCTCATGAACTATGCTTTCAAGATTGTCATAGCGGATGCATTGAAGACTTACAAAAAACTTTTTTTTACACTGACACTAGTGTCAGATTCTTCAAGAATTTTCATCAGAGTATTGTACGTGATCTCAACAGAGGACTTATTCTGTCATTTATGACATTCACTTTCTCTGATCATGGCATTTATGGCGCTACTGATCCAGGTAACGTCTTTAAATTACATTGTTTTTAAATTTGTAAATTTTGGATTATTTTTAGTTAAAATGACATTAAATTCTGATTTTTGAAGACATTTTTTAGGTATGTTATCTTACATTCCAGTCCCTTCAAATCTCACAAAGTCTAAAGAATGGCAGAGCACTTTATTAGTGACCGACTCCAAATACACTCGTACTCTTCTCAAGTACTTCGTACTGTGTGCTCTGACAGAAGACTGTATCTCTCCACCGTCAGCACGATTAAAATGCAATTTTAATGTCAAAAACAAGATTACCATGGAGATGGGATGTCATAGATACGATCAAACCTTCTGGAATCTATACCAACTATCCTACATCTTCGATCCCATACAACAAGGTGCAATCAAGTTGAAATTGATCAAAGAATGGCCAGAAAAGATGGAGCAACGGGAGATCGATGAAGTCTTGACACAAATGGGATACAGATGGGTACTGTACTCAAAGTTGTTCAGGACTCGACGAAATGACGTATTTTATAGAAAAATGAGTAATACGTGTATATTAGGGTAGTAAAGTTACTTTATTAAAATCTAACATATTATTAATATACAGGGTGTCTCAAGAAATTTGCAGGATTTGAAAAATTTTTTATTCAGCGATAAAAATCGCTATAGGTACCAAATTTGGTACAGCGATAGTAGAGCAAATATATATTTTTTATAAAAAATTTTGGATTTTAAAAGTGCATTTTAAATTTTTTATGATTTTTTAAAAATAGGCATTTTTCATCAAAAATATACATATTTTTGGTTGAAAATGCTTTTTTCTCCGAAATTTGCTAGAGAATTATAAAATTTATCTATTTTCAAATGAAAAGACTGATTTTCAATGTCGGCGAAGGCTCGGCGGAGGCCGGCGGACGCGTTCAGATATCGGCGAAGGCTATAATCAAAATTGTCGTAAAATTATGAAACAAAAATTATTTCATTTGAATTTATTAAGTCTACAATTGTAGGATATAAATTTTTTATATTTTAATATTTTAAATTTAAAAAATGGACAAATGATAAATATTTATTTATTAATATTACTTATATTTTCGTCGATTGCTGAGTTGGAGCAGCGTATTAAGTTTGTAATCGATGGCATTCCACAACAAATGGTTAACGATGCTATCGATTTGTTTGTCCCTAAGCTGCGTCGTTGTATTGAGGGCGGCGGTAATAACGTAGAAATTAGATAATATCAGTAATATTAATAAATAAATTTTTATCATTTGTCCATTTTTAAATTTAAAAATATTAAAATATAAAAAATTTATATCCTACAATTGTAGACTTAATAAATTCAAATGAAATAATTTTTGTTTCATAATTTTACGACAATTTTGATTATAGCCTTCGCCGATATCTGAACGCGTCCGCCGGCCTCCGCCGAGCCTTCGCCGACATTGAAAATCAGTCTTTTCAATTGAAAATAGATAAATTTTATAATTCTCTCGCAAATTTCGGAGAAAAAAAGCATTTTCAACCAAAAATATGTGTATTTTTGGTGAAAAATGCCTATTTTTTAAAAAAATCATAAAAAATTTAAAATGCACTTTTAAAATCCAAAATTTTTTTTAAAAAATATATATTTGCTCTACTATCGCTGTACCAAATTTGGTACTTATAGCGATTTTTATCGCTGAATAAAAAATTTTTCAAATCCTGCAAATTTCTTGAGACACCCTGTATAGCTTTTCCTATAAGTACACAGTAGGGACCTCATACCCAAAGAGTACAAAGTCATAGTAGTACATTCGTATCAACATCTGCATCAAATAACGACTAGATCTGACTTCTTTCTCCAAAGCTAGTGATATAGTCTTATCTGATGTTGAGTGCTTGGTTCGACCAGAATTGACTTGATTTTGAATGAACTGGATCTGCTGGTTTGTCACATTATGTTGGCGAAAGTAATTGAATAGTTCGTTGAAGAAGCTGACCGTGCCTTCATGGGTTTTGGAGTATTTTATGATATTGTAATTGGCGAAGTGGGTAGAGAATTGACAGCGCCTAAAATTCGATTGTGCTGAACATATTTGCCAATATTTTTGAGTTTCTTATCAATGATAACCTAGACTTTGATTGTAAATCTGATAAACTGTATTTTAAAGATAATAATCTTACCAATTCTGAGGAAAGAAATGTTGATCATCGAAAGAGTTGACTCGCTCTCCAACTGAGTACCTCATCATGCGCTCGTACTCTTTCTCAATGAAGCATGTCACGTTTCCTTGACAATTGTTACAAGTATTTTTTCGTTTTTTGTAGATCTTTTCAATCAAACATTTGTCTGTGAATCCAGAAATGAACCTTTCAATAGGTTCTCGACTAACGGCCAAATGCATGTAGGCATCTCTGAACTTGCTGTAGTCTTTCATCTTTCCTATTGCTGTGGCTTCGTTTTTGTATTTGCATAACCTGAAGTATTTAAATTTTGAAACTATTAATACTATATAAAGCAAAACCGGCCTGAATTTTTTTTAGGAATAAGGGGGGTTCTTTTGAGCGCTCGAACATATTTAATCACCAAGCTCTTGTATACAACAACTGACAAGCTTATACACTCAAAGTGCTTACCGTATGTGGAAGACTTCTTTGTTAATGTTTCGTTTCTTTTTGACAAAATTGAGAGAGTCATATAGGTAACACATAATGGCAGTCAATATTGTAGACATGTTCTTCTCGATCACACAAACGTTTATTTTATGTTTGGGTGAATACTGTAACGTAATTTATGGTTATACGTAAAGTAATATATTTTAAGAAGATTTTCAAAAAACATGGCTTACCCTGTAACGTTTCTCAAATTGTTTGAAGGGCGGCACAATTTCACTTTGTCGAGATTCTGGAGACCATTTCAGTCTAGTAGCATTTTCTATGGCACGATATGTATTTTTGGTTATAATTTCTTTAGAACTGTTCATATTACTGTAAGACAGCATAACCACACAAGAAATTATTATTAACAGAAATATCTTCCAAATGTTTTGTAGTTCAATATTCGGTATACTTTGTAAAACACTTGCAAGTGTTATCATTGCAACCACTCTAATTACTAACCTATAAATTGACTTTGAGAGCCAATGGTTATGAGAGTCTACGTTACAATATAGTAGAAGGAATTTCTGTAAAAATTTGGTAGTTTAAAAGTAATTCATAATCGCCTTTACAAAGAAATAACAAGGTTAATATGTGTAGTATAACTCTAACATGTATATCAAAAAATAAAGTTAAAAAAAAGCTTGAAACTGTGTAGTGACAAAATACAACTGCTATTACTCTTTACTTTGCAGTAGATCCGCTTAATCCAATGACACCCATTTACCTGAATATGAATGAGTCACTACGTATGTTACTATGTAGTTTGTGCATTTATACCTTTTAATAATAAATTAGTATATTATATATTACATTTTGGGTAAGTTAAACTTGTAGTTGAATAAGAAACATTTATTATTATAGTAAAATAATTCAAAAAAGTCATATTTATCAATTTATATTGAGATGCAAAATTAAAGCATTGTTTAAAAAAATAATATTATTATAAACCCGTTCATCATAAGATACGTTATGATCAAAGAAACTTCTCCTTTTTGTTCATGAATTTCCACCTATCACTCCACTCGTATTCCTTACGGTCTTTAGTACTGATTACCATGCACAACGGCTCTCTGTAGCATCTGAAGCACTTCCTACCACCTGCTTTTAAATACTCGGTCATACAGTTCAGACATCCGATACAAATCTGGCATAACAAACAATAGACTGGCAGCTGTATTTCATCGATGATACATATCGTACAAGCATCTCTTATTGGACGAGCATGAAACATTCTGACTAAATCACTTCGGGTTCTGAAATTGAATTTAAACTTTAATTGTAAAAACACAAAGTAAAGTTGGGCTTTTTAAAATTAAAAAACTATTCTATAGACCATATTAAAGCTTTACCAATTTAAAAAAGACAAAACTTACTTTCTCAACGATTCTATAGTTTCATCCAGAGCTTTTTTGTCAACCACTTCTTTCTCTAGACTATTCTTCATGGATCCATAATATCCGCACAGCTTATCGGCTGTTTTTCTTACCGTTTTATGATAGGAATCTTTATTTTCTTCATTGATATCGTCAAGCATTCTGATTTGTCTTAGTTCAATAACAGTTGGCTGAGAGAAATGTAGAACTCTATCAATGTCATCTTCTTCAGGGACAGTTACCTTCTTTTCAGGGGCAGTCGTCTTCTCTTCTGTTGTAGTTATCTTCTCTTCAGGAATAGTAACCTTCTGTTCAGGAGTTGTTACCTTCTTCTCTTCAGGAGTAGTATCTTTATTACCAGATATAGGTCCTCTTTTTGTCAGTTGAGTTGCCATCTTCTTGGACTTGGATTTAGCCATTCTAAACAAAAAAAAGGATATACGAGAAGACACGCGTGTGGTAAAGCAAAAGTTCGTATAGATAAGGCACGAGCAGCTTTTACAATGGCAAAAAACAACCATCACCAACAACGCCGTGACGCAAAAATGGGTGTTACCCTCGGTGTAGACTGACACTAAAGAAACCATCGATGTAAACTTTGTTTTTGGCTAAAAAACGCTTGAAACATAGGTTCAGTCATTACTCAAAATTATTTAGGCTTACAGCTATTGCAAAAACTAAATATTTTATATTTAGTTTTTGCTTTAAAGCAGTGGTATTATTAGTACGCATATTATAAACAAATAGTGAAAATTACTTTCAAATATATCTTTAAATATTTTATCTTAGTATAAAAATAAAAGCATGATAATAAAGTAGTAACAAAAATATATAACAAACAAAGTGTAATTTAATCGAAGTGTTTCCACGTTCTTTTGTAGTCGTACTCCCCACTATCTTTTAATGAAACTATAACCCGAAGTGGTTCTCGGTGGCATCGAAGACATGTATTATAATCTTCATGTATATAGTCTTCGATGCAGTTTAAGCACCCCAAACAATGTTGACAGTAGAAGCAGTATACAGGTATTTTTATGTCATCTGACATACATATCAAGCAAGGGTCGTTGATGGGACGAGCACGAAAGTTCCTGGTAATTATAGAATGCAATCTAAAATGAGGGTTGTTTTAATGTTCAACTATGTGTATTTAGTAAACCATTTTGCCTTTTTTGTTAAAATTACTAGCTTGAAATATTACTTGACATTGAAGTGTAACATTATACTAATGTTTTTAAATAAAAATGATTAAAAACGTACCGTTTCATTAAATCAAACATTTGACGTAGATAATCTTTATCAATTACATCGTTTTCTAGATGCTCAAATGTAGAAGCAATCAAGCTGCACCATTCTGCAGCCGTGCTGGCAATAATATTTTTATAAGCATGTTCTTCATTATCGTTTTTACAGTCAAAAGCTTTGATTTTATTGACTTCAACGACACTAGGTTGACAGTACATGACTAAGCTGTCAGCCATGTTCTGATCCAGAAGAGCCAGCTTGTCCATCGGGTTGTCCATCTTACAATCAAAGATTCTTTCGTTCGAAGCAAGTAGAACGAGAAACAGATCGACAGGTTCAGTGCAAAGGAGTGAAGGCAACTAGTATTTACAGTGACCTCCTGTATAACAAAATCTTTTATAACAAAACTTTTCTATAACGACCAAGCTTAAAAGACCTGCGCGTTTAGTTATCTGGAAGTCCACTGTATTCGTTTTGCCACAAAATGCGTAGAAATTTTTGGTAAAAAAAATATAAAGGTAGAGAAAGAAAAGACTATGTTAAATGAGAGAGCGCTGACGTAACAGGTAACCTCAACAATAAAAAAGAATCCGTAACGGAATTGATTCGCTTGGAATAATACATGCGCAGCCATGTCTGGGATCTCCTGTGTCAGTATGAAGGTTTCAGCACTGGTGATGTTACACGCTTCGGTTTTCATGGCACTGGAGATGGTAAAGTACTATGTATTAGTCTGGTAGTGGTAACAAAAAACAGCGTGCCAAGGGTATTTTTCAAAGAACTATTGGTTAAGACGTGACAGTTTTATAAATAGTATAATATATATTAATGTATTTCCGTCGTCACCGATTATTATTTTGTTAGTTACTAGGAGCAATTTTAAAAGGCCAAAAACTTTCTCAAAAGTTGGCGTTCTGTGTCAAGAAAGAGTGGGTTTTGACGGTTTTTGCGGCAAAACGCTAACTTTTTGCGAGGTCGTTTTGTGTGTAATGTTTTAAATTTTAAAATTTTAACTTTAATTTTGATTGGTAACTTTTTTATATAATTTTTATTTAGTTCGTCCAGCTCTGGTTTTTTTATTCTTTAAAATTAATTTTAAGCTTGGACTTTGCATGGTTATTTAAATTTAAATATATTTTTGAAACTCATCCAAGCCGAGTAAATGCGGGTGCAAAAAATTTGTTTAGCAATTAATAATTTTCTATTTGGACTCTGTTATTATCTTAAATATAATTTTTTCTGAATAACATAGTGACTATGCTAATATAGTAATTGGAAACACATGGTAGTTCTAACATGTAGTGGTAAGATTTCTGACTTCAGCTAGCTTTTGTTAAATGTGTATTCGACAGATTTTTATCGAAAAAATTTGAAATTAAATTTGTGTAGCATTCAAAATCCGTTAAAAAATCTGTGCTTGTTCAGCACTTCTCTCGTTTCATATAAAAATGGCAACACAAACCTTTCGCGGCCCGCAAACTCGCGGGCGCACATCTTTCATTTTTCGAAGTTTTATTTTCGGCGAAATTTTATTTGAAACGAAACAGAAGAGCAAGTCGCAGGGCTTCAAAGTGACGACAAAATGACACTCTTTGACGGCCTTTGGCTGGTGTGTCATTTTGGGTGGTATCGACGTAAAACTGAAAAGGACTTTTAACTAGAATTCTCGCTTTTCAATTGTAAGTGCCAAAGACTTACTATTCGTCTTATAATTACGATATCTAAATGGTTCGCAATAATGATTGGAGTCGACAGTTTGTAAAGAAAGTTAACGTAAAGGGTAGAGTACAATGTACATTCTGTAACAAACAAGTCTCGGACTCTGCCACACGAATCAAATCACATTTGAAAGTAAGTTGTGGATGTGTACAACTGTACTCATTTCTTCAGATAATATTTTTTTTATTGTAAATATTTGTTTATTATTTAAAAGGCCGGTATAAAAACCGTGTTTTGCCACTTAAAATTAAGCTTTAAGTTTTTTTTGAGATTAAGTGAATATGTTGTGGTCATTGAAGAATGTTACAGGTGTGTAAAGTGGCGCCTGACAGTGTTCGTGAGCTGATAAAGAAGTACTTCAAAGAATATGAAAGTCGGAAAACCTTACCATTATGTGATTTATCTTTGGCTCGAACAGCTAAAACAGATAAAAGACAACGGATAAAGGTGGAAGATGTAAACCCGGATCATACTCAACAGGTAAGGTAATGTTTTTGACTGATAATTAACGTATTAGCTGTTGATGTGTAGAAGAACGTAAGAGATATAAAAACCGGTTGAACATATTTTCAATGTTTTTAAAAGGCTTTTAAAAAGAAAATATAATTATGTTTTAGTGTGAAGAATCTAACGTAGAAGAACCAGTAATGCCTCTTGTGGCGACAGTTCTGGCAGAATATGATCAGCAAATGAGTTCTGAGGCAATGTCTTTCCCAGGAATATCAGAATCCGATGATAATTATGACCCAGCGTTTGGAGACATTTTACAAGCACAAATACAGCAGGTATAGCAAACAATTTTATATACTGAAGGCTTTTTTTAATTTCTGTACAAAACACAATTCGAACTTTCTTTTGGATTTTCGAAAAAACATTTATTGGGTTTTGGCGTGAAGGAAAGGTCAGAAAAAGATAGAAATCACTTTATTTGTAGTTCTTCTTTTATGTTAACATTTAATTTTATTCTTTATTTTTATTTTTTTGTTTTATTTTAGTAAAATAACTGTCAAACTTTTAAATCTGTACGGTTAACTTTATGAATTTGCAATTTTTGGTTACGTTTTATGCCTAAATTTCCTAAATTTTATGTTTATACCTACTTTAGCTGTTGGACAATAAGAACATGTCTGAATATGGTGAAAGTGATCCAGAAATCTTGGAAAAGTTAATTTCTCACTTCAAAGCTTTGGGAGATCCGAAGAACAAAAGATTCAATCGAGTTGCTGGAAAGGTATGTTATTTATCTTTTGTCTTGCTTTTAGGTGTAAAATGTAGCCACGTCTTTTTCTAAATTTATTATTTTTGGTCAAGAAAGAAAGAGTGTTTTGATTAAACTAGAACTAGTTTATTGGAGAATGTTAATTAACATAATATTGAACTTTGTTGTAAATAAAAACGTACTTTAGTTAAGAAAAATTGTTTTTAGGTAATTCCAGTATTTGCAACGCGAGAAAAGGCAATTTATCACCTAACATTGGAAGAAGAACATCTAAACTCAAAAGGATCTCTTCATGGAGGACAAACTGCCGCTTTGGTTGATATTCTAACAGCCAGGGCTGTAGGAGTGCCAAAGGGAGATGCTGAAGCAAGTGGTACTGTTTCTGTGGAGCTGTCTGTTAGGTAAGGGTTAATTTCGGTCATTAGAATAAATAATATTATATAAAAACTTTTAAAAAGTTAATTTTAAGGTTAGTTTGTTGATGATGGGTGTAATAAATAAAATTCTTTTAATTTTAGTTACATGAGAGCGTCAAAACAAGGTGATTTGTTGGAAATAGAAGCCCGTGTTGTTAAAGCTGGAGCCAGGGTAGCATTCACAACGATCGAGTTTAGAAAGCGCTCGGACAAGTCGGTGATAGCTAATGGGAAACATACTGTAATGTTTACTAATCCTCCTGAACGAAAAGCATAAGTTTATATAGGTATTTATTCTATTAATGTCTCAATTGTATAAATGTGACTTTTAGTTTGTTAATAGAAATATTAAAAACAATTATCTCTCTCTATTATTATTAAAGATGCAGTTTTAAACTACTGTGATACTACCTGTTGTTTTGATATAATTTTAGATGAAGTTTTATTGAGTAGTATATACAAAAGCTTGATCGTTTATATTGTTGCAATTTCATGAAACTATTTTGAATTTTGTTGAGATTTCCCGTGGCATCGAATTTGAAAAGTGACTATTCTATACGAACTGTAAGATTATATGTAGCTACATATAACTTAAGGTATTTTACATGTAATCCATGAAGGCTAACATCAGGTTATGTCGGTTTCTGAAAGTGGGTTGTAAAAATAAATTTTGTAACCTAAATTTTATACATTTGAATATTTTGTTAATGTTATCTTTAAAATTGTTGATTATGTCGGCGTCGAAAAAATAATTTAGTATGGTTATAGTATAGTAAAACTTAAAATATTGAAGCAACATACTTTTTGTACCAATAGTAAGCAAACTGTAGCAGCAAAGGCCATATGAACATGAGAATCCAAACTCCGAAAGGTAGATTTGAAGATAATTTTGAATTTTGTTTGCTTGCAATTACACTCTTGACCATCTTTTGCATTAGTCGTAGCTGAAGTGAGTTGTTGAATTCAATGTCACGAAGTTGGGTTTGCATGGCTTGGACCGTTTTTTCGATTTGAAACAGCATTGGATAGGAGTACGAGTCCTGGAAATCGATTTTGTGCATAGATTACTTTATAGTTCGTATTATTTATATTACTTTATGGGTACTATAAATGGGAGATGTGTGCTAATCGTAGCCAAACAGCTAAAGATGTTATAATGATCTTACCATATGGTTGACCACCCTCCAACCGGGCATTTCATTGGATCCGTGACTGTTCAGACTCTCGTCAGACTTGTTTTCACCTTTGGTTCGTCTTCGCTTGGAGCTTTGAGTTCCACGGCGACTTCTGGCTACAAAAACTTGCACTATTAAATGTTTACAGTAAGACCACACTCTGTGTTGTGGTAGAGAAATGTTAATGGTGGTTTTTGTTGTTATTGGGTACAATTTGTCATAAGATAAAGAAAGGCTTATGATATATATGTATATCTAAGTGGCAGGAAAAGTTAAGGTAGGGTAAGGGAGGTTGAGTCAGTAAAGTTAAAAATAAACGTAATATTAGGTTGTTCACATAATTCTGAGCCTATCTCAAAGAAAATTTTTTGGGATTAGGGGCGCAGAATTATTTGAAACCTAATAAAAAAAGGATTTTTTGAAAGAGCAGTAAGTAGATAGTACACTAGACTTACGGCTTAACTTTTCAATGCTAGAGTTGTCACTGCTGGATGTTTTGACAACTTGACCCATGGTTGGGACCATACTCACTTTACGTGAGGTTGATGGCCTGCAAAACCTTTATTTATTATGTTACTTGTGTTTCGTGAGTAATATTATAATTTAAAGGAAGCTGTTTCTAAATGAACTTTCAAAATTTGGGGTAAAGAACATAGAGAATGATAATTTTTGACTTTTAAAAAATAAAATATTGAAAAAGTATTTTTTAACTTTAAAAAGCATTTTTAAATGCATTTTCAAACTTTATTTTTGTTTACGCTTCCTATCATATATAATATATTAAAAGTGATATTTATGACTAATCACAGAACACTACACTTTACTGTGTTTTTCTAAACTTCCAAAACCAATGTTACAACTTACTTGTCTTCCGCCTTCTCCACCGCCAAGGTTACCACTTTCTCTTTCAGGTGTTTCTCGGCGTCTCTGACCATCGAGTGTAACTCTTCATCTGAATATTCGGCTGCGTCTTCGTAGTAACTCATTTCGGCAATATCGTCCAAAACGTTCAGATCCGCGATTATGTCACGGTTTGTCATTAACTGTTGTTCATTTAAGTCGATTCAAAGGTTTTGAGAGGATCTGAAGGGTATGAATAATATTTGGGATTTGTATATGTTTGGGTAAAATACAGTAGATAATAGGCTATGCAAGGTAAATAATGAGCTATAAGTTAAATAAAGGGCTATACAAAGTAAATCAGATGTGATGTTAGAGTTATTTTACTGTATATATATAGTAAGCATGAACTGCGGTGGACATATCTTTTGTAAAATACGAAAAATAATACTACTGTAAGTTACCTTGATTAAAAAGGTAACTTACCGTAGTATTAACTAAAATAAAACCAAAATGAGCATCAAGATTTGAACAATACAATTTAAATTTTTCAAAAATTTAAATTTTGTGCAATTTTATTTTTTGTTTTAGAAACATTTGGAAACTCAAAACAGATAATTACAGTAAAACTTCGGCATAACAAACTCTACTGTAACCCAAATCTCGTATAACAAAAAAATTTAAAACTTCAGAGCGATTTGTTATACACGAGTTTTTTCTACTGTATAGAGAAAACGCGTGATAAAAGCCTTAGTCTTTTATTTCGATAAAACCTCAATAATTTCGTTTTATTAATCTTCCAAATTAACACTTTTAAAACCCGAAATAACACTTAAAATTTAACCAAAATGTACTGTTTTAAACCCTAAAAAACAGCTGAACGCGCCAGCAAATAACTCTTCAAAAATATCGATAAAACCCCAATCGAAACCCCTGAGGCGCCTCACAGATCGATCGAGTTTTAACATCTTGAGAAAGAGAAATAAAGTCGCGACTAGAGAACGTGTAGCAACCTTATTGATGTAGACCTTATACGACGCTTTTAATGGAATTACGTTGTTTTGAAAAGAAGTGTCTGGTAGTTGTGGTAAGGTGTGTTTATTCTACTGATGTAAAGGTTTTCAGTGAGAATCGACTAATCGAAACACTGTCGTCGTATGTTCCCAGAAGTTTTTAAAGAGGAATTAGTGGAAATGTACGCAAGTAAAAAGTTGGAAAAAGTGACTTTTTGAATAAAACAAATACGGTAGACATAAAATTAATTTTATAAACAAGCTATTTTTTTATAGTTATAAATAACTTTATTAGTGATTGAGGGTAGTGCTAGGTGCACGTGAACTATGGCAAATTGGTTTCTTGGCCTTCGCGGGCTTCTGCCTACGGCCTGAAGTCTTGAGGAGCATCTCATCAGACTTGGTAGTTTGAGAAACAGGATCGTCTCGATGGGGCACAATTGAGAATAGCTACACTGGATTACTCTGATGTGATGAATGTTACTATAACAACCAATTGCGCAGCTTGTGGCATTGATTATCGGTACTATGAATGATTTGTAATCTACTTATAAGCTACATTGAAGTGAAAGATTTTTTTGAAACAAAAGTACTGTAGTTTATAATTACGGTAATACTCATTAAAACCTTTTCAATCATCATATAATTGTTTTCTACTAAAAGTTACTTGATAAAATTGCTATACTGTAGTAACCTTTATCTCCCATCCACATTCCTTGACCATTAACTGAAGAAGCAACGAGGAAGAGAGGCTGAAGACCTCGTTTTTCAAGGCTTATCAACTAAAATCTCCGAATAAAACAAAATACAAATTGTGAATGCCACGACACAAATAAAAATATTCGAAATGCGCGATAATCTGCCTCAACAACCAAAACTCGACGATTTTCATGTTTTTTGAGTTGGTGGAGGCAATCAATAAATGATGTTATGTTATAACTTTCTATTTTTGTCTTGTTTTCATAGCCTTTATAGTTTTACAGTATGTTGTACAATACATAAAAAAGTTTTCTGTATAGTGGTATAGTTTTTTATGTTACAGTACTTTGTTATATATCTATTACTAAAGTTATCTTAAAATTAAAAAAATATTAGTAAGCTTAAAAAATGCCATCTTAATATGCGCTTTCCCGGTATAAATCATTCTCACAACATAGACTTTGTAAAGAATATATTATTCATCAAAACTAATGGTCCGGCAGACTGACCGGTAGAAAGTTACAAAACAAAAGAATGACCTCTCTCGTTCTCGGGTTGGTTGAGGTCAAGAATATCATTTACACATTCAGAGACTAAACTGTTTTTAGTTTTGTGGTAAAGATACTCAAAACTTTGAACTATGTTATAGTAGAGAAGGGTAAAACTTTATACCTTAATATTAATAATGATTTCTTAATTATTTATACTATAATTTCTTAAGTTTTAAATCTTTTTTTAAGTAAAAGTGCACTGTTACTCATCCCAATGTTTGTTTGCCATTTTAGTAACACCATTCATTTTAATCAGCCCTATCACCTTTCCATTATGAGCTATATCACTTAATTATCCTTTGAGAATTTGCACCGAAACATGTCGCGTGGATCGCGTCAGCTGTCAAATATTGGGTTAGAACGAGGTTTGTAAATGAAAATGGCTCATTTTTTAGAAATTACTTATTTTTCATGTCTTCAGGCCAAAAGTTCTTTACGTGAGGAAAGGGCAGGGGTTTTGGGTGTATATCATTGTAAAATGTCATTTTTATGAGATGTTGGTAACAAAACGTGTACAAAGTTAATTTTGTGTTGTTCAGTATAAAATAGGCATCACACTGATTGGCAAAGTCTACCCACTGATTGCTAATTGTTGCTTTGTGTGTAAATAAGGCTTGAAAAGGTAGTTCCCTATAACTTTATGTTAGTTTTACAATTTTTTAACCGTATTTTAAATCTCTAAAGTGTTTGAAAGATTGATTTTGTGACAAATCATGGCAACTTTATAAAGTTAAAAGTGCTACTTGATAAGCTATAAACTTTTAATTATTTGACACATTGTCAATCTTTTCTGTTGACAACAAGCTCAAAGTGCTTGGGGCCAAAACTGAAAAACAATTGGATTGATTTCTTTTTGGTTTTCTTATTATTAAAAGTATGTCATCACTCTTTGTTTCTTTGCTTAACAAGTCTAAATCAACTGATTATAGTGTATAAAGAAAAAATTATAGTCATCTTATCTTATTGCGTTTATATACTGCTATTATACCTAGTTATAGTTCAGAATATTTTGTAATTTTTTATCTTTTTTAACATTTTTGATACTTTTAATCAAGAATAACTGTCATAATTAAGACTGACAATGTTATTTTTTCAATTATTTATAAAATTACCGAAATTAACGTTGTAAAAACAAATGTTATGCAATTAGGTGGATCTCCTGGATTAGTCTACTTTCTTGTTGATCGAATTTTAATCAAATTAAGATAAATAGAATAGGTTATCACTAAACGAAAGAGCTTGGAAGTGGTTGAGGGATTAGTAGAGGTAATTTTACTGCGCGGTTTTTTGTAAACTTACTTTTTTATAATTTTAAACTGAAAACTATTTTAAATTCATTTTTCATATAATTTTTTTAAAATATAAAAACAGACTAGAGCAAGCAATTATAATATAGTATAATCACATAAGTAATATCCTATTGGTCATTCTTTCTTGAGAACACATCTGTTTTCAATTACAATATATATTTTGAAAAAACCTTCTAAAGTAGCCCTTCTTTTTGTTTTTAAAATATTTTTACCTTTTCCCCTACTCCCCCCCCATTCACCACAAAAATTGAAAACGATTTCATCCTTTTTAGTAAAACCTAGCTTTCAAATTACAATAACCAAAGAGATTGAAACCAATCGTTTTTCTTAAAAGAAAGTCTTAATTTATCCAAAAAACAACGCTATGGGTTAGTGGAAATGGCAGACGCGTTTTATTGCCGCGATTTGAATATGACGAACAGTGGGGATTTACACTCTTCTTTTACTGTTTCTTTCAATATATATTTATGTTTGCCAATCTGCGCGATACGAGTTGGGAAGGTGCCATTAGACAAAGGTAAACTATATGTTTTACTTTAATTAGTGTGTTTAACTTTAGCCGGTGTGTTGAATACGATACTCCAGATGCCTTTGTTTTTTTATTTTGGGTTAGATGAATAATATGACTGGTCATATTATACTTTATTGTACGATAGATAAAGCTTTACACATCTTTTTTCTATATTCAATAATGACCATTGCGTAATGGTCATTAAAGAGCATTAATGATTGATGGGGCTTTCCGGTTTGATACAGAAGTCAGGTTTATTATAATATAGTTTACTTTTGTATATCATTAAAGGTTTTACTATAGTTCTTGAGGTTTTTAATAAGATTTAAAAATTACGGGTTGAATTCCTGCCGAATTGGCATTGTGTTTCAAGCTTATAACTTAGTTATTTTTTGGCTTTTAATGATTTTTTTGATCTACCAGTTGAAAACCTTTAAATTAACCTAAATTTTTAAATTTGCAAGCTTACTTTGTAAAAGGGTTTGCAACACAATGCCAAATTGGCGCGAACCATGTATTTTAATTTTAAAACTCAAAAGCGCGAAAAATTGTTTTTTTGTGGTTACTATTGGTACTACAAAGAAAAAAAATTTTAAGCCGATTCTAAGCGAGGCAGGTTAGATACTTTCCTTGCAAATTTTTAAAAATTATTCAAATTCAAAAAAGTTCGAAAACGTATGTTATACCAGAGATTTCACTTTTCACGCCGCATTTCACTTAATTTCGACAGTTTATGTAAAATTCGAAGGCGACGGATCGAAGCGTGAATAAATATTTATTCAGAATCTTGATCGCCGAAGTGATCCAACTTCTTTCATTATATTCTTTTTGTATCATCGTTTTACGAATAATTGCCGTTGGCGCCTCGGTTCATGTTTCATTTTGCTTTTATGTTTTTGTAAGACGTAAATTGTGTGGGTATAGGCATAATGTAGAGGTTGTTGCTTTGCAGTTTAGTTTTGGTTTATGTTGACTAGTAGGCGGTTGTTTTATCTTACAAGATGTTCTATATATTATAAAAAGATCTTTTTTTTGGATTTTTGATCTATTTATCAAAAATTGTGAGAACTATGATATCTTTAAAGTCACTAATTTAACTCAACATAACACTAGCTTGAACTCCGCAATCAAAGCCTTAAACTTAAATTTATGGCGTTAGAATATGTGATAGCGATAGGAGATAACTAGATCTGACACCAGCTAAACGTTTCTCCGTATAAAGCTTTGTATTTAAAATTTTTGCGTGTTGTTTAATACAATATTTTTAGTTTTAAGTGCGTTTTTTTTCAAGACTTGCTTTTTGTTGGTTTTTACTCTTCCTTTGCTTTTTTATTATTAAAACGTATTTTAAAACAATGTAAATTTACTGTGCTTACTAGTATGATCAAAGTATTTTGTAACAACATTTATTATAAATTATATTTTCAGCGTAAATTATCTTTCAATACACTTTCAGATGCCCAAATAAGAATGAGTAACAGTCCACTGAACTCGCCTTCATCGTACAATAGTTTGACACGATCGGCCAGCTCTCTTATTGGAACGTTGCCACGGAATGTGCCGGCCAAAAGTTTTGGCACAGCGAATTATATGTTGAAAGAAGAATACGAGCGTGACAGAATCAGATGGCAACAGAAGTTGGACGAAGCTGAAGCCAAACTAGCCGAAGCGTCGGTTCAGAATACAGAATTGAGTCAGGTCAAGGCTCAGCTGGTAAGTCATAATTTAAAAATAAAAAAAGTAAAAAGATGATGAGCAGGAAATTGTGAATTTTATATTGGCCGCAGGGAAAGGGAAATGAAAAAAAATTTTAATTGGTTTTTTTTTAATCAAAATGAAGATTCTTGCCAAATTTATGACAAAATTATATAAAGCTTTGCTTTTTTACAGAACAAGAAGATAATTGACATAGAGAAGAATCAAAAACCATTGATTGAGTACAATAAAAGATTGGCTGAAAGGAATAAAACAGTGACAGAACAGTGCAAAGAACTAGAAGATAATATTGCCTTTGTACGAGATGAGAACTTGACGTTGGTAAGGATTACTCGGTAACTTTATAGCAAAAACTGCTTTTTCCAGTAGATTTTATTTTCTATACTACCTAGTCAAGATTAAATTTTCGGTAGATGTTAAAAATATCTATCGAAACAGATATATCGACTATTATCGGCCGGAAATATCGTATTGCTCAATTTTTTTTGTTTTTTTTATATTTTTGCCGATATTTTGGCGATATTTTTGCGAAATATTGCTTTTGTTGTGGGACTATCTTATATCATCAAAATCGATCAAAAAAAATGTAATTATCAAGTCTTTATCTAAATCGTTTTTTTTTGTTTAGAATGGCCCTACAACACATAATGATTTTGTAATAATATTTTTAGAAAGACGCTTACGACCGTTTGGCCAAAGACAATTCAGCTTTGAAAGAGCAACGTGCTTTTCCAGAACGTTTAGAAGAGTTGGAACGGTACAGAACTCAAGTTTTAGAGCTTTCAAAATGCATTACTGCATTAAGGGCCTCGATTCAAGTAGGTTTACATTGTTTGTCTAACCTTAAAATTAATTTTTTATTTGTTTTTGTTATGTTTACTAATATTTTATGTAGATTTTAAGCAGTTATATTAAATAAGGTAAAGTTTTTTAATTAACGTTTTATATGTTACTTTATAAGGGCTAAAATGATAAACTTTACATGTGTAACAACACTTTTTATATTATAATACTTGTTTGTCCGTTAGAGTGAAGTGTTTTAGGAACGCGACCGACGTCATGAGCTTCTGATTCTAAAGTTTAAGAAGATCAAGAAGTCGTTGGCTGCTCGACGTGAGAATGAAGATGACAGATTTAGTTGTATTGGATCGGAGGCTTCTACTGGCTCTACAATTGCGCTGGACACAATTGCCGAGGATCTGGATGAGGTTAGTAGATTATTAAATATTTTATTTACTTTAAAATTAAGTTTTTTAAATTAAAAGGGCTCTCAAAGGTGATATTTAAAAACATATTATTATAGTTTTAAAAACTTTTAAATTTAGTTCAACTTTTTATAAAAAAAGTTTAAATCTCAGTTTTGGCGCCAAAACAAGCCTACTTTCTAACCAAAAATGTATCATTCAAACCCAAATTTATTGAAAAAACACCTCGTAAATAAGTTTTAAGTGAGGAATTGCCTTGTAAATGAGAAAAGTAACTAATTTGAGACAACAAAGCCATTCAGCCGCGAACCTCCAGCTGATCTCGGCCCGTCCTTGAAAAGTCATCGCGAATTTAAAAAAAGGTGCCAAAGTGCAGTGAACGGAATGAAAAGTTTTAAAATGTTTTCGGGGGAAAGAAACGTTGGCATTGTTCATTAATGTAGTACAGCAAGGTGGTATTAGCATTATGTTTTCATAACTTGTAGCTTAAGGCGGGGGTGAAGTGTAAGTGAACTTTTCTGGGGAGTGAAGGATGGCAAAAGGCCAAATTTTTTTAACTAAGGTGGTACCTTTATTTTTTACATATTGAATACCTGATGTTGCCTGTACTATAATGTAAAGTTATGTTACGCAAAGCGGAGTTTTATGCGTAAGAACGTTGAGTGCTAGTGCTGATCGTTATCGGCACGTTTCTTGTGAGTCATTGTTATTCTAAAACTTGAGCGTGAAACCTTGTTATGTGATTTTGAATTATCGTATAGGCCGTTTTTGCTTGATAACTAAAATTTTTTTTTATTTTAAAAATTTTACGTTAAGGTATAGTGCTTTTTTTACTCGAATGTAAAGTTAGTATCAGTATACTTATTTTTAGCATATAATAACTCTTTTGCACAACTAGCTTTACAGAGTATATGCATTTATAGCCATAGAATAATAAGTACAGGCTTCCTGTATTATAATAAATATGTTAGTTATAAAAATATTTTTAAAACAAGGTCTTTTCTATCTATAAACAAGATACGACTGACGTTAATTGTTGTTCTTACTTACAGATATAATTATACTCTAATTTTGAGATTACACTCTATAATGGGTTGTAATTGAGTATGGCAAACGTTTTTTGGGGAGTTTAGATGGTTTTGACAGCTTTGTTATTTTAATACTTAAAATTTATTTTTACTACAATAATATTGGATTATCCATTTAATTCTGTGCCCTATGTCATAGAAAATAGTCTTTTTTTATGGCGGTGTGTAAGATCGTAAAATAGTTTTGAAAATCTATGCCAGTTTTTTAAAATTAAAGTTTACGTGTCTATAATCGACCGTATAGGTAATTTCGTAGTAAAGTTAACATGCAAAGGTCAGTAAAAAAAACTTTTAATGAGTAAAACGTTTTACCTGGGGAATTTTGGAGATTGACCACAAATGGACATGTTATATTTGAAAAGAAACATAATTGTCTATTTCCGTTTACAACGTTCCAAATATAGGTCTTTGGTGCATAAAACATGGGCTGTTTGAGGTTGAATAGGAAGGGTGTTACAAGGGTATTACTTATATGTTAATCTTTGTAAAAACGTATTTATATATAACAAGAAATGATAGAAATTGTGTCGTATTTTACATTTTTTACAATTTTTTACTTTTTTACGTTTTATAAATGCCGAATACGTCTTTTATAGCACAATATCTTTAATGTTATTGACTTGTACAATACTATCCGCGTGCCTTCATTAGTAACTATTAAAAGCGTTTTAGTAATGTTAAAGCCTACTCGAATACCGACCATTATCCCCAGGGTAAGCTTTATATTTTATGGTTATTCAAGTAAAGGTTGTAATCTTGCTTGACTCAGTATTTTGAAAAAGCCTCAGGCAATTTATAGGCTATGTTTCGTAAAATTTACTATATGCCGCGAAGGGTCAGGTTTTTGGAGGTAGGTACAGTAGTATAACTTTCGGGTACAATAGTATTATTGAGTTTTTCAAATAAACCTGTGCCCTCTCTCAAAGCAAATTTTTGGAAGTAGGGGCACATAATCATTTGAACAATCTAATCCTTGGTGCTGTACTACGTTTGTGGTACCAAAAGATGCTTGGAGATTAAAAAACTACAGTAATTTTAAAACTTTAATGTAAACACCTTCATCTTTATATAGTTTTCCTCATCCCCAGTAGTAAAATGACTTTTCAAACCCAATAAAAAATAAAAAGCAGTGTTTTTACCGTGTGAACGCCCTAAATCATAACCGTATTACAATCATATCACTGATAAAACAAAAGAAATTGTTCGCTTGTTAGTAATCGACAACATCTTTTTGCGCGAAAAATGACTTTTTCAATCAAAAAGTGAGTGGGGCAGTGTAATACCCGTAATTGGGGGTTCAGAAAACAGTTAAAATGGCATTAATCGGCTTTCACGGGCATCGGGGGTGGATAAATATTTTCGTTAGATCTGTTTGTGGTTGATCTTGTGCGTTTAGGTGGGGAATTGAGGTTTTTAGGGCTGGAGGGGGGGGGGAGGTTAAGATTTAAACTTCAAAGAAAAAAAAATTGAAAAAGTGATGTTTTTACTGGGGCTAATCTTTCAGAAAACTAAAAAAATATAAAAAAAATTTTAAAATTTTTAGTTTGTAAGAATGATGTAGGTATTGTTATTGACAAAAAATATTTTCGTTGTACCCTTAATGCTCTTAGCCTCTGTTTCAATTGCTTATAGCATGACCTCTGAACGTCAAAACCAAAAGAAATCGCATTCAGAAGGCGGATTAATGTCACCTTTTCGTTTTTGATGTAAACGTTTCCCTTTCCATCGGATGAAGAGCGTTCGTATCTTGAGAGATTCGGATATTATTTTAATTGGCAGTTCATTTTGTTTTGTTATTGTATACACAACGCAGTATACGACATTGTGTATAATATTGTAGGGTGAAAGGTTATTTATAGCTGCAGTAAACAAGTGACGAGAGTTATTGCAGGGTTTTGCAGTATAATTAGGAGAGTGGGGTATTAATGAGGTTGATATGATAATTTTTGGTTGTTTTTGCAAGGGAGAGGTATATAGCAGTACAAATGCATAGGCAATAGCATAAACATATAAATGGATTTAAATTTAATTTTAAATTTTAAAAGTTAGATTTTTTTGATTTTTTAAAACTTTATTATTATATAATTCAAAAATAAGGAGTTTTTATTGCAGGACCCATCCTTGTTGAGTGCTGATACTCCACAAGTTGTACTGGACCAGTTGGATCTAGTGCAAAATCAAATTTCAGAACTTCGAGGTGTTTTACTGCCAGACGTGGTAAGCTTTTATCAATGACATTTTTACTGTTTTTAAGTCATAAAGCTGTCATTACTGTACCTTTGAAAAAAATTTTGACTTTATACGTTTTACTTTTCACGTTTTCTTTGTTGAACATATTTTTAAATAATACAGTCTATTTCTCTTCGTATTTTACATCTCTCTTTCAGCCAGAAGTGACCCACGAGATAATGCTAACAAAGGCGGCGAGGATGAAGGAAGAACACAAGAATCTGCAAGAGAAGGTGTATATGTTGGAGTTGGAGTTGGCTAACGCGCGTGACACTAACGAATTGTTGGAATTTCAGTTGGTTGAATTGAGCAGTGTCAAGGTTAACATTCGTTTTGTTTTTTGTGGATGTTTTGTCACGTATCATTTGTATCGTCGGCTGTGTTACTGTATTTTTAACTTTATTTTTTTTATTTAGTGTATTTGGATATGTGAATTTTTTTTAAATTTTGCGACGAAATTTAATTTTTTTATTTTACTGTCAGAAAGGTATTAAAATTTAAAGTTTAACTTTTAGAATCCACCAGTATGTCAAGACAAGTCAATAGAAACAGATGAATACAATGATGAAGGCCTTGAAGTCACAGAGTTGGAGCCCAGATTAAACTTTGTAAGTGAATATGATTTATTTGGCTTTGGATGACAATTAGAGCTATAAGAATGTATGCTTATTAATTTTTGATCAGTTTTATCAATTGTAATATTGTAAATTTTATTTTACAGGACGACGACTTTGTTTCACGTACTAAAACTTCACTACGAAGGTTAGAGCGATTGTTTGCTCTTAATCTGCCTCAAAAGGAAATCATTCACCACGGTGTTTCATGCATATCAGGACTTGAACATGTAAGTACGCGAGCTGTAATTGCTATAATTAGTCCATAGTGTTGATAGTAGGTGTTATATAAAGCATGATATTGATAAGTTGTAACTTCCCAAATTATTATGAATAATTTCTTTACATTGCTATCTTTAAATCCAAATGAACAAGAGATTTAGTAAGAAAAATTGTAACATTTTATTTTAGAAGTTATCTTTTGCCCAAAACCAATTAAACATGAACGGCTGTGAACTGAGCCGTTTGAAAAAGTTGTACGAAGAACAAATGGCAGATCTTCAACGCCAAGTCGACTCATCGGCCGAAACCTCATCTCAGAAGAAGAAAGAACTCAAGAACACAATTGAAGAGTTGAGGGATGAAAGGATCGTAGTTCAAAAAGAATGTGAAGAACTCAGAAAACTGAATGAAGAACAAATGTCAAAACTAGACGAATTAAACAAAAAGATCGAAGAAAGCAACAAATTCATCGATGAACTAAAACAAGATCTGGCAGAGGAAAGCCAGTCCAAGACCGAGATCATTCAACAGCTTCAGGAGACTCGACAGGCGGCTGAGAAGCTGCGAAGCCAAGTGGATATGCTTCATGATAAGGAAAATAAGTTATTTGTTATGGAAAGAAATGTCAAAAACCTGGAAGATACGAATGTTGATCTCGAGAAGAGGTTTGACAAAGAGTTGATGTTAAGAAACTCTTTGGAATTGAAGAATCAGCAGCTGATTAGGGAGTTGGAGGCAGCCAGGAAGGAGATCGAGCGGCTACAGGGAGAGATTCGACCTATCGGGTACGTGCTTAAACTTCAAAATTTTTTAAAATTTTATTATGCGTGTATTTTTTAAAATTAAAAAAAAATTAATATTTTTTTTGTCAATTTGATCAAAGTTGGCTATATTAGAGTAGAGATCACAATATCTTCAAAACAATGATATCACAAAATGCTGTAATCGCTCAAAAATGTTAATTGTCTAAGCGAGATTATTCATTAATCTTATTAATTATTCAATTAATTTCATAATTTTGAGGGGCCAACTTGAAAAATGAGTATTTAATGTCGTCTACTATAACATACTTTACATTCTTTTTAATTTACTTTACTTTTAAACAGCTTACTATATAATAACTTTTTAACTAAAACGCAGTCTTTCCTCTACGTTATTTTACACAAACTGATAATGCTTTCTTCTTTTAGCACGGTACTCGTGGAGCAATCCGTACTGTAAATGCTTTCACTTAAGTTTAACGTGTGTACTAACTCTTGAGACATTCTAATCTTTCTTACCTAATTAAAAAGATTTTTTTGAATGTTAAAAAGTTTGTTTACTATTATTTTGCCATACTTTCTTTACTTAAAGATATATATACTAATACATACGCCATTATTTTAGTACTAATGACCAGTATAGGCTTTTTAATGACTAATATAAAAACAAACTTAGTGTTACTTTACTAATATTCTACTTCATTACCTTCATTACTAATCATATAAATGACCAGCAAACCTGTATATATAGTGTAGATATTACCCTATGTAGATATTACCCACACTCCCATAAACATTCCCTTGTAGAAGTCAGTTGGAGCGTCGATACGAAGAGTCTCGCTACCGTTTGGCCGAAGCTTTGAAGATGATCGAAAAGCTGGAATCTCAAGTATCATCATCGAATCAAGTGATTGCAGAGATGAAGAAGGCTGATGGTAACGGAGAGAAGATGGCACGAGAAATAGTGCAACTGAAGAGATATAATGATGAGCTGAGTGCTCAGTTCAACACTCAGATGGACTTGATCAGCGAGTTGAAGAAGAGGTTCTTGATTGTGTCACAGAAGGTGAAGTTCAATATTTGAATTTGTAAAATACGGTCGTGGCAAAATATATTATAAAATATTGTTTTTACAAAAAATATAGTATTGATAGGGAAAAAAAGATTTACAATACTTATTTCTTTTTGACAATATTGTTTTAGACGCAAGGAAAGAGTGAGTCCAACGAAAGCATCAGCTGGACATCTAAGAGTTCCTCTATGGACGATGAACAATATCATTCGGAAGAAGGCGGCTCCGAGAAGAGCCATCAACTTCATCACGGATCTATTTAACAGATATTTGCATTTAATGCCAAAACTGTACAAACCTATTTCCAATAAATTAACTTTAATATCAGCTCATGAATATTACTGAATTTAGCTTAAAGCTGGGTTAAAGTATCATCATAGTGCTAAAAGGTTAGTTATTATACTTCATTATTATTACTATTATAAATATGTTATGGATGATAATGAAGTCTCTTAGCCCGATCCATATCAATTAGCTGAACTGTTCGATTCCTGTATTCGATCAACCTCTCTAACTGATCTGGTGGATACATTCTTTTGTAAAATGGTAGATTCAACCTCCACCACTTGTCTTCAAGAATGGCAGGGTTTGTGTGAGCAGCGTCATAATTATTCAAATTTAAATTTTCTAGCATTTTCGGGTCATACTTGTCCCAAACCGACTTGTCAAGTCTTTCTGTTCTAGTTACTGTAGAGACGAGGTCATTGAGTGTCTTATTCTTTTCACATTCTCTATAGAATCGAAGGCCGAAGAGGCGTTGGTCAAGAAACCATATCCACCATGTGTCGTTTAGATAGTTGGAGAGCTCATAGTCAAATGTGGCATTTGTTTTTTCTTCCACATATTCGGTTGTTAAGGTGTCTTGTACTCGTATGTCTAAAAATAATTAATTAAATCTTGCTAGTTTAGAGTACAGTAGTTAATGTCCTAAAACAAATCTCAAATTTAATAACAATATAAATAACTTAAAGCTTTACATGTTATGCAGTAACATACCCATAATTTCCTTCCAAACCCTGACAGTCATAGCAATAGTAATCATAATATACTGTCTATAGTCCAGATCTTTCCATTGTTGACTGCCACAACAATTGTAATCATGAAAGAGTATCTCCTTGCCTTTTCTAAGATCAGGCAAATGATTTTGAACATGAAAAGGGTAGAAGTCAACATCCGACGTAATTAGTATCGAATCATTTGATAGGTTGTTCTGTACGAAATCAGTTGCTGTGGCGAAGTTTCGTAGAGTTTGAGCAAAGTTATTCGAATTCAAAATTTTGTTTTGTACATACACAATGTGAGTCTAAAATATTTTTGCAAAATTAAAATTACATTGTAATGGGATTGTATAGCTTATGATATTGCAGTCCAATATACCTAAATTAACTAAATAAATTAAATTTTATAAAACCAAAACATACATCATACTTCTGTAGCTCCTTGATAATTTCAAAAGCAGCCTTATCATTAACATACTCTTCCCTAGTACCACATAACAGAATAATAGCATTAACTTTGTTGTTAGCCCAATATTGTACTATAAATGGAAGTACTACCAGATAGTAATAGTTCATATTTCCAGATAAAACTACATACACACTATTAGTACTGCCAATGTCTTTAATATTAATAGTATGTACACTGTTAAAGCCACTTATGTATAAGAATGTCACTATTGATATGAAAAAGATGGTAAATACCCATATCCTTCGAATATGATGCTTTTTATAGTATTCCATGGTATATTGAAATGAAAAGGCAGTAGCTGGTGTTACAATAGGCGGATATTGTATGTAATATAATAGTATAATATTAAGTAATGTAGCAAAAGAACCAAATTGAATTAAAAACCATAAAATACTATCCTTTGTAGAATTTAACTTTACATAAAAAATAATAACAGAAAATCAAATTTTAAATAGAAAAAATATATTATACACAAGATATAAAGTAAAAATCAACGTTTACGGAAATGTACGTTTAGCTATTTAGATAAAGTAGAAATGACTAATTTTGAAAAGCTGTTATAAAACTACAAAATGTACCCTTATCACTTACTTCTATAGCCCTGAATATTTTTTTGTTTGCCAACAGAGTTTCACTATGTTTTCTTATTTGGGTGTGTCTTCAAAAAAGCGAGAAAAAAAGACCTAAACTTCAAAGGTGTTTTACAATGCTAGGTGTGTATGACATATAATATAACACATATAGATTGTGTTAACATATAACGTAATACAAATAAAAACTTTTGGAAAAGTTTAGTTTATGAATATATAAATATAATATATACAAACAAACTTCTATTATAAAATAAACGCTAGCTTTTAAACAGTTTTAAAATTATATATAGTGTTGTGAACGTTTTTAAATATATACTTTGATCTTTAATTTTTTAGTTATCTACAAGTGTCAAATTGACTATTTACCATTTTCTTTTATTTTTAAATTCTGTATCTAGGGCGACAAAGTACATATAATTTTTACATATATCAATCTAGAGATGCCTAAAAGCGTTTTATTTTAATATTATACATCAAAAATAAAATTTTATAAGTTAACCTATGTTTATTGTTCCTATATTATAATAAACTTATCAAAAAACATTAATTGTTATGCCACAACTCTCAATTTTTATATTATGGATGATAATGTCTTCTACCGGCAGCTTTTTTATCAATATATTGAACTGTTCTATTCCTATATTCACTTAGCACTTCTAGTTGATCACTAGGAAATATCCTCCTATAAAACGGCAGATTCAACTTCCACCATTTGTCAGTGTAGATAGCCGGAGATGTGTGAGCATCTCCATATTTACTGAAGTCTACAGTCTCCAGCTTCTTTGGTGGTATCTTCTCCCAGCCATTTCTATCCAACCTTTGTCCTCTTTTAACTTCGTTGACAAGTTTCTTTAATTCTGGTCGTTTCTTTAGAGTTTTGTAGAAGTTGAGACCAAACAAACGTTGATCTAAGAACCATATCCAGAGTTTGTTGTTGAGGTGTTTTGACAGCTCGTAGTCAAAGGTGGCGTTGGTTTTATCTTCGATATATTGGGTAGTCGCTATGTCTAATGGTGATATGTCTGAAACATTTTTTTTCAAAAAACAATTCAAGTTTCTAAAAAAACTTTTAAAATTTAAATTTTGGGATCTAGGAATTACCAGACTGTCATCAGATTATAGAATCAGTAAACAACAATTTCCAAATACACTTACCCATGACTTCCTTCCACATCCGCACAGTCATAGCTATAGTAATCATAATGTACTGGTGATACGAAATGTTCTTCCATTTTTGATTTACACAACAATTACTATCGTAGAAGTTGACTTCTTTACCTTTGTCCAAGTTTGGTATATGTAACTCAAAATGAAATGGGTAGAAGTCGACATCAGATGTGATCAGTATAGTATCATTACTCAGGTTTTGTTGTACAAAGTCTGTAGCTGCAGCATAATTTCTCATGTTTTGAGCAAAGTTATTTGAGTTTATTGTGTTGTTCTTGACGTAGATTATGTTGGCCTGTAAGCAGTTTAAAGCTAACTTGAGAGCGACACTAAATATCTCTAGTAAATCATAAAACATCATACCTTTTATAGCTAACAGCATTGTCATAGCAAAAATCCTAAGCCAACTCACACTAAGTCGTTCCAACTCTCTAACAACTTCTCTGCCAGCCTTGTCATTCTTAAACTCTAGTTCTGTACCACATAACATGACAATGGCACTAACGTTGTTGTTGTACCAATATTGTACTACAAAAGGTAAGGCTACCATGTAATGATAGTTCATATCAGCTGATAATACAACATAAACATCACTTCTAACATTGATAAGAGTTGTGACGCCATCTTTAACAATATTGTGGCCATCAAATGAGAAAAATAGGACTATTGATACTGCTAGGATACTAAATAGCCTGTAAAAACTATTTTAGAAATAGTATTACTTTTTTTATTAAAAAGTTTAAAAATGCAAAAATTGGCTACATTACCTACGTTTACAATATCATATGCAACATTTTTTAAAAATTGTTACTAACACTAAAACAATATCAATTGATAACTTCAAAACTGTAAAATTTACCATAATTTAGGTCGAATTCTGTGAGTCATTTCAGTTTCATAATTAGAAGCCTTAGCTATTTCTTATTTTAGCAAATTTTAGATTTTTTCAGAATTCAGAAAGCTTTGGAAGTCGTAGTCTAGGTGATTCACAAATTCTGCTTTAGAAAAGCTTATTTTGACATTTCAATACATACACATTCAAACCGATGCTTTACGTTTTGGACTGATAGCAAAAAATTAATTCAATCGCTTTGCATAATTAGTGTGAAGTTTGAAATTTGAAACGTTTTGTTAGTTTTTAAAACAATGTTTTAACTTATTTAAGAAATTTTGGTTTTAAAATAAAAAAAAGAAACCAAAATTACAAGGAAAGTATCTGACCTGCCTCGCCAAATTGGCATTGTGTTTTATACATATACTTTAGCCCCCCTTGTAATAATAAATTTCTTTATAAACAGCAAAAAATATAAAATGAACAACTTTAAAAAACATCATTAGGTACAAACAGTTATGTCATAGTAGTGATAGGAATCATGCGTTTAGCCGATCTAATGTTGAATATCCTAGCCAATGTCGTTTTGTTAGTTAATATGCAAAATATGATGGTAAGGGGATGACATACGGAGATGGCTCTCAAACTGATCGACGAATATGTACTGAACACTTCAGTTTGACCTGCGAATTCGAAGGAAGAAAGAAAGCCCAATATTATAATGGGTAGGAACAGGCTCAGGGCTTGGTATACAATCTAAAGTGGCATTTATAGGTTTTTAAGTAAAAAAAGGGTATTTTTGCATAATATTTCGAAAGTTGAACGATATTTAATATTTACATATTATGTAAAAACGTCAGTATTATAATTTTGAGTTAAATTTAAACTTTTATAAAAAAACTAATGACAAGCTTGTACCTGTAAAATAAAGAATGTTTGCATTTTAGTATGCATATTTCTCGTCTCTGTGGTCAGATGATGCTTTAGCCCAGCCATTTTCATATTGGCCTTGTAGTTATAATAAATAATGACAGTTAAACACATGAAGAAGAAAATAGTGTTACATGTGATTGGGTATATCAGCTCTGGATTATTCTGAAATAAGTTTTAATCATAATCTTACTGTAGATCTTCTGTATAACAAACGTAAGTATTTTGTACTTGTTTGTTCTAAAACAAGGTGTACTATAGAGGAAGTTTTATATGCGCTCTATAGTGTAAATAACTAAAAAGTCCCACAAACAATAAAAACATTTATAACTTACACTATCAAAGACTAGATACAATGACTGATCCAGGTTGACGTTGTAAAATGCTATCTTCCCCAACTCTGTATCATAATGTTCTGATCTTGTACCTTGAAAGCACATCCACATAACACCATAGAACAGACCAGCGAAAAAACTTTTAAAGAATATGCCATTGATTTGAGATTTTGTGTAAAAGTCCGACAGTAATATCTTGTATCGTATGACAGGTTGTAAAGATATTATAGTCAGAGTTTGGAATATGATAATGGCTGGAGGTAAAAAGATAATTCTTATTGTAGTTACACTGTTGGGAAAGATACGACGTTCGTAGAACATGTAACAGTACTCGTTGCTTACTATTATTGCCTGAAATTAAAAGTCTGAGTAAAAGTAAAGTTCATATTAAGATAAACAATAAAATTTAATTAGTTTACATCCGTGTAATAGGATAGACAGTAAAGTAAACTTACTGGATTAAATAAGATACCACAAGTACAATTCATCAGATCGTAACATATAATCCATTGTAAAACATGTTTATACACCGCAGCAACTTTTGACTGCATACCAAACTGTAGTAAGTACAAAGTCAGTACGTTTAGTACTATACCCAACGCACATACTGCATAGCACGTGTAAAAATAGTAGTTATAAGCTTTATCTGACCAAGCAGTTGCCATCTCAACTTACACAGTTATACATAGGCTTACACAGTTAAATGTCAGCTTATTGTTAGATGTACATAAAGACTGTTACCAAAGTTAAATGTCATACATGTACTATAACATTTTTCTCATTACATGAAATGAATATAAATACGTCATACATGTACTATAACATTAGAATATCTTGTAGCAAATATAAAATGCCTGTACTAAACCACAACTAACATGCCTGTACTAAAACATATGAATAACGTATTAGAAAATAGTATGCCTTTGAGTATTACCTAACTTTCCAGAGAAAGCCACTTCCTAATATGAAGTTGTGTATGTTGAAATGCCGTATACAACTAAAACAACGGTAATTTATACGCACATTCATTAATAAAAATTACATGAAATGAATATAAATACATTGCTAAATGACATGGATACAGCTATTTGTCATGTTTTATAGATAGACGGTAAACAGTCATTGTATTACGATAAAAATGCAAACATAAGAAATACGAGTAGGGTTTAAGATAAACAATTTTAAAGAGCTTTAAAAACGCTTTAATATTACTGGGTGATAAGAATTTTCTAGCCTAGCTACTTTGCCTCAAAATGAAAAAAAAACTAAATATAGACTAAATAAACAGAATACGATACGATGATACCACAGTCAACAAATTAAATCATAATATCAATTAAGCCGATATACCAAATATCAAAAAAAAACGGGGGGGGGGAAGGAGGGAGAACACCTCAAAAAAAATTTCGAAAAAAAATTGAACGATACCTTCCCTGAGGTTTTTTGGGAAAAAACTTTGCCCGCTCAGTCCTGACTGGTTCTCAAAAAAAACTTTGCATATTGTTTGTATATATTTAACGATAAAAAATCGTCTTCAAAAAATAATATTTTAATCATGAAAGAAAGAAAAAGAAAAAGTAATTTTAGAATATTGTTTTTACCGAATGTAAAATAACCTTACCGTGCCACAAATGTAAATTGAAAAACCAGGAAATGTTACCTAAATAAAAACAAGTCAACAGTATAGTCACTTTTAGGTCAATGAAATTTATGGCTCATTACCTGTGTTCCAGAAATTGTACTAATTAACCTTTTATTGTCTAATAACTTGCAATTACAATTATCATCAAACAACAAAGCTTGGTGTTGTTCATACAACAGTTTGTACGAATTCATACAACAATATTGTAAAATTAGTATTTCAAAATTATAAAATCATTCGTAACATTTTAACTTCATTATAAAGTCTCAGCAACTTTGGAACTTATGAAAGTTTATTAAGGTTTACACAGCTTAAGCACCGTAAGATGCTATAAATATATTAGATAAATAATTTACATTACTTTAAACATCAATATATGCTTGCCGCACCTGTTCTCTCATTATATTTAACATTTAACAATAGAAAACACGCTTTTAATGTTTTTGCAACAATCTTCAAGCTATATTTGTCCTTATAACTCATAGAAAATTGAGTGTAACACCATACACCTTGATCATTGTAAAAGACATAAATAATGGTAAAAGAGCATAATATTTTATCTAGGAACTTCTGTACTTTCTTGTTAAAACTATCAGCGAAGGATAGTGTACTTAGAACAAAAGTCACATGTTACATTGCCTAAAGTTTTAAAAACATAAAAATCAGACTAGTGAAGCTTTGAAAAGGTTTATATTCCTATAAAACACAGCGTTAGCTAAGACAAAAATAATTAAAATTTATTTTCTATACTTCTCTTATTCTATAATAATCCTAAATACCTTCAGTTATATAACAATTCACAAATTAACAATTTTTAATAATTACTCATTAAGTAAGTACAACGTCATTAGAGCTAGGTGTATTAATAAGCGACGTAATAAAAATATTTTAATTTTGCAGGCTTTGTATGTATAGTACTATGATATGTACAAACAACAAATGAATAATAAGACTGAATGAATGCAACTTCTAAATAGCACCAGAAGCTAGGTTAGTTGACCGACATAGCATTGTCGACAAAGGCCTAGAACCTTATCGCGGCACTAAAGCGATATAGGACTGCATTCCATGTACTGTATCAATAAGTTCTCTTTACGTTAGTATTAAATATTTATTAATATATATAAATTAGGGCATAGTATAAAATGATAATTAATTATAATATATTTACTTTTTAGAAAAAAATTCAAAATAATTGTAATTACACATTTGACGTTGAGATGAGATATTTTGGTTTGATCTTTACATTAATGGAAGTCACAATGAGTTATTTATAACAGTTGTTATCGGCTCAATCGTTTCCTAAGTTTCTTATCCAGCATGCCATCTTGTTTGAAAGTGTCTTTCCAGTACTTGTCGTTCTGTTCTGGATGGTAATGTCGTCTTAAAGTCTCTGTAACATTGGCATGCTTTACAACATCGTTACGGTAGTTTGTCAGTCTCTGTAACTGTTCAGTTGGAAAGATCTTTTCATAGAATAAAAGGTTTTTTTCCCAGATTGTATCCATAATAATGCCTGGAGTCAAATGAGCGGCTTCGTAATGGTCCCAGATGTTGTCCATTCTGCGGAAGGCTTGGGCGTTAGGCCATTTTTTGCGGTCAAGTCTCCTTCCCTTTGGCATGCCTTCGGAAATTCGATCAAACTCTTCAGAATTGTTGGTCTTCCAGGAATACATTTTGTATCCGAAGTACCTCTGGTCCAAGAACCACCTCCACCATTGATCTTTTGAGTCGATCTCATAGTCAAAGGTCTTTGAAATTGCATCTTCGATGTAACTACTGTTAACTGGCTCGTTTGCTGGCAATTCTATAAAGTACCAGGTTTAAAATGCTGGAAAATAAATAAAAGTATATACACATTGAAAAAACACAAGACCTAGAATGCAAATAACGTATTTTTGACTTTTGTTTCAATTATAAACAATATCAAAACGAACCAATAATTTCCCTCCAACGCTTCAAAGGCATAGCAATAGTTATCATGATGTACATTTCGTAAGTGGTACCTTTCCATTCAATGTTACCACAACAACCCTGGTCATAGAAAAAGATTTCTTTACTTGGGCTGGGTATGTGATGGTGTACGGTACTTGGGAAGAAGTCTACATCTGTTGTGAGAAAAATTGTCTTTTCCGGGTCTAAGGTATGAGCAAATTCAGTGCCTGCGGCAAAAGATCGTGAAGTTTGAGCTAGCTGACCAGCAGCTATCGATTGGTTGCGAATCGTCACAATGTGAGCCTATAATTCACTTTTTAAAAAATTTTTTAAAGTGTCGTTGGAACTTTAAAAAATGACCATAAGTCATAATTGATCAACCCCAATAACTGCTTATATAAAGAAAGTACTGTATAACTCTAACAACGTACACCTAATGTTCTAGAAAAATCCAAGACTTTATCAACGGCCAGATTGGTGGTTTCATTTGGCTCTAATGTCAACATTAATACAGTTTTGACTCCAAGGTTCTTCCATGCTTGAATCGCAAAAGGTACATGCACTAAGTAGTACAAGTTTAAGTCTGATGATAGTACAATGTAGTAATCTCTATCGTCTTCTTGGTTTAGTAGGAAAACAATACTAACTGCACCAATAAAGCAAAGTGCTATTACTACTGGCTTTTTTCTGAAATTTTAAAAATATTTTTAAGATTTTGTATTTTCTGAACAAGACATGTGTCATATGCAACATAATCGTATTTTAACATGTGTACTAAACTTTACGGTTTTAGAATATATCACTTGTACTGACCTCAAGATGTTAAAGAGTCCGGCAAACATGGTATATACAACAACTGCAGCATCTTCAACGCATTTTAGACCACCCATAGTGCTAAAAATTAAAATTTATAACTCGTATTTTAGTTAGAATACGTGGTTAGAAAATAGTTTTTTTTAATATTACGGTAATCACAAAAAAAGTATTTACATTTACTCACTCTAATGTAAACGATAGCTCAACACTCGCTTAACCCTACAGACTGACAGAAACCGTATTTGACTGAATTAGCATATGAACATTGAGATGTATCTATAAGTAACCAACCTGGTAGAACCCTCTTTTTCGATAAGCGGGCGGCGTTCTATCCCAGCCGTCATCATAATACTCAAAATAGCCGAAAAGCCGAGTTAACGTATCAAAGTACACGCTTGATATGCAAATCCACGACAATAACAACTTTGCTGCAACAAAGATGAATTGCGACTACAATCAGCGACAAATCAGAATAATATTTTGAAATGACATTTGGGTTTTTATATGATGAGTTACTTGATTTATTCAAAGATCGCAAGGTCAGCGCTTACTTTATATGTAAACGATACTGCAAAAACATGATTTATGATAGAACGCCTTCATCAATGAAGTCAGTCACTTCACATGAAAAGTCATTACAGATGAAGGTTTATGCATATTTTAAATTACAGACAAAGAGCAATGTATTTGGCTGATAAAGTACGTGGCACTGTCTATACTGTCTATATTTGAAATTGTTCTAATCTGATACTAATGCTAATAAAAGTATCGTATCTCTTTTTACTCTGTAAAAATGACGCAACTTTACCTTGTTATAAGAAATTGATGTTGAATCTAATGTGAAACTTGTTGCTTGTTTGTATTGTGACCACCTAAATGTATATAAAGAATGACTTTACATCGTTGTACTTTGCATGTGAAGAGATCGTGTACTATATAAAGATTATGCGTTGTGCAAAGTATAACTTACTTTGAGTTTAATACTTCCTCCTGTTTATGTAAAATAATAAGGAGTCTGTTCAAAATTATTTAAAATTTTTATATAGTTAACATTTGAAATACTTCCGCAAACATAATGGTTAATCTAATACAGTAACAAAAGCTTTTGGTTTTTAAATAATTTTAAGATTAAGTAGAAATTCAAAGTAAAAATGTATGTGGGCGTACGGTGAAACGGCTAAACTATTACGGTACGGTTTGTGTATCTATATTTCAGTGATGAGCCTTAGGTAGAGACCCGCTTTCTTTACGAAGCTTTTTGACGTGTTTAACATTTTTGTTATTTACATGCACTTTATATAGTTTCAGGAATTGTCAGTAAAATTTGAGTTTTGTGCGCAAGTATTTAGTGTTTTTCTAGATAGCGTATACACGTATACCAGTCATTACCGCCTGGCAAAAAACGTATTTGTCTGTATGAGTATTGAAATGTATTTGTAAGTGACAAGCCTGATAGAGCCCCCTTTTTCGATACGTAGGCGACGTTTCGTCAAACTCACTATCATCATATTTAAAACAACAGAAAAGCGTAGTTAATGTATCAATGTTCACGCTTTATAGATTAATCCGCAATATCTTAGTCCTAGTTTGTGTTTTGTACGTTTTCTTTTGATAGTATATATATTGTTCAAATGTAAGTAAGAGTATTATGTTTTTGCATTTTTTTACAATTACATATACGTTAAAAGTAAAAAGTTTTACAACCATTTTTACTAGCAGATACTTTTCTAAAACCTTTATTTGGTTAATTTGGCGTGTTTAGAGGCTTTTCTGCCATCATTCAACATTCCGTTCAGCTTGAAAGTCTTTCTCCAATACCGATTGTTCTCTTCTGGATGGTAATGTCTTCTCAACGTTTCTGTGACATTTATATGTTTAACAACATCATTTCTATATTGTGTTAGTTCTTCTAATTGATCTGAGGTGAAGATCTTTTCATAAAAAACTAAATTCTTTTCCCAAACAGAATCCATAAAGATTCCTGGAGTTACGTGAGCAGCTTCGTAGTAATCCCAAACGTTGCTCATGTTGCGGAGAAAGTTGTCTTCGGGCCAAGTCTTTCGGTCTAAACGTCGGCCACTTCTTGAAGTTTGGGAAAACTTTTTGAATCTAAATTTTGTAATTAAAAAAACTAAAAGTTTTAAGTTTTTAAAGTTATTTTACATGTAATAGTGATCTAAAATTTATAAAATTAAATTTTTTCTTTTTTAAAACTTACTCTTCTGGATTTTTGGTTTTCCACAAGTGTAGCTTGTAGCTAAATAACCTTTGATCTAAAAACCACCTCCAAAAAACGTCATGTGAATTCAAAGAATTGTCGAAGGTTTTTAATATCGAATGTTCAATGGAACTACCGTCTACAAATTCTTTTGATGGTAAATCTAAAACTGATTTAGTCGATGGAGCAAAAGCATGGACCGAGTATAATATAATATAATGGTATTAAGTCTATGTCAAAAAAATGAAAAGGATATTAACTAGAGTCGGTTTGATCGACGGGCTAATGAGCTGAAGGGTTAGAAGGTAGACTGGGCTTAATAAGATAGCGATCAAAATTCTCAAAGAGAAATGGGAGGTTGCCAGGAAGACAAGAAGGTGCAATAAAAGTACATGGCAAGAGAAGATGATTTAGTATAAGCCGTAAAAAATACAATTGGAAAAACAAGAACAAGGTGGAATGATGGACAGAAAAAATGGATTCGGCCAGAATGATGGGCCGATGAAGATAAATAAAACACAGCTTTGAGTGACTACACCAAATTAAAATAGAATGGCATGTATTAATATAAATTGTAATAGTAGTACTTTGTTTCGAAAGGCCATTGTGAAATCATTTCTTTTTTTTATTTGAACCGCAACTCTCCTTTTCATTTATCAAAACGACACAAACGCGCAGCTGCAGATTTCATAGATAACATCTCAAAGAAATCATTTTTAAATATTTCATAAAAACTAATTAATTTACCCATAATTTCGCGCCAACGACTCAACGTCATAGCAATAGTTATCATGCCGTACATGTTAAATACAACTTCCTTCCACTTCAGTTCAGTGCAACATTTAAAGTCATAGAACAACATGTCCTTGGTGTGATCGGGTATGTGATGACTCAAGTTGCTTGGGAAGAAGTCGACGTCGGATGTGATAAATATTGTAGACTTTGGATCTAGACTATGACTGAATTTAGTGCCAGCAGCAAAAGCTCGAGATGATTGAGCTAATCGACCAGTTGATATTGAATTGTTGGTTATTGTCACTATTTCAGCCTAAAAGTTTAAAGTTAAGAGTTTCGAAAAGTAATTAATAAATTTGAAAATTTTGATTTTAATACACAATTATCAACAACGTAAAAATCTTACTCCAAGTTTTTTTGAAAACGCCAAAATCTCATCAACAGCTGGACCAGTGGTCTCATTTGGCTCCAAAGTCATCATCAATAAGGTGTTGACTCCTAAGTTCTTCCATGCTTGAATAGCAAAAGGTACATGCACTAAGTAATACAAGTTTAAATCTGATGACAGTACAACATAGTAACTCCGTGATGTTGAATTCGTAAAAATGTATATAAGACATGCAGTAGCAATAATAATTGTAGTAAACAAGATAGTCAATGCTTTAACGTGCGGTTTTCTAAAATTGAAATAATGTTTCAAGTTTAGCTTACTGTAACCAATTTGAAAATAAAATGCAAATTACTGGTTTTGATATACAAAAATTTTCAGAATCCTCGGGTGGCCTGTAACTCCATTTTAAAAATTTTAGTTGCACTGTGTTTTGATTTTATTTGAAATTAAGGCAATAACTTAAAATAAGCTAGTTTTTTGATAAATAATTCACACTTGATTATTCTTAATTAAAAAAAAACTCTACCCCTCTTTCTTCACCCATACGAATAAATTACAGTATTACATTTTTAAAAATTTCAAGCAAATACTTCTTTTAAAGGACCAGTCGGGGTAAATCTTTTGTTCTGTTTTTCTGCAACAAATCAATCAATCAGGGATTTAGCGATTGGCAAATCGTTCAAAAAAATTATTTTTTCGTTTTTATTTTTCGAAGAACTTTTTGTTGTTATTGGTCGTTTATTGTCGAATCTTTTAGAGAAAAAGATCGATTCTAACTGATTTTATGTGAGATATGTTAGAATATACATGGTTTTACATCTTTCAAACGTTATTTTTGTAATTTGAGCAAAAAAATCGTTTGAAAACGTGAAAAATACATGTATTTTCGTCTTCTCCAGCTAATCTGGCCATATTCCATCTAAAATAACATGGAAAGGATTCAAGAATGAAGAATGGGATTGTTATAAAAGAAGCTTGACGTATATTGGAATGGTAAAGATCTTGGATGCACAGTCCAATTGAATTTCGGTAAGTTCTTATTCGTTTCTTGTGTCTAATGTTTTAGGTTAACATGAATCCCGCAAATTGTATGCAAGCCGTGTGACGAACATTGAGTAAAAGCTCAATATAGTCAAACTTTAGAGGCGTTATCAAGGTTTTGCCGAAAAAGTCATTGTTTAATTCTGGATATAATTTTAGGTAACACTTTTTATAATTGTTGGAAGATGGGAAAATTGTGCAATGAAGAAGAGTGTTGAACTTTTAACAGACGGAGGATAAAGGTTATTTTAAATTGATCAAATTAAAGTATTCAACACAAATTTATAAAGCTATCAACTAGTAATCTGAAATGTTCAATCAAACAACGAGATATTTATCGAAAAATCCATTGGACCTGTCTCTAAAATTCAATGAAGCTTCGAAAACCTACATCCACACCAAATTTGTGCCAATTTTCTAAATTCCTTTACCAAGGTTTATAAATTATTATAACGGTTTTACCCAGTATTCCTTCAACAATTTCAATACTTGTTTCTCATACCTAAAACAGACACAAGAAACGAATAAGAACTTACCGAAATTCAATTGGACTGTGCATCCAAGACCTTTACCATTCCAATATACGTCAAGCTTCGTTTATAACAATCCCATTCTTCATTCTTGAATCCTTTCCATGTTATTTTAGATGGAATATGGCCAGATTAGCTGGAGAAGACGAAAATACATGTATTTTTCACGTTTTCAAACGATTTTTTTGCTCAAATTACAAAAAAACGTTTGAAAGATGTAAAACCATGTATATTCTAACATATCTTACATAAAACCAGTTAGAATCGATCTTTTTCACTAAAAGATTCGACAATAAACGACCAATAACAACAAAAAGTTCTTCGAAAAATAAAAACGAAAAAATAATTTTTTTGAACGATTTGCCAATCGCTAAATCCCTGATTGCCTGATTTGTTGCAGAAAAACAGAACAAAAGATTTACCCCGGCTGGTCCTTTAAATCAAGTATTGGTAAAAGTAACTTACGTACTATCAACAGAATGTTTCTCAACAAGTGGTGTTTTCTCTGACAACTCCATAAGAAACTTAATAAATCTCTAATTGCAATTTAAAACATAAAAAATGTTTCGGCAGTATTTGTTCTCGCTGGTATAACAAAGATTGTGCGATTAAAATTACATATTAATCTAATTGGCGTATCTGACCGTGTTGTGCTAAAATATTTTATAATTGAAATTCTTTTTTTTTGACGTTGAAGCAATAAAATAAAAAATCGGACATGTTTCGATTTTGAATTTTTTTGGAAAAAATTATCTTGATAGCGTTTACCTGACACTTTTTTTCCTATGCGGTATCAGAAGTCTTATACAGTACCAAACGTGTTTTCACTTCTACATTAGAAAGTTCATAGTGTACAGCACGTCTCTGTGTTCACCAGAAATAAACTCGAGTTTTAGATAATGACATACATATATGGCATAAAATATTTAACCGATTGTTCTATATTTAAAACATAACTCATCATACCTATCTAAATACCAAAGTTTGTCCATGAACGAGACAAGCAAAGGATGCTTTTCTGACATTTATAATCAACCACAATATTTTATTATTATTTCAAATACAAATGTGTCAATAACTAACAAAAGTAAATTTCAAAAGTGACAGCAAATTCAAGTTCTTGATTGTCGTCGTACTGTAGAGTTGTAATCAACCAATATTACTTTGACTTGCGTCGAAATTGATTTGCGTCTTTTCGCTTTGCATGTGAATAGCTTGTGTACCATACGACGATTATGTGGTATACACAGTATAACAGACAGTGGGTTGAACACTGATATCCATATAAAACTGCCAGTACAGTAGTAACTAAGGAACGCAGCATACCCTTCCAGATGAGTATGATGGTAAGCTTCGATGCATAAGGTAGGTATACTGATCACAAAGAATGGGTACGCTGTCTAAAATATGAAAATTTTGAAACGTTAAATGCATTTTTTAGTTTTATAATTTACTTTTAAAACTTTTTTTTATTTTATAAACATGTTTATGTTTATATTACTGTTTGTTAAAAAGAATACCTGTATGATAATGATCTTCTTCATTTGTTCCTGCAGCTGTTTAGTCTCTCTGCATATGTTGTTAGTCATCTTATTCATGATACGATTCGTCTTCCATGACAAATAAAATATGTTCGCATAAATGGCAATAATGGCTCCCAATGTGACAAAGTTATGGTAACTCTTAGGGTCGTCATTGTCAATTACTGTGTACATCAACCCACTCATGTTTGTGCCACTATGATTACTCAGTATTTCGTCGTATTTAGGGCTTGGTTTTTGAATTGTTAAAGCGTTCGAAAGTCCGTAAAGTATGGCTAGTACGATGCACAGAAAGAACATGTTGTCAATGGTTTTGTTGCTGACTTCAGTATTTTTTAGATTGTAATATCTTATTATGCATGGTATAGGTAGGATTAGAATACATAGGAATAAGATTGATGTATTGAAAAAAGTAGTTGCTCCAAGGCATGTTATAGATGCAGAGAACACTGACAGAACATCGAATATTATGTACAGCTGATGTTGAGTGAAGGTAACAAGCTAAAACGTTTAGTATGTAAAATAAAAAGTAAAATCAAGCAATTACAAATTATTTATACAATAAAAGTTACAGTATCTTAGTTTTATTAACGATAAGGCTATATTACTTCTCTGTTCGTAATAGTTTTAGTTCTACGCAGTAATGTCAAAACTTACTGGAAACAATACCAGACCAGTAATACTGTAAAGAAGGTCGATTGATATCATCCATGTTAGCGTTCTTCGGTAAGCACGAGCAGCACTCTTTTTAGTAAACAGTAGCAGTAATAATACAAAGGCATTCAGAAGGCACGATGATATCTTTACAGTAGTCGAAAACGCATACAGTAACTTGTAAGCCTCAAACATGATTTAAATTTATTCAAATATTATAGGTATAGACACAATAAGCAAAGTAAAAAAAATAACACTAACAAAATTACTGTAATTAAAATTTTAAATATAACACGTAGTCAGACATGTTACCATATGTCACGTATACCTAGGTAACGTAGGTTTGTATATAAGCTAGCTAACGTATAATAAGTAATTCAACGTAAGCTTTCTAACACGTGATTAACGAAAATTACATTACCACCGAAATAAGTACTAATAAGACTTTCCTTAGAACTAAGTTAGTGAAGTTTATAACTTAAACAAGATAAGTTAATTATGGCAATTAAGTTAGGTTTAGTGTTATTTTCAATATGTTTTACGTTTTTGTTTTTTGCTTGGTCATAATCAACCGATTATTATATTTGGTGACAATTAAATGACGGCGCTATTTATTTTTAGATTATTATGTAAGTCAAAGTTAATAATACGCAAAAAGTTAAAAATAAAAAATTATTGGTATTAGTCCTGCAAAGAAACTACGCGACTTGCCTCGCTCTGATTGACTCAAAACTTTTTATATAGAAAGATGATTTAAATATAAGATTATCAGCAAAGTAATAAATCGCGCTTTCTAGAAAGTCAAAAGAAATTCGAGATCAAAACATTACGTTTTGAATTTACCGCCAAATTGGCATTGTGTTTCTAGTTTATAAATCTTTTATTTTTTAACTTTTAGTTTTTTTTCTTGTATTTACTGGTAGAAAACCTTTAAATGAACCTGCACTTTTAAATTTGTAAGCGTATCTTGTTTGGAAAGTCGAAAAAAGTGCTTGGAACACAATGCCAACTTTGCCATATGGCAAAAACTCAAATATTCAAATTTAAAACTTAAAAAATGAAACTAAACTTTTTTATAAGTACTATTAGTAACACGAAGAATTCATGTAAAGATTTTGAGCTGATCTTTAGTACGGCAGGGAAGTACTTTCCTTGCCAGCCAGACGACTTTTGTATGAAGAGAAACCAAACTATTATATTTGTTTTTATTTAATATTACCAAGTTTTACATTTTATATCTTACTTCTATCTTATCATTAAGCCTACAAACGTACTACTTTTTTTCGTAACGCAAAATTCAAAAATTTCGTAAAATTGTAAAGTAAGCATATCTCTATTACAACTGCAAGTTACAAAAAGTCAAGAGTTTCATTTCAATTTCATTTCAAAACAGGTTTCCTTCCATTTTCAGAAACTGTTTTTGTGGTTTTTAAAAGTTACTCTGACATTTGATAAGCTGTGATCGTATTGTTGAGAGAGCAAGTTTCCCAAACTTTAAAGGTAATTTGACTTTAAACGAAGTTGATGTGGGTTTGCAGAGATCACAAATACTTCTGTTTCGAATGTTATTTGTGGAAGAATGAGACTGTGTGCAACGTTTTGTACTTTAAAATTGTTTTTTATTGTTTTACAGATTATGCAAAATATGTTTTGTTAGATATCTACTAGCAAAAGGTGTGCACTGTTACGGAATTAAAAATATAGTATCTAAAAAAGCAAACTCTTCTATTTTTAAATTTAAAACGTGATTTTAAAGTGTGCAAACGTCGATTTAGAAAGAATGTAAAGGAAGAACTAGTACTGCCTCAATAAAATAGATTTAAAAAAAATTTTATATGTAATTACTTTGGTATGTTATAAAAGCACAGTGAGTCAATTTGATAGCCACGTTTTGTAGCATGCTATAGAAAAACATTTTTTATTTATGCTTCACTTTCAGTTAATATTATCATTTTTAACAAGAACTGAAGGCGATTCTTAATAATAAGCACTGCTCAATGACCAACAACCCTGTCTTCTTTATTGTTTTTATCATTTGCACTCAATCTGTTCTAGAGTTGCATAATATTTCAATGAAAAGTAAAAACAAAAGAGATTCGGAGAGAACAATTCAATGATCATCACATCGTTTTTGGGCGTGATTTGTCTGATAAATATTCAAGTTTTGATTGAAGCTCGAGAATGGTCTGCGAGTTGTCCTTCGTTTGGGTCATCAAAGATCAATATTTGTTAGTACAGTGTTTTGTGTAAAGGAGTTGGGGAAAAATGAAAAGAACAGAAAAGACAATCGTTTCTGGTGTTAAAGATATTGTATCAAAAACAATATTTTTGTGGAAAAAAGATTTTAAACGTCACAAAATCACTGTGTATCAAAAACAGTAATTTTATGACGAAATAAACAGTAATTTGTAGAAATACTTCATTACTGCTTGTCTGGCGGCAATATCGTACAATAATTGTGATGACTGTTAACGTTACTTTTTGCTAATGAGAAGATTATTACTGTGAATTTGTTACTATTTATCAGGACTGAATTGTTTCAAATGTATTCAGAGTTATAAGAAAGACATATTAGTCTAGCTACCGGTAAACTCAGATACTGATGTGCATGTTAAGTTTGTTACTGCATGCTTTGCTTCATTACTAATAAGACTGGCGCTTTATATGGTAATCCATGTTAGCGTACTTTTCTCAACCTACTTTTTAGTACTTTGCCCATTCAATTAAAACAATAATATTTGTTGGGTAAGTGCTTTAGCTATAAGTAGAAGTTTTTTTTCGTTTTTATATAACATTTTCTATTTGTGGGTAACATTCTGATGTTAGCCGCTCCAAAACCTTTATGTACGTCATGATGACTTGATCTGCTTACTACAAAAGTAAATAAATAATCTCTCGTGCGACCTTTTACATATAACGACAAATATTCTGGCCGTGCGATGTTCGACCGTTTATTTACACAAACAGAATAAACGGAAGTAAATAATAAGTTCTACCAAGCCGGTCATTTCAATAACTTATGTCATTTGCTTTCGAGTTTATTGAGATTATACTTTTAAGGTTATATTAAAATAGATAAGCTTTGTAAACTTTAAAAAGTGTTATACAAATTGTTAGAACGCTATACTGGGTTCAAAACCAAAGTATTGCGTTTTGAACTTTAAAGCGTTTCAAAAACAATTTCAAAACGATTTTTACTAAAACTGTAAACTTTTTAATCCAAGATATATATATATAAAATGGTATCGAAATACTGTTTATCCAGTAATTGAAAACATTTTGAGAGAATTCAATGTTGTTTTGGGATCGCACCACAACTTATT